TTGACCTGTGCTCGGATTCCAGAGCCTGACCGTCCCATCGTCCAATGCAGAGGCCAGCAGTGAGCCGTCGGGCGAGAAGGCCACCGCGTTCACCGAACTAGTGTGTCCCTCCAGCTTCTGCACCTCTTGACCCGTGCTCGGGTTCCAGAGCCTGACCGTCCGATCGCTTGATGCAGAGGCCAGCAGTGAGCCGTCGGGCGAGAAGGCTACCGCGTACACCCAATCAGTGTGTCCCTCCAGCTTCTGTAGCTCCGCACTCCACATTACTGGAGTTATCGGATGCCTCGATATCCATGTTGGGGTCTGACCACAAATGTTCCTCACAATACTGGTCTGTGGTGCGAAAATCATAGCCGACGAATAAATCTGAAGAGGAGCAAGGTCGGCGATATATCGATTCGCAAGGACAACCCGTCGCGCGTCTTCAAGAAAGGCTGATAGCTGAGTTGACTCGTTCGCCTGTTGCCTCATTTTAGGGCCAGTCTTCTCTCTAGACTTCTTAACAAGAGGTCACTTACCGGCACAATTGATTGTAAGGCGCCTATGTGTCCAATGGCTTCAGTGATCCTGTCCATTAGGCTTAGAGCTTCAAGCCAGTGGAGGAAGTGCTTCTGTAGGAACATATGCACTTTATCATCGTCATGAATCGGAGCCTCGCTATGCTGGACATGATATACCCAGTACCGGCATGCATACTGAAAGGGGGGTGTAAGGCGTTCATCGATTATAGTTCGGTCAAGCTGTCGTCGTGGCTGGCCCGGATATTTAAGATCGCATAGGTTCTCTCGCAGACCATTGGACAGCAATTGCAGACATTTCGTCACAAGCATTCGATGCGTGGCCGGGCCGTTCACCCCAAAAGGTTCGCGTCGAAGTCTGTCGCTCAATAGAAACTCGCTAAAGGATAGATGAAAAGTCCGAATAGGCGTCTCAAAGTCGGCGGGAACTTGCAGAACAGAATGCAGATAGCCTAGAAGGGGCTCGATGGTGTCTGTTGACACATTGAGAAGGGATGATAGGGAACTCACGGAGAGCGGTTCGGCAAAGGTGATGATAGATCCAACGATCATCTGGAAGTCTTGATATAGCTTGTTCTCATCATTTGAGTCGCTTAAGGTTGCTGAAAGTTGCTGGACGACAGGAAGGTAGGTTTTCTCGATCTGGGATATATGAGCCACACTTCGAGATTGTAAGATCGTTTCAAGCCGGCGTTGAGGAGGAAAATGAGGATCGCCGATGAAACGACATATAGTCGCAGCAACGATAAACAAAGGGACGGCCATATCGACTAGCACTTCAAAGGCTTTATCACCCGGCCAGTCATGATCGAGTGTATTTGATCGTCGTTTAGAATTATAATTCTTCCTGATCTTGGAAGTTGCATCCTTCAAAAACACAGATATGTCATGCTGAATCATCGTTCGAGGAACCTCGTGTAGAATCATGTCCTGACGAGCATCACCATGCATACCCTCCATCCCTTCCAGGATAGGCATATCGGGCCGGCTCGTCAGAAAGAGTTTAAGACAAACAGTCGTGATCTGGGGAAGGCGAGACCATAACTCGAGAATGGTTCTAACATCGCCTTCATTCTGACATTCGTCCAAAGCATCTACCACTACCACTAGAGTCGAATAGCCATTGGTAGGGGTTTTCAACTTTTGCAAGGGTTCATAAATTAACTTGTCGAATTGCATGCCCAAACGCTTGTCAGATATGAAGGGATCGGAAGTAACCACTTCCGCGATAAGAGTATCCAGCCCTGATACCTTTGAAACAAGTTCTTGGGCAATGGTGGGAAAGAATAGCGATGCAGAACCTCGGTCACCTTCACCTCGTTTAAAGAAGAAACTGGCCCCAAGATCCACACCTCCCAGGCGACCTGGACCGGTTAACCACTCCGCGAAAGTCCGGGAGATGGTAGACTTCCCTGTGCCGGCCTTGCCATTGAGCCAGAAGATGCGATTGCTCTGGGGTTGCTGAGCCCAGTCCCGAAGATGATGTAGTAAGTCGACTCGAGTATCACGATGGCAGGTGATATAGTCCTCGCCATGGGAATCGAACGCGGCTCCTTTGACATATGGCAACCTGGCCAAGTCGATCTTCTTCTCTATTCGGCTGAGTGCTTCAAGTTTATGGGATCTCTGGAGCTCCTCGAGCGTTCCCTGGAGTTTTCGCTGAAATTTTTCAGTGTGCTCGCGATCCCGGGCATTCAATGTACGGTCACAATTACTCGCCTCGATCTCAACATTCATGCCAAGCTGGTTGCATTCTTTTTCGAAATCCTCGATATCGCCGTCTTTCCAAAACGCGGTAAAGGCGCGCTGGATCGTTGAGGTCTGGTATATCTGAATAGCTCGGGCCAGAAACTGAAGGATGTGCGCATATAGCTCTGTCACAGCAGTCTCAAAGTTGGTTCGTGCGAGTGTCGCAGGCAGCCCATTCAAGAAGTCCACATACGCCTTCAGTCGGTTTGCCATGTACAGAACGGTTTCGCACCCGACTAGGAGGGAAGTCATTTGGTTCGCCTCAGACACGGCAGCCTATCGATTAAAGCATAAGGTTTGTGGGCTAGACTTCGTAAGAAATGACTCTTGCCTCAAGAAGTAACCGAATGCCTGCCCACGGCAAGCCAACATGTACGGGGTCTGCACTGGCGGCGATATCGCCTACGTCCTTAAATCGGTTTAGCCAGTGTACCACCTTATCGGCTTCCTCTTTCAATGTGACTTTCCGCCCAACAAATGTAAACGTCCACTTCTTGTCGATGTAGCACCGTTGCTTCTCCTCGGCCGCAGCCAAAGCCTGCGTAAGCGCCAAGTCAACGTCATTGGAAGTCGGAAGATATTCTCGAAGGGTTGCACGATCGCGATTTCGGAGTCGCTTGAGCGCATCGTCCAAGATGTTGTTGCTGGAGGAGGGGCTGGAAGTTGCCTGCTGTGGTGATGAGGGGGTAGCGCTGGCGTTTGGTGAGTCAGCCGCAACCAGTCCAGCTGATGGTGGGCTCGACGATGCCAAAATCTGCGTTGATGGTGAACCTGGTGACTGTGATGTCAACGCCTGGGTCGAGGCTGACACTGGTGTTGGTGATGAAGCCCTGCTTCTGTGCTTAAAGGGTTTAAATAGGCGCTCTCGAACGCTAAGCTTTGCAGCTGGAACCCGAAGGCCGCTCATGCTTGACGATGTTTAATGAGTATGCTGCAATAAATTCACTAGCGGAGTTGTTCGTTTCAATCTCGAATGGATCACAATCTGCATTCGTAAAGGGAAACCGTCGAAAAGGAATCGTCCTGACTGCGGCCTCGAGGCTAGCTGAACCACTGCCCAATGCCAAGGCAAAGTAACGTGCGTGCCCACCCCACGCCACCACCGCGCCTGCTGCAGGAGTGTCGTTTGTTTTAGCTAGGCAAACTAGGGATGGGATATTCACGGGGGTAAAAGCGTAGCTTCTGGATTCTACGGAAGTTGTCTTTTATGGGGGCTAGCCCCCAAACCCCCAGGCCTCACTGCGTTCGAAGGACCGGTAGCTGCAACAGTGCCAAGCCATTTACTCACGTGATTGACCCATCAAATGGGTCTTGGCAATTCTTGGCGTCGCACACACACGCTTCGCTAACGCTAAGCTTTTAATTACGCGATCCCACCGAAAATTCAGGTATGTATTTTACTCTCCTAGAATTCTCCCCCAAATTGACACAATTGAACGCCAAATCGTGGTTGACATATCTCGGACGTAACCGAGTGGTAAAATACTTAGGTTACAGTCGAACCTAGGCGCCCCATCTATGAGCCAGTTATACACTGACCATAAGGAGGGGGGGTTCGAACCACTGGTGTTCCTTTTTTTGGCTGAGTGTCACGGTGCGGACGTGTGAATGCTGGGAAAGTTAGCCGAAGCGCTCTTCCTCAGCACCCTTCCTCAGCATTCTTCCTCAACTCTTCCTCCGTCACGGGATCACGCGCCAAGAGATCTCATGACCCCTTCGTCGCAACCCGGGGATGCGATTAGCATGACTCTCACAACGCGCGCTCTGATTGGCTGTGACAATCGCAGCCCCGGGTTACGATTGCCACAGCCAATCGGAGCGCCACGCTCCTCCTCACCCTTTTCGAACCCGATGTCAACGCCTTCGTGGTGATGTGGCCGCGACGCGAACGCAACTCGCTTGGTGGCCACGGTAGCGATAGACCATCATTTGCACATGCGACCGGGAGACAATCATCTCCTCGACTTGGGTGAGCGCGGGTAGATGGGCCGGCAGCTCTCCCGGATCCATCTCGTTCTCGGCAGACAATGAGTCTTGTTGGCCTTGTCCAGTAAGAAATAGGCGTGGCAGACCCCCTCCTTTAAATCCATCGAGAACCATCGTTCCTAGCAACGGCTACAGGACTCCATGCAAACCTACTCCATGGCAGTGTGAAAACTCTGGATCGACGTCCATTGTTCGGGTGGGAGAAAGCCCGAGGCTGGCAGTTCGGGTCGAGGTCGTTCGGCCGTCGGTGGTGGAGGAGGGGGGGGAGAGAGCGCGCTGGGGGGGGGGAGGGAGGATCGAAGGCGGATGAGATTCGAGAAGAGGAGTCCGCCCTGGACGTGTAGGAGCTTCTGTGGGCGGAGTCGCACGCCTCTTGGACGGGATCGTCGGCAGATAAGGTTGGAGGAGAGGAGGCAGTTCTGGCCTCTTGGATGGGATGGTCGGCGATGACGCTGTTGAGCCCTCCTTTTTCTGGACTTGTCACGGCAGGATATACAGGTGGAAAAGACCTTGCTCCGGGGGGGGGGGGGCGGCGGCATCTTTGAGAAAGGAGGAGAGGAGGCGCTTTTGAAGACAGGCGGAGCAGTATTTGGCATTTTCGTCGGACATGACAGAAGGGAAGAGAGCGGGCAACGCGTCGAAGACGCGCGCGCAGATCGCGAGATCATGTGATTTACCCTTTTCTCGGCCAATCTTGTCGGGATACACCACCTTCGTCCTCGCTTACTTACAGGTCCCGCAGGCTACGAAAGTCTTTTGGAGAACGCAGTCGAAGAGGGTATAACTTTGAGGTAAGAAAGGTGAGACATGTGGAGGTCGGTTTTTTAGCTCAGCTCAGGTTAAAGGTATCCTGTTCGATCAACGAAATTGCGCTTTAAGGTCACATACTAGTTAAGAGGGGGCTGGTGTCAATCATGCCTTAATATACGTTCAAGGTTGGGCAATCAAAAGACACTTGACACAAGCTCAAGGTATGGCCGCAGAGAAGTCCTTCGGACAAATGTGCACTATGCTGAGCGACGTTTCCGGGATTCAAAATGTGTCGAACAGAGCGAGATGCGGATAGAAGGGGTGAAAACTCGCGTGTAGATTACAACTATAGAAAGGGGGGAAAGGCCCCTATATAGGCCAGAATAGGGGTTCTTGGCACTAGGCACCAGCTGTCTTAACAAAATGTCATACATACATTCCCATTGTATGCTCAAAAGCTTCCCTGGTTTCGGGCATGATTCTTGGACCAGTACGGCAAGTGTTCTGAGTTTGGGGCGGTCAGAGATCCTGTGTGGAAGCCCAACCCCGCTTTGTATATCTAGTCTGGAGTACGTTTGGGGCTCCTAAGCCGATTTGCTTACTGCTGACTACCTACGAACGACGCGCGGGACGCACGAAGCGACTTCCCACGAAACCGACTTCGATTCCGACGCTCACGTCTATTAGCTAAATCTCTCCACGCAGGGCCCAAATGGATCCTTCGATGAGAGCCCAAACAGGCTTCGACACTTGTGCAAACAGCCACGGCTTGCTTCTGAGGTGCAAGCAAAAACCTCGCTGTCACGGGATCTCTTGACGCTTGATCTCGTGACACCAGCAACCCTCCTCGAGACTTTCTCCCGTGCTTTCTCTTCGAGGACAATTGTCCTCGACCCCTTCTCTTAGGAATCTCCTCCTAAGATCGGTGGTGTGATAGGATATCCGCCCCTCCCCGCACTTCCATCCCCGGCCTTCCTTGGCTCTAGGACAGTATTCCCCGGCTTATTTGATTGACAGGACAATCCTCCTAAGCTTAAAATTGTGATGGAGATGATACCCATTAGGCCTGGCTCCGACACAGAGAATGTAGAGACCACCTTCTCAATGGATGGACAGTTGGATTCTCTGAGGAAGTCTCAGAACCTACAGGACTCGAGGCAGCGGCGTACTACACAAGCCTGTGGAGGTTTCTTCAGAGCGCATGCGCTATGATGGCGAGCCGGGATGGCGTATCGGGTTCGGCGTATTATGCTCTTAAAGGGAGGACAATTCTTTATACCCACAATTCGATGTCGTCAAATAAGGTGCGTAAACTGAGTTTACGATCTGTTGAACAAAGGGCTATTGTGTACAGGCTCCACAACTGAAACACTGGTGAGAGGTTTCCATAGACGACGACGTTACTGATGGTTGCTCTGTGTAACGACGTAGTATTCGCACGTCTATAAAAGAAGCCTCGATACCTCGACAAGTAGATAGAGAACAGAGCATTCAATACATCTCGAGTTGCACCCAGTTTTACAGTAACCAATTAATTCAGATTAAACCTCCGGCGACATCTATACAGCAGGTGTAGCGATAGTAACAGAGTGTGGGTGTCGCTCAAACTCTGTGTCATGACACACAATTACAAACTCGCCCTCCCCAGTCCCGTCACTAGGAAAGCTAAAAGAACATGCTCTCCTAAATTCTTAAACGTATTCACATTCATTTCATACCATCTCTGTCAGGAACAGAGCCCCCCCCCCCCCCAAAAACTTCGTAAATCATAGTCGATTCCTACTCCCATACCGATTTGGTAACTTCGGCACAGCCGGGGCGCCGTGATCTTGCACGGGATCGGGGAATCCAGCCTCGTGAAGCATCTCAGTGAATGTCGTGTTAGGTCTGCTGACTTCTTCCGTGCCATCAGGTCGTATTCGCTTCGTTGGAGCAAAACCGCCTCCCTTGTAACGAGCTGGAGTGAGAGTCTCGGGATCATGGTCGCTAGATAGTGATGAGATACCGGAGAATGTCGTACTCACACCTCTCTCGTTCGTCTGGTTGCTGTTCATGTTAGTCGTAGTATTGCTGTTCGGAGGTGTTTGGAACGGACTGCCCATGTTGTTCGTTACTGGGTATCTCTGGGCGGCCATACCCCTTAATGGCGCAATGGCCGCCGGATTCGGCGGCTGAACCGTGCCATTGGGAGGTGAATACACCCGTATGCTCTCTGTGCTTTGTTGATGAACAAGTCTTCGTTCCGGCGTGACTGGCAATCCTGGAGGGACTACCGGAACATTGTTAGGTACTGGCGGCGTGGGCATTTTCCAGTGACTTGGGGCGAATTTGGGACTCTGTTGACTCTTAGTCGAGAACATGGACTTTGCACGCCCAGTCGTCCGTCGGAGGAAATCAGTTCTTAGTCCTCCTCCAGACTCTAAAGGGATGGGATCCGAGATTGTAGGTTTGTGGATTGAAGAGTCGCCGGAGTGTCGTAGGTTAGGTTTGCGATGTCGCCCGCTGCAGATCACCCAGGCGAGCATTAAGAATGCTCCAATGAACATGCCCGGGAAGAAGCCCGCGAGAAAGACTCCGATGGGAAATTTGTTGCATGTAGGCTGAATTTGGGATGCTGATGAGTTGACATCAGTAGAAGTGGCGGTAGAGGTAGCAGTTGAGCTGCTTGATGTAGCTGTCTTTATAGCTGAGGTTGCTGAGGAGGAGGAGGAGGAGGTGCTGCTGCTGCTGCTGCTGCTGCTGCTAGATGTGCTATCTGTTGACGACGATGTGTCCGTCGTCCCCGTCTTGCTCGTACTCAGAATGATATTACACACTGGAGAACCCGAGTCGGATTCTATACAAGCATATCCAAATGGGCAGCATTTTTCTCCACATGTCGGTAATTTATCCCCCAATCTTGTAGTAAATATGTTTGCGTCCGCATTGGCAGTCACATTTTGTGATTGAATATCGCAAGATATGATCTGAATATTGGAGCAGGTGTTTCCTTCTGGACAGCAGAGTCCCGATGAAGAATTGTCCAGAGATATGCAACTGGTGCCGGAAGGACATTTGAAATCGTCAGGCAGTTTGGAATCGATTGTGGAACATGAGGAGTAATCTTGTCTTCGGTATAACGACGGTACTCCTGGAGGTATTGAAGACGTCCCGAACGCAGAAGTATTTTTCAGGATTGTGCTAATAGCAAATAGGAGACGCAGTGTACAAACGGAGGATCGTAAATACATGGCAGAGAGGGAGGTAGGACAGGTGGTTGAGATGACAGAGAGAGCAAATGAGGCAATACACAGGTATAGAGAAAGGTGCGAAATTTCTTCAACCATAAAGACAAGTCACCAGGACCGTCACCAGGGCATGTGCCAGAATAAGAGTGCGAACGAAGAAGGAAAACAAAGTTTGACAAAGAAAGGTGAACCCTTCACTTTGGAGACAGACAGACAAAGAGAAAACGCCCGATAAGATCCCCATTATAGAAATTACCGAAGAAGCTGGACCTGATCATGAGAGCGTGGCCATTGAATGTAGAATAGAAGTAGACTTCTGGCCCTCGGGTAGCCATTTACCAACCATATGCATGATGGAGGTTAGGAGAGGTCCGAGAATAGCCAGTGGCTTGCTCTTTGTGGACATGATGCGCAACCTTGTGATCCCAAGCAGGCGGGACAATGCACCGAAGCGGTCTCTCAGAATGAAACGATAGGTTGTAGAACTCCAAAAGAATGTCAAACGAATGGAAGGCGTTTTGGAAAGATGGGAGGGTGGACGTGGCGGAGGCAGACGGAAGTCGTTTCAGAGACGAGGCTCAGCCAAGCGATGGAGCTCTCTGATTGGTTGAAACTACAGCCACGACACCATTCCTTTTGGGGGGCAGCATTGGAGAAATTTGGACCGGGGGGATACCAACTTGCCATCAACTGAATTCAATCCCATCCCATCTTCCTCTGTCTCTATGCATGCTGTTCCATCCTCCGTTCATGATCATCCGACCTCCGACGAGGCCGCAGTCCCTCCTGCGAGCTGTCGTCAACCACGCTGTATGCAGTCCCTTCCCCAAAACGTTGTGGCCCACGTAGACTGATCTTGCGTGCTATGAACTAGGCTCCCCTTCTTCCTCGATCTCAACGTCGAAATAAACATGGGATCCCCCTCTGGGCAGACTCCAAGAAACAAGAAAGATTTGCCAAGTATGGCGTCCCGGGCTTCTTGTCCGCAAAAACCTATCAGGAAACCTATCTGAATTACACCCAACATCTATGTGATCGTTTGAACGAATGGACACAAGGTACACCAGCCCCATTTGACCTACAAGACATCTGTCATTCGTTATAACACCTCCTCCTTAGGCACGGCCAATGAGTCGACCTCCGTCTTCGATCTTCACGCCACCTGCGCTCACCGACCTGACCGAGCAGCTCTCTACAATCACGCCGCGATGGCCATTCACACGCACTTCTTCTGGGAATCTCTTACGGACAGCGAAGACCCCGTAGAACGTCGCCCGGGAATAAACACGATGCGCTCCATAGAGATGGATTTCGAGTCAGTAGACCACCTGCGCTCCGAGTTTCTCGAGACTGCCGACGCCATGTTCGGCAACGGTTTCGTCTGGCTCATGAAGCCACCTTACGCAGGCGGGCTCACTCTGCTCGCCACATACAATGCTGGCAGCCCGTACAGCGAAGCTGCCCCTCGCAGAGACAACCGCGACATGGCCACATTTGACGGACGGGGAATCGCAGCGCAGCTCTCCGCCAGCGGCTCCGCCATTGGCTCAGCAGGTACATTCGGCGACTTTAGCAGTGCCCGCGCGAATTTATTCGAGGGCGCTCTCAACGCCCAGCCCATCCTGTGCGTCAACCTGTGGCAACACCAGTACATACCCGACTGGGGCGTGCTGGGCAAACGCGCATACCTCACGGCCTGGTGGGATCGAATCGACTGGCAAATGGTGGAGAGACGACATTCGATGTATGAGACCGAAGGCGACAGGTATATCTCGAGGAATCGCCCTGCCCCATACAGGAACATCATGGATGCGATCAATAGTAACATGGCGTGAAAAAAGAATGACACGGGGTTGCAAGAGCATAGTTCCATTTTGTATAGATTGCCGAGGTAACAATAACTAGCATTTCTATGGGAAAGGGCTAAAGGAGAGAAAACATAGCCTGTATTGATTTGGACATTATGTCTGTGAATCGTGGGCGTGTATCAGTATTATTACATTCACAAGGCCATGTAGACCACGAGAAAAAGAGGGAATATATTCTCGACTTTCTATGCATTTTCTGGTTGCAACGTCGTTTGTTGGCAACGACTTGAACTTCGCTGGGACTCTCTTCCCCCGAGAGGGAGATCTGCAGCTTCTTGATAGCTTTGAGGCGAGCTTCCAGCCCTCGTCAATCGCATACCCGGTACCGCCAGAGAAGGCCCGCATTCACCGAGGCTCTATACCAAGACCTCATAGTCGAGGTTGAATCTGAACCCTGAATATGACCACCACGTGCGAGTGCGTATTGTGTAAGCCGTAAGAGATGCACTGTCAGTCAAGGTCTAGGGCTTGAGCCTGCCGGCATGGCAACCCAATGTTTCGTAAACGCCGACCCTCGCCACGGCTTTGCTTGGTTCCAGCGTATCAGATACTGGCCCGTACTGGTGCGGAGACGTGGATGATATCTCTCTCTCAATATCTCAAGATCAGATCACAAGAAGTGAACCTGGGAGAGTCGACCTGTACAGGACATTGAGCGGGCGTCCATCGTGTGCTTCATGCTTCAATCCTAAGGAAAATATTCTTTTCACCGTGATCTGTCGTCTTGCAATTTTCAATCCCAATACCGAATAGTCCCGTCCAACCCGCCTGTCGCGACTTTGCTGCTTTCCTGCTGATGCCATGCGACGCATGTGACGGCCCCAGTCCCCTCTCCACCAGCTTGAATCTTATGCCACATTTTGCCTGTCTTCCAGTCCCAGAAACACACGTACCCTCCCGTGTCACCGCTCGCGATGATTCCGCCGTCCGGACTAATAGCCACATCGATCGCGTAACCACTGGTGTTCATGCCGCGGAATCCCTTCTTGCGGTTCTGTCGGAATTTATCGCCCGAGGCATACACGACGATTTGGTTATCAGCACTTTGGAATGCGACGTACTTGCCCGACGGATGCGGAGCGGAACGGACGAGTGCGTACATCGAGGGATCGGCGATAAATTTGATGGGGACGGGAATTCCGTATTCCCAGGCGCGAAGACTTTTGTCGTCCGAGGTCGAGATGAATCTTCGTCCTTCGTCTACAAAGGTAAGTGTATTGATGGGTCCTAGATGATGATCGTATTCTTGCGTCAACTCGCCGGAGCGCGTGTCGAATTGCACAATCTTCTTATCGTTCATTCCAGCAATGAACTCGTTGCCTTCTGGGTGGAATCTCAGGGTATGCGGTGTCTTGCCAGTGGTGAAACGAGATATGCATTTTCCAGTCTCCGTATCCCAAAGCTTCATCTGGCGATCGTAAGAAGCCGATAGGAATGACTTGCCGGTTGGGTGGAAATCCGTATCCGTGATGGCTTTGTTGTGACCTGAGAATGTGCGGAGAAGAGTGCGATCGTGGTGTGCATCCCATAGGGCAAGCTTGGAGTCGGCAGAAGAGGACAAGAGTAGATGTGAGGATCCGGGAATGAAGCGTAGAGATGTGATGGGTTTGGTATGGAGCTTGTAAACGTGGATAAGTTTTTTAGGCACGTAATTCTGTATCGATCCCGGTTCTTTCCGGAGGTCGATATCCAAGTCCTGAGGAACGTGCATATAAGTTCGACCTTGATAGTCGAATTCTGCCGCGCCATGGAACTCGGTACTTTCGGTAGCACTCGAGTCGTCTGCATACCCTGTAGCTTCTTTCGGAGGCGCAGGCAGCGGTGTCGGAACAATACCCTCTTCTACCCATTCTTCGTCAGAGGCAAGTTCTTGGTCGACAGCGGCTTCGGCTTGTTCATAGGCGTAGTCGTCGCTTTGATATTTTGCCCATGGACCTAAGTATGCTCCTTCGCCATCGACAATACTACTATTTCCCTTCTTTTGTCTCTTGGCCCGAATGGCGGCGCTGTCTTCCTTGGAATGGCGTAGCTGAACAACATCTTTCCCACCGTACTTTGCGACGGAGGATTGGTTCCCTACATATGCCCCCTCGACACTAGGATCCTTCGTATAACCGAGACTTTGAAAGGTACGATGTTGAGTTTTGAATGTAGCCTCAGACATGGTCGTCTCCTCTGCGTTTCCGGTAAGAACGTTCTTGCGCTTCAACGCATTTCCAGTGGTACTTTTGAATGGATTTGTCGGGCCTTGAGAGGGGCGGGTAAGATTATCGTAGGTGACATTATAAGTGAGGGCGGTGCTGGACGGGTTTGAGAGGATTATCTGCACTTGAGAGGTATTCTGTGCATTGTTAGGCTGACCCGCGCACCGTCTGGAGTATGAAGACCAAACCTCTGTTGATACATCTGGCGCCGCATTTACGGGCTTTGGCAGCGCCGGTGTAGGTTGCGACGGAGCTTTCTCATCTTCGCTCGAGTCATAGGCTGCTCCAAGAAGGCCAGACATGTCGTATGCGGCCAAAAAGGGTCCAAAAAGTCCAGAACCGAAGGCGATGGTTGTACCCAAAATATTAGAACACTTTCTTGCAGCCTTGCCCGATGATGGCATCTGCCAAGAGGAGCTAACTATTCTTGGCACACACCGACGCTGCCCTATGCTACGGGCTAAGTCCAACCCTCTTTTATAAGTCTCGTCTCCTGGTAAAGCATTCTACTATTCGCCACCAAGCATTTCAAGGACACAGAATGGCAAATGTTAGAAGCGATGCCATCTTTCCCTCAGAAGGGTATAACCTCAGATCAAGATATTGACTAATTGCTGGAGGAGTTTTGACGGCAAATAGAGAAAGGAACAATGGCCAAAGGAAGGCCACAGGCGTGGCCACCAGCTTCATCTAGTCCTTATAGCATTCCTGCTAACAATCCATATTGTACCGACTCTAGTCTCTAGCTACGGTTCGTTATCAGTCGTATCTTCGTGGAGTGGCTTCCTTTACCTAGCGGCAAGGCCAGTTTGGTGTCTCACCATATTTGTATCCGCAGGACACGCTCTGCCGTGCCTCATCGAACACACCGATGGAATTATTAGCCAGTCCCGTTGTGCCGATGCCGTCCTCACCCACATCATGAAGAGTAGCAGGGCTGTTGTAGTCAGCCGGTGACCATCCATTCTTGTGGCCGTTGTTGAGTAGGCTTGCACCGCGCTATGAACGAATTGTTAACCCGAACTTCGAGGGTAGGACGGATATGGAAAGCGGTAATTTACCTTCCACCCAGCAATTCTTTCGTTGCACTTCTTCCCACCAGAAAAAGCTGACCCATCCAAAGACGTGATGCACGATAGGGTTTCGCATAAGGTATGTAACATGACGCGCCCGGATTTTCGGCATGGTTGCAGCCTGTGTTATCTGGCAGGTACACATTGACCATCCAGTATCCTGAGTTATTGTAGCAGAAAAAAGAAAAGCACCCTGCGCGGTCGTCCTGTCAACGAATCGGCCCATGGCCCCTTCTCTCTGACTGGTGCTAGATATGAGAGATCAAGTATTAGTCTGGCACGGACTATGGGCCTTGATCTGCTTTCCATCTTTGGGTGACTTTTAGGGGAGACTCACACAATAAAAGTTCTGATCTGCTTGTCAGGGAAAGACCATACCCGGGGGACCATGTAACCAAACATCGCTTGACTCATTGTGTTTTCTGCCGCTGTTGCCCTCACTGTTGGACACACTTTTGATCCCAGGTGAAATTCTCGAGAACTTACCCCAAATTCAGCTCCCGGACTCTTCGAGTATGAAACACCATACCACTCACGACTAGTCCAGGACATCGATCCGAACAGGGAATAAATGTCGCTGAATATATCCATGGCAGAGATTTGTAGCCCATTGTCCGAATTCGGCGCAAATGTGTCCACAATGGTGTCGACATCATCAGAAACTTGGTCAAAGGAACTAGTCAAACCACCATACAATGTGTTGTACTGATTGTGAAGGTTGATCAAAGAGTTCCAGATAAGCCGCCTGGTGCATCAGTCAGAAAATGAGGTCGAGGACATTCATTATAATCAGGTTCAGATTTGATATGGAAGACCAGGGTCAATCTGGAGTTAAAGTTCAAGGTATCGTTGTCCTTGTACAAATACCAATAAGAAATAGCGTCAGACCAAGCAAAGTCGGCATGTGAATCTTTCCACATGGCCACAGGGTTAGGATCATCACTGGGATGACTGTCCATCAAGGCAGGAAACTTTTCCCCAAGAGGGGGTACTGTCGTACAGCGCGATCGTTCCATCAGGATTATGGTGGTCTGTGGGACAATCCTGGTCATGGGCACAACCTGATAGCTCATGTTATAGGTCGCGTCCAGGCAGCTGCTAGAAACACACAATCCTCCCGAAGCAGACACGTCAATGTTGCCATTGCGTTTCAGGCGTATACTTTGAGAGCCTGCCTGGACCGAATCGGGGAAATGCGAGGCCGTGAGTCCAGGTCCAATGGTCAAGCGGTGAACAACTTGACTATTGACAAGCATGTCGACCGAGTTGGTCAGCCCATAGGGTTTGTCATGGTATTGAGAGGATCCGTTACTTGAGCACTGAATCAAAGCCGTTTGAATAGAGTGGTACCACATTACACCAGTTGTGTCGCTGTCGGTAGAGGGAAACATATCCTTGAAGCTCATTTCGCCGTTCTTGTAGGCTGTAACGAATGACTGAACAAGAGGTCGTCATCCATCGTGTGACCAGCCGTCGGGGTTGGCGTATGCCCATGGTTGAGTGTCGTTATTTTGTTCTACCCACAGGTTTCCAGTGTAGAGAGACTCAGGACCATCATTCTATACGATTGTAATTTCAATAATTCCTAGCAACAGTCCTTATTGCAACTCACCCTGGTTAAGACTTGAGCGAAGTCCGGTGCAGGATCCATCTCAAGAATATTCATCATTCATGTTGTCAATCCCCAATCGGATTGACGAAAAAGGTTCGCTCCATACTGTGTTAGCCTATCAGAGAGCCCATGGTGGCCCAAGGTGTCAACGAGGTTGCCTTACCGAGTTCTTGTATTGAAGTGGACTCAAACCTACAAAAGATCAGTGGACCAATTAAGCGTCGAACTCTGGCCATGCAGACAGAAAGGATTGGATCAGCGCCGGTCAGGCTCCAAATATCGCAGCTCTCACAGAAGAAAGCGTTTGAATGGATGAAATGGCGGATGAGCACTCCTATTATGAGCCAGTCATTGGCCTTCCCAAAGCCTTTCAGAAGGCCAATGACTACCTTCCAATTTCTGTGGTAGCTGCCGTCATTTTCCCCTGATACGGTGAGCATCAATACAAATTGAGATTGGCAGATGTTCTTCCTCATCGCCATTATCAATCAGGTGAATTATGATTTGTGCAGCTTTGTTGGCATTGACCAAGGAAAGGCCACCTTTCACTCATATTCCCCGCCCAAAACGCCAAGGGAGATATAGCCAGATTTCATCAAAACCGAGGCCACTTTAGCCACCTACAACATTTCAAACTTCTCCTTTCAATGTTGCATCTAGACGCTCTCCGTACTTGTGCAGGCTCAAGGAGCAGACCGCTCAATCAGTCATCTCCGATCTTGTAACCACCGGTCCCCTCCAGCTTCCGAGGAGGAACGTTGTGACATGGCCTCCACCCGGGTCGCTGCAAGGTCATTCATTAGTATATCGCCTCCACCAGCTTCTCTGATACTGTTCTTTTCCCTTTCCGACCAAAAATACCTGGTCCAGCTTGTACGTCGTCATTTCCCGAAAACATATTTCCATCACATTCGTCTTCCCCCCCATTGTCGCGATTCTTATCATCCATCCCCCTCTCTGGAAGCGCTGTCCTCGACCCTGAGATCTCATAGGCTCGTTCCAGGAGCCCATTGTTGCCGGTATCATTGATTAGGAGTAGCTGCCATGCCTCATTGCGTGTGATACTTCATCACGTAGTCAGTTTGATTCGTCCCTGATAAGTGCCACGATCATGCTGTAGAGATAGAAGAAGAACATGATCAAGTGGAAGCCGAGTTTGATAAATGATTCCTGAAGAAGGTAACATTAGTATCGGAGCTGTTGCAGGGCGCGTTTAGGAACCATATGTCCATACCTTTTTGTGAACGTTCAATTTACGGAAGATCTCCGTTGCATCAAGCAGATGTTGGTTTTCAAAGATTCTGTGATCATGCCCATTATCAGCCCCCAGTTCTTCCTACTTCTGTCTCGCTTGATATGGGCACCCACTTCTTTGCGTTGAACGCCAGGAGCGGCAAATTCAACAATATTGCCAGCCAATACCCATTGATGAGGAAAAGGAATGTCAAAAAGGCGTGAACGCCGGCTTCGGGAACAATGTAGGTGTTGAGGCGGTTGCAGAGATCAATTGGGTTGATATAGTCACTGATCAAGATTAGATTTGTATGATGAGGACAACTTTAAGAAAAGCTCATGCGACGGGGGAGCTTGTGACTGACCATTCAAGATCGCTGTACATAATGGTGAAAAAGACTTGAAGGAAGAGATTGACGGCGTTTATCAGAACAGCGAGCAGGTATAACCACGCCTCGCCCGACATCGTGGAATCGAGTCTTGCTTTGCTTGAGAAGGAAGAGGAGTCTTGTACAGGTTCAACGGAGCTGTAAATACGAACAGTTAAGGGAGGGCTCGAGTAGAGACAGTCACAGGATTCGCAAAAGTGAGAAGGCTGGGAGAGTGCGGCGTATGCTGCGGACGATTGGGGATGTCAAGAATACCACACGATCGATTCCGGTGAGCAAATTAGTACCAAGTTGGAAGGGAGATGGCACCCGGAAAAGATCAGAAGCGAACAGAAACTTGTCCTTTTGGCTTTTGGGATATGGAGTGAGGTAGTAGAACGGGTGCGAATGAGATCAGGTGTGGGGGGATGGCAGTGGCAGAAAGCAGGCAAAAAATCTACCTCACTGGTAAATGTGATCCACCACAGAATCCATCACTTTTCTACGGAGGAGTGCTTTCCTTCGAGTAGCAGACACCAGGCACCAAGGCACCAGACCAGCATAAAAATTTCTAGAACGAGCCAGGTACTAGCAGCAAAAAGCACTGTCGAAGCTTGTGGGTTGAATCTGCTCGGATTTCCCGGCATGCGAAGAGCATTGCATAAAGACTATCAGGATAAGCAAATTCCGTCCTTTTGTGTTAGTTTTTCATGCAACAGCCAATAGCCCCCTTTCATGAATAACATCCAGACCTCGTATACCAGCTCAAACTCCTTGTCGCCTTTTCCGTGCAATCCCTAACCTTTAATCCGAACTACCAATCAATATAACCCCTACAGAACGGCACTAACCTAGGACCGGCCTAGATTATCTCAGCCGGAGAATCTCTTCCCATTACCGAATGAAACCTGGGGCGCAAATTAAGCTCCTTCTCTGTCGATGCAGAGGGACCTTTTGAAAAGTAAAAAGCAGAAGAAAGGAAGAAATACTCTTTCAGTCCTCTTCTTCCATGGGGCCCAGCCGGAGACCGTTGGGAAACCTTCGCCGTTCTGGACAGGACAAGTCGCAACTTAGTGTCAAATGATGCACCCGTGAATTTCCAATCGCCCACAATTGCCGCTGTAGTGCTGAATTATGTCCGAATGCGTCTACTCCTCCACGCTGGTCGACCATGGTTCGGAGAGCATCGACGTGTAATTGTTCTTCGTTAGCCTGGCCAAAATCCGAGGTGTAGGTTACAAGCAGGAGCACGGCTTGAATGTTGGCATCGGAACTGGCGTGACCGGATACTTGGAGTTGATTCCAGAGAATATTGGTTCCTCGCCCCAGATTCGACTGTGCATCGACATGATCCTGGGCCGTTTCAGGGCTCCCGTGTAATCTCCATCGGAGCGCATAGGAGTAGGCAAGCAGCAGACATCGGGACGCCTCATGTTCGCGCATAAACCTAATAGCTGCGTCAAAGGGCTCTCTAGATTCTGCATGTGCGCACAATGTTGTGGAAACTGTAGAGCAAATGTGAGGACTGGTCGACTTCAATTCCCGAAATGTTACTTACGAAATTGCAATATTGCGTCTTCGGCAGCTATGGGCGGCGATGTTGATGGGGTCGCCACTGGCAGTGATTCGGAGGCCGGAATCGAAACTGATCGGCTTGCTTGACTTGCCGGTCCCTCAGATCTCTCAGGCTCTTGCTCCTGGGCACTAGAACGTCGAGTCTGATCAGGCGCCGGTGACATGGAGACAGAACTCGCACTGCTCGCAGAGGAAGTGGTCATTTCCATCTCTGACCTGGGACGTCTGCCCCATTCCAGATAGCGCGTCTGGCTAGACCGTCGCAGCAGTCTTGATCGAGCATCTCGACGTTGTGCTGCTGAGTGATATGCCGTGTGTCGCTGGATGGCACTCCTCACGTTTGGGTCCTGGCTGTCGACAAATTCAATCATATTTGGACGACGTGTTGCCCCCGAGTCTCTTCTCCGGCTCCTCTGTGGATTGTTTCCCTGAGGAGGGTCACCACCTGATGACATGTATGAAGGGTATGGTCTAGAGTATAAAATTTATCGATTGAATTAAACATATACGGTGTAAACAAAGAACGTCGTTGACGGGGTTGAATGCTTACTCTCAGATGGTGTGACACCAACGTTGATATATTTTATTGGAAAGACAGGCCAATCATGAGACGTCTCTCGCAATACCTTTCGCAACAGCGTCATGAGTGAATGCCGCCTCGCATGGAGGCTGAGAGCATGTAGGCTGAACCAGCGCCTCGAGCGGGACCCAAAAAAGGAAAACGGCCAACGAAAGGAGTGGCAGGGATTCACATGTGGACGGAGGTTATTGGGGAAATGAGCGGGAAAGCGAAGTTCGGAGAGCCGTGCCATCGATATAAGCATTCCAGAACCAGCAAGAAGCAACCAGAGTTGTTCCGGTGCCTTGGGACAAAGCTTCTATGGCACCGGACCAAGAGGGGGGGCTAGACAGAGCCGATAAGGTGATGTGACATGTGGCCGCACATTCCTCTGGGTAATCGCGCATGTGTGTATATGCATTCCGTAAGCTGCCACCCCGGGAGATAGACGAAGCCTTCACTCTAGACTGTTTATCCTTTTCCATTGACGGTGAGTGGCGGGAGATGCGAGCGAGGCTCGGAAGCAGATGGGATTGGATGAAGACAACTGCGCGGTCGAGATTGAAATGAAGAATTACAATGAGTGATTTGGAAGGAATATTCACTGGCACTGGGGGATAAAGGAACATCCGGAGAATACGGGCCGGAGGGAGAGAAACACTGGAGATGGGGATGAGCCTCGTTGATGATGAACGACCCTACGGCAATGGTAAGGCAGGTGTAGAGATGATGCGAGAAGGACAGCCACGGTTTTACACGCTTGGCGGCACCGTAACAATGTCGGAGTCAGCTGATTTTGCCACCGTCCCCATCGAGAAATTTCATTCCCTCAGGTCTACAGCCTGGTCGCGAGATGCTTGCGATCATCTTGCCCCTATGCTCCCGTTACGACTCTTTCCCTGCAACGCCTTCAGGTCTACTCAGGATTTTTATAAGGCCAGAGGACCCAGGACTCCTTGTTCTCTGCCACTAACGGCTTTACGGGCAGTTCCCAATCACAGAGTTTTCCTTCTCCTACGAGTTTCTATACTTAGTAGACATCGGAATATGGCCATCGCAAGTTACTCACTTTCTCATAAATGCAGTCTGCCAGTCATATTGACAGCAGCAACCCGGACCATCAGGATGGGCCAGGCTGAACCATCCAACAGAGGACAGCCAGCAGTGTCTCTAAGCAGTCTACTACGGCAGGAAGGAAAAATTCTCCAGCTTGTCAAAAACTGAGCAGAGACCGAATGCGGCGACGCATCTGACCATCACTTTGACAAATCTGTTGACCATACCTCGGGATTTTATAATATGGTGACTTGTCGCATGGCCGTCAAATTTTATAAGGATCATGTGACCCCTTCTCTTTTGGCGATAGGACATTAAGCAACAAGGCTGCCCTGGCATTCTACGCAACCTGAATTCGATCTGCATGTTCACGCACTTATGTTCGACAATGAAAAGATTTGTCAATGGGCAAAAACAATCAGCAGTCAGGATTCCCAAATGGTCACCCACTTTAGTACTAACTGACCGGCGTAAGGCTTAAGTACCACTGAGCGAACGGGGAGTGCTGCTTTCCTTACCCTATGGCCGATTGCGAGAGAAGAAGTTGCGATGTTATTAATATAGTTTCATCAGTCCGCTGATTATGGATTCTTGACCATTAAGAAATCCGTGCAACATACCCCCTGCACCACTACGTATCCTTCGCAACTCTCGAGGCACGATTACGCCCCTTCGTCGCGCTCTTAGGTAGAATCATCGACTTCTGCCCCATCTGCTAAAGACCGGCATGTCTAGAACCTATCCCTTGGACCAGAGCAGCCAATGCCCAACTTCAAGGTCCGTTGAGGAAGCACCAATCCAATTCCATCCTTGACGATCCACCACCCGCCGCTCTTTGATTGCTGACCGAACACAAAAGTAGCAGAATCAAACACTTTTTGCTCTGCACCTTTGCGAAGAATCTGTGGTGCCTCATTGCCCGTCTTCCAGGGCAGAGGCGCATCAGCGTGGCATGGATAAAACTCTCCAATGCCATCATATCATTGATCCCTGCTCGGGGCGACATGTGCATGGAACTCGGCCCGCATTGAGGCGCCCTCAGGCACTCTCAGGATTCAACCTTCATTCCCAGCAATGGTCACGCTGGGACCGGATATCCTTGTTCTCTTAAGCTGTTGGATTTTGACGTGTGGCATTATCGGCCATTTTGAGCCATGTCAGCACGATCTCAGTCGATCCATCCTGGGACGGGAAACAAACCCCTTCTGTAGGATCATCCTGCTGGTGGCACGATAACATCCAAATTCCCTCGCGATGGCAGTGTGTGTCAGAGCAATAACATAGTGCCGAGGGTATGGCAGAGGAGGCAAATTGGCACCACAGATTCTTCGTAAAGGCGCAGAGGATAAAAGTGTTTGATTCTGCTACTTTTGTCGTTCGGTCTGCAACCCAAGGCCAGTCTTGCTGGAGTTTCCAGTCGGATTGGTATGCATTGCTGTCCCTTTAACTCGGATAGGAACTTGAAAGGACATCTCTACCCTCTGGCCAGCATGGACATGAACATTGCTATCGCTGGCTACCAAACACAGGATTTGTACTCACCCAAGGGGCATTCGAGACCAAACCTCCAGGCTTTCGTTTGGACGTTTGCTGTTGGTTAGCACAACCTCTGGCTGATTAACGGCATGCAATCCGGAAGAGACGTATATCCAGCAAAGAACCGAGCCAGTAGCAGGAGACAACGGGTGCTGGCCACAATGAAAATAACAGGCGGATAAGCCGGTATTTGAATTACCTTGGGCCAATTGCCAGGTTGGTTTGATAATGATGATGTCGTTTGACCAGGAGGTGCAGTGAACGGTGGCTTTAGATCACCTTTTCAAGTGTATACAGCTTCTTTTCCATCTTTCTCTGCATAGCTCGATCCTTGCTGGCAGAGAGCTGAAGTCGCTTCTGGAGCCACTGCATGGTTCTCTTCGCCTCTTGGTGGCTTTTACGGCCTCATTCCTTGGTCAGTTATGTCTCAACGACCTCCTGGCTGGTGGTACAGTCCATGTCTAAATTTGAATTGAGGCAGCTCAAACGTGGTCCTTTTTCAGAGCACAACTCTAATGTGGCAGTGACAGCCTTACGAACAGGCTGCTGCCAGTGTATCTGTGCAGAAGAGCTCCACAACAGTTTCGGAAGATAGGCCATGCTAATAAACATATCAAGGGGAATGCGATCGAAATGGGCCATTCTGATCTTCAGCTCGCCAGTACCTTCAGGGCAACCTTCAAACATTCGCAGGGTTCAGCGGCAGGCACATTTGATTTTCTGGGCAGGGAATCCTCTCGGTCACCTCTGAAGTTGGACGAATGGCGGCTAAGCCAGATCTACGCCACAATCAACCCATCCCATGACGGCGGTAGATCACCCCTGGAAAGCTTCTTAGCGATCCTTAATAGAATTGAGATCCTCGTATTTTCGCTCACCGTTGTTGGTACTAACCAGTCGCCAGTTTCACCCTTCAAAGAAATGTTTGACGGTCTTGAACAGGGCAAAGGATGCACCTCCTGCATCTCAGACTGCATTTCAGGGTCCCTCAATGCCATATTGAAAGTGACCAAGCTGTTGTCCATGCATCATTCCGGTTTTCAGACAGATCGTCATTTGCACCTATAGAAATCTCATCAGCTCTTCTAAGGACCAAAGGGGTGTTGCCGTGACCTTATATCAGAGAAAAGCTTCTCATAGACTGAAGATGGTGCGGAGTTCTCATGAGATCTAGTCGCCAATTCTCAAGCAATACAAAAGAAATCATTCTTCTTGAGTCGGAATTTCTCTGCCTCGCATCTCAAGCTAGTCGACCTGTTAATCGTGCTGAGTTTGTCCGTCGTTGAGCACAAGTCTCGAAAGTCATGAAATTTCTCAAGCCACGGAAACGTCGAGAGTCACCAACTCACGATGAACCAACTGTACTAAACGAGCCCGTATACATTGACAGTCTTCAGCCAAAAGGAGACCAAGGCCTCCCAATGCCTTATATCATGGACATGAACGGCCGTCTCCTCGACCTAGACAGCTTACTGAGAATGCGCCATGTCGTCCGAGAAGAACAACAAGGATCTGACTCGATCTTCTACGTGCCCGTCGCAGGAAGAACCTAACCCAGGCCAGACACGGCAAGAGACAATCAATGACATACTAGCTAAAATATGCCGGGTAGGCTTTCGAGGAGAAAACTTCATCTTACACATGCTTGTGCGCGATGAGGACATAGAAGCTTACAGACAATTGTGAAGGTACAGCGGAAACGAAATGGAGAGAAGACCTGGGAGACAGTCACAACGCGACGATTCGAAGCATATTGCGCCCTGGCCGAAAATATTCTGAGCTCGACAACACCGTGGACGCGAATCGGCTTCTCACCCTCCCTAGCGCGACGTTCGGTCGGGCTCAGGGCAGCGGAGAGAGCATAAATAGAGACACCTACCTTGCCGGCATCTGGCGTAGTATCCTCCTGCAATCTCTGCACTAGACGGCGCTCCCACACATACGCCAACACATAACTCGGCGCCCATTCGTGTACAGCGGCCCTTTATGGTCGTGGGTTTTACCCGAAGGACTAATCCGCCACATCGAGACAGATTTCTACAAGACGAAACTAGGCTCCAAGCTCGTCGCGAAGGTCGTTCGATGTCTCCTGCACGCCGAAGGAGGAAAGTGATGATCCGCGCGACCGCATGAAAGACGAGTACATCCGCCTTTCGGGTCTGATGCTCGATATACAGGTCAGTGAACTCGGGTTCAGGAATGGTGACATCCCGGCACAGGGGCTGCAAAGATAATGGCGACCTGGAGAAACTTGCCGGTTCGGAATGAGGATGGAGGAAGCGGGTAAGAGCCACTATGTATATGACACTTAACAAGGTGAGACTAGTGAACCATGTTATTGGATGTACCGTTGTGTCTGTGCGGCAAAGGACCCTGGCGGAGGTCCAGGTTGGTGATATGTTGAGGTGTCTGGTGTTCGGTACTGGTGCTGAGGGGAAAAAAAGAAACAGCCACAGCATCAGGCAGATGGCCAGAGTCAGATACCTCTTCATTCTTTCCAGCAAGACGCAGTCTACACGAGAGTCGGGATATTTCGACCAAAGAAAAGTGGGTAGTAGAAGTTCAATGTCAGTCACAGGAGTATCATGATCGTCTGATGGACTTGAATGGGAATCAGTGGCAGAATAGGAGACGACAAGTCTAATGTCGAGCGGAAAATAGCTTGAAGAATACCATAAACATTACCCTATGCTAGACCCTCAGCTTCAGCCAGAACCCTCACGACGGTCGAATTAAAATCTATTAACACAACGCAAGCAAAACTCACAGCTCCCAGCTCCTTGATCATTCCTATCTTGCCTTTTTTCCTTTTCCAGCCGTGCCTTTTCCCGTGTTTCTACCAACCTTATGTGTAGATGTTGAGGTCGATGCAGTAACACTCCTTGTTTGAATTGTGTATTCACCATCTGGTCTCTCGTTGACGTCAACCTGTACACCTTCATCGTAATCACTATCCTCCTCGTCATCGTCTTCTTCTTCTTCTTCTTCTTCTCCTTCTTCAGAATCAGGCGGTGCCAAGTATCTCATGACCTCAGGCTGCTCATCTGGTAGGAAGGTCTCATCTTGCGGACGACGATATTGAGCAACTTGATGCTGAAGGGCCGCTACTGGTCCAGATGCAACACGTCGTGGCGGAGAAGCAAATCTTGGGTCGGACGGGTCGAAACGTGGCGCTCTGCCTGTGCTCGTTTGATAGGGTAGTTGATCCAGAGGGACATTGACTAGACTCGACGTTGACCGTGCGCGTGGTTCCCAGTCAGGGTCGGATGGATCAGGGCGAGAGGTTCTAGCTGTGTTTGAGCCAGGCCTGGCAGAATATAGCACACCGGGATTTGACGAATAGCGATTGGTATAATATGGATGCTGATAAGGAGGGTATGGTTGCACCGGTTGCTGTCGCAGGGGCGGATTTGAATTGGCGCGCGAGCCTTGTCGCGATGACTCCGCCTGACGAGGGCCAGACACATAATACCCTTGAGGATATGGTAATCGGCGTCCGTAATCTGGATCTACTGGAGATGGTGGATAAGGAGTAACAGAATCGTCACGGCTTTCGCGAACAGGGTCGTTAGAAGCGGAGCTTCTTCCGCGACTTCGACCATTGACTTCTTTGCCTTTTGGTGAATTGCTCGCTGATTTGTTGTTCTCACTTCTGACCGGTTTCCTTCGGACCTCGACTGCCTTGCGTCTAACAGGAGCTTCTTTCTTGCTCTTAGGAGCGGCATTTGGTGCTTCTGAGGGACGTGGAGGGTTCTGGTTCCGCTCTAATCGTTTCAAAGCATCAATCTCAGCTCGAGTCAGCTTAACGTTAGGCTTACCCAGAGCCCGGGCACGTGCAATCCTCTCCAGAGCTCTCTCCACAAGCATTTCCTCTTTCTCCCTGAACGTAAGTTGCATTTGCACGTCTGGTCTTCGAATGAGGCCCGAAGGGGCATCGAAGTCGTCTTCATCGTCTGAAGGTGTAAAATCATCGTCATAAACATCAGCCGAACGCCGCTGGCGGACGCCACCGCCTCCCAAATTCATGCCAGTCAATCGAAGTTCATCGGAAACAAATCTTCTCCGACCATAAGCTTGATTTAGCTCAACACCTTGTGAGACATCATCGTCAGTGTCAAGCTCCTCCACACGATCATCATACTCCCACGACCGTTGCGACTCCCAGGGTCTCTCGTTCTTCCTCCCCGGTCGTCCCCCTGGTGGTCTTCCCCAAGGGGGCATATCGTATGGAGTTCGCGGCCGACCACCTAGACCGCCTCCTCGGAAAAAGCATTCTCAATCGGACGATCCATCAGCGCAGCATGGCCCAGAATGGTAACGCCGGTCGCTCCGACGAGCCATAAGAATGTTGCAATAGGTGAAGAAATGAAAGCGACGGGAACGGCGATACATGCTAGACCAGTGTAGAGCTGGGAAGTGGTGGCACGGAAAGTACCGATTTCGAGATCACCTCCTCCTAATTTGCCAATGGCCCACATGCCGCCAATGACAAGAATGATGTCGAAGAGAAGCCATAGGTTGTTGAGCAAGCTGTAAATGCTGAGCATGACGAAGACGACCGCATAGTTGCTGGAGAAGTAACTGAGATTGTAGTTGACTCTGCTCTGGACTTCTCCAAAGTTATTGGGCTTTGAGAGTCTCTTCAGATCCAAGAACTCGGAAATGGGTCGAATGTTTGCAAATCGCGACGCGATGGACTGCGATCGTACATTGTTGAAGCGATCGGACAGGTTGAGACGGGACGTCAAGATGTCAAGAGGAATGCTGATTCGTGCCATGGTATTTCCGGTAGAGGAAGTCGTTGCGACTCAAGGGTTGAAAAGGATTACTGCCACCAGAAGTCATTAGCAATCAATAGTCAAGTAGTTACACAGCCAACTGAGGTTGGGACGTTGTAGAACCTACTAGTTTGTGGATTGCTGAAACACGTACGCGATAAAACGAAAGCGATTTGATTATTGAAGTGAGCGTGAAGAGAATGTAAGATGAACAATGGGATATCGGGGCTGTTGTAGGGAAACCAAGGGGGATGAAATGGTTAGAATTGGTCAGGCACCAATAATTTGAGTGGCGTCCCCTCCCTGTGGCAGTGGAGGAGTACGTAGTAGGGAGATTCGGGATGGGATCTGCTAGGAAGTGGATGCGAAGGAATTTGGGACGAATTTTTGGTTTTGAGTTTGCCTGCGATCCGTCAGCTTAGCGGTCCAACCTTCACCAGTCGCGAGCCCCAGCTGATTTCCCGCTTCTCTCGTTCCAAGCACGAGGCACTGAGAACGAGGTAGAGCGTAGCCACATCTAGATCAGACCCCGGATACAGGGGGATTTTCGTTGTCGCCTGAGCTTTCTCGTACGTACCTCAATTCAACAGCGTGGTCCGGTCTCAAGAATCAGCACACCTCTCTTCGTGTCCCTGACCCGACTCCTGCAGGTTCAAGGTGCAGGGCCTGCCATTGATTCAATCCGGAATCTGGGATCACCTTCGACAGCCTGGAGGAGAACAAGAAGAAGAGAACAAAACAGCCCACCGCGGGGAGGACAGACGTTCCGATAAATACACTTTCAATTTTCTTCTGCGCTGGATTATGAGCTACTGCACGTCCCACTGCTGTCTCATTCACGAGCCTGTTAATTGGACCACGTTTTTTGGGCATCATCCACCGCGGTCTTCGAATTCTCGAATCCTCGATTCCCTTGCCTCACTCTCTACAGCTGACAAAATATAATTCGATTGTGTTGGCGACATTCGGTGCTTCTCGCGGGGGGAAGGAGGTGAAGATGAGGCCGCGAATCCTACACTTTCTCGTCCTTTGTGCTCTCTTCCTCTTGGTCGCCGCCTGGTCCAAAGAAGACTATGAAATATTCAAGTTGCGGGACGAAATTGAAGCTGCCGAGGGACCCGATGTGTCCTTTTACGATTTCCTAGGCGTCAAATCTTCCGCCACGGTGGAGGAAATCGGCAAAGCATTTCGGAAAAAGTCGCGTGCCCTACACCCAGACAAGGTCAAACATTCCTTTATAGCCTCACGTTCAACCCCTAAACCCAAGAAGTCTGGTGGAAAGAAGAAAGCTGGGGTTCATGTGTCGAAGGGCCCATCCGAGCGAGAAATTCAACGAGTTGTCAAGCAGGCAGGCGAAAGATACAGCCGATTGAGTGTGATAGCCAACATTTTGAAGGGACCACAAAGAGAACGATATGATTTCTTCTTACAACACGGTTTTCCAAAATGGAGGGGAACAGGATATTATTATTCGCGATTCAGACCAGGACTGGGTACAGTTTTGATTGGCCTATTTCTAGTCGGCGGCGGCGGAGCCCACTATTTCGCTCTGATCACTGGATACAAGCGACAGCGTGATTTCATGGAAAGATACGTCAAACATGCCAGAAAAAATGCTTGGGGTGATGAGTCTGGTATCAGAGGCATTCCCGGACTGGGTGGACCGATAGACGTCCCTCCTACGATCGAAGAACCGAATCCTATGGCAAACTTGAACCGACGCCAAAAGAGAGAGCTGGAACGGCAAAATAGAAAAGACAAGTCGGGGAAAAGCAAACCAGCAAAACCCGCTCCTGTACAAGCATCTTCCCCTACGGGTGACAAACGACGTGTGACTGCAGAAAATGGCAAGATTCTTATTGTCGACTCGATAGGGAACGTCTTCCTTGAAGAAGAGGATGAAGATGGAAATGTCCAAGAATTTCTTCTCGATCCGGATGAGATTCCCAAGCCCACGATTCGGGACACGGCGCTTGTCCGTCTCCCGCTATGGGTCTTTCACAAAGCCTTTGGCCGCTTTCTCAAAAACACTGAGCCGAGTTCCATTGATGACGACGCTGCTCAGGAAAGCGAGGAAGGGTCTGGAGCTATTCAGCCCACTGCCATTCCCGAAAAGGTGACGGTGCCGGACATGAGCTCGAGCCAGGACTCTGGATTTGAAATTGTCGATTCTACAGGCATAGAAAAAGAGATAGAGAAGGTGTCGGCTGCGGCAAGCGTCAAGAAGAGGAGTAAGAAAGGGAAAAAATGATGTGTACGAGATAGAACTGACGGCATTAGTCAGAAAGAGAAGCGGCCTGCATTACCAGACCTGTATGATTATGTCCCATCCAAAAATAGTCGAATAAAAGAATGGAACACACAGAGATATAATTTGAACCAACTTGCATTCCCGCATAAGCCGTGATTCGTCCGTCACTGAAAATATCATGCCCAACGTTGCACTGTCTTGTCGAAAATTGGACTATTTATTTTGTTTGGAAAGATGCTGGCGCCACAACACTTTTTCTTTTGACCCATTCATATCATCACAAAAACATTTTCGCAATCCCCATCAAAGATCCAAGACTCTCGCCGACACCACCTCCCATCCCAGGCAAGGCAGTACCACCAGCGAAGTCCCGAGCTCCGCCTCGTGCATAATATCTTTCACGCTGACGATTTCCGCCAATGAGATTCTCCAGGCTTCGAGGTAATCTGACTCCAAATTGTGCAAGGAGTTTGCTCAGTGCTCCACCTGTTATCAATGGCACGATGACCAGTAGGAAGACTTTGATTGGGTGTCGGCGCATGTATGAGTATACATCATGGAAGAATCGACGAATGCGGTTGATGAAGCCAGGTCGAGGACGAGCGCGGCCGTGGCCTCGTGAAGAGCCGCCGCTAAAGGAGAAGAATGAAGAGGCGCTCCGTGTATAGGCAGGGCGAGATGCGTAATAAGTTTTTCGATATGGGCTGCGGCTGCGGCTGCGGCTGCGGTCGCGGGAAGAGCGGATTCCGTCGTTCCAGAAGCCCATGCTGAGGATTGGATTATAGAGTGATTAGGTGAGAGATTCGGTTTGCTGATTCAATGATGATCGTACACACTGGCTGTTTGCACGATATTGCCAATCGTTGCGGACTCCCCAGGTGGAGGAATAAATTTATCCCAATGCTGTACAGTTCAGCAGCCGCAGCGCTCAACTTCGCAGCAACAGTTCTGACTAACTTTCAGATCGCATTGATGATCTGGAGATCAATGCAAGTATTGGAAGGAAATGGTTCGACCACAGACCGCAGACCGCACAATCAATTGGAGGTGGCTGGAGAAAGAAGAATCGCGGACTAGCAAAGTTGCGGGACCAGGCTGGGGAGTTGGTGCTCAATTGGTTGGCCCTCACAAACGCAGCTGAGTTTGACTGAGGCTCCAGCCCAAGCGCTCAGCTTCACCCGAGCCACTGTGGCTTGAACAATGTCCATCTTGCAACCATCCTCTCGACGTCATGGTTCGTCGCAGACAGACTACCATATATTCCTCGTTCAACCACCACTTCTGTTAGACACCAGCTAGTAGCCTGATGACGACAAGTATTATTTCTGACGCTCCCTTTTACACCTCTCCGAGCCATAGATCTTTACTCGGCGTCCCCTCAAACCAATCTCTTTCCTGACAAGATTCCCTCGTTTCAATCAACCCTCCGCTTTTGAGGGCCTTTTCAAGCCTGCAGCCTGACTACTCAGTGACATTTCGGGAGATGTCAGACCTACCAGACTACTGTGAGTATCCTCGCTTCAAGAAATGACCCGTCAATCTAACCTCAACCAGATGCAATACTCGAAGTCTCCACCACAGGCTCCCCCGAAGACATCAAGAAGGCATACAAAAGAGCGGCCCTAAAATGGCACCCAGATCGTGTTCCCGTCGACTCTCCAGAACGGTCAAAGCGAACAAACATGTTCCAGAGGGTTAATGACGCATACTACACCCTATGTGACCCGACGAGGCGCAAGGAATACGACGAAGCGCGTCGCTTCCACGGGACCACCGACTCCGGCACGTTCGACCACGATGAAGACGCAGATGAAGAGGTTCCCCGCCCTCCACCCTCGTGGGCCAACATGTTCGGCTTCGGCAGATCAACAACGGGGGGAGCACCAACCACGTTTGAAAACGAGCAATTCCGCACCGTGTTCGAGGAGATGATGAGCGGCGAGGACATGGCGGACGAAAACATGATGCCGACAAAGCGCTTCTGGAGCATTGTGGGTGGCATCTCTGGCGCTGCCATGGGCTTCATTGTCGGTGATGTCGTCGGCGCAGTGCCTGGCGCGATTGCTGGCGCCAAACTCGGCGCCATCAGAGACGCCAAAGGGAAGTCCGTCTATCAGGTCTTCCAGTCTTTGCCGCAAAATCAGAAGGCTCGGATTTTGAGTGAACTTGCTGCGAAGATCTTCAGTGGAGCTATCAGTTGAATTTCGACAAGGGTAATACGTAAGATTTTATTTGGCGGGAGACAGGAGAGGGATAAATCGAAAGATGAAAGCCAGGGTAGGGCGCGTTTAGCGCATGGTGTTCTTGGAATGCGGCAAGTTTTAATTTTGTGCAATGGATGTCCCGTATGAAAGGATTTGGTGCAAATGGTACTACCTAATACTCTCTCTGTGCCCAAGGAGAGCTCTCCTTGGTCAATGGGCAGTCGGATTATGTAAGTGGGCCCTCAAATGCTGCTGTCCTTCTTGTCCCTGAAGCGCTTCAGCAGGCACACCACTTGCCCATTATCCTCGTATTCATGATTTAATCGCTTACTGCACCGCCACACCCCCAGGCTTTAATATCTTCACCTCACCCAAATCCGAGATCGGCTTGACTTCGCACTCAACTACGTAATTGTAGTTGAAACTGATAGTCCGGTGCATAGGCGACGTATACCCGGAAGGAAATCGACGAGTTGTCGTAGTTTGGGATGTTTTTATCAGACTCAAAGTTGGCGTGAAAGCGGTTTGTACCGTGGCAGAAGAGGATTTCCATACCGTTGTCTGTTTTCCGTAATGGAGAGGTTTCTGAGAGTGTTCTTGAGAACATCGACTGTCCTGCTTCGTTATTGTAGTCATCACCCGGCGAGGAGCACCGGGCTGCAAAGAAGTCTCTGAATCTGTTTCTGATGCCATGCTTTATTCTCTAGAGGGATGCGTATATTCCTGATAATTGCTGGGAACGAACTGCGAGAGAAAAGCTCGACTCCTTCGACTTCCTCTGGTTGCGACTATATGCAGTTGTCGAACAAGGTCTCATTGAACGGCTGAATAGTAGCAAGTGCCCCTTTATTGGGAAAGGGGTTATCACCTCTATGCAGGATTTAGGGGTAGAAATAGGAGAAGAAAAGGGGTCAACCCAACGTGTATAAATACCAGCAACCTGGCAGGACCGGTTGTGAGGTAGACAGAGCATTCAATACATCCCAAGTTGTTCCCCAGTTCGACAGCAGTCGAGATGCCTAGATCTTCTGCTTCTGACGAAAGGGCAGCATTTTTGGGAAGACACGAAACGATGTCTTGAGGATAAGAGAGCCCATTCGGAGAAAGAGTCCAATTAACATGCGAACTGCTCCGGAACTCAGGCATCTGACAGCATCATCGCGAGCCGGCACGTGGAAGTTAGACCAGACGTCGGATAGGTGATGGTCGCTAGTGGCTCTCTGCCCCCGAAGTATCCCTGACGTGAGTTGGAGGGAGCCTGAAGGGGAAAGAGTACTTCCAGCAAAAGGATCCAGGTTGGTAATGCGGCATAGCAGAGCAGGATTCGCGATGGAGCACTGTCAGCCTCAGAGGTTGGGCAGCTCTGTGGATGGAATGAACCAGGCGACTGGTGTTGTTAAATAGGCTGTCTTCTTTGTGTTTGCCTGACCATCATGAGGAGGGAAAATGTCGAGTTGAGCTGGGTCCTTCAAATCAACCTCATCGTTTCTCAATTTCAAGTTGATGGCATGTGGTAGCGAATGGCTCCGGGGATGCCCAATTGGGGTATCGGACTCGGTTTGAGATTGCAGCACGTGGACTTTCGTTTCCTGTCCCTCCACATCGGATATTGACCCGGGCACTTGAGACTATTCGGTATGAGATGCACCGACTCCGTTCTCCATTCTCTTTTTGTGGAGATCCCCCAGGAAAGCGCACAAGTTTTGTTCCAGGTGTGGAGTTTCCAAGATGCCGGAAACATTGTCGGAGAATCACATCTCCTTTGATCTGGCCAAGGTACCCTTTTAGCACAAGAGGCTAGAGCTGGCGTTCCCGTATCTCTGCCTCCCGCCGACAGCCTTCATCACTCTCCCTCCGTCGGCTTTGATACCTCCATGACCATTGCATTGCAGACCATCCCATCCTTTGTTTCGAGAGCGTGAGGTCCGACTCAAGGCACCCCTATCCCAGGGAGCCTCGCTCAATCACCTGTGGACTTCGGGCCACCCAATCTCGAGGTCCGTCTCTGGGCCATTGCCACGCTTGTCGGCCCCTGACTCGCTGACCGGCTCGACCGCAGATTCCCAATATCCCTCGGCTCGCTCATCATCATTTGTTCCACCTTTGGCCAGGTCTGGGCCGTCAACTTCGGCATGTCTTGTGCTTTCAAGCAGTGATGTTATCGAGTAGGTCATGGAGTAGGCCACTCGTACCTACTCCTCATGTAAATGTATGGAGACTGAAAACAATTCCCTCGAGTCGCAGCATTGATATAACAGAGTCATTCTTGCAGAGATGCCTTGTCAGTCGTTTTTGAGATGACCGCCGATTTGCGGACGGAAACCAAGTTATTCTTTTGAAATTACGGAGCTAAGTGAGCATAATACCACCGTCGACTATCAGAGTCTGACCATTCACAAAGTTAGCATCGGGTCCTGCTAGAAATCCAGCAACAACCTTAGCCACATCTTCAGGAGTACCCAGTCTACCCATCAAGGAACGCTCTGCTCCTTCACGGCTTGCCTCTCCTTGGGGCTTTCCGTCAACCTCACACAGACCTTCATCAATCTTATCCCACATATCTGTTGCAATGACCCCTGGAGCGTATGCGTTGACGGCGATGTGGTACTTTGCCATCTCCATCGCAAATCCTTGCGTGAATCCGCGGACTGCCCATTTTGCCGTGCTATAATGGCTCGAAAGAGGAAAAGGTTTGAACGCAACTATGGACGAAGCGCCGATGATTCGGTATTTCCAAGGTGACGTTTCAGGAGCCCCATCAGTTTCTCCATTCACGGCTCTTTTCGACTGGGATATCATCTGTTTTGCTGCAAGTGTATAACAATTAAACAGCCCAAGGAAATTGACGTCGAAGACAAATTTGATATCGTCAGGTGTCAAGTCAAGAACGTCCTTGATCTGACAGACACCAGCATTAGCGACCATTAACGTCAACTCGCAGTCGAGCTCCTTCACAGTCCGGTCGATCATGCTTTGAACCTGGTCCTGTTGAGTCACGTTGGCGATGACCGCGATGACCGCTTCATTCCCATGTTGCTGTCGAAGTTCTAACACGAGAGCATGGGCTCTAGCGGCATTGCATTCAATGTCGTTGACACAGACTTTGTAGCCGGCCACCGCAAGACGCCGGACGATAGCCTTGCCTCTGCTCCGATGATTAGTCCCGTACATATCATACATGAAAGCTCACCGTATCGTCTAAGAGTAAAATGTTGGACGATCTCACGGAGGTACTCACATTCCTTGGGCCGACCCTGTCACGATTGCAGCACCCTTGGTCATCATTGCACGTGGGTGTGAGTTTGTCGTCGCAGTCTCTCGAGCGAATTCACATTGATTCGTATTACTTTCCAGTCTCGTGTTCTGCTGATGCGTCCCATGACCTGTTTGTAGCAGAGCTCATCTTGAATTATTTATCCCATGTTCTAGAGACCTATCTCAAAAACCTCGTCATTGCTTGAATAATACCAATACACATGGTGCTTTACCCCAGATGTTGTTCTCCGGGTTGTGGAGGTACCCCGGCACATTGGAGAAGCCATCATTCACCGCGACGGCAGCCCGTCCGTTAAAACACCAGGATATCCGTTTGAGAGCCGGAACTGCTTGGGAGCGGATCATGTCAACGGCCGAACCTATGATTAGGCAACTGAATGCTTACTTGCCTATGACAGTTAGGATATCTACCCAATGGGATGAGCAAGTTAAAGTAATACCGTTTCTGTAACGAGGTGTCAAAATAATACTGTCTGACGCCATTTGAACCTCTGGACCGCAATCGCCGCGATTTCCGTCTAAAATCCGTGTCAAAAGTTTGATTTGCACGTCAGTGTAAGCCACGCACACCGTGCTCGGTGGTACGAACCACCAAGAGATCTTTCGCACAATCAAGGTACGAAGATAATCGTCTTCAGGATCCCGAATAAGGCTCAGCCACCGAGGCCAAGATCACTTAAAGACGGGGGCTACTACACGGCGATAGCAAGGACGGAATGTGCTGTCAGTGCACGGAGTACTCATTATGGCGATTACAACACTTAATCCGGATGTGTTGTTACTCGGAAAATTCCGACGTCCTTGTGCAGAATTATCCGTTTTGAGAAAGGGAAGGTCGACTCTGGTAGGTTGGACACCACCCTGTTCTCCTAATGCACACCTATGAATGGAAGTGTTTATATCTCATGCTACACCCCGCTGACCTACTTGGCATACCCACCCTTGTGACGTTACGGAGATAAAGCAGCAACGACGTGGCGCCTATTTAGCCTCAGGCAGGAAGGGCTGCTCCCGCTGCTTCAGGCGGAACTTATTAATAGAGACCCGGAACATGGGTTTCGCCGCGGCACAGGATACTATCCTCTGTGACGAGACCTGTGTTCAAATAAAACCCCTACGAGAGAAGAGAAACGGAGCAAGTGATCATTCCAACACGGTGAACAAAGGCCTGTAGAATCTGTTGAAATCACCATGGCGGCAACAAGTTCTATCCTCCTCAAGGGAGGCACGGTCCTCCAACATCAAGCCGACGACAAAGTTGCTGCCCTGAAAGACACCGACATCCTCATCCAGGGCAACAAAATCGCCTCCATCGGCGCCTCGCTGGCGACCCCGCCGAACGCCCAAATCATCGACTGCACCGGCAAACTCGTCTCACCGGGCATGATCGACACGCACAACCACCTCTGGCTCACTCAACTGAAAGCCCGACACGCCGAGCAGACCCTGTTCGAGTACATGTACACCGGCAATCTGCAGTCGTTCAACTTTGACGCCGACGACATTTTCTGGGGCCAGCTGGGGGGGTGTCTCGAGGCCATCGACGCCGGCACCACGACGGTGGTCGACCACGCGCATTTGACGTACTCAACGGAGCATGTGAACAAGGCGCTCGGCGCGACCATCGCGTCCGGGCTGCGGTGTTTCTTCTGCTACGTGCCCATCATGCGCTTGAAACAGTGGGAACCTTTGACTCCTGATATGGACTTCCTTCCGGGGTGGCTGTTGAGTCAGCTTGAGAGGTTGGCGAAGACACAGCCATTCGGGAAGGGCAGAGTGATGCTCGGGTTCGGGTATGATCTGTGGGCGTTGCCCAAGGACAAGGTCGTGGAGTTGTGGGGGAAGGTCAGAGATTGGGGTGTCAAGTTACTGACGACGCATTATTGCAGGAATCGCATCTTTGGTGAGTGTGATCTCTCTATATGTCTCTGGTGAGATGCCCGGCAAGGAACTGGGAGATGGCTGACAGAACGACGTAGGCTTACGTTCAGTACCCGGTTTACTCAAGGAATATGGCCTTCTCAAGCCTGATGTAATAGTTGCGCACGCGACACAGGCTTCTTTAGACGATGGGAAAATGATGACGGAAGCCGGCGTCTATGTCGCCGTAACACCGGAGTCAGAAGGTCAAATGGCTCTAGGACGGCCCTTGACGTTCCGGGATGATGTACAGACTTCCTTGGGTGTTGATTGTAAGCCCTCGTTCCGCCCTTTTCTTACACATGAAGATAGAGGAGAGCTAATATTCCCCCAAAAAAAGGTCACTTCATCGGCCCCTCCGACCTCCCTTCACAGATGCGTCTGGCCCTTCAACTCGAGCGCCAAACGCACAACCAAGCCATCCTCGACGCCGACAAATACCCTCTCACCAACGTCAGCAGCTCTACCTTTGTTTACAATCTCGGCACCATCGTCGGCGCCCGCGCAGTCAAGATGGAAGACCAAATCGGCAGTACTGCAGTTGGCAAATTGGCGGACCTGGTCATCTACGACGCGACGAGTCCGACCATGGTGTGTGCGGCACAGGCGGATCCTGTCACGGCGATTGTGAGGCATTCGACCATTCGGGATGTCGAGACTGTGATTGTCGACGGCGTGGTGAGGAAGCTAGGTGGAAAATTAGTGCCCATCAGTATGAGGATGGAGACTGGTGAGGGTGACTTTGCTCCGCCGGCGGGCGTTTCTTCGTCGGAGCCCGTTGACTGGGCGTATGTTGCGAAAGCCATCATGGAAAGCAGAGAGAAAGTCGTGGCAAAGATCGATGCGTTGAATATGGAGGCTGGTGCCCAGGGTGTGATGAAAGCGTTTGCCATTGATGAAAATAAATTGGTCAGATAGAATGGTAGCATAACCCAACATTTTCTCTTGAGAACTTTTGCACGAGTTATGTTTATCCAGCTACTGAAACCCATCAAATTCATTCCGAGGCCCCTAGGATTATTGGTGCCTGGAGCGCCTGCGGATCTTACAATATTCCAAGTAAATGGTCTTGGAGACTACCTTGCCTTCTCCGGATCTGTTGTTTGGCGTACCAATTGTTCTGCATCTATCTGCGTCCCGAATATCCTCGGTGGCTGATCGCAAAGGGAAAGACGGACAAAGCTCAGGCAATTTTCACAAAGTGTAAGCTCAACCCTCCTACCAGAGGATATGGCCGTCCAGGTCTAACAGCATTCAGATCACGCAGCAGGCAACCCAGATGATGAGCTTGTTGCGTAAGAGATGAACGAATCCATGAGCCCATCAACTAGGAAATGACAATGAAAACGGTCTTGAAGGAGGTTCTTAATGTATCTTTGTCATTCCCGCTGAAGACGAACGCTGAGCCGCTTTCTAGGTCGAGTCACATGTATCATTTTCTTTCGTCCGCGGCCGGCTGGCGTAGGCAAAGAGACAAGATCATTTGAGGATCCTCCAGCTTGAAAGATGTTTACTTGTGCAGGCCGGAACTCGGAAGGCTTTACACGACTTTCATATAAGTCTCCGGCCAGACGGCCTCCTGACAATGCGCCATCTGGCCCATACTAATGTTGTCTTACTCGGATTCTCGCTCGTCTTCACCTTGATGGTTCACGACCATATCATGTACCATGGCAATTTGACGGTTGCCAAGCGGTATTTGCCGATGCTCGACGCTATACTCAACTATTTCGACCTCCAACTCGACCCAGCTGGGCTGATCAGTCAGTTCGATTGTAACTACTGGTCGATGCCTTGTCACCCGAATATTCTGCCAAGGTTGCGGTTTATGCGGGTCGGGAGCGAATAGTAGGAACGACAAGCCCCGGCCCTTGGAATCGTCAACAAGCACTGTTGTGATGGACGGTGGTATTATGATGGCCCGATTAGCGACAAGTCAACCATTCCGGAAGGTTGGGTCAGCCAGCATCGTCAGATATATGCTATCCTCGCCAGAGCCATCCAAAGGGGACCCTAAGTGTCCGACCTGCTTCAGCGGACACTACAGGATAAATCGCTACAGCAGATGTCGTTGTTTCAAGCTTTTTACTTGTTCAAAACCTTCCAATAGAGTGGGAACTACCATCTCACTGTGACACAGTAGCGACTTTGGAAGGAGATGGTTGGACAAAATCTTGATACCTGGGCCAAAGCGTTGAACGATACCCAGGAACGATTGCCACGCCTGGTCCACGGGTAAGTCCTGTCTGTTCCTCTCGTCCTTCCTTTCTCTGCAGGGCGTCTGTGCAAGAATACCGGTGGAAGGGAAAAAACATGACAGTTTGCAAAAGCCTCACCAGGGCTTGTATAGGGCCAGGAAACTCGGCATGGGGAGATGTGAGCTCTGGGACTATCCCATCGAGACCCGGCACCATATTATGCCGGTTAGTCAACCAGCCCTCTTCGAGATACTGTAGGGGTGAAGTCTGCAGTTACGGCGCACGAGGCTGAGGCTAAGGCCGGGTGAAACCGGGAAGAGTGATCCGGGGCGAAAATGACGACCTAACATTTCCTCAGACCCTAATGAGTATATGCCTTTTTGATGCCATGAACCGGGTCGGTGGAACAAGACCAGGCGTCGAACTGCCATTAAGGGACTTCAAGAATATTAGGTAGTCCGCCTTGCATTTGACGGTCTTCGACCAATGACGCGTGATTCGAAGTTACAATATTCCACGGAAGCACTACTAGCAACGAAAGGCCTACTAGAGCACATGAAGACGTTCCCTTAAGCTGTAAAATTGCACAGATGGTATATTTGAAGAGTCATAGAATGATGTAACTTGGTAATGTCATACATATCATGCGGCCATACCGTGGTGCGTGATGTCCAGCCTCGAGCGCAGACATAGTCTTCCCCCCCCCACACTATTCTCGATTCCCAATCCCATATTCGCATTTGAAGTCTCAATATATGTGTTCGAAAAGCCACCCGTGTCCCGAGTCGGGCCAACGCCAAAATGTTGTATGCATTTAGAAAAGTATTTTTACATCCGAAGCTCCGCGGACGATGATCATTTCGTCGTTCACATTTCGTTACTTTAGGGTAAAATTAATAAATCAAGCGTGGAAGAGATTGCTCATTTAAATCCTAAATCGTCCAATGCCCCACTTCTTCTGGCGGCCCAAATCGTTGTGCTGGGCGGGGTGTCTGGCTCCTGCGCCATTGGTCATGGCCGTGCCTCGATATCCACTAGCCTCAAGATCGTCTGATGGGGTCATATTCCGAGTGGTGATCGCGGTGCTCGCCATAAGCGGTGGTTGTTGTGATCCATATACAGCGTTCCGATCCTTTTCGAGGCGGGCCTGTTCGATGCCTTGAGGTAGGTGATGTGGCGTCCTGGCGCTAGGAAGGAGATCGAGGAGGAAAGATAGGATATAGCCGGTGAAGACGAGAGCGATGATCCATTCGAAGACCGCGGCGACATTTTGATGATCATTCCAAGACGTTGCGGCGAAGACGACGGCTAAAGCGACTTCGATGAGGATGAAACTCAGTTTGACCCAGAAGGAAATACGGAGGATTGGGTGGTTGCGGTAGTGAGCTCCCAGTCTCTGATATTCAGCGCACAGAAAAACGGCAGACAGAACAAATCCTGCTATGAAAAGGAGGAGACATCCGTCATGGACCTTTTCATGGCGGTAGGTGTCGAAAATACTGAGGAGGATCAAGCCGGCAGAGCCCGCAATGGCAAAGAAGATGGCCAGAGCGGAGAGAACTTCCTGGGCCATGGAGGTATTGGGTGCAAGTCGACCAGTGTGGCGTAAGTAACGTTCGGCTATGAAGCCCAAGTCAAGGAAGACAGTGGTGATGACACTGCCGGTGATGAAGAGAGGCTTGAGGCCGAAAGCGGCGGTGTCACTGATGTAGGCAATTGTTTGTCCTTTGTCCATGGATGGCAAGTGAGGATGGCCATCAGCTTCCCAAACACAGAACAAAGCAAGGAGCATGCCGAGCCACCTGGAGAATGCCAGTTGGACTGAATCCCTCGGATGAACGAAAACGGCAAACTTACATGCATGCTGAGATCAACGGAAAGAACCAGCTACCTAAAAACCATGTCTTGGAAGGCCGTCTTTCGACTGATGAGATTGTGCGAAGTAAAGGATGGCCCGCCATGGCGGACGCACTGGAGATGGCACTTAGAGGCCTAGAGTAGGTGAGGGAGGAATAGACTCCTGTACGGAAGTATACGGGGGGAACATGCAGAAATCAGAAGTTAAAAGCACTCGAGAGCGGAAGGGAAGGGGAGGAGATACTATGATGTTGGTAAATGTCAGTCACGGGATTGGGTTCGTCACCCGGCAGAGTGAGTTTTCATTTGCAAGCAGCTGGCGTGGCAAACTGCCACAGTACACGCGTAGCCGCGACGGAAGAAAATATCAGGTCCGGAAGATGCCAGGCTCCGATATTGGCACTGGCATTGACATCAACCCGATCTTTGAGGGTCAGAAACAAAGCCTCAACTCGCAAGCCGAGAAGAAAATCCGACGTCATGGGGTTGCGAGGTTTGGACAAGGAATCGAATAGTACATACAGAGTTTGGCGCCGGCAGCAAGCTGTTGGGTTTGATGAGGTTGTTTTGCCCAATCAGGGCCGCCCATCGGAGTTTCCGGATCAACCGGAGCGCCAAGAATGACAACATGCCCGTCGCCATTCTTCCGCCCAAGGCACTGCTACCTGGCATCACACCTTTTTTGCCTCATTTTACTCAGCAAGCAATACTGGCATGGGCTTCCATTCTCTGAAAATCCAAGAGTCCAATCAAACACGAGTCCTTGCCGACCGTCATTGATTTACCGAACCTCAATTCCCTGCATTACCGCCGATCCTCTTCTTAACTCCTTCTGACCTGCACATAGATTCGTAACAAACCATCCTACGCTTAGTAACCCATCCGTCACGCCTACATTTTCTGAATAAGGTCAAGGCCTAGCAGGTATCACTACTCCTTTGAGAAGGTTAAAAGATTTCTTGTACTCCTTGGCAGCAACGGCCTTTTCTGCCTCTTATTGACCGCTTAAGACACAACACTGCCCTGAGTTACAGTGCAGCTGCAGCCCATGGCCGCGCCGCTATTCGCGTCAGAGATACTGTACATTCCCCGATATGCCACAAACTCAATACACTTGGCAGTCAACATCCTATCATGACTCCTCTGCTCCTTGCTGACAAAGATTAAAGGACTGCACCCATTGACAGGATGAGCAATGGCCCGAATCCGGGGTGAGGTGGCTTGTCCGGTATCGCTGGTCGTGCCGGACAGCTCCTTAGAAGCCTGCTCCGTATTTCCTCTTTCGAAAGAACTGTGATGAGGCGATTCGCTAATCGATTCATTGTCCAGCTAAATTGCCGCGAATTCTGGTAAGCGCCTTTCTCCTGCCACGAATTTATCCGAGCTTGACAGTTTCAGTAAGTCAAACCCACTTGAGGAGTCCTGTAGATTTTGACCCACAGTGATAGCCGCATTCAAGGTGGAATCGTCAGCATTCGTTGCCGCGAAAGCGTTTTCCGTGCTCGTCGAAAATCTGATCACGTGGAATTCAATATATCTCGCGCAAAAGCTCAACGTCGCCAAATCTCAAAGCTATCCGGAATGGCTCTCTAGTTAGGGCGTTTGACTTAAATTCGGGGACCGAGTGTGACTCGGAAATAATCAAGACAAAAAATTTTCTGGCTATACTTGGAGCGTTATCGGTGGCAGGGGTGTTGGCCATCTTTCACCGTAAGTACGGGCCGAACACCTTGGATTCAGATCACCCTCGTTCTGAATGGGGAGGTTGATTTATATACGGAAGACATCCCAAACCATCGTTGGCAACAAGCAAACATGAAGCGGTAGAAGCCTCCATTGATTGATTGTTTTCGTGATCGGCGATGCTCCGCTGATTGCGGTCACTGATCGCTGCGGAGAATAGACCGCACACGTTCACACTGATTGCCATCGACACCGATCGCATCCATATAACTGTTCACACCGCCATATCTGGAGTCAAGATGTTGAAACATTTTCTCGCAAAAGTCGACCGGGCATCCCGCAAATGACTCATCCAGGCCAATACTGGCTATCTCTTCCATTCTGGCTGCTTTCTCTGCCTCTAGTTCGGGCTCGGATTTGACATAATCCCGACTTATGGCATCAATGTCAATATTGCACAGCAGAAGGACCAAGAGGACGACCATGCCGGTGCGATCTTTGCCTTGGGTGCAATTGACCATTATCGGCCAAGCTGTCGGGTCGGCAAGAATGTCAAAGACTTCCTTGATCTCAGGACCGCTATGATCGAGCGTGTCTATTCCAAGACCAGTGAGTCCTCGCGGCAACATCAGCTCCTTTCCTAGCACAGATATACCCTCTGTTCGATATCCTAGAGCCATGAGAAAGACAAGTTTAGCGAGGCTGGTATATTTCAACTGCCAAATCAGATGGCGCTCAAACCCTTGGCCATTGAGATTAACGTTTGCGTAACGAATGCCGGGGATTTGAACGGGTCCAGTGATGGCGTCGTTGGACGAAGGGACCGCAGCAGATTGGGCAGTAAGAATTGCATCAGATCTTTTTTGGGCTGCATTGATATGTTCCGTCCTGGAGCGAAGATCAATGATGGTTTTGATTCTGTATCTGTTCACGAGCTGGTCACGGTCGGCAAGACTGGCTTCATCTGGTCGGGCACTCCTGAACAGGAGCCCCATTTTGAGGACGGGTGCTTCCACAAGGGAATTGATGTGCGCTCCCACATCGCGGAAGTTGAGAAGATTGTCAAAATTATAGTTATCAGGAGATTTTGTGTCTACATTTGCCATAGTGGACCATAGACAGGTGGTGACAAATTCATTAGCCAACTACCGCACCGTTCGAATTGTCCAAAAGTTTGTGATAAGGTGTCAGCCACCCCCTGCTCTTCGATCCTTGGTCTTTGCGCCCCCATGCAACTGTGGGGTGACGCGAGCATTCCTTGCTTGCTCCCTGCGGTTCGCTCTCTGGGTATTGTACCTTTCCAGATGGGAAGGCGTTCGAGAGATAACGGGTAGCGGTTAAGCGAGCATCGGTTCTAGAAGAGGATATAGGATCAGCATTGCGGCATGCTGCTACTCTGGTCTTCGGTTTCTGCGCCTTTACGTCCCGCCAGATCTTCACACCATCTCGATTCTTGGTCTGTGTTTTGGATCAGATCCGGGGCTTCTGGAGCCAGAAGCAACAAGCCACCTGACACGAAACCAGCGGTGGTCATCATGGTGGCCGTGTTCCCTAGCATGACGTAGTGGCTTGGATGACATACACAAGTGCGCTCTCTTGGTCATTATGGGCGGCACTGATCAGTCGACCACTGGGAGATGGTTGCAGCACTCTCTGCTCTCTTTTTGCTTTCTTACTGAGTGATGAGAGCTTTTTCTGTATTGTTTGCGACCGCAGACCGTCCACGACACTTTCATCTCTCCTCAATGTCGTGGTAGAGTTGATTGTTTTGCGCAGCCATTTGTATTGTATTTTGGCTCTGGTTGCTATACCTAGGTAGAGCCTATAGCCTTGCCACTATAGGCCTCTCCCTCTCTGCGTTCCTCTCCAGTGGCCAAGATCATGTCGGCCATCACTGCCAATCCGCACAGTAGCTACACCCCCTCCGACAGGCTTGAAGATCAAGGTCAGTCACTGTATTCTGTACAGCAATGGTCACACAACAGATATTGACACCTTCCAGCGGCTTCGGCGGCTTTATACGTTGTTCGAGACACCCCCTCCAAGCAGAGTACATCTTCAATTCTCGACGAGGACGGTCGGCTGTCCTCCGCAAGTAGGTCACACCCCGCCCTCCCACATTGCACCATCATGTTCACAGCTCTCTCAGGTGCCGCTCTCTCCCTGAAATACGCTCGAGCTCGGGACCTGCCGTCGTTTCCGTCCGCTGGAGGAGTGAAGTTGGCCTCCGCCGGTGCCGCCGCAAGCCTCGCCGCAGAATCGAACAAGAAGCCATTCGAACATTGGAAACCGGGCGCAATCCCAGCCGCCAGCCACGCTGCAAACAAAGCAAAAGATTATGAGATGGATCCTATGTGGAAGCCAGAGCTCAGCCAGGTTGGTTCACAGGCTGCTGCCGCCGCACACAAAGATGCGGCCCCGGTCGAGATCTGGAAGGCGCCGGATACGGAACATGGTGCATCTGCGGCCTGGTCGGCCCTCCAGAATCAGAAATCTCCTCCGGCGATAGCCGAAAGACATGTTTCAACCGATGGACGACAGAAAGCTCTTTTGGCAGCCACGGCGTCCTTATCTGCAGGAAGACGACGAGCGGAGTCCGCTCCCATACGACCGTCACCACAAACACATCCCGGCACCGGTATCGGTGGTTCTGCCTGGGCATTAAAGGCAGCAGAATCGTCCCACCGAGGACATATTTCTAGCTCACCCTCAAGAGCACCGACCGACGGATCTAATCTGTCAGGCGCGGACGTAGCTAAAGTGCAAAACATGGCCAGAAACAATGTTTCTAGGCAAATGTATTCTTCGAATCCACCAGTTTCGATTGAGGTGGAAGAGAAGAAGAGGCAAGAGATGTTACGGGCTTCGGCCGTGGCCATGGCGCGGAAAATGTTTGTAATTCAACAGGAACAGTTTGATGAAGCCAAGGGAATTCGTCGTTCGGAAAGCCACTATGCCGCATACACTGCCCGAAGGCGTGCTCAATCGGATGTGATGAACAAGACAGCCTCAAAGGAAGAAGTTCCTCCACGATATGAAAATCTGGAAGAGACCGCTCGACGATTGGCGCAAGACCGACTAGCGAAGTTACAGGACGAGCATGCCGAATATCGCCAATATTACGGACAACAAACTCCTCCACAACGATCACGACTTACATTAAGGCGCGGTCGTCGAACATTGAGTCTCCAAGACCACGATGAATCAGATGAGGAACAATCCCGAAAGATCCGAACACAAATGTCATTCTTCCAGAGCAAATTGGCAGAGGTTGACAGCAAGAAGCGACAAGCGGATAGAGACGCTCTTCTGGCCATCGCTCATAAGAATGTCACGGCTCGTATGAATGCAATGGACGAAAAGGTCTTCTCAGAAACCGGAAAGACCAGCCCACAACAACGAGAACTTTGGGAACGTCAGGCCCGAGAACGGGCCCAACGTGAAAGTGACGACAGGTTGATCAATGCAGGAAAGGTCCACGTAGGAGGTGGAAAATATCTGGAACAATCCGAAGTCGACGCGATTGCAAAGGCTCGATTGCAGCCGACATTGGATGAAATTACAGAAAAAGCTGAACAACAACGCGCAAGAGACGAGGAACTGAAGTTGGAACTGGAAAGACAGAAGGCCGAAGCCGAAGCCGAAAAACAACGGCAAGCCGAGATCAAAGCCGAACAAAAGGCTGCCGCTGGTAAGTCCACCACTGGAACCGCGAATTTAGGGACTGATCGAAATCAGATCGTGAAAGGGCTGAAGTCAAGGCACAAAGGGCCGAAGAAAAGCGAGCTCTACAAGATCAGAAACATGAAGAAAGACGACTTCGGACTGAACAAAGAGCCACCGAGAAAAGGGCACGCGATGAAGCAAACGCAGCAGAAAAAGAACGTCAGCGAGTGGAGAGAGAGGAGAAGAGACCGTCTGGAGCAGGAAAATCTCGTTTGCTCCCCAGTTTCTTATCCAGGGGAGCAATTGGGGCTGGAGCGGCTACGGCTGCAGTCGTTGAAGGTACGGCCGACGCAGCGGGAGGAGGGGCCAGAGCTGTTGCGGGAGCAGCTCCAGCGCCTGGAACCACCATGGCTGCGCAAGCCGATGAACCAGCTGGCGAAACTGCACATGATCGAGTTACCTCCGATCCTCCAGAGGCTGCCCATGCTCTGGCTGCAGATGAAGAAGACGAAGCTGCAGGACCAAAGGAAGAGTCGAGACCAAGTCCACCTACAGCAGAGAGAGATGTGGGACCTGAAGACAATGTCGCTGCATCTCCGTATTCGAGTATCGCCCAACCACAAGAAGCAGCATCCCCCACATCTCCAGTGTCGCCTTCAAAGAGAGATTCCAAAATGAAGGCTTGGTTTAAGAAATTCAGGACGGGAAGCAAGGCTGAGAATGACCTGGGCGAGAAACCTACAGTGGCAGAAACCGAACCAGAAACTACTGCTGCTCCAGCTACGACCAAACCCATTGAGCCTGTCGAGGAGGATAGGCCTACATCCGATTCCATACGGGATGTTGCCCTGGCCGGTCGAAGTGATAATGAAACCGATGATATGTACGGTACATCACCCAAACCAGCCGGACGAGTTTCTCCCGTCCACGATGAGCCCCCATCAACAGATCCCGTACCAAGTTCAGTAGCTGTTGAACCTGATCACAGACCTAGGTCGATCAGTTCTCTGTCTGATTCTACGGATCTAAGTGAAGAGCGATATGTGATTGCCGCAGATGTGGCATCGTCAAAATACTCGGCAGAACATGGGTCAAAACGAGATTCAGGAGTCGATCAGGCAGCAGCACTTTCTGATACCGATTCTGAACCCCGAGGAAGGAAAGGATTTCGTGAAAGGTTCTTGAAGAAAGTCATCCCGGGGAGAGACAAAGACAAACATAAATCTGTAGCCGAACCGGCTTCAACCCCAGCTGCGGCACCCATTGCAAAGGAACCATCTCAAGCTATACCAGCAAAACCGATCGAGACCGAACCGGCAACAACAACGGAAACATCAAGGAACGAACCCGCGTCAAACCGCGGTCTTGAGGCCCGTTCCGACGCTGAAACCAAGCCCACGAGGGAGAGAGTTCAGGAACCGTCCACCACATCAACAGAAGCAGGAAACACAACAGCCACAGGAGCAACAACACCAGCGTTGACACACGCCCAAACGAATGACGAGGAATTCGAGGAGGCCCGTGACACCTTCGATGAAGAACGACTTGGTCGTCCACACCAACTAGGGGACGTCTCTGGTGCGAAGATGGAGACATCACGCTTGGTGGAAGTGGGAAGCCCCATAACTAAACGGGGCAGCAGCCCTGTGGGTAGTCGGAATAGTACCGGTGCAGGAAGGGAGGGCAGCCGATTCACTGAAGAATTGTAAGCAGAATTGAAAACGATTTAACAAAAATATGCGGGCACAGGGCTTTGGATACACTCCCGAAGTCCTTCACGACCACCAATGACGAAAACGACTTATATTCACGTGTGGACCATCAAATGGAAGGCGATCACCTAGAAAGGGCCCCGGCGAAGTTGGGGACGATCCAACAAAACCCTTCCCGTGGGGAATGGTGGGAACGAAGCGGAAACAAAAGCAGAAGGCGAACGTTTATATTCAGCCTCAACCTCTAATAACCATGAAAGAGGAATCGCGGTACACGCATGCAATGCTTTTTATATCGGTATTTTGCTCATGCCATGTCATCCTTCTCACCATCTGTGGCTTATATATGCGCTTGTCCAGATTGGACAGCTACAGTTCCAGATTGAAATGACTTCCGACTCTGATACCAGATCAGTTTTAGCTCCGACAGTCGAGATTGTGTGAATAGCATCTAAGCTTTTACATTAGGTGTTATAGTACGGTACATAGGATCTTTTAGTTCGACTTTCAATGAACCTTTCAAGCTTTTCGAGGGGTTTCCACGATCCCTGAAAAAAATTGCGAATAGACTGAGGCTCAAATATTTACTTGAGTGGTCAATACGTGAGTCTCGTACGGTGTCCCACAACCTTCGGTATCATTCGTTTCACAGCTATGAGCAGGGACAGGAACAGGAAATACAGCTCCTTTTTCTTCTCTCAAGTGGAGAGCCGAAAGCCAGGAGAACGCCATCTTTGTATATCGAACCAGATCTACCATCTTCTCGTTCTCCGCCTATTTCTATCTCTTCAGCAAAGAACGACGACATCGTATCCTCAGAAAAAGAAAACGAGAAAGAAGGGAAATCAACCCACTCTCCTGGAACCAATCACGGTCTCGTCCAGCGCTTCGGCTCCAACATCGACACCGACAGCATCATCCAGACCGACAAATCCCATTTCCACTTGTCCCAAGAGGAAATCGGCCGCGGCGCCTTCTGCTACACGTGTCCCGATGTCTACACCCTTGCCCAATCCAGACACTCAATTCTCGTGGCTCAAAGTTCATTTGGCTGTGACTCGTCGCACGAATAGGCACCCAGAGCGCCTCCCATGGTCGGGATCAAAGTTGTCATCGCTTGCGTTCATCTATGCAAGGAATCATGTCAATAATGGACTTATGGAAATAAAGCTGATGGATGAAGAATCTATCATATTGCGCAGGACGGTGTTGAGATTGTTGTTGACATGAAGGACAGGCCATTTGAACTGGACGGGATTCAGGAGCAGTTGCTTGCGGAGGGAGGACTGGTGAGGTATGGAACTGGACCGTTTGAGAGGTTGTGAGGACTGGATGAGAAGAAGTTCAACCAAAAGCAGCAGCAGCATCGGAATCGAGACGAGGGAAGAGAAGGCGTGTACATGCTCTAGTTGAAGTGTCACCTGGCTTTGGCATATTACCACCGCCTTCATCTCTTGTCTCGAGTTAGCTGGGTACATCCTACAATTTCACCCTGCCCCGTTTAACCATTTCCCACTCCCTTTGTCCAAATGCCTCATATCTCTCCGCGTCAGGACGCAGGTAAAACACCCTGTCACCGGCGGTGATTTTCTCTGGATCGACGCCCTCGAGCTTCAACACGTGCTTTTGCTGCTTATTATTTCCCGTCACTATTACAGTTGTTATGACGCGCAGGAAAACCGGTACCGCATACTTGGGCAAACTGTTGCGGGAAAATGTCGCCAGGCCTTCAAGCAGAGATTCAGGGATAGGAGACTCGGGAGTCGTCACGTCCTTTAGCAATACGGCAGCGCAGCCGGCGCGGCCTTCGTGGTTCGGGACCTGGACGCCATATACATTTGCTTCGAGAACAGATGGGTGCTGGCCGAGCGTCTGCGCGACTTCGGCCGTGGACACGTTCTCGCTACGCCAGCGGAAAGTGTCGCCGATCCGGTCGGAGAACCAGATTAGGTCATTCTTGTCGTACCGCACGACGTCGCCGCTGCGGAACCAAGCATCGCCCTTGGTATGTACGTCGCGAATGATCTTTGAGTCGCTTGCCTTCTTGTTGTCGAAGTAGCCCTGGTACTTGGCGCCGATATCGGCTGGATCGATCTTGTAGAGGAGCTCGCCTGGCTGGCCTCGGGGGACGGGGACGCAGAATCCGGTTTTGGGATCACGAGCGGGAGATTCGGTCTCCCAATCGACTTGGACGATGGATTGCACTCGGGAGGAGATCAGGGAGCCCAAGACGCCGACTTGGCCGATCGCGCCGGACGAGAAGGTGTTCCGGGATAAGTTCCAGCTTGCTCCGACGGATTCGGTGGCACTGTAAAACTCGGCGATTGTCTCGATGCCGAAGCGGGCGCGGAATTTGTCCCAGACGTCTGGTCTCAGACCGTTGCCGAATGCGAGGCGAACGTGATGTTTCGTCCGATCGTTGGCCTGGGGTGGAGCGGCGAGCAAATAACGGAGGGTTTCGCCGACATATTGAATCACAGTTGCATCGGCTGATATGACATCGTCCCAGAAATGCGAGACGGAAAATTTGTGGCCAAGCACTAAGGTGACGGCTTGGCCGAGGCAGCAATGGAAGCCTAGTTGGAAAGCGGAGGAGTGATAGAGTGGCATAGCGGTGTAGTAACGGTCGGGGTTGGAAGAGGTGACTGGGCGGAGGCCTATCCATCGAGCCATCAGGCCGGAACCGACTGCTGTTCGGTCCCAGGGAACTATTGCCGCCTTGGGCAGTCCCGTCGTTCCGGATGTCGATATTAACACGCAAGGTGATCGGGCGATTGCGCCAGATCTGGCAGAGTCAGGAGCCCGGTATGGCGGATGATACTCGAGAGATGATTGAAGGCCCGTAGTAAGAACGGCAATTTCTAGGGGACATGTGTTGTTCCAGAAGTTGGGAGCTGTAAAGGTCTCTAGTGTCTCTGGAGTAAGGGCTCTGGGCTCGACTTCTGGGTCCATGATCAAAAGCCTTGCAGACGATGTTCGAACGCTGTGTATCAGAGTCGCGGAGGTCAGGTTATAGTTGATGAATGCTGGTAGGGCTCCTAATGACCACAGGGCCATGGCCACAAAGATGAATTGTGGACAGTTCATCATGTCCATGGCAATGATTTCTCCAGGTGCAATGGAGTGGTGATTGTGTAGGTATCCTGCATAGCGAAGGACCATATCGTACGTTTGCTTGAATGTCCATTTCCTTCCCTGATAGATGAGGAATGTTTTATCTGCGATCTTGGGGTTACGCGCGTGTTCTTCGAGGATGTAGAAGGAGTTGACACGACCGGCTCGTTCTCGTTTGTTGAAGGCGGTCCGGGATGCGACAAAGGGAATAAGGACTCCCAGGTCGACAGGGAGTCTCCACCGCGCATTGACATATGCCAATCCGGCCAGAGTCGCTGGTATGGTCACGGCCGTGGAAGCTGGCAATGGGGGGAAGAACTATGGTTAACCAGGGTATTTCGGATGAGCGCGGAAGCTGATTGGTACACTTACTGGCCATGTTGGGAGACGTGTCAGTCGGACACTTGCGGAGGAGATGAATAAAAGAATGCCATTGCCACCACTTTCTGAAGTGAGCTCAAAGGATTTAAGAGTGCCCAAGAAGTCAAATTGCCATCACAGTGTTTGTTCGCTTGTGTTGCCCAGTGGATGCGACCAGCTGGTGCAGAGAGCCGAGGCATCTGCGGCAGCCAATCAGGACGAGACCAATAACGACAGGCTGAGTATGTGATCGAGTATGTACAAGTACGAATGCAGAGAGATTGAATGGATGGATAGAGATAAAGACAGATGCAGATGTCTTGTCATGTCACCCCGGCTTCAGATGCCGAGTCTCGCGTGGTCGTCACATGACTAACTTATTAATTTTCTGCCGCCGATTTTCAACCACAACATCGAAGGACTTTTCCTACAATGACTCCCCCCTCAAATCCCGATGCTTGCTGTGGTGTATGGTGAGCCTTCCTGGGTAATTTGGGAGTTGCTTCTAATACCAAAAGCCCGCTGGGAAGGTCACTGATGAGGCTTTTGCTGGTTCGAACCATGGTCCTTTCGTCCTAATTTGGGTTGGGTTCCCGCCCGTCTCATTGTTAGTTTTTTTGGGGTCCACCGGCAGGTAGAGGAGTTCAAGGTCGTGGCGTGGCAGAATCAAGTGAAGTTCAATATCTCGGGGTGTTGTTGCGCTGCGCGCATTGGGCATGTCGTAAACCCAGTCAACTCTCTCCAACTTCACCCTTCCTTTACATATAAACAATACCCTGTCGCTCTGCGCAGAGATCTGTCGACACTTCCTCTTCATGTTCAACCGAAATCACCTGTATCAAGCTGAGCCATCCCTCTCTCCATCTCGGCGCGCAGTTGAGATTCATCAACATGTGCTGCGATCAATACATGCTCCAGCGCTGCAGTATCTGTCGCGGCTGGCATCATGAGTTCGTTCGGACCGTCCGTTGCTTGAGATTCCGAAACACCGGCGAGTGTTTCCTTTCTTTCAACGGAATAATAGGCACGCGACCTGAGCATGATCTCGGCCGATGCGAAGTCTGTCAGCGTCGACGAACTAGATGCACTGCCAGATCGGTCAGATCCCATCCATTGCAGCGACGACCCCTACCTGAGCAGCAATGAGAAATCCCATGCTTCAGCCATCGTTATACATCGTTAGCTCCTGCCAACGCGGTGCCATTCAAAGACGACAGTTTTGGATCAGGTTTGGTAAGTGGTTTCTTCATTGACGTTGGACACATTGTCGCCACGGAATAAGGCATATCATCTGCAGTTGATCCTCTTTGTCATCGTACTCCTCAATACAATAACAAACACACTGATGGACCGTTACAGTCCCTCGAGCATACCCATCGATGTGCATCCGGTATTACATACAAGAGAATTGTCCCTGTTGCGGCAGACTAATGCGGTCATGCCATGCGAACATGGTATTGCGGACCTTGGCGGAGAGAAGGGAGGTGTAATGGTGATTTTTGGATGCGAATTGGAACAAGGACAAATCTAGAGAGATACCTCCGCGCTCGTTGTGCACGTCTTCTTAGTCTCCCTCACTGAGAGTGATGTTGCGCCGGTTGGAAACAATTACTGGGGATATTACACGAGAAGAGCAAGCTCAGGATAGAGATGGAACACCCAACAGTGTGGAGATCTTCGTGGACAATGCTGAAGGTATGCTATCGGTGTACTGTCGAATCCAACTCGAGCACCATATTCACCAAACACCTATCGTGGGAAGAGCGGGCGGGTTGAGGACTGAGGATGTCGACGAGGGACTTCGTGACTAGGATCCAGCAGAGTGGTGGAGGATGGCGGTGCATCAAAACTCACTCAGGCTCCTGTACATCACTGATCCCAAGATCGACTGAGCTTTAATAATCAAAGATCCTCCAGCCATAATTTCCATCCACATTAGTCCAGTCATTTTTTTCAAAAGCGCGTTCCCAGCCTAGCATGATGGCCAAAATCTGGCACGCTTTGCTCGAGACTGCGCATACAACCTTGTCGCTTTGCGCGAGCATGGCCAGGTCAAGCAAATACGCTCTCCCGAGAAGCTCTCTCAAATGCAGAGCCTCTTTCGTAGGATTGGTTCGATAATCTCGCACCGGTTCCTCTGGAGCAGCATGATCAGGCCGTTGCGAGCGGGACTTTGCTTTGGTCGGAGCTGGCGATCCAATGCGTTTCTGCTCCTGCACGTATGGTGGTAGTCCCAGGCTCCAGAAAACATCTTTGAAAAATCCCCCTTCCCACCCCAGACCAGTTTCCAGGGTCTTTTTACTCGCCAGTGAGATTCGCTGCTGAGCGCGAATGGTGTCGGGTAGTTCGATGTGATCATACATGTCGGCGTCATCAGACGCCAGCAGCAATTTCCATTGCTCGGATTGGCCCACTGTCCTGCGGACCGCAGACATGTACCTGTCTGGTGGAAGGTAGCCATGTTGGTAGGCAAACTCGTAAGGGTGACGGTCACCTCGTCGAATGTGGATGCCGACGAGCCCATTCTCCAGGCCGTCGACTCGCCCTCTCAATTTCCCGGCCCGGCTCTGTACATAGTCTTGGTCTTCTTTCTGGAGTTTGAAGAGAGCCTCATATCCCACTCTCGCCATGTCAAAGATCTGGCGTGGGGTGTAATGTCGGTGGAATGATTCGCCAAATATCCATCCTGTGGTGGCAGCAGAGACCACTAAATGCTTGGCTTGATGAGGGCATGGGACACGCTGCGTTGGAGGCGGCAATCGACATGGCTGTGACATGATCGAGGAGAAAAATGTGCGGTAGTCGCCGTAGGGGAAATTAGTGTCATCAATGAAGAAGGCTCGGTTCTCACGTCGAGCAAGGCCGTACGAGAGCCACAAACCCAGCAAGGCAGAACCCAGACCGGCATCCGTAGCATCGAGGACATAAGTCAGAGACTTTTCACAGACTGGAAGGTGATCATCATCATCATCAGTCAAGTCGACTTCTTTGGGCAGAAAATGTCGGGATTGGGCTTCGTCCACATCTATGAAGTTGGGGTCATCGTCGTAGTAGTCACTTTGAGCGTTGTCGTGAGAGCGACTAGCGACATGACGCGCGACTTGTTCGGCCTCAGAACAAATATCTGCATAGTCAGTGGACGGAAGAGGAAACTCTTGATCTGGAGGGATAGATATCGTCCAATACTGTTTGTCGTCGCGGTCGGTGACTGCCAAGGGGGTGGGATGTTCGGGGAGCCCAGATGCCTCGACAATTTCATAGGTCTTGCCGAGGGATGACAAAAATGTCAAGTCCGCCAGGTCATGTGTTTTCTTGTTGCTGGAAAGGACGAGGTAGTAGACACTAATGATGGCGGAGAGCCATATGAGGGAACGAATGATTCTTCGTGAATTGAGCCTGGGCGGTTTCTTGCCATGGCGGGGAAGAATTGATGGTAACGATGGTGAAGGAATGGGGGTCCGAGGCAGGAGATGTTTGATCGAGAGATATCGGTCTGTGCCGCCGAATTTCAATGGCTTCGGAGGACTTGATCGGCTGGACAAAAGCATTGTCTTGCGTGGATGGCCTTCATGGTTTTGTGGTGGCGATGGAGTCTTCATCCAGCGAGGGAGGAAGATACGAATATAATGGTAGTGGTGGTCCGAATTGTACCACAAACAGAACCTGTCAATCGGGTACGACAAATCCCGGGTCGTCTTGTGTTGCAAAACAAGGTGCGGCGATATGAGTGTGTTTTGTTTTGAAACCAAAGAGCCTGAGTCCAGCACCAGCCTTTGATCCGAACACCATGGAATGCAATTGGAGGAAAATGCGACGCTTTTACCAGGCAATGCTGGGTTATGCTGTGTGCTATGCTTTACTATGCTTTACCAAAAACGAAATCGAATGGGCCATGGAAACTGGCTGGACGTGGGCGTTTGACTTGGATAAACGGAGGACCAAGATATAATTGAAACAAAGAAGTTTGACAAAGAATATAACGCTAGGCCAGGCGACGATTTTCGGTTTGACCAAGGCACTCGACCGCTGTCTAGTGGTATCGTGTACTCCTTGCACGCCAGCCAGCACCTGTCAATGTGGGTTACGAATACAAAAATCTAAGAGCAAACTCAGGAAAGGATGTGCGAAAGACCCAAAAAAGCGAAGAGGGAAAACCAGTCCGCAAAGTGCTTGCCATTGGCCCCGGAGCTGAGAAACTGGTCCACAGCAGAATGGATCGTAGTACCACTTTGCGGGCATTCGAGTGGGGAAGAAAATGGTGCCGAGAGGAGTACAGGTACAGAAAAACCCGACAACAGAGTGGAAAGAGAATAGGCGCTGGCACATACCAGAACCAGTCGGTTTCTGAGAAGGAAATAAAAAAGGGTTGCGGTTGGTCGAATTCTGAAACAGCCGACAGTTGACTGGCTTGACATTCAAGGGGTCAAAACCTCCTGGCTAAGTAACCAAGTCGAGAAATGATATCCATTCAGGCACAATTCAGTGGGTGATCCGTAACTGTACATTTTCATATTGATGACACAAAGCAAACGACAGAGACCGTCGCCAGCCTTGTCGTCACCCAAGCCTCAGGCGCCAAGGGGCAGTACTACTAATAGATTCTATCTGGGTATCAAATTTTTGTTGGTTGTGTGTCACACTCTCTCGATCCCTTCTGGCCTTTCTGGTAAAAAGTGAAAAGTCCCATGTCTCAAGTGTTGGAAATGCTGCTGAAGCTCCAAAAAGTAAAGACTGGCGCAAACCCATGAAATCATACTCCGTCGGTCTCGTCTGGTCACCCTGGGTTCTTGGCCAACTCCCATTCCTCGCCAGTTCTCGGCCATCAATCAATTCTCAAGAATGAATAGAATCAAATCAAAACAGATCAAATCAAAGCTTAGTCGTGTCGTCATTCGTAACAAAATCAAATGGGTAAAGAATGTCGAGTTCAATTTGGACTCCGTGGTTCAATCGTCGAATCCCGCTCGCGCAATGATGCAACAAGCGTTCCCATTGCTGGTCCTGTCGCCCCCAATGCACCATTGCCGGCACTTGACGTCCGTCGAGAATGTCGCCGAGACGAGGACGGTGCTTGTGATGAGATTCGTACAGACGCAGATCGACCTTTAATCAGCTGCCCACTCTCCACTTTGCCTTGAATCATCTCGTCAAGCATCTTGGACATCTCATCCACCGTCTTGCGCTTCTTTTCCATCGCCTTTTGTGGCGACAAAAGAGTCATCGGGCTCGTGGTGAGTGGTGATCGCGGTCCTCCAGACCCCGGCGCCGTCGAAATATTACTCAGCTGGGAGCTGCTGTTACTGTGATTGCTCTGATGGCTCGCTTGGGTTCGGGCTTGCTTGAATTCAGACGACGGCATTTCTGGCGTCAGCTCTGCGATCTCCCGTTTGCGAACTGCCGACCGAAGGGCCGCAACCGTTTTCTGGAGGTCGGAAATCATGGCATCCTTCTCCTCCAACTTTCTCTGCATCTCGCTGTCATCCCCCGAGCTCTTGTTGAATGCCATGGATACTCGGGAATGGCTCGATCGCCGGGCTTGCAACAGCCGCTTCTCCAGAGTCGAGATGTAGCGGGTCTTATCCTGAAGGTCCGCTTGCAATGCTCGAACCTGGGCCTGAAGTGTGGCTTTTCCGTCGCCATAATCCTCTTCGGTCTCTTCGTCCTCATCTGGAATTCCCGAAAACGATAGATGGGCAGATGTCGATGGGACGCCTCCAAGAGAGACGACAGATGGATGTCGCTTCAGTCCACCACTCACCCCCAGGGTTGATTGACTAGCTGAGGATCGTACAGACCGCGGTCCGGCAAATTCGGTTCCACCAGACAGCCGTGAGTGCATGCCCAAGGCTGACACTGATCCACTGTTGACGCCAGTGGACTTGGAGCACAGAATCAGTCGGTTGAGATGTTCAATGCGCTCCTTCAGCGCCGTTCGGGCCAGCTGCATTTCTAGCATTTGTTCTTCATGTCGTTGCTCGGCCTCTTTCTCTATCTGTCGCTCTTCCTTCTCGGCCGCAGATTTCTGTTGTCCTTCCAACTGTGCTCGAAGATTTTGGATCTCGGCGCGGTAGCGTTCAAGGAGGCCAGCATTGACGCCACCTCCCATTTCTTCCGTGGCCTTTTTGGCGTGGCTGACAATGTTGTTCTTTGCTCGAGCCGCAAATTTCAGTGTGTTCAGCGTTTCTCCCGTGTGGTTGTTTCCGGCGACCGTCAACCCGGCTCCAATTTGAATCGTGCAGAGAATTGACACCAATGAATTTCCGGACAGGGCCGGCTGCAACAAACGGGTCAATTTGCTGTCCCGATATGGCAAATGTTTTCCATCTTTATCGGTGGGATTGCCATTTTTGTCCCTATTGCCTGATAGCTTCGCAATCACCGTGCCCAGAGTCAAGAGTGATTTGTTGATATGAGCACCCTCAGCGCGACGTTCTTTGTCTTCGGCCGCCCGCTCTGAGCCCGCAAGATCGATCAAGCTCAAAGTAGAGACTCGGACGCCTCCAGGTAGCATGGCTACTCGCTTGCCATTTTCCTGCATCGAACCAGACCCGGGAATTCGTTCTCGACTCTCCACCACAATCTGAACAACAGCATGGCTTCGAGAACTTCTCGAATTGAATTGGGTGCTGCCAGTGCGGCGGGCCGTATCTCCTCGGTGGATAACTCGGAGCAGTTGGGTAGGGCTCTGCACAATTTCTTCTTTGAGAGGTGTGGCATAGACGCCTCGTTTGCTGTCTTCACGCAACTTGATCTCCTCTTGTTGTTGAATCCCCCCTCCTCCACCACCACCAACAGGGACAGCTAACAAATCATGAATCTTCTCATTGTAAATTTCCAGGTAACTGACCCGCAGCAAGAATTCACGGTGCGGGGTCTCCCTAATATAGGAGAATATGTCAGTGATGGCGAGTGGAATTACACCGGGACTTGTCATGGTTCCCTGCATGGAAAAGGTTTTTCCCGTGCCAGTCATTCCGTACGCAAAGACTGTGCCGTGGTAGCCTTCCATCACTCGTCGTACAAGTCGTTTGGCAGCCGCATCGTAGACTTTGGCGTTGTCATCATGGGTAGTGAAGACATTATCGTAGTGGTAATCCCCTCCTTCTTTGCCGCGATAGGCGACGAGAGATCTTCGGCCATCAACCATCCATTCGCCTTCAGCCTTCTCAGCTTGGGGACCGCTCTGGGTGCTTGGGTCTGGACGAACCCGCACGCTGACAATCACGTTGCCTTTGACTTCCTTTCCCCGTGAATTTCGTTTTGAATCAGTGAGGCTCTCGTCAAGGTCCTTTGTCCGGCCTCGAGCATCCTCATCACCTTCTTCAATGGTAGTCGCGCTGGTAGAGTACGAGCCGTTGGCCGAAGAACTCCTGCTTTGTGGAGGAGAGTGGACGCTCGATTGAGCATCCGATGTTCGGTGGCCCGGTCTTACAGATATGGACATTCCATCCCCAGCGGAGTTGAGTAAACTGGGGGTCTGCGACGACCGAAAGCTTGCGGCGACACTAGCTCGTGGTGACTTTCTGGCCTTCGAAGCGCCTTGTACGGGTGTGCCATTTCCATCTGATGTTCGCTTTTTGATTGATGTGGTAGACGCCATCGAGGCCGACGTTGGCGGACGCGAGTTCGCATTTGGGGGCTGAGGAAACGAGCCAATGCTGACGGTCTTTCGCACTGACTTGCTGGATGGAATTCCTGACGGCTTTTCGTTATTTTTGAGGGATGAGAGATCAGGCGTCGACTGAACAGGTTGCGGTGTAGGTAATCCTGATGTTTTTGAGGGTGCTTTTAATCGCGATGGTGTTTGTGGTAAGCTCTTTCGAGGAGGTTTGCTTGTGGGTATGGGAGGCAGCGCCCCCGTTGGCGGGTCGGCCAGGGGCCGTGAGAGAACGGGAAGAGACATGGTATACCAAGAAGATTGTGATACGGTGGTTGTTGTTTTACGATAGCTGTGGCCCGATCATGCGGGGTTCATTTGTATGCTGACGTTCCTTCCCTCAGCGGATGATATAACGCGGTGGATGCTATGTTGCTTCTTTTCTGGAGCTTGTTTAACGTCCTTTAAACTCGGCCCGATTCGATCTCTTTCAGCATAGCCCCGACTGATTCGTCTATTCTTCCAAACTCGCGCGTTTTTCTATAGGATCGAAAGAGTGGTCTTTTGGATAATGCGCAGGACTCTGGTCAACTGGGGTCGGAAATGTCGAAGAACGAGGGCAATATGAGGTTGAAAGACCGTGGGTACCACAACAATGTTGGAGTGGTCGATTTGAGTATTCCTCGGAGCATGCGACCTTGATCATGCGCATGCAGCGGTGAACAGGCCGAGTCTTGGGCGACCTTTGAGTTGCAATTGGATGCAGATGGTTGTCAACAAGTGTGTGATATCGACCAAATTGACAGAGAGACGGGGCGAAGGAGGGACAATGGCGCAGGAGAGACCTTTTGGAGAGGTCCGGCATTTCACACCATACAGAAAGCCAGGAGTAGGACAAACTCTGGGAGGACCGTTACTGGCGTTGATGCTAAAATTCGTGCCCTGGTCGAATCCTCGTTGTCGACCCTCTTGCGCCCCAGAGCACTAGGATGCAAAGGACCAAATCTGCCGGTTAGCTGCAGGCACCGGAACACGGCAACCACGGAGACTGGAGCGCGAGAGGGACCAGGGAAGGGACATGGGCCTTGATTAGGGTAGACTCAATGGGAGGAGGACTCTAGCCCAGGGCAACATGCAGCAGATGGGAAAAAGGGCTGGGTGCCGGTGTTTGGTGTGGTGTCAAATTGCATTTTATTTTCCCCCGCTTCCTCTGCTTTGGACCACTAACCTTCCATCTTTCACTCAGATTTTCTCGCAGCCACTTTCCACGTCCGCCTTCCAAGGGTAAGCATTATTTTCAATCTACGCTTTAATTGGTCTCCCACCTTGTCTTATCACTCAAAATTCATCTCCAACCTTGTGATGATCACAGGCACCGACCTATGTGGTCGAGCGGATGTCCTGTCCACTTGGTTCAAGTCCGAAGAGGAGCACTTGGAGCCTTGGAATCTGGAACCTATGTCCATTCATTCAGCACCTGGAGGCTGAAAGATCCCACCGTTGTGTCCCCCTTGACCTAGCAGCTGCAGTCGAATTTCTCCTCATCTTCCACGAGCTCGCCTACACATCCTGTCTTCCAGCATCTGAATTAAGCGACTAGACGCCCAAAGCGACCGCGTTTTCAGATAAATTGACCCTCTACTCGAAACGCTTTCTTGTTAATTAATGCTGGGCCAAAGACCGTGGTTCCCGCCAATCCGAGACAGACTGGAAAGAGACCAAAATCTTCAAGAGGATACAGTAGGTACAACAGAGTTTAGAATGATGAAAAGGTACCTGACAGAGGCAGAACTTATCACAAGCATTCAGTGCATGAGAAAAGATTTCCTCGCCCCCCTGTCGACGCCGGTCTTAAGGGTGGCTTTGGCTAAGGCTTTCCCCGGCTGCGTACCCCCTGGCTATCCGCTTGACTAGCTAGTAGCCTCCAGGAACGGAAGGACAACGACTTTGTCTCGCTCTTGTCCTGAAGCGAGAACAATCTCATCTCGGTCCCAAAGGTAGCATGCCAAACAGGCTGGGCCATTCCTCGCGTGCAATCAACCTGTTTCAATCGTAGGGACCAGTATTCGGCATCTTTCAACAGCTCTAAGTGAATCACGGATTTTCGCTCCTCGGAAAACAGACAAATTTCATGTACTACCGTTACATTAGACGAACAAGCAAATGAAGGTAGCGTACCGATCTTGGGTTCATACCCAGAAAATTTCAACAGGTAACCGTCCCCCCCAGAGGCTCCTCGGCACTGTGGAGTTCCACTGACAGGGAACCAAAAAGTGGCAACGATCGGCTTGATCAGCATTCTGATCGTCCACCAAATTGAACCGGATTGTCTACTAAGGAAGAATGCCTGTCTCTTTAGCTGTCTCCTTTTTATCCACGTCTCCGCAAGGCTACAAAGAGTAAGAGGCGGACTTGGGTCTACCTTGCAGAGATGCCCTCAAAGCGTTGCGATGTGGATGAGCTTTTGCTCTTTCGAAAAGGCACTCCTAAGAGGGGGGGGGGGAGAGAAATCCCCCCAACCCCGAAGGAGATATCCTTCGGAGATTTTTGTTCTCTTCGATTCTGCTAGCGTGGCAGTGGGCTGAGTGAACTTGTGTTTGCTTGGGAAGTCTGCCTCCAATGTCCATAGTGGACAACGCGTAACATATGTTTTTGAGAACTGCACCTGTCGCGCTAGCAAAGAACCCAAAGAAATAGTAGCGTGTTGAATCTGGCATCGGTGTTCCATCGCCACGGGACTTTCAGACACAACTGAGACCAAGCCGAAACACCCGGAATTTCATATCTTCGGCAATGCCATTGAGGTGTCAGTGCTTTACCTGGAGTTCGGTAGACTGACTCCCCCAGCTTTACTGAATGTTAAATATCTTGGTACTCAGTTTATCAAGATGTTTTACGATGAAATTCTGCTCAATAGCCTTTGATCCGAACTGCCTTCAAAGCAGGCGTGTGTGAACCTTGTTTTATCACAGTGTGACTCCCTTCACCATTCGAGTTCGGGCCAGGATGGGCCTTTGGGCAGTCTGGAATGGATGACCTTTCACACTAGTTACATGCACTTATTCTAGTAGGACGAGATTTGTCACATTTGCTTCAATGCTTCGGATTATTTTCTGATCTTCGGGTTCGTCAACAAGCCATACCTAATAATTTGGCTCAACGAGCCCCCAGGAGCATCATGGTCGAAGCCGCCTGTTGTACAGTGGCGTTTAGAGACTGCAGAAGACATGCAACGCTCCCAACTTTTCTGCTAGATTCTCAACACGTTTTCACTACCTAGCGTTTTTCCTGTTCTCCTCCAATCTCATCTTATGCAAGACCTCGGCCCGTCTTCTCTCACCACCAAACACCTTATGACCTCTTTTGTGCTCCCAAAGTCCCTCTGTAGCCTCGAGCGTGACTCCACTGCCATGTGCGCCTTTCATCGGGTACGCATTCTTGCCCGAAATTATATACCCATTAATCAACTTGAACCCTTTTGGTTTCTTCAGGTCCGCTGTAGTTTGTCCCGGCAGTAACTTGTAGGTCGTCGACCCGTTCGGCACATTGACAATCAACTTTTGCATTCCCGGGCTCCTGCCTATGGTGACTGGTCCAGACACTGGTTTCCCCGTCTGGGGGTCTTTCTTCAAACTCGGAACCTCCACCACCCTTAGTTCGGCGACTCCGTCCTTCACATATTGGAAATCTCCCCCGATGCCAAAGTCGCCCTTTCGGAATTTCTCTCGCCAGTGTAGCAGATAACGACGGGTACGGGGCGGTTCAATGCCTCTTTCTTTCAATTGAGGCGAGGTCAGGGTGAAAAGCTCCTCCCAGGATTGGATTTTGCTCGCGTGATTCGAAAGATCGCGCCCGATGAGCTTGAGAAAGGTGGCAACGTCGGGGACAAATGGTGTCGGTGGAGGGACACGACCATTTTGGGGGAGGCCGCGATGTAAGTGACGACGACAAAGTGTGCAGATGTAGGATTGAGATATTGAAGCTGAAGGACGGAGGATTGAGGTGAAGATCAAGGTCGCAGCATGTGGCTGGATGATCATGTTGATTTCCGTACAATTGATGTTGATATCCCGAATACCCTGATATGAGCAGGTGAGCTCAATTCTTCAAATCGGCTGCGAATATGTCGATTGATTAGACAAAGATCTATCTTGCATCTTTCGGGTTGCCCGCAGCTTTTTGGATGCCAAGCCTAAATGCCAAGCTACCTTGGAGCCTCGTCTTGTCAGTGCTTGCATTGATCCTTGCAGTCAAGTTCTATCAAAAAAATCTCTATTGACAGCAGCCATCTTCTGTACAGATGATGAAAAGTCCTATTCACTTGCAAAGAACTTGAGTGTTTTTGTTTCAAGATTAATCCTGGCCATTAGACGACGAGGTTGTATTTGGCAACGCCTGGCCCTTTTCAGGCACTTCCCTGTAGTTCTTCCAAGCAATCTTTTCATTCAGGTGGTTGAAAATGGCGCCTTCCTCGAACACGGTGTCACCGCTGATGCCGCGTTCACCCTCAAATCTCAACGTGACCATGTCACCCTCCAGAGCCAAGTCATTAGCAATGAGAAAGGCAATATCAAAACCACAACAGGCGCCAGGACCTCCTCCAAAGCTACTTCCTGATTTCGACATGGCGGAGCAGATGAATGAAGAGATCAGCAACAAGTATGTCAAAGGTCCGTCATCTCGGGTTGAAGCCTTGTACGGGAAGTTGCTGACCATTTCTTCCAGGCAAGAAATTGGGTGAGGGCACTTATGCCATTGTATACAAAGGACATCTGCGATCCGATCCAAATACCCTTGTCGCAATCAAGAAATTCAAAGTCGATCCATCTCAGCAGCGCGAAGGACTCAATGTCGACACCATCCGCGAAATCAAATACCTCCAAGAAATTTCACATCCCAGTATTGTGGCCCTGCTAGATGTATTCTCTTCCAAAGACCAGAATATCAACATGGTCATTGAATATTTTCCGAACGGCAACCTGGAAGAGCTCATCCGGGACAAATCTGTGAGTTATGGTGCTGCAGATGTCAAGGCCTGGATGGGAATGTTGTGTCGTGCAATATATTATTGCCACTCAAATTTCATTCTTCATCGCGACATCAAGCCGAACAACCTGCTTATTGCTGCTGACGGGGAGGTCAAACTGGCCGATTTCGGCCTGGCCCGGTCATTTGGGGACCCGCGGTATCAAATGACATCCGCAGTCATCACACTATGGTATCGCCCTCCTGAATTGCTATTTGGAGCAAGGCAGTACGGTGGCGCGGTCGACATCTGGAGCGTCGGCATGGTCTTCGCCGAACTGCTCATCCGTCGGCCTTATGCAGCTGCTGATGTCGCGAACCAGGAAGTACTGGCTACAGGTGGAGGAACTGTCGCTCAACTGGACAAGATCTGTGAGGCAGTAGGAACGCCGACGGAAGACAACTGGCCGGGCGTGTCTAAGCTAAGGGACTATTTCCACCTGGAAAAGAAGATTCCTGTGAGAGACAAGGCCTTTTATATGCAAATGTTTCCTACCGCGGGATCTGTCGGGGTTGATCTTCTTATGACTATGTTGAAACTGGATCCACGAAAGAGGGTGACTGCGAGAGGAGCTTTAGAACATGAATGGTGGAGAGTTGATCCAAGACCCACCAACAAAGAGAACCTCCCCAAACAAGGAGGTGGCGCCGCAAAGATGGCTACGGCTGAAGTTGCTGCACCTGGTGCTGTTCCTAACGAGAACAAATTCAAGGGTGTGGCTAAGAAACTCGATTTTGGCGCAGAAAGGTAGTGAAAGAGCAGACAAGCTCGTGTTCTCGCACCAAGGCGACCTACCAACCGATTTCTGGCCACGTTAACTAACTCGTCCAATCTTGGCCTGTATCACTCGGATGTCAGGTTATGGTCGAACCTTTCAAGTCTCGCTGGGCCCGAGATATGGAGCATCTCAGCCCTACTCGAACGCCTTCCGCCCGAACCTCCGTAACGGCTGCACAAAGACCACGGTGCAGGCTCCGTGGTCGTGTCTGACTATCAAGATCATGTCAGTCACGTCTCCTTGCAATGGGCTATCACTAATCTCAGTCGAAGAAATCGAGGCTCTGTTCATCCAGAACCGTCTATTCTCCAAGCGATCCCGAGGACATTTTCACTCTGCTGAACCTTAAGTGCCATACCAGTCATGAAAGTCCTTGTCTAGGTGGACAAACTCACCGCGATCTGGGAAACGACACAACCGTGAACGACTTAGTGGCTGCTGTCAATACCACGGAGTGATAGCGTATTGAGGTGGACCCTGACTTTGGTCATATTCGATCATTGGGCTGGACGGCTCTGAAATACAATTCGACAACGGCTCTGGCGGGAATATTCTTCTGCCTCCCGCAGTTCCGGTCTTGGGATTCGAGAGAGCGCCAAGCCCCTTGTGCTTGCTATCTTCTTCAAAACCGACCTAGACATGTCACTCAGAGAGCTGTACAAATTGCAGCCAGCTGGAAAAATTCGATCCCACAAATGAAACACCAAATGTAAGATCAAACCGGTATTCAGGCAGACTCGCAAAATCTCTCCATCCCACATGCAAACATTGAATGGTTCGTATTTCCTCGAGGAGTATAGAGCACACATGACGTATTTCCCAAGTATGCTCTTCTTTTACTCGGTATCGATTACTTTCTACTTTGAAGGGAAAGTCTATCAATCGGAGTCGGGACGTTGCAATTCTCTGCAGTCTTTGTTGGCTGAGCTCGCATACAGAAAATCAATCAAGACACTAATCAGCTTCGTTTTGCGATCTTGAAAGCATCGGGAATTGTTAACGACGCAACACTGGTCGCCCAATCGCACACAGCTTATCCAAGGGGATTCCGCTCTTGATCGCCTGGAAGACGACGGCTTAGTGAGCAGAGACGAGACCTGGGTGATCTGCAAGAATCTGAAGATCGGACTCCCTCACAGGCAGAGAGAATCTCAACATGTCGATGACGGGCAAGAATCCAGCCTCGTCGATGCTTCTTGAACAGGCATATTAGATTAGTCAGCAGAGAAGAAGATATTGTGGTCGATTGGACGTATCAGGATTATATTACGCTACCGAATGTACTGTACTCATCTATGAGGACTGGATAGAGTCTCGACGCAAGGGTTTCTTGGATGCAATTGGAAAGCGGGCATGCGAGAAGAGCTGATGAAGGAGGGCTGGCAAAAGGACCACCGGCAATGGGAAGAGTTGACGCAAGAAGAGCGGGCACATGGAGAGCCGATGCAAGGAGAACTGGCACAAAGTGAACTGACAGCAAGGAGACCGGAGTTTACTCAATGCCGGAACAAATCGAGCTCACAACAGAAGAACTAAAGAGAGCTTTCGCAGTAAAATTATGTGCGCTCGAAGGTAACAAGACGCCTCACAGAAGAGATTCATCTCGGGCTTGTCAATTGTCAGTTTCGAGCATTTGGCATTACTATCAGCACATCTTCGGCACAACAGCAGTCAATGAAGGAGAGGCTGAGTTGTAATTTGACATCCGTGCTGTTGTGCAAATCGGCTTTTCCGCCTTAATCAAACAAGAAAAAGGACAAAATAGAACACGTCGACATCTTCTGCGGATGAAAGTTGAGGGTCAGCCTTCCCATTTTGAATTCAGTTTGTCCAGGTTCCAAGACCAGCACGCTCGGTTAAAATTTGTGGTCTGGATTGCATTAATGTACATGTTGTCATTTTGTTGGGGCAACTCGACAGAATATTTCGAGCCATGATCCTGGCTCATGATTCAGAGTTCAGTATGACCGGAATCGGTATCGGTAGCATTGATGGCCCGATTCTGACCCAGGCCCCGGAGGATGCCTCCACCGGAGATCTGGCCCCAGGACTTCTTGAGTTCTTCGAATGCCATGTCAAATCGTGCACCCATGAGCCAGGCAACGAATACCTAGTTGAAATAAGCGTCAATCGAATAAAGCAAAGGAGAAAGCCGGCTGCGGTTTCTTACCATAGAAGCTGTGATGACAAGCAACATCGAAAACACAGCACCAAACAATATGAGCGTATCCTTCTTGTCGGCAGACTCTGTCGCAGCCTTTGCGCGAGCTTCCTCAGCCCTGGCTTTGGCAAGTTTTTCCTCCACATTTTGCGACGGGAAGAGAGATTCAATGAACCGTTCCACTTTACCGCATGCAAGGCTGATCTTCAGGAAATTGGGATCTTGTGGGCGATTCTTCTTGCGAATTGAATGCACGTGTCGCCGGAACACTTCACACACCAGTTGCAGATTCTGGGTCGATTCCATCATGAGTTGACATGCTTGGCCCTTGGAGATCTTGATGTTTCGTTCAAACATGGCGTAGTTCCGGAAACAGAGGTCCAAAGTGGCGATGGCCATGGATTGTGGGATGGCACAGAAATTGAACACACTCTGTTCTCTCAGGCCCGCCAGGTAGAAGAGACATTCGTCGGCGTGTTCAAGTGCGTTGAGAACCATGTCCGTCTGACAATTCAGGGCCCTCTCCTTGTTTTCTGGCTTGAAAAGATCTTCGAATCGGTCAACGTGTCTTGACCAGATCTCCTTTGGCCAGAACTTGCGGTTGTCGTCAAAGTCTTCTCGCACATCTCGAATGATGTTCGTCTTCTGCAAGAACAACCCCATGGACTCGTGGAGATGAGGTCTGTCCAAGAGAGCTGGATTGCCGAACTTGCTTTCCACAAACATCCTGGTCAGTCCCTCACCCACCAATCCTGCGACATAGAAGCAGTAGAGGTTATAGTCCTCCACCGTGTTGACTCCCAGTTCATTGAACTCGGCATTCAAACAGAAATCTGCCATGCCATTGCCCATCTTTCGGGTGATGTCCTTGATGATAGCTTTGTACGCAGGCTTCACCTTTTGGAACTCTTCAATAACGTATCTAAAGTTGACTAGCAAGTCGCGATCCTTCTCTTCTGGTCGGTTTTGGTCGAAATGCCAGCCATCGACCTCGAGATTTTCGTTGAACTTTCGTAGGACTGGCTCCTTCGTCTTAGCCGGGATGGACGTATCATCTTCGACAGTATCTAAGCCTCGGAGAACCAGGTAGAAAAGACAGACGGGCATCAGAAGCTCAGGATGTAATTCTTGAATGACGACGCTGAAACTGCGACTGGTCTTGTCCAAATATTGAAAACAAATTTTGGTCGCCTCGGACTCTTTAGACTCGTCTCTTTCGTGCACAGGGTTGTGCCAGACCTTCCTGGGGGGGAGAATGAGCGTCTATCACCTGTACTGTGTTCGGCGCAGTGTAACTCACCATTGGATTATGGAGCGCAGCTCCTGAACATGGATCAGATAGTAGAGAATGTCGCTGACTTTGGGCATTGTGACGATGAGACAAACAGTGATCGCAAGTGAATTTGGGGCTCAGCGTGACAGACAATTCGGGAATGGATGCAATTCTAACGAGCGACGAGGCAAAAAGTCCAATAAATTTAAAAAGAGGGGGTGTATAAGGCGAGCGCCGTGCTGTGAGAGTACTAGAGCATTTGTGAGTGGTGTGGAGGCTGGACCTTGGGTTTGCCGAATGGTACGATCGATTGATGATGGATTGCAGGTACCTCTTGGGTACTTAGCACGTTGTACAATCCCCATACTGGATGTCAGTACTCCTCCGTACTGCCACTAACTGTAGTACAGCCACTTGAGTTGCACGGTCAGAGATGTGGCTCAGTCTTTTTTACCCGCATCCTGCATCCAGCTTTCCAAGCAGTTTCAACCTATGACTTCACCTCGTTGTACTCATAGACACGCGCGGCTCAAGGCTGCAGTAAATATAATCAGCTTCTTCCGAATTTCGCATTTATGCTTGCTCGCCTTCTCGCACCTGCGTTGACCAAGTCTCCGATTCACCTATTCCAAAACTTCCTCCCAATTTAGTGCCAACACCCCCAGTCAGAGTGCGGTCAACCTTTTCGCACTTCCTCCAACAAATTTCTATCCCGGTATTCGACCGCCTCTGGGAACTACGAGCAGAACAATTGCTGTGCATAACAAGGGCTTGGCGAGAAGAGAGATACATCTGTGAAATCGGAAAGACTCGCCGCCTGGTGGCTTTACAGTATCTTGTCAACTACTACTATCATGGTCGTCGATACATCATACTACGATGCTTTAGGCGTCAAACCCGATGCCTCTGAATTAGAAATCAAAAAGGCCTACAGGAAACTTGCCATCACCACCCATCCTGACAAAAATCCGGGGGATGAGACCGCCCATGCTAGGTTTCAAGCCGTTGGTGAGGCGTACCAAGTCTTGTCCAACAAAGATACCAGAGCTGCCTACGACAAATATGGCAAAGAAAAAGCAATGCCCAGCCAGGGCTTCGAGGATCCCGCAGAGTTTTTCAGCATGATATTCGGCGGTGATGCCTTTGTCGACCTGATTGGAGAACTGACACTGCTGAAAGACCTCACCCATACCATGGACATTACCATGGAACAGATGGAGGAAGAAGAACTTGCCAAAAATGCGGAAGAAAAATTAAATGTTCACGACGCAAAAGACAAGGAAGCCGCCACCACCGCTGCTGCTGGTATGAGCGCGAAGGAGAAAGAGGCCGCTGAACGTTCTCCTTCAGGAAGCACAAGTCCACCGCCTCCCCCTCCATATGTCTCAGGGGAAGAAGGATCTACCTCGGCTGCACAGTCATCAGGGACCAGCACGCCGCGAAGAAGATATCTCGGCCAGCAAACTATTACGGATCGATCTGAGGAAGATGCCCGTATGGATGCGGCAGGACTGAGCCAGGAGGAGAAAGACTTGCAAAAGAAGAAAAAAAAGGGGGGGTTGACCAAAGAGCAACGTGAGAAGTTGGAAGCGTATGAACGTGAACGACGAAAACAACGAGAAGAACGAGTTGAGACCTTGTCTAAGAAACTGATCGATCGCATAAGTATCTGGACAGAGACAGACAAGGGCCCTGAAGTGACGCATGCTTTCCAGGAGAAGACAAGATTGGAGGTTGAAAATCTCAAGATGGAGTCATTCGGGATCGAGATTCTCCACGCCGTTGGCCAGACCTACCTGCAAAAGGCCACCTCGTTCCTTAAATCCCAGAAATTCCTAGGCATATCAGGCTTCTTCTCCCGTCTGAAGGATAAGGGTACTCTGGCCAAAGAAACGTGGAACACCATTTCCACGGCAATCGACGCCCAGCTTACCATGGAGGAAATGGCCAAACTAGAAGAAAAAGGCGGTGCTGATTGGACGGACGAGAAAAAGGCAGAGTATGAGCGAAAGGTTACAGGCAAGATTCTGGCCGCTGCCTGGAGAGGCTCTAAATTTGAGATTCAAAGCGTGCTGCGCGAAGTCTGCGATAGAATCCTGAATGATAAGGCCGTCAGATTGGAAAAGCGGGTGGAGCGCGCCCATGCTCTCGTTCTGTGCGGTACCATCTATCAAAAGGTGAGCTTCTCGGCCCCCTTCCACGGACTCAACATGTATGCTAACTTGAATTCCACAGGCAGAACGTGATCCTGACGAAGAAGGTGACTTTATGGCCTTTGAGCAGCTTATGGCCGAATCCATGAAGAAGCAAGAGAAGAAAAAGGAAAAGGAGAGAGACCAACCGCAGCAATACAAGCACCATTTCAGCCATAGGGATGCTTCGCCAGCAACGTGATCGTGCCTAGATAAAGCAGGAGTCTGGCTTTGGCATTTCCTTCTCAGATCAATAAACGGCCGAAGGACATTCTTTGCCGATGAATTTAACCACAAACTCAACTCTTCAACGGTGGTACCTCGTACGCACGCCGGCGATGGGAAGTAATCGGTGAGCTCTGATCGGATTCGATCAGATCATGATCAATCATCGGGCCAGAGCAGAAGAGCAAGACAGGATAGAGAGCGCTCGAAACATTAATCTAAACTCCTATTAGATACCACTTCGAAATGATACTTCGGCCACATGCATTTTGAAAAGGTCTTGGATGGTATTCCCTTTTTCTGAGATTATGAGAGTTGAGACCAAGAGTGATGGTATTTTATCTGTACACCTAATAGTCTACAGTACATTGATGGTCCTCCATTCTGTTTCTCGAATATTTTTGGCCAGTCTATCAGTTATAGCGGGCGATCAGTCCATTTACCTCTTTCTTTCCTTTCTTTCTTTTTTGGATTTTCTGCCCAGCAAAATGCTCTCTCTTTCCCCACCGCCATGATCCAAGCACAAGACAAAACAAAAGCAACTTCGCCACAGTGGGGGGTATCATTTGTACAAGTGTGAGATAAACATGAGCCAAATAACCTCCGAATGGGATGAGAGGTGTATGGGTAACGGGAAATTCTTGCTGGCTCCTGGCCAGATCCTTTCAACTAGCCACCATCCAGAACTCAACGCCGAGAGGGAAGGGGAAAAAAAAGAAACCAGATGAAATGAAGTGAAACGAGAGACGCTGTCGTACCACCTTCCGGCGACCCTCTAACCATTCCATGCAGCTTTGTCATTATATCATTAAAAAGGAAAGAGGTAGAGCAGCGATGTTCAGGCTTCGAAGGCGTGTCGTTATTCTGCCTTCGAAATTCCGGCAACCTCGCCTAAGAGGTTTGTGATTCCGGCCGGCAAAGCGACCGCGTTGGCTTCTCTTTCAGCCCATGGTTGAGGACCGCCCCAAATCTGGGCTTCGTCCAACTTGGATTTGGCCAGGCTAGGACTTAGCAGTCCCTGTCCAGCCTCCGGCTCCCCGGTTCCGTTAACGAACCCTCGTTCGTCAAGCTCGTCGTCATTTAGAACGCGACCTCCTAACTTCACGTCGCCGATTCCGACTCTATAATCCAACGCTTTCGTCCCCTCACGAATCAGTTCTTCACAACAGGTCATACACCGCATAATAGTCTGTGTGAGTTTTTGCGAATCGACAATGAGTTGTTTGTGTTTGGAGAGGTCCATTCTCAGTCGCTTCTCGTCTCTTTCACGCTGGCGTGATCGAGCTGAGGGACTTGTCAAGGAGCCCGAGTCGTTGGAAACAAGCGAATCACCCTCGTCGTCTATGTCATCTAACTCACTGTCTTCGTCAAGATCAGACAGTGGTCCATCCTCGATTTCCTGTTCTGTAACAGTGTCGAGGCTGTAAGCGGATTGCCCAGAGGCTGTCCTTGTAGTTGATGCAAGCGACAGCCTTCCCGACCTTGATAGACGACGATATCTTCTTAATTCAGTGCTCTGCTTCCGGAGTTCGCGCTCAAGAGTTTTGTTGATGGCTAATAGGGACGAGTTGGAGATCTCCAAGTCGAGAACTTTGCGCTCTCGGCGAGCATTCGCTGCATCATCGGTTTGAGATTGGATAGGGGACGTTGCTTGATCGAGTGATAGATCAGAGGGGTTCATTGGCATGATCTGTGGTTTCGCAATTTCAGAAGAAGAAGAGTCGGTCTCACTTGTAACGGACGTGGGTACTGTGTTCGTCGAAGCCAGGCTTGTAGATCTTGGACTTAGTGTGTCAGGAGACAGAAGATGGTTTCCCAGGAGGCGCGGAGAGCCTGCCGGAGCAAGGCGAAGATCTAATGGCTGAGGGGTGGGCATAATTGGACCGCTGGATTTTCCAAGGGGTGTGGTTGTAATCGAACTCGCACTGATAGACTTGCGGTGTCCCACTCGAGCATTAGGCTGAGATGCGCCCATACTGCTTGTCGAACTCTTGGGTCGTTCCGCGCTCGTTCGAGGAAGTGTTGAGAGTGATGGCATAGGAACTGGCAGAATCTGTCGAGGGGAAGAGGATCGGGCGAAGGCTAGGTTCGGCACTTTGGTGGGAGATAAAGGAGGACTCGTAACATGATTTGGTCCATTTGATACAGCGATCGTATTGTTGAGTTTCTCTGTTGGTATATGGGGGAGAGGTGATCGCTTCGGAGGAGCATACTGAGGAATATCGTTAGCCCTGAAGAACTTTTCATCGAGATCTTCTTCTCTTCCATTCATTCCTTCTCGAGATGGCGGCGCTGGACTGGCAGGAAGTAGCGGTGGTGAACCGACCAACAAATGGCCTCGAGCCGGTGGAAGGCGTGGGCCTTCTTCTATTCCCGGAGAGCCGATGGACGATTTGACTTCGTCTGCGTGGAAGAACTTGGATGAAATGTCTCTGTCGTCTTCCACCATACTCTTTGCAGCAGAAATCCTCCTATGTACTGTGACAGCGGGCGTCGAACCCGGAGTTCCGACTTTTGGCAGAGCACCTGTGCTAGCGGCAAATCGCGGACTGGTTATGTCGAGTCCTTGCATGTGGCCACCATTTGGCTTGGGCGTCTCGTTCCCTGAAGACGCTGGACCATTGTTGACACCTTTGACCGACGCCGGAGTCGATGGCGACTCAGTTCCAATTCTTGATTTTCGTGCACCCGACCGGGGTGTGATATTTCCATTGAGTGGTGTTGTCACCTGATCGACTTTACCTGGAGATTTCGAGCGTACAAAAGGCTCCTGGCAGGAGGTCACGACGGGCGACGACGGGCTTGAACCAACTAGCCTCGGAGTCAAAGGGCTCTTAGTATTTCGGAAATTCGAGCTGAGGGCGGGCGTAAGTGGTTTGGAGGTATTGGACTTCGATTGTTTATCTCCGGGCATGGTCGGGAGGGGTGAACGTCGAGATCGAGGTGGAAGTGGATGGGATTGATCTCGCTCTCGCATGGCAGCGACGGGTAAATATCTGGTGCCAGACGGCTATCATCGTCAAGTGGCGCTAGGGTTTGTATTTGTCGTGCAGATAGATGGTCATTGCGGGTGGAACAACGACCGAAAATTGGAGGTCGAGTTTCGTGAATGTCAACAGAGTTTGTTTGAGTCGAGTCGGAAGCTACTTGGCAGAAACTGTAAACTCGCTTGGGCCGGTTTAGCTAGCCGAGCACTCGCCTTTCCCAGACTTGACGCGCCCCGGACAAAACGCCTTGACGCCTCTCCCCTTGTCGCGTCACGAACCCCCCCTCTCTGCCTAGGTACCAACTACGCGTGCATAGATCAGCCCCAGCCATGCCGACCATTGCTTTCCTGCTGCAATGACCGTGGGTGATGTAGACAGTATCCCGTCCAAAGATGTCGACGATGCCAATGCCAAACACACGGGAGATGCCACAGTGCTGGCGCAGGCAGAAGCTCCGGGCACCTCACAACACCATTCCTTGAAACACCACCTCCTCGGGCCTTCGTTGACAAAAGCAGGACAGGATACAGTCGATCAAAAGAAGGTATCGGAGATCATCTACGAAGCCTCGAAAGGCTCCAAATACTTCAACAATGAAGAGGTCAAGGACAAGAATCTGAGCGTCAAGATTGAACGCATCCGGAAACAGAAGGCGCAATTGGAGAAACTTGATCTCAAGGCAGACCTACGGCGAGCAGATGACTACATTGCGTCGCTGGAGCTGTCAAGAGATCTCTCTCAGTATGTCGTCCACATCGACTGCGACGCATTCTACGCTACGGTCGAAGAAATCGATCGACCAGAGTTGAAGAATGTACCCATGGCCGTTGGGATGGGTGTTCTCACCACCTGTAACTATGAGGCCCGAAAATATGGGTGTCGGAGCGCCATGGCAGGTTTTGTGGCCAAGAAACTCTGTCCACAGCTGATCTGTCTGCCTTTGAATTTCGACAAGTACAGGGCCAAAGCAAAGGAAGTAAGAGCAATCTTGTCCGAGTACGACCCGCGGTTCGAGAGCTCCAGTATCGACGAGGCATATATGAATATCACGGAATACTGTCACACCCACGATGTTGACCCGGACGCCGCCATGGAGCAGCTCCGGAAAGAGGTCCATGAGAAATGCAACATCACCATCTCTGCCGGGATTGCCCCGAATGCCAAATTAGCTAAGATATGTTCCAACAAGAATAAACCCAATGGTCAATTCCGAATTCCGAATGATCGAGCTGCTATCATGTCATTTATCTCAGCGCTTCCCGTCCGAAAGGTCAATGGCGTTGGCCGTGTCTTTGAGCGAGAACTGGACGCCATCGGAATCAAAACGTGTGGTGATATATATGCGCAACGCGCTTACCTCCACCAACTCTTCGGCGAGAAGGCCTTTCAATTTTTGATGCAAACCTGTCTTGGCCTTGGGCGAACCATCGTGCAGCCAGCGGAGGAGTACGAGCGGAAAAGCGTGGGTACAGAAAGTACATTCCGCGACATCAGCACTAAACAAGAGCTGCGTGAGAAGCTTCGCTATACTGCCGAGGAACTGGAGAAAGATATGGCTCGCGTGGAAGTCAAAGGGCGAACCCTCGTGCTCAAAGTCAAACTCCACACGTACGAAGTATTCACTCGACAGGTCGTGCCTCCCAAAGCAGTCCATCTGGCCGAAGACCTCTACAATTACAGCCTTCCAATGTTGGCTAAACTTGAAAGAGAGATGCCAGACTTCAAAATCCGTCTAATGGGACTTCGTTGCACTCATCTCGTGAGTACGAAGAAGGACAGGCCTGATTTCTTCCGTCGACGGGCAAATAACACATCCACCAGTGAGAAGCATGCCGACGAGGGAGAGTGGGAAGTATGGCCTGACTCCGAGTTTGAGGAAGCAGCCCGGCGAGAAAGACAAGAAGAGTTCGAAGAACTTGAACGTCTTAGCCAGGAACAACAAGCCCAGGAGCAAGGCCACCTCGGATTGGGTGCTGGCGACGAGACATCAACAGCAGACTGGCACGAGCCCTTCGGCCGCTACAAATTCGGCAGCGAGCCTAATTCACCAGCCAAACACGGGCGTCTCAGGAATGAGGCCGCTGCGACGCAAGATAAAGGAGAACCCGAACGACTGTGGGACTGTCCGATCTGTCAACTGCCTCAACCGGCCAACGACAAAGAATTCAACAGCCACATCGACTCATGCCTTTCGAGGCAGACAATCAAGGAGGCCGTGGCTGAAGCCGAGGTCTCGACCGAGTCGACTCGTGTTGCATCGCCCGAGACCTTCGGAGTAGAACAGATATCAAACCTACCTAGTTCGGCGGTCGGGAATGCACGGGTCATGATTAGTAAACGCAAGGCATCTTCGAGTGTTCCTTCTACATCTAGCGCCGGTACGTTGGCGGGACGGAAACAGAGGAAGCTTTTCTTCACTTAACTCGTGCACAGATGGGGTAATTTGATAGCATGGCGCTGGCAACGAATGAGTTCCTTAGGACAGAGATGTACGAGAAATAGAAATGAATTGAATCCTTGGACGCGAAAATTCCAATGAATTTGAATCCATATGTATAAATCTCACAGTGAACGTGGGAATTTTGACATCTGCCGCGCCCATATACTCTAAGCCGTGCATTGAAAACCTAGTAACTACATAGGGCCCTTTGACATACAAGGCTTTGGCCAAGGTCCCGGTCCAGAGCGCCTGACAGCCGCCATATCATATAATATCAAATCCATCCAATCCATCCCATACATTCACGACCCCGTACCGTCCCCAAGATCGAGGTCGATTCTCCTTCAGTCTACCCTGCGCCGTTGAATGCAATCCAAAATACCCCAGTCTAGCAAAGAAGGCTGCCTCCCGAGCCTGTCTAGCCTGAGTCCATGCTCAATCGGATATTTAACTTACTCTCCTCCTGGTCGGTCTGTCTAGGTCATCATCTTCATCCTCGTCGTCTTCATCAACCTCAAACGGTTTGTCCGACTCCTTTTCTCTCTTCCTCTGCTCCTCCTTCATCTCCCTGTACGTGGCGTAGGTCAACATGCAAAAAGCAATGATGATTAATGCACATCCAGCAAGAGCGGCGGGACTCAGCGGTTTCCCGGTGATCAGCCAGTCTGTTATTCCAACCAGGAAAATCGTCAAAAGAGCGGCGACAGAGCTGAGAACAGGAGAAGTAAGGGACATCAGAACGAGGAAGGATCCGGAGAAGACGGCGTTCGAAAGCGTCGAGACAGCAAGAAGACTCGCGGCTTTGCCAGTGGGGACTTCGAAAGTTTCCAAACCCGTAATGTGAAGGACTGGGAGAGGGATCCAGAGAACTGTCAAGGTGAAAAGTCCGACCATGCTGCCGAAGGTGTTGGCAAAAATCATGCCCCGGCCGGGAGATGTGCCTTCGGGCGGGCAAGCGAAGCGCTTATAAAGCACTTCATAGAAGCCGTAGGCCACAGAACCGATACCAATGATGATGTTACCCAGGAGTTTAGTACCAAACCCTTTCTCCGCGCCGGGGTTCGAGGTTCCCGGGCCCGGGGTAGAGTCATCTTTGTCACCGTACGCGACAACTAAAACGCCAATGATCGCTAAGACGACAGAGAAGGCTTTGCCGAAGCGTAGCTTATCGTTCAGAAGCATGATGGAAAAAACATAGGCGAAAAAGGCTGAGCAATTATAGATCGCAGTTAAGTCAGAAGGCGACGTCAAGTTGACTGCCACATACCATGATCCGCCGGCCATGGTGAGGAATGTGGTGATGAAGGCCGTAGTTTTGAACATATAAGGCCAGGGAGAAGTGGCGGTGGTTTCTGCGGATAGGTGGAGATCTTGAGACCGAACCATCTGAGCAGTCGAGCGGAGAAGGTATACGTGTCGGCGCCAGAAGGAATACCAGGATAATTTCCGTTTCTGTATCCGTATTACAAGAAGTTGAACAGGCCATAGGAACACCCAGGAGCCATGCGTCAAGTACATCATACAGTATGCTTTGTTCCATTTTAATTCGTGTTGTATGTACACAGCGGTCTCGGTTTGCACGACGAAGGAGACGAGCGAGAGAATGAGAAAGAAGGTCGCGTAGATATATTTCCGGCGCACCATATCCTCGGGCTGAGTGTATGTCGGTGATCTTGATCGGAACGTACTTCTTGGGGGAGCAAAAAGGGGTCTGCTTGATCCATGGTGACTGGGACTCTCTGGCCTCCCTCGACTGGACTGTTTATCTTCTTGCAATAAAGGTACGTGCGACTGGGGCCCGGTAGGTCGGTGCATTGAAGGTCTCTCCGACATCTCGTCGTCGTCTGAGGGATCAGGATCGTCGTCTAGGTCAAAATGAACTCGTTCGTGTTGCCGATCGGCTCGGAACTCGTTTTTAATGTTGGAGGGCAAGGAAGACAGACGCAAGGGGCTCGAGGGACGCACGGAGGGATTAGAGGTGCCTGGAGGAGGGAGAGGCGACTCAGTGCCAGGGGGAGTATAAACGATATCTCCACCGGTCGAGTCGCTACCTTCAGACGTTGTCATCCATGCGGTTGAAGAAGACAGGTCACCAGATAGGGTCACCGGTCAGAATGGGATAAGGAATAAATCAGGCGCTGTAATAAGCCAGTTGAAGGCGACGGAGATTTGCTCTCGTCAAGATCATTCAATTGTGCAGATATAATCTTCAAGGTTATCGTCAAACAATGACGATAGAGTAATAGGGGGCGTCCAGAAGCACAGGCTGAGGAGGGCGACAGATTCCATTATTTGCATAGACTTTTATGGTATTGGAACCCACGGTCGTCAGCGTGACCCCGACCTCATTCTCAGCCTCATCAGACACGAGCCACTTCGCGACACAGCCACAATTATCACGTGCCAGACGTAGTTTCTTAGCCATGCCAGGAGAATCCGCAGTCTAAGTTCTGCCACTGCTGTGGTAGTAGCTCTGCAAGGCGCGGAGTATTTCAGGTATGCGAGGTTTTTTATTGTATTGGAAGCATGTTTACCCTGGTTACGACATGAAATGCCTGGTGAAGTGCGGCTAGCTTCGCTAGGGCTACCACCGGGGCTGTCAGGATATATTACAAGCATATCCGTGAAGATTGACTCGCCTAGGCGAACAGGCAGGGAGAATGCCGGTTGGGCGTGATAACCCAATGATCCCCAATCTCGAATCGTTTCGGTCTCAGTTTATCTGTCGAGGCCAGCTCTCGCAGTCGCATCGAGTGCCTGATGCCGCCACATCCTTTGTCAATTCGTGTTAGCCGAACCCTTAAACACCTTGGAAAGCCAATTGATATGAATGTACGGCAGCCAGTCAAAGTCCAGTGTCTCGCTTGTATGGTCACGATCCAGCATCGCCTCTCCCTGATGGTCAGGCAGGTTTGTCGGCCTCAATTCAGCGGACGAGATCTATGCTACCAGGACGGATCTTCAGGCTACCTCCGGTATATGATGGCTCCCTTTCGGGTACGTCCAAATACTTTCCTCATCGGCTGTGTTCTGTTCAATCTATTATCCTAACCCTAATAGGTTCATTTCTGTCGATTGATACTCTTTTCTCAAGAACCACATAAAGCCACGAGCGTTGAGATGACAGTGTTGTTTCTCCCATAAATCAACATGGTTCACCAACGCAGTCTTATAAGAATGAACGATATCTCCAATCAGATCAAATCGACCAAAAAAGGCCTAAAGGGAGCCACTTACGTCCTAATGGCAGTGCATCGAATTGTTCAGGATTTGTTTAGCATCCATCCAAAGCTATACACTATACCAATAGGGAGCACAGAATGGTTCAATCGAAAAACGAGGCTGAACAAGGCTGGGAAGGGCTGTGGATAAGATATCCGCACCGTCACAGCTGCTATAGACATGCATGTGTGGACGGATGGCCAGAGACTTCGATAGGGAAAGCATGCACCCTCGAGAATTCTGTGCTCTAGTGAATTCTCGCTTTAGGGAGACCCATTTCTCTTCAAGTGCTTCGAATTCCCACGATGTGGAGTTGGCAGACGCCCAATCGGAAGAGGATGACAAAGATGACAACCTTTTCTGGAGCTGCTACGGCCACGTGCCTTGATATCACACAGTAATGTTGGCCATGCCAGTCGTTAATCCATGAGCCAGAATGGGGAATGTGGCTACTCTTGCTGGGAGGCTTTGCACGTCTTCAAACAGCGGCACGGATATGATAATGCCAAGCGCCTGAAGAAAAGTGTCTGACAACTCTAATTTGGACATGTTTTTCAATATATGGTTTTGCAAGTTTTTATGGTGGGCGAAGAGATTATGATGAATTCGCGTTTAGCGTGTGGTAGATTACCATGTGATTAGGTGTTGTTCCGACTTCCTAGGCAAGAAGCTGAACCTAAAACTATAGCCTCATATCTCGCAATACCGCCACCGTAGATATAATCATTCCATCCCTTGGCATTTCCATCCGCAATGTATGGCTCACTACCTCCCATTCATACTATTTGGCACACTGCTATACATGGAACCGCCAATGACACGACCCGTGATCTCAGACGTATCCAACAGCCCAGCCTCCAACCTTTTGACTTTCATCCTATGGCGGATGAAGAGGCCCAATGCGACCAGTGCAATCAACACGATCCCTCCTACCACGCCTCCGATGATTGCGCCCTTGTGCTGATCCCACGTCGACTGGGTTTCAGCAGTTATACTAGCCCCCGCCGCATCACTGGCAACCGGTGTTCCTTGAACAGTTGTTGTGGCTGTGGAAATGATAGTAGTGGCACCAGTAGAGGTTATGGTCGATACGTCTGGGGTAACTGTAACGGTAGCAGTAGCGATTGAGAATGTTACTGAATTGAGAATCGTCGTCAATATGGAGGTCGATATTTCTGTCGTTGTTACAGTTGTCGTCACGTTCTCTGAGTCTGTTGGTGTCACCGACGTTATGTAGGTGACAGTAGCCGTAGTCGCATTGGGCGTTAGGGTGACCGTGCTTTCCTGGACGACATATTGATTCCATGGAGTTACGTTCACAACTTCATTTGTATTGGCGCATATGTAAGAGGTATAGTTGTTTTCGACGCCATCTGTCAAAATGGCAGTGAAGCAATATGGGTAATCAGATAGAGTGCTGGAGTTTGCATCCTGTGTCAGCCTTGCTCTATGCATCCACATTGAGGACACATTGATGGCAAAGAGACGTACCAGCACATAGTTCCAAATGAACATGAGTTCGACTCAATCGACGCCGACTCCACACACAGAGTGTCTGTTGAGATTGAACAATCGGTTGGATCGTCGCAACACCCCCATTGAGATATGCCACTGTCGGAACCGCATTGTTGTCCGCTGGGACAGGTAAAGAAATAGTCATCCCAAAATGCGCAGGTCACATCCGCACGTTTTCGCAACCTCCGAAGTACAAGATCTGGAGACGGAGCCAATGTAATCAAAGGACTTTCGGGCGACACAGGGGGGGATAGTATCGACATCTTCTTGTTAAATGTCTCATATGGACATAAGAGCAATATATCTTGAAGCAGTGGCAAGATCAGGTCATCTACCAAGACTCGCTGAAATGAGAGTTGGAGAATCGAGGACCGTCAGGCTGAGACAATCGACCATGGGCTTGTTGTGGGGTCATCGTTAAGGGCAGGGCAAGAACATGGGACAAGTCCTCCTTATCAGAATCACCGACTATCCTCACCCGTGGTTTTGCACAATGGCTGATGCCTTTCCATATCGAGTCTTTCAACTTGTCAAAGCATGGGCCAGATGCGTTGCTTGGGCTCCAGCTTCTGTAGCTCTTCTTTCTCCCGCGATGTCACACTGAAATCGTAAGCCCCGCCCTCGCTTCGCTTAGGTTGGGAGATGGCACTGGTGTGAATTTTGCTAGTGTTAAACTACAGTCCTGCTTCGTCAAGACCCTTGCCCCGGCATTAGGCGCGTGGCAGATGGGGATGGCACAATGGTTAATAGTCTTATCTCAAGGTTCAGGATTGTTAGGTGCTAGAAATGTAAGGTTGCGAGCCTTTTATGGTGGAAATTGGGGTTTGGGACCAGGTCATGCTTCCTCAGCCTCGTTTAGGTATTTTCGAATGATCCAGAGCAAACTGAGGGGGGAATATATGTGGAAGCAAATCTGAGGTTGGTGGAACTTTCAGTTACTGTGAACACAACAAAGAGGAAAGAATTCTCCATGTTGATGGAGGACGGAGCGCTACAGGATGCATGGTGATGAAGAAAAAGGGAAAATACGTGTTACCAGATACTGCAGTAGCACGAGCCTAGTGTACTGATACCGTCACAATACTATGTCTGCCATCCATGTCCAAGCCCTAGTCAATCATGAGTTCCGACCCAGCACTCGTGCCCGACAACCTGCACCTCTGGAACCGAACAAGTATCAACTACAAGACAATGCCTTTCCAGAGTTCCAACCCACCAACAAATGCACAGTCTGGTCCAAAATTTAGTTAGCCTAGCTTGCTGCTAATTTTGGATCTGGGCTTAACGACCAGATTAAGACTGAACACCAGGTCGTTCTTCACCCTCCGTCGCCCGAAGCATTGGCCTGAAGTTGAAATTTTGACGGGGCGGTTGGCAAACTATGCTGGAGAAAGAATGACCCGAACCCAGAGGCTCTCATTCGAGACTCAGCATCAAACGCACGAATGGCCCAGGGCGCGCAAGATGTGGGACAACTGGGGCAAGGTTCTCTTCATATTTTGCAATTGTTCGATTCGAGCTACACTGTTCTTTCCGTTGATCAGACAATAACCGAGCATCTCAAAAGCGTGGAAAGTGCAAAGGAAAAATTGGATTCGGCAAAAGCAATGCTCAGCGGACTTGGGCCGCGCAATTCTCCTACCGAGAAAATACACATGCAGCAACTGATCAGGAATGCTGAATACTGTGCACGAATATTGGCACAAGACCTTCACCCCGCAAGGGGTGACCCTTTGTCATTTCAGGCCGCTGGGTCGACATCACGGCCATTTTTGATCCTCGGTTCTGACCAACCTGCTATATCGACACACCTTCAAGAATTGAGCTCTGCTTGTAGCTCTCTGGAAAGATTGATCGAAGCCTGCAAATCCTCTCCTGCTCCAACAAGTCTGGATGAATCTAAGAGTGATCTCCCAGATTATGATCCAAGCATGCTCCTGCATTACAGAAGAGTATCAAGAATTCGATATCGACGTGTAAACAGCTTGCCAGATGTCGATCAGTCTAAATCCGAACCTCGAGAATCTCTAGAACAAAGTCCGAATGTGATAACTTCATCCAGTGAATCGTCGCTTGGAAGACACGAATTGCCCGCCCGGCCAACTTCAACATCACCGGCCCAAGGGAATTTTCGTGGTCCAGTTTGGTCGCCATCTTTGACATCGATGCCCGAGCTTGAGGGTGATCCGGTTCCAATTGCGGCTCGTGATAACGATGACTGCGCGGTAATTCCTTCCCGTGATATTGACGAGAATGCCAGAGAATTTCCTCTTCGCCCGGTCAAGTCTTCGTCTCATCCAGATTCACCGTATCTCCATCCGACGCCTCCAAGAACCTGTCCGTATCCTCTTGGTACGCAGGATGGCGATGCTAGGTTCCTCGAACCGGCTTCCACTTCCAACATGTTGCAGCGGAGAGGATATACGACAGCTCTTCCGCAAGATTCACAAATGCATTCTGATCGGTGCAGAGGCGACACCGACGTCAGCTCCAGTCGCGATAACTCGGGCTTATTTAAAGGCTTGTCTCTTCAGAAGACTACAGCCTCGAGTTTGACATCGCTGGGCACCTCGCGAGCTGATAATGACAGTGCAAGCACCGTATCTGGTGTTCTCACCCATTCAACTTCAAGATCATCTCAGCAATCGGACCGTATACGTCACAGAACTTCCTTTACATCGACTTCACGGCAAAATTCAGACCAAGCTGTGCGGAATCAGCAAAACCTAGCGGTCGCCAGCTCCGGAGGGGCGATTGGAGTTCCTAGCAAGGATACAATGCAACTACCACTAGGAAGTCCCGTCAGGGCCGACCAGATCCTACACCTCAGGGGCGACGGAGGCGCTCTTTCAAAACGTCCCTTCATACTCTCATCGGAATCCATCGAGCCTCCCTCGACTAGACATTATCCTCCACAATTCGGCCACAACAGTAACGCAGAGCAATTTCACCAAACTATCACCTCAAGACGGCAGTTGGAGCAGTCCCAGCGAGGTTCAACGAGCACAAGCCCAGATACTCATCTGCATTCCCATTCAAAGTCTTTCCATATCATCGCCCCGGACATTATAGAGCTACCGTCAGGAACATCTACTGAACCGCAGTCCTTTACACTGAGACAAGAGCTTCAACACCAACATCAACAGCCCTTACGGACAAATTCGAACTCTGGAATCGACGTTAGGATACCTGCTCAAATCGAAGACAGCCCAGTCATCACCGAGTCCAGTAGTGGAAGCAGCAGAGCGCCTAGTACACCACGGCCAGCCCGGAAGCGAAGTTCTTGGCTCTTCCGACAGGTCGAGAAAGCTGGACTGTGACCAAAGAGGGGAAGCTTGAACATCTGAGACTGGGGACGATATCATCACTCTCCCAAATATTTGGAAGGTATATAATAACCAATGCCAATATCGATTGGAGATAGCTCCACTACCTGCGTGAGCAGAAGAACATGCCCTATATCCTCCTATAAACCACATTGCTGAGGACTTTCTGGTCCTCTTTCATGAGCTTCCTTCCCCCTTGACCAGTCACCTTGACCAATGCCGGGACCGTGACAAGAGAATGTGTTCCCGTCTCTTTACTCGCGCTATTGGCGATGTCTGCCCAACCATCTCCCCAGCGTATCTCAAACTGCTCGGGATGGCTGAACAGCCAGACGCCAAATTTGGCCGCGCTTTCCATGACCTCAGTCAGATGCTGCACCCGACGGGACTCTTCGAATTGTGGATCAGCCCACAAAGAAAAGACGTGGGAGAAATGGCGTGCGGAATCGGCGCTGGCATTTGAAGTCCATGGCGAGGACCGGTATGTTGCTGCGAGATGCTTGAGACGCATATATGCTTGCGAAGGAGCGTGCGAGACTGTATATAATGTTAGAGACGGGGGTTTTGATGTGGCAATCTTCAAAATAGGGTACAAACCTGTATGCCCTGGTGACATAGGCTCGTCCTCCTGATTATGCTCCCTCTCCACGTCTCGCACAGCGGTTAGAAGCTGCAGTGGTAGCAGAGACCGCTCACTGTTCCCAGAACCTGGCGATATTGCGGCCATGCTGATCTCGTAAGATAGGACGTGCTTGAGAATGGTCGTGGAACGCGGAGATTCTTCGAGGCAATGAACGAGCGGCGACCGGAGCACCGATGTGTCATACCGAGATAGTGCTCCTTCTATCGCGGGTGGGATCATGGGGCTTTTCTCTTGGTAGAAATTCTCAATGTGTAGTTCGATCAGCTCATAGACTGTCGAGAACTTTGCCTTCACTGTAGCATCGTCCGCTTGCTGGGGTAGCAGGACCTCGTTTCCAGAGTACGACGGACTGTTCTCGTATGGCGCCACGGCAACGGGGAGAGCCTTCTCGGAGAGTCCGCCGTTATAGTTCCCTTCAGGTCGATTGAGTGCCTGCTGGTGTTCGTGGAAAGGCCTATTTGAGTGCAGCTGTCGCGATTGTCGAGATCTTCTCCTTAGGAAGAAGAATGCAGTGATTCCGATTAATGCCACGAAGACAACTACACCGACACCGATACCGGCTTTTGCTCCGGTGGAGAGTCCCTCATTACTGGGACCATTTCCGGGAGATGTTGATGGGCTCGACGTTTCGGCCGGTGCAGCAGCGTTTGAAATGCTACTTATGGAAGTAGCTGCAATTGAAGTGCCATCAGAAGAGCTGGTTATCGAACTTGAGAAGGTCCCTGAGCCTGAAGTATGTGACGATATAGAAGTATCAGTCTTGTCGGTTGGGCCGGCAGATAGGTTGGACACCACCGACGAGGAAACAGAGGAGGAAGACGAATGCGTCGTGCCGGCATTAGATGTTTTTGATAGCGATGTCCCGTCACTGGCACTCGGAGGTGAAAGACTAATAGTATTGGAATTGGGGGTTGAAACTGATGGGCTGCTTGCTGGGCCCGATTCTGCTCTAGAACTACTGAGAAAGGAAGGATTTCCAGTTGTTGTAGCCATAACAAGGACTTCCTGATCCTTGAGGCCTAGTGTTGAAAGCCCTTCTACAAGGCTGTCAGGATATTGACTTGCTCCTCATCGAATGTGAGAGGGAGGCAGTTTTCAAGATACAAAAGCATTTGACAAGAGCGGCCAGCAATGCACAAAAATACCTCATATCCAAGGGTGAAAGAAAATGCTAGTCGGGTTTTCCAGGACGCCCTGAGGCTGAAAGAGAGCGAGCAAATGTTCATTATTGGTACGAGATGTGTAGGGGAGGGGCCCATGTCTTTCAGGGCCAGTATTGGTTTGTATTGCATGGTATGGGACTATGCATGTGTACTGTCACGCGGCAGACGGCTTGAGTGTTTGAAGGATAGGACGCGAAGCATGGCTTGTCGAATGGCCTTGTCGATCTGTTCGAGACGCACTCCAAAGGGACCGAGCAGATGTCCTTCCGTGGAGTTTTCGGGCCCGCAGTGACCTCCTGGAACATAAACCAACAGATAGGCGTCATATGTACTTTTCCAGTTCAACATGTTGGTCCCTTTTCTCAGTAGCAAATTCATCATGGGAACAATGCAGCAGGTGCCGCCTGGACGAAATCATTCTCTGCCCTGTACCATGAATTGCAGAGACCTCAACTTAGAAAGAAAATATCCACGCTTGCCTTTCTAGGTAAAATGCGACCGCGAGGCTGGCGGCATATTACCGTCGAGTGGAGATGGAGCCTACAGAGTGATACTTGTCTTGACATTTGGTTAAACAGATATCGGCAATTGATCAATTGTCCCCAACTGGAACATTTTCTCAGTCAGACAGCGCCTTGTTTTCCTGCGAACCGCTTTCGTGTGTGATGGGGGCCAGGATGCAAAGCCGCGCCACCAATATCTCAAATCCACTGGGATCTCGACCACTCAGCGTCTTGACAACGCGCGACGGCCCCGTTCTTTTAACGCCCCGTTTTAGTGTGAGTTACACGCAATCATTTATAACAAGGTGCATGAGCATGGCTTCAAAACCTGTCGCCTTCCTGCTTTTAGCGTAACTTTCCGACAAAGCCCGTGGCAAGGGATGCAGCGTTAGCCCAAGAGCCGAAAGCCGGTGCCCCCCTCCCCTTCTTCCCAAGCCTCGTTTTATTCTTGAAGGCGACAGGGCACTTGCATGTTGCATGAGGACATTTCCAGAAGACACCGTGTGCTCGAGCCAATGCCGGACAAGCCGGCATATCGAGTCAACGGAGGAGTCTGAATGTTCAATTTCGATTTCGTCCCCCTGTACGGGTGATAGTGTGTGTCTGAAGACCTTGCTCTTTGCCGCCGCCCTTTTTTTCAGCCTTGTTGCACAATCTGCCTCAATGCTTGCAATTCAGGAAAGGAAAGAATACTGGGTCGACTTGGTGTGGAGGCCTCGTTGCCTGTTTTGGTGACGATCGCATTACCTCGACGACACGATTTCTTGAAGCCGGAGAGAAAATTATTGTTTCACTAACTTTCACGCCGCATTCATAGTCACACAGGATGAATGAGTTGCCTGGAGAAGGCCAGCCGGATCTGGTCATTGGAGTTGACTTTGGCATGACACAGACTGGTTCGTCAGCTCATGAAGTTTCCATAAGTCACGCCCAGCTGAATCATTAAAGGAGTCGCGTATTGCTCGGCACCCTGGAGTCACCCAAAATCTTTCCAACACTGGGCAGGCAATGTCAATGAGATCGCCAATAAAGTTCCAAGTCGGGTGGCGTATGATATTCAAACCGGCAAACTGAAATCGTGGGGATTCGGATGTGATCTTCAAGACCCAAGTTTGGATGTTGTCGAGCATTTCAAATTGTATTTGGACCCAGATTACAGGGACGACTATGCCGATATCACCCCCGAGGACGCTCAGAAGTATTTTCTCGACTTCCTGTCCGAGGTCCACCAGCACGTCGCTAGCTATTTTCGAGTCAGGATCCCCAACTGGAATAGTGTCCGAGCCGAATGGGTATTCAGTGTGCCTACGACTTGGAAGGACGCTGCCTTTATCCATTCATTGGAGCATTTGATCAGGAGAGCAGGCTTTGGAGCGGATGGAGCTTCACATTCTTGCCGCATTACCCTTACCGAAGCTGAGGCGGCGGGCATCTCGGTCGCATGTCAATACCTTGAGGTAGGTCACCATGTCCGAGTCTCGGTGCTCAGGAGCTCATCTGGAATCAGCAAGACGATATTATTCTCGTGTGCGATGCCGGAGGCGGTACTACGGTAATATCTTATATTTCACTTGCCGGTGTAACAAGCTGATATCCATGCAGGACGTCAATATCCTTAAGCTGGTCTCCCCCAAAGGTCAACCGGTGAAGTTAGACCCTCTATTGAAGACTGAAGGTTCGCTGGTCGGGTTTTACTCGTTGGGACCCCATACTGACATAACACCTTAGGACGACCCATCGGCTCTGCTCTCATCGACATTCGAATACAACAATACTTGGAACGATACCTCAAGAATATTGCTCACCGACTCGATCACTCACCGGCCGAAGTAGCGGAACAAATGATGATTGGCCGATTTGAAAGATTCAAATGCAATTTTGGAGCTCCAGGGTCTAATCTTCCTTATCTGCTTCTCGACGTCCCTGGTCTTCCACCTGAAGTATACATGCCGCAGGCCAATGTGGTAAACTCCCAGATTCGGATCACTTCGTACGATCATGTCCCACCACCTGATAAAAGAGTCCCATGAATAACAACAGTGTTACAGAGAAATCTTAAAAAATGTATTCGACGAACAGGTTGACGCGTTAGTTGCGCTTGTTCACGAACAGATCAGATCATTGCAATTTCGAAATCGCGGAGAGCGTGTGGTAAGGAGCGAGCATTCATGGATGCCATCTCTGGTCAAAATACTGACTCATCGTGAAGAACTACATTATCCTATCTGGAGGATTGGGGTCGTCTCCCTATGTTCAAGACCGTCTCACATCGCATTTCAACAAACAAGTATCCCTCACCACTCCGGCTGCTGCAGGTCTTAAGATTCTGGCTGCCGAGGAGCCTCAGCTGTCGGTCGTTCACGGCCTCGTCCTAGAACGAGCCCAGCAAATATCCCAAGGCTTGACGCCCATCACTTCTCGCTGTGCACGCGTCAGTTATGGCGTCGTTGTTCGGCAAAAGTACAACCCGAAAATCCATAAAGGCCAACCATACATTCGGGATGACCGTGACGGAAAGCGGTGGGCACTCGATCAGATCGAGTGGTTGATCAAAGAGGTGTGTCGCTCCCGCTTTTCGGACGATCCCAATGGATCTTCACGCTAACGGCCACGAACCAGGGCGAACGGCTTCGACCAGAAGGAGTTATCAAAAGATACCGAGCCAAAATTGACTCCTCTCAACTGCGGCAGCCGTGGCACACGCATTTTGTCATGTCTATGGAACCCGCTTCACGGCTACCCTCCTCCTTATCACAGCATGGTGTCCGCACCCTCTGCCTAGTGGAAGCTGACGTCTCACAAACGAAACGAATCGTGAAGAACGGACATTGGTGGAATTTCGCTCGACGATATGAGCTCACCTTGATCGACGTTAAAGTTCTCCCTGGATCAGCGGACCTGAAACTGGAGGTGTGGAACGACGGACGACGACTGAATTCGGACAACTATGAGGTCGAAGTCAAATGGGAGAATAAACTGGGGAATCCGACTATGGTGGCCTATTCTCCTCAACCTGATACGACCATCAAGATTAATGGTGTCGGAGGGTACCAGCCAAGACCGAACTTGGCGGCTGGAGAATATGAACGACAACGAGAGGGTATGCGGTCGCCGCCGAGTTTCTGAAGGAAATTATCGCATTGAAGGGCCAGCGGAACAAATGTGCGCTGTTTAATCACACCGGCAAGGGAAAAGCCACCTGGAGCCACTTCGTCACGACCACAGCCTTGTTCGAGGATGCGCCCTATTTCAAGGACATGACGAGTTCTGACGTGGCCAATTTCTGAACAACCCTAGACGGTATCAAATTTCCAAGGGATCCTCTTCGTTGGAATACTCCATATTTTTCGTCAGGAGCTGTGTGGAACTCATATTTCATGATGTGGCAGAATCTTGTCACCCCGCTCGTCTCCCCGCACTATACGGTGCGATTGTACAAAGATATTACCTATTCTTGTTAATTGTCTTCCAACTGTCGGTAGTGTGAATTTAGCTGTACCAGCGGGTAATACATTTATGTCTTATCCAAAAGAGCATTCTTACAGCGCACTTTCGTGGATACCAGCATTCCAAAGGAAATGTAAATGTCTTCATCCTAACTTCACAAAGCCAGGTGTAAGAAGTAGTTGATCGTCCAAGACCGCCGCAATCTATGGTCACCAATCTCGTCGCAATTCCCGAGTATTTGTTGTGGGCAGGCCTTAGATATTGACGGAGGATATCCCCAAGAGCTACATGCAGTGAGACACACCTTCCTCACTCCCAAATGCACTCGATTCTTTTGAGACAATCGTCTGCCATGTGGGATTCTTCGACTTTCATCATCCGTGTCATATTCGTCTTCATAATCAGAGTCGGCGTGATCGGAGTCAAGGTTGTCCTGGGCACCAAAATCGTTTTCGTACCCCACTGGAACGGTATTTCAGCAGACAGCAGAACAAGGTGAAGGGTGACGGGCTTACAAGTAAAGGAGGTGAAATCGTGCACCGGGCCCACAACATCGTAATATGATGGTTCGATCTCGGCGATTTTCTCGGTCGTTGGATTTTTGGGCAGTCGTATTGACATCAACCGCTTTTGTTCATGGGCTTTGAAAGCTGGCAGCACTATATTCTCATACCACCTACGATCTCCATCAAAATCGTTCCAGACGTAATGGCCGACAATCTCCTCTTCGGTGACCTCCCATAGGCATAAATAATGATTGCGATAATAACGGTAGCCTTGATTGTAGGGATCGTCGACCCCATCGTGCCGCATCTCCAGTTCGAAATCAAGAATGGGAAGACCCTTCTCTAGTCGGACGTTAGGATTGACCACTGTGAGTGTCTGTGGCCATCGTATCGTAGCCTCCTAGAGCGCCCTCTGAGTAAATCTTCAGTGGCTTTTGATGAGTCGACAAAGGAGATAAATGGCGTTGGCTCCCAAATTCCATGGTCGGCATGTATTTCTAGAGAGCTTCTTCGTGCATCTGCTGTATTTAGACGCTGTCGATCAGCTCGATCTCTCAAACATTTCTCTGGATCAGTGGGTTGGCTTCCTGAAAATTTATCCCAGATTCTGAGAAACGGGAATCAAAAAAGGGGGCGAGGAGAGCTTGCCCAAGAACGCCTCTCTTCCTCCGCAGCAAATATCGTCTTGTATAGAGGGTTGAGAAGGCTCCGAGCTATAGATCGGTCGAGAACAGATTCAGAGGCCATGAGTGGTAATAAAGTCCAACAAGCGGTAGCTACACGGAGGAATTCGCCTGAACGTAGATCAAGCAGCTGAATGGGACGAACCCAGGGGTCCTTGATCATTATGTAGTAAGTCTCATGGGAATTATTGACCCCCTAAGTGAGCCGCCTTTTGGACACATATGACTGCCGGGCCCGATCCTTTGCCTGACCGGTGTGACAGCCTGGGCAAGGTGGTCTCTGAATGGAGGCATGACCTCATATTCTGCCTTGTCAGTGTGGGAATGGGGAGTCACAACAGTGTGACGACAAGTAAAAAAGGACAGCGTCCATCGTATCAGGGCGTCCTCAAGGCGTGGGTGGTTAGATAATGAACGGGTTGAGAGTTGGCACCAAACGAACCTGACTGACTCAATAGAGCATCCGATATCGTATCAAGTGATCAGAATTCCCTTGCCACTGCAGCACGTCGGAGTAGTCCTTACAGGGCAGACCCAGATGGGGGAGGCTGGTTCTATCCCAAGGCAAGGCAGGCTATCTTCATGGGAATTGTCAACTCTTTGCAGCCCCAAGTTGTAAGGCTGTTCCATCGGGGACAACAAGCGGAAGGCTAGACCGGTTAACATTAGTTTCACCTCAGAATCCTCGTCTTTCCGGCAGACACATGGGAATGGAAATGCAATTCCCTTGCCTGTCACGTCCTCGAGATTGATTAAGTAACTGGTACGTCTGTTGCGTAGGTGCTTGGGTACATCGGTTATGGATCTCACATCTTATAAGTTTCTGACCATTGTTGTCGAAAGACCGCCATGCCTCCTTCCCCAAACGAGAATGGCTAATCGATAAGGCCAATGCGGGAACCGGAGAATGGGTCCGGTTCTGCTCCGGGCGAGTACCCGTAGAAGAATGCATTGATATAGCTCATGCACTTGCAAGATGGATATCAATCCAATAATTGTTGCCAAGTTCCTCCTTCATTCAGTTTCCTCCTTATTTTGGTTGAATCTCACGATTTATTCTCCCACTTTATGCCCGCAACTCTCCGGTTACCCCCGATAAAATCAGCAGCCACCCTCCCTTCCAGTCGGGTCGCATCCCTCACCCGCCAAATCTTTCCTTTCTCCTCCACACCCATCAGCAAAATGCCGCTCATCGCTTCCACAGGTACCAAACCGCGCGTGATCCTGGGCTTAATGACCTTTGGTCCCCCGGGCACAGAATCCAAAGGCGCCCGCATCACCTCCTTAGACGACTACAACAAATGCCTCGACTACTTCCAACAACAGGGGTATAACGAAGTCGACACCGCCCGCATGTACATTGGTGGCGACCAAGAAACCTTCACACGAGACGCCAAATGGAAAGACCGCGGTTTGTCTCTCGCGACGAAATGCTACCCGGTCAAGCCGGGCGATCATAAACCTGAGAACCTGCGTGCCAGCTTGGACAAAAGCCTGAAAGAGCTAGGGACCGACTGCGTGGACATATTCTACCTGCATGCCCCGGATCGGAGTGTGCCATTTGCAGAAACCCTTCAGGCGTGCAATGATATGTTTCGAGAGGGCAAGTTTGTACAGCTCGGTCTGAGTAATTATGCGGCGTGGGAAGTTGCGGAGATCTGGAATATTGCCCACGAAAGAGGTTGGGTGAGGCCCACGATATACCAGGCCATGTATAATGCGATAACGAGGGATATTGAGAAGGAATTGGTGCCCTGTTGCCGAAAGTGAGTGAGAGAAGCTGCATATTCAATCGTGGCCGTCCACAAGCTAACTCTGCCCGATGGAGATATGGCTTGGACCTTGTCATTTACAACCCAGTAAGTCGACTTCACTTCATAGTTTTGCCTCATCTGGAAATGGTATACGAAAAGCTGGCTGACGCCACACCCAGCTCGCCGGCGGCGTGTTTAGCGGGAAATACAAGTCCAAAACCGAGATCCCGGCCGAGGGCCGCTTCGCCAACGTCAGTGAACGCATCGGAATGGTACGCATAAAGACTGCACAATATTCCATGCCTGCCCATTCTTCATCCGGAGTGAACGAACGCTCACAGTGTGTCTTTAGATGTATCGCGAACGGTACTTCCACGACTCAACCTTTGCAGCCCTCCATCTCATCGAGCCTGTTGTCAAGCAACACCACCTGACCCTCCTGGAGACCGCGCTGCGATGGTGCGTGCACCATTCAATGCTCAAACTAGGCAGCGAGGGCAACGACGGGGTGATCATCGGCGTCAGTAGTCTGAGCCAGCTCGAGGCGAATCTCCAGGATTTAGAGAAAGGTCCGCTGCCTGAGGAAGTTGTTGCGGTCTTGGACGAGGCGTGGGAAACGTATTTGAAAGGCAGAGGGCCGACGTATTGGCGATGAGCCGAATAGGTTTCATCTTCGGGAAAGGGAGAAGGAAGGAAGAATGAACGGAGGGATCTAGTTAGGTCCTGAACAACGGAAAACTCGCTTGACTTAAGGGGTCGATCGGCTCAAACGCACTCAATTTCCGGTAGACATGCGCGATTGTGGAGAAGAAAGAACAAGTAAAACCAGTGAAGCAAAATACAGATAGAACTGTTCACAGGAACGGCATACAATCGACGTTGATCTCTTCTTGTAATTCTTGCCGAAAATTTTTATGTGCTTTGTGATCAGGAACGGAGGAGTAAATTGGCTCGATCCCGGATCCGGGGGGATATGTGGACCCACCAGAAAAGCGTTGGCTCAGGGGCCACCAGCCTTGTGCACGCCAGTGGCAATACAGGTTCCACCTCCCCAACGAAATTAGCAGTGGTTACTGATCCTGTAGAGCTGAAATCGCACGGAAGCCCTGAATTTGGAAGGAAAAAGCTTTCATCGCCTTGGGGATTAGTGGGAGATGACCGACAAGCAGTTCATTGCGGTTTTGCAAATTATTGACATTATCTTGGTCATCTCGGCGCAGGAACTTCGATGTGAGGGCTAAACTATTTGATCATTATATTGGGTCCCTCTTGAAATATAGCCTTTGTTCTTCCCGAAGGCATGCCAGTCAAATTGATTCATGCAGACGCCGGTTAGCTTAAGCGATGTCCTTTTCCCTTGCACCAGTTCTTTCCTTTCTTGCCCTCGATCCAAATCGGAACTTCATATCGTCGCTGTCATCACTTTCAATATCAGTATCTTTCACGACCGTGACCGGCAGCGTCTTCTGGCGTTTCGGCTCCCTCATCGTCGAAGTTGGGCTTGCTGTTCTCTTCCCCTTTGCCGTAGATGCTGCGGCGCTACGACTCGAAGTCTGCGTTTGAGAGGGTCTGTGACTTGCAGCCTCGCTTCTGACAGTTCCACGTGTCCGTCTCGGGGTATCTGGATCGATTTCATGGTCCACAATCTCGGCTGCTTCTCGTTGGAGTCGCGAGATTCCTAGACTCGTTGACACGAAATCGTCATTTGCTTTAGTCACATCGTCCACGGGGAAATCTTCATCTTCATCATCGTCAATGACGGCTCTCGATCTTGCACTAGCGGTTCCGCTTGACCGCTGCGTTTGATTCTGCATCTTCTGGCTCCTGGCTCCTTCTTTCCTCTTTCTCTCCCTCTCACGCTCTTTCTCCTCCTCTGTCTTCTCCCAGTACCGCTCGCCCAGACCGTAGGTGTTCTCGGGGACCTCAACCAGGGGCACAATGACTTTCCTGGCATGGCCTCTCCGCTGCGGAGCCTCGCCTTTTCTTCGAAAGCTTTTGAAATTCTTGCGACCGTTCCATTTTGGATCCCAATGATCACCATGCTCGCCATTGGCTTTGTTGAGGTTCTTCGTTTTGTCTCGTCTGGGGAGTTCCGTAACAACAACGTCGACCAAATTGGCAGGTCCCTGATCTTCAGAGTAGTAGCCAGATGCTGCTTCCAGAATTTCTTCCTCTCGTCTTGCGGCTTCTTCTTTTTCTTCTCGTTGTGCTCTTACGACTTGACGGACATCGATTTCTCGTTCTTTCTTCTTTTTCTTAGGAACTGGTTGCATCCCCGTCGTGCTTGAATCATCGGTCTGTCCGTTTGGTCGTCCTTCGGCGAGTTTCTGTCGCTTCAGCCTGGTTGCTGCGGGAAGGAGGTCGTCCATCTGCTCAGCAAATTCATTCACCGGCTCTTCGGATTCGGGGCGAGGTCGCTTTTTGGAAGTGGACATCGGCTCTTCCAGGGTCTTGATTTCGGGTTCGGGCTCATAGAACTGTGCATCTCCGACATATTCGTCGTCATAAGCAGCAATCGCGTCAGGATCAAAGCCGTCATCGAAATCTTTGAATCTGCTCGCTTGAGTGAAACGAGGCCTTTGGAATGGCCGAGGAGTGTTCTGTCCGTTTGTCCTGGCCTGCGACACATTCGGAGAGGACGCTTGAGAAGGGACAGTGTTGGCCACAGCCTTACTCGTTGATGATGACGGTGGTGCACCTTGATATTGGACGGATTCTCCTCTCTGAGGATCAGGATTATTATTTGACTGGGCTTCGTGAGGCTGTCTCGTCGCGAGAGAAATAGCCGCAGACGGAGGAGGCGAATGTCTCCCTTCATTCGTACGCTCAAAGGGAATGGTCCGCTGTAGCAACGTCGCATCATTTGCTAATATGGCATCGAGGAACTCGGACTGATCGATGGCTCGCTGATCCATCTTCAAAGAAGACTCGTCGATCAGAGTCTCGGTCCATGCTTGGATATCTCCTTTGCTCTGCCACCGAACCAGGATGACCCCTCCTCGAGCTCCATTCTGAATATCGCCACCGTGCTTATGCCCGGCGGCATTCTGCAAAAACTGTAGCAGCTCGTTTGACGTTGTTTCGCCATTGACCACCTTGAATAGAAGAGCTTTCCCGTGACCACCAGTAACGACAGGTAGTAAATTGTCGAACTGAGTCTGATCTCCAAAAACAAAGGTGTGGCCTTGGAAAACGTTGATTCGTGACGGGTCTGGCTCGTACGATTCTGCCGGTCTAATTGAAGGCTCTCTTCCAGGAGGAGGGAGATGGTCTTTAGGCTCGGGCCAAGCACGGTCGAAGTCAAGCTCCAGGAGAGACAGATTTTCTTCTTGACTCAGGTTGGTCGGAGTGGCCTTGTATTCCAGAGCGTCGATAAACGACTCTGCCACAAGGTATTTCCCCGTTACCAATGCTAACAATCCTTTAGCCGTGTTTCTCTTGTTTGCAACAACATGTGTAGTATGTTCAGAGCTGAAGTCACCGATAGCTTTGATATCCAGATGCTGCACACGAGCCTGCTTGGTCTTGAGGACACCAGATTTGATTTCTTTCTTGAGGAGGTTGAAAGTCAGCACACACGGGTGCCATGTGATGATGATTTCATGAGGACATGTGCCCGGTCGGATTGAGTTCTCAGCATTCTTCAGTTCTTTGGAGGTATTCTTGATCAATTCCCCGTTGACTGACGTTCCGCTCTTGGAATTCTGGTCTTCAATCCTGACTCTTGTGCGGGCATGGACCTGTCCAACATCGCCTTCTTTCACGGCATCGACCTCGATGATGAAATGTTTTCTTGAGACAGTTTTGTGATCAATGGCAAAGCGAACACCTTCTCTTTTCACTCGACCGAACAAGTATTTCTGGCCAGGCTTTAGCCACATGCGTTTTCCTTGGAGGAAGTCTCCGTTGGATTCGAGGATCCACATGATGAGGACATGGCAGGAGAAAGGGGGGGTTGGCTGATTCGCAATTAAGTTATTGAAGATAAGAAGATTGGGCGAGGGCAGCGCAGGTTGACGCGTGACACGCCCGAAGCAAACTTGGAAGCTCAGTCGGTGGCATGGTGGCATGGTGCCTAAAAGAGGCCCAACCCGGGGCTAGCGATACTTTAAGTAGCGGGAGCCAAAAACTTGCCTAGAATTCAAGGCCCAGTGCGGAGCCAAGGGCCACGAGGAAGCTGATCACACGCCAGTTGCTCATTGTCATTGGCAACCAAACCACGGCAAACAATGAACTGTGTCCGGGCTGCGACGTCAGACCCAACACCTGCTCTCACACATCCGGATCCTCCTAGTTGACTTCTCTTCATATTCTGAAAGCCCCTTTCTGCTCAATCTGACCCTCAATCTTGCAGTCTCAAACATGTCCAATACACTCCACGAGGAAAACACTCCCGACCTCAAAGTCGACGAGAGTCCCATTTCCCCAATCGAGCGCCGCAACTCCCTCGAGAAACACTTGCAACACCGACCAGATGCTCAGGACTTGAAGAACCGCCACATCCTCCTCGACACCAATGTTGCTCCGTGAGTCCATTCTAGCAACCCCGCTGGACAATCGACACGTCTAATCTCGCTTCAAGGGCCCTTCAAGCCAAACAGCACGAACTCGAGCGTCAACAACACTCGGACAGTCTGAGGAAGCATCTTGAGAAGAGACCAGACCGAGAGGAACTGGTCGAACGTACGAGATGGCCTGGTCTGTAATACTTGAGCAATTCTTATAAGTTAACAGGAAACATCCTGCCCGACTCCACCGCCGCCCCCGCCTTGCAGGCGAGCCAACGCAGTCTCGAAAAGCACATGCGAGCAGATAGCTTGGAACAGAAGATCCAGCAAAGGCCCAAACCCGAACAATTGATCAAGGAGGGCATTTTGGAGGCAGACGAGAACCGCTGAAAGAATGACTCAAGCAAGCAAGGACATGAATCGCTGGTTTTTGGTCATGACAGGGAAAATTGCGTGTGAGGGGTAAGGACGAAACATCGACAGTACCAGCTAAGAAAGTATGAAAATATAAATGCCATAGGAGCTCTTGACATAGCCCACCTTTTGACACTGCAGGACAAAAGAGCCCCGTAAGGAGGAAGGAAGAAAAAATAAAAAAAGAGATCAAGGAATTTAATAACTCTCCACCTACTCTTCTTCCCTCGGTGCATCTGCCAGAGACGTATCCGGTCTCCAACCCTTAGGCCTCTCTTTTCCCCGAACAATCATACTGTAGACACCATTTTCGACCTTCTCGATCGAGTTCTTCGCCGTCTTGAGCTTCTGCGCAAAGTCTCTCGACAGGCCGTAGCTGCCGCTAGGGTCGAGGCCTTCCAGACCAATACGAAGGAGCTGCATGTTATTGAGAATCGAGGAATTAGGATTGTTAGCCTTGGCCCCAGGTAATTGCCCATTTGTCGCCATGTAAGTAATAGCAAATCGCATCAGTTCACCCGTCATGTCGAACAGGCCAAGCGTGTAGTCTTCGTACGTCAGCGCAATACCCTCAGGCAATTGCTTTGCGGCATTCCCGAAGCTCATCACCCGCTGCGTAGTCAGGTAGTGCTCGAACAACACGGCTTCCATGAACTCCTGGATTCCGCCCGAGATGTTGCTTTGATATCGGTGGGCGTTGATGCCTTGAAGATCCGGCACGATGCGTTGTAGTAGGTCTCGGATGGTAGAGTACATGGGTGTCATCTGCTTGGATATCGAGGCGTGGATGGGGCGGCCTAGCTCCCGTACTCTGTCATGGGGCATGGTGTGTTAATTGTTCGTTCGGCCGACGACACACTCTTTGTTTTCCTTACCTTTGGAGGGCAAAGATGCTGATCCCGGTCAATAAATACAACGGTCAGGACAATTATAGGAGAAAGAAGATCACTCACATCTTCTTACTCTGAGCAGTCACATCTCTCGACACTTTAATAATCCTCTCCCTCCGGTCATGGTGCTCGTCAAGCTCAGAACGGAACGATTCAAACATTAGGATGAATGGGGAGGCATTTTCGCCTGGAGACGAAGAATAAGGATCAATCTCCATGCCGTCGTATGTTCTCTTTGTGCCAGCCATCCAGAGACATACAAAGACTATGGAGATGAATGATACTTAGTTAGGTATTGCTGTGAACAAAGTTGAAATGTGCGTTGTGTTGAAAGTCCAGAGCCTTGCCATTTTTCATGCCGCTTTAAGTGATGGTAACCCAACGGCCACCCCGAGACTGGCATACTGCTCATTTCCCAAAGGTACCACCGTGTATCGCGAGTCTCCGTCTACTCGAGGAGACGCTCTTTACATCTACGAGACTGTCCACCAAATACCCTCTGGAATGCTCTGGACCCGTCCGTTCCTGAGACGTTATATTTGGCATATCTTCCCTCCCGGGCCAAATCCTGTGCGGTGAATCCCCAACTACCACATCCGTCTTCAGCATTGACTTTCGCGCCTTGATCCAGCAGATAGTGGACTACACGGACACTTTCTGCGTGATACTCCACAAGCCCCATCCATTAGGTCACAATAGCTTTCCGTGTGGTGATGCTCTCATTGTCGACCTCGTTATCTCCGGGTTCAAGTCAAGAGCATGGAGAAGTTCTTCCATCGGTAGCAAGCGCCTTGCTAGGAAGACCAAGAGAGAGTCATTGAGGGATAAACGCCTTTCGAAGCCGCTGTACTATGCAATATTCTATCGAACGTGCCTTGATACGCTATGCGGAGGTCTTGGGGCAGATGATCCAAGGCCCGTCTCAATTGTCGAACAGTGTTATCCATGGCAAACTTGGCGAATGAAAACTTAGAACACACGTCGGTACTGTACCTGGGGAATTCTGACACGCCATTCGCATAATCCATCAATTTTGGAGCAAACTTCATCTTGGAATGCACCCGTAAGAAGCGAGTCCAGTTCTTCGTCTTCGGTAATCCTAGCCATTTATTGCCCGACAGATCGTCGTCCGATGCCGAAACTTCAAGAATTAGACCATCTCTGATGTGGGACGGTGTTCCAGCAGAAGGCAGACCTGTCATGAATAGTAGATGTCTTTAGATTTCGAAAGAATTTGGCCGTGACAATTCGATCCAGATACCCATCCATCGCGTCAAGGACGATATAAGACTGCATTGGTGTCGAAATCAGTGGTACAAAGGCATCAACCCAAGTATTCTTATCAGGCTCGATTTTGGTTTTCATATATTCATCACGTAAATGAACAATTTTCTCTGGAACAGGGCTTGGGGTCTCAAGGATTTGTCTGAGAAGATATCTGGTCACCTCGGCCGCTGAATAGTATTAAGATTCGGGTCTGAAACCAAAACAGTGATATAAGGCGTCACTATCAGCCAAAGCGGCTACCCTCAGATGGGTGTTGATGGAGGAGCTACAAACAAACGTTAGTCAAAGGTGGACATCGTTGCGTCAACTTATGATAGCACAGGTTTCCCAACACCAACTTTAAAGAAACAATCGAATCAACACGTAGTCGCTTTGTGGAACAGTAGTGCCACATACCGCCTCTACAGCAGAAGAGAGTGGTCTCCGGTCATTAAACCATTCGTCAAATTCCGTCTCTTCGGCAATCCAGGAGTCAGTCTCGGCAAGTTAGGTTTTAAGTATTTCTTTCGTGTCCGTGACGGAAGGATTCCAAGAAACCCAATCAAGAATGACGGAACGTTGGGCCTCTGGAGCATGAGACACGAAACTGGATTCGGCTCTGATGGCTGAGTGGGGTAAATCGTGGAAGAAAAGGAAACCGAGAATAGCTCACAGAGCGCAGATGGATACAACCGACTCGAACAAATTGGTCCAGCGGCGCAGGACGTCGATCATCTCTTTGGTCTCATTTTCTTCGAAAGACCATGCCGTTGAGTGGCGTAGAGTCGATTTGCTTCTAAAGCTTTGTTTGGGCTAGTATAATCTCTTCGTGGCACTCGGCGATCACGGAGTTCGATAGGATTGTCTTGTCGGACGAGATGAGCGTTGCGATTCCCAACCAGGCTAAGGTTTCATGGAGGTACCTTGAGGCTGATTTGGGTGCATTCCGAACGCTGTGGACATGTTCATAGCCCAACTGAGACAATTTGATAGACCAGAAGAGACGCGGATGATTTCTGCCATTGTGTCAAGGATCAAAGGCAGGTTACCTCTTCACTCTACAAAGAGGCTTTCAGACAATGACGGAGGTCCGAAGAAACATGAATCGGTTGGAATTGTTGCCTGGTTGAGTTTGGGGAAGCATGGAACGTTCAACTTTGGTTTAAGCTTCTGGCGCCAACGCAACTTCCCGGATGCTTGTCTGGCTGCGAATGTGGAGCCCTAGTTAATTTTTCCATTTCAACCCTGGAGGTAGACTACGACGAAGTTGGGGTCGCACGACCAGCACCAACGATATATCCCAACAAATTTTTGAAGAGATTATTCGGCCGTCAAGAAGCATCAGCCTGAGGCATGTAGTCAACATCATGGTGTCAATCCTCACATCTCTGTACTCCTCCCGCGCGTCCATCTTTATCTCTGCCTTCCTCCTACGCGCCATTCTCTTGATCTATGGCATATACCAGGACTCGGTCTCTGCTCTGAAATACACAGACATTGACTATTATGTCTTCACCGACGCTGCTCGAGCCGTGGCGAAACACTCATCTCCCTACGACCGCGCCACATATCGATACACTCCCTTACTTGCCTGGATTCTCCTTCCCACGAGCTGGGGAGGATTGTGGTTCCATTACGGCAAGGCGCTTTTCGCTCTCTCTGATCTGGTCGCCGGATGGCTTATTCTCGTGCTGCTAAAGAGGAGGGGCTTAGACCAGCAACGGGCGTTGACATATGCGAGTGCATGGCTCCTGAATCCTATGGTTGCGAATATCAGCACTCGTGGAAGCAGTGAGGGTATCCTGTGCGCCCTTGTCATGGCGCTTCTGTGGGCGTTTGTGACCGGAAAATTCGCTCTATCAGGCGTGCTTCTTGGACTGAGCGTGCATTTCAAAATATACCCATTCATCTACGGAGCGAGCATGTTGTGGGCATTGGAGTCCAAGTCCTCGAGTACATCAACGACGATGATCTTCCAAAAACCCATACCATTCCTCAATACCAACCGCCTAAGGCTCATATTCACTTCACTAGTCACCTTCACCACCCTGAATTTGATAATGTACAATATTTACGGACCTCCCTTCCTTCAGCACACATTCTTCCACCACCTCACCCGAATCGATCATCGCCATAATTTCTCTCCATACAACACCCTATTATACCTCTCGTCCGCCCTGTTAGCAGACTCTTCAAACCAGAACTCATCCTCCTCAATGTCTTTCGAATCTCTCGCCTTCATCCCGCAACTCCTCCTCTCCGCGTTTCTCCTTCCAATCGCACTCGCCAAACGAGATCTACCCACGACCATGTTCGCACAAACCCTCACCTTCGTCACTTTCAACAAGGTCTGCACCTCTCAGTACTTCCTATGGTACCTGATATTCTTCCCCTTATACGTCCCAGACTCGTCGCTCATTGCCCGGCCGATACTGGGCATCACTGCCCTGGCACTCTGGGTCCTAGGCCAAGCAGCCTGGCTCCAACAGGGATACCAACTCGAGTTCTTGGGCAGGAGCACATTCGTGCCCGGTCTGTTTGTGGCAAGCCTAGCTTTTTTCGCCATTAACTGCTGGATCTTAGGCATCGTGATAGGCGATGTCGCCGAGAAACAACCAAAAGCAAACGGCGCACCGAGTCTGAAATCAACCAACATTTCGGAGACAACTTCTCATTCCGCATCGAAATCGACATCATCGAGAAGCGTCTCCGAATTAAGCGGTAGTAGCTCCATTTCGACGGGTCCAACCACATCTAGACGAGAATGAGGAAGCAGTGACCTCCACATGAGCGACATAGCGAATGTACGTCGGAGCCCAGGAATCGGATGCTGAAAAGTAATTGATTTCCCCGCAAGGATCTACGATTAGGGATATAGGGTGTGCAGTTAATTTTAGTCGATGAAGATCCTAGGTCGGAGACCAGGATTGTATGTATAATATCACTGAGCAGGCCAGGTGTGGCACGGCAATTTCGTGCTGATCCTGTATCGGCAGCGGATCTGGATCTGTATGTGTACGTGCATGCGGTGCTCTCCCACCGCATACCCATTGAATGTATCCCAAAAACTGACGCAATCCAATTCATCCCGAATCTGCATTCCGACTCATGTTATGCATCGGTAGGAGCAGTCTTAAATATCTCGACGCAAAGATCACCCTCCATATCTGATATCGTAAACTCCAAAAAATGGTCCCAGCGAACCACAACTCCTCGCCAAAGATCACACAGTGTTGTCTTCATCAATGCCATATCGTCACACAATATACTCCCCATCCACTGTCCAGAGGACTCTGTACATCTAGTTCATAGTATGCTTCCCGCTCAGCTCAACGGTGGTGACCCAAGATTAATTGCATCTCTACCTCATCCATTTCCCAGACAGACATATGCAGAACACCAGTTCACCCCTGGATATCCTCATGTCAACTGCCACGCATCTCCGCGACAACCTTGTAGCTGCTTGTCTTGATGCTCCGTGGCTTCCACTTCGGGTACAGGCTGCACCCTGATCCTACCGTGACGGAGTTGGCAGGGCCCACAGGAACACCTTCAGATCCTCCTACGCCGGTCACACCGGGGGAACTCGAGTTGGATTTATGCCATCCAGCATATTCGATCCCGTCGCCCAACTCTTCGTAACTGACGCTTGGCCTGACCTCACTCAACTTCTCAACGATCTCCTCGTTCCAAATTCCGTAAACTCGTCCATTTTCCAGTTGCCAGTAGGGATTGAGTAGCGTACAGGGAGAATCCAGGTCAATGAACCGAATTCGGATGTAATCGAGATGCGGGAAGAGTGGTAGTGCCTCTACCGTGTGGAGGACGAAGCGCTCAAAAGCTCGGATGAAGACAAGGTTGGTAATGCCCGCTCCGTCAGCTATCACACCGCCGAGTTCGTGGATGACGGTGTCCCCCGTTTCTGGATCAATGTCAGTGACGCGCTGCCGGCAACAAGATTTGACGACGATTTCGAGAGCCTTGAGCCGTGGTTCTTCTTTGGCCTGTGACAGTGCCGACGAGGCCGATGTCCACATGCACTCGCAGATCTTGCCAGTGAACGACAACGCTTCGAGTTGCGGAAGGACGCGTCCAAGGCGTTCGCACAAATGTGGTTGGCCGGGGTGGAAGCTGGAGCCCAGGGTTGTCGGGTCTTTGCTGTACATTCCGTCGAGAGAAATATTAATGTGACGAAACCTCGAGGGCAGATGGTACAAGATGTCATTGATGGTGGCATCCGCTTCAACGCGAGGTTTCGCATAGCCGCAATGCCATTCTTCAACATTTGGTAGTGCTGTCTCGATAGTCTTCCAATGACGATGATTGCGCATGATATTCCATGCGCCACGCATTGCAAAAGTGCGGATATGCGGGAGTTTTTCGAGGTTTTGATTCGGGTTGGGAAAAAGAGTCTGAGGAAAATGTCGGATCATATTAGATTTTTTACAATGTCCACCTTCGAGGGTGAACACCCGGGACTTGGGAAAGAAGCAGCTAATGTGGCTGAAGATTTCGGAGAGTGTTGCGGAATAGGCACACAGTTTGAAGCTGAATCCGAGGAGATCATTAGCAGGGATAAGGCTTTCGTTACCCTGATTGGCGAGTTGGTAATACCCATGTCGATCTGGCCCTGGCAGGAGAGGATCAGCTGAGCGATTGTCAAAAGATGCCTTGTCCCCCCAAACCGGGACCCAGAATTCAACGTGTCGAACAAATTCCGCCAGACGCATATGGGTGCAGAAGAACTCTTGTGACTCAGCCAGACCTGCTCGAGTACCTTTTATCTTGATATGTCGATAGATTCGTTCTTGAACCAAGTCACGCCAGTCAGGTGAGATCAGGGCGAAATCTGAGACCGCTTTCCTTCTCGGATGTCGCATAAGGGAAGAAACGCTCTTTCCTCGCAGCGATGTCGACCCGGTGTAGATAGAGTGCATGTCACCAAATATGAAGTCGAGAACTTTACCCTGTACTTCTAAGGGGAGGTCATTCAGCGATAGCGATGACCTTCTAGTACATTCCCGCTGTTCAGATATTGTTACCCCATTTTCTTGTGGACAATTCTCCGTCTCCAGAAAAGGTGAATTGGTGGCCCTGATTGTGAGGACTCCAAGAGATTGACCACTTTGGTCTGCGAGATCTGCAATCGAGGTCATTGAGGGAGAACGTTTTCGAGGAGTCGCGAGAGGAAAGCGGACGTCTGATCTAGGAGATTTCGACATGGGGACCAGGTGACGCTCGTATAAGTCTTGAGGCTGGTTCGAGTCGTTGTCGAGGATCATCTCTTGTACGAGCATGTTGAACGGTGATTGCGCCCGCCCTCTACGCAACAATTTTCTGCATCCACAAGTTGTTTGGTATGTCGACCAATACCATACGCGGCAAGAGGCGTCGTGGTGGGAGGATAAATGCCTCGAAGGTGAAATTTTGCTTCTATCCGCTCTTGGGGGAAGAAAGGAGTGGGATGAAGAGATGGGCGTGGCTTTGGAGGAGAAAACTGAGGTGGTTGAGGAGACGTATTGTCGAGTCAGCTTTGGTAAATGGACATGGTCGTAGTATAAGAGAGCAGGACACAAGCAAAGGGGCTGGATGATTTGTCGTGTGTTTGATTGTCAAAAGTGGAGGTGGATGCCAGACGTGGACTGCGCCCAAGGCGGTTGCATGCCCTGTTGCATAGCCACGAAGGCCGAGGGCGTCAAGCAACCAGCGGCCCGGGGACATGCCTATACGAAGCGCATTTACTTGTTGCAGAAGGTCTACCGAAAGTAGCCTCACCGGTGTTAAGTTCAGCCTTGCCAAGAGACAGCCATGCTTCAGCTGAGTTCCCATGTCGAGATTAGTGCAGTGTCGACAATGCTGAGTTGGAAGATGGAGTATTGTTCATGAATCATTAGAAGACAATATGGATTATTCCGACTTCAGGCCTCTTGTTTGTCGAGGATGAGACATAGCTAACAAAACTGCCTGATTCGGCTTGGGGTCCTTCCAAATTGAGACACTAACATTTCCATGCCTCAGCAAAATTGTTTTGTGTTAGGATCAGAGTTAGGGTTGCACGTTACGGTTAATCAACCTGACTTGATTACTTACGTGTTTCCTAGTCGGCTATTCGCGTTCCCCCTACGCATGCGCGTGAAAAGATAGGTGCAATGATTATGTGTTTTCCTCCACCTCGCGATGCGATTACAGAGGGATGTTATGTGACGGCGAGGACAGCATTTGGCAAGCCATTAAATTGACCTTTTCAGGTGAAACAACAAGCAGCTGTACTCTGGCCTTAATCGGAGATCTTCCCTCCTGGTCGAGTCAAATTTAATTTTACCAAGACGCCTGATCCATTACCCGTGGACAGGAACTACAATTTCTTGACTAGAACCACTGATCGACCATCGATCAACCACAATCCAGCATGCGATGTACATTCTCACTTGAGATCTGCCTCCCTGATTTCCACGGCCTGAGGCTTATCATCCACGCTCCGGTTTCTCTCGAGCTCAAGTTCCTTGTCGTTGGGAACGACGATGCCAACCTCCGTCGCGCGATGTGTGTCCATCCTGTCACGTTGCCAAATATTGACATAGATGGGGAAAACCATCCCGACAATGTATCCGGTCATGGGGATGAGCATGGCGATATGCGCGTTGCGAGCAGTCACCACCGCCCCGGTCATGCTGGGCCAAACCGTACCACCCGAGATGGCCGCAACAAGCCACGATCCTCCACGTTTGGTGTGCTTTCCCAAACCGCGCAGCGACATGGTGAAAATGGTCGCGAAGCAGCAAGATTCAAACACGAAGACCATCATAAGGAATCCAACGGACGTGCTGCCGCGGGTCAGGGCTGCAACGAGGGCCAACACGCAGCACATGCCCAGGTAGATGGTGAGCATGTACCGTGGTTTGACGGCGGGAATCATCATGAGAAAGCCGGCAATGAAGCGATTGGCGGCGTAAATGCCTTGCGCCGCAGCCAGCAGGTCCGATGCGGTCGATGCGGAACGGCCTGTCTCTTTCACGAAGTTGCTATTAGACGCGGAGTCGGGTCAGCTTCCTCTATCTTGATGCGGCTTATCAAATATGAGTAGATACTCACATAAAGTATCCTGCCACCGCGACTTGGGCGCCAACGTAGCAGAATTGGCACCAGACACCCAGGAATAAGGTATATTGTTTGCGGAGTGGACCGGGATTGTATTCCGCGATGACATGTTCTTGGTGGTGCATATCCGCATCCTGCAACGATATGAGATGGAATTTATGACAATCTGGCCGGCACACGCACCGTAATTTCGGGGAAAGGAGCTAAAAAGAAGAGGATAATGAGCAAGCCGACAAAGCAGGCCACTCCGAGATAAGTCCATTGCACATTTTTTAATCCCTGGTCAGTGTTGACTAAGGTCAGGCAATTAGCAACCATACGATTCACGGGGCACAAATATCTTACTCGTGTGAGCGAAGAAGACTCTGCTCGCCAACAAAGGAGCAACGAAGCTGCCTACACCTTGAACAGCTTGAGCCAGGTTTAATCGGACTTCACTGTATCTTGGAGGACCGCAGATGGCGAGGAACGGATCTGCGGCCGTCTCGAGCGTGCTCAATCCGGCGCCGACCACGAACATGCTGCCGCAAAAACCGCCGAATGATTTCTTCACGCCGCTAGGCCAAAAGAGGAGGCATCCGACTGCCAAAACGGCAAGTCCGGTCATGAAAGTGACTCTAGAGACCATTATCAGTCACCACTGCTCTCTATCTTCGCTCCCTCTCTTACCGGAAACCAAATCGGCGCAGAATCCATCCCGAGACTGTCAGAGGACAGAGGAAATACGCTCCGAAATAAGCAGCTTGGAGGCCGGAGGACCGAGATGCGGTGATATTCAGGGTTGTTTGGAAATGGCTGTTCAAAACATCCAGAAGACCATAAGCAAAACCCCAGAGGAAGAAAAGAATGGTGACTAAATTTCAATCAGCATCTGGCTACATAGAAGTTGCGACAGTAAAAGCCCATGACTGGAAGATGACGTTCAAGGAAATGAGAGACAAAAAAATTTTCTGCGGTTGACATGATTGCTAGCCGAAACAAGAGCTTTGAAAATCACCACCTCATACACGTACCCAAGCAGTTTGGCAGAAATGACTGTCTCAACGTGAGATGAGCAGCATTTGTTATCTCGCCATCCGAGACGGTGATCTTGCGTTTATATATTGCCATATTTGCGTTTTATGGGAGCGCAAACTTGGCGGAGGGAGAATTCAAGAGGGTGTAAGAAGACTTGCTATCCGGGCATGAGCAGCAAATATATATATGCGCGATCGTAGCTTTGCGGTGTGCATACGAGGACAACCTCCATGGGAATTCAGAGAGCACCTAATTCATAGTCCTCGTCCAGAACGACTGGAGTCTCCGCAGTCCGGGGCTGGGAATGTGGGAGTTGAGGAAAATCGTGGAATGATGGTGGGTTTGTCGGTGCAATAGTGACCGAGATACTGCGAGACAACCGGCCCATCTTCTTTTTGGGCCTGGATGAGCTGATCCCAGACCGAAAGCAAATCCTACTGGACAGAGACACACTGAAGTGGGATCGTATTAGCCTGATGGAACGGTATCACCCTGGGGTGCCTCTGCCGTTTGTTTGATTTGGTAGTATGAAGCTATTGGTGCAAACCCACCCAACGTGAGTAGGCTCATCAGATGAGGCTTGTCGTCTCCGGGATCTTGCTGCCGAGATAGGTTGCCGGTGCAAAGGCATTGGCTGATACAGACGTTAGAAACAATGGAATGGCAGACCATGTTGCGAACCCAAGGCTGGCACTTTCCTCAGTTTCGGGACCTGTTTGTCCGTGACCCGATTCTGGCATTCAGTATTGATATGCCGAACACGACATAGAGTGCAGGATACACGGATCGCGATTGGGGATTCCAGAACTTTTCCTGGAGTCGTTGTTGGCGACCACGTTCGGGAGGAAGAGAAGCGAACTTGGAGTTGGGCTCCACCATTGGATTGATTTCTCAAAGAGCTAATTTATGGAACCTGGGGGAAAATAATCTCGATATGATGTGAAAATCATGTCTTGTCAGCATGGGACATTCAAAATGAGAGCCATATCTGTTCTAGGCCATCCACCCTCAACAGCTTGACTCTCCCGACTCAAACGGGCTCCTACTTGAAGAGAGAACAACATGAATAGAGTATTCCTCTGGTGTGTGAAGGGATGAGCTCTCAAGCATACCCATGTTTATTGGCTCTTTAATTTACCGGAAGAGGCCCTGTGCCAGCGCTTCGAGTGACATCTTTCGGGAGCCGAAGTCGCAATGCGGAGCTCGACACCAGCAGATTTTCGGATCTGGCCACTGGCCTTTTAAGGGGTATTGGACACCATTTTATGAGCCTGCTGTTGCACTTTTAAGCTCAAAGAAAGGATCTTTTGCCTATCACCACTGCTGTCCCAGTTCCTGTTCAATCCTTGGTACCCCAAATGTCACGAACCGGGTTCTGACAAGTATATAAACGAAGAGGTTCATGTACTGATTTGGGGTTCGACTGCATTGTGGATTCATCATGGTGGTCGGATCAGTGGCAGTGACGGTGGGGTTGAAGTTGACATTCGGCAAAGAAGTATGTCGGTTAGGTGATCGGAAGAAAGCTGAGAAGAAAACGTGAAGAGCATGGAGAGCATGGAAACTAAGATCATTCCACCTCCACGGAATCATACCACAAAGGCATGCCTCAGGACTATGACATCGATATTGCTGCAGCCTTGACAATCATACAATCGAGAAGTGGATGCAGGGAGAGAATAGTATATGCTCGTGGTCTCGGCTTCGATCACGGGTTCTGTGTACCCGGCGTCGGTACATTCAGGAGTGGAGGTGCAATGGTTCCATTTCATAATGGTTGAAGTCGCATTATTCAAGTTTACTGGGTCGGCGGATCTTTGAAGAGATTAACGATGAAAGTCAGTGTCCGGGAGTGGAGCGTGCGACAGCCTACGCCGTGATGATCACCACAACGATCACAGACAGTCCCGGGCTCAAAGACGAGACCGTCTTGCCTTGATCTGATCAACCCAGAGATCAAGGGGTTCGGTTGACGCCAGGAAAATCGGGTTGACCAAAACTTATGCGTGAACAAATGAGTTGAGGTGAGGAGGAAATAGAGTGAGTCGTTGCACGAAGCAGACATGGCCCATTATCAAGAAGGACGACTACATTTGATAATGACGCGATTTCAACAACCACCCAGGCTACATCTATGAGAGCTCAAAAGATATTTGTCCTTCTTGCCGGTGGGGATGATATTCTCTTTGCTTTTACACCAGACCCTCGTCTTCCTCGAGGCTCCATGGGCAGGAATTGGAATTTTGAACAACTGTCACCGAAGACACGATCAAATAAGGATTTGTGCAATTCGAACACTTTTCGGCCGATTCTTCACCGCTAGAGAATAAACCAGCCAACCTGAGAAGCTCGATATGCTTGGGAAAATTAATTATCATTTGTATCATGCGGCCTTGAACTGACTTTTTGTCATGCAAGAAGGAAAGGTGTTATTGTACAATTGATCCGCCGAGCTGGTTGACTCGTAAATGCTGTGCCTGACAGAAGCGCCGGCTCTGAGAAGGTAATTCGTTGCAGATTCATACGCCTTGCGTGCGCACTTTCATCGCGCGCTGATATTCATTACCACTCCACGTTCCATTATCCCATCCCCCCTTTCAATTCTGTCTGCTCGCTTCTTGATGTTCAATCTCGATCCGAGGGTACGTTTGCTATCAGTAAGATGTGAAACGACGTGCTTAGTCATCATCACCAACCTGGAGACGTCATTCGATGCGATCACGCTTCATCGTTGTCACCAACTCGGAGAGTTCCTTGGCTGCCGAAGCCTTGAGACCAGAATCCTTCGAGTGATGGAGATCTATAATTGTCAGTGAGGGGGGAATGATCATCTCGGAGTTCCACCATACGTGCTAGACATGCTGTCAATTGTGAACAGAAGCCAGAAGCCGAAGACCTGTGACGAGTCAGCGCGGCTTGAATTGTAATTGGGGCATTGACTGACGGGTTTAGCAAGAATGTCAAGCACAGCATAGGCAACAATTTCAGAGTCGACGTTGATGACATGGCCACCTACAGAGAGCCCCCAAACACTGTGCGCGAAGTCAGCAATACTGTTGATATTTGTCAGCGCCGTAACGAACTCACATTGGATAAATGGTCCACACGGTCAGAGTGTAGCCAGCAATGGAGGCGTAGAAGGCCTTGGTCTTGCTATCTTTGCTGACAACGGCCTGACGACCACTAGCGGCGACTTGGTAGACCACAACAAGGTAGGCAATACAGGCCCAGGCAAACCAACCCCATTTCTGGCTATCATTGCTACCGTAGGCAGCAAACAAGCCGGTCAAGACCATGATCAGATCGGCAACAATGGTAACCAAGATGTTGGCGCCACTGAGCCCGGCAGTAAGAGTAAGATCCAGCAGAAGCAGCGGGGTTGTGATACTCCCATCAACATATCTTGCCCAATAGACCTCACGGAAATAGGTCTGATGAGTGTCTGGGACCTTCTTATGTGACTCTGTTACCACATACTTCTTGTACGAGATGCCGTCGCCCGTGGCCATCGCGAAGTAGGACAGGAAGGCGAAGGTGGTGATGAAGGAAGTCAGAATATGCAAGAGACGTTTTTGCTGTAATTGTCAGGAGGAGCTTGGGTGTCTAAAGGATTCAGGTCTTGACGTACCACTGGAACACGGAAGGCCATGCCGTAGAAGGCGAGGGAGCAAATAGCCATCACCACCACCACGACCCTTGAGGTAATGAGTAACAGGTCAGCGACCCAGGAAGAGGGCAGACGTACCACAGGGTCCTATTTCCGACGTCTCCCGACTTGACATAGATGGGAGGGCTTGGGATGACAGTGGGAACAGGAACGACGGAGGAAGTGGCCATTGGAGCAGGTGTCGCCATCTCTGGATGGATAATCATGTTGACGATAGAGGATGTCGGTGTCGGAGTAACAGAGATCAGCTCGAGGGAGATATATATCCGTTGCTGGGAGTATTGGTGTAACTCGGGAACGGAACCCGGGACAGAGCAGTGACTTGGGAAGTCTTTGAGACGGTGTAGGGATGAGAAGAAAAAGAAGGGAGACCAAGGCAGCAGTAAAAAGAGAAAACGCAGGTGGATACAGGAGCTTGTGACAGGAAGACACCTGGTCAGTGGTCAAAGAGGAGAGAATTCTTAGCTGGTGAAGTGATGACGAACGGACTCCAACCACGGTGAGGCTCGGGCGCAGGTGATGCTTGCAGCTCTGCTAGCATTGGTCCACCATCTCTTCTGCTTCTCTCTCCTCTCTCGCGTCATCCCGCATAAATTGCAGACAAACCCAGTTGTGACTCAATCTGACTGGCCGTTAAGTTCCTTCTCACCCGGAATCGTGCTCAAAGGGTGTTTCAGTCGGATGATGTATATTTTCCAGGTTTGCGGGGCAAGCTGCGCTAAGGCTATTACTGGGTAAGAACGTCAAGCAAGGGGGGAAAGGGTGACCAACCAATTCTCCCATCAGCCACGCCTTACCCCCAAGTTCTCTGTCAATCGACACTCTTTGGTAGCGGCCACAACCGCCACCACTTGACGCTGGGCTCCTGCAGGCTAAAAAATATTTGCTCCATCCAACGGATACGAGCGGAGTCACCACGAGAACCTTCCAATCTTGCCCTGACGAAACAGCAAACCTTTCTGACAAAGGAGGTTGGAGTTAAGTCAGGTGATCGAGTGAGCCGGGCAGGCCTCCCCAACACCGGTCATCGTGTATCTAGGTACCTCGATTACTCGCGAAAGAAGAACCTCTTTGCCAGGTCTGGTTTGATCCTCGAATGTGAGCAAAGGTCGCTTTAGCCTGAGCTTTTAGCTGAGCTTCACTGAGCGCCTCCTGACTTGTTCTTTGGGGATGTTTGGGCAAGTCACGCTGTTTGATTTGTGGTTTTGAAGGCTCTATCCGAGGACAGTGATGTATAGTAAGGGTCTTGTCTGATGGCTAGAAAATCTTTCTTCCGCTATCTGGCTCGTGAGAATTGGAATGCTACAGGCGGCCAGCTCTCACTGAAGTCCAAGACTGCATCTTCTGTAATTGAGCGCACTGCGGTCAGAGTAGGAGATGCACAGGGAAGAGCAAAGTTCATGATTGTTCGGTGATTCGGGGCCTGCGCCTCAGTTTGGCCGACATGGGATTGGCGACTCCAGTTTCGGAGACAGTTTCTTAGCCGCTGACACATCATCGTCGCATTGCTTTCGTTTGCTGGAGTCTGTTTAGCTTGATCAGCATAAGATCTTGTTATCTCTCGAGGCGATTGATCTTACCCCGATCGGTCTCAACGATTTCTGTCCCTTGCAGCCAATCCAATAGGGACGTCGGCGCAATTTTTCGCCACATCCTCCGACTGCCACTGCGCTGCCCCGCCGATTCATGGGCTTGCACAGTTTGTCGGATGCAAGAGATAAGGGACGGGTCTGTCAAAAATCTTCCAGAGTCCGATGGTTGAGACGAATCATGCAATGATAGAGGAAGACCGGGGGAAACATAATTTCCTGCCTCCATAGGGAAAGCCTTGCGTCCAGGTGGTGGCTCTGAGAAACTAGTCTGAAAAGACTGTATCAATGATACACAGTTCTCATCTGGCGGTAGAATCCCATGATGTCCAGCGGATTCCAAGAAATGCCTCAATAAGCTCAGATCGGTCCGTCCTGCATGCTATACAAGGATGATCGTATCCTGTGTTATCCCCGCTTCGTGGATTTCAGACGCAACTTGATCTACGTTTAGGCGTTCGATCTTGGGCGATCGGGATGGTGCAAAGATGCTGGAGGCTTTTACCCAAGGTTCTTGAGAAGGGATTTTCACTCCATGACCTGTGGTCTAAACAGTTTTCGTGTTCGACGCCGGTGTTAACTAGAACTTTGTCAGAGACCTTCTCGACTGTGGCCGATTCCCGAATCTGGCTTGGTGCAGGAGAGCACTCATCGTCTAAATCACCAGATCCGAGCCAGCTCTCTTGTCCTCTTGAATGTCGATCGGTCGGCTCCGTATGATATCGTAGTTCGGCGGAGACTTCCACTTTCTGCGTATCATCGACTTGAAAAGGGATCGGAGAGGTTTCACGTCTGTGACGGTCTTTTCGCGACGAACCACGTGGATGCGGTTTCGAAGCTATTGGTCGAAAAGGTGTTCGACGCACCCTCCCGATGAACGAAAGGAGAGCCAACCACAACCTTCGAAAACGCAGGAATCCTTCCCACTGTTGAGTTCCACGTCGTGATTTGCGAGGAAGGCCGTAACGTGAATAACGGCCCGGCATGCAACACGGCGGTTGTCGAGGATCATACGTGATAGCTGTGAGGCCGAGACAAGATGGGACAGCAGTATCAAAGTCGAGAACAACTTCATGTGGGCACCTCTCTGACATGAAGCGACCAAAGCCACTGCTTGGTCCTAGACACACAAGGCATAGGTTCGCGCAAGACACCTTAAGTACTTCATGGACAACTGGCCACGCAATACTATGTCAGGTGGAGCTTAGGGGGAAGAAAAAGAATGGCATCATATACTCCAAAGCGTGGTATTCTCTTCCAGGAGCCTCTTGCGATTTGATTCAGAAAGCAACCCAGATTCGTCAAGTGACACATCGAGTTCACCCTAGGGCCGGGGGATAAAGTCGGCTCTGTTCCTCAAAACCTGCAAAAAGGATTACGAAAGCTCTCAATTGCGTCTCCTGCGTCTTCATTCGGCTTGTGGTCTTCACTTGTCGCATCTTCTTTGATTGGACGGAGACCCTCATTCTGTAGCATCATCGAATACTGTACAAATGACAGCCATTTCTCACACGCAACTCTTTGATTTGTTGTGGAACATAGTCAGCGTCGTTTTCAATGTCATCGAACCTGATGTGGGCCGCCTTGTGCTCAGCCAGACCAGATTTCGTAAGTTGCCTGCTTACTATAGCATTCCGGCACATTGGGAGTGACATAAGAAGAACCTTAAGTGGGGTACTTAGCGTCATCCACATGCTCAAAATGCATGCATTGGCGTTTTGAACCGCTCGAAACAGCCTTGTCTAGGGCAGAGGAGTGGGTGAATATGACGAGCTCCATGTTCTTTGGCCCTTGATTTTCTCACGAAACTGCTTTGCATCCATATTTTTCGGCAACGGTGATAAAAGTGGCCTGAACAGTCTTCTTCTCTTGCAAGTGGACAGGGGATACCGAATGCCCTGGTGTATCGTTTTCGCATGTTTTTTTGCAACTGTTGGAGTAGTGAATACGGCTGTACAATTTCTCGTCGTCCAAGGGACATGGATACCGAAGCTGCTTATGTTTGGCTTCAAAGTGCTTCTTCACATCCTGCAGAGTGGTGAAGGCAGCCGTGCGGTGGCGCTGTTCCCCAAGCGGACACGGGGAACTTCTTCCCGCGTGGTCGGTCCTCAGATGCAATTGTAGACTCTTAGGGCTGGAAAAGGAAGTTGTACAAGCCTCCTGCTCCGCCAAAAGACACCGGAATTCGCGATTCTTTGTCCCATGACAATGATATTCTGTGTGCACGGATCGCGTGCATCATTTTGAGAGTTTTGAATTTTTCTCGGCAATTGGCTTTTTTGGGTCAGGGGCATGGAACGGCTATGCAGCCTTAGAACCAGGGAGGTTAGCATCTTCTCGGCAATATGTGGCGACATCACAGTCTCCGTACCTGATGTACCACCCTTACGCCGAGGTCCTTGCCGTGGGCGGGCCGTGGTCGCGAGTAAGTCATGAGTGCTCTCGGAAATTATCTAAAGATCTTTTGTTTACAGCACAACGCGGTTTGCAGGGAAGTCTGCCGCCGAATATGACAGGTGGTGCCGCCGCTTTTGGCGACGGTTTTTCCCCCTTAAATGCCAAGGCGTCGCCAAGCCCATTTTGCTCTACCAAACAATGCGCTTGAAAGCTGGGACGCGTTCCATGCATAGGATATAGTTCTAAGAACTGGGTAATCCGATGCTTGTATCTCTTCCGACCAGCATGCTCTCCGCCGTACCACAGCAACTCACCCTAGACCGAGCCCAAAATCGTGTTGATGCTTGGATTGAGGACATGTTGATTGCACATTGTTTGCCAGTAAATGATCGCAGTTTCTACGTTCACACGTCACTGCAGCCTAAACCTATAAGTCCTTCACCTACGACGCACTCCCACTTATCTTCTCTACCTTCCGCAACACATCCGCCTAGTCGACGCGGCAAGAGAAAGAGATTTCGAAGTAAGGAACCGGATAGAGATCCCGCTTCGCCTGTGCCTCCTCCGTCTCCTCTAAATAAAGCTACACAGTGGCTTGGAAGGGCCCGCCGCAAGCAGTCTAGATATATTCCTCCTATGACACGCGCAGCTTCTGCAGCATTGCCCCGAGCAGGACCGAGTCAAGATCGTCAAGCAGAACCGAGCCAGAATCCTCAGACAGAACCCAGTCGAGATCAGGCAGAATCGAGTCGGGATCCTCAAGCGGAACCGAGTCAGGGCCCTCAAACAGAACTCAGTGGAAATCAGGCAGAACTAGGGCAGGATCCTGTAACGGAAGAGCATGGGACGAGCAGCTCGCTTTTCAACCAAGTTCATCTTCCACCCCCGTTCGACTCGACCGTTGTGTCCCATTTTGATGCCAATGCCACCTTTGTCTCAAGACCCAAGCCCCCGCCGGAATCCACTGCTGGGCAATCAGAGATCACTGCTAAGCAATCACACGGAACCAATCAAGAATCGCGGCCCCGCACAAAGGGTTCAAATGTGAGATCGAAGAGCCCTGTCAATTCAATGGCGGATTTGGCTTTTGCAGATAAAGAGATTCAAGCCAAGGAAATCGGCGACACATTGCCTGAGGACGTGAGAGAACTGCACGAGAGACTGAAGGTCTTGAATATTGGCGAGGGAATCATGCCATCGCTTATCATGGTAAGCACGCTTAGTGGACCAGCATAAGAACTCAGCTCCGGCCTAGTTGATATGAGGATGAAATCACTATCGCTGCAGGAAACAGGGAACTCTTGCGACCTTTCATGTTTGACGATGGAATAGCAGAAGAGCTTAATACGAGGGAGCAACTGCTGTATGAGCTGAAAGAGCTTGGCCAGATTCGAGATGAGTCTCGAGAGTGTGCAGAGGGATTTTCTCCCGAGCCAGCTTGGAACGAGGCAGTGCACTACCCGATCTTGAGGTTAGCCTGAAGAGTGTCGCTGGTGTGAGGTGCAAAAACGTGTACGGCTGCCGGCTCAGTCTCATCCTTGTGCAACGGCTGATATTGTCCAGCACCACTGCCCGCGTCGTGCGGAGCCTGGTTCCGCGTCACGTCAGCGGAGATATTATCGAGTCGAAAATTGTCGATTATACCATCAACCTTCAACCAACCGATGAGATGAGACAGATGATCCTGCGCCTGCTAGAAAGTCAACCTTATGATCTTCAGACCATCAACCAGACCATGTCCAACCATGTTCGGTATCTACCGATTGCGGTCAGCATCGAGACTAAGACGCTTGATGCTCCGGAGCAGGAGGCAAAGGTGCAGTTAGGGATGTGGGTGGCGGCACATTTTAACCGCCTGCGCCTGCTCTCTGACCAAACTACGGTCTTGCCGACACTTCCGCTTCTGTATATCTCCGGCAAATGGTGGTATCTGCTCTTTGCCTGCGATTGCCCTCAGCGTATTGTATGGCCCTTCTCAATGTCTTGGTCGCCCGCTTCTTACATTTGGCAGGAACTGCTTGGGGAGCTTCTCATTGGAGATACGAAATCTGTAGTGGGTTGTTACAAGTTGCTTGCTGCCCTTCGCTGCCTCGCGGAATGGGTGACGACGACCTTCAGAGAGTGGCTGGAAGTGAATGTGCTTCAACCCAACGCCATGTCAAGCAGTACGAAGGGAAAGACAGCTATGAGGGAGGTGTGAGGAGATGAAGGCCGCATGAGACGAGGAAGGGGGCCAGGAAGGAGGGGAAGGAATGCAGACGCCGGGAGGAATACGGGTTCGCAGATCGTATGAGAGTCACCTTATGAAAACCTGATCGCAGATTTCCTTGATTTCGTTTGTTGTCTCACTATTGCTTAAGGTCATTATTGCTTGTGCTCAGATTAGTCGATACAGATTCGCTCCTGTGATAGACATGAGGTCTTGGCAACCCCAAAGGCTAATAACAGATTAGGATTTCTGTCAGCCTTGTAAAGCCCAGTGGTCAAATTCTGCCTGTCGGGCCAACTGGTCGCCAGGTGAACAAGGGTCCAGCTTGTCTTATCTCGCTCAGAAATAATGCACATAAAAACAGACGAAATACTCGAATAGTTAGTTCTTCAGCTGACTCACAATATACATCTGACAATTTCCTGGGCCACACAAGTAAGTAGGCCAACAGCAAACCCACATACGATCGAACGGGTTCTCTTCAGGCTTAAACCGATTCCCTCTTTGTTTGCACTTTCGACACCAATTGCTAGATGGGATCATACCCCACTCGGACAAGGTATAGCCGGCCGTTCGTCTGCGGCGCATCTTTCTGTTACCGGACGACGTGGAGGCGCTCCTCTACCGGTGCCGTAGCATCGTGCTCGATTGTACGCAAAGCCCTCTCCCACTCCGGGGGTCCAAATAAATCGATGCGCCAAAAAATTGTGGCCTCCGAGGCGGCGCTTTTACCAAACACGGTGTTCGTGGGGGTATAGGCAGCCAAAGTGACAAAGGAAGAGTCAGTGATGGGAGGGTCAGTGGCAGACGGTGGCCGGGGAAGGGGTTTGGTAGGCTTGAAAGTATACAAAACACCAGGTGCATCATGTAAGGCAGGGTATGAGTACCCAGCGGCCTAAAGCGGAGGGAGAGGATGATGGAAGAGTGGTTCTTATAGCGACGTCAAAAGCGGCGGGCGGCCAAGACTGGAATCCCCCGGTGGGGGATGCTCTACCAGTTAGTCATCAGGCCTTGGCACTCAGCCGGCGACCGCACCTTCAGTTTTTTTCATCCTTTTCATTTTTCCTGTAGACTCTCTCCTGTAGACTTCTACAACGCTGCTACCTCTCAAGTTACTAGCTGGCTAGATTGCACATTGTTCTTGTTCACTCTTGGACAGATATTACCATTGCCAAAGGGGAAGGGCCAAGAAGAAGAGATTCAGGACCAACCGGCTTAACCTTGCACTGTTGTTGATGTTTTCTCTTCCAGATCCGACAATTGACCTCCATTGGGGCGACTATCATGGAGGTAGGATATAACGAAGCGTCTTCCCTATCATTTGGATTCAGCACCTCCTTACAATTTTTTTTTTCCTCTAGCCATCCATGAGATATTTGCGTCCAATGCCAAGCGGTTTCCAGAGAGGGAATGTGTAGTTGAAACCAGAGGGTCGCGAACCGTGCAGCGCACCTTCACGTACCGCCAGATCAATGAGAGCTCCAATCAGTTGGCACACCACTTCTTGACTCACGGGTGCGAAGTGGGAGATGTTGTCACGATATATGCTTATAGAGGGTGAGTTCTTCCTTCACTATCCTCCCTCTATTTTCAATCGCTGACGTCAAAGTAGGGTTGACCTTGTCGTTGCCTATATGGGTGCTCTTAAGGCGGGCGCGACTGTTAGTGTGCTGGATCCCCAGTACCCCCCCGAGCGCCAGAAAATTCTCTTGGATGTTGCGCGCCCGAGATTCCTCGTCTGCATTCAGAGGGCTAATGAGGAGTTCGGCAAGCCTTCTGATATTGTCATGGACTTCGTGGCGAACAATCTGAGCATCAAGACGACTGTTCCAGCTCTAGAGCTTTCCGACCGTGGGGAGCTCAGGGGCGGCAACGTGAACGGCTCAGATTGTCTCCAGGCCCAAGTCGATGACAAGGAGGACATCTCCGGTGTCTTGGTCGGCCCTGATTCTGTTCCCACTCTGAGTTTTACGAGCGGATCCGAGGGCAGGCCAAAGGGTGTCCAAGGACGCCATTTTTCATTGACATATTATTTCCCTTGGATGGCAGAGAGATTCGGTCTGTCGGAAGAGGATAAGTTCACCATGCTATCCGGCATTGCTCATGATCCCATTCAAGTAAGTCATTGTTGATCGGAGGAGCTCCAATATCATTCATGCGGAAGATCTGACGAATACAATCAAAGCGAGATATTTTCACCCCGCTTTTCCTAGGCGCCAAATTGGTTATCCCTCCGGCCGATGTCATCACGTACGAACTGCTTGCGGAGTGGATGAAAGAGCATAGCGTGACGGTGACACATCTGACTCCTGCCATGGGTCAGATTCTTGTCGGCGGCGCCACCATTCAATTCCCTTCGCTTCGAAATGCCTTCTTCGTTGGTGATCTCCTGATTAAGAAAGACTGCAGAAAGCTGCGCGACCTTGCACCTAATGCCACCGTTATAAACCTCTATGGGTCGACCGAGACGCAGCGTGCTGTGTCTTTCTTCGAGGTGCCGAGCAAGGCTCGCGACCCAGCCTTTCTGGAACATCTGCCGGATGTCATTCCGGTTGGCCAAGGAATGCTGGATGTCCAACTCTTAGTCGTCGATCGAGACGACGTGACCAGGCTCTGTGGGATAGGGGAGCAAGGGGAGCTCTTCCTTCGAGCAGGGGGACTTGCGGAAGGATATCTCGGGGACGACGATAAGACGGCGGAACTCAACAAGTCTAAGTTTCTGCCCAACTGGTTCGTCGATCCCGCCAAATGGATGCAGCAATACGCCCAGCAGGATGCTTTGGGAGCGCATGAGGCATGGAGAAAGCTTTACAAGGGACCACGAGATCGCATATATCGAACCGGTGATCTTGGTCGACTCCGTCCTGATGGAAGCGTCGAGTGCCTCGGCCGGGTTGATTTGCAGGTGAAGATCCGAGGCTTTCGAATCGAGCTGGGGGAGATCGACATGTACCTGTCACAGCACCCGTTCGTGCGCGAGAATGTCACTACAGTTCGAAGAGACAAGAACGAGGAGCAAACACTTGTCACCTATTTTGTCCCCGAGACCAAACGCTGGTTTCAATACATCCAGCAGCTGGAAGGGGGGAAAAAGATCGAGCCGGACTTGGGAGATGAGTCGATGTCTGCCATGCTGAGACGGTTCAAGTCGCTGTCCGAAGATTGCAAGAAGTTTCTGGCCACCAAGGTTCCCAAATACGCCCTCCCCAGCATCTTGATTCCTCTGGCTCGGATGCCCTTGAGTACGTAATCTCCGAGGCCCCCAATAAACAGATAGAATACTCTTGACTGACAGGACCACCTCCAGACCCGAATGGCAAGATTGACCGGCCTGCACTTCCCTTCCCCGACGCGTCGGATCTGGCTCTCCTGTCCCGGAGGAGAAGTTCATCCGCGGTTGCCAATATGACCGACACTCAGGCTCGACTAGCTAAGATATGGGCATCAATCCTGCCCAACCGCACCGCACGAATGTTCGTACCGGATTCCAACTTCTTTGATGAAGGCGGCCACTCCATCCTTGCACAACAGCTGTTTTTCCACCTTAGGAGAGAATGGAAGGGCATCGACTTACCCATGGGGGTAATATTCCAGTCCCAGACGCTCCATGCCCTTGCCGCAGAGATCGATCGTGCACAAGACCCTATTGGTCTCCGCCTCGACGCAATGCCCCTTCCCGGAGACGGGGCCGTTGAGGATGAGGCCTACGCGGCAGATGCGAGGGATCTTGTGCGTCACCTTCCCCAGTCCGTGCAGGGGCCCACAAGAGAATTGGACTATACAAGTACGTCTTCTACTGTGTTCCTAACCGGCGCCACAGGTTTCCTAGGCTCATATATCCTGCACGAACTCCTTGAGGGTCGTACCAGGGCGCGTGTCATAGCACACGTGCGTGCCAAGGACGCAGCAGCAGGCCTCGCTCGACTCGAGACCATAACCAAGGCATATGGGCTCTGGTCCCCAAGTTGGACACATACTTCCAGGCTCGAGGTCGTGGCTGGGGACATCTCCAAGCCCCAGCTGGGTCTGTCTCAGGAGATCTGGGATCGCCTCGCCGATGAAGTTGACGTCGTCGTCCACAACGGTGCCCAGGTAAATTGGATGTTGCCATATTCGAGCTTGCGGGCGGCCAACGTGCTGAGCACATTGGCTTGCATCCGACTCTGCACCACCAGGAAGCCCAAGCGGCTGACATTCGTCAGCTCCACCTCAACGCTGGACAACGAATACTATATCCAGCTCACGCGAAAGGTTGGAACTGCCGTGCTGGAGGCGGACGATCTGGAAGGTAGTCGCAAGGGTCTGGCCACTGGGTATGGGCAGTCCAAATGGGCAAGCGAGTTTCTCGTGCGTGAGGCTGGACGGCGTGGCATGGTGGGCGCGATCGTTCGCCCGGGGTACATCACGGGGGATCCGCGATCCGGCACCTCGGTAACGGACGACTTTTTGGTTCGACTGTGGAAAGGGTGTTTGCAGGTCGGGGCGCGTCCGGACATTGCCAACACGCTCAACGCCGTCCCCGTCACACAGGTCAGCCGCATTGTTGTTGCTGCGGCGTTCCATCTCCCTGCTGCTCTCGGGCAGTCCCTCGGCGTTGCTCAGGTGACTAGCCATCCGCGCCTGACGCTGAATGAGTGGATGGGTGCTCTGGAGTCGTACGGGTACCGCGTGCCGATGGTATCGTACCAGGACTGGTGCACGAGGGTCAACGAATACGTCAGTAGCGACAACGACGCCAACAAGGAGCAGTTTGCGCTGCTCCCACTGTTCCACTTCGTGGTGGGAGACCTGCCCGCGGACACCGTTGCTCCTGAGCTAGACGATGCAAACGCTGCGGCCGCGCTGAGGCACTACGACGTCACGGAAGTAGACACACCGGGTCAACCGGGTCAAAAAGATCCTCTCGCTGCCAATTCGGTAGGTGTGCAGACTCTGGGCATGTACCTGGCATACCTCGTTGCCGTGAGCTTCCAACCTGCGCCCCCGTTGAAGGGCGAGTTCAAGTTGCCGATTCGGGATGGGGCGAGGGTTCGGACATTGGCGGCTGGCCACCTTGGTGGCAGGTCTGCAAGGCCGTGAATGATGGAACGCAACAAAATGGCGTCATGACTGATATGCCCGCCCCGAGACACATGGTCAGGATCTCCCGGATAGGACGGCGAAGGTGACGGCAACGACGACGAAAAGTCACCCGCATTCGAGACTGTCTACGGGGAACGATTCTGGTGGCCACTTTCTCGTGGTTCTAGCACGGCATCAAGTCGATACTGCCTCTTTGAGTCAACATGTCATGACAGCAGACCCGATGGCTCGAAATTGGGTTTGTCCTGCCCATTGAGCCGACCGGCGTCAAGACCTGCAGGATAGAGAATTGCACACTTTCGGAAATGCGGCCCTCTGAAATGCTTGCGTTTGAATGAGCCGGGACAATGTGCATTGAGATGCTACACTTCTGCCACATGATGCTATGGGGAGACGAAGATTGCCAAATGATATCAGAGTATTCTGAGCCTCGGGCACCTTGATAAAGACAAGAAGCAAGTGGAAGGGACATAGGAACAATCCGATTTGAGAGATGGAACGACCTCCACTGTCTCATTTCACATCAGAATCAATGTGACAATTGGTTCCGCCCCATGTGGTCGTTGCAGGAAAGCTAGGGAAGGAATTTGTTGTCATCCCAGAGGCTACAGAGGCATCCGTAGGTATTTATTTGACTGTGCCAGGCTATATTGACAAAACCCAATACAAATATTGGAAGTTGCACCTCCACCAAAGAGATCGATCCGCTTAAAGACATGACTTGATCATGACGCACAAGTCCTCATGCGCTGCAGCATGGGAACACCAAAGAGAATTCGAAATCGAACGTCCCGCCTTAGGAGTGTTGAAAATGTTGTTTTGTTCGATCTCAGAGTGCCTTGGAGGGCTTCCATATATACACGTGACTCTAAATAGGCGCTAAACCTGATTTGGCGGACTCATGCAAGGCTAGGCCAAGCCTACCCCTGTAAAACTCCATGCTGGTAGTTACGGACTGCCTAGCTGCTATTTATCGAGTTGATAGCACTTTGATAGTAAGTCCCTCTATACATACTGATTCCGGGTATATTGGAAGGGGAGCCGGATTGGGATCCCCCAGCATCCCAAATGGATCCCATCGTCTAAAGTCGGCCAAAGTTGGTGTTTTGAATGAAGGGGAACATCAAGGTTCAGGGAGCAGAAGGTGAGCGGAGGGTGAGCAATGCGGCGAGTGGCTTAGTCATGACGGGAAGTTGGGCAACACCATCGCCGTGATCAGAGGCGAGGCTGGTCAGACAGGGCTATCCATAAAACATCACTTCATGACATCAAAAAAAGAACAAAGAACGAAGCAGCTATCAGTTTTCTGAAGAGTAGGGAGCGATCTTCGAGCACGACGACGTTGTCATGGGCGCAGATGATGATCGCGAGACCCACAACTCATACAGGCCATTTGGCGACTTTCTCATAGCTCTCGCCTCAAATTGTGTTAGTCATTTCAGAGCCCTTTACCCTGCATAATTCCCCGGAACGCAACATGTTGCTGATTGCATGTCAGGCTCTGAAGATCCCATGACCAGCAGCAATAATCGCTGTGGCGTTGAGATCGAACACACCAGAATTGACTTTCACGATTCCCCCACGCTTTACGATCGAAATCACATTTTCCATCTAAGCGCGGTACTCCGTGACAAATGAGTCCTCCAAGGAGGCTTTTTTTTTTTTCTTCCCCAGCCGAAGAGTATGAATCTGTATCGAGCTTTAAAATAAAATTCACATGAACAGGGGCATCTGATGTCCAGATTGGTGCAGAGGTATCCGATGTCCGGTAGCCCAGTTTACTCGAAATTCTTCAACAGCATTTGTACATCGACCACAAAGGGAAAGTTGTTCTTCGTCTTTTGACCCCGAATTGTTCTTGGATCCTCGAGGCTCAACCACATATCTCCAGCATCGAGCGCATTTGTCACCTCGAGGACTTTGGACAACAGCGAGTCCGATTGTCTGCCCTTCCGACGTTTTGATCTCGCTTGAGAGCGTCCATACTCGAGAGGAGTCGGAAGTTGAGTGAGCTGAGATGACTTCTTCAATATTGTCGTGTTTGATAATTTCCACGGCGGACACAACTAGAACTTCAGTCAGTGTGTCAATGGGGATGCTCGGCAAATCAATGCCGCTCTGTATATGGATTGTGACATCCGACGCCAGTGATTGACCCATAAACTTCCTTGTCCGAGCCGCTTCCTGCGCAGCTTTGACACTCGAGTTGATAGCCATGAGAGATGGAAAGACAGCTTTCAGAGTTGGATCATACCATTCTTCGGGCACCGATGTCCATATTCGCCGTAATGGGTGTTCAAGTGTCGCTTTGTAGGTCTCCGGACTATGCTCCCAGCTTTCTTCGACCAGTAACGGCGTCATTGGTGCCAACATGTTCTGTAACTGGTACAAAATGTGATGTAATGCTGTTTGGGCACTGAGACGCCTCTGGCTTGACGGCCCGTCACAATATATGACATCCTTAATTGCCTCGAAGTAGAAACTAGACAATTCATTCGCTACCCAGCGATAGATGGCGGAAGCCGCCTTGTGGAACTCGAGATCCGAATATGCCTTTCGTACAGAGCTGCAAACGTCGTGGAGATGAAGCATTGCAATCTGATCAAGCCGAGACATCTTCTCGTACGGCACCAGCATCTGAGGATCAGAGTCTGCCAGCATACCCAATAACATTTTCATTGTCAAGCGATACTTATCGAGTGCATGGTGAACGGAAATCACGACTTTTTCGCTGATCGCCACGTCCTTCGTCCACTCGCTGCTTGCAACCCACAATCTCAGCGCGTCAGGCCCGAGAGGATGCACTTCGCGTTTCGACTTTGTTTTCGTTGGCGCCGGAGGGCCCAATCCCGCGATGATCTCGCTGGGTGCAATGACATTGCCAAGAGACTTGCTCATTTTCTTGCCTTGCGCGTCTAAGGTAAATCCATGAGTCGCGAGAGTGCGGAATGGTGCATGAACTTGGAATGAAGCAGGGGAATCCGACACTGCAGTCGGTGGAAGCGATTTTTGATATGCAACGTTGGTCAGCAGGCTCGATTGGAACCAGCCTCTGTGTTGGTCAGTTCCTTCGACGTATATGTCGGCCAGAGGTGCCGATTGGGCCTGAGACGGCGCGGACGTTGAACTATTGCTGCTGAGAATCGATGTCCAGCTTGTGCCACTGTCGAACCAGACGTCCATTGTATCCGCGCCACGACAATATTCCGAAGAAGGTGAAGGTAAGCCTGGAACGATCCAACCGGGGTCGTCAGGTTCGTCGGACCACCAGGCATCGATCCCGCGCTCTCTGATGACACCAATGATATGGCTGATACTCTCCGGCGTCAGGACGGCCTCTCCCGTTCTCTTGTGGTGAATTGCGGGGATTGGTACTCCCCAAGCCCGCTGTCGAGAGATGCACCATTCAGTCCTATTCTCCACAAAACTACGGAGACGACCATTGCCTGTCTTCGGTAAAAATTTCACAGTGTCGAGAGCCTGGAGAGTGTCATTCCTGATCTTGGAGATGTCGGCAAACCATTGAGCTGTCGCACGGATGATGACGGGCTCCTTGGTCCTCCAATCGACTGGGTACTTGTGGCGATAGAGGTGTTGGTGGACCAGCAGGTCCTTCGTTTGCAGCATTTCCATAACTGTTTTGTTGCCCTCTTCGAAGACGTACTGTCCCTCAAGGAGGCCAGGGTCGGGCGGAGATGCGGTACTGTCGAATCGGCCAAGGCTGTCCACCGGAGCCTTCACGGAAATACTCGAGGCTTTGATCAACGGCTGCAAGGCTTCGTAATCTTCCATGCCATGGCCCGGGGCACAATGAACAAGTCCAGTCCCGCTCTCCGCTGACACAAAGTCCGCATGAATGAACGGTCTCTTCGCGGCTCCCTTTCCAAATTGCGGCAAGCCCGAGTAGGTGCTGCGCAGCAGTTTGTCCGTGGGTATGCTGTCCAAGACGACTTCTAGCGGCTCCCCAATCGTTTCCGCCAAATACTGAAGCCGGGGTTGAGCCACAATCAAAAGACCATGGTGGTCTGATCTGACGAGACAGTATTGCAGTGAGGAATTGACGGCGATTGCTTGATTCGCGGGAAGCGTCCAAGGCGTGGTAGTCCATATCAGCGCATGAACCGGGCCATCTGCAAACGGGGCAAAACTATCCAACGGAAATTTCACCAGAGCCGCGTTGGAGACATGATCATCCTGATACTCCAGCTCCGCTTCCGCAAGAGCGGTGCCTGAGGACGGCGACCAGAATACAGGCTTATGCCTCCGGTATATCAATCCGTGTTGCGCCATCGCCTGAAATACGGACAATTGCCGCAGTTCGAAATCTTTTTGCATGGTTGTCCAGTGATTTGCCCAATCTCCCATCACGGCCCAAGAACGAAAGCCGGCCATCTGCTTTTCCACTGTCTTGGACGCAAACTTCCTGGCTGCTTTTCGAATCGCACCCGGATCGACTCCTTGTCCACGATCCCAACCATTTTGTTCCAGAGCTTTCAACTCGATCGGCAGCCCGTGGCAATCCCAACCAGGTACATAGTCTACTCTCTTGCCCTCTAGAAGCCTCGAGCGGCAAATAATATCCTTGATGATCTTGTTGAGAGCGTGCCCAACATGGAGGTCCCCGTTCGCGTAAGGAGGGCCATCGTGGAGGACGAAGGTATTTGAAGCAGGCCTCTCACGGCGCTGCCAGGCGTAGAGGTCGTCTGTACATTTCGGAAGGTATTTCGCTATGTCTGCGGGCCGGGGTCGGGGTGGAAAAGTCGCAGCGGGAAGACGGAGCGTGCTCTTCAGAAACTTGGCTGCATCTTTCGCAGCTTGTGTCATATCCCCTTAGCACCATTCCAACGGGCCACTATCGTCTCACGAGGCTGATGGCGGCCCAAATTAAATCTGATCGACCGCAATTAGAAGCTCTGTTGAAGCTGCATTTTGACACGTTCGGGAAAAATAGTTTCGTCGTGAACGTTGGACTTACAGTGGAGCGCAGCGCCGCGAGCTCCCTTTTCTACTCCTGGAACAATCACTTTCCTACAATACTAAAAAATCCTCAGTAAGTCCTGGTAATCTTCCAGCTACGGGAAAAAGAAATGTAGGAATTCTAAATATTTGAAATCCAGTCCGATAATTTTCTCATAAATCAGAGCGACAACCCAACGCCGTACGCGGTCGCTAGTATCATAATCCCCAAATGCACGATGCAAAGGCCACCTCAAGACCAAAATTCATCGAGTGGGACCGATGGACTTGATCAAGCCGCTCGTGGGGGAAACTCTCGATGCCCATTCTCTGCATGATGTTAGCATATGTGTCAATACAGTCATTCTGAACTATGCTCACGTCCAGCTTCCGTCATAGAGCCTTCGATCATGATCGGATCCGAATTCGGCCTCTTTGAGAGCAGCTTCAATTATTGCTGCCGTCACACCAGTACCGCAAGTGGCGATGAATGGTTTTGTTGAGTCAAGCTTTTTTAACTCAAAAATTTTCTTCAATTCTTCGCGAGGTAACAGGGCCTTGGTTTCGGGATCAAGAAGTTCTTGAAATGGAAGATTCATGGAACCTGGCATATGTCCTGATTTCAAGCCAGGTCTTGGTTCTGGCTCAGTGCCCTCCCACCGACCTTGGGATCGGGCATCGAGTATTTGGATTTCTTCGGAGCCCTCTTTGCCATAATCATAGCCGATGGTTTTCATTTCGGCAAACTTCACCACCATGTCGGTGTTGTAACTTGGTACAGGATATTTCGTAATATTGGGCACTTTTGGAGGTCCGGTCTCTACAGGATAACCTTCTTTGACCCAGATGCGAAAGTTATTGAGCACGTGGACCTTGGGATGGCCATAAACCCGCATTGTCCATGCGACTCGAGGGGCGGAAAATAATCCAAGCTCTTCGGTGTCATAGATGACCAACTCGTCCTCTTTCCTGACTCCAAGTTTGCCCATGGCGTCTGCGAACACATCGCAGGTCGGCAGCATGTGGGGGAAATCCGACTCTCGGTCTTTTATTTCATCAATGTCGAAGAAACGTGCAGTGGGTATTCTTTTCTTTCTGAAAGCCTCGAGGCCAGTTCTTTTTTGGGTATCGTTGGGCATGAACCATGCCGCACAGATAGGGATGACTTTGGGTGCGGTAGATATTGCGGTAGGAGCATTTTTGCTCAGGGCGTCATCGACTTCTTTAGGAGTAACAACGTAGGACGAAAACTCATGACGCTGAAGAACTGACATACATTGAAATCGGGGGCGAACCGGGCGAAGAGCTCCCGAACGCCAGAGGCGTGATGAAGGCATGACGGACGGCATGTTGGAGATGATCAGCTTGTCATAACGTCGTGTCACCCTGACAGGTCGGACCGTGGATCATGGTTTGATGCAGCTGGGTCGCGACATTTGAAGAATATTGAGTGGGCATGAAGATGAGAATCAATCAAGATCTCTCGCTGACTATCTAGCACGCGAGCTTGGAGCTTCGAAAGGATGGTCAATGCTATGTACTCCATATCTGACGTAGCGGGGCAAAAGCAATTCCGAGTCGCCCGAAAAGATCCGTTGAGCCCATCCCAAGCAAAATATTGTCAAGGCTTTCCGAAGGCGGACTCCATCGCATCATTTGCAATCAATCTATTCATTATTTATCAAAACAACTTAGACCTCCCCATGACCTGGCTCGAAAAACGCTCTTTCAGACCATAACCTCTACTCGCTCGTCAGTAACCCTGTTCCGGTATCGGAATTCAACATCCTGCCAAAGACTTGTGCACGACCAACAAAACGGGTATCACATCTTCTCAGCATCTGAACAGAACACATCGAACGCAAACGCAATTCAAAGCCTCTAACACCTTTGGTCCACTATTCCGGCGGACTGCTTCTTGGTCTCCTACCTCCTCCCATCGGACCCACGCTCTGGGAGAAATTCTCCACTCCAACGCCCGTCCCCAAACCTGTGACATGATTCTTCGTCCGACCTTGCTTTCCGGGCAACTTGCTCTCCACCACCGCATTAGCGGTAGCGTGTCTCTTTAACGGCGGCGGCCCGCTAGCACTGCCGACGCTCTTACTGAAGTCCAAGAGAACAGGTCGACCGCTTGTAGAACTCGCTGAGTGGGAAGCCGGTCTGTTGATGACATTGATGTCGATTTCTTTCAAGCTGGCTTTAACTTCGTCAAGTGGGATCGTGGTTGTAGTCGTCTGAGTGGTGATAGGTGGTTGGTTGTTCGGTACTTCGGCATCGGTGAAGACCTTGGTCTTACTTGGACTTGAGACCTTCGACGGTGAAGCAGGTTCTTTTCGATGAGATGCCTGCTTGCGCGGTGATCGAGTAGATGCGCTGCTCGTCGAAGGCATTTGGGCCACCATGGCAGGATCGGGTAAGCCCCTAAGCCTGGCGATAATAGACCCATGATCCTCCGTCCGCGACAGCTCAGAAGGATAATTCCATTCCTTCTTTTGAGGAGTCTCTCCGGTTGGTGTGTACTCAGCCAAGGAGGCATTTGACAGTTCTGCTTTCAATTCTTGAAGAGGCGCGCAAGTGTCCTCGTTCAAGGAGCTCGCCAAACCCTCGACCTCTGTGATTCCTGCCTTCTGTTCGGTCCCAAAGTTTTCGAGTGACACCCTGAACTCTTCCGATTTTTTCACGAGTTCGGTAAATCCATCTTGAACTTGAGAGCTGACCTTGTGCAGACTGTGCACTCGTTCATCGTGATGAGTATCGTTGTGCGCTCTTGCTCTCGTGACAAATTCGTCCAAGGCCGCCATCTGGGTGGCCATCTGCCTAAGCTGTGCATCGACGATCTTGGTAGTTTCCTCATGGACGGCTTTGGTAGATTTCTGGATCGCGGTGTTTCGTGCGTTAATTGCCTATCGACGGTTAGCATGGCAGGTGAGCCGGGAAATCGCAGGGAACGTACGGTCCAGTCTCCCTTCATTTTCCCTTTCAGATCATCCTTTGAATGTACCACCTTCGTCATTAACTCGCTCTCTTGAGCCATCCATTTGTCCATGCCATCACGATAAGTTTTGTCGGCGGTTTCGAACTGCTCTGTAGCCTCAACAATGTGTGACTGAGTGCTAATCAACCTGTTGGAGAGTCTCTCCTGTTGCTGATTCGAAGACGAATCAATCAGCCGGGAAATTTGCGCTTTCAACTTTTCTTTCTCCTCTTCCGCAGCTCTTTTTTCTTCTTCTCGGATAGTTTGAAGCTGAATGGAAGCTGCTAACGTTGCCTCGATATTCGCATGATGTGCTTCCAACAGCGCCTGTCTCAAATCATCGGATTCCTCTCGTTGTGCTGTGAGCCGCTGGGTAAGATCATCCAACATTGCTTTGAAATCCTTTCCGAGGACACTGTATGATGAATGCAGTTGTGTGTGAAATTGTTCCAATTCTGAGATCACTTCCGCAGAAATCTTCGCGGCCGCTTGAGAGAGACCCTGAAGACCCTCGCTGACTTTGTCCTCGACATCGTCCCGAAGACCTTTGATCTCGTCGAGGACGTCGTTCACGGCATCTCTGGCCTCAGAAGACTGATGCTCGACGGCAGAGACATTCTCGGCCAATTCAGACGCCTTTGAGAGAACCAGCTGGGCTGAATTTTCGAGACGCGAATTTTCGGCCGCGAGAAATGTCTCGATTCGCGTTGAGCTTGCTGCAATCAATTCTGAATGGACCGCTTGGAAACTTTCAATGCGAGCATCAATGAGATCAGAGACTTCTGATACTCGATGGACGGAAGTCTTCCAGCATTCACGATTTTGAGCATGGAGGTCAGAGCGACGTCTCAGTTTTGCATGCAGACCATTGATATCGTTCACAGACTTGCCCATAGTCGACACCAATTCTGTGCCGATGCCAAATAATTTCTCTTCGGTAGCTTCATGTGCTTCACGCAGAGCAGTCTCTTCAGTCAGAGTGTTCTGGGTATCCGCCAGCACCGCCTCCGTTTTGACCAGGACATCCTTCGTACTGTCCAGGGCCGTCCGAGTGGCCTCATGGTCTCTCTTCAGCATGGTAAAATTATTCGTCAAACTGAACAATTCTTGAACTTTGTTTCGTAAGCTGACTTCCATCGTTTCAATTCTAGCCTTCTGTTCCTCGCTCAGTATTCTTCTTGACTCACTCTCGACCGTAATTTCTTCGTATTGCTCATTTGTGAGATACACTCCGTTGCGTTGTCGTGTGGCAATCAACTCACTCTTCAATTTTTCTATTTCGGCTGTGAATTCTTTCAGCAAGGTCTTCTTGGAGATCATTGAATTGACCTGAGGCTTGTTCCGGATGTTCTTTGCACGGAATGCATAATCCAGGGTCGAGATCGTTTCTTCCAGATTGCTTTTGGCTGGAGATACCGTTGCAATAATGCAGGTCTTGGTTCGTCCACCCAATGAGTCTTGCAAGAGCCTTGTGAGCTTAGATTCGCGATAGGGAATGTGCGAACTCTTGTCCACAAGAGCATTGATCACTCGACCCAGCGTCAACAAGCTCTTGTTGATCAGTCCCGCTTCTGCTGCTCTTTTGTTCTCGGCCCCACTTCGTTGGATGTTTTCGCTACCCGCCAGATCGACCAGGTTGAGTTTTCCTGAGCAGATGTAATCTTCACCAGCTTCATTCGCTTTCTTGACATATGTCGTTATGGTAAACACGGTATGGCTTCGTGAACTGAGATCGTTGCATTTTGTCGCCGCAACTTGTCGCCTGTAACTACCTTCCCGGAGGAGTTTGATCCCGGCCGCTGCCGACTTGATGTGCGACTCTTCCATTCCTTGAACCAAAGTGGCCGAATGACTTTTCTTGTTCGAATCATCATAGATTTTGAGTTTGACGCCGTCGTCTGTGGATAACAGATCCCGTAGCTCCTCATTGTACAATTCGATGAATGAGCATTTCACCGAACATTCCACTTCGTCTGCCTCCAGTTTTTGGAAGAGTGAGTAAAGGACTCGGGGGATAATGCCCGCCGCATCAGAGAGGAGTCCTAGTGTGTCCGTCATATCACCGGACATGGTGTATGTTTTCCCCGTGCCTGTTTGCCCATATGCAAATATGGTACAATTGTAGCCGGTCAACATTTCGCTTAATATGGGTGCCACAACATCATCAAATATGATTCCCTGGTCGGCCGCCGGGGAGAAGACTTTGTCAAAATGGTAGGTCTTGTTGCTAATCGCATTGGGTCCCATAGAGAGTTCCACATTCTTGCCCTTGACACCATTTGTTGACACCACAACGCCGCTGTTTTCTCGTACCTCTCGCTCGCTGCGGCCTCGACATCGAACCACCACATGGATATTTGTCTCTTCACCGTGATCTTGGTCAAATTCCCTCTCTTTTCTTTTTGTTCCGGCGCTGGTGGTACTGCTAGATATATTCGACTCCGCCGGAGAGGGAGCGCGACCGGTCATCGAAGCATATTGGGTAGCATTTGGTCGGGGCGGCGGGCGCATCGAACCTCTCGTTGACACATTGGGCGGACGGTGTGATCCCACCATTTTGGATGCGTTTGAGTTGATGTTCGAGGTTGAAAGGTAATTGTTTGACAACCAGACACCGTAAGCTGTGCTGCATGAATTCAGGGATAAGCAAGGGACAAGGGGTTTAAGGAATATGCGGTAAAGTCAAGATACACAATGTTGGGCCCTTTCCACAGCGTTGATCGAAAGCAGAGAGAAAGTAAACAATGCCGAGACGCTAATCGATTACGTATACGGTGAAGTGTTGAGACTACTGACGCAGCTTGAATTTCCCCTTTCCTCCCAGCCTTTGACGTCGCTATAAAAATCGCTCTCCCGTCCTCCTGACGTCGACCTCCATATCATCCTCATCTCTCTTCATCCTGGGGTACCTGGCATTTCTGCCCCGCCTTACATGATCAGCCGGCGCCCTACATTCTCAGGCCTCCTTCCACTCCGCCCTTCCGCGGCCCTCCAGACCCTTAGGAAATTGTTGAACGGTCGGACAGTAGCAAGAGCACTTTTACCGGGGATAGGGGTAGGAATAGGAGAAGAAAGGGGGTCAACAAAATCTGTAAAATATACTGTAGGGTGTAAAACCACCTAGCGAAGCGCTAGGTGCATTTCAGCGCCAAGCCATTCGCTAACGTTATTGGTCTGTATTTTGGGGGCTAGCCCCCAAACCCCCGGCCTCGCTGCGCTCGATACATCACGTGATTGAGCGGCCACATTGGTATTGGCAATTCTTGGCAGCGCACACACGCGGCCCTACAACGATTCACGTGATTGGCCGGCCCTCGGGATCTGGGAAAATCTGCAATCCGGCAACTACCAAATCCTTTGCATTGGCTGGCCCATCGGATCCAGTCCACGGCCCATCCGCAGTCCGGAAAATCTATAATCCGAGTATTACCTAATCCTTCACTCTGATTGGACGACCCCATCGGATCCAATCTACGGACCACTTTCCGGGGGACGATTATTAGAAGAAATCGACGGGGAAAATTCATTAGTTACATACAAGGGAGAAGAGTATTTACTATCGGAACACGAAGGTCATTTCTATTTCAGCTTGATACTGGTTGTGTGGGAGTAGGGCCAACCTCGCTGTCGATGGCTCATTTTTCTTGACAGCCAACACAATACTCAAGTCAATGCTGTTCCAGTGCGCGGTGAAATTGCTTAAGGTACTGCCAATCAGTATCGGTTAATGCAGGATCTGTCTGCCACTCCGGATCGTCGAGGTCGAGAGGCGGATCAGGAAGTTGGAGACTAGACACTTGGGTCGAAGAGCGACGTTGAGAATCAAAGAGCCGGATTTTGGATTAGCCAATCAGCATCGCGGCTTTCGCGACTTCTTGTCGAGTTTTGCAGTTAATACCTAGCTACGCTTACGCTCTGCTAGGATAAATATCAGCAACCCGGCAGGACCAGTCGCTAAAGAGCAGAGCATTGCATTCAATTCATATTCTCTTGGCATTCATTGTTTGACAGAAATCTATAGCGCTTTTGTTGTCCTCAATAAGCTCCTAAGCGAACCCTCGGCAAGGATGGTACTTCCGTTACCCCGAACAAGCCTTTAGAAGAACCCTGAGAAAGTAATGACGCTTCCGTTGTCCTGTATGCTGTACAACAGTGAAGCACATAGCCCGAACCACCATTAGCCGTTGCCAGTCCCACAATGTGTTCCCTTGATCCTGCCATAACCCTTGCTACCCCCCTACCTAACGCTCTCCCAGAAGGAATCCGCCCAGTCGGCAAGATCCGCGACATCAAAGACGACGTCGCCTTCTGGCGGTACAGCGGCCCGGAGGAGGATTTTGTGAAATTCGAGAATCAGAGCCGCTCCAGCAACGTCATAGGCTGACGCAGTGCCTGGCTGAACGGTGACAATTGGCTGACCGATGGTATTCGAGTGAGCAGTAGGACCTAGTTGTGGAGTGGGATTTTGGGTGATAGTAAGCTCTTGGACTTTTGTCGGAATTGGAGCGTTGGGATTTGGGTGGCTTCCGGTAGCTGGTCTATGTGCAGGAGGCCGAGAAGGGCACCACTTTTCGACTATTAGCGTCTTCTGTGCTAGCTTTATTGAGATGATGATGACAATCTTGACATCTCCTCCAGAGTTAGCAATCCACCATTCTGCGTCACGTCTCAGACGAGTAAGCGCTTCAGAGAGTCCAGACTCAAAAACAATTGTTGGCCAGTCAGATTTCTTTCCTCGGGTCGGGACGGGGCGGAATCCCATATCACCCTCTTTAGAGGGATTAGGGAGTTTGTACGTTGTCCCGCCAATAGGACATAAGCACTTTTCTGGGAGGCCCATTCTGACAAATGCGTTATTGAGTTTCAGGGCTAGTCTGAGGTGCGCAACTTCATGTTCCGCTGAGGGCATCAGCTTGATAACTAATAGATTGTTATCCGCGTAATGGCTCATCCGAGTGTGCTTCCCTATGCTGGCGTGTTGATGGTCAATTTTTTCAAGCTGGCCTTTTGTGACACCCCTGAAAACAAGGTACTGCCGATTCGTGCGACCGTCCATCAACGCAGCAGACTGCGAGTCGACACGTTCTTTTAGGTCTCGGATCCCTTTGTACGTATACATACGAGCGTCTTCCAATCCCTCTAAGGGCGATATCTCCGGTGCCGAACTCTCCACTGTCGTAGTCTCTTTTGATGTAGTTGAGCTTGAGGATGACCTTGACATGGGTGTACATGTAAGTGCCCCATCGCTGGGTCCGCAAATTGTACTCATGTTGAGGTTCGAAGGCCGGAAGGAGCAATGTTGAAGGAGCTGTTGGATAGAGATGAGAGGTCTCCATAGGCGACGACGTTACAGACGGTTGCTCTGTGCAACGATGTAGCATTTGTGTGTCTATAAAAGGAGTCTCAGGACCTCGACAAGTAGATAGAAAACAGAGCGCTCCTTCATCTCAAGTTGCACAAAAGTTTGACAGGAGCAGAAAAAGCTGGTAGAAGAATCAGGCAGGGAAAGTTGCTGATGAATCAGGCCTGTACTGATGCGAGAGGTGGGTGCACTGAGGTGGGAGAGATTATGAATGATGAACGTATGGGAGAGAAGATTGATTGATTGATTTATCTCAAAGCACACTCTCTGCCTCAGGCGTCACTATAGATTGATAATGCCAAGCCAATCGCGGTGACAACGCCAAGCCAGCCGTGGTGACACGCCAAGACAGAATTGCCTATTCTGGCCAACAATGAACGGTTTAGTAGCCCTTCAGCAGAGAGGCAATAGATTGAAAGCGGATGTATAAGTGTCAACTCTCTCGAGGATGTAAGACTTGGCGTGCCAGCCAAGTGCTCACGTGAGAATAAAGACGCTTGCAATGAGCGAAGAGTGGATGGTCTTGGCATTTAGGGAAGAAGAACTCCAGAATGTCTCGGGAGAGCGACAACCCACGGCGACTCGCGTACCACAGCGACATCACTAAACGCCAATCGGGGCTAGTTGTGCAGGCGTTGTCCGCATGATGGAAGGTACCTGAAAACACCCCATTTTCCTAGGGGCTTGAAGTATCCCTTTCCATCTACCTTGTCTCCCTCACACAGTTGGCGCTTTTTGATGCTCTTTCAACGACGTCGTTGAAGTCCTTTGCACTCGTCTTCCCACGCCTTTTTGCACTCGATTTTTGGTGTTGTGGCATGTTAGACCCTCTCTGCCTCCTGTGTAGCCTGTCTGTCGCCTCTGTAGTCCTCCTGTTGCTTCGTGGCCTCGCTGCCGACCCACTTCAGGGCCGTCTTAACTCCCTGTGAGCTTCCTGTGAGTCCTGAATGAATCCCTGCTCTTTTGCCTGGTTGTATCTCGTAGTGTGAGTGCGCATTCTCTTGCCTCTACCTCCTACCAGGTACCTTTCCATCGTTCGGACAAAGCTTGTACAAGTAGGCCCGATTGGTGTTTAGTATTGTCGCTGTGATACGCGAGTCGAAGCATTCCCCTAACGTGGGCCATTGCATTTCATAGAGTTGCTCTCTCTGTGTCTCTTCGGCGTCTGCATCCCATAGAAACTACCATATCAGATTCTTCTGGATTCTGTTAACCGGTTCAATTCTTTCACGTTCACCTTCGTTGCCCAGGCGTCCATCCGATGCTCAGCCACCATCCCACGATGTGCCTTCCGCAATTCCAGCTGGTGCAACGTCGCGGGATGAATCGACAGCTCGCCTCTCGAAGACGAATCGTGGCACGGGTGGGACTGGTATATCATTCGCCAATCCCGGCGGCAGGAGAGGGTTGTTCAGACCTGGTGCCGACTGTCCATTTTCCCAGTCCACGGTATGCTGGGCGTTGTTGGAGATGTCAACGCTGATGATACGCGTTACTGAGCCGTTGTGTTGCACGGCTGGAAGCTCATAAGTGCGAAAGATGTTGGGACCATTGTCGGGTCTTCTTTTCTCAGGATTATCCTGCTGAAAAGCACCCAGTCCGCCATAACCGTTCTTCTCCCCGACATAAACAAGGATGTCACCGCTAGCAGCCGCGCCAATCGCCTCCGCAGAACGCGCAATGTAGACGTCTCCCCTTTCATTTATACCCAGCTGAAAAGTCTTCCCCCGGCTTCCCATCATCACATTTCCCCAGTAGGCGTTGTCCGGCATCTCGTTATATACATTTCCCAGAGGGTTGTACTGATCACGAAGTTTCTTGATATTTCCATTGCTCACGCCGAACGAAAAGAGGATAGTGGGATGGCCGTTCGTAATGATTCCACAGGTTTTCATGTCGGCGATTAGACATTCAACCGTGGGAAAGTCGATATTGGGGTCTTCACACGCCCAAAGCTCGCCGTCTGGTGGTCTGTCAGGACATGTCTTTCCGGGCGGATACGGTTTAGCTGGCATAGGTTGCGGATCCCATGACTGATCTGAGAAGCAGTTGCCAGCTGTGGCGGACATTACATGTGTTGTAAGCAGTATTGATAGGACCGACAGGAGTTGGACCATCTTCGGGCGGCGTAGAAGGAGATTTGAGAGCCTCTTAGTCGGCAATGACCGATGAAAAGGTCTTTGCTCTTCTTCTTTTCAGCAGCTGTAGCAGCTCGTATTCAATTTGGATTGCAATTAAGAAGCACGACCCTATTCAACCTCCTATACCCTGGTTATATAGCACTGGCAAGTTGTTTTGAATACGCCATACTTGACCTATTCTTCTGGACATCTGGCCGCCGCCGGCCGTTGCGCGCACCTGAGACGCACACTCCCATCTCGCGAGGTGTAATTGTAGAGTGTGTAAGATGTTGCATGACGATGTTTAGAAACCAACACCGTGTCAGCAAGCTCTCAATTGGCGCTACACTCATTCGACCCGGACGCAATTTCAAGAAAATATATTTGACCCAATCCTGACTTGGCTGACACCGGCGGTAGCAAAATAGGTTGTCGGAGTTGTCCATGGTCTTGTCGCTTGTTCAAACTTCCAGGCCTACCCTTGGTACAGAAGCAGCCACGCCCTCAGTAAGGAGGGCTGAAAAGTAACCTGGTGTTAATCACCTCGAGCGCGAGCCTAAGCACTCACAAGGCATACTTTGAAAGCCAAGGTCTGGCCTTGTTATGATACCAGGTGTCCAAAAGATGACCCAGGCTCAAGCGCCGTGACTGTGAGGCTGCGGAATCAAGCGCTTTTCTGGTTGAGAGCTCAATAGCAGTCTGCCACAAGGGTCGAGACGCTTTGTGGAATGCTGTCCAAGTCCGTGGGTAATTGATGCCGCCAGTGCAAGAACCAAAACGAAGCTCCGACGCAGCACTGATTTGGACGAAAGGAGAACGTTTGGATTGGTGAGGTTTGTGATTTTACGGAGGACTTGTTCTATTTCGAAGGGGTCCAAGGGACCGTCAGACTATATACTTTCGAAGCGTGTACGAAGGTCTTTACAAGCCTTGGCGTCGCCACATATCACAAGGCGACGAGGGGGGTGTCACGGGACCACATGCCAAGGATTACATAATCATGGGTTCTTCAGCACTTCCTGCGTAGCATCCCATCTTGACTCCCTTCGTGCTACGTCTTGTGATCTAGAACTTGATGTTAGCTAGAATACATTGATTGTATCCTTGACCCCGAACTTTCACGGATTGGATCCGATGGCGGTGGTATATCATGGGGTCGGATTCATGAATCATGTCGACATCGAGACTCGTTCGTTAACGCTCGGTTACGAACCATTTCGAGCGTGATCAGTAAGAGCTCGTCTAGGTTGTCCACAGACTGGATCCGATGAAATACCACGGCCCGTCGGATCCAATCCATAGATCATCTCGATGTCGAGGCTTGTCCGTTCACGCTCGGTTACGAAGCATCTCGAGTGTGATCAGTAGAGCTTCTCTGGGTGGTCCACGAATTGGATCCGATGGAGTACCACGGCCCACCGGATCCAATTCATGGATCATCTCGACGTCGAGGATATCGAATAGGGTGCCCCCTCTGAGGGCCACTTGGTCCACAGACTGGATCCGATGAGTGGTGGCCCGGAAAAATGTTTAATCCGATGGGTACTTTCTCGGAAAATATTTAATCCGGGGATGGGTGGTCCACAGACTGCGTAGATGTCGACATCTATCGACCCCCCGGCCACGTGGTCCATGGATTGGATCCGATGACGGTGCGGCGAGGGAGGCCAGCACGTCGATCTTGGCGTCGCCACGCAACGCCAAGCCCTAACCAGGCGATTCCAAAATGAAAAAAATTCAGATTTATATTTTATTCCGCCAAAAACCGCTTCAAAATTGACACCAAATCGTGGTTGACCTATCAAGGACGTAACCGAGTGGTAAATCACTCGAGTTGCAGTCGAATTGAGGGGCCTTACTAGTGTTCGATCATAGGTAAGGTAAGAGGGTTGTCCGGCCTAGCTCCATTGAGTCTAGGTACCCTAGATGGGTAAACGTAATGCTCCAGCCAGTGATTGTTGATGATGTCGTCTTGTTTATACCGTTGGGAGGTCACTGATTCAAACTCTTCTGCAGTTAAACTTGTGTGGCTGAAGCTTTCACTGGCTGCGGCGCCCCATCTATAAGTTCATCAGAGATGGACTATAGGAGGGGCCTTTTATTTTCTTAATATTTTTTTGTTTGCGTATATGTGGATCGCCTGCCTTATAGAGTCCATATTAGTAGGCGTAGAGGAAATTTCACTAAAAGTTAATGTTGCCGAGTGGTCCTAATGCTTCGCGTTAGACATAGTGGGAATAAGACCACGTTGTCTAAATAAATTCCCTTCAGACCCACTTAAAGTCGCCAGGCAACTCAATCAATTCAATCAATTGGTTGAAATGGTGGATTGACTTGCCACCCTGTGTATAAAGGGAGATGAGAGATGGGACGAGGTTCAAGATGATTTTCGTGACAGTCCGTCTCTCTAGGGAGCATTATAAGGAAATTCGAAGGGCCCTCCCTTCCTGTCGTCGAGGCGCTATGTTCGAGGTGGTGCAGTCGAAGGTACCCCCTTCTTTTAGGTTCCCTGGCGGTTTCTGAAGGTGACTGTTAAAGATGCTAGGAAGTCAATCTGGGATGGCGGACCAGGTTAGCGTTCTTGGCATCGAGGGAAAAACGCCTCTAAAAGCGGCGGCAGTAACCGCCAAATTCGGCGGGAAATTTCCCTGCAATTTGCGTTGGACCGAAATGTTCACGTCGCTCAATGGCCTGAATCTCGTCATTGAGCTATAGCACACTCTTCCTCTTCGGTTCGCCATCCTAATTCGTCATGGCCGAGTCGACTTCGAAAACTGCGCTCCAAATTCAGCCAGAAAGGGGTATTGGCTGGATCAGTATGCTCCCTAACCATCGTTTTCTTTGAATCCTCTGACTTGGAAAGCCCTTGGATTCTCACTTCATAGTGTCATTTCGAGACTCAAAGCATCTCGACAGACTTACCCTAAACTCGAACTATCGTACTCTGCGTCGGAACCCATCACGAAACCTGTCATCGTAGGCCTTCCTTCCAATGGACTCCGCCTTCGATTCGATGGCCCCGATCAAAGATTGCGGCTGATTGAAGTTCTGGACTTTTCCCTGAGCTCTTTTGTCTACAAGAATACAGATCTTGTTCGTCGAACTAAGAGTTCGGAAGAGAGCACCCAAGATGAAACCTCTCCCAGTGGTCCGACTTTTCGACACGTCTACAGCCGACTGTTTGGACCGACATACGCGGGAGAATACATTCCCCCTGAGACAGGCATGTCCCATGGGACCTATGTTCTTTCCTATCCGGGCCTCGCCTTCACATTTCCCGTCAAGCACAAGTCTTGGTCGGACAAGGTGGATTTCGTTTCCGTATTGTCTTCCTCCGCCACCGGCCCAGCCATCTCGATGGCCATCTTCTCGGGATCTTCATGGACGGACGCGCGCTCTGATCTGTACACAAGACCTCCCACTTATCCTCGATTCCCATTACTGGTTGGCAAATCTACCGAGACAGTTCCAGATGAAATCGAGGAGGTCAGAGTGTTTGGAGGAGGGAGGCTCGAACTGATTCGGAGAAACTCCCCGCCGTTGACCATTATCCTGAGCGAAACCACGCCTCAAGATCTCGTGGCCGAATTGGGACCCCCCGATGCAATCTATCGGAAGCATGACAGGCGAATTTCCATTCATGCCACAGGTCATCCTGCCAATCGACGCCGACCCAGCATATCTCCAGGGCTGGACCCTCAGGCTTCAGATATTGATCAATCATCCATTCAAAGCTACACGGAAGATTCGGATATGGAACCCGAGTGTGATGAAGACCGGACGAATGAGTCCAGTGATGAGTGCTTTTACAATTACTTCCATCATGGATTCGACGTGCTGGTGTCGTCGCCAGCTACCAGGTCACCTCCGTTCCCCGGTTCTTCGGTGAACGAACCATCAGGATCATCAAGCGCCCAGCTCGTGGCGACCAAAATGATATTGCACGCCAATGTTCCGGGATCCTTCTCTTTCAACCGACATCGACGAAGCAGATGGGTGATACGAACTGGTGGAGACAATCGGGGGCCAAGCTTAACTTCAGAAATGGCGTTCTCTGAGATATCTTCCGCGCTGAAAAGGGTGTGGCATGAGACATACAAGGATGAGGAAGAGGAGAAACAAATGCAGCGGGGAATGGTCCTGAACCGGGGATGGGGAGAGAGTCCTGACAGCTCGATTGAATTACTGGGGGATCTAGAGGAGAGTCCAACTCGGGAGAAGGCCGACGACAACGGCACATCAGAAGCGGTAGGCGGGATGAGCAATACCGAGTTGTTTGGGTTCCCCGGAATGCTGTTTGAGGTGCTGAAGAATGATACTGTCAGCTGTCTGACGGTGTTTTGATTGACTCTGTCGACGGGAATAGAATTTAATTGATGCCACGCATACTGACCCCGCCAAAATACTTGTAATAGGGGTGCAAGTAGGAGATTGTGGACAGGGTTGCCGTGGACGCCTGGCTAGTGGTCCTTGAACTGTGTCTTTGTAGCCGCCCGCAATTGGCTGAGACTCAGCGAGGGTCCGAGGGGCGTCTGACCAACCTCCCACCTTTGGATTCTCCATGCCATTCCCACCGCACACCACCGCACAACATACTCAACTCATTCGGACCCCATTACTCTTGTGGACTTTTGGTACTGATCGAAGAGTCTCTCCCACACTGTCGATGTCGCCGTACACCTATGAAGTCGCCTACGACCAGCACTCGGCCGTCATCTATTCCTAGCGAAGATGCCCACCTATCATTACACTTTGTCTGCCGCCACAAATATCCCGGGTACTGCGCCTCTATTGCATTCCCTGCTTCAACGTTCCACACCCGTCTTTCACTGCTGTTGGTCTGAGAAATGGTCGTTGACATGTCACTGACATCTACAGTCGAAACGCCCAGCTGTTGCGGCTTCCACCCCTCGCGCGGATGAATCGCTGATTTCACCGCAATCACACGCTATCTTGAACCGAACCGAACCCGATCCCGACGAAAAATGTCGAAACCCAATGTTATCCGTTGTCTGGTAGACGACACAGCCTTGACCAGAAACATCGCAGAGATTGAAGCCTGGGTGTCGCAAGGTCTCATTATTCTGGTGGTGCCTCTCTACAGTATGCTCACCCTTGATGGGACAAATGACAAAAGAACCTTTTGTTAACCAGCCTAGCTCTTAATCGCCTCAATGTCCTCAAGAAAGATTCGTCGCAAATCGGCCAGAACGCGCGCAAAGCGGTCAAATTCCTGGACCGCAGCACTTCTTCACGAGGCGATCTACGATACGATCCCGTCGTGTTGCAGGGCCCAGATGACCAATACGCAACGTGGCCCGAGGTGGAGGCGCACTACCTCAATATGAATGTGAAGACGGCCGGTATCAACGAGGAACACGTTTCAATCTCTACTATGGACAACAAACAAGAGAAGGACGCCGAAGTCACATTAAAGGGAACTGCTGCGTCCGGCGGCACACTTTCACAAATGTTGCTTGACAAACTCAACTTTGCCAAGGATCCGGCTACAATGTCGCCCACGTCTACACCACCTCTTTCACCCTCTTCTTCTGGACCACAGAGTTCCAAGACCAGCCCTGAAGTCAAGTCGGCCACTATGAATCGCCAGGACCAAACACCTGTTCCACCATCGCTGAAGGACCTGCTCAATCCCGTGGTGTGGTACATGCATGAGAAAAAGTCCCCCCACGATGGTAACGTTGTCTTCCTGACCAACTCGGCTGATACAATGCATCTCGCGCGCGACTTTGGTATCCCTACTAAGAACATCCACCAGCTGAGAAGTGCTCTTGGATTGGAAGAAACAGAGGCCAAAGCACCGGAGAATTCCAAGAAGGAGTCGGTGAAGAAACCTCCACGCTCAGAACCCAAGACATTGTTCAGTTACGACGAGGTTGACAGTGACGAAGAAGAAGTCGTCTTCAAGCCACGAAGCCGAGGTGCGACCAGGGGGCCACGAGGCTCTGGCGCCGGAAACGTGCGTACCAAAGGTGGACGTACGCGATCTCCTCGGACTTCCTTCAGCACACCCGCTCAACCGGCGCAACCAAGACCACAGATTCCCGTTGAGGAGATTGACCCAGATTCATTCGATCGTGGAAGTTTTGGCCGTGGTAGCACTCCACTCGTCAACACCGGCAACCCCACCCACAACCAGTTCAACAGCAGTCGCCATTCCGGATATCGTGGTAATTATGGCCAAGGAAGTGGCAGAGGAACAAACTATTCTCGTGGGTATGGCCGCGGGTTTGAGCGTGGATCGACCCGCGGAAGAGGTCGATTGTTCGTACCATGAACACGGTTGGATCTGTCGCAGATTCCCCCAACATTTGCGACAGTGACTGGCGCAACAACCATTTACCGGCACAAGCCAATGTCATCTATGACAAAGCACTTCGAAAACTTGAGGGACTTGCATTCCGGGCGAAAGTCATCAAGAGTTTGACAGAAGAAATTCGAATTTTCGAGCAGACACGGTCACACACCAACATACCAGATCCATGACACTGAACTTCAATTCTGCGGGCGTCTGTCGTCTTCATTTGAGGACCTGGATGATCGTTTGGCAATTTTCCGTGAGAGGATGTCTGGGTGAGGGAAGACGCATAATATGCTACGGAAAGGATGTTGGGAAGTGTGCAGATAAGGGGGGGAGGGAGTTGAGAATGACTTCGTTTCTTTTGTTTCACTGCAGATGGGGAACAGATCCAATGGATTTCAACCCATATTCTTGCCTTGGGCAAAGTTTCATTCTTTTGGCGAGAGAGCGTTGGCTTTATCTCGATTGGCACAAGAAAACGGTGCTTAAAAAAAGCGCTGGAAACCCCTTCAAAAGGCCGTTTGAAGGCTGGACAGGGCCGAGCGAAGCCGGCGAGGCAACGGAGACAAGATTTAAATACCAAACACGGCCAGGACAAATTCTTTGTGTCGGCCACATCCGCTCATTGAGTTACTGTGTATTGAGCAACAAATGAACATGGATCTTATTGGATACTTGGCTTTCCCCGTCTTGGTCGTGGTCCGAAATTTCAGTCGATCAAGCGCCTTCAAATGCCGCAGCTAACTAAATTGTAATCAAAAACTGTGATTGGATTCAGTCAGCAGCCTCAAAGTGGATATTCATCGCTCATTCTCCGGTTGCCATCCTGGGTTCGAGTCGGAATCATCCCTATCTCTTTTTCTGATACTCTTGAACATATATCCATCGTCCTGGACAGACAGCCTTTGCTGACCGTGGATTCCTCATAGTCTATCACCAACATCCAACCTTCTCCGAATGGGTCAAAAAGCCTCCTTGTGACATGATGTCCTCTGTTCAACAAAACAAAGCTGCTTCCAGATACCGCGGAGAAGTATCTATCAGATTCACTTGATTTTCCTCCACCCCGGGCTTCGGGCGTCACAACAGGCATTCTCTGACACATATTTACTCAAAGTTGTCCCATTCCCCGCGCGCAAGACTGCAGAGCCATGACTGAACTTCAGCCTTGACCCGAGACCCTTGTGCCACGGCGCTCACAAAGAGTGTAACCGAAGGCAATGGCCACGATGGCAATATCAGTCTCTGGAATCCATCTCTGGGGAGCGTTGGGCCTTCGGACTCAGGCTCACCTGCGCGAGACTCTGGCTCATACGAGTATGGCAAACAGATGGCAGTCTCAGATTCTCATCATCAGCACACTGGCGTCGAGTTCGGTTGGAGGAAGTTTGTCAAGTATTTTACCCCGTCGTAAGTCCTTTCACAATCTATGATCCTGCCACACTGAGTTGTCCCTTGCAGATGGTTCACGGTGACTATGGGAACGGGAATGGTTGCAGCACTCCTAAATCAGTTCCCGTACAACGCAGGATGGCTATACTGGTTATCGGTTATCGTCTTCGCCCTCAATGTGGGATTGTTTGTGTTTTTCATCCTGATATCGCTTTTGCGGTGTATCTTGTGGCCGAATACGTTGAAAATCGAGTCTGAGAGACCAACTCAAGTCTTCTATTTTGGTGCTCTACCGATGGCGAGGATCCACCATGTCTCTCGCATGTGACATCCTGCTGACTGTCACGCAGAGTCTATCCACAATCGTCAACATGATAGTCTTCGTCTGTGTCCCAGCCTGGGGAGAATGGGTAGCCTATACGGCTTGGGGGTGAGTATGAGGACCCTACCACTACCACGAGAGACCATCACCACAGTTAAGCTAACCGAACCTCGCAGACTCTGGATGGCAGACGCAATCCTCTCCTTACTCTGCGCTCTATATCTCCCGTTCCTCCTCATCAAAAAGACAGAAAAGACACCGCTCTCGGCAATAACAGCACTCCTCCTATTCCCCGTAATCGCTCCCGTCGTCGCCTCCGCCACCGCTGGTGTCATCTCGGGCTCCATCCCTAATCCCCAACAAGCCCTCGCCACCGTCATCATCGGCTATGTCCTCTGGGGCCTCGGCGTGCCGTCGTCCATGTTCATCCTCATCCTCTACTTCCAGCGTCTAGCCATCCACAAACTCCCACCCCGAGAAGTCATCGTCAGCTGTTTCATCCCCCTGGGTCCCTTGAACATGGGTAGCTTTGCCATCATGAAGCTAGGCCAGGTCGCGATGGAAGTATTTCCGCAGACTAAAACCGTCCATCCACTCGCCGGCGATCTGGCCTATAATCTAGGCGTACTCTTGTCTCTGGCCATGTGGGGATTTACTTTGCTGTGGTTATTCCTGGCTGTCGCAGCGATTTATCATTGCAAATATTTTCCTTTCAATATGGGCTGGTGGGGGTAAATCACATACCCAACACACGATATCCTTCGCTGAGAGTTCAAACTGACAGTGCCATGATAGATTTACGTTTCCAATCGGTACATTCGCTCTATCGAGTAATGTCCTTGCAATAGAAATCCCATCGAGATTCTTCAGGGTTATTGGATCCGTATGAATTTTATTCGGAAAAGAGAGTCACAAGCGACTAATAAACGCTTATAGATGACGTCGATCTGTGTTTTCCTGCTCTGGCTTCTCGTCTCTGCCGCCACGATACGAGATTTAATTACTGGGGGAAAGAAGCTTTTCAATGCACCGCCTTCGGCTGACCCTGTTACAAAATCTTCAGAACAATTAGAAGATACGGGTGAAAAACTAGCCTGAAAAGAACTGGAAATATGTTCCGAATCGATTATAAGAATCGAGGTAAATCAGGCTCCGGTTAGTGGCAGCGACATTCGAAGATTGACGAACTGCAGTTGCTCTTTTCCAATTCTATATGAGGGTGATAATGATAACCAGTTCCGGATCTCGCGGCCATCCTCACTAAATATCCACCTGGTTCATAGCCACTTACAGGTCTTTCAGCAATATGCTCCGTGAACTGGCCGCTGTCAGACTTTGAACCCGTCCTCCGACTCGACATCTCCCTCCGTGCAACAGAGATCGGCGCCCGACGCGTCTAGCTTTGAAGCCATAGTTCTTCCAAATACAGGGTTAGGGTGAGTTACATTCAGAGCCAAACATGGCTATTGTAATGATTCTGTTCCCCGATGATCTGTCAGTTTGTTCACACCGATGAGAACTCCACTGGAAATGTAAGAGGGATGAACCTGGGAAGGGGGGAGGCATATTTACACTCTTCCAGTCCAATCAGCAGTCCCTGCTCATGGAATAAATCACCCTCATTGCCTTCATTCAATTCACCGATCCGATACACACAGCGGACCAGGACACGAATTATCGAAAAGAGCAAGGAAAATGAAAAGGATAACCCTTGGATTGAAGGGACAGAAACGGATCCCCACCCATTTCTCCTCCTTGTTTCTCCTGTCCGTCTTTTTGAAGTCGGATTCGTCAACATCTCATGGCATAGTCGATGGCGAGGCTAATGAAGACAGTCAGCGCCAAAACTGGGAATCCCCAAACCCGCGAGCGTGATTCCACGCCAGCCATGTTCTAGCTGATCGTCGTGGACGAAATGATCCCCCTGGCAATCTGGAGTGTGAGTGAGATTATGTCCCGGGGGATGAGAATGTTATAGAACGTTGCGGATGGGAAACGCGGATACACCGGACCGACTAGTGTGATGGTTTGTGAAAGTGTCACGTATATCGCTGCAGATATGAAGGCCGTCGTCCTGGTTACTGTTGAAAGGAATGTGTTAGAAATGTCGGTCTTTCTGAAGTTTGACTTGGGTATTTCTTCTCCTAGAAGATATTGCATGACATAGGAGACGAGGCATACCGATCCGCATCAAGAATTCATCGGAAGAAACGGATTCTGCCACAAGAAGACATGTCTTCCGTACTTGATAATCTCGCACTCCTTGGATTTAACCCACCGCAAACCCCGTCTCACATACCTAGGCCAACGGGACGCGAAATGCTACCTCCACGATATCCGTGACCACCACCTCCACTCGTTGTGGCGGGCTAGTTTTTCCAAGTTGTGGGCAAAGGGAAGATGGGGCCCAAGACTCCGGGTCCAAGGTTTGACCTTTGCTGGCCACGGACCTCCTTGAACGGTTTAGATAAAAAGAAAATGATCTAAAGAATACTGGGCTGAATCCCCTGCCACCGCCGATATGAACTTATCGTGATAAGAGATAACGATCACATCGTAACCCCTCTCTCCCGTAGACAAACAAATATCTTCATTGAAACGGTTCTACATCCGACATCCAAACAGACACTTATACACTCCTTTATTCCCTCTTGTACTTTGAATCGCCTCCGATCTGTCCAGAGCATCCATCATACCAGACATTCAACGGAGTGCAAGTTTCATTCATTTAACCCTATCTTTCGCAAATTATTCCGAATTCCTAGTACCGGTCTCGCAAATTCGCAGCTACCAAGATGGCAAATGAACACTCCCACCCCGTACGCATCTTAATAATCAACCCCAACGCATCGACACACATGACCGACGCACTGAAACCCGTCGTTGACGCCCTAGGCTACCCATCAGCGGAATACACCTACTTCACCTCCCCTTCCCCAGGGATCCCGAGCATCAACTCGCCCTCCGATGCCGCAACGAGTGCGGAAATCTGCCTCCCGGCCCTCATTCCCCTGCTGGCCCACCACGACGCCTTCCTCGTCGCCTGCTACAGCGAACACCCTCTCGTGCCTCTCCTGAAACGCGAATGCGCAGCTCTGACTGGGTCCGCGACGAGTGGCACCCAGTGTCAAAGCGCACGGAAACATGTCACAGGTATCTTCGAAGCAAGCATTTTAAGTTGCCTCTCACTCCTGACCGAGAAGGAGGATGGGTTTGGGATCGTTTCCACGGGGAAAGTTTGGGAAGAGGCGCTGCCGAGTGCGGTGGAGTCGTTTTTAGGGATTCCTTCTCCAGGTGTGAGCGTGGGTGCGAGTCCAGCTGGGCGATTCCACGGCTGCGAAACAACAGGACTCAATGCGAGCGAATTACATGATCTACCCACAGAGGAAGTGAGGGAAAAAATGATGGATGCAACGAAACGGCTGCTCGGACGTGGTGCCCCAGTGGAGGGTTCAGGATCCAAGGTCAAGGCAATCTGTCTCGGCTGTGCAGGTATGGTCGGGCTCGAGGAGGCGGTGCGTTCTGCGTGTGGAGAAGAACTCGGCCCCGACGCAGGCAAGGAGGTTCATATCGTCGACGGGGTCAAGGCTGGTGTGGGTGTCTTGTATGGGCTTGCCAAGGGCGGGTTTTGAAATACTGACGACAGTCGATGATTGGGTATGTTTGCCATGTCAAAAGAAGAGAAACCCAAAAAAGAAAGAAAGAAAGAGGAATTGAGGTATTAATCTCGATGTCAGAGACGAGGATCGTGACGGGAAGTGCTTGAAGTATGCCCCGTTACGTACGAAGCGCATGGAAAAGAAACGGGCGCTAAGGCGATACAACGCCGAACAGCATTCAAGCATGCCACCACGTCCACATGACACGAAACAACGAAAGAATCGGTCAGATCTACAGAAGAGCGATATGAGATAACCGGGGAAGTGTCATCAGATCGACTGAGATGGAAACACCTGCAAAATGTGAAATCAGACGAACTGCAAGAATTGAAATCAAGCGCGAGGAACGGATATTTAAGCGGCTTGAAAGATACCACGTATGGTGGTATGTAATCTCTCGGGGTGGAAATTGGATAACCAGAAGATATCCAGATTTGTCCTGGATGGACAAGGAGGCAAAAGAATTAGAAGAAACAGACTTTCGATTGGGCTCTCAGTACGAAAAACCCAGTATTTGACGAGGATGGTAGCCATGACGAAGAGACCGATCAGGCAATAATTACGTTCAATGTATTCCTATACCACTGGCTCTATTTTCACATGTGGCTGGGATTTGAACGTCTGGAGAAAGTCATCAAGTCTATTCCGCAAAGTCTCTGGTAAGCAGTTCCACACAATACAGAACAAGTCATATGTACTTCTGATCCAGCTCACGTCGATATCATCAATAATCCACGTCCACATCAATCTTCACACCGCTACATCAACATCCACATACTTCTGGTGTAGCTTTGACCGCCTTGACACACGAGTTGATCCGCTTTTGATCTCGTTGGCTGAAAGAAACATAAGAGGTAAGATCACTCCATCTCACATCCAAGAGTACAACTCCCCCGTCACCTGACACGCCCTCCTCCCTGGGTGTGCTAGTGACTGATATCTCGTCAATGTTGGCATCCCTATTCCCATATAATTGAAGCACGATTCTCGACCACAGAAGCTTCTGCTCGATCTCTCGTAAATATTTTTCGGTTTTGCGAGACCGGGGTCGAGGGAGGATGGACGGCTTCGACGCCATAAAAAGGGTGGCAACCGAGCAGGAAGACTCATATTCTCTGTCGGTGATGAAGGGGAAGGGTGGCATTGACGACGTCAAATTGTCTTTGGTTCTGACTTGACCTCTATTCAACCCGTCAGTTGAACTCATGGTATTTGTCGTAGATGAGCGACACAATCCGCCAGCCTCGTCACTGAATCTGGCTAGTATTTCATGGTTGAGGCGCAATTGCGCCAGTTTCCCTGTGCACATCGTCTACGGAAGATTGGAAAACGTTGCTTCTCCATACTGTAACAAGGCATGCAAAACAGAGCTACGTGGCGGAAAGGTCCGACGAGCCGAATGGAAGTGAGGAGTACCGGTCGAGGGACTCGTACCACTCGGCATGCTTGTTGCGGTTACATGGAAGACTCTGTCTTTAAAGTACTTTCTCAGCCCTTTAGCGGTCAAGTCGTTTGGATCGACGATAATTCTCGATCTGTGAGAGAGGCCCATAAACTGGCGCCCAACAAATCGTGAGCGTGTGATGAGAAGGATGGTTCGATAAGACCTGAATGTAGTTGCACTTTCGTAAAGAGGGTCTTTGAGGATGAGTTTGACAGGAGTGGTTAGGAGGGAAGGATCGACGGCGCTGAGGTGACAGCTAGGATGTTCTTGAATGTGGGAATGAATATGCCCTGGTATGATGAAGTCAGTGGGAGGCTCCTCCCTATAATGCTATGACAAATGAGGGACAATGTCCTGGACTTGACAATCGTTGAACGATAGAAGATGTTTTGGACAAGGTATCTTCCAACAATTTTGAACACGTACCTCGTACATATTCTAGCAACTGTACGTCTTTTCTCCCTGCCCTGTCGTTGATAAGTCGTCCAGAGATGCAATGTCATCAAGATTAATGTCGGAAGCGATTTTCAAGTTCATCTGACTACCCTGTGAGGGAATCAAAATGATGCTGCAGCCCACATCTCTTTCAGGAAATAGATTTGTCGGGACAGAAGAGGCTGTGGATGTCCAAATGGATGATGGAGATGAAGTCAAACTGGGAGAGCAATATGTATCGTCCAGACGATGACTCTGTTGTTCAACATGAGTTTGTATTCAGTATCGAGAGACCATAGATTGGCCTGAGCATTGGTTAATCGTCTTCAATATTTTTCAACATAGCAGACGTGTGTATCATTATTTTCCGTGTATCGTCCTTCAGAGTGATCTTGTACAGCCGTTGGGATTCAGGGTGCGACTTTGCAGGTTGACGAGGAGGCCAGTGAAACAGGCTCGAAGAGGTTCAGGTGTCAGCTGGAGATGCTATGGATAGGATATTGATTGAGTGATGTCCTGCTTGAGGATGATGGCGTCTCGACATCTGGCAGCCGGTTGGGTCGAAGTGGAGAGGATGATTGGGCCATATTCTCAAGTGTGGTTGTTGACAAAGTCGATGAAACGGAGAGATAAACGTCACCCAGATCGCCAAGAAATATTGGTGGGAAGCGACAAGGTCGATATAACGGCAGTAGATCATTTCATAGGCCTGCAATATCAGCCAGATATGTCACAATACAGTGGAGCTTGGACAGAATGAGCAAGAAATCAATCCTCAGAGCAGTATCAGAGCAATATATCGATGTTGCTGCGGATATACTAGTCGTATCAAAAGAGTGACCACGGTCGGCCTTCACACACTAAGGAAAAACAAAAACTCAAGAGCAATTTGTGCAATCTAGGAGGATGATGAGGTTGGTTCGCCGTTGCATGACCTGTTCGCCGTTCGCAATGTAAGAAAAGCAGTCTAGCCACCCATCGCAATTTAATTCCGAAAGGTCTCCGAGACCTGCTCTTCTTGCCATTTGCCCGAACGCGTTTAGAACAACTTATGCTCGAGCGTCATGTCAGATTCAGGTTGAAGGCCGACACATGCACGGAAGATGTTGGTCAGAGCACCACGTTGTTTGGCGAGGGCATTGACCACTGGAGTGCCAGGAGGGGTGAGGGGTGCCTGAGAGATCGCGTTAGCCATATGACTGAGAGCCATTACCGACGACTCCTTACCTTCAACATGTAGCTGAGAATGCTGAGGACACTGTGGAAGCCCTTGTATTCACCAGCAGCCTCGGCCTTCCACTGAATTCGAGTCATCATTTCAGCAACGAGGACCAGGTCAATGATCAGTGGCGAAGCGAGCAATGAGTCCTCGCACACATTGAAGATGCTGATGGTCTGATGACCGCCCATGAAGATCTCGGCATAGTATTCATCCAAGGCACGCTTGTTGTCACCGACAGCCGGCATGTATTTGATGACGACAGTGTGGTCCGGGTGCTCGCCCTTCTTGTACAGGACGGTGTTAGCCGCCACCATGTCGTCGACAACATTAGACTTGGAAATCTCCTTGGAACGGAATTGCTTCTGGGAACTCAAATTCTTTCCGTCATTGTTGCCAAGGTGGTTGTAGCTGGCAATCGAGGTCAACTTGATACCTGCGTTGATGAGGAAATCAACCAATGCAGACTTCATCTTGGTTTGACCCGACTTGAAATCATCACCACCAATGAACGCATGATGCTTCTCGGCAAGTTTGATAGCGCCAGGGACAAAGGTGTTCTGGGGAGAACCATTGATGAACGGAGCGTTCTCGAGAATACAGGCGACGGAAAAGACGGTGGAAGGAGAAACTTCTTCGTGTCCCTCCTCGATAGCCTTCAATAGGTTTTCAGCAGTGTCGTTGACGCCAGGGATGATGTCGGCATAACGTTCAGTATTGGCAGTCCAGAGAACAATGACCTTGTCAAGGTGGTTCTGAGCCTTGAAGTTTCTGCATCGGTGAGCGTTACTCGACAAGAGATCGGTGATACAGGATGGGCGTACCTTATGTCGGTTCGGATCTGTTCCACATGAGCCATGCATGCCTTGTTACCCGGCAGGACATTATCGGCACGATCCTCCTGGTTGGCAGCAATAAAGTCGGGGTAGTAGATACTGGGCAAGGGCTTCATGAGAGCCATTTCTTTGTACACCATGGCTTTCAAAGTGGGTTCGAGAACTTGAGCACGATCCATGGCAGCAGCAATGTTCATGCTGCTGATATCCCAACCACCAATAACCAAATCATTGGGATGAACCATGGGCAAGACGTCATGGAAAGGAATGTTGATCTCCTCACCACTTTCGGTATCAGTTCCGAGTTTGATGGTGGAGCCCATGACGACCGAGCCATAGTAATTGGCAGCCCGAGGTCCTTCACGAGTATCCCAAACCAAGCCACGACGATTGGCAATGATTCCGGCAGTGACGGTGGAGCCATTGTTACCGCCCCATCCCACCAACATCATGCCGACCTTGGGGATCTTGCGGTCGACTTGGAAGTCGTAAGTGGTTTCCTGAGGAGACGCCGTGTATTTGCCATCGGCAGTCTTGGTGACGGCGGTGGTGCGATAAACGTATTTACTCTTGATATGGTCGTCAGTGTAAGTTACGTTGGGCGAGTTGACAGTGAAGAGACCCTTGGTCGATGGTTGAGCCTCGTGAGCGCTATACCCGTTCACGGTACCGACGCCTACTTCCGCGTGAGGTGCCATATTGACTGGAGAAGATTGGCTGAAATCTCTGCCCCCCCTTCTCTCTCTCGCGGCGAAGTGAACGCGGTTCTAATATATGCTTGATTTATCGAGTTTTGGGTGAATCCGATGCTCCTCCAGGAGGGGAAGAGCGTCGGTTACCGTTGAACGGGTGGTGCGACCTGAAGAGATGGATATGTTAGCGATCATACTGAGAGCGGTCTGGAAGAATGAACAAGAGTTGAAAATAGGACCAGCAATATCAGAAAGCTCAGGCGATGGTGGTGTAAAAGAGTCAATCACCGAAGTCGGTCGACGGCATGTCGATCGAAATGGTGCGTGGGAGCGATGACGCCAGGGACAAGCCAGACAGATATGCAGCTGTGTCCATTGTCCAGGGGTGGTATGCAGGTACCAGTACTGGTCTGGTAGAGTGACAGGGGGGAATGGGAAGGAGAGACATAAATTGGAGGTGTTGGTGGGTGGTACTGACGAGGGCAAAAGATTTGAAAACGTCTTGGCGGTTTAGCGGACCACTCGGAAGCGATCCTGCTGGGTTGATGGAAGCTTGGGGAAAAGATCACAGCCGGGCGGTGATCTGGATTGCTTTACGGTCAGATATTCAACGAGAATTGTGGTTGAGAAGGAAGAAAAGGTAGGAGAGAAAGTTGGGGGAGTGGAAGATTATTGTACTTGTGCCAATGTACCAGCCGAGGGCCGCCAGACAGAAAGCGTGGGAGGTCACCAGGCTCTGACTAATGGGAAAGGCTCAGCACCCACAAGTAGCAGATACTAGATAGAAAGACACTACTAATGCAGATAATGGAATTTGATACGAGGTTCGAGGTGCGAGGAAAAAGCCCACAATCACAATCGATAACAGATCATGCCCCTCCTTTCGTTTTGCTGCCTGTCCGCCGCTTTGCCGTTCATGTTTGTATTTGGTTTCCTATATTAAGATCTATCAAATCAGTTGATATCCCGTTTGTCTTCTCTACCATCGTCAGAGTATCTCGTTCATTCGATCCAAGATAGTAAGTACCGTCGTTTCCATCTCAGCCACCTCGTCATCACAAACCGTCAGCATTTCACCCGTCCCATCAGCCTGGACCGCCTTCATCCCATGGTCTTCGCATGTGCATCTAGTCTGCATTTTGACATGCAGAAATGGTAGTCTGCATCCCCATTTTCCCCGTCCCAATGTGCGCATCCGTATCCCTCCGAATCTAGTCTTTATATCCGGCTGAGCCTAGGCGACCAATCTCCCACTCTCCCAACGTCCACTAATCTCTGGTTAAACCGACGGTCACGCGACGTGCGTTCGGTCCAATTTTCAACTTCCGTGGCATGCAAAAAGTCTCACGACGTTCTTAGTTCTCGTCGCATTTCGTCCCCCTGGTCGCAACAGTCGAACTAAGCCTTTAGAAAGTGGAATCTTTTTTTCCGATGGTCACTACTCCCTTCTCTCGGCAGTTGTCCATCGAATCCGGCTGCTCGCTTGACAGATGAAACCATTTAAGACCCCGGATGTCCCATGTGCATGCCGTGTAGCAACTGGCCACCAGGATAGCCAGCACATCAACCGCCGGTCTCAGTCCGGAGAGGATAAGATGTCCTGATTGGCCCGATGGCCTATCGGACAGACCAACATAGAACGTGCTTTTGCGGGCCCAGTTTAGTAATATACACTACGTGTATGTATATGAAATGCGTTCATTCCACCCTGTGGCGAGTTCTGTTGATCCTGCACATGACCTCGCCAAGTCGTCGACTTTCTCCCTTTTGTACATGCGTCAGTGTTGGTGTCAAAAGAGGGGGAAAAAGTCCAACTAAGATCGTTCTTCAAGTCCAAAATCCCAATGTTCGCTTCGTCGTGCACACTGGAAAAATTCGTCCCCAATCCCCACTGGCCCCTAGCCCCAGTTCTACCCACGGGCTCCACAAACATGTCTCCTTATCCATTATATCTCCTCGCTTGTCGTAAATTTATGTCATGTTCACTAGGCTAGTGGTTCTTCGTTCCGGGAAATTCCTGCCCTTCACCAACCCTGGATCACCACTGCTGATATACTCTCGGATCAGTGGACTGGGTCGACTGGGGGCATTGTCGCGAGATTTCGGTAAGTTGGCTTGTCGAAACGCATCTCGTTCGCAGTACACTTGTCCGGACAATTCAAAGTAGTCGTGGTCAAGTCGAACCTTGCAAGTGGTGCATTTCAAACATTCCGGGTGATGCTTCTCCTTGCCCCGGCCCGCTACGTTGGCGGTTTCCATATACAGCCCTTCGATCCCCTTTCCGCACGTAGCACATAGAGAATTCTCCAGTTCGTGGTAATGGTACGCGCAATATGGTTGGTCACTATGCACGTAGAATTCGGCGGTGGGAAATGTGGCCTTGCAGGTGCGACATACAAAGCATTCCTTGTGATACCGGCCGGTCAGCCGACCATCCGCACTCGAAACAGACTTCTGTGCCGCAAGAATGACTCGAGAACAGCCACGACAGACACCCTTGTTCGGCGTGGCCGTTTTGGTCTTGGTGCTTGACGTGGCTGGTTCGGTTTCTTGCACTGGTATCGAACCCGCGTGGGGTTCGTTCGGCACCGGATGAAGAAGAGGTCCAGACAAGTCTTTTGGTCGGGGGATGGTGTCCGGAATGGGCGATAAACGCCCTTGCTGGAAGAGAGGATCCGTTGGCGAGTCAGGTGACAACGCAGGGAGTCGGGGTCTCAATGGTGCGGGGACTTCGACATCAGACGGCTTCACGTCCAGATGTGAACCCCCAGATTTGCTAGCCAGAGAATCCGTTTGAGGAGAACTAGATCTGGAGCTGGCCGTGTGCTCAGAGAAGCCCACCGAGCCATAAGAGGAAGTCGAGTCAATTGATGCCCGTCGAAGAGCTTCGCGAGGTTGAGTGATTGGACGTTCGGGCATGGCTTCTTCGGCTGGGGCAGGAGGTTCCGGTTGCGTCACGATTTCTGGCTGGGACACAGGGACGGGCTTGGAAGCTTCCTCTTCCTCCTCGATAGTGGGTTCAATAACCACCACTGGAGCAGCAGGAGGGGCTGGTGTTAGTCCTTCGAGAGCTTTCAGCGATTCTTCATGACTTGGTAATGGATCAGGCGACCTCCAGGGCGATGTCAAGATTGGAGAAGGTTCTGCTGTGAGGAATGAACGGTCACTGTCGGGACTGAGAATGCTTTGGCCCGCAAATTGATTTTCGAAGACGTCAGGTTCATCACTCAAAGCCTGTCGCACAACCTCACGTCGAGAACTAGCTGATTGTGATCGATGTCGGCCAAAGAATCTTCCCAAACCCTTAGACAGCACGCCGGCCGAGGAAGGCTGTGGTGTCGTTGGCGATCTCATCTTGGTTAACGGAGAAACTTGCCGATCACTGGCAATCGGGGGAGGTCTTTTCGACTTATAAGCTGGCTCAGTTTCTGCTCTGGGCCGGTCGTCGATATTCGGCGAATGACTCCGCATTGAGTCATTGGTATTAGGTGGTTTAAATCTGTTGGCTTCAGTGTCGCCAAAATTAAACGCGCGAAGGCTGTGATCGATTGGAATGTCTTTGTGGAGGACAGGCTCGGTGCGTGTCCTCAAGATTTGGGAGGAAGGAACATTATCACCTGCAGATTCGTCTGTTTTGGGCAGTGGAATTGACGATTGGCTTTCAGGGGCTGCTTGAGCCTGGGCCGATTTGTCGATACTCGGTTGACGGCTGTCACTGTTCTTGACCGATGATTGCCCTTCGCTGCTGGCAGGGGTTGACGGTCGAGACTGCTTGTGACTTTGATGTTTTTCGTGCGGCATTTGGGCCAAATTATTCGATGATCCTGCTCTTGTAAATGGAAAGGGCCTACCATCTGGTCGCGGAGGCCTTTGGGCATCCCGAGATCTAGACCTTTTGGTGTCACTTCGTTGGGTGGCAGCTCTCTCTCGTCGTTTCGTGGTCGGTGCTCTCGAAGGCATTGGGAATGGAGGAAAGGCGCAGTCAAGATTGGTGAGTTCTGGAGACGGTGGTCGGCGAGGCCCAGGTCCTGATCCCTTGCGAACGGCCGGCCATGGAGACTTGGGTCCGATCGTGGCGCTCACGGGAGATACCATAGAGCTATGTCCACTGCTAGCAGGTGTGAGTTCACCATGGAAAACAGGTGGTCGGACTAAAATGGCTTGTCAATGTCGACTTTATCAGATAGAATACCTGTCAACCTACAGGCCGCGGCAGCGTCAATTTTGGGCAAGAGCGGACGTTGCGATCGTATATTCCTCAGGTTATTGGCTGAATCTGTTCGAGGGAGAGGGGAAGGCAGGTTCGAAACTGTTTATGTCAGTTTGTCGCGATGTTCCGCCAAAATGGTGATTCGCCAAATACCTGGCATCGAGGATGCACATTGATGGTCGGCCATGGCGGCCATCCCAACATCCTCGCCACAGCCCGGGCATTTGATGACAGGTATGCTTGCATTCCTGGCCGGAAGATCCATCCTCCCTTCCCAAATCCCTTCGGGTAATCAATATTCCTTCTTTCACAACCTTGGTATTCTAGCAAAGACATCTAAAATCGAGTCGCCATACGAAGTCCCTGTTGAGACCGTGATTGGGGTCCGTGGTTGGAAGATAAAGTTGGCAGGTCCTGTAGCTAGACTTTAATCGATATGAATGTGACAGGACATGACTTCGTTAACGACAAAGCGGTCACAGGGCTAGAAGCAGATAGGAAAACTTGGTCAGCAAGACAAGGGCATGTTAAAGTGCAGTTGAACAGACGAAATGACCGAGCCATTGGCAGCAACCGAGACAAAGTCTGGTAGGCGCCGGAGATAATCTGCAAATGGATATGCATTCGCAGACGGGAGCAAAATGTTTGGCCGGGGTAAGAGATGAGGCTTTGAACGGGTTCGAGGCTAGGCCTCAGGTGGGGTTTGTTTGAATTGCGGTGATTGAGGACCGGCGTCGATCAAGGGCTTGTCAAGCTCATTAGCCGCGATATTGAACAGGGGGCATGATTCTATCAGGCCAGTAAGATTTGCTGGGAATGATAAGGGAGCACATGCCCATTGACAGACTGATGTTCCGTAGATTGACATCGGTCAGTCTCGGGAGACAATCCTTGAAGGAGGTAAATGTGCGAAGTGCCTCGGACAAACCATGAAGACAGTTGCGCCATTGCCGTGTTGCCCTGTTGTTTCAGGTGTTCGGCAACGAGATGAAATTTTTCCACTTCATTTCCAGGTTATAATGAGAGGTTGGATTGCGAGCACACGACGATGGTCCTGTGACAAAGGGTTGGTCGAGGAGAAGGCGAGAAGGTAATGCGCGTCGTCAATTCGAGGGCCAGCCCCGGTGATCGGACTAGATCCGGATGCGGACTAGATCGCAGCCACGGGAAGCCACATTGGACATGGGGACTGGCCAGGGACTCGGATTTCAGAAGGGAAAAAAGGAGGCTGATTTGACTGCGTTCGTTGCCGCCCAGATGGGATTGGCCCTGTGTGAAAATGAGAAAAGCAGCCGGGGCCAACAAGGGGTAGATTTACCAGGCCTCAATCACCTAATTGGTCTAGCAATGGCGCTGCCCAGTCCAGCCTGGATCCTGAGTTGGGGACAATTTTCTCCAGACGAGACGAAATTCAGTCTCCATAATTTCCACTTGGGAGAATTTTCCAGAGAATTGACTGAAGGGAAGAAAAGATAGCTGAGACGATGTTCGGAGTAAGAGTGGTCTCTTAGCCTGCTAGTAGACTGAAAATCTCTGATACTCTGATACTTCTGTTGCGGGCACTCCAGCAAAGAGAGAACGTACCAACCAGGCTCGTGAGGTTCCAGGCTATCCACTTCAACTAAAAGATGCCCTAAAACAGCAAATCACACTACGCACATGCTAAAATTCCACCAGTCCTTATTGCGTACAACACTAAGCGGCGCGCGCCTGCATCTGGCAAGGTGCACATCTAGCTGACTTAACGTTGTACCTGCGCTTAGTCCTCCACACCCCTGATTGCTCACTTCCGTCCTTTCATCTTCGATTCATTACTGGTCAAGTTCATATCGCATCTGTCTAGCTGAATGGGTCGCTTCATTTCATTTCATTTCCTCTCCTTTGGCGAGGTTGCTTGGGAGAAAACATCTCAAATACTCCCTCGACCACCTTGATATTTCAACAGAAATTATTATTCCAAAGCGATTCGCAACAAGCTTGACCGCCAGATTCTTTCGCGGAGCACGATGGACTCGGTTGTATTCCGTATGCAAGTAAGGAATAACCAAGTCACGAATGGCGTCTGCTACTGCAACACTGTCGACACTTCCCCCTTCTCATGGATCGGTCCAGCCGGCCAACTTCAACTCGAGTCGGTGAAGAATCAGGGCGCCCAGAAAGGTCCGTCTCGTCTCGTCTGTTCAGAGTTCACGGCAGTTGCTTTTCCCACTCCACCACCTCTGGCATCGTGATACCTCCAATCTTCACCTTACCCAAATCGGCCTCATATCCTTCCTCAATATCCGGATAAGGCCCTCTCGGCGTGATAGCCTTGGGGTTAATGTCATAGTGGCTCTTGGTATAGTTCTCCTTGATGTGCCGGAAGTCGGTTGTCTCCCTGAATCTGTTGACGTTCCAGTACAAATTCTTCAACCAATTGTTGAGCTGAGGATAATCGTGCCGAATCGTGCCCAGATTGCACTTGAAGTGCTGCACATACACGGTGTCGAAACGGATCAGCGTCGCGTACGCTCTGATATCTAGCTCGGTGAGCTCCTGACCCAGAATATATGGACCGCCGTTCTCTGCCACCATCTTCTCCAGTTTATTCAATGCGCCGAAGACAGGTAACACGTTCTTGTCATATGTTTCCTGGGAGCCCGCGAATCCCGCCTTGTATACCCCCGTGTTCAAATCCCTTTGCATCCAGGTACTCACTTCATCAATCTTCTGTCTCAAATGCTCCGGATACAATGTCACCTGTGCATACGCCTCGGGTAGTATTGTATTGAACCCTGTTTGCAGAATTCGCATTATCTCGGCGCTCTCGTTATTTACGATCGTCTCAGTCTGGCGATCCCACAGCACCGGTACGCTGTACCGCCCTTTATATTGTGGATCAGCCTTGAAATAGATTTCATGCAGGCACTTGCTGCCGAAGAGGTGATCCACCGTTGCCCCGGGATATTCGTCATCTGAGCGGGGGAACTGCCAGCCTGGCCACCCTCGCTCGTCACCCTTGGGGTAGGGCTTCACCACGGAAATGTCAATCAGTTCCGTTAGTCCTTTTAGATGTCGCACGAGGTTCGCTCGATGCGCAAAAGGGCAGAACAATCCGATGTACATGTGATATCGACCCCGTTGTGGAGGGAATGGTCCATCCGGCGTGATCTTCCCATGCCATGATTGAGCGGTGCCCGCGAGATGTTCAGTAACCGTGCTGGGATTCGGACGTCCTGGTTCAGCGTTTGAAGTCATTGGTGAAGGGTTGTCTGTTCTGCCAGAAGAGTAAAAAGTGTCTTGCAGTGAGTCAGTATTTCCTCCCGAGCATATCTGATGCTTTTGGAGACGAGAGTGTCAAAAGTCGACCTATTTGTATCATTATGAGAACGAGGGCGCGACAATTCCGTTGCTGACGTCAAAGGTTTTACCACTGGTGTTTGTCTTGTCGAATGATTGTTGTTAGGTACGCAGCTACCCGGTGACATACAAGCAAATATAGTTATTATAATAGAGTCTCCGTGTATATTAATTAGTTCGTCGCTGCAGTCTTGAAAGCTAGGAATCAGAAACTCAAAGCCACTGCGTATTCAGAGCAAGTACATGTATGGACATCCGTGTCGAGGGAACAGAACCGTAAGCTAGCCTAATCAGGTGCCTGAGGCTACCCCGGATTTATCATGCATAAACTCGCAAATTTCCTCAATGGGCAGACGGGCGTCTTTCGCGTGCGTCGAGTTCGGTTCCACTCGATGAATTCAAGTTCCTCATGAAAGTATCCGCTTCCATTGCTATCCCACAGCACCTTGTACCATTGTCTCCTCAACCACCAATCCATGCATAGACGAACAATGATATCGAGAGGGCCCGCCCGGCTTCTTCAAAGGACGGCAACCTCAGCCTCGCCCCGTTCACGACGAATAATTCCCCTTCGCCACGCCGCCATTAGTCCTCGATCCATCACGAGCTCATTAATACCACTCGATGCACGACGGTGGGGTCCCTCGCGACAAATCGCTTCCTTCCACACATCTTTGTCGCCCAGAGCCCAGTCACCCACTGCGGACGCACTGATGGAGAATCTGAACGACCTGTACGCCACGGCGAAGGACGAGTTTGAAATCGCGGCCGAAGAAACCGAGAAGAAAACGGTATATGCCGCTGATGATCGGCAGGCGGCACAGGATGCATTGAAGATGCTGCAGGAGGCCTTTGAGAAGGCCGTCAAGGAGAGTGATCCCGAAGTGGGTAAGGAGATTCAAAGTCGGGTTGGACAGAGGATACGGGAGTTGGCGAATGCCGTTAAAGCAATGGAGGAGATGGCTATAGAGGACTAGACGTCGTTCTGATATCGTCAAGAGCTGGGGTCAATGGGATATCGCGCGGGCTGGGGCTCAATGCTCGACCAAGCATGGATGCAATCGGTCTGAGAGGGCTCTGTCCTTTGTCAGAAGAAGACAGCTCAGCTGTATTTACATGAAAATATACGCCCGATGGCTTCGGATCATTGGCGCTAGATGCTTTCACACTGGTTTCCCAGATGTACAACGGTACCAGGTCATCATCACGTTACAAATGAGCATATGGAGAGAATGTAATGGGGGGGAAAGAGAAAAATAGAATGGTCAAGGCCGATTTGAATCATGGAATTCTCTCAACCAACAGACGTTATCGTTTTCGTCCATACGCCTTGCCACAACAGTTTTGTTTGATTTTTTTCCTCACTTGCTGAGAAATGCAACTTTGACTAGTCCCCATTTCTATCAAGTCGTCTCTCTGTCTAGTATCGCTTGCCTTCTCTCAACACGTCACCATATTCCTCCAAAGGACTTCTGATGAGTTTGGTCTCCTTCCATAGGTTGGGTGTCAAGAAACCGTACGAGTTGCTGACCGCCACGAAAGTTGCCTTCAATGTGTTCTCCAACGTCTTCGTGCTCCCGGAAGACGCAGTGTATGCGTCTTGCACACCAGCCAACTGTAACAATCTCTTGACAGCGGGGGACGCGACAAGACCAGTTCCTCGAGGGGCAGGGATCAATCGCACCGTGACGGAACCGCATTTGCCGGACTCCTTGGTAGGCAAGGAGTGTGGTTCACCAAGGTTGGTACCCCAATAGCCTCGTCGGATGGGAAGGACGGAGAGTTTGGCGATGATGATGGCGGCGCGGATGGCCGTGGCCACTTCTTTGGATGTCTTGATGCCGAGACCGACGTGGCCTTCGCTGTCGCCGATGACCACGATAGCCTTGAATCGGGTCCGTTGACCGGCGCGAGTTTGCTTCTGGACAGGCTTGATCTGGGAGTTTAGTATATTAGTCTCTAGCTCTTCAAATATCTTCTGTTCCCCAAGAGATCCGTATCAATGTCACCCCGGGGAGGAGGGGAAGGGGGGATTTTTTTTATTTTTTCTCACTTTCATCACCTCATCCTTGAGCTTGGGTAAAAACCAGTCGACAATCTGGTATTCCTTGATGGGCAGAGAGTGCAGATAGATTTGTTCCATGCTCTGGATCTTGCCAGCCTTGACGAGTCGTCCCAACTTGGTAACCGGTTGCCATTCCTTCTCCTCAGACTTCGCACCACCACGTCGAGGTCCTCGTCGTCCTCGACCACGATCTCCCCGGCCTCGATCTCCACGACCTCGATCGCCAAATCCTCCACGTCCACGAGGAGCGTCAGCCATATTGTTGGTCTTTGGTCCTGAAATTGAATTGATAAGGTGCGCTTCCTGGTTTGCGAATTGGTAATGCTCAATATCCCAGCGACAGCGCAGCCTGCGCTTCTAGTTTGAGCGAAATCTCTGCCAAGACTTGCGAATAATGTGCCCTAACGCTAAGACTGATAGGGAAATTTCCAGCGCAGCTCGGAAGGAGAAGGTTTAGCGAGGGGTTTTGCTGGCGGCCGCCTATCAGGAACAGGTATTCGAGCCGTCTCTCTGATGGCGCAGTAACGAATTGAGATATCCCTGGTTTTTCTCGTCATCGGTAACCTCTGTCGGCTTCAAAGGCATTTTGGGGGGAGAAATTCAAGTGGACTGTACATTACTATGTCGCCCTCCATAGACTAACAGAAGAGTCTGGGTAATTCACAAGGAGCAGGAAAGGCAAAATGTTGAACTGGTACGTATGGACTGGGTCAACCTTTTTTATATGATAACGCGAGCTTATTCATTTAGGTATCAAGCCAAGCTGGCAAAGCGGCCACTCCTGACACAAGTTGTCACTACAGCGGTATGTCTTTCCTCTTCGTCTCCCAGCACATATTGACCTGATCAGGTCCTCTTCGGTGCGGGTGATACACTGGCGCAGCAAGCTGTCGAACGGAAAGGTTTGAGAAACCACGATGTCGCACGAACGGGACGAATGGTCTTGTATGGCGGGTGTAAGTTGAACCGACACAGGATATTGAAAGCAGATGCTGACTTTGGACAGGCGTTTTTGGACCGGCAGCCACCAAATGGTACTCGTTTCTGCAGAAAAACATCAACCTTCAATCACATAACGCAACCATTGCAGCCCGAGTGTTGGCCGATCAAACTGTATTTGTATCAGCACATTTGTTCCTCTTTCTTTCCAGTATGTCGATAATGGAGGGCAGTGATCCCCAGGAAAAGCTTGAAAATAGTTATATGTCAGGTCTCAAGGCCAATTGGGTCCTGTGGCCGGCGGTTCAGGCTGTGAACTTTAAGTTGGTACCATTGGAGCATCGAGTACTGGTCGTGAATGTTGTCAGCTTGGGCTGGAATTGTTTCTTGAGTTACTTGAACAGCTCCAAGTAAGGGTGCACCACCGCATGTCTACTGCATAAATATGCCTGGGTGAGACGGGAGGTAGCAATAGAGGAAACGGCATAGACCCTTCATCATCTCATTTTTGAAGCAACTCAAGTAATTTTCAATGCATCTTTATGGATTCGCCGGTGCAGAGTCGAATAATTGAATAAGTTTTGCCCTGCCGAAAAGAAGCCGCGGGCTTTGGTGGTCTCTCGAAGCTAAACTGTTTTTGGCATCTCAAAAATCGAATTTCGACAATCTTTCCACCTTCCAAACTCCATGCTGCCGATATATTGTGCCTGTATTTTCGTGTTTGAATACACGGAATTGATCTACTGAGCGGCAATCCGTTTTTGACCATCAGCTTTAGCGCAATATCGCGTTTGTCATAAGGAGCGCGGCGATTTCTTTTCTTTGCCACAACCGCCCACCTTAAACCGCCAATTCTTTCTCTTCTGATTTCAACGTACACAAACTTCCACGGGTTTAATCCGGTTTCATCACTTTCCTTTCCATCATGGCGGAAGTCGAGATCGCTCAGCCGGTCCATGGCCCTATCTCCAACGAGAACGCCGCCCCCTCTTCATCTGATGAAATCAAGACCGTCTTCCATGATGTGAACAATTTCAACGTCAAGCATCCTTTGCTGAATACCTGGAGTCTTTGGGTGGGTACCGTCCAATGATCGGAATACAATTGTGACTAATTGGACGACAAGTTCACCAAGCCGCCGTCATCCAAAGGCGACAACTGGAACGACCTCCTCAAGGAGGTGATTACCTTTGATACTGTCGAGGAATTCTGGGGAATCTATGTAAGGCTTTGATGAAAGTGACCGTTGCACAGGATCTAACTGTTTGCAGAACAACATTACTGCCTGCTCCGACCTCAGCCTCAAATCAGACTACCATCTATTCAAGAAAGGAGTTCGTCCCGAATGGGAAGATCCTCAGAACAAACATGGCGGCAAATGGTCATATCAATTCAAGGAAAAAAAGATGATCAATATTGATGAACTCTGGCTTCACACTCAATTGGCGGCCATCGGGGAGACTCTTGAAGATGAGGGAGACAACGAGATCATGGGCGTGGTCGTGAATGTCAGAAAGAGTTTCTACCGAATTGGATTGTGGACTCGCACCACTGGAAAGGGCGGTGGAAGGGACACATTGATGAAGATTGGCCAACGATTCAAGGACGTCCTTCAGATTGGTCCAAATGACGTACTTGAATTCTCGGGTCACACCGATGCAGCACATGCCGGCAGCACCAGAGCGAAGGCCAAATATGCTGTTTGAGAAAGGTCAGAGGTAGTTATTGCGTGCGGAAGGGTTCGACTCATGCCCTGTTTATTGCTACTGGCGTTGCACTGGGCTGGAACGGGTTTGAATGGCGTTTATCATGGGGATGAAAAGCAGTCTCGCATGAGAAAGGGATACCCGGCACTTTATTGATGACTAGCATAGCGAGGTCGGACAACTGGAGGAGAGTCCACCAGGAACATGATTCTGATATTCAATCGTTCTTTCCCCACTGTTACTGGTTCCCATAGCCGACGACGTCGACCAATCCGGCGATGGCCTTGGAGGCATCGACCCTGGAACAGGGACTCTTGAGCTGGATAAGTTCTCGTATAAATATGTGGTTCGACCTGGTGGACATACGGTTGACTCTTTTGGTCGAACCAATAATGTTTCGGCGCGCATGCCCGTTCGTTGAGTGGCGATTAAAAGTCAACGATTCCAATGTCTACTTAAGACTTGCCGATTCCTGTAGCTGTCTCTTTCTCTTCTTTCTCGTCACCTGGATGATGGCCCTGTATTCGGCTGCCCGTGTCTCTTGAACGTCGACACTGTCATTCTTGAAGACCAATCGTATCTGTCTTCCAGTTTGCCGTACACCCAGTTCGTCGGCAGACATCCCATCTAACAACCATCCGGCATCATGGAAGGACGTCGCTGCATGCGAACAGTCCACGATGGCACCACTTGGCCCACTTGACTAGGCCGGCTGCCACCGAACCGTGTTTGTTCGTCGGCCACCATCGGCAGAGAAAACAACCAGTCTAACATTTTAGACCTTTACGCTTCTCGGGCTAGGGGTGGTCAGCACGCAATTTGGGTGGTAGATATCCTGACCGGTGAATGAGGCTGCATATCAAGCCGTCGACTTAGTCCTCATGCAAGTTCCTTCGCTTCCTGAAACCCGATTGGGATGCTCACCCATACTATGCTCATCGCCCGCAAGTCGATGCTCAGCTGTTCTCTAGAATTCAACAACTGTTAGAGATCATGACTCGCTTTCAACGGACGAACACGTTACCTCATCTTGAACCACCCCCCTCCCCGCCCAGGTGATTGATGCATTGTACAATCTTCCAATGGCATCCGGCACTGTGAAGCGAGCACAGCCGATGCGTCGTCCTCCTTGCTTTTTTCTAGTCGCATGTGCCCAATCTCTCCATGGGAACTTGCGGCTTGCGGCTCCTGAATCGTGTTCATAAACCCTTTCTCGGGACGCCTTGTTGCCCTACCCCCCCTCCTTTTCTTTCTACCATTTCGTTTCCCTGTCCACATCGCCCTCTTAGGGCTGGTAATTTGATTATCTGCATTTCAGGCAACTTTCTGCCTTCGGGCGACGACTGGGGGGAATTTGACCCAGAAATCGACTGGATTGACTGGGGATCGACCTGACTGGTCGCTGCTCAGCCTCAGCCTCATTCTCATTTGGCGGAATGGGGCGGCGCCCTCGTGAGAGTGGCCACCTTCAAGGCAAATTCCCTCTTCGAAACGTAGCTCCCAATCAGCGTGGGCTATCCTCTTCTCAGCCTCAGTACCCTCTACCGTCCCAGGTACCGTATCTCCACGGTGTTCATCGACAGGATTGGTTACCACATTTGGCCATCCCTCCAGCCCAACATTGGTTCGAACAGACAACAGATGCTCTCAGTCCCGTAAGTAACCGGTCAACACTCTCTCCCGAGAGCGCTGCTGCCAGCAGCTATACCGCTGGTTTGGGACATGCTCGAAATCTGTCTCCGGAGGCTGATACTCCAACGAGTTCAACTGTCTCGATATATCGCCCCGTCCGCCATACAGATCGTGTGAATGGGAGGTCCTGGCAACCACCAAACTTTACTTCTGAATATACGACAGACCCGGATCATCAGATGACAGGTTGGATAGGACTGAAATCGAGAAGAGAAAGATGATACTTACTAACACATTAATGCAGAGGATGTCGTTGGCATCGATGTCCGTGCCCCCTACGTTGAAACGCAACGATATCTTCGAATCCCTCAATTTATTTCTCAAAGGGGTCCATCACCGAGCAGTTATCAAAGATACCCGTGCAGTAACGAACCATGGAATCCGTATCCGTTTCGACACGAAGATCTTTCCTCCAATACGGTCACCACTCCTCCCTCTGCCATGGACATGGATGTGCATCCATCATCATCATCACCAATCAGCCGTGAAAGAGGAGGTGGAAGAACAGGGCCTCTGTCCCAAACCGCAAGACAACAAGCTAGTGATGTTCGACGGATGGGAGCATGCCTTCGTTGCACAATCATGAGGGAAAAGGTAAAGATCAAGGGGATGTTTGTTGCTTTATCTCGCGACCGATCGGCTGACATGTCACCCATCAAAAGTGTGACCTCAATGTTCCCTGCCAAACATGCTCGACCAAAGACCGACGGAAATTCCCCAAGAACTGTATCCGTGCCCATTTCAACTGGGATGGATGTAAATCAATCCTCTTCCCGGGTCAGACTTGTCATCTCCCACCTATCGTGCCATTTTTTGCTGATAATTACAGATGAATTGACCTATCGCCTCCAACAAGACAAGCTGTTCCAATACCTCTCCAACTCATCTTTTACCATGTCAGATCGACCCAACTTCAAGATTCCCTTGGACATGAACATTGGGCTACCCCTATATGTTATGGTCAAAGAATTTTACCCCCTTGACCTCGCCCCGGAAATCCGCCACGCATACCGTGCCATCGAGAACGCCAATGGCGTCAAATCCTACGGCAAACACCGAACCTGGAGCCCCCCGATCATCATGTTCGTCAAGGACGGCGATCTGCCTCGCCAAGTCAATCTTCTCCGGCAACAACTCAAACAGCTCTTCGAACAAGTGCTAGATGATCCCACCCGTTTCGAAAACTGGACAATGGAATACTACCAGGAAAAGGAAGAGGATTTCCAAACAACCATCCTCGGCTTGATCGGGAAATATTACCGAAAGGACATCGACGAGCACGCCGTCCTCAAGACCTCGTTAAGCCTCCTCTGGTTCGAATATTTGCTGCTCAACAAATTCACGGTCCCCCCCCATGCTATCCCTCAACTCGAAGCAAACCTTGAATCGCGCCGTCCTCCAGGAGCGCACCGCGACGTCACAGTGGTGCCCGAAACTATCAATCGCTTCCTCAAAGCCACGGTGCTCCCGCTCGCCGTCGACGCCGCCAAGAAACTCACTGAGACCCTGCACGACATGCTCTTCAAAATGGCCGTCAGCCAGAAACTGACGACTGCACGCACCGATCTCGCCTTGTGCATGGCATTTATCCTTATGATGTTCCTGGGCAGAGCGCAATTGGCGTTGCGCCTCCTGGCGGATTCCCCATCTAACGAGACAGGCATGGAATACACGTCCGACCAAGCAGACAGGAGGATTCAAGAGATGGAAGAAGCCATCGGCGAGTACTTGGTGTCGTTTCACAAATATACGTTGAGCCGAAAGCCGACTGCCTCTTCCTCGTCTTCCTCATCCTCCAAACCTACCGGCGCTGTCGAAGAGCAGCGAAACGCCGAGTCGTCTTCGGACTTTGAGCTTCACGCCCGGAAATTCGACCTGGTAGGTCGTCTTCGCCGGGAGATCGAGGAGGACTATGGTAAGCAACTACCACAATATTCTTACCATCAACTTCACGCGTCTGCCTCTGTCAACCAAAAGTTTTTGAACAACTCAGCAGCTGATAACCAAGTTGTTTTTCCTGCAGCTGACGAAAGACCGACCCGGCCCGAAGAGTGTGATGTGAGCCTGTTAGACTTGCAGACTTTCCGATACATGAATGTCAGGAGACTTTGTTGGAAGTTGTTTCAAAATGTGGAACGTGATAGATAGGACACGACGATAATCTGGGACGTACAACTCGAAGTACGAAATTCCGAATTCAGGATGCGAACTTGCGTGATGACGACAAGAATACCCCGCACGTTTTGCGTGATCGGGGGGAATCGATATTCTTGAGATAAAACCTTTTTTCTTGGCCAGGTCGACAACCGACTGGTTCGGGAGTTCTGTGGAATGAAAAGACGAGAAGACGTTTTGGTGTTGTGTCAATATTTGATTGGTAAAAATGGAATGCCCGGTTCCTTGATCTTGGTGCTGCATTCATGCCCAACCCAAGCGCCTGTGCGTGAGAGATAATAGTAGATAAGTAGTATAGTAATGTGATCGTCCTTCATTTGCTCGTGAAGGACGTATAAAAGATAAAAGTGCTGTCTGTCCCTTTGCTCGTTTGCTAATGTTGAAAGAAGTCCCAATTGATTCCTGAACCTAATCCTAAGGACCGCCACCTTGGTCATAAAAAACTCTATCGTCTATTGTATGCTGATACAGTGTTGTGCAAATCAATGGGAAATTCACAGGTGGCCCATCTATCCAGAAATCCTGATACAATAAGAAACTCGCTGTTGATGTGGTGATACAGGTGGTGAAAAGTCGCCCAAGTCGCCTAAGTTGCCTGATGGGGAACCACTTTGACAATTGCCAAAGGGCACGAAAATCCCCCCCTGAAGAAAATCAACGTCAGTAAACAAATATTCCTTTTTCTCCGTCTGGACAAAAACATACCCCTCTTCTCTATCCCTTTCTCCTTCTTCTGTTCTTCCGCCATCATCGTCATCGGCCCCCGCGGTGCCATGCTATTCATTCGTTAGTTATTGTTGGTGGGCATACAACAAGAAGGTGTTTAACTTACGTCCTTGTGGACGAGGTGGTGGTGGAGGCGTTGGCCGTGGCGGCCGGCTGGTCAATAACATTGTCTGTTTTGAGGTCGCCATCAAGGTCGAAGTGCGATGGCACGTTGAGGCGGTGGTAGTGTTGTGTTTGGCGGATTGAAAGGCAACCATGATTGTTCGTGTGTCGGAGAGGAGATGATGTTTTGTTTTATACTGGTGACTGAAGAGGCACCTTGGGCTGTTTGAGAGAAGAATGAAGGATGACGGATAAGGACTCTATGGAACCTTTATGAAAATATGACAGTATGGAACGACGATTGAAGGTGGGTGGAGTCCGAGAAGTCAAAGGACAGGGAGCAGCAACGGCGGCAAGCAACGCCACACTTTGCGGTCTTATTGGGATGAAGTGAGGCAAGAAGGCGAGTTTCAAGCTCGGTAATCTCTGGGACGAATCATGAAGGATGGGTATGGGGAAAAATACCTGTCACGGAAAGTTCCTCTGTCTCAGAGAAAGGCGACAACTTGAAGCTCTCGTTTGGGGAATCCCTGGGAAGGCGGGACCATGTGGCGATGACCAAAAGGCTCCCTCTCCTCAAGGCAACAACCTTGCACGTGAGTATCTTGGACCGGGATGAATTCTACGAGACCTAAAACGTTGGGAAGTGAAGCGACAAGATGACTGGAGAAGCAGAAGATCCGGGTTCTTCAACGGTACAAGTAAACCTGTCGGTGGGCTGTGAACAGTTGAAAAGGACCTCTCCGCCACAAACACTTTTTCGGTCGAATCAGGCAAACAGGGGACGGTGGCTGAAAAGACCTAATCAGCTTGAGGCCGGTCTTCTGCTTCATCAAGAGGAGTTCACGTTGAAGACAGAGGACCTGATAGGACGGTCAAACTCCGGCCGGATACAAAGAAGGCTTGCGGGTGATGGTCATAAAACAAAATACAGTTAGAAGAGGCCGAAACCATGAGAAAGGAGACCAAAAATATTACGCCAGACGACCCCAAAAACTCGCGTTAAAGTGCTAGAATCGATTGGATGAGTCAAAAGGGAAAATGGCGGTGGTGAAAATGGTGGAAACCCCAAAGGGCCCAATGGAGGAATGGGGGCAGAAATTCCAAAGGGAGCCGGGAAAACAAGGGGGACTTTGCTGCACAGCTGAGCGATCAAACGGGCTATGAAAATTGGATCAGGGAGGACCTGCTGCGCCATGCTTTGACCAGCGTATGTGTGTTGTCCAGCAAACCGAAAGGCTGAAAAGGCTGAAAATTTCAGGAAACGAAATTGACGAAACGAGAAGACACGAGAAGAATCCAACACGTTCTGAGTCAACACCGATCAGCAACAAACATTGGACGAAAGAGCTGGTGCTTCCAAGACGCAATCAGTCAGCACAGCCTGCCGAGATGGGGGAATTAGGGGGGGGGGGTAAAAAAGGCAACCGGTAATTTTTACTCATGCGTGCTGCTAGGCAGACTTAGAGGCTCGCCCAGGTCGCAAGGCAGCCTGAGGGTCCTCCCCGGCCCTAATCATTTTGTGGGCACCCCAGCGATGGGTGGGTGGGTTTTGCGCAACCTTCCAGAAAGGCGCTAGAAGGTTAGGAATTGTAGGCTTGACGCTGGCCCTAGAGGTGGGCGGTGGGGGCACTTGGCTGGCCGGAATCGCGCATTTGGAGCCCAAAGTTTTAAGCTCAGTGCAGAGTTTGGCGACCTCTGCGACCCTGGGGGCTGACTTGGACAAAAGAAATTGCACCCAAACGACCAAGAAGCCCTCCACGGAATCGTCACTGATAATGGACAAGGAAAGCAGATGGGTAACAGAGGAAAAGTAGTGTGAAGGGGGGGACCGTTTAGCTCAGAAATGACGCGCATTAGGGCATAATTACGTCTCCGAATCACTCGAAAAGGGCCCCGATGCAACTCGAATCATTCCCAAAAAATATCGGAAAATGGCCCCAATGAAACCGCAAAGGGCGTCAGATCGGGTCGCCGGTCGGTCGCGTTCCTGACCCTAGTCTTGACCCTGGGAGACGGAAGTGGTGGAAGACAGATCCGTGGTAGATTTTCGTTTCATGGCTGACTGGCAATTGGAGAGGAGTGGTCAGATGATGGAGGAACTAGAGTGAGTTGTCGAAGGAATGATATGCATGGGACTTATTCCGTTCAATCAACCGGCCCAAGGGATGGTGGTATTCTTCTCCCGGCTGGTAAATTTAGGAGTATCACGATTGAGAAGGAGGGGCTGTCAGGACTGACCGTTACTGTAGGGGGGACGATGGACAATGAGCCCAGTGGGTGGGCGAGGACAAAGACCAGGGTATACCTTGTGGGCATATGGATGGAGGGATGACCTCTTGCCGCTCCCCTGAGTATCTGAGATTTTTGAATCTAGGACACACCTCTCACACTTCCATCCCACTTCTTACTCGCTTGTACAGATCAACTCGCCCTATGTGACCGTGGAGCCTAGGTTTGAGGTGGGATGGTGCACTTTTCCCCTCTGCTGGCCAGTGTGTACGTCATTTGATGCCTTTTATTGGCGAATTGAGGAGGGATGGTTTGTGAAGTCGGAGAAACTAAGAGGTGCCTTAGCCAGAGGCGCGAAATCAGGTGCCCCACGTGATAAGTTGCGTCGCGCAGGTGACGAGGGCAATGGACAAGGAGGAAGCCCAGGAAATCCGCGGCCGATACTCTGTCGAGGGTGAGAAGGTGAATCGAGACTGCCTACGTACCTACGCGATCTTTCTGGTCGCTGGTGCCTGTATCCATGAATGTAATTGTCATAACTTACGGGCCTATCTATGAATGGGAACTTAAATGGAGATGGGACCTTGTTTCCCCATAGGATAGGCACACTGATCACAGAAGTCGAAGGATACGACACATGAACCGGTCGAAATGGAGAGGACGGCTTCAGAGATGCACAGCATGACGTGGTCGGGGAACAGGAAAATGGAACGTTCAACTCATCTCTCACGCTAGGGGCCGAGTGCGAAGTGAGAACGAATAGATCAACAATTGTGGCTACGTGGTTTGGGTGGCTCGGATGATTCTGTTTATCATGGTAAAAGAGGAAAGTAGAATATTGCAAATGGAAGATTTCATTGCGGGACGGAACTCGGGATGGAACTTTGCAATCCGGTGCTGCCTTTGTTCTCCAGGGTTATCGACCGGGGCTTTCTGGGTTAAATGGGGCACGCATCATTCTGCGTACTATACCAAGCGAACCTCGCTCGAAACATTAGCACCCAGGTGACCTGTTCCGCCAGTGCAAAACCAGGCCATGGGATCCATAGATGGAATGTGACTTTTTGGCCAAGCAGCTTTATGGATCTCTATTTCCAGGGGGTTTTTTCGTTCCAGGTCAGGTGTGAAGATTCATTTTGGTGATTGTACCCGATAAGGGATAGAATGGCCCCTAGTTAAATTTGACTCTGGAGATGCCTTTCGGGTGGACAGGCCCGAGGAGTCAGATTGTAGTTTGCGATCCAGACGCTCTTCACCAAGAGTCCAGACATGACGTACGTCTTCCCGCTGAAGATTTGACGGTTACAAAGTTCCTGCTCCCACGGATAAGGCTGGTTCGGCGTGGATAGATGCGGCAAAAATATGGACTCAAGGCGGAAGCGGAAGTGGTGCTGGATGCTGACGAACTCCTCGAGCAAGAATACGAGTCATCTACCTGAACTGACACTGACGCATCGGTGCTCGTGCTCGTGGACTGGATGGGCGGTTTCGGTTTCAGCCACCAGCTGGTTGGACTCAGGCTTTGAATCAAAGAGATATGGGCTAAGAGCACTGGCGATGCTGCATCGGAGTGGGTGTCGAGCCTCAACACTTCCGTTAGTTGGGCATGTGTGGAGCGAAGGATTCTAGCCTCAAAAGATGCCCAGTGCGGCCAACTTTTGAGGTTGAGTCCGCCCTAAACTTACAGTACGGTTCCGAGTGAGCCTAGCAGGGCAAACAAGCGAGCCTTATTGGAATTATGCGTGCTCCGTGCTTCGTGTCGTTACTTGGAGTTGGCTGGTGGCGCACGATGAGGCGTGGCGCTAGGGCACATGACTGCCTGGCCCTCTGCCCCCCGCATGCCCGAAATTTTCCTTCCAAGCGGTGATGTCAGACGTTGCTTCTTCTGGTGCTAAAGTTGTTCGTAAGTGCCTGGGTACCTGGTACCTGGGTGGCAAGACCTGCCACGTGACTACCACATACTATGCGATAGGTTCCTTACACCACGAGATTCCTTGGTACCAGAAGAGGAGGAAATGTGCAAGTGCACAAGTGCGATCTTCTGTCTGTTCTTCTGGCCTGACATTGCGTGCCCTGCAGGCTTGGGCATCAACACATACGAAGATAAAAGGACATGCATTTCGATGTTGGGATGTCTGTTGAGGCTGAACTCGAGGACTACCCCACCGGCCCTTTGGGCGCCCGTTGTACTTTCGTCTGTCTGCACTTCATCATTGATCATCATTTGCGCCGATCTCATGTTCCCATGCGGAAATGCTCCATGCCGACCTCGTGCAGGCCTGTGTTCGACCTGCTTATTCAATTGCCAAATCCTTTTCCGCCATTCCATGTCCATTCCCTTCTCCAGCCTCCACTCTTTCCACGGCCTTCGCCTTCTTCTTCTTTTTCCTTTTCTTCTTGACAACCTCTTCGTCGCCGCGATCTTCACTTTCAATTTGAGGTGCTGCATTCGCATCCCCGACTTGGGCCCGTATCTGCTTCTTCTTCTGCTTCTTTCGGACCACGGTCCCTTCCACATCAACCCCTTCGCCCATCACCGTCCTCTCTCGTTCAGCCTCTCGTTGCATTTCAAGTCTCTTTTTCTCCACCTCGCGAAGGGCGATGGCCATCTCCAATTCCTCTGCTTCGCGTCGGAGAATCTCTGATTCGATTTCCCCCGCTCCTTCGAGGCTGAGATTTTTGAGATTTGACGAGTCAACGGTGAGGAGGCTTCGTGTTGGCCGAGTCGGAGCTTGGGTACGGGATTTTGGATGGGGGCTGAGCGAGCGAGGTCGATTGGTCACCGGGGTGGTAGATAGAGAGGTTGAGTTGGATGCTGACTGTGACAAAGACCGCGAAAAGAGTGTCCCGTCCGCACCCAGGTCGAGAGTTTCATCTGCGGCGACCACAAACTTCCGCATTGGCCTCTTCTTTCTTGCCGGGCGTTGGTGGTCGTGCTGAAATTCCTCTAATCCTGTGTTTGCCGCTGTCGTTCGCACCTGGTCAATCTGGAGGTCAATAATCGGGATGGAATCGACATCCAATTCGTCATCTCCATTTGATTTGCTGATAACGTCGTGGAGACGAGGGCTTGATTCTCCAGAAGGCGCAATATAAAATGGGTCGTCCTTGTGTCGGGCTAGTCGTTCAGCTTTACGTCTTGCCCGAGTATCTGGAGACTCGGGGACGGATTGATATGACATCGGTTCGTGTTCCGAAGGCGATCCGAGGAGGGCGGCGGCCGAGTGAGGCTGCAAGGACGACATGGCCTGAACAGGTTCGCGATCATAGTAGAAGGCGCGGAAGGCGCCATCGGCAGATTCATCCTCGTCGGCCATCTGCGAGGCTTGCAGGATGGATGATAGATCAGGGTTGATCGGAACGTCAAGGTCCAAGTCCGGAGGTACCGGGACTTTCTTCTGCGCGGCCGATGAAACGGGGTTCAGTTCGATCCCAGAGAAGAGCGAAGGCATGGCAGATGTGAGAAGAAGTGGTGCCTGGATACTATCGCGGGATTGTGCGGACAGTGCTTCTGAAACAAGTCGCAGGAGCTCGAGGAACTCCACGCTTCTCTCTTGAACGTCAAGGTTGGGGTGAGAAGACAGTTGGTCCAGGAATTCAGTGGTGCGTGCAAGCAAAAGCGACATCGTGGTCCCTCTTGAGACATTCCATTCCCGGTTGGCGGTCATAGCAATGTTGGCCATGATCTTCGGAATGGCTTGGACGAATATTGCCAGTGTTGCCGGCGAAAAGTTTTCTGACGATTCGTGAATTAAAGAGTTGAGGACTTCGTAAGGATTGGATAGAAAATTGGCAAACTCTCCGCATATCCATGCCGCTGATTTCATGACTTGATCTTGTCCAGAACCATGTTTGGGGTACGCGATTGTGCGATTGGACAATAGGACAAGCGTTTCAGCCGCTTTGATTGCTTCTGGACGGAGCTCTTTGACTCGAACTGCAATGTCACGAAGTTGACCTCCGATTCGAGACCCCAGGGAAGTATTGTCGTCGGTTGAGGTTCTCAATGACTGAACGTTCTTGTCTGCGGGAAGGTGCCGGACCAGGTGGACGAGAATCTCGAGATACCATTCGAAGTCCGTGATGTGGGCGTAGGTATTTTGTGAACCCATGTCCAGAATCCGTGAAATCATTTCATGACGATACTCATCCGGCAGTGGTACGTTCTCTGATCCTCGTTTATCCAGTATCAGTCTCTGCTCCATGTCTGTTTGTCCTTCATCCAAATGTCCATTGGCAACGTCGGTGGCCGATGGTGAACTTGCAAGTTGCTTGATAAGTCGATCAACGACGCTTTGTAAATTGCCGCTGTTCACCATGCCTGGCACCAACTCTAGTGCTTGCATTTTGATTGAAATATCCGGGTCGTCTAGACAGCCCATGATGACGTCTTGCTGCATAGAGACAAGGGTCGGATGAGACCCGACAATCTTGTTGAAAGCTAGCAGTGCAACATATTTCAAATTTGGGTCGCCATCCAACACAATCATGCCTCTTAGTTTAGAAATGCAGAGATCGGCCACTTCTTCAACGTCAACTCCACTTTCTGCTCCATCCAGGATGCCTCCTTGAATGATCCCACTGATACACTCGTAAAGCAAGGACATTGCTGTCGTTTCCTGGATCAATTTCGTGAGGGGGCGAACGAGTTTCTTGACCAATCTTGGTTCGAGAGGAGTGAGAACGGCAAACAGTTTGATGATTTTGATTCCCATCCAGTTATTCTTTTGCGCCAGGAGGAGATCGAATAACCTCGGTGCCAGGGGTAAAAAATCGTGTGGTCTTCGCCATCCTAATTCGCAAACAACATTGACAGTGGCGGCCGTGACGCTGCCGTCTTCTTGCTCGTCTAAGAGTCGTTCTTTTATTTTTGGCCATGCCGCTCTCAAAGTTTCCGGGTATACCAAAGCCAGTCTGTAAAGTGTGACAATGGTCTTTTTGCGCACAGCGGGCTGGGAATGCGATAATCGTGGAAGAAGGTCCGTGAGAATGGACAGAGCCAGAGAAGGCGTTACAATGTGTGGTAGAGTCACTAAAGGCAGAGAGAGAATAGGGATGGAAGGAGAGGTGAGATCCTTCTTCAGCAAATTCTCAGCCAGCATGAGGACCTCGGTCTCCGGTCGAAAGCTCTGGACGGCGGCGAGATAGCCTACTCGCTTCTGCATCTGTTTGGCCGAGGCCATAACTTCCAAGACGTTGAAAGCTGCCCACGTCATATCGTAGCCAAACATTTCCAGATATATCAGTTTCAGGAGTGCTGTTGCCTTGACGTCAAGATCCTGCGATCGAATCTCACTCCGGCACTCTTTGAGAGCGCCTTGAATGTATTCTGCTTCATTTCCTTTGTGGCCACGAAGGCCTCGAATGAGGTCGACAAGGGATTTCTCGAACATGTTGAACAACTTCGAAGGGGAGGTGTCATACGTGGTCCGCTGTTGATACCACCTTACATATCCCGCCGGTCATGATTTCGTACGCGAAAGTGAATAGATTGAAGGAATCCTCATCACGGGAACGTCAAGTCCGATCTATCGATTGAATACAACAACAAAGCTCCCCTCTCCTGTTCTCAACATTCTTTTCGCTGGCCGGAATGATTTGATGGACGGCGGTGGAAGTGGTGGTGTGGGTTTGAGGTGTCAAGAGGCGAAGGATGTGCATCACCCAAATGCCAAGAACCGGTTTAATCCGCGGCGAGCTCTAAAGCAGCGCTGTAAACCCTCCCTACCCAGATGGCATCGCTATACCTGTAGAGGTAAAGAGCTAAGGCTCTTTTACTTAGCCAACTTATAAGGCCCTAATAGAGATGTATCACTATATCACGGAGAAAGAGAACCCGTTCTCTCATCTCCTTTTTCGGGGACAGAATTGATCCATCACGGTCTCGCTTGCCCCTGCATTTGCTGCACTTCCAGAGCCTGTGAGGGTTATCGGGAAAGATCAGCTGAATCAGTTCCTGATCCCTGTCACACCATTTCATGCACTGTCGCACAAACCCGACATCGTCCCACGGGACGATATTCCCGGCACAAAAATGATCTCCACTGACATTCTTCTCCCTCCATCTGAATGTGGCCTGTGCAATTCAGGTGGTCTCCCGTGCGAATTGCTCTAAATCCGGCAACTTTGAGAATCGGTAAGTCCTACGGCATTGTACGAATTTGCTTGATCGCTTTCTTCGTGTCACTCGCCAGTGCCTGCATCAACGTAATTCTCTGGAAAGCAATCTAGCCAGGAAAAATGCATCCAAGTCCATTGTCCCACAGCCAGTTTCACTCATTGCGTCAGCCTGATGATCATGATGCGGAAAAGCCGGCGGGTGGTTGTGGTTGGGTCTCATCATTATCGTTGTCGAATAACTGTGACTGTTTGAGTTGCGGATTCCGTGAGCCTCCGTCGATTATGTCGGGACTCCGTTGTACGGCTGGGCATGTGGTATGGCCTCCTTCTAGGAAGAGACAGACTTCTGGCAAATTTTCAGGGTCATATGTCAAGTGTGGAAGATATTTTGCTTGTCAGTCATCCACTCGAGCTTCTATTGTCCCTAATGTGCGATCAATGTTAGTTGGGACGCGTCGAGGATAGAGTTAGGACCACAGTGCCATTGATGATCACTGCGAGCTCGCAGGAATTCTCAAAGCACGAGATGGCATGTGATTTCATAGCTGGATACTAATTTGCCGAAATGGACTCCAAGTTCCCGGAATGGCCATAGTATGGGGCCCATGGGTCTTGTTCAGTATAGTTATCAACTCCCTGGAATCAGCAGTGAACGTTACCGAAGGCTCATGGTTCTGTTAGATTTCGTGTTAGCTGAACTAGACTTCAAAGTTGAGGGGCAGGTACCTGTCCCGAAAGTAACAAGACCACAAGAGATATTTTCGAAATTTCCAAACCTTCGGTAGTGAGAGGTTCCAGATCTAATAACTTACACTGCTATCTATGATGTAGCCCAGATCGCTGACCATTCTAAATGCCATTCCGCTGTAAAGCCAGGCTTGAGAAATTGAACCAAAAGCAAGGTTTCGTGCGGTCAGCTGATGGAGTGCTTGTGCTGTCAGTATAGCACTGGGCTTCTGGATCTCAGTCCCCTGGGGAAGACAGGCACGAGATATCAACATTTCTCCGATGCGGCCGTCTTGGAAGCGTGCTGGGTAGGCGCACAGAACAGTGAGGAGGAACTGTGAGCAATACTGGCCCCGGTCGTCATATCGCCTAAACAGTCACAAGCAATACGAATTGATGATAGAAGAAAGACCCATGCATGTGAGCAGACCTGTAAACCCACATAAACATTGTGCCAATCCGTGCCCAATGTAACCGGAGCAGCTTGGAAAACGCTGCTTCAGGAATATCGGTTTAACGCGCCGCATTTCCCAATGCGAAGTCTTCTCATGCTCTAGATTCCATCGCATTCGATGCTAGCATAGTTCGTATTTCTACCTCGAATGTGGGACTTCCGTATTGTCGATTTGCGCTAGGCTGAGCGTTCGGTGCAGAAGGAACATGAACCACTGATGTTGGGTCATAATAACAAAGCGGCAAGCTCATCAGCCCAACAAGGGAGAGTCTCAGGTGGCAACCTTTCCATTCTCGTCAAAACTCAAATCCAATAGTAGGGTCCCCGGTATGGATTTTTTGGGTGGGTGTTCGAGTCCAGAAGAAGCAATTGCATCAGCGGCAGGAGGTGTATTTTGATATGTCCCAATGCTCTGACGTCGCTTCAGGAGCCTCGTCATACACATTTGAAACTGTTCCCCTGTGGGCAGACAAAGAATTCTTGCAGCTTCTTGGACATGGCAATAATTTGAGACACAGGCGGAGGCTTCTCATAACGACACTCATCATTATAGACTTCACTGCGTGCTATGACACCTCGTCTCAAGAATATCGGACTTAAGAAACGACAAGATATATTGCAGCCCTTACCTTTCGAGTTCGACCATTGTCGGTCGGTCCGAGCCTTAGAGGTCCGAGACATTGTAGCTGAGGGTGTAGGTACTTTCCGACGGCTCCGTCGGCCCGTTCGGAGGAAAGACGCCGCTGGATGCAGTTCTTTTCGATTAATAGAGTCGAGAGGAGAATCCTCTATTCAGTAAAGATTGATGTCGAAAGACCGGGAATTTAGGGCAAAGAAGCCTTCAGCTGCCATCATTTGAGGTTCCGTGATTAAAAGCGGCGGGCGGCAAGTGAGCGCGGCCCGTTGATTTAGGACAAACTCGCCAAGACCAATCCTATGTGTATCGGGACCATTTCATTCTTCGACTCTGTGCCACCGCTTGTGCAACAATTTATCTTGTTGACTCGTCTATCGAAGCTGAGGATCATAACTTCACCCCCCAAATAACCCAAATCCTCGGCTTCTCTACTACATATCTCGTCTTCAAAGGAGTCAACTCGGTTGGAAACCATGTCCTTTACTCTAAATCAACACCTTTCCAATCCGGCTACGGCTCTCCAAGCAGCACGGCGAGCTCCTTCGATACTGGCGAAATCATCTTCTGTTAGCACGACCTTTCCTGCGTCGATGTTCAATTATGCAGACTCCACTGAACTATGGAACGATCTCGAACAGCTCCTCTACGCGTGCCTGCGCACTGGTGACGACAAGTCCGCCTTCTTATGCGTGAAAAAGCTAAGCGAAAGATTCGGAGCGACAAATGAAAAAGTCATGGCTTTGAAAGGGTTGTATCAGGAAGCTGTGGCGACGGACGAAGCAGCATTGAAGACAATATTACAAGATTACAACAAGATCCTAATGGACAACCCCATGAATGTTCCAATTCATAAAAGACGAATTGCTCTGATCAAAAGTCTGGGAAGGCATCAAGATGCTATCACGGATCTGGTGGAATTTGTGGATTCTTTCCCTACTGACATGGAGGCCTGGTGTGAACTGAGTGACCTATACTACTCTCAGGGGTGCAGTTCACAGGCAATCTTCTGCCTGGAAGAGGCCATCATCATCACTCCCAATGCATGGAACCTTCATGCAAGACTTGGTGAGCTCGAATATATGGCTGGGCTATCATCCACGGAGACTACTGAGGGCCAGAAGCACCTGACGCAGGCGGTACAACGATTTAGCCGAAGCATTGAACTATGCGACGATTATCTTCGGGGATTCTATGGACTCAGGCTCGCTACGGACAAGCTGCTACAGACGAGCATGACGCCAAAAGGGAACAGTAACTTGGTCATCCCCCCCGAGAAGTTGCAGAGGTTAAACCGGTTGGCTACATCGAAACTGGACGCCATCGTCGAGGAACGCAGCTCGCGAAGATCACCTGGAGGTGACCAGTCAGAAGTCCTCGCTGCTCAGGAACTACTGAGCAAGTCAGAAAATTGAACCAGCTACCAGGATAGCGAACACAACGATAACCGGTCAGCAGGCTTTCTCCGAATAAGAAGACAGCGAAAACGCCACCTACGTCCGAACATACCCTTTCTCCTTCATCGAAGGCCCGACAATGCGAAAGGTTCCTGCAGAGGGCCGGACGTCCACGATGAAAATCATGGTTCGTAGGAGATCATGTAAGATGCGGGCCTTTCCACTAGCGTGATGTAACAAGAGGCAAAAAGTTGGGCAGCAGTCGAAGACCGACCGACGTGGCAGATTTTCTGAGGGTGCCTCAATTGTCGCAGCACCCAACCCATAACGAATTACACTGTCGGTTCATCACGTGTGGGTCTCGCTCATTGTTGTCTCTATTTTAGAGCCCTTGGAGCCTCGCCCTTGTGCCGCACTACGAACCACGCGGCCAGCCCACCGACGATTATCCAGTGGTTGAATCCGAGGTTTTTGTTGGGAGCATCACCTCACCATGGGTGAAGCCGGCTTGAGATGATTAATTTAGTGGCCGTGAGTCACGAAGAATGGGGAGCCGGCTGGCAACTGGGACGATGCAGTTGTCTGGGTTTCCCGCTATATAGAATCGAGAATGGCATACGAATCGAGGAGGTCAAAACAAATTTTCTCCTCGACGACAGCTCAATGTAGATCTTATCTCCTCCGGCTGGAATTGTTTCTGTTCTCGACGCGACCATCTTCCATTGCACTTCAAGTCTCCTTGCCTTGAAGGAGCCCTCAATGTCTCATAATTTCCGAGTATATCACAACCAGAGAAAGGCAGCGCGCAAGAAGCGCTTACTAGATCCAACCCCTTACAGATCCTCTGCATCCTGGGCAGGAATTTCTGTGTCACAGTGCGTCACCTGAGTTACGCCAAAAAGACCCTGCGAGTTTGTTGTGGTGACGATCTCCTGTCGCCAACACATCTTGCTTCTTCTTCTCTTTTCAACTGTTGAGGGTGGCTGCAACTCTTTTTACTCTCTTTTTGCGTTGTTTTCAAATCCCGAGATCGACACTTGGATGGCATCGGACGTTTATGTTCTAAACGCTGTGCTAGAGGCTTGATCTTGACCCAGATTTGTGAGACGAGTATAGACAAAAAGGGAAAAAAGAGAGTTTATTGAGATTCCCAACCAACAGGCAAAACAAAAGCATTGATATAGGCATTCAGGGTTGCACCTGGAACACATCTCTTATTGCTGCAAGGCGGTGGTTGAGAGCACATCGGAGTCGATCCTGTGGGTATTGCTCAACGGAGCGTTGTCGTTTTCATCATCGTCGCAGGAGTGCAAGGAGACAGAGTTGGGCACACAGTCCGAAGGCTGAGCGCGCTTGTTATTGTCATCGGGGGTCTAACTGCCCCACCTTGAATTTTGCAGCCTGAATCTGCTGGATTTGACCTGGACCCCGACTTTGGATCTTGAGCGAAGGGGGGTTTCCACCGCCCGCAGTCACTGCAGTCACCTGCCGCCATTCCAATACCTGCACCTGTTGGCCGCAAACACGGGAGCATTTCACAGCACTGCACCCTCTGCTATTATTTGCAGCGCCAGTGGTGGGCTTCATTGGGCAGCATTTTGGTTTCCCCCCGTTTCTTGCCTAAGACATTCCACTCGTGATTGTCACCACCGCTGGCGGTTGTCAGTTTGTTGTTCGACTCACCTCACCTCCTCCGCTTCACGCTTCCCTCCCACTGTCAACAAATTTCTTCTCCTATTCAAACCTCAGCCTGGGTCGACAAATCATCCTCGTTACCAAACCGCTGTCCTCCTTACCACATACGTCGGATTCATTGTTGTTGCCACCGGCCTGCTCTACTCGGCTTGTCGCATATGCAACCTCTGTCTCTGCCTCTGGCCGTTTCCTTCTTTCCCCGCGGATCCACCTGTTCGGAACATCGCTTTCGCAACTCGCGAGCGGTCCTCACGCCAGAAGCAAATTTCTCTCAACCACCATTTGATCTGAAGGGCCTCTTTGCTTCACATATACACTGGACCTGGCCATTTGGACGGTTCCTACAGCCTCAAGTCAGCCCTTTTGTTGGTCCGGTTAGCATCCCTTGAAACTAACAAACCTTCCAAGGCTATCTCGTTCAGCCTCCCTCTGGGGTAGGTTGAACGCGGTAATTCCTTGACCTCACTCAGTTTCTAATGGGGTGCGTCGTCTACCTCAATTCTTCTGTCAATGCTGACTCTCCTTTTCCTAGGTCGTCCAGCCGTCATAGCCACACCCACATCGACATTACTCACGTTCGCTCTCCTTCCCGAACCCCCTCTCCAGCCTCTCAAGACGACGAGCTCCACGAAAACGGTGTCCAAGTTTCTCCGGCTGAAATCTCCCCTCAATATTCTGTCATTCAACCAACCCAGAGCCAGAGTGGTTCCTCATCCCTGCCTGGTGACTTCCAGGTGGTCTTTCCCAACGAACTTCCCGAAGGCGATGGCTCAGACTCTGCGTCAAGAGTAGATCCTCGTGAAAGGGCTCAACAATACGATTCGAGATCCAATTCTACACGGCGACAGCCATCTCACCGTCGACAAGCTCTCCGTGAACAAACTCGCAGTCGACCCAGGGAACTACAGGAAACATCCCCGACCGAGAGCGGTGACTCAACCGAGGAGTTTCTTGCCAGGCGGGATTTGGGGTCTGGTATGCCTCGGCCTCAATCCTACTATGGGCACAACGGGTACACCCACAGCAGTTCTTCTGGATCATATGCATATCCCGCTGTGCCACCCTCAAATCAGGTGATTCCTCTTCAACCACAGCCAATGGCCGTGCCTTATCCACCACATTATCCCCACGTGGCGGGAGGTCAACCGATGCCATACGCAGGGTTTTCCGGAGGCTATAGTCATCATGCTCCGTCTCAAGTGAGCTCGCCATATACGTCGTCTCCATATGGGGCGCCTACCATCGTCAACTATGGTGGTCCACCACCTCCAGGGGGCTATTTCACACCACAATATGCCCCTCAATTCGGTGGGCAACAGTATCCACCACAGTACCTGCAATATCCCCAGCAAATGCCTTTACCTTTCGTGGATTACCGCATGCCCATGGCGCCTTCACCACAGCCGGGCTCTGCCAATGCCTCTGCCGACAAACTTGAAGCAGAAAAGAAGACTGATCCGGAAGATATGTTCAAACGCTTTGCGGACCTGATGAAAGAAGAACGCGCTCAAGCCGAATTGAGCAAAGAAGCGCAGGCTGCTGAAAAAGCCAAGATTGAAGCAGAACGGGCCGAACAAGAAAGTCGCATTCGGGAACAAGCTCTTCGTCAAGCAGAGGAAAAGGCTCGACAAGATGCGTTGCGGGCCGAAGAAGAAAAACGAATTCGAGATCAGGCTCTGATCCAGGCGGCTGAGAAAGCCCGGGCTGAAGCCGAAGCCGCAGCCGCACGAGCGGCCGAAGAGCGACGAATTCGAGAGGAGGCAGTATTGGCCGCAGAAGCTAAGGCTCGGGCTGATGCCGCCGCTCTTGCCGAACGCATGGCAGCCGAGCAAAGAATTCGAGAGGAAGCCCGACAAGAAGCGATCCGCGCCTATGAAGAAAAGGTCCGGCAAGCTGCGGAGCAAGCCGCGAGGGAGCAGCAGATCCGCAAGGAGGCGGCCGAAGCAGCGTTGAAAGCAGCTGCTGAAGAGGCTGCCGCCAAAGCAGAAAAAGCAGCCGCAGAGAAAAAGATCGCCGACGAGGCCGCTGCAGCTGCTAAATCCGCAGCGGAAAAGGAAGCCGCCGATGCGGCCGCTGCTGCGCAAGAAGAGGCCAAAAAGGTCAAAGAGGAAGCTGAGGCTAAGCTTAAAGAAGCCGAAGAGGCGGCGGCCAAGGCAAAGGCTGAGGCAGAAGAAGCAGAGAAGAAAGCGGCCGCCGCAGCGCCTCCCGAGAAAAAACCTCCAGTCAGGTTCAAAGACGCGATTGGACGCAACTATAATTTCCCGTGGGAACGATGCTGTCGATGGAGGGTAAGCAACTCGGATCATTTTCCTGAAACGCCGAAACTGACATTTCGTAGGACATGGAAAGTCTGATCAACCAGGCTTTTGCCCATATTGATGGCCTTGCGGAGCACGTTATGAATGGACGCTATGATCTGATTGGGCCTGACAAAGAGATCATCATGCCCGGGTACTGGGAGTCCACCATCGAGCCCGATATGCAGATAACAATGATGTTATGGCCAATTCCTGAGCCCAAGAAGGAGGAGGAGGTTCCGGCGCCTTCTGAAATTGTCGATCCCGATGCGATCTTGAATCTGGACGAAATTCTCAACCCCAAAGAGAAGAAAAAGGGTGTGTCTCCATCTCCCCTGAGGGTCTATTTTCCATATCTCACCCCGAATTCTGCTTTAGGAACCACCAAAAAGAAAAAGCCTGGAGGGCTAGCGTCGTGGATGCTGGGAGGGGCCCCCAGTCGGTCTGGGCGGTCTTTAAAAGGTGAAAAAAAGCCTGATGTAGCCGCTAGATCCCAGCACGGCGCCACTGACCAGAGTGCATGCGCCGTTATGTGAGTGGTCTTCCTGGAGGTTGACGATGTGAGTCGGATAGATTGGCGAATTATGGGTTATTGGGGCTTGAGGAGAAGTGACAAAAAGAGGTGGAAGCTTGGGTGGCCTTGTTCTTTTTTCATCCATTGCAGCACCAGACACCTGGATAACGGTTACGTCTCTCTCTCTCTCGAATCTCCTTCCCCATCTACGAACCAATTGACGGCGATTTACGACATGAACCAAAGGGGAGCCTCTCGCATAGGCTACTTTCAGGAGGCATGGCTTTATCCTCTCGAATCATTCGGGATTGGTTTTTCATGCTTCAAGGGGACGAGATGCAGCGGATGAATCTTTCTCATATGTTGTGACGATTTTACGAACCTGAAAAAAGATGGATTTAGCGGGAGTTTTCGACAACAATGTGGGAATTAGCGATGTTGATGACAAACAAAGCTTGCAACGGGAGTGAGCGTATGTTTCAATGACATTCTTTGGAATGTGAATGTCACTTAATTTCGAGGCCATTGGGATCATATCATGCCCGGGCGTTTGTTGCGGCTTGACTTTGCGAGATACCCACATTCAGGTCAGTGAAATGGTTGGCCAGGCTACGGCTTCCTCGGTAGAACGAGGAGATGTAGCAATGAAATGGATAAAAAGAGGAATTTGTATCAAAATCCATCAAACTTCTCTGAATAGGCCCTTCCCAAATAGTGATTGCCCAACGGTATATTTGTTTTCCTCCACTCGGTTGAGATCTCACTAAGCAGGTCACCTGATCGGCTGGACGCTTCATCCTCAGCAAAAAGATATTTATTCGAATCCCAAGCTAGAGCCTATTCACGGTCACGATCCTGAGCTTTTTCTTTTCGTTTTCATTTTGCTTCTCTCAAGGCTCCGGCTGTTGGGATTCCGAAGTCGCGATCGCAGACCAAACTGAGGCTGAGGGAAGAGTTGGGCTTGCAGCACGCGACCCCGGTTCCAGTCAAGTCAATATCATCTGTCCACTTACCAACCTATGATTACTTGAACACTCCAGAGACATATGCTGCGTCTTGACCTGGAAATGCAGCGCAGATTGCGTTGCATCCGGTAGTTCTGGACGCCATGTCGACCCGAGTCTTGATCCGCGACTATCCTCACCGGACTCTGGCATTAGCAACCGACAAGCACGTCCTTGTCTTTCGACACTCTCACACTCAGCCAGATAATGGCCGGTCATCAAGCTCGACCAGTTTGCCCTTGCCAAATGCGAATCGGTCCGGTGTGACTCCTCGATGCATGGTTGAATTTGGCGAGAAGTCAGCAATCGACCTAACTCATTTCCATTCCGTGACTACTGCTAAGGGCACTTTGGGCCTCATCACTCTCAACAATGATGTCTTTGTTTGTGTCATTACGGGCTCAGAAGAGGTAGCGACAGTGAGGCCGGGTGAGACAGTTCAAAAGATTTATGCTGTGGAATTCTGTAAGAGACTCCTCCTTCTAAGACCAATCTTCCCTCACTGATTTTCAGACTGTCTCAATCGTGTTGATTACGATCACACTCACGGCACCTACCCAAATCCGTATCCTGGTCAAATGTTTTATTCGGATGATGTTGATTATGGTGGAGGCTATGATCAAGTCGACTCAACCGCGGAGCATCCATTCCATGCATTAAGGAAACTTCTCAGCAATGGAAACTTTTACTATAGCGTCGATTTCGACCTAACTCGTCGACTCCAAGACCGGTTCGTTGATTCCTGGTCTGCGAGACGGAAGACTAACAAAAGGCGCAGGGCCGAAGCCGATGCCGCTGTGGACATATCCGGCCTTGATGAAGGTCTTCTCTGGAACTCATACATGATTGATCCTCTCCTCAAATTCCGCAGTAGGCTGGCGGATCATGAGCGGAATGCCTTGGATCACTCTCGCCTCCTCACTTCTGCGATTCGAGGATTTGTTAAAACTCTGACCATTCCTCCATCTACGTCGCCAATCCGGAGTTGTGCTCCGGGCCCACCCACCACTTTGACCGTCATCTCTAGGCTTTCATCTAGACGAGCGGGGACACGCTTCAATTCTCGCGGCATTGATGACGATGGAAATACTGCAAATTTCGTCGAGACGGAAACTGTGTTCTGGTCATCGATTGGCCTGTGTTTCTCTTATACCCAGATCCGTGGGAGCATACCAATTTTCTGGGAAAGTTCGAGCAGTTTGATACCTGGACAACAGAAAATTCAAATCACACGGTCTCCGGAAGCTACCCAGCCCAGTTTTAATAAACATTTTGCGACCTTGGAAAGGACGTATGGAGCCGTGCACATCATCAATCTCCTCAGCGCGTTCAAGCCGGGGGAGGTTGAGCTCACAGAGCGATACCGGTACCACGTGAACAGGAGTCCCCTCCGCCGTCACGAGGAAGGCGAAATGGAAGAACACCACTTACTTCGCGAGACAGAATTCGACTTCCATGAACGCACCAAGGGAGCTAGCGGCTATGAAGGGGCGAAAGCCATCCGGCCATATCTGAAATCGAGCGCAGAATCGTTCGTCTATTTTCTCTCTGAAGAGATTGAAGAGGAAACTGTCATTCACGGCAGGAGGTTGCGTTCAAGGAGACCGATTGTGATCATGCAGCAAAACGGAGTGTTTCGCGTCAATTGTCTGGACTGCCTCGACAGAACGAATCTCGTACAAGGAATTCTCAGTCAAATGGCTCTCGAGCTCTTCTTGTCACATCGGGACGAACGAGGAAATTCCGACTTCTGGATGCGCCATTCAGCCCTTTGGGCGGATAATGGTGATGCGCTGTCCAAAATTTATGCTGGCACAGGAGCCCTGAAGAGCTCCTTTACTCGACACGGCAAGATGAGTCTCGCTGGCGCTATTGCCGATGCCAGGAAGAGTGCCACCCGTCTTTACGTCAATCACTTTGAAGACAAAAATCGACAGAATACGGTTGATCTTTTGTTAGGCCGGCTGGTTGGCCAGAACGGTGTGGATCTATTTGATCCTGTCAATGACTGGGTTGTTGCGGAAGTGGGGAGACGAAGAGCTGAATTTGAAACAAGAGATCAAATCCGGGTTGGCATGGGCACATACAACCTGAACGGCAGGACCTCGGGATCCCAAGAAGATCTAAGCCCTTGGCTGAAGATCCGCGGCGTGGACCTGGATATTGTGGTCGTGGGATTCCAGGAGCTCGTCGAACTGAGCCCACAACAGATCATGAGTACAGACCCGAATCGCCGAATGTTATGGGAGACGACGGTCAGAAATTCACTCAACGGATATTTTGGCAATGAGAAATCCGACGCACCACCTACAAAGGATGACGAATATGTTCTTCTCCGAAGCGGACAACTGGTCGGAGCTGCGCTGATGGTTTTCGTTCGTTCAAGCATTCTCGGCCGAATCAAAAATGTTGAAGGGGCGGTCAAGAAGACTGGTATGAGTGGTATTGCCGGAAACAAAGGTGCTGTTGCCATCCGAATGGATATTGAAAGCACTTCCGTCTGTTTCGTTACGGCACATTTGGCTGCGGGGTTCGCCAACTACGAAGAACGAAATCGCGATTACAATACAATTACCTCTGGACTGAGATTTCAACGAAATCGGAGCATTGAAGACCATGAAATCGTTGTTTGGGCGGGAGACTTCAACTACCGAATTGGCCTGGGTTACGAGAGGGTCAAAGCTCTGATTAACGAGGCAATCATTGGCCCAGAGAAGATCCGGGAAGAAGCTTTGGGAAAGCTCTACGAGAATGATCAGTTGAACATCCAAATGGTGGTGGGAAATTGTTTCAACTACTATCGAGAAGGACGTGTGAAATTTCTTCCCACTTACAAATACGACATCGGCAAGGACGAGTTCGATTCAAGCGACAAACAACGCATACCGGCTTGGACGGATCGAATACTGTGGAAGGTCAATCACCAAAGTAACATTGTGGACGGCAGTGAGGTATTTGGCACTCAAATGAGGCAGCTGGAGTATGACAGTGTCATGAGCATGAGGTTTAGCGACCACAGGCCTGTTTACGCGATATTTGAAATGGGAATTCGGGTAGTGGATGAGGAGAAGAAGGACGCCTTGACGAAGAAACTATACATGAAGAAAGCCAAGGAGATGAAAATCAAAGCAAGCGATTCAACCGAGGATTTTGAGGATATTGGAAGTGACGACGAGGAGACTGAAAGTCTCATGGGATATCAAAGCATCCAAGAAGGTCTGCCCCCGGCAAGCAGCGACAAGAGAAAATGGTGGTTGGATGGCAATAAGGGAGCTCGAAGTACCATCCGACCTCCTAAGGAGGGTATGATGTTGAGGAAAAATCGTCAAGGAAATCCCTGGAAAGAAGGTGGGGAGGACGACTGGGTGGAAGTCGAGAGGCCTCCCATCATGGACAACAATAAACCTGGCAGCGGAGCTCCGAGCAGGAAGCCTGAACCGCCTCCTGCAAGAGGCCGGAGACGGATGGTTCCTCCCGCATGGGAAGGGGACAGAGCCGTGCCATCAACGCAGACGAGGCCCGAAGCTGCCACGGAGATGAAATCCATGCGACGACCAACACCACCGATACCGCGATCTCAAGCTCGTTCGACAAGTGTGACATCATTACCTATCCGCTCTTCGTCAACAGCCACAAAGAAGCAACCACCACCAAAACCAGTGAAGCCATCAACTCTTAGCACTTCGTCACGTCAAGTGGATGTCCCACCAGTCAGCCCTCTTCCTGGCCCGGCCCTCCCACGCCCGGCGAGTATTTCGCGCTGTGATGTCGTAGCATCTCCTGACGATGTACCCCCGCCACTGCCCAAACGTACAGGAACAGCCAGCTCAACTGCTTCCTTCGTCAGTGCGTCCGACTCCGTTGTACCCGCGTCGATCTCCGGTGGTATAGGCAAAGGTCCACCTCCAACGCCGCCTCCGTCACGAGTTTCGCAGCTTCATCAGAGACTGCGTGACGGCAGTGGAGGTAGCGTGTCATCCCAGCCGACCTTATTAAGGCAGACCTTCGATCCTGAAGCCGGACCTCCTTTGCCCCCTAGGACGAATACGAACGGTAATGCCGTATCGAAAACAAATGGAGGGCTGATGGATGAAGATGACAGCGCCAGCAGGGGCGAGCTAGCTAGGTACAAGCCTCTTCTGCCGGATTGAATCTCAGAGTTCTCTCGGTGATCTCGTCGACTACGCACTGGACCAGTGATGATGAAAATTGAGGAAATGGTAAATGATAAAAAAGTAACTCGATTCGGTTACGAAAGTACTTATGACAATTCAGCGTCATGCGGATAGCTATGTAAGATACACCGTGTATCTATCAGCCTTGTCGTCCCCCTTCCTAACGTCCCGGAAGGAAAACCATGCGAATTCAACCTGTGCTTCTCCCGGCTTAATCATATTCATCAGTATGGTCCAGTCCACTCCGCAGCAACTAGCCTCATCTATTCAATAATCCTCAGGGGTTGGTCTCGATCTCGGTCTCGGTCTCTCCTTTCCCTCTCCCTCTCCCCCTCTGCCATGCTTTTTCTCCTCGTTTCCCGAATCTGACTGTCTGAAGAACCACCCACTGCAGTCAACAGCTCGCCAACCCTGTATGGATATCTCTTCCTCCAGTTCCACGACTTCTCTAGCCAAGTCAGGTCATCATCGGAGTCACCGAAGACGCCGAGAGCGTGCGTCCTGAAGGTAGAGAAGAGGATGAGTGCGAGGAGAGATGCTGGTCAGGTGTATCTTGGGTTAAGAAATATGATATGACCAGAACCTAGCGAGGATAGTATGGTCTTGTGCTTTGAGATCAGGAAGGGTGGTGTGGAAGGGAAGATCGTGGAATGAGCAAAACGGGCAGCGTGAGCGAAGAAAATAGTTTGCTCTTCGAAAATATAGAATAGTTCCTGGTCCTTATGCCTGGTCTTCACTTTTCTTCAATTCCCTCAGTTCATACTGGTAAAATGGGTCGTTGAGGCATTAAATATAAATGATGAATCGATGATCAATTTTCTTAAGCGTACCCGAGTTCACATCCTGGTCCCAACTTGAGTAAAGACCCTCACAGGTGGAGCGTGTTGCACCGCGGTGCTCGGGGACCAGGTGCTTTTCAGGCTTCTACTTGAGCCTCGCTTTTCATTTTCGCCGGCATCCGTATGTCCTTTCCATATTTTTCATCCATGTCATGGTCCATCGCCTCTCATTCACCAGGCCGATGAGCTTTTCGACTCTCATCCAGTAATCTGACTTCACGCTCTAAAGATTTGATCTCCCGATTTTTCTGGTCCTTGATGTCTTCCGTCTCAAGCGTCAGCCATGTCCAATAGGCGATCTGGTAGCTGAGGAAGGCGAGCGTCAGCGATTTAAAAAGGGCACGGCCGTACACTTTGTAGAAGTTCACGGGTTGCTCGGGGGAGGTATTGGATGCGGATTTGGGTTGGCGGAGGGGAGGGGTGGTGTTGAGGCTTCGGCTGGTACTGCGGAAGGGAACGGTATAGGTTAAGGGTTGCGTTGGGCGCAGCAGTGTGGATATTCGGAAAGGCTTCATTGTTGTTGTGTTCCTGGAGTTGCCCGGGCTGCGTCAAGTCACATCCCGAAGCCCTCAGTTCATCTGGTGCATAGACAAGAGAAGCTCTACGCAATTTCTGAGAGCGTTGTCACGCACGTGACTGTGATCGGCTCTGGGTGTGATAGTGGTAACCTGATGAACTACTAGCAGCTAGCTATTGCATGGCGAGCCATAAAGGCAGCTGTGCTTTTGCAGATGCTAAGCAACCGAACAGGATTTAGCACCGTGACCAACCTCCTGGGCATTTTATCGGAAGCAATAGCATATGCGGGTCTAATGTACCTACAGACGGCACTATGAGAGGTACTTCGGTAGCAAGATGTGCTTCTACTGGGTACCAACCCTGGGTTTAGGCACCAGCCAGGCACTGACAAGGGGCTTGCCAGGTACCTCCTCCGTACAGTTTTGGAGGGGCTAGTGCTCGAGGAACTGCGGCTGCTCCCTTTCCGGATTCCCTAGCAGGACCTCCTGCAGCTATCATTCCATTTGCTCTTCTCGAGTCAATTGCATGTCCTGGCGCCGCGACTTTATTGAATGTAATTCAGGTCGATGTAACGACTCCCAACTTTTCTTTTCCTGCTCTTCAGGACCATGTAATAACAAATACCTGAGTCACACTGTTACTCATTCCAGCTCTTGCGTTTGCTCCCCCTGGCCGACTTTTTCCTTCTCCTATCAGTCCTTACCCTGTCATATTTTCTCTTCTCTACCCCTCTTCTATCAACCTCCCTGTTGATTCGAAGACCTTCTATGCTCTTATCTTTGTCGACATGGCTTCCGTCAAATCCATTCCCACCGATAAAACTCGGGCATATAGTACATCTTCCTCCTTCAACCTCACTGTCCTCATCTCGGGCTCAGGAACCAACCTCCAAGCCCTTATCGACGCCTGCGGCCAGGCACCTCCGTCCAAAAACAAACCCCCTCCCCGACGTACTCTCCCCCATGCTGAGATCAATCATGTCATATCCAATCGTCGTGAAGCCTATGGACTGGCTCGCGCCCAGGATGCACACATTCCTGTGACATATCATAACCTCATGTCATACAAGAAAAAGCATCCTGACACAGAGGAAGGCATTCGGGCTGCGCGGAGCCATTATGACGCCGATCTAGCCCAGAAAATCCTCACCCATATTCCTTGTCCTGATCTGGTCATTTGCGCAGGCTGGATGCATATCTTGTCTCCGACTTTCATCAATGCTCTCTCCTCGGCCAATGTGCCCATCATAAACCTACATCCCGCATTGCCCGGAAAATTCAATGGCGCAGACGCGATCGGACGTGCATATGAAGCGTTCCAACGCGGAGAGATCTCCAATACGGGCGTCATGGTTCATTATGTCGTGGACGAGGTGGATATGGGTCAACCTGTTTTGGTAAAGGAAGTAGAGATCAAATCAGAAGATACTCAGGAAGACCTCGAAGAAAGGATACATCAAGTCGAGTGGAAACTCATTGTTGAGGCTACAGGCAAAGTCCTGGCGGAGTTGGAGGAGAAGAGACGATCAGAGAGTTGAGTCCTTAACATTTGGACTAAATTCGACGACGGAAATTTGAAGTTGCAAAATTGTGGGGGGGGGAAGAAATATTCCCACAGGGAAGGGGGGAAAAAAAAAAAAAGAAAAAAAGTCAGTACGTTGAATGAGCGCGGTGTTTTTGGATTTTTGGGAACGGCGTGAGGAAGGAGAGTTGGAATTCCAAAAGACTAGCAATGTTCCAGTCTGTTTGCGGTCAAGGATTGGTCTTCTTCGACTTTGAGGATGAAAAGAAGGAAAATAAGAACGAAGCAAAGCAAATGGTAGATGAATGTTACTGAACGGCCGGATTCTGATGAAAGGGAATGGGGTTGATGGGTGAGATGAATTCTCAACGGCCTCGGGGTGGAGATTGGGACGTATCAAGATATATACATAGGCTTTCTTTTGTTTCTCTCCTGCTGGTATTCTGGGTGTGCTTAGTTTACGGATCCCGGTAAGGCTAAGGAAGGCTGAGGAAGGCTGACATTTGGTCAAGGGAAAATTTCGGTATCTTGATGACAATACTTAGCTTCTATTCGATTCCCTTTGTAAAGGAGATGAAATACATGTTCGGACAATTGAATATCCTTTCAACAACGGAGACCCTAGCAACCACAAAGGTGGTCAAAATATGATATAGAACAAGGTGAGACAATTGAACTCCCTGCTTATCTAGCTTCGAGGCCGCGGCTTTTGTCTCTTGTTCCTAACACAGAACTGTTCGGACAGAGTGTGTACTATCCGGTCTCAGTTGCTGTATAAAAATGTCGCTTGTTGCAGATCAACATTTTAGTACCGAGTACGACCCCAGGTAAGGCTGCCTAAGCAGGAGACTCGTTTCATCATGTATTGGAATTTGTTCGTTTTGATTTTCTTTGGCAGTGTCTGCCTATTCGGGACCCTCTCCTCATCTCTACTTTGTAGTCTCTCTTCAGAAGAATCATTCCATCATCACAGTCAACATTGCGGATATCGATTGAAAGCAGTCGTAGCCGCCAGATGTACTTCTTGTGATGGGACCCAATGGCCCCTTCAGAATCCCCAAGACGCAAGCTCAAGGTTCATGTTCGATGGCACCCATTGACCGTCCTGAAACGGCTGGGGCGGAGATTGAACGCAGTTCGCTCCAACAGGACCATTCATATACGTCGATATCACTTGCTTCAAAGCCACCGTCAAATCGTCTCAAGACCCGGAAAGTGCTGATTCCTTCACAACCGTTTTCGAAGCCGAGGCCGCAAATGCAGATGTGTACGATGCCGTTATAGCTGCTACCTTGCCTTAGGTCTTGAAGGGAGCTTATCTGCAACTTCTTCGCCTACGGTCATTCTGGAAGTGGAAAAAAACACACAATCATCGGTTACGGCTACGATCATCATACTTGCTGGCCCCAAACTCCGCGCGACCGGGTCGTCTTCTGTGCATGAGCAAAGTTCCCGCACTCATGGAACTTGAGGCAGTAAGCAAAAGCATTGCTTGACGCGCGTGACGCTGTCATCGAACGGCAATTGGAGCTTGTACCAGTTTGAAAGCGAGCCACCGGCATCTACCTGGAAGAAATGGCCAAGTCCTTGGATCAAAACTTCTGACGGCAAATATATCCCAAATCCAGATTGTCCGCCCAACTAGGTACGCATTGACGAAGCAGAGGGAAAGAAAAAAGAGTCTGAAGCATACCTGACAAGGGCAGAGGAGGTCGTTGCCCAAGTGTTTGTATCTAGCCCATATCCGTATCTAGGGGGAAAGTTCGTCTTCGTGGATTTGGCCGGATTTGAATACTTTGATCGAGCAACAGGATCCGTTGCGATGAAAGCTCAACAAACTCCACAAGAACGACCGAAGGCTAGACAGATCAATTCGGATCTATTTCCCGTGGAAGAGGTCATTCGTGCCCGTGCACTAGACCAGACACGAATCCTCTTCCCGTCTGCCCTCTCACCATGGCATTGGGTAAGCATTTGCTGGACGCTGAAGACAGCTCTTCCGACATGATTCTCACGGTTTCTCCTTCATCTGATCAACGCTCGGCCACTAACGAGTACACTGAAACATGGGAACCTGGTGGATGTTGCAAGGAGGGGATTCGCCTATTGCGGTGAAATAACACCGATGAAGAATGGAATGCATGTTTCTTTGGATGGATTTTAAATTTAATGAATATACCGGATCCCCGATAACTGAATATCCGCCCGCCCAGGACTGTGTTACTGTAAGCAACGCCCCCTCATGTTAGGAGCTATCCGAAGACATACGTTTGCTTCTAACCCTCTGTGGCTCACCGGAGTCCGAATACGTGGGCCTCTGCGAACTCTAGGCTGAAAGAGAATACATAACCTAGAGATGGCTCCTCTTCCGGTACGACCTCTACAAAACCACAGGTCATCATCATGAGCGACCAAGTATATCTGGTGTCTCCTAAGAAGGCTCCTGAGCTGCACATTCCAGCCTCATCATCCTGCGTAGATGTCCGCCTTATCGACACCACTACATATGGAAAGGTTCCAGCTTCACTTGTCTTCACTCCTGCTCTACCAGGCTATGATATGTTCACCTTCCCATCTTATTCATTCCTCATCAGCAACAGCAACAGTAATAAACATGTCTTGTTTGACTTGGGCATGCGAAAAGATTGGGAAACCGCCCTTCCTCCCAAGACCGTCGGTTTCGTAAAGCAATACATGCCATTTACCATTGAGGCAAATCTCCACGAGACCCTCGACGAAGATGCAGGACATCTAGGGATCACATCTCAATCAATTTCTACTGTGATTTGGTCCCATCACCATTTTGACCATCGAGGTGACATAACGGCATTCCCTTCAACGACAGAGCTGGTCGTCGGCCCGGGCTTCACCAATGAATACGTTCCAGCATATCCCACCAATCCAGAAAGCAGTATTCTCGAGACCGAGCTTCAAGGACGCCCAATACGCGAACTGGACGATGCTTCATTCACTCTCAAGATTGGTCAATTGCCCGCTCACGACTTATTTGGCGACGGGTCGTTCTATATTCTATCAGCACCGGGACATACCATTGGCCATCTTTGCGCGTTAGCTCGTGTGTCGAATACACCCATTCCCTCGTTCGTATTCATAGGAGGGGACTGTGCCCATTACCCGGGCATCTTCAGACCGACAGAATACCTCCCACTCCCCAAAGAGGTACCAGCCGCGCCCGGATCACGTTTTGGAGTCGCCCCTTGTCCTGGAATGTGGATTCAAGAATACGTACATCCGAAGAAAAGTGCCACCGAGCCTTTCTTGGGACCGAACGCAGGAGTGAATGAACACCCAGAGCAAGCCGACCATAGTGTCTCGGCCATGGAAGAATTTGACGCCAATGAAGATATCCTAGTGTGTATTGCCCATGACCCGGCGCTGCTTGGGAACGTGGACTTCTATCCCAAGAAATTGAACGATTGGAAGAAACAGGAGAAGAAAGAAGCGGTCAAGTGGAGCTTTTGCGGTGATTTTGATGTCAGGGCCGCAAAGAAGTCTGCTGCTATCGGCAGTTGAATTTTTGAAATTCATCCATGGTCAGAACCTCGCATACTTCTTTCTTTGTTCTTCAATTCAGCCGTGTCTCTTACAACTTGCTGATTGGAATGACCTGTGCAATATTCGTCATCAAAATCTTGCCTGTATTTTCCCCAAACAACGCCATCATCGCTCCATCAACCATCTTCTGTGCAGCCAACAAGCTATCCGGCGGGGTATAGGGAAAATCGGTCCCGAATAATATCCGTTCTTTGTTCGGCACCACTCCCAACAACCCTCCAATTTGATCAGGAAACGGCATGCCCGCCAGATCAAAGAAACACTGTCTGTTGAGAATGGCTTTAACTTCGGGGATGGACACTGCGACCACGCTCGAGCCAGGGAATCGCGCCATCAAAGTTGAGAATGTTGCGAAGCGCGCAATCAGAGGCGGTATCACGGCCCCGGCGTGTGGGATGATCACTTTCACATTGGAGCATCGTTGAAGTGTGCCGGAGAGAATCAACGATACCATTGCCCTGGTCGTCTCGAAAGGGAATTCCAGCATAGGGTTTGGAAAGCCAGGGATAGGACTGTGTTCGAGAATTGCTGGAGTGGGTCTTGCGGACGGTGGCTTTGAGCTTTCTGCGTGGCCATGCCCATCGCAAAGATGGCACGAGGTCGGATGCAACAAGACAATGGCGTTTCTTTCATTCAATTTGTCCCAGACCGACTTGAATTTCTTGTCTCCAGGATACACGCCGGCCGAGTTAGACATGATTGTAAATCCCACGGCACCGATTTGGTCCAATGCTCGATCGATTTCTGCCACGGACTCGTCAAGCCCGGGAAGAGGTAGTGAGGCAAAGAATTTAAATCGATCAGGATGTTGTTGGCAGATAGCTGCGAGTTCGTCATTGGTCTCGGTGGTGATTTTGATGTTGAGATCCGTGTCGTTGGGAACTAGGTATGTACCTGGGGAAGTAATGCTGAGAATAGATTTGCTGATGTTCATCTTATTCATGAATTCTATATGTGATTCGGCAGTCCATGGCTGTGGGCTTCCCGGTCAGCTTCCTGTTTGACAAGTTTCTGCCAGAAACAATTTGTGATTGTTTGAGATATATATACCGGAATAAATGGCATTCCATCTGGACGACCATAACCGTGTTCCATGCAGTATTTCCTCCATCCTGAAGGGATGGCATGGGCATGAACGTCAATTCTCTCCATTTTTGAATACCGTGGGACGTATTTCAGACGTTGGGCAAAGTCGGAGTCCTAAGCACCTTATATATATAATGCCATCGCAAGGACTCCCACATTCGATCTCGTCGCAGGCGACATCCCAGCCTCGTCTCGCGGGATATCGCGGGAGAGCGGGGATTGTTCCCGCATTTCTATGCGATATCCATTTTACCCGCCAAGACTAAAAGCTCAACTGCGCCGCCTTTGGGCTTATTGTGATGAACATCATGTCAGAAAAGGGAATTTTATCCTCATCGACGACTTCGACAGGGCTTTTGTCTCCTGTCCAACTTTCCAGTTCCCTGTCCGGATTTTCTCCAGCATCCCACCTCCCGAACCTCCTCACCGATACTCTCTCCTGGAATAATAGATCTATTTGTTCCAGGGATTTCCCTTTGCATTCGGGGATGCAGAAGTAAGCAAACATCAACGCGAGAATGGAGACCGATCCGAAAAGAAAATGCCGAGCTTTCGAGATTCAGAGATGGTCTCGCCCACCCCCAGTGCTGCCATGGCGAACAAGGCAGCAATTCTGTCCAATGGTACCGGTTATGATCAGAGGTCTATAATTTCTTCATCAGTGATGCCTCTCGAACGATGCAACATACAGTGGGGCCTTACCTTCTCCCAATGCGATCTGCAAGATGAATACAGACCATGATCATCACCAAGTTGCACGCGGCATTGATGGCAGTCATATTGAACGGATTCACCGTCCCCAAAGATTTGATAAAGATGGCGCCATAATGTTGAGCAATGCCTGGCCTGTTGCTTGATGGAAAAAGTTGGCGCCGACCGAGATCATGGTGCGTTTAAGATTGACGCCCTGCCAGAGTTCCACAAAGCGCCCTTTCTCTTGTCCCAGCTCCAGGCCGACTTTGAGGGTGTTCGATTCGTGGGAAATTTCCTCCTCGTTCAATACTCCTTTTTCTCAACTGGGCTAGATTTTTGTGGGCGACGTCCGGTCGGCCGCGCATCAGGAGCCATCGAGGAGACTATGGTAAGATCAAGATTAGCTTCTCAGGTAGAGGGAAGAATGGAGAAGGGAGGGACCAAGGGGTTTTCTGACTTCTGGAATAAACCAAATCCCACTCATAATAACCACATGGATGCGAGAAAGTCCGATTTCAACTCTTACCGAATGAAAACTTTGACTTACGATCAAACTGAACTGGTAGGTCCCAACAATGAATCCTCGGACCTGGGCCGGAGCGAATTCAGATTGAAAAATGGGCATAACCGAAAGTTCCATGCCAATGTACACATCTGGCAAACGAATGAGTTACAATCCTGTGAGAGACTCTGTGAATCACTCACAATTGAGGATTCGTGCACATAGAATCTGTTCTTTCGTCTTCGAGGTAATGGCAATCGTGGCTGTGACCAATGCATAACAGCTCATGGTGAACATGCATATGCGTCTCCCGAATCGAGCACTAATGGCACTTCCGAGAAAGATGCCTGCGCCCAGGAAAAAATGGTCAGGCACAGCTTTCGCAATGACAAATATTTCATATCTTTGAGGAAACGGAAACGGAAGCGGAATCGGGAGTTTTACCAACAACATATCCCGCCAACATGATACTATTGAACAACGACAACCAGTATGTTTCCAGATAATATTTTCCGGTCATCGGATTGAACACGCCGAATTGCTTTGCAAACGGCTCCATGGCCTGCGTGGTCGAATACCCTTGCCATAGTTGAATATCGATATCATGATCAGGAGGCAGCTGAGTGCTAGCCTGATGTTAAAGTGCCTTCGAACAGAGTAGAAGAGCATTGTGTCTTTGTTCCCAGATGACCCGGAGAAGATATTGAGAATTGAATTGCCACCGCAACAACGAATATGAATCGATCGAAATTTTTGACTGCCTATCTGCCTATTTGGCTGTACCGGCTCTCCTTATAACAACCCAAATTCAAACTTTCTCGTCCGTGAGTGCGCCCAATATCATGCGGTCATCGAAAGGACGGGCAAGAGACGGCTATCGACTCTGGGGCCCCGCCATATTCCAATCCCTTTGCATACCCTGACATTTTCCTAAGAGGTACGAATTGGCGCCCCATTTTTGGGGGGTCGAGCATACAGTATTTTAGTGGGGTTTGACGGCTTGACTGTGGGGCTTTAGCGTCCCGCACAAGCACCCATAAATGTTGACGAGGCTGGGAATTTTCCTGTGTCCCGCAAAAATTTTCGCGGCAGACTTGGAGATAAGTTGTGTCAATGTATTGTGTGGGGTCATTCCCTTGTCATTTCTACTTTCGTCTCAAAAGGTATAATTCAGATATCGACATCTTCGCCTTCCACCCATTTCTTGCACTGCCAGTAGAGAAGATCGTGTTTCTCTCCACAGGCCTTACTTCCTCCTTCAACGCCGCTCTCACGTCGATGTCCAGGCATATCGCGGAGGACCTTGACACCCATAGTCTTCTCCTGACAATAAGCTAGATACCGGTATCCGCTGGGAAATTCATTCAACTTGGCTTCATCCAGGGCGGGCGCCTTGGTCGGATTTACGGGGATCAGTTTATCCTAATCAGACTCGCTTATTATCCCGGACGAGGCCTTTGATCTGGCTCGACAACGGAGACAAGATAGAGAAGATCTAGGTCTTACCTTCTCATACCAATGCCTCACATACCTTGCGCGCCACTCACCGGACTCGGGCATTTTCATCCAGAAAAAGCAGAAGCGACAATCACTCTCGGCGTCGACCTCACATCCATCAATGCTGAAGCGCTGCGTGATAGTGGCCTTCATCTTGGTGACGGCCCGTGTAGCTTCGGCGTTGATGTCTGTGCTGATCCCATGGCAGCGGTGCATAATGAAAGCGCCTTTGTCCATGCCTGCCTGCGACGCGGCGATGAAGTCTAAATGATGCGTTCGCCCGGTCCAGGTCGTGTAGATATAAGCGTCTGGGTGGAAGATAGATTTCAGGTTTTTCCATTCGCATGCATCTCTGTAGAATTGCTGATTAGCGACAGAAAAATATTACGAGGAGACTTTGTCAAGACACAGACCGATAAAGGGGCCAGCCCTCTGCTAACTCTCGTAACTTGTATCGTTCTAGGGCGAGATTGTCGGGCCCGTTGTTCCGATGTGCTTGTTCGGGCCTGGAGCCGGCAGGGAGGGAATGGAGGTCAACCATGTTGCAATCTTGGATAGGATGCTATTATTCTGCTCCTGCTTGTAATGAATATCCCGAATCTGAATCTGCACCTGGCCTTGCCACTGAAGCTGTGGGAAATATTAACGGTTACAATTTGTTGGCGTGTCAGTCGCGCAATCTCCGAGGATCGGATGTTGGATTCGGCAGAAAATGAATTTGACCTCCTGGTCCTAACGCTCCACGTTAGAGAGTCTTATTCAGGCCTAGTGTAATATGGCATTTCAGGTTTGCTGTGGGAGTTTCCGCCCAACAGACCTGTGTGACCAGAATACTCTCATTTGCAATCAAGCATTTCCAAAGTCGAATGCAGACTTACGCATTGGGCAAAACATATACAAAGATCGATAAAGAGGATCTCAGAGCGCCTGGCTTCGACTTGCCTTTCTGGAACGATTCCTCTCATGCCTGTCAATTTTCATGATCTCTCCGGGATCTCCGAGTGGTGTCGCGGGCGACATGTTTTGGCAGCGGATTTACCGGGCAGCATGGAACGAATATTTTACTATGACCACGTAAACTTAGCCATGTTTTCCTGACAATTCTAGTAAGAGTGGTCAGAGCTAGGGTAAGGTACGTTGAGGATGGATCCATGGTCTGTCATTATTCTTTTGTCTTCGAGTTTGAATTGATGAAGACAGCTAGCGGGCCTGTTTGGATCCCCTTTGAACGGTCTACAATTTTTCATGCTTGCCCGGTAAGCCCGTTGGCAGTCCGGACATCTCGGGCACTGGCCATGGGACCCTACTGGCTATCCCAACGGTTCAGGTGCTTCAAGTTGACTCTCAGGCCTGTTCCGCGCGAGACACAGGGCTATCTTGTGTTGGACCACCTGCTTCCTTGAAGAGCTTGCACCTTGTCGGGTTATTCGACACATTTCAGGCGATATCATCGGTCAAAGGTACTGAAAAAGGAGTTGTCGAGCCAGTTCGGACAAACGAACCAGCCGCTCAGTCCAGTCAGAGACGTGCGGACAGCGAACTGGAACAGCTCTCGGTAGTGTCGAACAAAGTCTATACGAGTTCTTTCCTGCCATAAATTCCCATAGCTTCTTCAGTCTCATCGTTCCCATTTCCAAAAATACAATCGAGCTGGTCACTTCCCTACCACTGGTCAGATGATCGAGCATCTAGGCTTTGCCACGACCCTATGTTCTGAATGACAGGACCAAACTTGTGCTGGCGCCGCGGAGCAGGGCACTGACACCAATTTCTCCGTAAACCCCGGCTCGACAGTGCGAATACTCCGCAATTATGAGAGGAGATTGGTGTACCAGCGGTGACCCGCATCAATGAACATGATCAGGAGGTCCTGACATATATATCTTGCGCCCTTGTTTATATCGACGCAGAATATCTTTCACTTCGATTTTCCCTTCTCTGCCAGCCGTCAAGATGGGTGATCATTCCCGAAATTTGTTCAGTACCTGGGTTGCGCTGTTCTTGTCCCTAGGCTCAATTGCATGTGCTTACGCAACAGTCATCACAGCAACCACTCTTGCCCAGCCGTCATTCATGTATGCATCTCAGTTTGCACGGACTTCCCAACGGGGCGGACTGACCTCTTTTGCTAGTGGTTACATGAGTCTCGATACGGCTCCCAACGCCACTCAACTTATTGGCGCTGTCAATGGAGTGTACATCGCTGGCGCCTTGATTGGATCTCTTCTATCATCACAGACTTCTGATGCCTTGGGTCGTCGAAAGTCGGTGTTTCTCTCGGCTGCCTTGGCTGTTCTGGGCGGCGCTCTACAAGCTGGATCTATCCACATTGGCATGTTCATCGTTGCTCGGCTGCTGGCAGGCCTCGGCATTGGTTAGTGACCCGTTGCCATTGATTTACCGTCCAGAGAATAGGACTGAAGCTATACAGGATCATTATTTGCCGCAGTTCCTCTCTACCAGAGTGAGGTGTCTCCACCCAAAGTTCGTGGGCTGATCGTCGGCCTCCATGGCATTTTCATCTCTTTGGGCACTATCTTGAGTAAGTAAGTCCTATTCCGACACCACGAGACGATATAGGCGGGGATTGACGGAATCATACAGTTGGATAGGCTTTGGCTTCTACTTCGTGAATGCTAGCGGATCGCAGTGGCGAGTTCCTCTAGCCCTTCAGTGTGTGCCAACGTTGGTCCTCGCCACTGGCGTTTGGTTCGTGCCTGAATCTCCTCGTTGGTGTGCGTATATCGCCATAGGATCGTAATACGTGATCAAGTCTAATTCACGTCGCCAGTGATCAATCAAGATCGACACGATGACGCGTTGCGGGTCCTGACGAGACTTCACCACGGTAAGAACGGCTCGGACAACACTTTCGCCCACAGAGAGTATCTCCAAATCAGGGAGCAGCACGACGAAGACGAGAGAAACAAAGTCACATGGGCACAAATGTGGACCGTCCCATCCTACCGTCGACGGACCGTAGTCGGATTCTTCATTATGTTTGCCAGTCAAATGACCGCCACCTTGATTGTTTCCAGTACGTCCTACGAGACTGTACCTCTCTGATACTATGCTAACGATGAGTCGTTTACAACCCTGTCCTCTATGCGGGTCTCGGCTACGGCACTGTTAAGCAGCTCCTTTTCACCGGGATCTGGGCCAACATCACAGTTATTGGCAATACTATCAATGCGCTTACGGTTGATCGGATGGGAAGAGTTCTTGCCTTGAAGATCGGCTGGATTGGAGACGTCTGCGCGATGATCGGCGTGGTCGTTTCGCTTGCGAAGTTTGAAGAGACGGGGTCTCGTGCTTCCGCCATCGCGGCTATCGTCTTTCTATACCTCCACATTGCCATGTATGCCGGCTTTGTGGACGTTACCACCTAGTGAGTTGCTGAGATGAGCGCGTTCGTGGAGCCATGAGCTAACAGAGGCGACAGTGTCTATGCTTCCGAGATTTTTCCAAACAATGTCCGCGGAAAGGGAATGTCTATATCAGTTGCTGCATATTTTGTTGCGCTGGTCATTGAACTGGACAGTGCACCAACTGCATTGGCACACATCGGTTGGAGGTGAGAATCCCATGCAGATTTACGTTTGAAATACTGGAGCTGACAGATCTGCGAGACTGATCCTCATCTACCTTTGCTGTCTCGCTGTATGTGTCCCCTTCTTATGGTTCTTCTGCCCGGAGACCAAGGGCAAATCTCTCGAGGAAATTGGCGTCATCTTTGGCGACAGGCACATCCATGTCCCCTTGGGAGGCGCAAAACCCCTGGAAGAGACTGTGCAGATCAGTGAGAAGCAAGCACTCCCTCACGTCGGACAAGAATACGAACACGTCGAAGGCTGATGTCACCAAATTACCGAGGACCAATCTGTGCCAACTTCGTGAACGTGGAAACAAATCTTCACTATGGATGTAGTGAAAAGTGGCATTGATTTGCGACCGAGCTACAAGGTATTGGGTTGCCTTGTGGTTCTTGCAAGCTTGGTGTCGTCTATAATGGTTCTCACAGAGGTTCAAGATGCCACACTCTTACAGTATCTCCCTAGATAGTGCGAAAATGATCTGTTTTTGGAACTTCCCAACTAGATTACAGTGGTGAGATGTCGTCGACACGCCAAAAGCACTTTGGTAGCCTTTGTCAACATTTGCTTCGGAGAAGTAGCCTCTTCGTGAGCACATATCTAGTAATGACCCTGACGACTAGGACACTTTTTGCGCCATGGTTTCACTTCACGCCACGCTCGAGTCTGCTCTTCTCACCTTGGATTCCAGCATGTCAGCATATTGTAAAGGTGATGAACGGCTTAACACCTGAAGCACCCCGTTACAATATTATGCAAACTAGCTCAATATGGCCATGATCATTGACCATCTAACTACTGGCCTATTCACCGGCGTGGGACCCTTTCCAATCTCCAAAAAAATACCATAGTGTTGTCCATGGTCAATTTCTCAAATCTGACACTGGATTCGATGGTTGCGCCAGCGTTGCGCGGCATGAGAATGACATTGTCAACTTGATCAGTTTTGGATATACTTCTGGCCTTCAAAAGGTACGCAACATATCATAGTTTGAAGCGCCTAGAAGGCCCTCCATCGTGTCGAAATAGGTTGCGTGGGAGGACTCAACGCCGCGCCCGGAATTTTTCTTTCGGAAGTGTACATTCTGGACTTTCACGATAAACGGAAACTTGACGAGTCCGATTGAAGATCTGAACTTCCTCATCAAGAATCTGGAGAAAGTCCCCTCAACGCCTTGACAAGCCACATCTTATGAATGACGACCCACCTGTCAAACTTGGGGTTGCAAATGAGATGTATTGAATGCTCTGTCTCTCTGGCAACCGGTCCTGCCAGATCACCAGAATAAATGCGTGCTTGGTTGACCCCTTTTCTACTCCTATTCCTCCCCTATATCTTCAATAGGAATGATAACCCTTTTTCCAATAACGGGGCACTGGCTACTGTTCAACAGCTACCCTCTCCGGAAATGTTGGGGGGAGCAAGACGCGTTAGCTGACCTCAGGATTGATCCTAATGCTTCCATCCAGCACGACTTGCTGAGCGGGTATCCATTTTGGAACTTATGCTTGAAGACGTGGATTGTCGTGTTTAATCCACTCGTCAAAGTGTCACCACTACCCTTTACAGAATAAGAACAATATCAAGCACACCTAAGGCTAAACAGTAAGATTCAGAAGATTGCCAGTATCAACGAGTATTCGAGCAAGCCTTTTGTCTATGATCCTGACTCCTCCATAATTCCATTTCCAGCAACTGGTCAGTCGCGAGACGAAAGCATCCATGCACGCAGGTTTCAAGCCGAAGTATCTGTAGTGTTGATGGCAGCAATGGGTTGGCCATCGAGTCGGCCGCCGCTCAAAATCTCGAATACCTGGACCTTTGCATTGCCCGTGCCGGAATTCGTATTGCCCACCCACTCGGCCACGAACATGCCGTAATTGATCCAACTGAGGTTCGCAATGACGGTTTCGAAGCGTCTGAAATGTTGATACGTCAGCTCTCATGTCCACCATGCCTCACCCGGTTGTGTTGTTTGCGTCTTTTCACGAATGCCACGGATGCAGGGGTATATATGATTTTTCAAAGGGGCGACAAGGGTCTTCACGTACGCGTATGCGAACCCATGAAGGCCTCCATTTGCATACATAGCAGTTCCACTCATCTTCAGGAGGACGTTTTCGTCATCTTCAGTTGCAAGAAGGATCTCGTTGATATATTCCTAGACATCGTCAGCACTGACATCTGGAGTCATGCCCCAAGTCGCCGGCAACTTACACTATATACGCCCGGACCTGTGTCAGCGGGGTAAAACCTCTCAACAGAAGCCGTGGTGTTCTCAACAATGTGGCCGTTGAAACGTCCTGTGATGGTGCCGGCTGCATTTGGAGTTACTGCAATGAGGCCGTTAGGGGCAGTGGTGTTGACAGGCCAGCCGACAAAGAAGTCGATATCGATAAAGGGCCTGGCCACCGGCGGGTGAAATGTGCTTGTACCTTGCGCCGCTATGGTGCCGGCGACGACACTGACAAAGGCCAGAATGGGTAGCATCTTGATGATCAGAAGTGGTATTTCCAGGGAAAGGTAGTTTCTCAGTCAACTTTGTTGATGGTCGGAGACACGACCAAGGGAGACTCACGAAAGATATATATATAGACATTAGTCGAGCACTTTGAAGTAGCCAGTTGCCCAGACTCAACGACGATCATCTTGATGTATCACCACTAACGCGCATTCACCAGGCCTGTAAACCAAGTTTGAACGATCGTGACCCCGGATCCATTGAACAGAACGAAAGAGGCTCAGCCGCTGCCGCCTCGCTGTCTTGGGATGAACTCCATCACCGTTCTGCAAGGGGCAATCGAGTAGGTAGCAAATGGGGAACTTGTATGAGCTTTCAATACTACGGTATTTCCTCTGCGTAATCAGTAAAATTCAGATCGCTGTCTCATCTCCGAGGCTGCGTCTGAGGTCTTGTCCAATCGAGCAGTCGTGTCGACGATCTGCGACATGAATCCGATCCCTGTGAAGTCATCAGCTTTTCTGAATGCATATATGGCGCCGCTTTTGACGATGTTTTAGGGGGGCATTTAATGGTGATTACGCTGCGCTAACCCTCCGAGTGCAAGATCTAGTATCCTCGGCCCCGGCCCGGTAGGTGGACCATGATCAGCCATGCAAAATGAAGCTGATCCATTCCTGATGAGGCTCTTTGATTACTTGCCAAGGTTCAAGGGACGTCATCGACCCCATTGCGCCACTCGTACTCCATGTGAACTTCTTTACTAACCATACTCGTATATCCTACCTACCTACAGATTTAGCACCGGATTCAATTTCTCGAGGTACATTAATATATCACCATCGGCGCTCTTTGAGGTGTCTGCCACCTTCTTTTCTGACTATTTCGCGTTGGTTTGGCATGTCTGCAATATGCTTCTGCACCTGATAAAGTGCCGCCAGACGTCCTAAGATCCTTACTGGCATCTCTCTTAGGCCTCTTATTTTGCATACTCTCCTTCCTGATATTCCAAGCAGCCTCAGAAACGTTTAAATCGGACAAGTGAGGAGGATGAACAAGATTCCTAACCGAAAAAGTATCTCGTCCGCCATGTGCGACGGCCTTTTGTCCTGGTGCCGTGGGAGGAATCGCCCATCCTTCATCAGGAGGAATTTATGACCGTGAACACCGTAAATGAGGTAAACTATATTCCGAACAGTTGGCAATCGATTCATTCAACTTTGTGCCCAGAACTCGGCCTCGAAAGCTTTGAGGCCACCGGACCCCATATTCCCTCCGAATAACGTCGGTCTTTGCCATTGATATACGTCAGTGGATATGTCTGGATATGTATTTGCGTCTGTTCATATCCAACCATCTCGAAGGGGACGCCCTAACTCTGCCGTTTACCAATCCGACTTGTCTCTTGCCTCTTCTTCATGACTCTCTTGGACCACTGGTCTCTCCACAACCAGTGAAAGTCCATACGCGCGGATTTTCCGCGCAATCCTTTCACAGTGCGTGAAATACTTTGCCACTGATTTATTGTTCTGATTTACTTGATGCTTCAACTCACAAGAGAGATGTGATTCATATGTCTCATCCTCCCTGGTTGACCGATCGCTTTCTCTCTCAAGCATCGACCAGGCAATCTCCAGTGGCCAGATGGGCATTGAACGTCCAATGATACCTTTGTCGTCCTGCAAAAAGAAAGGCAGTAATTCCAAAATGCCGCCGGCGATGCCCAGCAGCTGGGTGCGTAGGGATATGGCTTCGGCTAAGTGCCTAGAGATTGAAGGGGGCCGCTCATCCCCACGACTATCGAGGGCAGCGGCAGCATCGATCCACGTCTCAAGAGCGCGCAGGTCAAAAGACAGGCTAAAAAGGTAGCATATGGCGTAGTCATAATGGATCGCACGGGCCACGTCGACATGATGGGCAGAATCGGAAGGAGTTCGCGGGCTAGAAAATGTGAAGAATGCTCGGCGGCAAGCTGGGCTCCTCGAGCTGATATCTGACCTTTGCAATGATCGAGTTCCACCTGTAAAGGGAGGATCTGATCAGCAAGGTCAAGTAGCGCACCGATGATTCCACCTGAGCTTGCGACACCTGATGGAGATTTGGTCATTCTCCCACTTCGTTCCATGCTTCTCAGGCGATTGGCGGTCGAAAGTCGACGTTCCAAAAGGCAAAACTGGATCTCCAGAGTGCGGTACTCCTCTAGCAGACAGTGACCTAGAAGTCTGGGGAATTGTGGGAGACCATATAGATGCTCAATGAGGAAGCCGATTCCTAACACGTGCCTTAACATGTCAGGCATCGATCCGTTCACGAGTAGTTCGTATACTGTAGCGGCATGGCAGGATAGGAAGAGATTGAGCATTCTTCCCTCCTTGACGTGCTGATCTCTCTTGATAATGGCAGCTAATTCCCCTCTTATCTTGGTCAGACTCCTCAAATATAGCTGACGTGCGTAAAGGGCATTGTCGACGCCGTCCCGTTCCAGCCCAATTATCGCCAATACAATAGAGTGAAGAATGTCGTTGAGGGCTCCCGAGTCAGGTTCGCGCGCTTGCTTCACAGCTGTAGTGATCCACAGAGCGCAAGGGGTGCGAAGGGCATCGACATCATCCGTTTCTGGTAGTGAAACTTGTGTGGGCAGGAAGCGTTCTGGAAACGTGGCAAGAAGCGCCGACGTATAAGCTCTAGCTGGATTCGACAACCTTGGTGTTGCGAATACGTCTCCATGAGTGAGGGTTGTCTTGCCTGCAACATGAGCTCGGACTGGGACAGTAAGTAACCTTGTCCCCGGTAAAGCAGCCCGCGAGTTTGATGACGACTGGCGGATTGATGTCTGATGCTGATATGTATTTTGCCACCTGGTGTTTGGTACCCATCGTAAGTCACCTTCGTCAACTTTCTTTCCGGTCTTTTTGCGCTTTCGATATGCTTGAACATTGAGTCGGACCTTCTCGCGTCAGATAGCCGCCTTCTCTTCCGCCCCGCCGTTACCCGGTGGCTTACCGCGCGGCATTGCCGTTGATCAGCAGAAATGATTGATGCCAGTAAAGCGTGTTGTGGTAGTTTATAGGCTTCGGCTGCAAGCGAAATGGGAATCCGCATTTGATGCCTGTATTGTCGCACTACGTTGAAGCAGTTTCGACGATTCGACAGTGCATGGCGGATAATGAAGTCTTGTGCGGAATCAGAGCGAGGCCATTGCCCAGAGTGCCCAAGCGGCCAAGCAGTTGAGATGGGTAGCAAAAAAGCGGAGATGCGAAGCGGTTTGAGGTGGCATTTCTCGTCTTCAAGCTTACCATTCATGTCCTTCAGGACCACCGTTAGACTTCCGTTCATCGTGTTCTCTCAATCTTTATGAAAGACAGCATTGTAGGACTTCTCAGCGACAACGCTATCTCACGTGCGAATATTCGCGAATTGAGATGTGTGCGGTATCTCATACTTGCATTCTGACCTTCAAAAGGTCATCTCTGATGATGGCCTCTTTCCTCCCTAAAAATTCCTCCATATCCCATCTGGAATCCACATACCTACAGGCAAGCCATTCTCTACGCTCCTTGGTTAAAAAGACGATCGTATCGGCCACCATTTGTGGAGTGTCCGTCAACCGATCATGATATTGTGAGGGGAAATCGGGTGCCATGTCTGTCATGACTCCTCCTGGCGCAACAGCATAGGCAAGAAGTCCTTGAGAACCATATTCCGCCATCAGATAGTTATTGATCTTCAACACCGCCAACTTCGTGGTCTCGTATGCCGAACCACCGGGAAGAGTGAAATGAGCCGAAACACTTGAGAGCACGATAATAGTCTTCTCCCGGCCATTCAGAAGGAGTGGCAAGAAACCCCTTGCTATAAGGTAGGGTCCTTTGACATTCACTTCCCAGCAGCGCCACCATTTAACAGGGTCGGAAGCGCCAATCGGTGTGTAAGCCGCCATCCAGCCCGCGTTATTGATCACGATGTCTAAGCGGTCGAACTCGGACTGAACGATCTTGACGGCCTTCGCCACCGAGCTTTCGTCAGTCACGTCCACCACTAGAGATATGAGCTTAGGCTCGGAGCGTCCAGCTGTTTTGGCGGCTTCTAACAAGTCTCTTTCCACGGGAGTCGAGTCCAACAGGTCCAGGATGGCAATCCCAGATGCTCCTGCTTTGGCGTATGATATCGCCATTGCTCGACCAAGGCCCCTGGCAGCGCCTGTGATCAGAACATACTTGCCCCTGAGGTTGGATTTTAACGGATCGATTGCCGCATAGGTGTCATTGCGCTGTGTTGGGACGAACCCATATCCTGAGAAACGGTCAGTAGCCTTATTAAGCGAGCAGCCACGGTATCAAATACCAGTACTTGGGTCCATCTCTACGTTTTGGATGGCGTTTCGTCGTGGCAATGGTAAAGGGGGCCCATGTCGTACTAATATTGGCAAGGCATGGAGACAAAAACCCTCAGTATATAGTGCAAGCCACTTCACCCCCCCCACTATCACCGATATTTGGTTCCCATTGTCCCGTTAATTCCGGCGCCATATGATTTCCCCACGGGGAAGTTGAACCGCCGACTATTAGAAAAGGCAAAAGCCAAGGTAAAATCGGTTTTGGACATCGCATACAAATCGTCCGCGCGGCATTCGTTTGACATCACCAGAAGAGCGAATTTTTGGTTCCATGTTGGGGACAACTTTTGTTTCCATGTTTGAAAACCAGGCGCAATGAATTGTTGGAGAGAAGCAGCCTATCTGTATCTCCTGAACCCGCCATTGCACGGGTTTTTGCAGGACCGGACTTCCCCAGGTTTTCGAGGCAGAAGTCAACTCCTCCTTGTGAGGTACTACCGGCCTAGATCGAGCAAGTGACCGGCCGCGTACGGCGATATATCAGCCACTCATTGAAGCATAACTCGAACAGAAACGGATGGTGCTGGCTGCCGCTATGTTGGACGTTGACGATTGAACCGTGCGCCTCCTTTAGGCGCCCACGCTCTTTCCGAGATCTCCGAAGGACACTGATCTTCTACAGAGTAGGAAAGGATATTCTGGGCTGCAGCCGTTTGAGGATACACTTCTAGACCTGAAGTCCATGAGTCCGGGCTTCTAGCCAACCTCTCCGAACTCAAAACACCAAATTTCCGTACAATCAATGGAAAACTCGGGGTAGGATGTACGGGTTACCGTCAAGTCCGTGATTGTTGAGCAAGACTGCTGAGATAGTGGGCCGACGAATGATATCCCGTGGCAGAATACGAGGGAGTTGGCGTCGGGCACCGGCGGCAGGAAGGCCGCTGTTGCGTATGAGTATTCGGTGGATCGTCAAAGAAAGAAATGTACCAGTAGGCCAGGGGGAACGTCAAGAGCCCGAAGTAACAAGACGATCCGTGACGTTCACAATACTGAATATGAGTTTCGCGTTGTTGGTTCTGCTGTATTCACACCTCAGGAGGTATTTTCTGTCTCGTAATGTTTTCGGTGCCCTTCCTGGCTACCCGAGGGCGCCGAAGGGAGGATGTCGTCGGACGCTAATGATAGTTTAGTTAAGGCAATCAAGCCATAGCCCAGGGTACTCGATCGGGCCAGAGCGTATACTTCAGTATGGAATCCTCAATTTATATAAGGATCTAGCTCTGGCCATCAACTACGTACCATTCAGTCAAAGGACATCACTCTCATTCCTCAAAACATTTTTACAGGACAACTGATTCAATTTAAGATGCCATATACTTCGCCGTGGGCACCTCTAGATGTTCCCAAATGCAATATCTTGTACTACCTTTTTCCTCCGAACACGGCTCCATCAAACGAGCCATTATGGATCAACGCCACCAACGCCTCAAACAGCCTTTCCCCAGCCCAAATGTTGTCTTGGACCAAAAGATTCGCTATGGGCCTTGACAGGCTTGGAGTCGCTCAGCAAGAGGCTGTCTTGGTCTTCAGCCCGAATCACCTTTTCGTTCCCATGGTATATCTGGCCGCTGCAGGATCTAAGCGCTATTTTACGGGCGTCAATCCCATTTACACAGCCAATGAAGTGGCCCATCAGATGAAAGCTATCGAGGCTGCAGTGGTTCTGGTTCATCCCTCCCTACTCGAGACCGGTCTAGCTGCAGCGAAACAAACTAATATCTCCCTCGATCGTCTCTTCATCTTCTCCGATTGGGAATGCCCCACAACTCAGGGTGTGCGAGATTGGCGATCGATAATTGCTTCAGAGAAGGATGCGGAGTCCTGGCAATGGGATTCTCTGGAAGGCGAACCCGCAGCGCGGACTATTGCGGTAGTCAACTTTTCAAGTGGTACTACCGGCCTTCCAAAAGGCGTTTGCATCACACATTATAACCTCGTTGCCAATACCGCCCAGGCAATATTCAACAAATTCAAAGGGACAGAAGCCGAAACCTAGGGCCCGAACGGTGGTTAGCCTTCTTGCCCCTCTATCATGCATATTCCCAGCTTTTTACCATCAATATTGCCTGTAAACTTCAGATCCCAGTCTATGTCATGGCTAAATTTACATTCGAGGATTATCTGAAATATATTCAACAATTCAGGATTACGACGATGCAATTGGTTCCGCCGGTTCTAGTTATGATGGCCAAACGACATGAGACAGCAAAATACGACATCAGCAGTATCAAGCATATTCTCTGTGGAGCAGCCCCTCTATCAAGTGATCTCCAGAATGAAGTTATGAGTCGCTTTAATATGGTGATTTGCCAGGCATGGGGTATGACGGAAACAACTTGTGCCGGAATTATGACCCCTGACATGACCATAGACCTTACCGGCAGCGTTGGATATCTTCTGCCGAATACAGAAGCTCTTCTGGTGGACGAGGATGGTAAACAGGTAACAAAAGATGGCGAGCCTGGGGAATTGTGGTTGAGAGGACCACAGATTATGTTAGGATATTGGAGGAACGAACAAGCCACGCGCGAGAGTATCTCCAATGGTTGGTTCAAGACTGGCGACATGGCTGTAGTAAGGGGTGGGAAGTGGTGGATCGTCGATCGAAAAAAGGAATTGATTAAAGTCAATGGACTCCAGGTCGCTCCAGCCGAGTTGGAAGCAGTCTTACTCCAGCACCGGGATGTGACTGATGCGGCCGCCGTGGGAATCACTATTCACGGCGAAGAGTTGCCGCGAGCATACGTCGTACTTCACCAGAACGCCAAAGATAAGACGACTGACAGAGACATTCAGGATTTCGTCGCTGGGAAGGTGGCCAAACACAAACAACTATCGGGCGGGGTCAAATTTGTCGACGAAGTTCCGAAATTCGCCAGCGGCAAGATCGTGAGGAAGGTTTTGAAGGAGTGGGCCAAAAGCGACGCAAAAGTAGTCGAAGCCACAGTCAAGGCGAGACTCTGAGGGTTTTCCCCTGCCACCAAGAGTTCACATCAAAAGAATGCTTCCTGTCTCACATTTCTGAGCTGCTGGAGAAGGGTTTCAGACGTGCTCGTCATCAGTCATTTCCAGCTGGAGTATATTGAGATGTTCCCAAATAGCTCTGAAAAGTCTCCATGTACAGGCTCGAAGTTGTGGGAAACGTGGTGGGAGCTCAGGCATCAGAAGGAGTAAGGGAAACCTGTCATCGTGGTAAAGGAGAGTGACAATCATGGTACTTCTTAATTATGCCTCAATATTTGAAGTCTGGGAGTTATACTTTGGTCGCGCTGATATTTCCGTCCTGAAAGGATGACAATCTCAACATATATGCAGTGGCGCCTCGAGATTCAAAGAGACAGCAGCGAAGCGACGTTCAATCGGTAATGATGGTTGTATAACTGAGTGACGATCCGGGGTACGCTCTCGTAGAAGGTGTCTCGACTCGTTAGTAACACTGCATAGCCAGGAGCTCCTTTCCTCCAGGGATTCGAACGTAGAGATAACCATTCCGCAAGTATTTCATTGTGTCCAGTCACTTCCACCTCGTTCCAACATCCCAAGCCTTTCAGATAATACATGAGGGAGCGTGTTGTATCGAGAGCACGTAATGTCAAAGTCGGAAGAACATGCATGTCACTCTGGATTAACCTTGTTGATATTTTTCTACTAAAAACGAAAAAAAAAAAAAGACTCGTGATAGTTACGAGGACAAAGTTCCCACTTACATCTGCTGAGCCTGTGCCATTGCTATTTCATTGGCATGGTCAGACACGGCCGCTTCCTCCATCATCTTTAGTCTGCCAACCATACGCTCTTCGACAGCGAAGCGAAACTTCCGAGGCGTAGAAATCGCTACACCGGTATAATCATACCAAGGAATCTCAATCTCTTTACCACTCGTATCTTTTTCCCGTCTAATATTACAAGCTCGAGACCTGCAAGAACAAGGATTTTTCCGTCACCTCTAACCCTGGACAAATTCGACGTCCATGGCCAAATCCTGCAAATCTCTTGAGATTTGGGTACGTCGTCAGGGGCTCTTGGTAGGTTGGATAACCGGGCTTCAGCCACCTTTCGGGTCGAAATGAATCCGGGTCCGGATACAGTTCCTCATCACGAAGAATGGCCCGCTGGTTCGGTATAATGACGGCGCTCTTTGGGATGAAGTAGCCTTCAAATACGTCGTCCTTAGTGACTGCATGTGGGAAACCTGCTTCCGTGTCAGTAATGGACTTTGACGTGTTGAAGATTAACCAAACCTCCTGAGAGAACTGGTCTCCATCGCATGGATTCTTTAATGACAGCTCGTACTGACGGGAGACTGCCGAAGTCGTTGAAGTCTGGCAGTCGTTGGTCGCCCACGACCTCGTCTATCTCCTCTTGGACTCGCTGTTGCCACTCTGGGAAAAGGCATGTATTCAGAATGATGGATTGCATTGCAGTGGCGGAGGTCCGGGATACGCCTCCATAGATGCTGGACAGAACCCAGACTATTTCACGGTCTGTAAGGCCCCAATCCTCTTTGGTTTTCAAGTATCGCCTGGCAAAGCTTTCGGGGCTTTCTGTCACCTGGTTCTTGTATTTCTCCGACTGCTGTTGCATCAAAGGTGCGAGATAGTTCCAGTGCCGCTTTACAAGCGCTCTGGCCTCTCTCTTGAAAAGCGCCAACCAGGTGGGAAGATACAGAAGTGAGGGAATAAATTCCACAACGTACATACCAGGAGCAGCAACTCAATCAATATTTTCCATGTATGAGCATATCTCATGGACACGTCGCTCCTCGGCAGGCCCTCTCTCCTCGGTAGGCCCGTATATTTGTTTGATCGAAGCCATCACTCCGGCCCATTCGAACCAGTAAGCATACTTGGAAGGGTTCTTCGCCAAGTCGATCACCATCTGCCTGGCTTTGGTCGTCTGTTTCGGTATGGACTGCTGTATAATGCCCGTACTCAGCATGGACTGTGCGAAGCGTCGCGCCCGACGCCAGTAATCGGTCCACCCTATGGCGCCTAGGAAGCCATTGTCTGTAATAAGACGCGGCATTATCAAAGCAGGACGGTCCGAGTAAATGGCTCCTCGCAAGCCAAGCAGCTCATTGGCTATTGACTCCCTTGATATGATCACTAGCGTAGTGCCAAAGGCTTTGACTTGATAAATCGGTCCGTATTCGTCAACCCACTCCTTGAATTTGAACCAAGCGTGCGACTTCGGGATGTCAAATGCGTTGCCAACGAGCGGCCAACCTGCGTTTCATAAGCTCCAGCTGAGAGTAGCATTCCAAAAGCTCCAAATTACCCTTTGGGCCTGGGAGTGGCTTCGCACCGGTGGGCACAACTTTCTTGTTCTTGAGGAGATTTCTGGCCACAGAAAACACGACAGCCCCAACAATGGTCAGAATCGATACTCTGAGAAGAGAAATATCCATGGTTATAGCCAAATACGCCATCGTTTATTGTTTACGCAGAGAGCGTTTCTCGTGTTGGAAAGGTACCTTGGTGTCGGACCAAAATTTCCCTCCCAATGTATGATTCATGCTTTTCCACTTCAACACGCTTAAGAGGTGGTTTCGGTTTCTGAACACGGCACATCTTAGGATCTGTGTTTGCCGTGCATCTCAGTCAGCCCGCATGACCCCGGAATTACTGGACTCGTGAGCATTTTGTGGTGGGGGGAACTTGGTGATCTCAGAATCATAACAACGGCAGAGTTGTGCAAATCCTGCCCCGGACATAGGGCGACTGCGTGTACAAGGACGATCTCGCAGATATTCATGGACTCCGAGTGCCTTTAAGTCCGCTGCCGAACATTCATAAAATGCTAGAAATTGATCACTGGCCAAGCTTCCCCATGGGAATTGGACAGGGAAAGTCGTCCTTCTTCCAGGTCTACGCCTCGAACGAGGCTTTGTCAAATCCTCTCATATTTCGTGCCTTCTCGACAATCTAGGAGCAGAGAATCTTTAATCAGTCAACGATCCGTATGATGGCCTTTGCTCAAATTCATCTTGTCCCCCTTGCCGTGATTCAGCAATGTGATATTGCAATACTTTCGAGGCTCAAACGCAACAATATCAGCAGAGAAATAAAGGAAACACCTATTCGCAAGGATTGTCCCAAGTATCGATAACTCAAAACCCACGTTGACATCTTCAAAATGTCCATTACTTCATCCATTGATCCGATGGTGAACCGCTTGACGAGTCGTCGTCATCAACGACTCCTTGACTGTACTTTCATGACGTCCGGGTTCCCTTGAGTCCAAGCAGGTGTGATTACAAGCTTGTTGACCTTCCACAAGTCTCCCTCGCGGACTATGCTAGCTTCATACTGATTTCCGAAAAAGTAATAGTCTTGAAATTGGGGACTTGGGCCTTGCCCGAGTCTAAAGTGCTGTGCAAGAACACAGCATGACAGGTCTGCTTTGTCTCCGTTGACTGTGCAACGAACATTGGTGGCGCTATGAGTAGTGTCCAACGCTTTCCCAACTGCCGCCATCAGTCGTTCAACTACAGCCGTTCTGCCGATCACTGGCTCATAGTTTAAGCCAGCTTTATTGAAAGGAGTGAGATCCATAATTGCCTCCTCGGTCAAAGATGAAGCGCAAAGCTCTGGATCGCCGTCGTCAAGAGAAACAACGAATCGGATTATCGCATCGATTGCAGCCTCTCTGTCGGTAAGGCCTCCGGCGTTCGGCATCTCGAGATGTATTACTGAGTCAATGGAAACCCGCTGTATGCTTTCTGGCCACTCTTAGACGTTCTGCTGGTGCTCGTGAGGCGAAAAGAGCAGATGTTCCCCGAGCACGGGTGGGCGTCTTTATAACCCTGCGATTTTTCACATGAATAGACATGTTTATTGCCCCGGCGCTATGTTATCTCCTTGCAGTACGTGATTGAAAGGGGACATTGAGGCACCAAAATTAGCCAACAGGTACAACACTTCCACATGACTCGTTTGAAACCCCACAGTGGAGATCGAGACGGCATTCAAAAGGGGGCCTAGACCTTGGCCTTGATGACAATCTTAGCTTTGAAGGTTTGTTCTCGCTTGAGCAAGTTCGGGATAAACGGAGATCTCGGAACTCTACAGCCGTCGGATTTCTCGGAGGTCTTTGGTTGAAATCACCCTTTCCGTGGCATCGGTCGTGGATTGCGGGGATGGGCACCTGCTCTATGCCTAAATCTGTCTTGGATATGATACCGTTTGGGGTTGATGAAGTACACTGCGGTACGCCATTTGGGCAAGTGTCAGTACATATGGGAGTTGGCGCCCGAGGGCGTGATCAAAGCTTTATCATCGATGAAAGAAAACTAATGTACTGTAGTCATGGTCCACAGTCTAAAAAGTAGTCGTAGCTTTACTTCTGGAGTGCCATCTTCTTCCACATGAAGTTCAATCCCTCTTAAACTTCGGTTAGTCACCTGGGGGTGGCAGCGTCGGCCTTTTCATGTATATCAAGTCATGTGGAGACCCCCTTGAGTGCCCGAATTCAGATTCCAGAGAGCGGACACAGGATCATTCAGTGCCAATGCGGCGGAGTAGGATAGCGGGTTTGCAGTCCCTGATGAGTTGCTTCCCAAGCTGCCATCCTCCAATATTGATAGCTTGGCAGCCTCATTAGCAGACATAGCAACTCTGAGCAGACTGGATTGGTAACTTACTCTGGGAGTCTCCGTACATTCTGGAATTGTCCAGCTTGCGGGTGCCTCGGATTCGGGGAATATCCGTGAGAAAGGAGAATATTGAGCGCAGAAACCGCTTTCTTGAGTTTTGGGCCAAGTCGAAAGGGCGTCCAAATTTGTTCCTTCTAATGGCCCTGGTCTTTCTAGGGTTGATCCGTCAGTATGCGCGCTCTGAGAAACACGTGGAGGACCGCGCCTCGGGAGGGTGGTCTCTAAGTTCGCTTCCGCGTCGAGGGTCGCAGAGGAAGTTTTGTCGGAAGCCCTGGAAAATGTTCGAGGCAATGTCGGTCGATGCGATGAAACAGAATTAGATATTAAGCCATTTCCTTTTGGCCATGATTGTCCCGTTTGGAAACATTGGAGATCCTTCGGACTTCGTCCGGCGGTATGACCCTCTGTCTCAAGCTTTCCCACCAGCATCTCCAGAACATCGGCAGCCTTGTAAGCTTCCATACTATAGTCTCGCATCTGGCTGAATATCCGGGCACTAATTCCCAAGGCCTTGATCATTTCAACCCGGGTTGGCATGCCATGTGAGGAAGGTGGGTTCGTAAAATTACCTGCGGAGGTGTTTGAGCATAGATCAGCACTGATTATCGTCGCAGCAAGAAGGTAGTCGTGAATCGCCAACGAAGTCTGATAATTGGTTAAGCTGCGTAAGCGGCCATCGACCGGAATCTGTTGATTTTGAATTGCCTGAAAGCGTAGTAGCGACATGGCTGAGCTCAGGCAAACCCGCCTGGAGTATAAATATCGATAATCTGATTTTGCGATCTCGAGGAATCGGCTGTGGACGACGCACAGAGATTTGTGGTGAATACTCGACAAAACGAAACGGGCGGATGTAAGTACGAGCGAATCCCGGCTGGACAATTGACTCAGCTTGTAATGATCAGGGACACTGTCGTAGAGACGTCTTAGTTCACGATCGATCTCGAGAACTCTTTCCCATCGGATTGTGTCGGCGCGGCTGATCTCCTGAAGAGCACGAGCAAATCCAAAAGCCAATTTGGTTTTCGCAATCAGGAAAGAAATCTGGGTGGGCTCGGAATCAGGCAGCGCTGCAGGTAGCACGGTGCAGTCCTCGTCAAAACCCTCGTCGTCGTGGATGTTCCGAGGAAGAGAACATTCAAGTGAGCGTAGTCCCACCATAGAAGGCAAGCCCATCTGGAAAGACAATAGGATATCGGCTTGTCTGATGAACGCCCAAGCCCTACGACGCATTTCAGCCTATCATGGTGGTTAGAAATCTCTCGCATACGACCACTGGGTCATTTACCTGAAACGGGGTTGACGTCAAAGCCGGCTGCGACGGTTGATGGTAACCCATCCTCATCGCCAGTCGTGTAATCATACCAATCAAGACCCAGACACCGGATTTCGCATCCCTGCTTGACACATACTCTGCATAGAGGTGTAAGATTAAAGCTTCGATCAGGAAATCATGGGGTTGCATATAGTCTGCAAGGATCAAGCAATCCGTCAGACGGTTACGGAAACTGGTGGCGAGGTCTTGACACTTTCCCTTATACTCCAGAGGCTCATCGCCTTCGCGTAAATAATCGAGCATAGCAATCCTTAAGATCGCAAACAAAAGAGCAACCCACACAATTGAAGTTTTACTTTCGTCAGTCCAGAAGTGTTCGTACTAAATGAAGGAATGAGCGGATAATAAGCACACATGGCAGCATTTTGGTACCTGCTTGTTAAATGTTGGTCCATGAAGGATGTCTACCAACGTTAGCTTCGACATACCATGCATTCAAAGAGTGGAGGCGTACAGATTGCAGGATACAGGTGGGAGAAGAATCTCGTAACCATGATGTCGCAACTATATCTGGAAGGCAGTTGTGAAAGGATTTCTGCTCGGCTCACGTTCTTCGCGGACCCAAACAGCAGAGTCGGGCCGGGATCATCAGACGACCGGCGAAGGATTTGGGCCATTTTCTTCGTCTGCTCCTCGTACTGTCTGTGCTGCGCACGTAAATGCGAACGAACTTCGCCAATCTATCTGTCTTGTGAGAAAAAGGATGTGGACCACTGGTATCACGGACCTCGTTTAGCAGTAAAGCCCAATGTGCCTCGTCCACGGAGAGACATTGCCTGTAGTCGGCACCAATCTCGATTGCGGTACTCGATCTGACGAGACTTGTCGTCGTTCTCTTGTCGTTACCTCCATGGTTCTCGGGGTCACCATTGTCCATAGCTGCTTTGTCGTGATTTTCGGCGTCAGTACAGCCTGAAAGCGTGTTGGTCTGCCCCTGGGGATGTTGATGGTTCTTCAAGAGTGTGAGTACTAAGTGCTCCAAGTGATCAATCCTGCCCTGAGCGGTCTCGGACAGGTCTGAAGATTCCCACAGCTTTGTGCGCGACTCAGCCTTGCGTGACACATAGCAGCAGGCGGTAATTTCCCCACGATTGACGCAATTTCCGCATGCTGGCAGGGCACGATCGCACCTCAACCTAGCCGGAAATCAATAGATAGGGGCAGACCTTTGCTGGAGCAACTTACTTCCGGTTCCGGCATGGCAAGCATGATATTGGCCTTCTGTTTCTCCCATTTCGCGTTGCAGCGTGCTCGACGTGTTCCCCTGGTCCACGGAAAGGTGGCATAGCATAAATCCGTCAAGCTATCGTTGTGGAACTATCGCTTCAATACTGCGGTGGCATCGACACGCCCCAATCTTTCGTGATAGTGATGTTTGTAAAAAGACCAACCTTCTAAACCGTGGACAGGTTGACCAAGTAGTTTCGGTCCAGGAACCGGGGATAGCATTCTCAAGCAGTGGGGTAAGGTGAATCTAACTCGGAGAAAACGGCCAACAAGCGGACTTCACATAAACTCTCTTTTCGGCCAATCAGGACAAACTAAAGCTATGGGATCTTGCCATCTCTTGTGTGATTCTGGAGCACGAGCTACATAGCCATAAAAGGAGGGACTACCTTCAATGACAACATGTACAGCAGCAATTTCTATTAATGCACGCCCGAAACATGACTGCATCATCGGCCCAGCGCGGCAAGCAGTGTCTGGTAGAGTTCCTTTCAGACGGACTTACTATTCGAGGCGTGTTACGCTTACCAAACGGAGATGGACCATATCCTATCGTTATTCTTGCCCATGGACTCGGCGCACTCAAGGAGTGGACAATTCCTGAGGTAGCCGATGCTCTTGTCGAAGCCGGAATTGCAGGACTGTGGTTTGATTATCGAAACTTCGGTGATAGTGAAGGGGAACCACGAGAGGAAGTAGCTCATTATGGCCGGCTCGAAGACTGGCAAAGCGCGATCAGTTACGCTACAAGCCTGCCTGAGATCGACTCACAAAACATTGGCATTTGGGGTACAAGCTTAGGGGGAAGAGATGTTCTAGCTGTGGCCGGTATTGATCGACGAGTCAAGGCTGTGTTATCACAAACGCCACTCATCAAGTGGATTCCTTCGGCGGCCGCCCGGATGGCCGGGTTCGGCGACGACCTTGATCGATTTCAGCGAGAGCTAGCCGAAGACCGCAAGAATAGGGCCTTAGGAAAAGAGCCCCGCTATATCCCGTTCGTGAAAGATTCTGGCGACGATGCTAAAAGAGAATATCTCGAAACATTGAGTGAAGCAGAGCTTCGGAACTACAAAGCACGCCTCACTCTGCAAAGCTATCAACCAACGGTGCTGGCCGATGTGACACCACTCATAGAGCTGATAGCTCCCATTCCCCTTCGATTCATCATTGCTGAGGATGATTTTCTACCTGGGCAACGGGAAGCTTACAACGCGGCCAAGGATCCCAAGTCTCTTGTCACTATCGGAGGTCATCATTTCTCCCCTTACACAACCTCGAAAAGAGAGGCCATCGTAGCAGCCAAGGAGTGGTTTGTTAAATACTTGACCAGCAAGTAGGAAATAAATGTTCCTACATCTCTAATCATCTTTTTCGTTTTCTTTCTCCCATACACTGGTTCTTCCGGCTTTCAAACATGTTGCAGTTGCTTGCATGTTGTCCTCTTCGTCTAGAGCCAATCATCAACAGGTGTCATATGATGCTGCCCGATAGTTCGCCAGCGCCAAGGCGTGTCATAAGAAGATGATCCAACGTGAATAAAAATGGAAGAAACGTGGTGTCGAGCTAGGCAAGCTTTTGAGTGTCGCAAGTTCAATCGCCGGCGGAACCTCTGGTGCAAACTCTCCATTTTTACTTAGCCTTATACATCGCTTCTGCACTTTTCCTATCAGTAGAAGATTCGATCCGACAATTTTGGCAGCCGCTCTGTTGACCACGGTCACAACTAGCGTGCCAAAACTGATCCAAACCAGTAAAAGGTATAGCTGAGGGAGCAAAAGATTGGAAGAAACCGTCTCCTGCATGTACAACTGTGAGACGACGAGAAGAAGGTCGTTGGACAGACTTAGCAGGACACGTCTAGTACAAAGAGCTGCGAAACTGATCGCTGCAATTTGAAGGGTGACACTCAGAAACATCAGGAAATACCCTGTCCACAGACATCCTTGGCGGCTTATTTCGTTCGTAATCCACTCAGCCAAAAATTCCGAGGCAAACATGCCCTGCGTCACAAGGCTGCCAATGAGCTGTTGGACCTCGGTGGATATGCCATTTCCTCCTGGTATTGTTGGACTTGCATAACTAAAGTTCCTGGGGAAAGCCGAGCATATCTTGACAAACATTGATCATTCCTTGCTCCAAGCCGTTGATTTGAATTGTGATTGTAAGACCCCTTTTTATTATCCCACCATGAATCATGGGTAATCCTAGGGCTTGAGACCTTGGCTTCATGCAAAGACTCCTCCGTTTCCAAATCGGTATATTCAAGATGGGTTTCCGATAGCTTACGGTCGTGTGTAGTTCGCTATTTGGAGTAGAACGAAATCCAAGAAATTGCAGCGTGTGAGTGGTGAGAAGAACAATCTCAGATGGGGGGTGGGTGTCTTTACTAGCAGCGGTCAAAAGCTGAGAGACAGCAAGAGGGTAGTGTTTGAAGAGTTCTCTTCCCTGTCCCAAGCAATAACGGGGGTTGTCAAACTAATATGGGCTCATAGCATTCCTGTCTTCTGGATCCCAGATTCAAGGCTAGCAACACCTGTCTTCGTCTCCGTTTCACATCCTGTGTGGAGATTCGAAGTCAGACACTGAAGGTAGGAGACTAAATTACGCCCAAAAAGGGCAAGGAGAGTTCTCTCTATAAAAAGTGTACATTTGCGTCTTTGATGTTGACCTCTTGCGGTTAAGAAACGAGTGCTTTAGTTTGATGTACATGTCTTCCTCCCACTCGGACAAAGCTTCGAGGCGGGGCTGAAGTGGGTCTCGTGCGCAAAGGTCTGTTCGCTCGTCGAAACAATTTTCCAAAATGGAGCCGTGTTCTCCGAGAATGAATATTTCGTGTCTGGATCCAAAATGTCCCGGGTAAGGCCAATAGTACATTTCATACCCAGATCAACACTTTTGGAGTTGTGAGTTACAAGACAGGCCAGTTCCACACTTAGATGAACGGCAAAAAGGAGCGCGCACCCGGAAGAAGACAGTGCCATACTGTGACTTGTATTCTTGAAAAACGTTGTGTGAGACTTCTTGAAAAATGACATCTCCAAAGGGGCCTTGTCGCGTCCGCAACATTGAGTGCCACGGCGGTGTTCAATGCAACCACTTTGCAATACGAGGCACCCAACTTGACCAGCTTGAACTAATCAGGAGCTATCGGAGCATCAAATACTTGAAATCCACACGGATCTTCTCTCTAAGATTGAAGACATTCCTTGTTGGAAAACTTCTCATGCGTTGTCCAGACTTCAAGATGGATGACCTTTGAACAAACGCGGTAAGTTATCCCCGGATCCGTCCGATAGTTTGGACTATAGTTGCTGTAGATTGCCCTTCGCCGATGTAGCGAGAGTTATAAGGTAATGACATTGCGGGTAGAGTTTGAAATGAAATATCAGCGATCTTGACAATTAGTAGGAGCAACGCTAATGCTCAATTTCGCAACACGGAGGCCTGAAACAAAGGTCATTGAATTCGTAAGATACCTCTGAAGAGCGTATGGTTTCGCAGGACGTGCTTTCGCCAAATGTGGGGTGCGTTGAGCAGATATTAATTAAATGCTCCGTGCTGTAAGTGGTGCCGACGGTACAGAGGTCAAAACAACAATTACTCCTGGCCCTTCCTTCCTTGAGGCCTATCAATTCGTAAGTATTACTATGTTGCCGCCGCCCCTTCCGTACCGATTTCGTTCATCTCTAGACCAGTCGGTCTATTCGTTTGGGCAGAAGGTCTTCCATTAAATGCTTTCCTCACCGCAGTCGATGTGGTGCTTCTGTTCGACCCTGGACCGCGAACACGCAAGATATCTTCAGCGTGATGTGCCAGCGTGGCTGGATCAGTATATGTGCGAATGACTGGTGGGACAGTTGAATTTCCATCAGATCGCGAATTCGACGTGCTGACAATTGGTGATTTGACTAGTTTTGTGGTTGATGAGCTTGTATGAAGACTACTCATGCTCGTGGAAGTCTTTATTCGTGGCGATGCAAGGTTGAGTTTGGTGGCAACACGGGTGACTGCCCGAAATTCAAAATCTGCTGGGTCTTGGGTGTAGTCGGTCACGATTTTTGCCTTGCGCCGTGGGACAAGTGCTGTAAGATCAAGAATCTGCGCAGCGCGGAGGAAAGGAGTTGGTTCTTTTGCTTGAACAGAAGTTCGTTTGGCGAATGAATTTCGAAGAAGCGATCGCAGCAAGAGAATAATAACGAGAATGATATACTCGACCAAGAGAATTATCGTCCAAACCGGGACGAGGAGAGACCGTAGAAGAGTAAATAGTAATAGTCCAATCTTCTGCAACACTTTCACAGATGCCTTTCTTATGATGATGAGAACTAAAATAACTGGGCCTTGTTCACGACGTTTTCTGGCCTTCTCACGCTTTCTTTCGTCTTCGAGGGATTGTTCGACTCGCTTTCTGATGCGTTCCATTCTTTGTTCGTGTTTGGTGGATTCTGATTCGGCAGAATCCTTCCCGAACTCAAGCTGTGTAGATGACTGACGTTGGTGGAGAGAGGACTTGGAAGAGTTCGGATGATTGAGGATCCCGAAGGTGGTCATCAGAGCAATTAGCTCGCTGACCGGAAATGCCACAAGTACATATTCCATGAGGAAGAAAAGGTAAATCCATCCGCTGTATTGACGTTGTGCTTTGCGCACTGGAGGCTTGCTGACGGCAAGATCTTCATGTAGTGCTATTGCTCGATCCCTCCAATCCTTCCGTCGATGAGCTCGCATACGGAGCCGTAAGAAGGAAGAGCAAAACGACGTCGTGGATGTCCACATCTTCAGGATGTGTTCTAGATTGAAGACGAGAAGAGCTGTACCTAGTGTAATGGTGGGGAGGGCAATGATGAAGGAAGTAAGGACCCGGCTAGATGGCGTGAGAATTTGCATGCTGAAAATTGATGTGGCAAAGGAGAGTGGGAAGAAGAGGATTGTGATGTACGTGAGGAGTCGGATATTCTCGCCTTGTCGCACAGCAGTCCGACTGTCAAATAGAGCGGAGGCTGATATCAGTCCAGTCCGAAGATCTTTGACCTCCTCAATTCGTTTCCTGATTCGGGAAACTTTAGCATCAAGCTCTTCGATGGCATCGTCGATATCTTGGACTCGAATATTCCAGTCTTCAACCGAAACTCGCGGGTCCTGCAGTCGAGGTAAAGAGTCAATCTTGAACCGTTTCCACGTTGTGATCGTTTCGAGTAGGGTTTGCTCGAATAATTTATAGGCCTGCAAAGCCCAAAAGTATGTCTTGGAAAGGGAAAATTGAGGATCGTCGGCCATAAGATCGCTTCTATCTTCCAAGAAGATGATTTGTCTTGAGGATTTGATCTCACTCTCCACCGCTTCAATGGAACTTTGCCATCGCCAAAGAACGTGATGGAGTCCGACAGATATCCAAGATAGCAGTAGTATCGCCGGCGGTTGGTCAAGCAAGTATGGACGAAATGAACCGGGTTGAGTGTTCTTCTTATACGGGTCGAATTTGAAATATGCTTCTGCCAATTGAAAGCAGGTTGCGATGTCTTTGAAATGTCCAATGAGGAGAAATGACAGCGTTTCTTCATGAATGAACCTTGTCTCCGTAGCCATTTCCCTTCCAAATGGTGCTGATTTACGCCATTGTCGTGGATCATGCTTGGTCGATTCGGAACTGGAGTATTCCGCCGAAACATAGTAGAATGAGAAGTGATATTCGATTGTAAATGAGCTCCAACTCTATATCAAGTCAGCTCGAGTGCTCGAGTGCACGTCGTGAACAGGAAAGGCTGTATACCATATCACCAAACTTTAACAAGCTGACCTTGCCCCAGTTAGAGAAGCTCAGATATCGTTCGACGAAAGCGGCCATATAGCTCAAATCTGATCTAGAAATTGACATTGGTCAGCCGTCCTTCTCAAATCCGTTGATAATTACACTTACTGCGGTGTGGAGCCGAGAATTGCGGCAAGAACCAGGGGTGATAAGTCCACGATCTGGAACAAACGAATGGAACATCGACTTGTATGGTCCGCTTGTAACGACATATGGTGAGAGGAGGCAGGAGGCCTTCGATCTTTGATTCCATCCCATAAGACGCGAACATGCTTTTTGTACTCCTTGTACGAAATAGATCGCTTCTCTTCCCGTGAAGATAAATCATCCATCCAGACCTGGCAGCTCGACCGATGTGACAAATGTGTTCTCTTCATGAATTTCGACAATTCCGGAAACGAAGCGGCGTAGCTCCAGGATGTCCATCTGCTTCTCTCACTGAGAACCATTTCAATGTGTTCTGGTCGGTCCCAGTAGAAGAATTTCTCCATGAAATCTTTCGACTTGGTAGCACTCAAGGACAAAATTCCTTCCCATATCTTCTCATTCGGATTTGGGGAGCTGGCCTGCTCAACTGTTGATAGTCTGGAAAACCTAGACGGTAGCGATCTGGCAGCAAAAAAATTGTTTGTGTTGAGCCCGTTAACCTCCTGGAGCTGAAGGGGGTTCTTCCAACAAGGAACAGAAGCATCTTGAGTAGAAATGAGAAGCTGGCAGAGTTCTGTGTTTTGAGCAGCTAGATTTTCATTTGTTTGGAGAATAGCTTGAAGAATTTGTTGCAAATCTTGTGAGTCATTGGTTGCGTGTGCGGATGAGCTTGTCAGAATCTCAGCCTCGGCCATTGTTGTTCATGACTAAGTCAGGGACCACACGGACTGAGCTGGAAGACGAAACGAACGGCCAAAACAGGAATCATTGAAAGAAGAGGTAAATTCATCAATAGCAGATATCAGTATTTGAAGGAGAGCTTCTTCATTGAAGTTCAAACTCAGGGGTTGAGAAAAAAGGGCATTTTGAGTCTGACCATGAGGTTACTCCGGTGTGCTCGTATATTTTGATTTTGAAGACAGCAATCGTAACGTCGGTTTGCAAACAGATTACTCCATATGTCCCTCATACGTGATTGCATTGGGGCCAAAAGTATCAGGAGCCCCCTTTCTTGTATTAGCCCCCTGTCTCCCTTTTCCTAATTCGACAAGGCCCTTGTCTTCCGCACTCGTATTCATTTATCGACGAATTATATTTCAGGAATCTGCAAGAGCTGAAATGCTTGGGAACTACTCACCGCACCCACCTCCAACATTTCTTTTTCGGTGGCCCCTTATCACCTCAAGCAAAAGGCAGAAGGGGGTGAACCAGGCCGCGAACGCATGAGTACGGCTTAATACGAATTGTCAAACCTTGAAATATTGGGACTATCTTCATCCGTATTTAATTCCCCCATTTTGGTCAACACTCCCCTCGAAACTCTCGCCCGGAACTTACGTAGCCGATCTCGAGGCAAACCGCCGTTCAAGAGTTCCCATTCCATTGTTCTGCAGTTTTGGAGGTTCGATTTGTTCCAACATAAAGCTGGATGCCGCACTGGCATATTTCGCTGCTTCAGCAGCATCTTTCGTCTCGGTCCAACCCACAGAAAATCCTCCCAAAAAGGCTAACCGACGACCAGACTTTTACCTGCTTGAAAGAGTTTGAATCGTAATAGGAGGAAGCCATCCTGGACGGTCATCATTTCGTACCACGACGCACCTGTGCTCTCCAGCTCTCACGACAACGAATCTCTCACGGTTTGGTCAGATCCCAGAACTCGGAAATTTTTCGGCCAGTTCCACAATTTCGTCAAGCTTGAATTCTGCTTTGGTCCTCGCCCAAAGAAAGATAGAATCTCATTATGATTGGGAGGCGAAGACATCGATTTCTTTCACTACAGCCATGCAACAATTGTGATTTCCGGCGAGACATGTCTTTCTCGAAGGCTCCCACGGGATGAATGGTCGACTCAATCCGACGGATTTCCAAAAACCGGGTTAACTCTTCCACTCCTTCAATAAGCCTATTTGATGGTGTCAACTGGTGGAAGCAATCCGCCGTGAGCATCTTCAACCCCTTCGAGATCTCATTCTTGATAAGTTCCCTCATTTCAAAGGGGAAATTATCCCCGTATTCGAGCCACCCATGCAACCTGCGTTGCTTCAGCATCTGACAAGAAAAGCCGTGGACCCATGTTGCCTGAAAGTATAACTTAGTTCTGCTCGTCCGCCGCATGCTTGGAATTCTTACGCCACGCTTCAGAGCCACCAAGTGACTCGCGTTAAACATCTCCATTTCCTCTCTTAATCTCATCGGCTACCGCAAATCCAAGCATTGTCAGTAATGGCTGGTCTTTTCGTCGTTATGGAAGTCATTGTCGTGTACGCCGATGGAAACAGAAAATGCAATTCGAGACTTTGGACTTGTATATTTATACACCTGTTGGAATTCATAGCAAGAAATCACCATCTAGCTTAGGTCACCAAAGAGGTGTCGACTGTCGACTTAAATTAACCAACTGATATCACCATCTGCGCGACTGTCGTGTCGTCTTTGACAAACAGATGATTTTTCCAGAGCAAGAACGAAACTGGCCGCTTCTCTGAGGTCAAATACATGGTGAGCCCTTGAGTGAATCATTTCAATCTTCAATATCATAATGCTCTCACCAAATCACCGACATGGCGGACTTTCTTCAACGCCCAGCAGGTCTGACTGGCCTTCCGTGCCCTCTCGATACCCAACACCAGACTGGCTTGGTCAATGAACTTCTCTTCCAGCTGCTCATCCGTCATGGGAACATCTAGGCTTCCAATCGCATGCTCAACATGGCAATTCAACGCCTGCCTGTCTTGAAACTCAACTACCATCTCTGCCTCGTCTGTTCTGAGCTGGTCATCTGCAATCGCGTCGATTTTGTCTCTAACAGAAATCATCTCTGCATTGGTCACCACCGAGTCATCATATTGCGCAGGCCCGGCCTTCCCCAGAACCAATCCTACCGCGCCACCGTGGTAAACGCTGAATTTGGCCTGGAGCCCGTCCTGAGGCGTTTTCTTTCCCGTCAATTCCAGGACGAGCGGGTGGACTTTCGAAGACACAGCCTTTATATTCGAAGCAGATAGACCCTTGGCTTTCATCTCTTTGTGCAATTGAATACAACCGTCAATGACAGGATGGACGACAATACCACAAGGGAAAGGTTTAAAAGCATTCCTGTCGATCTCCCACACTCTGCCCAACGTTGCGACTTGCAGGTCGAGGTTCTGTGTTGTACTGACAACGTTTGCCCAGCCTCGTTTCGCCTCCAGCGCTTGCAGAGAGCTGGTATACCCGTTCAAAGCGAGGATGGCGGCCATCAGTCCATTCTGCGCAGCTCTTCCAACGTGAAATGACTTGGTATCGGATCCAAACATCTCGCGGAGTCCAGCGACTTGGGTCGCAGCAATACCGATCGCATGCGCCACTTGCTTTTCCGAGAGATTGAGTAGTTTGCCTACGGCCACCGCGGCGCCAATGGAACCGGTCGTGCTGGTAATGTGCCTGTGACGATGGGCATTAATAATACCGTCTCATTCATTGGAGTTCTACGAGGTTCGCGGTTGGGAAGGAAGAAAGGAGAAGCGCCTTACCACCCTACATCGTAATGTGCCGGCCAGACCGCCAATCCGACTTTACATTCCACCTCGATGCCAACGACAAGAGCGAGAATGAACTGCTCGCCACACACATCCGCCCCCGACGCCTCCGCCTGCGCAAGCAACGCACTCGCCACGGGCCCCGTTGGGTGGATGATAGTCTCAAGATGCGTATCGTCATAGTCATGGACATGGGACGCAATACCATTGACCAGAGCAGCGTGAGACGCATCGGTTCGTCGAGCAGGCAAGCCGTCCTGACCACCCGCGCCGCCCCCGAGAATACTCGAGGTTGGGGCGCCAAAGAACGCTGCCAGCGCCTTCGAAGCAGTAGTGGTCGTTGGATGCGTCGAGCCCCCTATCGCGCAGCCGGTCCAATTGTAGAAACTCCTGACCGCGGCTCGCACGACGGATTCCGGTAGGTCGGCGTAGGTCAGGGAGACGGCCCACGAGGCGATGCGGAGCGTTGCCATGGTAGAAGGACGTGCGAACGTTCGGACAATCTAGTAAGGGAAATTCTTGAGGCTTCCTATGTGGTCTCGTCCTGATCTTCGAGCTGGGTTTGCTCTCCAGTCGAATAGTTACTGCGTCATTTACATCGCCTGCTCCTAGTATCCTCGTACTAGGTAGATGATCACTCGCGCGCAATGTTGCTCACCAAGTTTCTCGTGTCGATAGATCGACAAATGCTTAACTAAGAAAATTCCAAGGTATTCTGCTTGTTCACAAGAGCCCGCTTCCGTCAGGCATTCCTTTCTTTTCAGAGACAAAACTTCTTCTTGCAGCCATCCTCCCCACGGGATTTGCGCGATACGGCAATGCCTGCCAGAGGTGGAATTCCCCCTCATTGACCCCGACGTCGCAGGAGGATCGGCAGTTTCTCCGATAGACTCGACAAAAGCGGAGAGTAGATGTAGTATCCATCATTGACTATATGCAGTACTTATATCTCATGATGTTCAGTTTCGGCATGCGTATCTCATGCTGGATCTCAATGTTTTCAAGGCATCAAAATCGCTGCCGCAACCTCCACCGCCCTCGCCGACTTCTCTACCCAGATATTGGCCAGTGTAAGATTCTCAGCCTCGACCGACTCTGTAATACCAGGCCACTCTACAGGAGCATATCCTGTATCCAAACCCGGCGCAAATACGACATGTTTGTAGAATTCTCTTGTCGGCAAACCACCCTGCGAAACAAAGCCGCGGCTGAAATCCCTCAATTTCGCGTTGACCAGCTTGATCTCCTCGTCAGTAGAGGCGGAGGACATGAACGACGTCAACGCCGAAGCCGAAGCATTGAACGTTGTAATTGCTGCTTCGAGCGGCGATAAATCGACGGTGGCATTCGCTGCTTCAATATCTTCGACAAGGTCCTCAAGGTACAGCGTCATTTGGACGCCGTAGTTTTCGACATTGAATGGGATGATCTCGTCAGTCGCCAAGTGATATGCCAACAAAGACAGGTATTGGCCCATGACTTTGTGTGTGATGAAGTCTGGGTCACCGAACGTCGTCATCCAGTGGAAAGTGTCGTAGTTGGAATGATAGTGATAGACTGGATCGTCAGAGCCACCTCCACAGCCGACGTCGAGTGAACTGATGCCGTTATGAAGGAAAGACGTGTAATCGCTTCCAGAACCCAAAACGCCAACTTCTCCTTCAGATAAGCCGTACCACACGTCGTAAAGAGTGAGGTTATCATAGCCGCGATATGGGTACACGACTTTCTTCATGGTCTCCGTGGCAATTTCATGCAATTCTGGCGATGCGGACAAGTCGGGATTGGGGCCCGATGTCGCAATGTCGAGATTGAGATAGGCAACTGCCGCATCTTTCAGCCAGGGGATATATTCTTCGACCCATTCTGTGGAGCCAACCAAGCCGTATTCCTCTCCATCCCAGGAACAAAGGACAATGGTACGCTTGGGCTTCCATCCAGTCTTGAGGAGCTCTCCGAAGGCTTTGGCCAGTTCGATCATGACGGCGGAGCCGGAGTTGGGATCAGCTGCTCCACCAATGATCCAAGCATCGCGATGGTTGCCCAGGACTATCACTTCGTCTTCACTGGTGCCGTTGATGATGCCAATGGCGTCCCATATCCATGTAATGTCATCGCGCATGACGTTGGACATGGAAATGGTGGTTCCTGGGGCTGGCCCGGTTGAATAGGTAGCGTTGAGTTTCCCGATCCAGTTTGTGCGATTGACGGTTTCGCCGTCTGGACCGAAACCATCGAGGGCTTGGATCAATGGTTGTGCTTCTTTCCAGGACAATGGAAGGGATGGGATTTGTGGTGTGACCACAGAAATGTCTGAACGTGGCGAGTCGAACTTGGACGGATAACCCGGAGTGGTCGGATCACCGGGGAATGTGGACAGATATTGGACGCTGCCTCGCTGAACCGAGGTTGGGTTCCTTGCTGGTCCATCAGGATAGGGCGCATAGCCGTTCGCCTCAGTAACATTACCATCATCAGCGGTGTCGGTGAAAATGACACAGCCAATCATGCCATATTGCTGGGCATTTTTGACCTTGAGCCCGCGGAATGGACCACCGTAGCGTGCTAATGCAATCTTACCTTCAATCTCAACACCCAAGGCTAGAAGGCGTTCCAGATCAACTTGTTGGCCTCGACCGATATAGACATACTCGGCCTCAGCGTCTCCGGTGAAAGAGTAGCCATGGAAAGTAGGCACGCTGTTTGGATATGTGGTAACATCATCCTCGGCCAATGCTTCTTCCGTCAATGAAGCAGCCCAAGTGGTTCCATTAGCGTAAGTCAGGGATAAAGAGTGTGATACGGGATAGTTCAAGTAAGTATCTGGGGGGTGGATCAGATAAAGTTCAAGGATTGGAGATATCAACACGGACAATACGACGCCAACCCCGCTTTGAAGCCATACTCATTCCAGCGATCGGCGGTCCACTGAGCCATTGACTTATTGGTGCCCGCTAGGTGGAGGCCATGAGTGTAGTAATAGGACCACGATTCAATGGAAGTATTGTCGAATGAGTTGATTAAGATGGCCTCAGACGGATCCAGGACGGGAGGAAAGTGTGTCTCCTGCCGCTTTAAAAGCGCAGTGTGAGGGTTAAATGTTCGAAGCTGGTGGTGCTCTCGCTGGCAAGCCAGCACAGAAGACGTCGACAAAGCCAGCAGGGTCAGAGACGTTGTTGTCTTCATTTTGGCAGAGCATGCAAATCCAGCGGAAGTTCAGGAAGCATACCTCCTCCAGAGTCGGAGCCGTCCTTGATATACCTCTTTATCGCCCATGAAGCTTGGAAATACAACGTCGATCGCCATTTAGTAAACATCTTGAAGTTACTCGCCTGCCTCATGAAGAAAGGTGACAGGTACATTGCCAAGGTGCCCGAGGATTTATTATCAACATGATAGGAGCCCTCGGGAAGCTGTAAGGCCATGGACAATGCAACCACGGAACCAGGGTTGTAAGAAGTAGGAATGGAGCTGCCTGTTCTTGGCTTGAATGCATAGTTATCAACCGAAGCTTGGACAGCGTCATTGAGCGAGACGGGTCTGGTGTATTGGGAGTGTGGAATTGGGATAGATAGGCAGCATATTTCCACGTGATGCTGTGACGCTGCCTGCCACGTGATGAGGAGGCCCAGTCATGTGATACTGGTCTTGGCAAGCTGACTTTAAAGAGATGTCGCTTTGTACGTTGGTGCCTCAAAGGGGTAATGAATATCTGTCATCATCCGCGTATCAACATTGATCAGAACCCCGGCTTATTTCGACTCTTCATCTCCTATATAGATCCCACCACTCCGCCGATTGCTGGAGAAACCTTCAGCGGAGGGGATTTCATCCACGATTAATAACGTATCCATCTCACGCGACCCAATCACTTCCACCCTCATTACCTGCCAACCCTTCAACCTCTACAGAATGGTGAGTCTCATCCATCTAGTTCCAGTATCTCAGAGTCTCACCCGACCAAGGCCCAAACACCAGCTCAGCGGAGAGCAAACGAGAAGCATGCGAAAGGCGTGGAAAAGCGAATGGGCAAGCCGGAGTCCGCCTACAAGAAGAAAGAAGTCAAGAAATCTCCCGTCAGCATGGCAGTTGTTGGTATGCGTGCTCGATAATCCTGCAGTTAGGTTCGCCCCAGTTAATGAAAATTAACAGCTCTTCTCGTTTTTGTGGTCATTGCCCCAATCATCATCGAGCAGTTACGGCTGGTACCACCGATTTGGCAGTTCTTCGTGAATCTTCTGGCCAAGATTGGTCTGGTGTCAAAGTGAATCTCGAACTCGAATGGCTCTTTTGAATCTTCTCGGTCGACGGAAAGGTTGATTCTCATTAAGAGGACTGGCTAAGGGGTGCTGCCACCCTATTTAGATCGAAATACGGCGTCTGGATTACAATACCAGAGCTACTCAGGACATGTTGTCCTGAAAAAAATACCCTACTGTACACATTAACCTCTATGCAACGGTCTCTTTCCTTTCACGCTCGTTCTCGTCGATTTGATGTGAAATTATGTGTGCTCACCAACGGCTCATTCTTAATAGGGAATGCCATTTGTCAAGAGCTGGAATTCGTCGTAGACCTTGGTCGTCACATTTGCCGCGCTCTTCTTGATACATCCAAGCATGAACTCCGCTGCCTCTCTGTCCGATTTCTCGAGAACAAATCGATTCTTGAAGTTTCGCATAGTTTCGGGTTTGAAGCAGGGTAACCCACTGTCAAGCATTAAGCTCACAAGGTGACTCAGTTTGTCGCAGTATTGTCGGCTACACAGAAAGGCTTTGATGGTGAGTTCTTCGAACCATCGATATGATTGAGAAGTATTGGGATCATCTCCACCCATCACCGCAATCATTTCCGGTGTCAGTTTGAAAGGAGCTCTCTCAAATTTGACACCGCCAGGGGCAATATCAAAACAGAATCCGAAATCAACGTGAAGAATGTGTCCTTTGTCGTCAACCATGATATTTCCGTTGTGGCGATCCTTGAATTGGAGCAAATAACTAATGACCGAGTACGCCGCCATACTTTTGACGAATTCATTCCTTGCTTCTTGGTATCGAACGGAATGTTCGCCGCCGTATTTGGTGATGAAGTAGTCATGAAGACCGTTCACAGCTTCACGGCCCAGCATGTCACGACTGATGGAATTGGGAAGAACGTCAATGACGCCACATCCCGGTGCCGTTGCCGTAACTCGGTATGGAAAAACATAAACGTCCAGTCCCACGGAATTGAAAATCCCACGGAAAGCCGCGATCATCTGTAAGGCCAGCACGTCTTGTCGACAATCATCTCCGACCTTGAAGATGGCACTCTGCCAAACCTCGTATGTTGCCGGATTTGTCTCGTTTAATCCGAGGCTGGAGATGTCACTGGTATTTCGGCGACTATGACCTCGGCGAATATTTGGCGGACTTTTGGGGGTTGCTTGTCTCATCGCACCGGTATCCTCCGGAACTTCCCTCGTTTTACGGATTCTGAATGTCGCCATATAAGGTGCTTTGGCATGCGATTGCAGTGGCTTGCCGGACTTTCGATCAATGCCGACCACAACGCCGTCGGGATTGCTGGGAAGATATACCCCTACTTCAACTTTGATTTTGCGGAGCTCTTCCTCGATCTTGGCTTTCTTCTCCGGTTTGCTCTTTTTGATAAAAGGCTTCAGCTTTCCGGATATGTCGGTGACTTCACCAAAGAATGCAAATTCGCGTTCGTAGAATTCTTTGTCTTCGTCAGAGAAACTTGAAATCAGGCTGTCCATGACCTTGTCCAACGTTGGCTTGACCGGGTCAGGTTCTTGAGAATCTTCGTCCTTGTAGGCGTTTGCCTTCATGTTCCAGATGATTTGATGGGCAAACAATTGCGAGAATTTGCCGGTCTCGATAATGTACCGCTCCACATATCCAAGCGCGTCGTAACGTAAGCTCTGTACAATTTGAGGAACATAAAAGAATGTGACATCAACCGAATGACTTTCAAGCGCTCTCGTCGCATATTGCAGCACAAATGGGTGGTTCCCGAACGCAGGAAGGAAATATGTCACGGCCTGCATGGGGTTGACCGGGTGCCAGTAGAGCAGATATTTCAACTGGAAGGAGACATCTGATGGTAAGGCATCCCCTAATAACAGATCGACAGCGTTTGGCTCATCCAAGGCCTTGTCTGGAAAGTTAACAAGCAAAAAGCGCACATCACGGCGAAGTTGCTCGTTCGGGAACCGCGTCACCAATTGGAGAGCGAGGGCGGGATTTTCGGTCCATGCCGTGCGAGCATATGCCGCGACTTGGGTTTCGGATTGACTATGGTGTTCCGTGCTAGTCAAAGGTGCAAGCCAAACATTGAGACGGTTGATTTCGTTCGTGAGAAGAGCTTCTAATAGGTCATGTTTTTGCTGAGGGTCTCTTCTGGTCGCCGAGGCCATGTAGATAGGCTGCCTGGTGCTTTGTAGCATAACCAAAACGTCCTGCATCACTTGAATTTCAGCCTTTATTTGGAGGCGATTCCCGCCAAATGACCATGCGGGTGGTTTTGCAAACCACTGAAGACCGACTGAAAGAATCAGATCCTTCAGCTTCCACGTACAGAGTTTGCTTAGACAAGTGCTGAATTTGACAACTTGCAAGGCGAACAGAACCAGGTGAAATTGAATCTCCCGGAGAAGTGGATGTCCTTTGATTTGAAGGAAGCCACGAAGTGTCCGCTCAAGCATTCGAACAAAAGTTCGCTGAGTATTGACACTGCCCAGTCTGATTGCATTGAAATGGCTTTCAAAAAATTGTATCAATCTGAAATGGGGAGAAATGGTATTGTGTGCGGTTTGCGCCTGCCTATGAATCGCAATCCTATCGGACGGAGCAAATTCTTCTTTGACATAGAATGGATCGGGGTGTCGAAATTGAGGGCCAAAGATACCCTCTTCTCGGTCAATGGTCTTTTCCCAAGCTTGGGCGACCTCTGTCAGTATTCTTGGCTCCATTCGGGAATTCTCATGAATTACTCCAAGCCAAAGAGATATACCGAGTTTGATCGAATCCTTCGTAAAGATGGCCAAGGGAATGTGGACCAAGTGGCGCACAATTGCTGTTTGGGATTTCTTGCTTTGGCACAGGAGAGCCGCAGCACGACGAAGAACATCCTTCACTTCAGACACCTGAATAGGAGTTGGTTGTGTCGTTCTGTTGTGAAGATCCTGAAGAGCATCTTGCAAAATTGGCGTCGTATCAACGGATGGACGTCCGACAGAAGATCGACGTCCAGTCGCATTGTCGATATAAAGATAACCTCGATGGTGATCCGGAATACCAGTAAATCGATATTCCTGCCGGGTAGTGTACTGGGCCATAAAATCAGAAGCCATATTAACGTTGAGAGACTCTCCTTTCCTGTCCAGGGCATTGAGCCGGTGATCCATGGGCGGAATCATAGAGCCCATTTCAAGAGCAAATGATCTGCCCAAAGAAACGTGTCCATAGGCACCAGTATCATCAAATTCCGAAAGATAAGTCTGAAGGAGGCCCTTGACATCTAGAGGGGCAACGCCCATCACAGTAGTCACCCACTTCTTGGCATCAATATATAGATTGTTCAAGGTGCGTTTGCGAAACGCGTAATCATCGGACAACTCGATGGTAATTTTGGCGCGTGTGGAAGTGAGCGTGGGCCTCCACTCATATTCGTCCACATCTGCTTCCAAGCAACTTGACCACATCAGCGAGAGTAATTCCAGCAAAGCGAACAAACTGGATTTCTGGCACAAGGCAGAGGGAGTAAAAGTGATGATATGGTTGGCTGAAGCTCTTGCCACTTCTTGCATCTTGCTACTTCGGTGACAGCAGCCACTGAGGATTTGCGCGAGCTGTCGAGAAACATACGGAGCACCGAATTCGTCTTCCTTCGCTGTAATTACTTTTTGCGTGTACCTTTTCACCACTTCGTTTGCAATTGAGCTTAAGCACAATCCCATATAACTAGTCTGTGTCGTTGGATCTGTGAAATAATCAAGGATCTCAGCGCAGCTCCCAGAAATAGCACGGAGGCTCTCCACGAGGAACACCGCGTTCAGAAAGACGACTTTCTGGTAACTCAATCTGCTGATATCGGACTCTCTCTCGGAAATGGCAGCAATTAAGTTCTTCCTTTGGTCAGCGGTATGTTGCGGACTCATTCCTCTCCGCAGGACGGTGTTAAGTTCCACATCAGACTCCAAGAGTTCGGCGCGATCAAGGTCGACCAGTGGTAGGGAATTCATCGCCAGCAATCGAAGCTCATGGTAATATTGCTGACCGATGCGTGACTGAAGAGTGATGCCATGAACCGCAATGTTGTACCAAACTTCGCGTCCCATAGTCAGGACGTCGGCATCATCAGCCAAGGTACCCTCGAGGGTCAGAGCGGGCTTTCGGGAAGCCAAGATAGAAAGAGGCTTCAGAAGAGGTGCTATCTCTTTCGCAGCCTGTTCGACCTCCGCAGATTGTTTGAACTCGCCTTCAACAACATCTCCCTTGCTGAGGATTCTTTCCAAGAGGTGCATTGCGAAAATTTTGAAGAGTGGTGATCTGTTGTCCAAGTTCATGGCCAGGTATTCCTGACCGTTGCGAACTGCTTCAAAGATGATGACATTTTCTTGCACAACAGCTTCGCGATGTAGTCGAGCGTAGAGTCTCAACAGTGCTTTGAACTCATTTTCCTTGCCATGAATGGCAAGTTTGGCGGCTTCTTCGATGATGCGGCCATCAACCACCAAGTTGATTCTTCCCACTTTCTGCAACATCATCATTTGCACCAGGGCCATGATTTTGCTGTCATTACACTTGGTTGCAATCGTCACAATCGCGTGAGCGACGTTTCCGCACACCAGCGACGTTTCTTCGTCGCCGCTGAGAGAAAGAGAAATCACACTTCCGGTGCGTAGTCTCGTTGTGGATGACAATGAACCGTGGTGGCCATTAACATCGGTAGTCAGAGGATGGTGAGCCTTCTCCGCGCCGGTCTGTGAGCTGAGAATGTTCCCAAGTGAGTATATCGTTGTAATCACAGCATCTTGTGACAACATCCTCAAAATATGGGATAGGCTTTGTGCAGCAATGGCCACAGCAGATGGTCGTGAAGTCCCCCGAACAATAAACCTCAACAAGATGCGCGCAAAACTGGATGCCCCTTCTGGTATGTATTTTGCAGCGACAGCTAAACTCTTCAGAGCAACGCCTGCCAGTTCAAAGTCTGCCATCTGAACTTGATTTGCGATTGAATCCTCTAGCCACCCAAAAAGATCCTCCGGGTCTGCAATATCTTCGTCAAGCACCACACAGTGAAGAAAAGCTTCTAGCGCGTAAGCTTTGACGGAAAAGGCCAGCCGCTGCTGCCAGGCCGAACTCAGCTGTAAGTAGTCTGAACCATCTTCCAAGACACGTATTTGATCCGTGATGATCTCCACAAGATACTCCACCATGTCGTCGGTGACAAGTTCATCCCTGGCGCGGTTCAGATGGGTGCCGGAAATATATTGATCAAGAATATCGCCGCACTGGACTGTGTGTTCGTCGCAAAGCATTCTGGCTGTACATGCAAGAACAAGCTTCATGAACCCCCTCTGCAACATCATTGCGCCAACCGGCGTGCCTTGGGCGGCGAATCGCTTGAGATACTTCCTCCAGTCTCGTGTGGTAATGTCCGAAGATGTCGAGTTTCGAATCGCAGAAGAAGCAGTCTCGACAGCAATCAGAAAATTTTCGGACAAGGCATCCCTCAAAGAGCGGATCAATTCCACCCTTTCATATGAGGACCAGAAGTTCTCGTGCAGTGCCGCTGCATCCATGAAGCCAACCAGTGACACCGTGACCGCCGCAATTTCCTGGGCTTCAGTCTCATTATCTTCATCTTGCTCACCAAGTCCCACCGAGGTCAGTGCTGCCGCCGACTGGGACCAATTGTGAACATATGACTTAATACTGTATGCGACAGACTCTTTCAATGGAGGAAATCGGAGTCCAAGTACCAGGAGGGCCTTGGTGAGCTCATAGGTCAGAGCCGTCCACGGCGCGGGTCTGATTTCATGTATGAAGGGTGACGACGAAAACAGCTGAGAATGGGCTTCTGGGAGATAGGTCGTCAATTGTTTAATGAGACATTCAGCGTGTGGCAGGTCATGCAAGGACTGGGCACTACTACAGAGAGCAAGGAGGACATCGATTTCGCGAGGCGTCATGCATGTTCGAGACGCCGGTGCAATGGCTCGAAGGACTCCATCGAGGACACCGTTCCCTTGACTCTTGCGCGGAATCGACGAGATGAGGCGTTTAAAGTCTACCTCTTTGGTAAGAGATCGGTGTGCAGAGAGGGTAGCGAGTTTGGCAAAGGCCTGCCGGCGCAGACCACCATGGCCGCTGCAGCATTGTTAGTTGGGCATATGGTAGAGACATTGGAATCGTACACGTCCATCTGTTTCGGCCGAAGGCGGTCTCACGCAGCTCTGGAGAAGAATCTGCGTTAAGTCGTTGGTAAACTTCGCATTGGGAAAATGGTGATGATGTTTAACCCAGCTCGTCATGTTAGAGATGTTTTGCTGAAATGGCAAGCTAGACCAAATCGGGTAACAAAAGAAATCTCTCTGGATCCCTCGTACGCGGAGTCCCGAGTACAGTCAAGAAGCTTCACAAAGTTTATGAACGGCGACGTCGTCCGATCATACGGAACTATTCTCGGACCCGATAGATGGATTCAAAGCTCTGAGTAATAGCATTGTTTCATCGAGCTGTCTGCTGTTGGTCCAATCCACTGAAAATCCCTAAATGTTACTTCCCTGAGGTGCCACAACCCCCAACCTTTGCCATTGCATTTTAGACATCCATGGAACCGTTGAGATGGAATTCTCCACTAAGCCTTGTCAGCTCTCTTAAATTTAGGAAAACAATTACATGGCAACTAACAGACTCCTGCACATCGTAATATCCGTGATTCAGACACAAGAACTTGTGAGCACGGGCCTTCAAGCTTTACTCCGAACGAGAGATGATATCTATCGTGCTCAACTGCTTTAAAGAAGACACACTCGATGGTATTTATCTCAACCTCTGATTTGTTTCACCGCTTGAAGGTCAAGGTACTCCGTACACCGAACAGAGAAGACTCGCTCTCCGCAGAAACAAGAGAATTGTTCCGGCCCAAACTAACCTGAGCCAGCAAGAATCAATGCCCGGACTCCCGACGCACGATAGCAAAATGGACAAGCCGTTCGAGAAGTGGAAATGCGGAAAGTGTGGGATCAGATTCACCCAAAGTCAGTATCCGAATAAGCCTTCATAACCAAAACAGGGACGATTTCAATGCTAATAATTTGCTCTTGGATTCAGAGTCGTCCCTCTCACGCCACCGCGAACGATGTCTCAATGACATACCATCTCTCGGCAGACGTAAAGCCTGTAGTGAATGCTCTGGCTCCAAAACCCGACGTGATCTTAAGCGCTCAAAATGCAGGCGATGCGAGGCCAAGGGGATTCAATGTAGCTATGCACCCCCTGCTTCTCCTGAAGACGAAAATTCCGCCAGCAGAGCGAGGTTGGGTAGCCTAAGCACTGCAGAATGCAGTTTCAAAGGCTCCTCGGCCCCATCAACAGCAGGCCGCACCAGTTTGAATATGTTGGAGGTACTACAATCTCGACACACTACAAGAGGTTCTTCCGACACGGTGAATTTGTATCCTACGATCGATGGCCCCCCTGCTTCAGTGTTATGCATGACTTTAGTCCTCAGAGTCCTCAGAACATATCCTAATATGTTCATCGATGGGCAACCCCCCCCCCCCCCCCCCCCCTTCCCCTTTCATTCACTGGTCGCAAATGGATGGGGAGGTCATGCCTCCGCTTCTGGAATGTACCGATATCCTATCTCGGCTAGAGAAGAACATCACCTCGTCTAACCTCGTGGTTGAGAATGATGCTGCCAGTGAGATTATTATATTGCTCGCAGAGGTACGGGGGTTCGCAGTATAACCATCACGACTTTCGCCAGTCTTGTTGTTGCGTACTAACTATTTCCAAGTACCAAAATCACGACGAAAAGAATCTTCTAGCTTCCGTGCAGGCCTACATACTTTACAGCATCGTTCTGTTGTTTCAGAGCAATCGACAGAGCCGGACTCACCGAGCAGATCAAATCCTTATAATAGCCTACAAGATATCACATTAGAACTGGCCAAGACAGGACTCTTACTGGAAGCAGAACTACAATCAGGCGTACCTGCATGGCAAGAATGGGTTTTGATGGCTGCTAAGCGACGCACGATTCTTGCCGCACATATGTTGATGTGGGCGTGGTCATTGAAAAATAGATATCCTCCATTTGCTTGTTTTGAGATCTCCTTTATGCCGACTCCAGCTCCAAAAATGCTCTGGCACGCACAAAGCGAAGGATGGGAGAGCCTGTATAGTAATAGGTTGAGCGGGTGGCTGGATGGTGGTCCACAACGTCTCGAAGAACTGATGGTCATTGGGCCCGAGATTGAGATAGCTCCGCGATCACAAAGATGGCTTGAAGAAGCAGATGAGTTTGGCGTACTTCTCATGTCCGAAGGTAAGAACAAGCTCATATCTTACGACACAGGACCTTTTGGACTTACCCATGCAGTCAACGCCGTCAAGTGATAATCAATGAGCTGCGAGGGCGCCAGCCATCTGATTGATACCCGGAAGTCCGAGTACGTCAGCCTCCTTCATACTCACCACTTCGCAATATAAAACGGTGGCCATGCCTTGCCTTTGCTCCCCATCGACCCATAATCCATACAGGAATCAGCTGTTGACAACGATGGGTGCCCCGGACGAACGTACGACATCGCCTTGTTAGGAGCCAGTGGCTTCACAGCCGTTTTCGTCGCGGAGCACATTGTCACTAACTTCCCGAGCAACCTGCGCTGGGCGATCGCCGGAAGGAGCACTACAAAATTAGATGATCGAAAACAGAATCTAAAGAAACTCAATCCAAATGGACCGTTACCAGGAAACATAATAGTATCTCATACAATGGGGGAAATGACTAACCGAAGAAGCTGTCGAAAGAATAGACATTATCAACGACAGCCTCGACAATTTCGCTCGCAGTACCACTGTCTTGATTAACGCCGTAGGTCCATATTCATCATACGGTACACCAGTCCCAGAGTCATGCGCCAACAACGGCACCAGCTATCTCGACTTCTCCACCGAAACACCATGGATCGAGGAGATGATTCGAAAATATCATGCAAAGGCAAAACAAAACTTAGCCAGAATCATCCCTGCCATCGGAAACTCCAGTTCTCCCTCCGCCATCACCGCATATGTGTTGGCAAAGCAACATCAGAAGCTCTACGGCGCACCAGTACAAGAGATTCTCAGCTCCTACGACATGAAGGTCAATGGCATGAGCAGCGGCTCCTTATCTTCTATGATCGACGTCGTCTCTCACTACGGGATCAGTCCCCTACTGTTCCCCAAACCCCAGAGACTCTCCCTTCCCAGTGAAATTCCACAGACACATTTGACAAAACCATTCTTAGGGCACAAATATGATGCCGATCTCGGTCACCTGGCCACCTCGTTCGGTGCGCCTGGTAACGAAGCGGTCGTCTACCGAAGCCAACATCTGCAAAAATCAATCTATGACCCGGAATTCACGTATCACGAATTCATGCCAATGAGGAGCACCACTCAAGCCATCATCACCCACCTTCTGACCAAATTCGCTATACTCTTGCTATGGCTACCACCTTTCAGGGCACTCATCAACTCTTTCAAACCCGAGCCTGGTACAGGTCCATCAAAGGAAGTGGCACGGGGAGAAAGAATCCGAGTCCGCGCCATCGCAAGGGGCAACAAATCAGAAAAGCCCTTAACAACGGAATATTTGTACGAAGGATCTATGTACCATCACGCTGCTATGCTCGCAGCGGAAGCGGCGATGGTTCTGCTGAGTCTCCGGAAAGCCCCGACGGGAAGCAGTCAAAAGGATGAACAATTTGGCATCCTCACACCAAGTTGCCTTGAAATGCCATTCGTTGAGAGATTGAGAAACGCCAGTGTCAAGATTGACGTGTCGGAATAAATTTTTGGGTTTGTCTACATCTTTCGGATAAGTGAAATGGCTACTGGAGGCTGCGCCATCTCTCGTACAAATGAGGTGTGCATTAGATATAGAAGAGAATGCTTGAGATTTAAACGGATGTAACAAAGCCTTCATATGCTTTCTGTGGAACACGAGAATACTATATGCTCCAAAGGAATTAGCATTCGAGTGGAAGGAGACTTGGGCAAGTTGAACCGGTTGGCAGAGGCTCCATTATGGGGACAGGATATCTGGATGGAAGGTAGCATTTCTTTAGACTATCTATATTTGCAGCACCTAGGCTATGCTTTGTGCCAAAAGTCTCTCTCAAGGCCACCTTCTAGCTCTATTGTGACTCAAGAACGGTCCACTATGCTATGAATCCGAAGATGACCGATTTATCGCCTGCAAAAAAAGTTTGTGCAGAAACCTCCATCGCAACAGGAGTTTTCAAAATTCGGCGCATAACTCGTGAATTCTGTGCCTATCACTTGAAGACGTTCGAGGTCATCGACAGAGTATGGACGTGTGTTAGTAACCTTGCGCTTGAGGCCATGGGAGTGATATTCACTCGTCATTCCATACTCCACGATATCAACAAATTCGGAGCACAAGAACATGAACATAACCCCTTTGCTTTCATAAGATGCATTGAGTTTGGATATCATGGTACTCGGCGCGGCTTTGCTGATTGAGCATGGAGCGGTGTTTAAAGAGGTGCGTCTCGTTGATGAAATCTGAGCGCTCGTGTCAGTCAGCCAGGAAGCAGGAGTTTGTTGAGTCAAACGCGGACTAAGATTTCCCATGCCATTTGAGATGGTAACCACTTTCATTGGCAGTGTTGAGTTGGCTTCTTGAGCCATGGACAAATTCGCAAGGCTGCAGTCATGTGACTCACATTGCCAATTTCGACGTTAGTTAGCCCAACAACATGTGAAGCTTCCGAACGGAGATACTCAGTGTCTGTCTCTCCGCTTTTATTTTTGCTTCCACGAACCTGACGATCCTCCGATTGCTGTTAGAGGATTTCATTTATCTTGTCAAGCGCGTCGAACCAACTTGCTCTCTCTCTCTCTCTCTCTCTGTGAATCGAGCGTGTCCGAAGTCGACCAAATCTCCTTCGGAAATAGGCCCGATCCTAACTATAAAAATTTGATATCGCCTCAGATTCGGCGGTAGAGTTTGCGGAGTGTCTTATGGGTCCAAGGAAAGAGAAGAGTAGCCTGAAGCGGAACCGGGTTAGAATGCACAGACATGACATCCAAACATTGAGGTTGACAATGCCTTGCAGAAAAGCACCGGTGACGATCCCGATACAAAGAAGCCTCGCAGATCGCAGAGGATCTCTTCACAACTTCAGAGAGATTCGGTTCAACATACCCCCGTGAAGAATCAATACCTGCCTTCACCTCTCACCAATCGCGAATCTACCGTCACGGAGACCTTCAAAGAACATACAGCCACACCAGAAGGAGGTAGACCGAGTCAGATTCGCCATGTCACGCCGATATCTTCTCCCCCGCTTGTTCCGTTTTCCTCACCTCCTCAAGACACGCAGCCTCTATCTCAATTCGTCTACCCTCCGAGAGACATCGAACCTGACCTCGATGATGAAGACGGTACGTGGGGCTATTTGTTCCCCATGGGCCCAGCAGGTCATCGGTTGGCTATGAAGAGAAGAACGTTCTGTCCGGCTCCAGTGAATCCCCTTGAGATTGCAAGACCGACTGTCAAGAGCCGAAAGCGCCGGGAAAGGGAACTCAATGAAGCAGAAACGGCATATGAGGCGGAGAAGCAGGCCACTGGGTTTCCGGCGGGTGGATACCTCATTGGAAGACATCCCGAGTGTGACATGATCCTTGATATCCCGACGGTGTCAAACCGGCATTGTCTGATCTTCAACGAGACCAGGAATGGTGGTGCGGTTGCTGTTCTTGAGGATCTGTCAAGCAATGGCACCTTCGTCAATGAAGCCATGGTCGGTCGAAATAAACGGAGGGAACTGGAAGATGGCGACGAAATCACAATCTTGGATGAAGCAAGATTCGTCTTCCGATACCCGAAAAGTCGAGATTCGAGCGCGTTCAATTCTCGATACCGAATTCTACAACAATTGGGAAAGGGCCATTTTGCTACAGTTTATCTCTGTGTTGAAAGATCCACCGGGTACAAATATGCTGTCAAAAAGTTCGAAAGACGAATGGGGGAATCCCAACGATCACAGAATGAAGGGCTACAACAGGAAATCGCAGTGTTGATGAGTGTCAGCCATCCAAATGTTCTTTGCTTGAAAGAAACTTTTGACGAACACGACGGAGTTTATCTCATTTTGGAATTAGCTGCGGAAGGCGAATTGTTCAATTTGATCGTGACAAAGCAAAAGTTGACCGAATCAGAAACGCGAAAAGTGTTTATTCAACTATTTCAGGGCACCAAATACCTACACGAACGAAATATTGTCCATCGAGACATCAAACCGGAAAACATCCTTCTTACGGATAAGAACCTTTCCGTCAAACTGGCAGATTTTGGTCTGGCCAAAATCATTGGCGAGGAATCTTTTACAACAACATTATGTGGGACGCCAAGTTGTAAGTTCCAGCCCTCTCTTTTCTTCATACCACCTACTGATCAATCAGATGTCGCCCCTGAAATTCTGGAGAATACCCGTCATCGAAAATATACCAAAGCCGTCGACATCTGGTCCCTAGGAGTTGTCTTGTACATCTGTCTCTGTGGCTTCCCACCATTCTCCGACGAACTATACTCACGAGAGAATCCATATACTCTGGCCCAACAGATCAAGATGGGCCGCTTTGACTATCCATCTCCATACTGGGATTCAATTGGCGACCCGGCACTCGACCTAATTGATCGCATGTTGACGGTCGACGTGGAAAAGCGCATCACAATTGATCAATGCCTTGAACACCCCTGGACGAGAAACGCCGACTATATCAACCCTGCCGACTCGACTGATGGACTCACGGGAGCCATGAGCGCATTGGACTTCTCGAAGAGAAAAGTCCAGCGTGAACGCACCCTGCTCGCCAGCATCAACGACATCAAAGTGAGCAAGCTGGTCGACATCAATGGACAAGGGCTGCACGGTCGACCGCACCAGCCCGGCTCACCGGCACATGTCAAAGTGTGGGAGAAGAATCCAGGCGGCAAGAATATTCGGATGAGTCCGAAACGAGGCAAAAAGGGGGATGACGATGACGCGAAGGAGGAACACCCCGCTGCAAACAGGCAGCCGGAAGAGTTCATGGAGATGGGCGGCAAGGGAGATATGCCGCTGTTCGGCGACGATGACTCGTCCAGGTATCTTCCGGAAGAGGTACCAACGGGCGTGAAATGAACCGAATAATTGAATATGTTAGGAGTGACGGATTTGGATGAAACATGCAGGGATAGTATTTGGTGTTTACCGTTGCCGCTTTATCGCCCGCTGGGCGCTTTGTGCCTCTGCCGCTGTTCTTGCACAGCTACAGTTCCAGGACACCACCACCATAGTATCAAGGAAACCTGGTTCGCGCCGGAACAACGTAATCAACAATATTTAACCGGCAATACTGATCCTGAACAGTTCCATCGAATAATCACATTCAAAGATCCACCCGAAAATCGTACATTCGTCGGCACCAAAAGACCGAAATATGGACTCCGTCAATGTCACTATGGCCAGCTAACCAATTCATAGACAACCTGCCCAACGGAAGCCTCCAAGTCTCGACAGACAGGGCATGGCAGGCGCCTGCTTGACAGCCCAAATTGGGCCAGGCTGGGGTCATAAACTGCTAGTGATATCTTGTAACGACCGTCACTTTTCCCTCCAAGAAGCCCATCCTCGAATATCTCGGCCACGCAGTGAGGAGTTTTCCCAAGATACGAACACACCCATTGGAAAAAGGACACAACAGGTCAGCCTTGGAGAGTTCGGTCCTTCTAAACGGCTAGCGATAGTCGTGACCACTTTATGGTTGCGGGTATACAAGTGTCTCTCCGCCTCCTGCACAAACGAATACATCCGTCTAAGCCTGACTTGACAATTATTGAACTACCGTCGATGCCTCGTGCAGACTCTGGAGGCCTAGAGAAATGCTGAGTTCGAAGTATGCGGACAGCAGGCCTTTTAGGTATATCCTCACCGCCCTTAGAACTTTGCCACTGGCCTCTTGCTTTGTCCTCGGATAAATTCCAGCATATCTTTTCTAAGCAGTTTATGGGGAAACCTCACATCACTTGTTGCTGCTTTTGTTTTCCAGATTATCATCTCTTTGTGGGCGGGTTCTACGGGTCGCCAAATCGTCTTTGTGTGGTAATTCATGAGTAAGATTTTGACAATGGTTGGGGAATGGGAGTCATGCGTGTTGATCGTTTGGAGCATGTCGAGAAGCATAGTTGGCCATTCGTGTTGAAGATCAGGTGTATACAGTGGCTGCGCATCTATAATGAGATATATCAATGGCAGACCACGCAAAACTGTTTTAAGGATCTCAAGAAATGTTCTCAAGCTCTCTGCATAGGATAAGCTAGCACAGATCTTTCCAAGCGTAGCTTCAGTGTGCCATTGTGAATTTCTGATTAGTGCTTGCTGTATCAGGCTTCGTAAAGCGTAGGTAGCAAGTGTCTCCGCACTTATGTTGTCCTTTCGAGTCGAATTCATGACCCATATCACGGGAATAGATTCTTTGGCTAGACTCTCCACCATAGCGACACCAAACGCCTGTGCTTCAACGCGATGGGCGTAGTGACATTGAATCGCAACAAGGGCAGATTCCGTTGCCCTTGACCATGCCTTGAGTCGGGGCGAGAGAAAAAGGTCGGAAAACCCGACAAACTTCCCCAGGTTTTGCTTGGCGAAACGAAAACGTATCCGCCGCAGATTCAAGTGGTTGTCGAGACATGGCGACAGCAGACACTGACTTAATATTTGATTGATCTGAAGGGTAGACAGCTGGGTATTTGTGTCAAGTTGAGAGGCGGAGGCCAGAGAGAATTGCTGGGCAGTGGATTTGCGGTGGTCAGCAATCTGGGCCTGGACTTTCCGGAACTCGTTCAGCAACTTGGAACTCATTTGCTGGAAGACATGTTGAGACGCGTGGACAGCAGCAGCGTTGGCGTCGGCCCTTGCCGAAAGGTGTCTCATATTGGTTTTCACGGAGCTGACGGCTGCCATGATCCTGATATGATGTTGGCGAAATGTATCACTTAAGGCATCAAAGTTGTCCGAGATTTCGGAGCGCAAAGTGTTTGTGATGTTGGTCAGGTCGACTACTCTGGATCCAAGTTGATATACCTCGGTGTGTATATCAAGTTCCAAACCACAGTCAATAAGTTGCAAACATGTGTTAATGCGTTGGGTATGCATCAATGCCGCGATAGTGATGGAGTTGAACTTTTTCCCATCTGCGGCAATCTTGATCTTTTTCCAGACCCTATGTATGCCGTGAATATTGCTCGTCTCCAGTTGTCTTATCAGGGAGATCCAGGACCCAAGATCCTGCTGGCATCGTGAGACACAATTGCGCAGGCATGTAACCTGGTTTGATGGACATTTGGAGTGGATCATGTCAGAACTTGCGGCATTTTTGGTTTGAATGAGAACCTGTTGGAGCAGTTCGAGGTCTTGTGATGCCCTCAAAACGTCACCGTGCGCAGCCTTGTACGCTCTACAGAAATCGTTAATAGCGGTGATGGCCTCGATCGATTGCAGTACTAAACTGACAATGCCGGCAATTGACGCCGTCTCACCCAGTCCAGCCGCCATTACTCTTATCAATGGGCCTTTAGGAGAAACTTGTGACAATCATACGCAAACTATGGCTTCAGATGATTGAAAGCGTCGATCTCAAGGTTGTTCAACAAGTGAGGCTTAGTTGGGAAATGTATCAGTTGGAAGATTGCACATTCGGGTCATCCGCCAACGCAACAACCGGGCAACTGAAAAAGCACCCAACAAGGCGCTTTGGTTTTCCTCACCGGTTGGCTCTGTGGAAATCAAAATGCTGTGTTGCTATAGGCCCAAATGCTGAGTCACGTGACTGAACTGTAGCTATTCGTCAGTAGTTCTACGCTAAACCTGATATAGATACATACTAACCAGCAATTCTCCACATCAACAGGGATGACAATCAATCATTTTCCGTACTTCGTTCGGGCAAATTCTCAATCCAGGTATGCCTTTTCACTGCAGGTCATTGTCGGGCTGACCGTCATCACTTAGGCGCCATTCAAATTCCACTTTCAGCCTTATTTTCTTTCCTATTCATAATAGTCTCCAACTTGCACATGAATAGCGGCTTTTTCTTTCTCTTTTCATCATGGGAAACAGCCTCAACGACATTTCTACCTCACCTGCAGAAATGGAGATGGATGCTCCCGCAGTGGCAAACAATGAAATGGAATCTCAAATGCCAGCGGGGCAGAGTAGTCAAATAGAATCCGATTTCACCATTGACACCCCAGAGGATCAGTTTGACGCACCCATATTTACTGAAGTATTTTCAGGCTCGGAAGAAGTAGAATCTGCCCTCCAAAGCTTCCCAACTTCTTCTCCCCCAACTCATTACACCATCTCAGATGACAGGTCCTCTTCAGGCCAACATTCGAAGAACTTGCTGGCTGCGCTAAATCCAAAAGTTTATGCTTCGGCTGAGTCTCACGACTACCACAAGAAGTCGCGCCTAATACGGGATGCTAGTCTTGGGGTTGGACCTCCATCTTCACGGATGGATGGCTCCAGAACATCGTTAGGTATGATTATTTTCCTGATCGAGCCCTGCATGAAGATAACAATGGTATAGAAATTCACTCTCCTCACCCGTCAGTAAAATCCAGCTTCATGAAATCTTCTTCAACTAGCACCAAGGCACAGCAGCACCTCTCGACTCCGAAGCCACCTCTGACAAACGCACAGACTGCCGATCAAAACAGGCAGGATGCAGTTTCAACGAAGAGGTAAAACTGTTCTGTCCACCCTTGAAATCGTCTCTACTGACCTCAAAATCTGTGCAGCGATCTGGATAGCCACGTCGTTCAGAGGGCTTGTATCGCAAAATCGTTTCCCGATCATCGGATCAGCGCAGTCAGAAGACTTTCGACCTTAACCCAGAACATCTGTGACATTGGAGGCGTTATGGCCCGAGAATCGACTTTGGTAAGCAGAGAGAGCGCAAACAATAAGACTACGAATCTTCCCGGGGCCTGCGTGGAAAACGAAAATTCGAAAGCCGGAGAAGGATACCGAGACTCCAGGAGTAGTCATGCAAACCCCTCGATTAATTCAAATAGATCTTCCCCCCGGTTGAGCGATCGAAGCTGTAGGTCCTCTCTACAGCAGCCATACCATGTGTCAAGATCCACACGGAATCAAGAAACCTTTGAGCGTCTCAATCTGTTTGAACAATTCTTTCTGTCTCTGAATCTGAGTCCAGGAGACTCGTTCATTCTTACGAGGCCCCCAACTGGGGAAGATGATCTTTCCTGGGTGCACAACACGACCAAATTGTCTCAAGGCAATATGCGTCCGGCATGTGGACCAAATGAAGATGTGACTGTTGACGCCTTGCTTCTGAAACAGTACATTCAAAATTTAAGAGATGAAAAAGAGAAATTACGGGGGTCTCAAATTGGCCATAGCATTCTATACCAGTTTCCCCACTCCCAAGTCGAACCACGTTGGATTGTTCTCTACAAAATCGATTCAAACGCCGATGAGGTTTATTTCGATCGTCCGGAATGTGTAGAAGATGAGGCAGGAAATAGATTCCTGAGATCCACCATCCCACTTCGAAATTTGGAATTGTATCTGGAGAGAAACAAGGACATATCATTTGTTGTGTTTGAGGTATTCGCAGCAAGATCATCGTCGACATCACAGAGCCATACTGTCTTCAGCCGTGAAGGAGAATCATCCATCGCTCCTCTATCTAGATCCATTTATCCCGTCTCATATGATCTCAAGCAAGCACTGGAATGGTTACTCGACTCCCAGGAGTCCTTTGACGGCTTCAAGAAAGAATATGATCGCACTGGGCTGATCAATGATCCCTGTATCTTCTTCTATCACAGCCGTGCATCATACAATCCAGAAGATGAAAGTTTACACTCTGACACCATCCGTCATCTGAATCTGCTTTGGAGCTATATCAACCGAGACTTTGGTCAAGAATATGAACGTGTCGATAACATGCTTCAGCGCGGTGTCACCTGCCCCGGCTTCATCAAGTATCTATTCTGGCGTGATCAAATTGTTTTGATGAAAAAAGGGGGATATTACCAAGGATTTATCACTACAGACTGGCCCACGGTTGAGAGCAACGCCAATTTCGATGGTGAATCAAGTAAGCGTTCGGCGAAGAACACAGGACGAACAGGCCCGTCGAAAACCAATCTCGATGAAAATGGAGTTAAAGTGAGGCTCATGGCTAGTTGCTGGGAATTCAATGGGCATTTCAAGAAGATATCGGTTCCCCTGGCAAGTGAAATCAAAGGGAATGGGCATGAAGAACTCCTTATTCGAGATCTCGACTTTTACCCAATCCAATTCGCAGACAAAGAGCTCGTAGCTCACCTACGACATCGCGGAAGACGACTCTGGGATTGTCGGCAAGGCATGTTCGTGTCGTATACGGGACAGGCAGTGGATGCCTCTGGGTCAGGGAGTGGCGTTGAGAGATACATGGTGGATCCGATGACCTACCTAGGCATGCATGGGCACATCAAAGATCAGCAAGACGATCTCGGGCCAGACGCATTTGCTAAGGCAGATCCTCCAAACGATGACTTTCTCCTGCTGCTTCCGCCGCAAATCAAAGGCTTCTGCATTCGAGACAAGAAGTGGCGAGACCTAGATGTGGACCTAATTGAAGATATTCAGTGGAATGAAAAGGCCTTCGACAGTCTCGTCTTGCCTGACAAAAGCAAGAAGATCATTAAAGCACTCGTCACTAACCAGGGGGGAGCCGACAAAGGCTCTGATTTGGTTCAGGGAAAAGGCAACGGTGTAATTATTCTCCTTCACGGGGGCCCGGGAACCGGCAAAACCTTGACAGCAGAGAGTATTGCAGAGATCACCAGAAAGCCGCTTTATCGAGTGACCTGCGGTGACATCGGAACGGAACCGGGAGAAGTGGAGGGGTACATGGAGTCAGTCTTTAGACTGTGCAAGATCTGGAACTGTGTGGTGCTGCTGGATGAAGCCGACGTTTTTCTTCAAGAGAGAAATCTTCAAGATCTCCAACGCAACGCCATAGTATCAGTCTTCTTGAGGGTCCTTGAATACCACGAAGGCATCCTGTTCCTGACTAGCAACCGAATCGGTACTTTTGACGAAGCGTTCAAATCCCGCATCCAATTGTCCCTTCATTACGATGCTTTGGGTCTACCACAGCGCAGGAAGGTGTGGCGCAATCTCATCAAGCATCTAGAAGACATGGAAGAGGAGGCGGTTGATTACGAGGACCTGAGAGACCACATTGACGAGTTGGCAGGAAAGCCATTGAATGGGCGGCAAATTCGAAACTGCATTACTTTGGCCAGACAGCTGGCGCAGTATAATGGGGACAAATTGAAACACGAGCATTTGGAGGATGTGATCCAGACGCAAGCGAATTTTGACAGTTACACCAAGACGCTGAATGACGATATGACGGATGATGAGAAGGCGAGGGAACTCCAGATCCGATGAACGTTGGGCTGAACCAAAACCCCCTGAAAAGAGAAATGCAAAATGTCGGACACCGCTGGAAGAACCGATAGTGACCCTGACTCTCGATCTTCGTAGATTGCCCCTTTCGGAGGCTGTTTTGTCAGGGAGCGAAGTCAGCGCGCAAACAGCAAATTCGGGCAGCAAATTAATAAATTAACCTTCTGAGAATCTTTCTGAGAACGGCTGGGCATTGTGCACAATTCACCTGAATTGTCACCAGTAACTACTAATGCATGCCTTTTCCATGAGTAATTGCAGCGACATCTAGGTTGGTTATATTGCCATTCCTGGGATTGCTACCCGGTTCGGTTACTTGGCCATACACTGGGGAAGCTCTGCGCGTTTCCACTGCTGTCAAGTTGTCCGTCTTTTTGCAAAGCAGAAACTTTCTGTGCTCCCGCGGCCATTGATTTAGCCACAGATATCCTTCAAGAGAGACAGGGAAAAATGGTGGGGACATACCCTTCTGCCCGCCTTCCAGGGCTTGACCTTGATCTACAAAGTACTCACGAGCGGATTTTGAACGAAACCTTGCCCTATAGGCAGCTCACATGCCTGTTCTGGAGTGATGAGCAACCCAGCAAACAGCCATGAATGCGGAAATGTCATAAAGCCTCATTATTTTGCACCCATATTCTCTTGACCAACCCAGAAACAAGTAAATGATGCCGGGGCCGGATCTGTACTGTGTGTTGACTCGACTGGGGCTCTTGCGCTCAATTGACTGCAGGGATTAGCAATGTTCTTTCCGGCAATGTCGGGGAATTTTCGCTCAGGGTTAATGTTACCGCTGGGTGCAATGGCAAATAGTGCCTGTGCAGGCTGGGCCTAGATCCGAAAGAATATCGCCAAACAAGTCGAACATTTGTGGTCTTCGAACAAGATGCGCAGTCAAGATGTTGATAAAGCACATTGACAGTCAGTTTTCCCCGATAAGATATCCTGCACCTATACTTTGATCCTTACATGAATACACAAGTGTAGTAGAGCTCAGTGGTCAAGTTGCTCTTGGTGGAGGACCACTTGATTCCAAGAACGGCTATTTCATTCAACCCACTGTCATTAAAAACATGGCCCGCGATACGATAACCTGGAAAGAAGAAGTCTTTCGCACCAGTCCTCGGAGTGTACAAGTTTGAACTTAGGAGGAAGGAGTCACCCTTGGCAATGACTACGATGTTGGGCTGGGAAGCTTTATTTGTACCTCGAGTATAGCGCGCAGCTGGCGTGTTGCGGAAGAACTGCAAGTTGGCATGGTAGGTGTTAGCTTTGGTTTATTCAGTGTGGCAGAAAACCCCTTCGGTGGTGTCAAAGAGAGCGATTATAGCAAAGAAGGTGGACGACAAGGTATCGACGAGTACTTACACCATAAGTCCATATTTATCCAAAGTCACCATCCGACCCAAATTATACACAGCATGAGATATACTGGGCCGGCTACATTCTGTGGCTCTTCGTGTTCGTCTGCATGCCCTTTTCATGGCCATCACCGCGTGACTAGCCAGCAACGAAAGCCACTCCTTGTGGGGTATTGTACAGTTCTGCGGCTAGGAAATCGATACACGAAATGTTGTGGTGTGCTGACCACCGTATGGGCGAGCACGGCGACAAACCGTGACGGAGGGCCACGGGAGGCGTTCGAAATCCACGGTATTGACCACAGAAAACTGCGGAGTCTTCAAAAGACTCCCTCGGCGGCGGACCGGTACCAACGAGGTGCATATTTTCTGGCATAAACCTACCCGCTCTGTGTGGCTCGAGTCTGGAAATGATGAGATTACTAGACGAGTAAGTGGCAAGCTCAATGAAGGGACGTATCAAATTTCTGGCCAGACTGTCCAAGCCGACCTGCCTACACACAGCTCCTTTTCTACTTGTCGGGTTTATAGCCCCCTGAATTGGATAGTTCTTAGTGCGGAATATCCCCGTATTCTCCAGTGGAAGATGATATTGCCAATTCCATCTCTTGGAAATCTTATTATAAAAAAAAAAACTCGGCACATGGAGTTGGCGAAGTTCAATCCCCCATACGAACCCAGGTCTTGTCCTAATATACGTCGAATCACTGCTCTCCAAATATAGGGCGTCACGAACTCGATCTCAACGTACACTCGTGAGGAAAGTGCTGCAGGGCGATAGTACGTTTTACAGAAGGCATTGACATCCGAAAGGTGGTAGGCTTACTGGACAATGAGCGACAGGAATTCCTATACGGTAGCAAGTGAACATTGCGTCAGGTCAGCTCCGCCACGATCAGGATAGTGGCAGAATCTTCTAGCTGATGGTTGTTTCACCTAGTTCCTGTATTAGTAGGTGCTGATGGGTGCTTCTCCTGCACCATAGATTCATCTATCAGTCGTAGTCGTCACTGCGAGAAAATGTAGCAGGAACAGTTACCTGGCACTCTCACCCACGTGATGCAAGCCGATGAAGATTGTAGGTCGCCATCACGGGCGTCCTCCAGCAATTGAACTTCAGGTACATCTTCTACGTGTGCTAGCCGAAGACGGCGTCTAATCTGGTTGCACGTCTGTTTAATAAAATCGATGACTCCCTTGTATAGAAGCGCAGTCGATCCGCCGAACTTATGAGTCACCCCGAAAGAGCTCTTGCGTATCTTGGCATTCGCATCGAATTTCTCAAGGAAACAAATTTCACGACCCCGCCGAGTCGAGCAGCCTGGGAACCAGAATCACGAAATAGACAACAGCTTTCTGTGCCATCACCGCCAGAAATCCAAGAATCATCCCAAATTTACCATTCCTTTTCTGCCCTCGACCTTCTTGAGTAACCTCAAGCGGAGATCCTAACCTTCTATCCCAAACTCGTTCCTTGAAGATCACCTCTCGCAAAGTTCTTCCCATATTCGTCGCCAACCCCATCATGGCGACCAATGGAGATCTTCCTTCCGATGATGAGTTTTCGCAACCCAGGACACCTCCGGGTGAGGAAAATGATGTCGACGACGTGGAAGACGTGAACCAACCTCCTAAATCCGCCTTGAAGAAAAGCACCTCCGCAGCCATTCCTGAACCACCAGTATCGCGCCCGGCCCTACCCGAACAGCCTGATCCAGAAGATCTCGATGTCTCGGTCCTTACTCCTCTGTCACCAGAGATCATCGCAAGACAAGCCACGATAAACATCGGGACGATTGGCCATGTGGCTCACGGCAAATCCACCGTGGTCAAAGCGATTTCCGGGGTGCAAACGGTCAGATTTAAAAATGAGTTGGAGCGGAACATCACCATCAAGTTGGGTTATGCCAATGCCAAAATTTACAAATGTGACAACGAGCAATGCCCACGGCCCACGTGCTACAAGAGTTACAAGAGCGAGAAAGAAATCGATCCCCCGTGTGAGAGAGAGGGATGTGGCGGCACGTATCGTCTGCTCCGACACGTTTCATTCGTCGACTGCCCGGGGCACGATATTCTGATGAGCACCATGTTATCCGGGGCGGCAGTCATGGACGCGGCCCTTCTGCTCATCGCCGGCAATGAAAGCTGCCCTCAGCCTCAAACATCGGAACATCTTGCCGCCATTGAAATCATGAAGCTCAAACACATCATCATCCTGCAGAACAAAGTCGATCTGATGCGGGAAGAAGGTGCTCAACAACATTATGAGTCTATCCTGAAATTCATCAAGGGCACAGTGGCAGACGGGTCGCCCATCATCCCCATCTCCGCCCAATTGAAATACAACATCGACGCCATCAACGAGTATCTGGTCACCAAAATCCCCGTTCCCCCTCGAAATTTTAGCGCTGCACCGCATATGATTGTCATTCGATCATTTGATGTGAACAAACCCGGGGCCGAAATCGAAGACCTCAAGGGTGGCGTAGCGGGTGGTTCCATCCTCACGGGCGTCCTGAAACTGGGTGACGAAATCGAAATCCGCCCAGGGATCATCTCCAAAGATCCCACTGGCCAAACAGTCTGTCGACCCATCATGTCTCGAGTGGTCAGTTTGTTCGCCGAGCACAATGATCTGAAATTCGCCGTTCCCGGCGGTCTCATCGGTGTCGGAACCCGCGTCGATCCCACACTTTGCAGAGCAGATCGTCTCGTCGGCCACGTCTTGGGCCTCAGGGGCCAACTTCCTGAAATCTATATGGAACTGGAAGTCAACTATTTCCTCCTCCGGCGACTACTGGGCGTGAAGACGGCCGATGGGAAACAAGCCAAGGTGGCCAAATTGGCCAAGAACGAAGTTCTCATGGTGAACATTGGGTCCACCGCCACAGGTGCGAAGGTCATGGGCGTCAAGGCTGATGCTGCTAAATTGACTCTGACAAACCCGGCTTGCACAGCTATTGGCGAGAAGATTGCGTTGAGTCGAAGAATCGAGAAACACTGGCGTTTGATTGGGTGGGCGAATATCGTGGCGGGAAATACGATTGAGCCCGAGTCGTCTTGAATGAATGTCATGAATTCTGAAGAAAGGGGGAGGCGTGGGAGGTATATGTGGGATGAGGCCCAATTGAACAAGATCAAGGTCAGATCCTGCTGAAAGATATGGCGATGAAAATGATAAACCGTGGTCCCAAAGATGGGGACAGTGAGGGAGGAGGGAAAAGGCATCGCACGAGAATATAAAGCAAGGCTTTTAGGTCCACCTTTGGACGTGTAAAAGCCTAGGCGGTGCTGGCCTCGAGGGTCGTGGATTGGCTGGACGCAAGAAAAGAACAAGAGATGAGGCAAAATCGAGAAACAACATACACACAATCTCCTCGCCAGCCCGGCCAGATGGTCGTGGCCCTGAAATTCCACGTCAACACTTCTTAAGTCTTCGGATACACTTTGGCCGATTCTTGATGATCTCGAAGCTTAGCCTCCGTTCCCACTCATGATGAAACTTCAGATTTTGCGGATCTGTCCTTGTCTTTTGTCGTTTTACAGAAGAAGTTAGGGAGGAACCTCCTGCAGGCTTCTTTAGGAGTGGACTCGAACTTGTGACTGTACATCTCCCTATGTCATGGGACGCTCGGCATCTTGGTCTTCGGGATCGGACCTAGGAACTTCGAGGTGCTCCGGGCTCAACGTTCGAGTATCTGTGGACCGATAGATAAGGGTGGAAGAAGTTTGCGTAGTGAATGCAGTCAAAGTCGGATGAACAAGATGAAACCCCCAGGTATTGTGGCTAGGCAACTCGATATTGTACTCCACACAGAGCCACCAAATGGAGAATGAGAATGATGACGGCGTGGATAGTCAATGTTGAATTCAGGTCGTTCGGGATGAGCCTTGTCAACCACGTACATAGTTTCGTCGCGACCGAACCTGTCTCCACTAACTTACTGAGCAATACTCATTTTGAAGCAAGAGAGGCCAGACAGGAAGAGAGTAAAGCAGAGCATCATATACCGTTTTTGAACCGACGGCATGTGCTCGAGTCTGAAGAGCACTCGAACTTTGACCTCGGTTTGATTCGGCGCAGCGGCCTCAGCTTTGACTGGGGCTTCGACTTCGACTTCGACTTCGATCTGATCCGGCGCTTGGACGACTTGAACTACAAATCGTCATCCTCGTCATCATCAGACCCCGGCTCCACGATCCTATCACGAATACTCGGGTCCGGCTGACCTAAGGGTCTCGGTTTCGCCCGCGGTTTCGCCTTCGTCTTTGCATCGTCTGTTTCGTCCTCTTCCTCGCTCTCGTCCTCATCTTCGTCCTCATCATCTGTGGAGCTGCTAGATGAGGATGATGACTCCTGCTTTGCCTTCTTTTCTGCTGCTGCTGCCTCTTTCCCATCATCATCGTCGTCGTCGTCGCTGCTCTCAGTCTCCTCACCGTCATCATCACTGGATAGATTTAACAGTGAGCGTTTCTGATTTGCCTTTATCTCAACCGCCGGGGCCTTCGTCGAGGATTCTTCCTCTTTTCGCATGATCCCACGCAGCTCCGAGAGACTTTTCGCTTTCGAAAGCGCTACATTCCCCTGTCGTTGCGGTGTGCGCGATGTCATTGACGTTGAGGCTGACTTGGGAGCATAGGGGGCTGAAGGTTTGGTCTGAGAACTACTAGGCGCTGGTGTGGATATTTTTGATGTAGTGCTCGGTGCCTTGGACTCTGACTGCTGTTGTCCAGAAGGTTTTGCAGATTTGTGGGTGGTAGATGATTTCGCAGAAGGGCTTTTTGTTGGCATTTTAGCAGGTGTCTTGAGTGGGAGGCTAGCATCCGATTTTCGAGGCTGAGATGAGCTTGTAGTCGATGATTCTCGGCGTTTGGGCTCCGTTTTGTTGGCGGTGGGAGTCTTGGATGATGAGGCTGACTTTGCCTTTTCAGAGGGAGTGTCGCTTGTGTGCTTCAGAGTTGTACTTTTACCAGTGCGTTTTGAGGTATCATCTGTGGAGACAATTTCACGGGGTTTTTCTTTCATAGATACAGAATCAGTCGGCGTGGCACTTCTTCCTTTGGAATCCTTCTCCGTCGACGGTTTGACAGTGCTCTCTCTTTTTGCCGTAACTGCTTTCTTTCTCTGCAGCTCTGCCGCTTGCTTCTTCGCTTCCTCTCTTTTCCGCTTCTTTTCTGCCTCATATTGCTCCTTGGTCATTCCAGCTCGGCTTTTCATGATCTGTATTTCTTCTTCCGTCAAACCCATTGGGAGAGAAGGGCTCTTTCTCGATTCACCCTGTTTGCCAGCCGTGAATGATTCAGGTTGGGGTTGAGGCTGAACGGAAGATACCCTGTCAGCAACCCCATTCTGATCCGAGCCCCAATTCGGGAGGGGTTTTGTTGTAGAGCTGTCCTGGGCTTCCCTTTTTTCTGAACGGTGCGCAACGAGACTGAGTGCAGAGACCATCGCATCTGTCTGTCGGTTCGTTCCCCAAGACTTTAGATCTGTTCGGGATTTTCTTTGCCTGGGCGCCTTCTTAGGCGAACTGACGGATTCGTCTTTCTCACGTCCTCTCAATTCCTTGGGCGGAATGGTTTGCTTGTCGGCATTTACCGTCAGGCCATCTTGATTATGTATCTTTCCCGGTGTTGGTGATGAAGTTGTCGCTTCCTGTCTCTCCGCAAGCTTTTTATTGACGGCTTTCATGGACCATTCTTTGCGCGCGGATTCCTGCAATGACTGTGAAAGTTGTTCTCCTGGGCTGTCGAGGCTTGGAGTCCTTCGTGGATCACGGTTCTTCTGACTAGCTTTCGTGAGAACTGAGACAGCCTGATCTCTTTTGTTGGTCGTTGTCTGGCCGGACACTTCATCACCATTGATGTTGCAACTTCCGGACTTAGACGGCCGTTTCCGGGTCCGTTTCTTTGCAGGTTGGTCTCTAGATGATTCTTCCTTCTTCATTGAGCTGGTTCTATTGTCCTTGCCGTCAGAAACCTTCTCCGAAGTTTCCGCGCCTAGATGGTCCGCTCTATTTGCCTTGGAAATCCCAGGCTTGGGTTGAGCGGATGGCAGGGCTGCCTTGGTATTATCATCTTCTTCAGATTCAGAGGCTTGGGACGGCTCTATACTGGCCTTTGTCTGATCATCCATTGGGGCGTCTTGGAACATGTCATTCTCCGACCCTTCCGTGGTCCCCACGGTGTCCTTTTGTAGATCACCTTCTCCCATCCTAGCATTGGGGGGTTCGTATCCATGTCCTTCAAAGGTAGATTCGTTTTCTAAAGCTTCGAGAGCTTTTTCGACACTGAGGCGATGCTCGGAGTTGTTATGGGCATCGGGAGGCGGAGGCCGCTCAATTCGAGATAGTTGATCCTTGGACTTTCCATGACTCTGCTGTGCTTGTCTCGATCGTGGAGACATTTGAGAGTCGTCAATATCTGATTCAGGAAAATCATAAACATCTCGACGTATGAATTTTTGGGCCGAAGTCGATGCGCTCTGAGCTGGCGAGCGTCTCGCACCGATCAATCCCACGGCGTGGCGATTGTTGAAAGAAGCTGGCAAATCCCTCGCCTCGGATCGAGGGGTTATGGATGCGCCAGAGAGGCCGAGATTGTGCAGATGTGGTTCCTGAAAAGAGGACGAACCGCCATTTAGTCGCAGGGGTTCCAAGGAACTGTGACAATTCTTCGGCTGCGTTCTATCACGCCGATTTGATCCAATGGAGGGAGGTGGCCCTGGCAATTCTTCCAATTCATCGGCAGTCGCGGGCAGGACATGTTGCAATGATCTCCACAACTCAGGCGACTCCGCTTTGGGTTGCAGGATTGACTGCGGCCAAGCAGGAGATTGTTGTGTAGTTGAAGCCTGAGCATCTTGGACCAGACCGGGAGACTCAGCCCGTTCATCTCGCTCAATAGACGCGATCAGACTTTCTTCTCGCTGGGTCTCTGGTATCTCGATTTGTCGCGGTCTCTTGCCCCCATTGACGATTGAAGCACGGTTTTCAGACGAAGAGAAAGGCCGTTTGCCTAGCGAAGATGGAACTCCAGGGAAGGTGGGTACGGGTGGTCGAGATGTTTTTTGGTATTGGATTCGATATTGAGGATTGCTCAACTGACTTCCCACCGCAACGGATCCTTCACGTACGGCCCGACCTTGCTCAAGTATGACCTTTATTGTAACACGCTGATCGACTCCATCTCTTTCGGCTTTACCCTCGTCAAGAAGAAGATCCGAAACAAACAGCTGAGGATCGAGGTCGCAATCATCTTCGTTGTCCTTGAGGTATTTGATGATTGGTAGATCGCTGGAATCTGGTCAGTTCTAGGGCTGCAGAGGGAGAGGGAGAGAGACTCACTGTTGGTAGCAACTCTTGTAAGCTCTTTGCACCTCGAGTGCAAGAGTGCCGATTTGCCATCGGTATGGATCCCGGACCACCACCACCAAACGCTTCTCGCCTTTGAAGGGTAGGTTGGCTGGTTTTTCAATATGTTCCAAGTAGTCATCTTCCGGAATGATCCTTGCTGCTACTCGTATCCTGACCATGGTAGCTGAAGCGCGCAGCATGCAAACGCGCAAGGTCTGAAACACATGGGTGCGAAAGATTCACGCGGAAAATAGGTCGCGAGGAGAAGTTTCAAAGCGGAGACGCCGAAATAAGGACCAAACTTCATCCACACGCCTCTATTAGCAATGAATGTTCGTCTTACATTCGAGAAAACACGTCGCAAAGAATACAGAAATGAGAGGCGTATTATGAAGATCTTCACTTTTGTCTTCGCTTCGGTGTCCAAACCATGACTGCAGCCTCCCCGCAAAAATACAGGCCCTGCTCACTCAACATGCCGAGTATCGATCTCAATAGGAAAACTAATTGACCAGCAAACAGGCCTCGAGGTTGAAATGAGAGGGCCCCCCAACAAATCCGGGAGGCAATGTTCAGGGGAGATTGATCGATTATTATCTCCATCGACCCCTCAGCTAATCGAAATATTGACGATCTTGATATCCTCTTCTGGCTTTTCCTTTCGCACCTTCGCATTCTCAATCTGGTGAATCACATCCAACCCTTGATACGCTCGGCCGAAAATGGTATGTTTATTATCCAGCCAGGGCGTCTTGTCGGTCGTAATGAAAAACTGTGACCCATTGGTATTGGGACCTGCATTTGCCATGCTTACCGTGTACGGCTTGTCGTGTTTGAGATCGGAAAATTCATCCTCAAATTCCTTTCCCCATATACTCTCGCCACCAGTACCATCCCCCAATGGATCACCGCCTTGGATCATGAACTTCCTGATGACTCGGTGGAAGATGGTGTTATTATAATAGCCATTTCTTGAATGCGCGACAAAATTCTCGACGGCTTTTGGCGCTTTCTCGGGGAACAGCCTGATGTAAATGTCACCGTATGTGGTGTGGAGAACTGCAGAGGTCCCTGTCTGGGTTTGCTTGGTCTCCTTTTTCTTCTCTCCGATCACACGCGGTTTTTCATTCTGCAAGTCCCGAGTCGATTTACTGATCTCTTCCTCGTTCGTGAACATATAAAATCGAACTTTGCCATATCCGGTGGCAAAGAGCATCGGATCTCTTTCTTCCGCTTCATTGAGCAGAGGATTTGAGCTGGCCGCCATGGAGACCGTGACCACCTCTTTCTTCTGAGGCGCACCTTGATACAAAGCCACGTTCAGTGCCCTGAACGGTTCATCTTTGCCATAAGCCTTCATTACTCGATTGGTGAGGATGTTAACAACCTTGATGCCCAGCAAAGATCCGTACGCGATGAAATGGCCAGATTCGTCGAAAGCAATATTGATCCTCGATCGGACCGACGGGCTGTCAAGGTCCCGTTCGACCGCGATCCGGCGACCAAATTCCACCTCTTCGAGCTTTTGAAGGGCCGTACCAGCTTGCTGCATTGCTGTTATCGTCTCAATAGATTCGTCGTAAGACCGGTAGAGCTTGCCGGAGGCAAAGTCAAAGACTCGGACCTTTCTGTCTGGAAATGACATGGTGGCAAAGTGGTAGCCCGAAGGTGAGATCGTGATGGAGCAGGGAGCAGACTTTGCCTTTTTGAAATCGAACAGGTTCGTTGTGGACTTCATTTTAAACACGGTATCGGGCTTTTCATGGTTGTCCCCTGGCTGCCAATATTCAACCATGCCACCTGAATCTGCGGACACCACACAGTCAAAAGCCGGGTTGTATGCCATCGCCACGACCGGTGCGCGATGGAGGGAGGATAACGTGTGCATGGGTTCCTGAGAATCGCCACGGCCATCATAGATATGAATTTGCTTGCCCACACCCACGGCCAGAATCGGTGAAGAACCCCGTCGATGCACCCAACAGACACAAGTGGCAGCTTGTTCGAGGATCAAGATGGACAACAAGTCGAAAGTGATCACGTCGAAAATTTTAATAGTATTGTCATTTTCGTCGCCCGCGGTAGCAAAGAAAGATCCATCGACGCTGACAGTAGAGCTCACTATTCGACCTTCGTGGGCGCGATACTCTTTGGCGAACTCAATGCCCGTGGCTACTTTCTTCCAAAACTTAACCACGCCATCGACTGAGGTGGTGATGACAAAGTCAGCCGGTGAAGGAGCGACAGTCACGGTGCATAGCTGATCCTTATGCATCAATGACTTGGAGTACCTGATACCCTTTGGCAAGGCGCTCACGTACAAAGACTCATAGGGAAGTTTCCGCTTTTTCTTGGGAGGAACAGATGAAGGCAGAGCTGGTCCAAAGTCGTCGTCGGATGATTCGCTGTCAGATCCTGCACCGTCAGCAGATCTCGACCGTTTCCGAGGCGGTGTGTTTGACATGCTTTGAGGCCTAGAATAGAGTCAGGGCACTCGATTGTTTTTGACTAGGGGGTCTGATAAAGTTGACGGAAGACCAAAGTTCAAAAACATCACGCTAAACCCCCCCCCCCCAAAGCCAGAAGTCGAAAATTCTTGGCATTACATGACGCGATTGAATGCTTGACCGCAGTATCCCTGACCCGTGGGTTCCCATTGCTGGATCCTGTTGTATTCTCAGGTTGAAAAATCCGACACATAATCGTCATGAAAATGCCTGCTTTTCATCACTTCGCAAGTTATTTGCGGTGTAGAGCCTGAAAGAAGCTGTTCTCTTAATCTTCAAGCATGAAACAAGCAATGGCCTTTTGACAGGATAAGCCTCTCCGCCCAGGAACTCTGGAACACATAAGCAGTTTTCCTTGTTCACATTTCCACCAATGCGGAGCAGCAGTTCAACCCCCTTTCCAATCAAAACGTGGGAAAGGAAAGAAATGCCAAGATAATCTCTGGGCGCCGCGCCGCTCCGCCGGGGATGTAGACTTGGCAAACCCTCTCGGAAGCTTTTCGCTCCGAATAAGAGTTCACCAAGCTTTGTTCAATCAAGTAGTACACAGCAAGTATCTTCTTATCCGCATTTAGTATCCAAATAACAATCGTGTCAAACATGCAAGCAGAGACCAGAGCAGAAAAATTAACTAGGTACCGAAAACCGTTGAGGAAGAGTCATTCCACCGTATTCGAAGAACGCACATTTCATCACTCTTCGAGTTCTATTGGCCTTGGTGCTACGGATTCGAGAGCAGGAGTCCCTGTCATCAATAGTCACGTCGGTGAAACTCATTCTGACCAAAATTGGCTTTGTTCAATGATCTATATGAGACGATGGCTACTACGAACGATCGAGCAGGGACAAAATTTTAGCGACATTTGATGCCGCTTCAGAACAGCTCGGGTGCTGTCCGAGACCATGATCGAAGATCAAAAGGAACTGGATCCTCAATGCAAATCGAGAGCATGACTTGGACGCATTTGAATCACCATATTGACATGAAAGTGGCATCGCGCGAGGCAATTCTCCAGGTGATTCTGCAGGCCGCTAGTCATTTGCAGTTGAGATCCTTGACCTCAGATATCATCAGGGAACTAAACCAAATTGTTTCCATTACAGAGATGGTATGTGAAGGTATATTAAGGCTCAAGATGAGGCCTCGTTCTCCACAGATCTCGTGTCCCGATTTGGAAGAGAATCCTCACTTGTGACGAAATTCTCTTCTTATTGTGCATATCGTCCCAAAGATTTCTTAACATTTTGAGACCAGCCGGAGAGAATGGTCTTGTTTGGGGCATCGCTTTTCTGCCTCCTGAGGGGCTAAAATTGGCTGTGTCGCCGCCAGTCTCACCTCATAGCACGTCCACCATTGCGAATTGGGCCCCCAAAAACGGATAAAACATTGTGTTCACCATCTCACATATAGCCTCTCTGAGGCGCTTGCGTCGACCATGAACGATCACGGATCCATATGTTTTCCCTGAGCGTGCTCGAATGCCTGGCCATGACGAAAGAAACCCTCTCGCATTCCAATATATGGGTTCGGCACCGGAATGAAGGAAGGAAGCATGAATTAGGTGAGGGAAAGAGAAGAGCATCTCCGAAACACCTGTAAACATCACCGCACTGACCTCGAGATCATAACATCATGACGTGCCGCACAAAAAGCAATACGAAACGAGGAATCATGATGGGGTGATGCATGATATTGATGTTTCCATGATACTCCTCAAAGCGCGTTGTGGCCGCATAGATTTCTCCAGCAATCAATGTCGGATGAGGGACTGCCTTCGCTTATATTGCCTGATGGGTGGGCCACTTGCGAATTGATTGACTGCCCCCAACATTATGTCTCGAAAACATTTGCCTCCGCAACGCAGGATGGCCCCATGAGTAGTATGCACTTGCTCCCGTCGATCTAGGCCGGAGTGTGTGAAGTTCACTGCCAGCAATTGAATGCTGTGGCGACGGTCACTCGATAATGCCGCCTGAGGTGGGCGATGTGTTATCACGGCGCAAAGGCCAACCCGAAGGCGAGGCTCATGATAATCAGGCGGTGCTACAACGAGCCCAGAAATTCGGCGAGAAAATAACTCTTCATGGTTCATCGGTTCCTAACCGGGATTAGTTTCTTCTTTTCCTTCTAGAAGCCTTCGAAGAGCCTGGGGTCACGACGCCGAGAACGAGTGGGTGATGTGGAATTGGGCAGATCGGGGGCAATATTGGGATGATCCTACTGTGCTATCAAGGGTATTGCGTTTTGGTAAAGTTCGGCCCTCGGAGCAACAATTCGACCAAAATCACGTGCTACTTACTCCACCGACGGAAATTACCCTTGATATCACAGTACATCTCGTGGTTTTGGTACTAATCTGCATGGGGCGATCCCAATCAAGTGCAATCTCCCGTCTTTCGCGAGATTCGATTCGGCTCGAGGTTCCCCAAAGGAATAAACATCCGAGCTCTGGTGACATGAGCATTAAGCATTCTAGTCGCCCCAGGGGGCCAAAAACATGCAATCACAGGCAACGGCAAGGCGGAACTGGAGCAAGGGCTGGGCAGACAAGCATGAGCCTTTTATAATGTGTCGCCATGGCTCGGAAGCAACCTTTCATCAGTCCGCCTGGCCTTTCGTGACCTTCGGCGCCTTGGAATGCCAAGGCCACGTGCTTATATGCCTTATTGCAATTGGCTCTTTTTTGACGACATTGAAGAAAGAAGTTTTGTTGTTCAAACGAAATGAAAGGGGCTGAACGCAGTGACGTCGCCGACAGTGCCACTTGATCCGCTAGCAGCTCGTCGAAAGTTATTTTCTTGTCATTGCAACCATCGATTGGCCGAGGATCCATGTTTTTGATGCTACAGATTCACTACGTTTTCGCCTCTTAGAACAAGAAAGTCCATCTGGGTAATTTTGCGGGTTTGGCGATAAAAAGGAAAGGTGTCGTGTGGACGACTTTCAGAGCGAAGTCTTGTGCGGAAATATCGAATCCAAATCTTCTCAATCTTTCTGGAGGCGTTCAAGCTTTACCCTGAAGCAACTTTCATGCAATCAAGCTCGACGACCCCTTAACGTGCAGAGGCTGGCAGCAGTCATTGGCCTCGTGGCCAAACATCCCCTTTCCGCCCAGACAGAGATTAGATCCGCCCAGACAGAGATCCGCCCCTCCAAGGGCTCGACGAAGTTCTTGGCCGGGCGGGTAGCCTTGGCGGAGCTTCTTGGGAGGCGCAGGGTTGTCACCAGAAGGCCCTATCGCAGACTGCTTCGCTAAACATGTGTTACAAAGAGGGACCCCGATGGCGAAGAGAGTGCCTGAGGTTGTATAAGGCCAAGCCCAAGCAGACTTTTTCGCAAGTGGAGATATGCAGGATATCATCTAGTGATGGTTGTCTGAGATGCTCGGAGTCGCCATTTCTTTCTCATTTTCGATTATATAACAGTCTGCCTCTTCTAGGTCAGTCCTGTTTTTTTTTTTTTTTTTTTCCCCTGTTGGCAGAACTCCAAACCAAACGAAAAAGCTTCGTTGCCCGAACACTTGTCGCCGAGCCATCAATCGACAACCATGGCACCTCCAGCGACAGCACCGTACGACTGGATCCTCGCGATTACCACCATCGCATTTTGCTTCAGCTCCTTCGGTAACGGAGCCAACGATGTCGCCAACAGTTATGCCACCTCCGTGGCAGCTCGAACTCTCACAATGCCGCAAGTGGGTTTCCTCTCGATGATCACGGAATTTGTTGGCGCCGTGGGTCTTGGTGCTCGCGTCACCAGCACCATCAAAAACGGCATCATCACTATAGAGCGTTTCGAGGACGATCCGGCAGTGTTGATGTTGGCCATGGGCTGTGCCGAAGTAGGCAGTGCCACATGGCTGATGGTTGCAACTCGTCTAGGATTCCCCGTGTCCACCACTCAAACAGTGGTGGGTGCTCTGGTCGGTGTGGGATTTGCTACTGATGCAGCGATCAAATGGGCATGGGAGGACGGCAGTGTCTCCCAAGTCGCAGCTTCCTGGGCCATTGCACCTCTAATCGCAGCTGGTTTCTCGGCCGTCATTTTCGGTTCCCTCAAGTATCTTGTCCTGGAGAGAAAGGAATCCTTCAAGTGGGCCCTGAGGCTCATTCCATTCTATTTTGCGACCACCGCCGCTATTCTTGCTCTCTTTATCGTTGTCGAAGCTCCAACTGCGCCCTCCCTTGAAGAGTTCGGCGCCGGCAAGGCTGTCGGTATCATTCTTGGCGTATGGGCGGGCGTCCTGCTTATCGCCTATATCTTTTTCATGCCATATTTCGAACGTCGTCTCGTCAAGGAAGATTCACGTATCAAGTTCTACCACGTCCCACTTGGCCCTCTTTTGAGAAAGGAGAACCCCCCGTTGTATTTCCCTGGCAAGGACGATGGCAAATATGTGATCGACTACTACGAGGATCCATACGCCCAATCTGACTCCACCATCGACTCCGTCACAGAGAAGAAGGCCACCAATGGTGATGGCCCTGTTGCAGATTCGTCTGCTTTGGAGAAGGGCCCAGCTACCGAAAACGCGAACCCAGGAGCTGTTGCTCGTCGACGACCTCTAACTCCCGAAGAGCGATTCCTTGATCCCGTCAGACACCTTCCCTGGGGCAATCCCCAGAGATGGTGGGGATACTTCAAATTTGGCCTTCTGCAAGGTGTGACGCGCGATTGCGTTTCGCATGATTCCGCAAAGCTGCGAGATATCCACGCCCGTGCCAACAAATACGATATTCGCGTTGAACATTTGTGGACCTACTGCCAAGTTGCCTCGGCCATGCTCATGTCCATTGCCCACGGCAGTAACGATGTTGCCAACGCCGTGGGACCCTGGGCTGCCACATATCAAACCTATAGAGCAGGCGAGGTCGACACCGAATCTGACACCCCGGTTTGGTTCTTGGTCATCGCTGGTTTCCTGTTGGGTGCCGGCTTCTGGTTCTATGGCTACCATATCATTCGTGCCCTCGGCAACAAGATTACTCAGATGTCGCCTACGCGAGGATTCAGTTGCGAACTCGGTGCTGCCATCACTGTCTTGTTGGCGTCTCGACTCTCTCTCCCTGTCAGCACCACCCAGTGCCTTACTGGATCAACCATGGGTGTTGCACTTATGAACTATGATTTTCAAGCTGTGAACTGGCGCCAACTGGCTTTTATCTTCTGCGGTTGGGTGTTGACTTTGCCTTGCGCTGGATTACTTGCTGGATTGCTGTGTGTCATGGCAGTGAACGCACCCTCATTCTAGGCCTTCGATGCGCGGGTTTGAAGCCAACGTGCGTTCCTCCCCGAATGGTGATACCCGTTGGCGTCGTATAAGGTATCAAAAGGTTGAACAGAATAGTAACTAAAGATTTTCTCGATCAATTTTGACATGTACGACACAGTTGGATAGTGAAGCTTAGATCAATAGTCAACAATTCTTCTGTTGTTTTTCTCATAACCATCGCTTCCCCATGTATCTTCTCGTGTAAGGGAGTGTTGAGAGAACGGTTCCTCGAGCAGAGTTGAAAGGAACTGTGGCTGATGAGGACTCCGGATAAACGGCAGGGTTGGTGTCCAGTGTTCTGAGATCGAATACGAAAGTTGTGCCAATGGTCGCTTTATCACTACAGAGCTTTGTAGTTATTTGTTTGGTTAAAGCTAGGCATTCGTCTTCAAAAGTGAAGCTGAAAGAAGTTGGCACCAACGATTAAGGGTGGCCCGCCTTCAATGCAAGCATTTTTGCATCTGCAGGACTTCTGAAAGCCAAACTTGAAGAATTCCGGATTCCTCTGTCGATGTATTTGCAGACGTTTGGTAAAATTGGTACGTCATATTACACAATACGTGCGGTGAAGCATTTGACAATGCAAAATTTGCCTTGCGCTTGGCCGACAAGCGGAAATGGCCATTCATTAAGCTTCTCGGCAACTGGAACCCTATGATAACTCGACATCCGTGGGCGACATGGTGCTCGGTGGCACTCCTTTGTCTTCTTTGTTGACCGTACCATTGTTTGGTACCGAATACGAGCACGGTGCTAGCTGACGATTTGAAATGAGATTCCTCACTCCCGAACCCGTTCCTATGCCAATATCCACGATATTCATATCCCCTCGTTTGCAATGGTATCCACGTTACGATTTTGCTCTCTCTGTCGAGAGGCAAAAGCGGTTCTCCACCTTCCTCGAACACCCAGATCATCCAGCGACGTGTGCAGCGGTGAGCTATACCCTGTGGAAACCTCCAGTTCCAGACGAGAGTCGTTGAAGGTACTGGACAGCATCCTCGCTCTGACTTTCTCCCCTCTATTTGTCCTCTTCAGCTGCCGCCCATAGGCTCACATTTCGCGTCATCTGAGATTTGGAAACCCAGAACACACCTTTTTACATTTGTCATATCCTTTCTCCCCCCCTTCGGGAATATTTATTCCAAATTCGAGGGCAATCCTCTTCTCCAGCATCGCGACCCCCCGCGGTGATCGGGTGTGGTATATTATGTTCCTCCAGGCGATGGGAAGGTTGCTGTATAACATTCGAGGAATCATGGTCTTCCGCCAAGCACTGCGCCCGTTGACGCGTAGGGAAGCGCAATTGATGATGCTGAAATTTACAACGTTGCCGTCCTGCCATAATTGGATTGCCTAGCAAGAGTTGCCTCTATCAATAAGCAATAGCTAACAAAGACTCCGGACAGGGCATTTATACACCAGATGTTGATCGACTCCGACCACGAAAAATGTCCCCACATCCACGGGAAGACTCACGTATTTCACTGCTTGGATCATGATGAGTTCAGCTCTTCGCCTCACCTTTCTGTACCCCAATGGCCTCTAGAATCCATTGATGACCATTTTTCGTATTCATATCCTGCAGCCCGACAAGCCCTCCTCTGCGCCGCCGATACGACACTAGAGCCAACGGATGAGGGCGGAGTTTCCCGGAGCCGCCATTCTCTCGGAAGTCAGAAAGGTGTCACAGAGGCAGACTACGGGTTTGGAAGTACATTACACACATGCAAGAATTGGACGGCAGTGAAGACTTGGGATGATGCCTTGTTTGTCTCAATTCGTCGTAGCAAACGCATGGCTAGTCAAAGCTCCGATTGAATCGAGCCGAGCTACAGTAATGGCAGTCTATGTACTTGGTACGAATCCAAGCAACGAGCGTGATGGAGGTAATAGCAAAATAACACACATACTCCCCATTAAGTTCGCATTCTTTCCCCACTTTGCAGAGTTCTTCCCAAGTTCGATCCACCTTTGCCTCTTCAATCACCACCACTATGCGGCACCGCACTACCGATCGTCTCATAATATGGTCGGAATAGGCTACACTTAGCATCCAATGTACCAGCATTGAACGCTGTCTTCAACATCCCTGGGTTCCCTAGAACCCCGACACGTGGCACGCCTTCCCAGCCTGGCCCATCGGCCGGATCCCGCGCAAACGCCGCCCACGCATTCTGCATATATCGGCTCAGTGCGTGCTGCTGCTCAGTAGCATTGACGCGCGGATAGGTGCCAAAGACCAACGAGATCTCAGAGCCATGATAGGCGCCGGCGCCGGGGTAGATCTGGGTATTCGTGAACGTGGCATTGAAGTAGTATCGCCAGGTCGGGAGCCCGGCAGTGCGCGAGTCATTTGCCAGAATCCCCGCAGGACATTGGAAGGCCAAGTCGGTAAATATAGCTGCGAGCTGAACCGCGGCAGGTGTGAGTGGGTACGCGGCTAGTATGTCCTGGACATATGCTGTCTGATTCGGGAAGAGTTCGTTGAGGAATGACGCCGAGTCTGTCTGGCCGACCGTGAACACGGTGCCTTCGTTTGCGTTGGTCCCGGTCAGTACGGGGACGGACGCGATGCTCTTATTCAACCGCGCAAGTTCGGGGTATCGGAGGAGCGTGACATTGTCGGAGACAGGACGGAAGGACAGTGCGAGATGTTCAATAGTCGACTGTATCACCGAGGCTGGATGGCTGCGGAGACAGGTCAAGTTGGATGTAGGGTGTGTTTCCGTGCAGTTCAGCGCGGCGGCGAGAGCGAGCCAAGAGGCTGGGACGTTAGTTGGGTTGATGTAGAACGACGTCTGGCCAGATTCCATTATAGCAGCCCGAAAGGGCGGGTGGTAGGGGTGTGTCGTTACGAGAATATCAACGCTCGCTGCGCCCGCACTTTCTCCGAAGATGGTCACTTTCTTCGGATCGCCGCCGAATGCTTTGATGTTTCGCTGGATCCAGTCGAGAGCAAGACGCTGGTCAAGGAATCCCAAATTTCTTTTGGCGAAGGGTAATTCTGGGGAATTAGGAAACCCAAAGACGTTGGTCCGATAGTTGAAGGAAACAATAATGATGTCTTGTTCTGCGGCAAAGGATGTCCCGTCATATATAGAGACTGAATTAGACCCGAAGTTGAGATTACCACCCTGTCAACGCCTCTAGTGAGTCTACGCCAATAACGGATCCGTGAAACAAAAGAGCACTCACGTAAATCCAAGCCATTACTGTCTTATTACGTGTAGGTGTCTGAGGAACGTACACGTTTAAATTGAGGCAATCTTCGCTCTCTCCAGCAGGCGGTGGAGGCGTGTTATACCATGCAATTGTGGCATTTCTTTGGGCTTCTGGGTAGTTGAACTGCTGGATACACGCAGGGCGATACTTGGTCGCGTGGTAAGGAGATCTCCATGGTGTGGGTTTGACTGGCGGTGCAAAGCGCCTTGGAGAAGCGGCGAAGGGTATTCCTAGGTACTTGTTAACTGTGACAGTGGCACCCGTGACTGATGTGGCCACTCCGACCACGGCACCAGAGTCAATAGTGGCCGTAGGAGTCGCGGCGAAAGCTGGGATGGCATTTCCGATAATCAGAAAGACAACAGCAGGAACCCAAAGACGTAGTAATGAGATCATCGTCCCATGAAGACAGTAGCAGCCGAAATCGAAATTCAGAAACCGACACCGACAGGAAAGTCAGTGCTGACGCCGACTTTTTAATCCTTCCGTTTAAAAGATTTCCAAGTATCACAACAAAGCATCCCCACGTTGTCATCCATCTTCAAGCCCACACTTTGTGCTATTCATAGTTGACAACCCAGATGCGGAGAAAGAGAGGTGTACGTATTCGCTAATGATGCGAAGGCCTCCTGGAGACAAGGTTCATCTTTTGGAGCGACAATACATAGCTGTTTTTTGGGTGGGGTATAAATCTACCTTGCCAGGATAACGATGATTTTATTCGTAGAGAAATCTTAAGCGATTGAAAATCTGGGGAACCTCAATCGTCGAAGATGGATCCCGAACCGAGGTGTGTGATACCGACTAAAATAGAAGAGGCGTTCGAATTTGAAATATTCGCATTGTGGACCAATGACAATCCGTAGGGATCCGAACCAGACTCGGCATAGCGGAACCTCATCTCTTGAGCAACGCGGAAGGTCCTTGCAGATGTCAATACTGCATGTGGAGGGTTGTGCAGACATGTCTTCCAATACGAAGCCGACAAGCAAGAGTCCTGGGAAGTTGTCTGCCAAATCCTCACCCAGGTTCATTCTGTCTGGCTCCCACTGCTGCGCAATAACTCACACAATTTCCCCATTTCTCTCCTTCGAAGGTTCCCGGCTCCGCGGCATTGCCCTGCTCCAGAAGAACCACATGATCTGCGAAGCCCATCATTTCTTTCGCGTGCGCAATAGCATCACTGTCTGCTTGCCTTCCTTGGCCTTGCGAAGTTTACGATGCTCTGTCTAATAATATCTGCACTCTCTTGACCCAAAGCACTAGTGGCTTCATCGAGAAATAAGAACGTGCGGATTTCGGATTAGCACCATGGCAATGACAATGCGTTGAACCGATCTGCCAGAGACGTCAAAGCCTCCTTCACCAATCATAGTCGTATAGCCTAGCAGGAGCGACTGGATGAATTCATGAATCCCAGCTAAGTGAGCGGCAGACTCTATGCATGATGCTGACGACGTCAAAAAGAGCTTGATGGTATGCCATGACCGATACTTTCACGAACAGCTATCGGCAGATAACAGGAACTTGAGGTACAATGGCAACCAGAGAACAAAGGATACTACGATCGGAAAGTGTCGAGGAAGGTGGGCTGCCAAAAGTTCCTGAAGGAGACACTGCCAAACTGTCTGCTGTCGGAGGAGAAAGGCCTAGAATGAGATGTGCCACAGTTGATTTGCCCGAACCTGAAGCGCCGACAATGGCACTGCATTTTCCAGAGGAAATAGAAAGATTCAGTGGTTGAAAGGCTGAAGCATCAGGGCGTGTAGGACAGAAAAATGTCTGATTGATGAGGCTGTTTGGTCCAGAAAGTGTGCTCATGTCGTCTCTAACTGGATGAAACCGTCCAATATCTTCATGAGAATTGACTGACATCTGCGCAAGCCGAAGGAGTCGAGTAGCGGTATCGGCAATAGACCTGATTCCTCCCCCCCCCCCCCCCCCCGCAAATACTGCTCGTTTCCTGTCGATGAGAAATGCCTCGTTGATCGTGATAGTATTTCTTGTGAAAATAGGATTCTAGGGCAAGTGCTCGGATAATCTTGATATCTGCAAAGGTCTCCATGAAAACGGTACCAATTACTTCGCTGGCTGTATTGCTACGGGATTCCCACCGAGCGGAAATGACGATAAAGCCCTGGTCAAAGCGTAGAGAACAGGTACAGCTACAAGAGTGTCAACCATAAGCTTCCAGGATGTGATAAAGGACCAGATAATCGCCACTGTCATAATCACAGCGACGACTAGTATCTTGGCCACAAATCGACTGGCAAGGTCTCGTATTTCTTTAGCGCTTCGATCCAAACACAGGATAAAAGTTCGAAAAATTGTTTCCCCTCTTCGACTGCCGCATTATGCGTTGCATCGCTTCAACGCGAAGCCCCGTCGACCCAAGCTTGGCTTGCACAATCCAGCAGATATTTCATAAGGAAGCAGGCAATTCCATCAGCAATATCAATTCCCGGAATTGCCAGAGTACATCGAGCGTCTTTCCCGTGTACTCTGTTAGCATGCGGAATATCGTAAAAAATTGCGTTAGGGTATATGAGAAGGAGGGCGGAGCTCCTGCATGGCTGAGTGTTGCGACGAAGCTCAGGGTAAGCCTTGATTCGATCACCGTCATTGGAATTTTAGTTAGAGAATAAGTTGCATGATTGAGCTCAGAGGTCTCCGAAGGCGATTCGGGGCTTGCTGAGTTTCGTTGGCAATTGAACCGTCAGGAGAAGCAGGAGTAGAGGCTTATCGTATGCATATTAAATTATTTTGCTGCGTGGCCCAAAAAGGTTTGGACCTTATCTCTACCCAAGGCACTTTGTGTCGGAGATCTCAGAGGATACATTGCCCTTTCTCGCGCCATAGACTGTCGCTGGAGGCTTTTCAGGGCTGCTCCTCCACTGGTTGACGGCTCTGTCCTCAACCTCGCCTGAATTGGCCTGATATGGCGCTATATCGGGATGCCTGGGGCGAAGCGGGCTCGGAAGTGTCTTCGGATTCGGCAGGAAAATCATCTTTGCGACTTGACCTCATTGGATGACCGGTTTGCGATGTGCTTGTGCCTACGCCATTGGCAACATTCACATGCTTTTTCAAGATTGGGAAAACTCCTTCGACGTCCTTCATAAATGACGTTACTGTTACCCAGGATGTGGACAAAGTCTTCCTTTCTCACTTGACCCAGATCGTGAGTAATGACAATTGCTATCTCCCCTTTTCGCAATTCAAGAGTCGCGCCCATAACCGCAGTCTTAGCAAGACAATCAAACATGCAGGTGGATTCGTCCAAATTTATGGGGTGTCTCTCAGCCGTACGCGTGCGATGGCAATTTGTTGCTTCTGACCTCCTGATAATGATGAATCCCCCCAGCCAGCTCTTGTCTTCAACCCTTCAGGAAGATCACGGACGGTCTTCTCCGACTCCGATAGTTTCGAACATGAGCAAACCTGGCTGTAGGTGACTCGATCGTAATCGTGATAACCTAAGGTGGTGTTTCTGAATATGGTTTCACCGACCAAACACGGCACCGCCGAGCCAGAGTGGTGTTGTTTCTGGGCTGATTCATATCAAGATGTTGAACATCGTTGTCGCTAATGAATATCCTTCCCATCTGAAGCGGATAGAATTGCATGATTGAATTGTTCAGAGTACTTATGAAGATGGTCTTGCCTGCTGGGAAGGCATAGGCTCAGTTCCGAAACACAGGCTGATCCGGATTACAAGGATAAGTAAAAACGACCTTTTCGAGTTCGGATATCTTTGCAAAAAAGGGACGAGTAACATACTGCTCGCATTTCAATATCGCCCTCACGAAGCTGGGGTGACAACCCACCAGCCTTTCGAAATTTTTGGTTTCCCTCTGTTTACCTTGTTCAAGATTTTCCTTTGGCGAAAGAGCCGCGGTTTGACCCTTTTGATGAATAGCGCCATGAGGGAGAAAATCTCCAAATGCGTTCATCACTATAGAATAAGCCCAGAAAGCTGCGACTTTGTTTATCGCCAAACCAGAATCCTTCTCACATTAGTAAGAGAAAATTTGTAGCTTTGGAGCCTATGGGAACTTGCCTCGAAAGAACATAGAAATGCTGGCAAAACGGACGAACTCAATTTGCGAAGAACTTGTGAAAACCTGCTTCAGAAAGAACTGCGTAGCTTCTTTGAGGTATTCTGGGGGCCGGGGGATATTGTTTTTTCTCTTTCCCGTTAAGTGTTGAAACATTTGATGGTAACGATGTTTGTGATTGCGTTATTTGCCAATTTTGTCGTCTCTCCAAATTTCTCGTCTTGCCCATTTATGTGGATTTACACTTACAAGCTCCAGGAAAGATAGGCTTGAGCGATACACATGATTAAGAAACCGAGTAGCTGTGGCGTTTCGAGCTGAAGTTCTTTGACATTGTTAGATTTGACAAATATTGACGGAATGTGCCTCACGTTTGCATTCGGACCAAAAGCGTTCCCACTCCAGCTCGATCCCGCCCCGTGAAAGAGCTCCTCACAAACATAGTTGGCTTGTGTCTCCCAAAAGGTGAGCTACAGAGTAAAGAGGCAGCTCCTGAAAAAGAATATGCCCGCATCGATCCCCAACAAAGCGTGGCGCCATCATATTTTTCTGCGCCATTGTCGGAGAAAGAGTCAAAAATTTGCCCCAAAAAAGTAACGCAAACGCTGGGTGCAAAGGCCCTCCCGCAGCTGAAAGGGTCATGGCAGGGACTAGCACAAAGCAAATGTACTCTTCTTGTAAAACTGAAGATAGCCACCCAGCCGTTGGAGTCATGTCGATCACTTTGCTAGATCATTGATCATCCCTGCACTCATCTTGGACTTCTCTGTTCATATCGCGGTGAGAACAGGGTGGACATGGCGATACGCATGCGCAAAGAAGGATGTTGGGAGGTTGCACAAGGGTATTGAGTATTCGCTAGCGAAGCTTCAAACTTCGGAATCCAACTAAGTTTGTGTGTTCTTGGTAGTTCCTCTTTTCGTTGCATTCGTGCTCGGCCCTGGTCTCTGGCCCTTACCTGCCAATCAAGGGAACATAGCTGAGCTTATTATTGCTCTTCAGGAATGTTGACAACTCCCATCAAATCCGGCATGTCGTTAAACTCCTCAAGTTCTCCCACCCATTCGTCAAGCCAATTTCAATTTTCTGGGTGGACGTAGCTGCCAGCTGATGAAAATCCAGTATTGCCGGTGTCCGATCGCGCCCTTCATCATTAACCGTGTCGCGATACTTTTGAACCTGAACAGTTTCTGTCAACTTCAATTTAAAATAGTCTTCAGCTGAAGCTCCATATGCAATGGCGTCTTTCATCTGGTGGTTAAGACTTCTTGGTCTCTTTTTGAGCATTTTCATAAATCCAGTCATTCAGGCCGGCGCGATTTCGGGCAATTTCGATTGCATAGAATTGCATCCGTATAGCAAAGATTGTCTCTTTCTCCCCATACTCGGTCTTTGGACTCTTCCTCAGCATAGTGCCAAAGTTGTAGTCTTCGATTTTCTTGTCACCTTTTTCATAGACCATGGCAAAGTTACGCCACTTTTCCTTCCCCTCTTTGCTCTTCATTTGATCTTCATCAATCTCTTGGGCGGGATCGAAGTCTGGAAACTCTCGTTTCAAGTGCTCCAAGATCTCGTCATCTAGTCTGGTGAGGCGAAGTTTTGATCCAGGCATCTTTTCGAGAATGGACCAGTAGACAGTCATATGCTGGACAGCCTTGACTGCGAATTGTTTCTCCATATCCTCATAGTTCGGAGCATTTTCAGGATCGATGTAACTGGTAAGAGACATGTCGATGCAGGTAGAGTGATTCCGCCGAAAGAACGATTGGTGATATTGTGGCGAATTATGCCCGGCGTGTCCTTTTTTATTGTCCCAAGCGAAATTCCGATGAGGCAGTGTACAGAACAATGCATGCGATGATTACAGCGAATAAATTCAAAGGATTCAGAACCAGGTTGAAGTTGTCGTGATTGTGACTCGAAACTCGCGGCTAAAGATATAGAAGTCTTGGCATTGTAAATGGAGAATTAAAACCGCTGCTGCACTGTGGTTCCAAATGCTCTGCTGTACCTCAGCCTCGGGATCGAGGGCAAAAGATGGCTGATCGGGACTCGGTCGAAAAGTTGTAACCATAAAACTATACCGCAGATGGATCACATGGCCATGGTAAATAGTATATGGAGTGGGTTCTGGTGTGCCTTCATGGATTTTCATTGAGTGGAAGTGAGCACATTTACTTATCACTAACAGGAGCCATCCTTGCTAGCTTGTTGAGTTCGAACCTTTCCTGACGCCCCAAACAAGCAAGTTTATTGGCGAACCATGACTATCAAAGTTCGATGTGCATCACAGAACACAACCTCAGCCAGCCACTACATGACCTGCCAGCGCAGCGTATTGCCGTATTCTGGGGCATCCGGTGTGCCAGTGGTTTCCTACCTCCATATCCACTCCGTGCCTGGTCACAGTATATTCTGAACTACCAACGCGACGATCATCCTACATCACTCCTAAACATCAAACAAAATAACCACAGTTGACTTCAACACATGATATATGTTCTGAGACCTTGGCACCGACCTTGAACAGGCGGAGTTGTGACTTGTAGGACGGGTTTCACAGCTACTGACATATTCTTGTCTTTCTCGGATATCCTGGCTGTGCACAAAAAAGAGAAGAACGGGTCCCATCACCAGATCAATTTCCGACGGTGGCTGCCGCCGACAACACCCGCTACCTGCATTTAGTACGGAGTTCTCAAATGCAACACCTGAAGAAGCCATGGAAGAGAGCTGACAATTGCCACTCATGTGTTATCACGGTTGCCTGGCATTCCTCAGCCTCAAGATTGCGTAAGAAGTGCTTCGGGGTCAATCCGACTCCTCACTTCCTCCCCATCTCTGGCCCTCGACTGGGGTTTAGCTTCGCTTATTAAATGTTGCATAGGCTATGAACATAAGTAGATTACGCTGGCAGGACACACAGACCGGGCACAAACCCAACCTAGGACATCTTCTATCATATTGATGTGTCCTCCATGGTCTGGCCTATAACTATGTTGTTATTGTTGTTTCTCTAATTTAATGTCCGCCCGTGGCTATGCCTCACGGCAGTTCTACTCCTGTGACTGAGGACCTGAGGCGGGCTTCCACAGGAGGGCCACCGGCCCGGGAACGATATTGAAAAGATCTTCTTTGCTGATATAGCCATGAAGAAAAGGGGCGGGAGAACGTGACAGTTCCTTCAGGCTACGGATATGGCCGACCAGATCTGGTAGAATGGTAACCAAGTTTGTTTAACATACTTCCCGAATCAGTTCTCAGTAGCGCACTAACTTTCCCCTTTCGGTACTGGTGGGGCAGCAGGACCGAATTTGCAATAAGGAGCGGTAGAACGGCATTGGCTCCGAACCAATGGCTCTTAGAGGATGAACCCCGCAAGTGCGAAAGGGGAGCTGAATAGGTTCTTTTGCTGCGCCTGGTGCTGCACGGCATTTGAGAGGACCGTTAAGCGCCTTCCCGATTCTACAAATCAGCTGAAGTTCGCGCTCACGCCCGTTTAGGCAGAAAACGGCTGTCAAGAAGCTGTCATCATTCTGACAGAGCCTCCAGTTTACCCGGACTACTATTCAACCGTCGAGCATGGGGAGGATAATACGAGTGCAATATATGACCTGTCAGATTTATCAGCCAGCCTCCTTGCTGCCAATTCAAAATAGTCGCGAATAGATTGCATAGTCCCCCATCACTATAGTGTGTGTCATGACTTCTCCCAACATGCACTTACAAGTGTTAGTCGTTCCTCTGTCTACATCACACGCAATGAAACGCCAATTAGATAAAGAACCCATTGTTTTACATCACCATGGCGGTCTGTGTTCTTCTTGCACAGCCCTCAACGATCACAATCCTCAAAGGTATAACAGGTTATCAGATTCGGGGGGAGTTTCCTTCAGCGCCTTCCTTCTGCCTTATCTAGCACATTTCAGTACAACAACCCTTCCATCTCCATAGAGTGGATATCTTCGCGCATTGAGCTGCTTCATCTCCGCTCTCTCGTGTGCTGGGGGTTAAATAGTTTGATGGCCCGGATGTCCACTTTCGGCAACAAATCCGTGAAAGTTCATGATCGGGAACTCGTTCAACTCTCAATTGTGCCACAGAAATCGGACTATACCGGACTCTTTGGCCATTACTCGCGGAGCTCGGGTGTGGGGGTCAATAAGAAAGCTTTGATGATTGGAGTCAACTATTTTCGCCAGCGGGGTCAATTATGCGGCAGCATACGTGAGGTTCAGAACATGTCCGCATATCTCAACCTGAACTTTGGATACCCCAGAGAGAACATGGTCATTCTAACGGATGACCAGCGAAATCCATTCTCCCAACCGACAAGAGCCAACATACTTAGGGCAATGTGTTGGCTGGTGAAAGATGTCCAGAGCAACGACTCTTTGGTTTTCCACTACAGTGGTCATGGCCCACAGCCACCGAGCGATAAGGAAGAGGAGGAAGGCTGCGACGAAGTTATATTCCCGGTGGACTTTCGCTCAGCTGGTTGCATAATAGGTATTGAGATTTACAAAATAATGATTCAAGGACTGCCTGCTGGTGTGAAACTCAAAACTATTTTCGACTATAGTTATTATGAGGGAATGACAATTTACTGACCTGGACGGAGACCACCGGGCGGGAGAGGGGGTCGACAACTCCCCGTATCTGCGGGAAAGAAAATGTTCTCAGCACTGTGTTAAGCGTGAGCAATGATCGAGGCGCATAGGAGTAAATGTCGCGCCATCGCGGAAGACCATGGAAAAGACAGGAAGACAAAGCATTGAGAGCAGAGTAGTGCTGAACCGATGTAAATGTAGCACATTCTTTCGATCCCGGCTTCCACTAACACCACGGCCATCCAGATTTCTCGAACGTAACTCCTACAATTATCCTTTTCGTCTAGCTGTGGTCGGATGACGACTGGTACCGGTATGGCACATGCTCTGGGACTGTGGAAATCAAAATTGAGATTCTTGAGTGATAGAGAACGCCGTGATAGACCATGTCATCATGCAACGGATGTATATCAAGACTCATTCTTTGCTTGAATGCATCACTCAGAGTTTAAGCCGAAGAAATCATAGTCTCGAGTTAGACCCCTTTAGGCCTACATCTCGAAGTAGATGGAAGAAAAGAGCCTGATCTCGCATTTCACCGCCCTTCCCTTTTCCTCCGGTTTTGGACAGCCAAATACCAATCCGTGAACAAACTCGAAAGATAGGGTTTCTGTCTCGATTTGACCAGAGCGGTTGCGTCGTAGCTCCAATCACAAGTGTCTACGAAGGGGCTTCTCCTTGCATTGTTGATTGAAACGCACTCCTATGTCAAGATATTTGAATGTCTCAGCCTTGCAAGATGAAGCCGAAACTCAATGGGGAAATCTGTACGGAGACGCAGTGAACCTACTCAGTACTACTACGGAGTATTTAGGCGTCGCTGGGATGATGGAAAACTTTTCTCCGAATCAGCTTGGGTTGATTGATTGACTGTGCACAAAAGTCCTTAAGCCGTCAAAGGTTTGTGCGAAGCCGACTCTTGACTAGCGTACAAAACATGTGAAAACAACAAACGCACCCTCTCAGCTGGTCTGTCGGTACAGGAAGTTCGTTGCTCTCTTTGATCACACTCAACTCTAAGCTCCGCTATGCTTCAGGAGTTCCATCGCAGCCTCTTCGTCTATTCGTGACATCAGCTCACTTCTGCTACTTCTCTCCGCGCTTCTATAAAGATTTGTTTGATCTTCTCATCTCTCAACAATAAACGGGCCCCATTATGGAGATGCCCCCGATCTATCGTCCTAGTCCTCGGCGAACTTTTGAGATAACTCCTGCCTCGACTGATTCCTCCCATCCTCCTTCTCCAGCAACAGAAACAACGAACCCAGATTTGCTCACCAGCCAAAAGTCCGATTCTACTCCCAGCCGCACGCGATCAACCCTGGACCTCACCTCATCAACTTTACTCGGTATTTACTCACCTATAGGGTCGGATGGGATGCGAGAAGAGCTGTCAACACCATGGGGAACGGGAGCACAGACACCAAGCCAAAGACGAAGTGTTGATGACTACACACCTCAAGAACCTCCGGTAACCTGGACAAGAGAAACTACAAAACCGAGGCCAAAACCCAAGAGAAAGGGATTCCGTGGGTATGTGGTACCTCTTGCTCTACAAACTACTCTTCTATTTGGGTTCGGAATTGGCTATGGGTCCATTATCACACATCTGCACAAGACTCAGCACATAACACCAATGCCGGTACCAGACATTGAGCGCAATACTTTGTACTATCAGATTTCCTGGGGCATCTTTGGCATTTTGCTTGGGAATGCTTTGCCACTAGTTGATTCATTCTGGGAGAGGTTTATCTCGCCTGCTGTCTCTGGAGATCAGGCCTCCCCGAATCCAAAGTCAGGGGTGGGAAAGACATCCAACTCCGATGGAACAAGTCCAGGTTCATCGTACGACAGTGGCTTGGGTCCGATTTGGTACTCAGCGGTACGAAGTATGGGCGTCTTCGTTGGTATTGCATTTGCGGTGGTAAGACGGACTCTTCCTCCGACTTTTACCCACATATTGATTAATTGCTCAGCGACGACTTCCCTGGCAATCAACTCTGCAAGTTGCTTTGACTTTGGCTCTGGCGAATCCCGTTTTATGGTATCTGATCGATCGATCATTACCAGGTTTCGCGTTTTCAGCAGCGATCAGCACCATCGGCACGTTGCTTCTGCTGCTGATCGATCCAAATTTTGTGCCGGTTCCAGCAATCCATCAGCCCATGGCATCTGAACGGTTTGGTGTTTATACTTGGTTGGCGAGTATACTTTTCTGCACAAGCATTTGCTTCGGTGCGATTGGTAGAAGGCTTCAATTGTGAGCCAGGGAGGTCTAGCTAATTCGATTCGAGAAATATCCTTTTTTAATACCTTCAGAATGCGGATTCTCCAGGTACGATTTGTAGAGAGTGCCGGGCCAGGAGGCCGCAGAGTGCTGTTCGACAACGGCGTCGCTCAGTATTTTCTCGGTATCAAGTCGGGACAACTTAGATTCGACGTCATTAGTGTACGAAACAGTACCCAAACGCCTTTCTCGTGTTGGGGGCCAGAAGTCAATCAGAACACTCAATCTTACGAGTTCTAGCCAATACAGTAATGTGTTCTACTGTACCAGGTGATGTGTGTACGCGCACGAGCTCCGCAGCAGCGTCTGCACCCCTCCACCTCAAATCGTTGTGGACCGTTGTGTTGATGAGACACACCCAAAGACCATGGCAGATGCATGCGACAAACAGGAGCTCGTTGTCAGCCCATTGGCTCTTCTCCTTCTGCACCAACCACATTTGGCAAACAGGTAGACCCGCAAACTGTGATGCATGATCGACAAGGCAATGCGGATATCACCAGGTCGAAGACGGAAGCACAGAGTGTGGATTCGGGGATCTAGGCTCGCAACGCATTTCTGGCACTGGGATATCGGAGGAATGTGAGAGGGTGGTTTCAGGGTGTCACGGCTTCGATGACGGCTGCCGCGGAATGGCCACACATTGGCCAGAGGTCGTTTTGGTGGTGGCACGAGCGTGAGTGTGTTTGACATCAACTGTGTTTACTTCTTTGCTCTGCTATCCAGCTAAATCTTACAAGCATGCAACAACACAAGTCGAGACATGCATGGCTCATTGGCAGTAGCGGGCCCCAGGTGTTCATGACTTTGGTATGCATATGTCCACTTGACCACTCGAACGCGCCGAACTGATCAGGCGCGTCATGAGCCAGGTTTTGGTCGATAGTTTCAAGTATGGGGTGAGCTGATTCGCGGCCCCCTGAACATGGGACTTGATTACGGTTCATGATAGGCGTCAAATGGTGCGTTGCTAGGCGCAGCTTGGTAAGGTTCGGTTGACCAAATATAAAAATTTCCCAGAAAAGAACTTGCGGGTGCACCGCCAAGGGTCATTGAATCCATCAACACTATCGCTTTGACTGTGTGTACACCCATGTCGACGCACTCTGTCATCAACACTCTTTACCCCTCGGACATACTCCCTCCTGACATTTCTTGACGCCTTATTCTCGCCATTCGCTCGAGAGCTGGCTCTTGTGCGACCCTCACTTTATTGATGCCCAACTGGTCCACTCTTTACATGAATCGGCGACCGCCATCTACGCCTAAGCCCTGACGATTTGCAACTTTCACCACTCACCGACTTCCACGCAATATGGTTTCTTTTCAATGCGAGGTCAGCACAATGGACGACATTTCTCACTGGTCTGTCACTGACTACCAAGCCATAGGCTTGTGGAGATGTTCTCATCAAGAGGAAACTCGATTCGCATCGCAACCAATGCCGAGCCGCCGTCTTTTCCTGCCTCGACTGCATGACAACGTTTAAAGGGACCGACTATAGGTCGCATACGGTGCGTCGATCATGATGGGGTGCAGATATGTTCAATATCAGCCTGCCTGCCGGGATCTGCGCCCCAATGCAAAGAACTTTTTGAACTGATGTGCGGAATAGTCCTGCGTCACCGAAGATCAGAAATATCAGGGTGCTTTATATCGCGAGAAGCCTTCAAGGGCCGCGAAGAGGAAATCAGTCTCAATCGTTGAGCCAGTCGATAACAACGCTCTTGTACCGCGTTCAGCATACGTTGAAGACGCGTCTGATGTCGACACGACTCCTCCTCACGTTCCCACGCCTCCCCCTGCTGTCCTAGTCTCGAATCGTGACAGCGTATTTGACTACATGGTCAACGAAAGCCCCCCCGGCACACCACGGATAAGTTTTGCGAAAAGCAGGGAAGAAATGTCCATGAAGAATAGTGCCCCGTCTATATTCTCCAACAGCAGGCCGTCCAGTCAAAATGGCTATCGGAATAATGAAGAACAGCAACACAGCCAAGAGTATGAGGAAAACGGATATACTTGGGGCACCGAGCCCGTTAAGCCTCGAGGTCTGCTGGAGATGAACGGGAGTGCCTTAAGCCTTGAATTTATGACACCGGCCGCCAAAGAGACCAAATCAAAGTTGGACAAGAAAGAAAGACCTCGAGCACATAATCGGACAGATAGTGGGAGCGAAAAGAAACGAAAGCGTCCAACTGACGACCAAATCCATGAGTTGGAAAGAGACACACTTATGGTGGATACAACGAAGGTGGATACTCCTTCCATCGCTCATTCCGGACTCACGGGTGGCCTTAGCCGCATGATGTCTTCAAACGATGACTATCCGTTCTCACGATCTCTAGAAAACGAAGACAAACGCCAAGTCGTCGAGAAGGAGCGCCCGAGTCGTCGGAGCCATAAACCCGAAGATCCCGGCTCACCTCTAAAAAGAACCCGCCATACCAAAGAGGATCCGAACGGCTTGGGTATCTCCATCAAAGGTCGCGCTGTCAAAGCACTGTCTATGGTTGGCGGAGCCCTCCTACCCGGAAGCCAGATCGACTCCCAACAACAAAGCAGCGGTCGAACAAGGAGAAGAGCAAGCTCATCTGATCATGGCCAAAGCCTTGTTCGTGTTCGCGATGGTGAGAAGCGTGAGAGGAAGAAACATAAAGTCCACCGTCACAATGGGACTGCCTCGGCGAATATACGTCATGAGCACCGCTCCCGCCGCCGTTTGTATAGCGATGATTCCCCCTCACATTCTCCGGGAGAAGGCGACACGCGGAAACTCAAAGCAATAGAGTATCGCAAGAACGACGACTCGGCCTCCGATTCGGACTCCGACCAAGGGCATCAAAATGGCAGTGGTACTGCGAAACGCAAGGGTTCGAATGGAACCATGGTCGTCTTTGGCGCAGAAGAGAAGTCGAGACGTGCGTGCCGGAGTTTCCTTGCCAATGCGCCAGGCTTGGACTCTGAGAAAGGATATTCCATCCATAAGATGCTGAAACGCTGGCACAAACATAACGACGTCCGAAGTTCGAGTCTAAAAGTAGAAGAGGAAAATGTCCTGTGGAGAAGTTTACGGGTGCGAAGGAACGAAAGAGGCGAGTATGTCGTCTTCTTCTGACCGCACCGTCGAGCTTGATAAATTATTCCATTAATGGGGGAGATACATGATTGATTGCGGAGTAATTTTCTATCCGAGCTTTGAGGGCTACACGAGAAGGACGTTCCAACATCTCTTTTCTTTTGTGACTGCCGATTCATCTACTGCATAGGTGGTGCATGACGGGTTTCTCATTCTTCTCTTCCCGTCATGGGAATTCCTCTTCAATGTCGCAGGTATGAAGAGAATGTATTAATCTCTTGACACCGTCGTTTCCACTGGCACTCATCTCCTCGGTTATGGCTCCGGATCTACGGGCAGACTCTCAGGGGCCAAGAAACTTAATGATGTACAATTATGGGCAGCTGAATGGGTCGGATGTGATAGAATTAGGAATGATCTTTAGGTTGCTGGCGTGCCTTTGACAACGATTACACTGCATCGTAGGCAGCATATTTACGTTGCCTCTCTCCCAGATTTTGCATTATTGACGATCACGGTGGAGAGCATAAGAGGTTCGGCCCTGGTACTTAGGACGAGGCCGCGAGACCAGTCAGTGAAAGGTCCAATAGACTCCACCCACGGTACCGATCATCAAGGTCGTTGCGTTGACCCGAGATCATGGAATATCGATTGCATTTCAATGCGGTCCCCTACCTTGAACCCTGACCCTGACCCTGTTTCCGAGATATTCAAAGATCCAAATGCTAAGATTGGGAGACTAGTCGTGAAGCGATGGAGGACTTGGGAAACTGGGTAATTTGTTCAGTGATCTGGATCGGGTTTCTTGGACACCTTTCAACTACGTGAAGCTGTCCCTGTGAGCAAGGTGGCGGGGAAGAAAAGCAGTTTTCCGGGACTTCGATCTCTTGCATGAATCACATCCAGAATTTTGATTCAACCTCAGCCTGGACCCGGAACATGTGCGTAGAACTTCTGACAACCTACCCAGGAGTTCGAAAGACCTGACCCGGCAGTGGAAGCCTAGGAATTCGCAGCACTTAATCCACTCCACCATAAATTCAATGGTCAATGACACCGAGGCAGACAACTACCTCATGGTGACGACGAGCTAATGTGAGAGCTGGACCCAAAGGTCTATAAGATCGACGGGTGGAACCACACAGACTTTCGCGCGCAGGGAGAAATAGACCATCGCAAGTGACAGGTAGGAGAAGGTGATGATTGTTGTGGTTTGTGGCTTAGAAAACGTCGATAGTAGGGGGCTGGGAAACATCATTGAGACGCACCGTTCAGGAGACTGAGTTTCTTTCCTTTTTGTCGCATCTCCTACCACGACAGAGCAGATTCTCAGGCTGAAACACGTCAAGCAACGCTGCCAGCAACTGGTGGCAGTTTAGGCTCGGGACCTGGGAGGTGCCGGAGTGGGAAGAGGCCCCTCATTTTGCCTGTAAATTACCGGTAAAGACCTCGGTCTGTCACAGTGTCACCAACTTTGCGAGGTACTTGAAACCACGTGGGGGAAGAACTTTACCCCTTTTCTCTTGGCGGTGCCAGGCGACAAAAATGCAAAACCTGTGCCATACGGGCCTTTCGTCACGATCTGTATTGCGGTGTATTGACAACAACTTCCATCCTTGTCGAGGCCGGGCCGTTCCTATTTCGATTTCTGCCTTCCTCGTAAGCTGACCAACTTCACCAACTTCTTCTCCTTCTCATATCAACACTACCACCCCCCTTTCTTCCATATCTATTGACCAGTACAAATATGTCTTTGGGTCTTTAAAGATCCTTGATTCTCTTCAACAGCCCTGGAGTCCCTTCCGGTTCACCATGGCCAAACCTCCGCTTCGGCCCCCACGCCGACGTGGAGGATCCAAATCCAAGTCGAAATCGATGTTAACTTGGGCCCTACTCCTCCTTCTCATTGCTGCCGCCCATCCTCAATCCATCCATCAATCCGACTCGGTCCAGAGACTGGTGGCTTCTACCCAAAGTGTCCGGCCTGAATCCTCTCGTCGTCCTCCGGCTGGCCGCAGCCCAGCAGAGATCCCTCTCCTCAAAAACGATGTCACCACCGTCAAATTCAGAAGCACCGATGAAAACCCCGAAAATCACAAACTCCGTGCCTTGGCTCCAGCACACGATAGCAGTAGTGCTGTTAGAGCACCTCTTGTTCAGTCTGCCGAGTCTTCTGGACTCTCAGCGCTCCCTTCAGCGCGGCTACTGCAAGATTGGGAGGTGGAGAACATTGTCCTACTAGCCACCATTGATGGCACCATACATGCACGTGACAGAAAATCCGGCAATGAAAGATGGTCACTGGGTATTCCCAATAGTCCCATGATTGAGACTATCCACCACAAGTTGAATCGGAGTGACCCTGAACACTCTCGAAACGAGGATGACTACGTGTTCATTGTCGAGCCGAGCAAGGATGGTAATCTATACATTCAGCATCGAGATCCCAGAATCGGCCTACAACGCTTAGGGATCACTGTCAAATCTCTTGCGGAGCAAACGCCACAATTTGTCGATGATCCGCCTTTGGTTACCATTTCTTCACAGGAGACAACTGCATATGTGGTGGATGCTGCTACGGGAACAATACTGCAACAATTTGATAAAAACCATGGGTTCTCTAATGAGGATCAGGGCCGCTGTCGACGATTGAGTGGCTTTGAGCTCGACGACCCTGCCTGCGAACCCATCGGTACCCTCAATATTGGCCGAGTCCAGTATACAGTTCACATATCGCACAAGACCACCAATGAACCTCTATGTACAATCAGGTTTGCCGAATGGCTACCGAACAAAGGAGATAGCGATCTCCAGGACCAATATGTCACCCCACTGGACAGTTATCACATTCAGAGTCGTTATAACGGTCGAATTATTGGCATTAAAAGCAACACCGAATCTGGCCAAATCCCCCAGTTTACCCACATGCTGGAAACTCCTGTGGCCCGGGTTTTTGATGTCATTCGCCCTCTTGACAATCGCGACGAATCTGCCAACCTGGTTCTCCTCTCTCGGCCAACCGACTCCCCACTTCTCTCCTCTCCCGAAGTTTGGAGGAATGAGATGCAACGAGCTGAAAGGGTTTTTGTGAACCGAACAGAAGCGGGAATCTGGTATGCCATGTCCGAGCTGTCATATCCTGGTGTCACCAGCGGCGCCGCACCTGCAAGCTCTCATTGGAATTATGACAATCATCCTTTGGATTTCAATGGCGACATGGAGGAAATTGTCGGAGTACATGTTCTTTCTACACATCCAAATGATGCTCCGCTACGCCTGACAATCTCCGGCCCTCCTCCAGCGACCGATCTGGCCGAAGAAGCTGAAAAAGCAATGACCTCCCTCGAGTCCAAGTTCCCACCGTCCCTGTTACCGGTTATAAATCATCCTTTGATGCCAGTTTTCTTTCTCATCGTCTGTAGTGTGATCTTCTTTGCCGTGGGACTTCAGATGAGGCTGCCAATGATGTTGAAGATGCAAAGATTCCTACGAAAGGCTGGTGTGGAGGTCGCAGTGGAAAGGGCTCAACCCCAAGCCGCCGCTCCACATACAGGCATGACTGACGAGCAAGAAATCCCCGTCATTGAAGTTACTCAAGAAAACGTGACTCCCGGGACCATCTCCGAAGTCCTCGAGAATGCAGTTCCTACGCCAGCCAGGAGTCGAGCCCAGAGTTCCGCGGTTTCTGCTGTCGGCCCTGCAAAGACGGCCAAGGCGCTGGACCCCACTGAGGACAGTTCGGAAGGTGAATCTGAAGATGACAAGAGCAAACAAGATTTCGATTCCAACGCAGCGGCCGAGAATGGCACCCAACCCCGCAGGAGGCATGCTAAGCGTGGCAAACGAGGGGGCAAAAAGAATAAAAAGTTGAAGAAGACCATGGATCCAGAAGCGATGGACGAGAGGGAGGAACTTGCCACCGAAATTCCTATCAAGGATGGGCTGCTGCAGGTTGGTCGACTGAGAATTGACACGAAAGAAGAGCGATGCCTTGGCCGCGGAAGCAATGGCACAGCAGTGTTCCCCGGATCACTAGACGGTAGAGAAGTTGCCGTAAAGCGCTTGATTCGTTCGTCGAATAATCTTGCTGCCAAAGAAATCAAGCATCTTCTCTCAAGTGATGAGAATCCACACGTTGTCCGATATTTTGGAAAGGAGGAGTCACAACACTTCACATACATTGCACTCGAATTGTTCACCACTTCACTCGATCAATTCGTTGAGCGCCCGCTCCAATATCCCAACCTGGTCAAGCTGCCGGAAGGGTTCGATGTGAAGGATGCACTGCGTCAAATCACGGACGGTGTCCAACATCTTCATTCTCTCAAACTTGTGCATCGGGACATCAAGCCCCAGAATGTCCTGGTCAAGGCCGTGAAAAGCAATCGTCCGGCGACTGGGCTACCCAAATTGCAGTTCGTCATTTCCGACTTCGGTCTATGTAAACCATTGGAAGAAGGTCCAGAATCAGCCTTCGCTCCCACCGCGAATCATACAGCCGCAGGGACGACGGGTTGGAGGGCACCGGAATTACTTGTTCATTCTAGAACATCCGTTGCGGCACCGAATGCAACATCCACCACTCCCAAGTCAACAACACATTCTAGTGATGGTGCCGTTGTTGATCCTCCATCTGGTCGCCGAGCAACCAAAGCCATCGACATCTTCTCCTTGGGCTGTGTTTTCTATTATGTGATGACCCAGGGGCGGCATCCGTTCGATGTTGGTGGTACGAGCCTTGGTCGAGATCTGAACATCAAAGAAAACAAGTTCAGCACGGAAGATCTACGTCTCCATGACTACCAATACGACGCCGATGATCTTATTATGCAGATGCTGAAACACGACCCCAAAGATCGCCCCGACACCGCCCAGATCCTTCGTCACCCGTACTTCTGGGATGTCGCGGACAAATTGGAATTCCTCTGCGATGTATCAGATTGCTATGAGCGCGAGAAGAACTCTGTCAACAACATCTTCGACGAGAACGCGATCCGTACATCGGCAGAGAAAGAGGCGCTCGCCGAACTCGCAGCCCTTGAATCTTTGGCCCCGAACGTCATCGGTCCATCCAAAGACTTTCTTCGAGCCTTACCCAAGACTTTTCTCTATGAAATTGGCAAGCAGCGCAAATACACAGGGTCGAAGATGATTGATCTCCTACGTGTCATCAGGAACAAGAAGAATCATTTCCATGATCTGCCTGACGACGTCAAGGAACAAATGCTCGGTGGTAGCACAAAGGGTTACTACGAGTTCTGGGCGAAGCGGTTTCCGAGCCTGCTCATCAATTGTCATTGTCTTCTGTTGGATAGGGATTTAGTGGCGCGCTTTAGGATGGAGAGGTATTTTGAGTAGCTTGGGGGATGAGATGTCTTAATGTGGATAGATGGAATTGTACAAGGGTTTTTGGGGGAGAAGTCAATTGTCTTCTTGATCTCTTTTTTCATGGTATCATTGATGCGTTTTTTTCCCTTTTCATCATTTTATCTCCACCATTCGTGACATGACGCACAGGAGCACAGTCGCTTTTCCGCTTTGTAACTTCTAATCAGGCACTCACAGCAGCTCTCCATTCACTGACCCGTATGATTCCTTCAGGTATTGTAATTGACTTGCACGTGGGATATCGTTGCGGATGGGTGTAATACGCAACCTTCCCCCCTCCATGAGTTGAGGCATTGCAGCAACTCATTGAAACAGCGCTAAAGCCTGTGAGGTTGAAGAATTAGGAGGCAATTTGCTTCCAAGGCGCTCATTGAGGGGAAGCTCTAGCCATCATCATTGCTAAGGTCGTGATTTCAGCCAAGATTTTAACCCCATGAGGAATCAAGCCTCACAAGCGCCCACGCGCCTCAACGATCTTCTCCACACGTGCCATGAGTCGGTCGTGATCGGAATTCTCTCTCGCTTTTCTCGTTCACATTTCTCGGGTCCATGTTGAATTTACATGCGCTCCCTCCTCCGTGGTGCCGCACGAATGATATCGTCGACTCGTAACAATAGCTCGGCTGCCTCGCTCGCAGAGCCCACGACGGCTCTCTTCAACTTATAGCTCTCGATGACGCCTAATTCGCGCATATCAGCGATGCCGCCGCCGGGCGTCAGCAGGTCGAGCCCACTGCTCGTCATGCCACGGTATACTTCGCTGCGGAGTTCCGAGACGAGAGCCGATGAATCCAGCCCGGCATTGTCGGCCAGGATAGTAGGCAGCTGCCGCAACGCAGTGGCGAACGAGTCAATTGCAATGCGTTTCTTGCCGCCAACCTTTTGCGCGAGCGAGTCCACGGCGTTCGCCATCACCATCTCCGCGCATCCGCCGCCGAACGTGATACGGGGTTCTTTGACCGTCTGCGACAAGACTGCCAGTGCGTCGTGCAGAGATCGCTCGGCCTCGTCGAGTAATTGTTCTGTCGCGCCACGGAGGACGATGGTGCACGCTTCGCCGGCGGCTACTCCGGAGAATTTAATCAGTGTGTCTTCGCCGATGATGACTTCTTCGATCAGGTCGCAGTGGCCGAGCTTCACTTGTTCCGGGTGGTCGAATGTGGATGCGATCTCGCCGCCGGTCACGAGAGCGAGACGCTCCACACCGTCAAAGTCGGCATGTTCAATGCTCATGATTCCAGCTTCCGTAAAGAGTTGTTCGGGCCAGTTGTAGATGAGTTGTCGGTTTATGAAGCAGTTGATCCCGTGAGCTTTGATCCGTTCCACTTTCTGTCGCATTTTTTCCCGCTCGGCTTTTTCCAGCTCAGCAAGTTCTTTTGGCGAGCCGACTTTCATTCGTGAAGCCCAGATCTTGACTTTGTCTGTATCCATTGCAGTGTTGGCGACAAGGATTTTGGCGTTTTCTAACCTCTTGGGCTGGTTCACACCGATGCGCTTGTCCAAGATGAATCCTTCGTCCAAATAGCTGTCACTTAATTTTCCGCCTGCCTTCTTGATTATTTGAATATGGTTCAAGTCTGTTGAGCCTTTGAGACGAAGGACGGCTTCGCAGGCTAGATCGGCGAATTTATCTCGGTCTTGACTGAGGACTTTGGAAGAGAGGGTCGTTCGAGCAATGGCCTGGAGGTCTTTGCGGAAGACTTGAGGGTCTTTGCTGCTGTCGACTGCGGCCTTTTCGAGTGCGTGCAAGGCAGCTTGGGATGCTAATCGGTAGCCTTCAATAATGGTCTGGGGATGTATTTTCTTCGCGACAAGCTGTTCGGCTTCTCGCAGTAATTCGGCAGCAAGGACTGCAACCGATGTTGTTCCGTCTCCCACTTCGTCGTCTTGGACTTTGGAAATGTTGACCAGGACTTTGGCAGCAGCATTGTCGAGGGCTATGGATTTCAATATCGTGGCTCCATCGTTAGTCACCATTATCTCGCCTGTACTGGCACTCTGCAGGATCTTGTCCATGCCCTTGGGGCCCAGTGTGGATTTGACGAGGTCGCCGACTGCGATGGCTCCCACGAAGGCGGAAAGACGGGCATTTTCTCCTTTCTCTTCCTGCACGTCTTCCGCGAAGATTTGCGTGGGATTGTTAGATGCCATGATTTTTACTATCCTATTCCTTCAATTTACCGGTCGAGGCTGGAGTCTGAAGATTGAATAGGCACAATCCAAAATTTGCCGTCCGGGTGGTGCTACGGAGCATCGCACGGACAAAGACTGCACGTGGACGTCTTGGCATAATATCTCCGCAATCTGAACGCGAATCCCCTCGAGGAAACCTGACTCTACCTTATCCCCGCTATGCCCTCCTCAGGCGCTGGAGCTCTGACAATATCACTAGCAGAGGGTCCTTGGTCCCCAACGCAAGAATGGAGGTCCAGGACGGACGGAATTGCAAGTCAAAGGAGCTGCGAGACGCATACTTTTCTCGAAATGACGCCCACGTACAAGGATTTACCACCTATGCAAAGGCACTACGACAAGTAGGCCGCCGACAACAATTCTCTCTAATATGAATTCTTTAGGAGAATTCAAGAAATTTCGAGGAACAACTACACTCAGCCTCGTCTTTGCATTAGGGCCATCTGCGGATTGCTCTCCACCTGCCGCTTCGATGGAGGCAAATTCATGTTGTTCTCCCGTCTTGCCAGTTTCTAATGTCAGATCTCTTCCTACACCCATTGAGCCATCTTTCGCCAATTTCCCTGTCGTTGTTTTCTTGATCTCTGAGACGAAATCAGTAGCACGAGGACTTGAAATCTCGCCACGTTCCGCATAGCCCAGTCGAACAAAGTCAGCTTCATTGTGGAACTCTCTTCACGGAGCTTCACTGAGACTTTGACGTCGTCCTCAGCACGTAAGCCGAGCTCTGAAGAGATTGCAAAGGCAGCCGCAATCGCGACTTCTGGATGATGGGGGAATTCTTCTTCGATTTCTGATACAGTTACATCCTCTCCTCTTCTCCAGATCACATTCTTGACTCGACCGACGAAGGGACCGTTTCCCTCGGTGTCCACCTGGCCGAGATGACCAGTATGCAGCCATAGATTTGAGAAGACTTTGATGATGGCCTGAGGGTTTGTTGAAATCCCCCGCGGGGGAGGGGGGAAAGCATTTGGAATGTCACTTCTCGGCGACATGTGTATGGGTGTGTTTGGAGGAACTAGCTCATCATTATGATCTGCGATGCGACGCTGATATCCAAGTCAGATGGTTCCGCACGATCACTGCACCCTTGGACCTCGTTGCATTATCAGATGACTTGCCTCAACGCTATGGACGGCCGAATCGCTTCTCATAGTCCTCGGCAATGTTCGATATAGGAATTTCCCAAACAAACCGCACGCGATGGCCACGATCGAAGGCATTTGGCTTCTGTTTGTATGTCAGTGCCAACGTGGCGCCCATGAAGTCATACGCTGTGACCTTGTTTGCTCGGATCTCATCCCAGAATTTGCTTGCATTGAAGTGCCAGGACATTGCAGCTGTGGTGCCCAGAAATATTGCCAGAATGGTTCTGAGAGCAGTACCGTCGGCATGAAACAAGATGCCGAAAGAGCTTTAGTGGGACTCGGACTGTGGCGGAATCACTGCCACGGTACCCAGCTACATCGCCGAGCTTTCAATATCCTCCATTCGAGGAATGCTGACTAGCCTCTTCGAACTTGAATATCAAATGGGGGCAGTGATCAGGTTCTGGATCAATTTTGGAACTAATGAGAACATGAACACTTCTACTTCAATGAGCTGGAGGCTCCCGACAGTATTCCAGGTCGCCCCTTCTGTTCTATTGTTTATCTGCAGATTCTTCCTCCACGAAAGCCCTCTCTGACTCATGCATAAGGGTAGGGTGCAAAAGCTTCTTAGACCTGAGAGGCCTCGAGACATCTCTCCGCCAAGCATCAATATACCTTTTATCAATCTCCGCTATGAGTGAGGAGAGACTAAAAAAGCGAGAGACATTCAAGAAGAACTGGCAATATTGCAGATCAGACCAGAAGAAGAGGTCATTGTCGCAGGCAGCTACGGCTGTGCTTCGTACATCACTTTTCCGTGGTGCGACGCATGAATTCTCGCAGAAAGGCATGAGAATTCGGGCCTTTGTCGTCTTCTGCGCATTCACGCTTGCGAATTGTCAGGGGGATCTGGTAGGACTGCCTCACGGATCACAATACAATCCATTGACCGAATTCAATAACCAATTACTATTCTCCAATCCTGTTCGGCTCTCTCGGTGTTTCAGATGTCGGTCTGTACACGGGAATCTATGGCTTGGTCAATGATTAGGTCTATATTCTGATCAACAGAAACTCTAGACACTCTTGGAGCTATCGCGTCTATCATCTATGACCTTTGGCCTCGTCGACCTGGTGGGATGCACACCACCAGTAATCCCGTCACGTCAATTGGCGGCCAATTGTTGTGGCTGATCTTTCGGTCCCAACGGTGTGCCTTGGACTCCAATCGCAGAGATGTTTCCGGGTGCTATACGAAACTTTTCAGGCACATGAGCTGCTTTGGTGCAAAGGTCAGTGACTCTTATACGAATCCAAATTTCTGCTAATTCATTTTAAGGGGCAATCCAATTTGCGGTGACTATAGTACTTCCATATATCTTTGCCTCATTCGGATATGGGGCCTGGTTCTTCTTTGCCGCGTGGATGTTTGGTTGCGACACTCTAGGCAGCTCTTTTTGGTTCAGGAGACCAGAGGACTTAGTATTGATCAGATGGATCCGATATCGTACGTAATATCCTGCTCCAACTTGCCTCTGCTTGCTGACATTTCTTTGCGTACAGTGGATACCAAAAACGATAACGCTGTACCCGCATCCCACATACTTCAGCCAATGTTCATCCGGTAAATGCGCCTCGCGAAGAGCAGGATTCACAACTTAAACCATACGAAGCGGCCAGCGTTCACACGGAAGAGTTCAATGCTGGAGCAGCCTAGATACCATCATCTCTCATGTTCGTGCGCAAGTGCAATGATCTTGCGTCTCTGACTGAACCTCGTGTTGCTCGACTATCAGGCCGACTACAAATATACAAGAGATCGTTGGTGAAAAAGAGAGGCAAAAAATATGAAATTCATCGTCGTCGTCGTCGTCGTCGTCGTTGAAAGCACACACATTCTCTCTTCACCACGGAGTTGCAAACGCATTATTTGGCTAATGTCCATTAACCCCATTCACGCCATTAACCCCATTCTCTTGAGTTCCTTCATAATTAATCTCGAAGCTGTATGCTGAATCGTAATGTATCGCCCAGTATCCATCCCAAATCGTCTTGGTGATCGGGCCAATCTGACCATCATTTACAGGCTGGCCGTCGAGAGATGTAATAGGCATGATACCACCTGCCGTTGTACACATGAATAACTCATCACAGTGGTATGTCATCTCCACAGGCACAACCTCCATGCGGACTTCAATGCCGTTAGCCTTCGCAACGTCGAAGACGCTCTTGCGTGTTACACCCTTCAGAACACCCCGATCGGGGGTGTAAAGGACTCCATCCTTAACCACGATGATATTGAAGCCCGATCCCTCGGTGAGATTGGCGTCTCCGTCCGTCAAAAAGGGATACGTAGCGCCACGGTCTGCCGCTTCGAACATGCCCCTTGTAAAGTCACCCCATTGCAAATTCTTGACCGTGGGGTCCATGGAGCCAGGCGGAACCCTGCGTACCGTCCGCGCGATGACTGCGCTGCCGCCGGTCCGTTGCATCTCGGGCTCCATAACCCAAATATAAGGCTGAATGAACATGTACAGGTTATTGACCATTTCGTCGGGCTTGGAGCCCCGAACGCCCTTAAGCCCTCGCGTAACGATTAATTCGACAAAGGCGTCGCGGATCCCGCTCTTGGCCACCATGTCCACCAGGATCCGCTTGACCTCCTCCCGCGGCAACGGGAGCCTGAGTCGTATTTTCTCACAGCTGAGCTCTAGTCGGGAAAGGTGATCATCAAGACGGAAAAAGCGTCCGTCCCAGACGGCAGGGACGTCGTATGTCAAGTCACTGTGCAGGAATCCTTGGTCCATCAACGGGATACGTGCCTGGGAGAGCGGGACGAGTTCTCCTTCTACCCAGGCCACTCCTTTGGAAAAGGGATTGGTCTCATAAGTCATCTCCAACGCCGCCAATCGTGCGGTGTAACCCGCAAATACTTTTTCCATCGACGCCATGTCTGATTATTTTGTGGATTTGAGATCTTGAATGACTGAAAAAAGGTCACAATGAAATGTTTGTCAGGTCACTCCGGTACGCGTGTGCCATCTGAGAGTCAACGATCACTTATCATGTACAGAATGGACTTGAAGTATATATGCGCTGTTCTCCGGTTTCTAATATAAGTCTCGGACAAAGACTTGCCTACCTAATGGGGCAGTTCCTAATCGGGCAACTGAGTTATCGCTCTGATGACTGGTAGCTTTTGTTTCGCATTCCCATCGGGAGGAGAAAAAGAGGCCGAAGAAGGACAGAAAGGTGAGGATCCTCTCTGGTTGGTCATCATGACTCCTTCATGGATTTCTTCGATTTGTCAAGGCGTATTGGAAACAAATCGAAGAAGTACGGAATAGACTGCACCATGTACGTGGTTTGCGGGACCCCGTGCCTGTCCTTCTTTCGATATCCGGCAATATGGGACAGGCTTGTCACCTAACCGGGAGCCGGTGCATGATTGATATCTGTGCTTGACTGGCCAGGTACATTGGATAAAGAAAGGGTTTTGCTGTCTTCACATGTCACTTGGATGTACCCTCGATTTCTGTACCTCGGTTCACATGCTCCGGAGTAGAGTACGGAAAAGCATTGGTGCGAAGGATGCACGTTTAGATCTCACTTTCTTTTCCTTCCATCTTTTCCATTTTCTTCTTCTTCCTCGCAAGTCTTGAAATCTAGTCTGAATCCCCGTGGGATATTTCATCAGCAGCTGGATACTCCGCAGCAGGTAGGTCCCACGCTGAGCGGCCGAGGCATTGGCTGAACTGCGCGTGTCGTGTGACAACCAAGCCAATTTACTCCTCATTTGACAGTATTTCGTCTACTTGGCGCCACATCATTCAGGGTCTCCAAGATCCATAGGTTCTTTCTCCAGCAAATCGCTTGTCCATGCTGATTGCCTCCCCTTGCGTGGCAGTGTCTGCGCCGAGATCTTGGATTCTTGGGGACACTTGGAGGTTGCTTGGCTGTCCGTGGGATGCCTCTTTTCCCAAAGTTTAGCGATTCCACGGCGAGATCATAAATGAAGGAGACCCAGGACCTTTTCCCACCCAGGATTCAACACTTCAATCTCGCCGGATTCGAGATTTCTCGAAGACATCTACGTTTTGCCGGGCATTCAGATCTCCCGTTTTTAACGATCATTTCTCCGTTATCCTGCACACCTACGTGAATGGTTATTAGCTCTACTAATACTGATGTCGGCTCTCCGGCGCAGTCTGAGTCGTCTGAATCCGTAGAGGAACCCCCTATACGAAAGAACCGAGAGCCCAATCTCGCTGTAAAGCCTGAGTTTCGAGATCACGAGAGTCTTGTTACGGTCACAGGAATCGACGTTTGCACGGACGCACACATCCTCGATGTTAAACACGTCGCCACCCAGTTGGGTGTTGAGGTCAGGTATGTGTTTATTCTCATGTCGGTAGTCCAAGATATCTGAATTGATCTATCAAAGCCATGGCCTCAGCACCCACGAAGCGACAGCTCGCCTCGCGAAAGATGGACCGAACAAGCTCAAGGATACTGAACGGATTTCCATTTTCCAGATTTTCATGAGACAGGTCTCCAACAGTCTTACGGTTGTTCTTCTCATCACCATGGTTCTTTCTTTCAGTCTGAACGACTACATAGAAGGATCTGTAATTGCTGCCGTTATTCTGTTGAATATCGTTGTCGGGTAATCCTACAGTTTGGCCCCCCAAATCCAATGGTGCTCCTTAGTAACCGAAATCCGCCAGATTTTTTCAGGACTATCGGGCGGAACAGACTATCCTATCACTACAAGCTTTGTCGACGCCAGAATGCAAAGTTCTACGAGACTCCCAAGTCAAAGTGGTCAAAGTTGAGACGTTGGTGGTTGGAGACGTCGTTCAACTCTCCGCGGGTGGCGTGGTTCCTGCAGACCTGCGACTGTTTGATAGTGTCAATTTGTCAACGGATGAAGCTCTGCTCACCGGCGAATCCCTCCCCGTTTCCAAATACCCTGATAAGGCGCTCCGGACCCTCGACATGCCCATTGGAGATCGAACCAATATGGCATATTCGGCATCGATGGTCGCGCGCGGCAGAGGATCGGGAATTGTGGTAGCTACTGGCATGCAAACGGAAGTCGGGAAAATCGCCTCGTTGCTACGAGACCGGCCAAATTCGTCCAGTGAAGGATCCTCGTTGAAATGTTGCTGGAATCGCTTCGTACAAGGAACCAAGCATGCTCTGGGACTCATCGGCTCTCCTCTACAAGTTCAGCTGAGCAAATTTGCTCTACTGTTGTTTGCTCTGGCTATTCTATTGGCGCTCATTGTCTTTTCTGCCAACGTATGGGATGTCCGCGACGAGGTGCTCATCTACGGCATTTGTGTTGCCGTCGCAGTCATTCCGGAGAGTCTGATCGCCGTGCTGACGCTCACAATTGCCGTTGGCACCAAAGCGATGGCAAAAACCAATATTATCATCCGAAGACTATCGGCACTCGAAGCAGTGGGCGGCGTTACCAATGTTTGCTCAGATAAGACCGGAACTCTTACTCAAGGCAAGATGATTGTAAGAAGAGCGGTCCTTGCCAACGGCGAAACAATAACCGTCCATGACACAACTGATCCCTTCGACCCGACCAGCGGAACGATCCAACAGGAGACTTCGAGCACTTCAAACAGCGAAAAGGTGGATGACAACGTTGACCTTGACTTGTTTCTTGACGTTATCTCTCTCTGCAATTTGTCGACGGTCCAAGATCTCCAGAAAACCGACCCTGACGCCGCAGCAAAGCTGAATTCCTCCGTCGGAAGATGGACCACCGTTGGAGAACCCACGGAAATTGCCCTTCAGGTTTTCGCAATGCGCTTTCAGCACGGAAAGCCGGAGGCCGTGGCAAAACGGCGTCGCAAACTCGTCCACGAATTCCCATTCGACTCAAGTATCAAGCGAATGACCATGGCTTATACTCGGAATAGTGCCGATTCCATCGATGTCTTCGCAAAAGGCGCCACTGAAGCCCTGCTTCCTATAATGACTTGTACAGAAGAGGAAAAGACCAAGGTAAGTCATAATGCCGAGAGGATGGCCAGCGAAGGTCTCCGAGTCCTGTGTCTTGCCAACAAGACCGTACCTCTTGGTGAACGAGCACAGCTTGCGGATCGGTCTGTGGCCGAATCGAATCTCACCTTCTGTGGCCTTGTTGGCATGTATGATCCTCCACGAGCACAGACAGCGGAAGCCGTGCGAACTTGTCATCGCGCTGGCATTACGGTTCACATGCTCACTGGCGATCACATCCGCACCGCTACCGCTATCGCTGGTGAAGTTGGAATTATCGATGGCACTTCTCTCCTATCCCCTGTCTCTATGGATCGACGCGTAGTCATGCCTGCATCTGCTTTCGACAAATTGTCCAACGAAGAAATTGACAAGCTCGACGAACTTCCTCTGGTCATTGCACGGTGTTCACCAACCACCAAAGTCCGAATGGTGCAAGCATTACACCGAAGACGGGGTTTTTGTATCATGACCGGCGACGGCATCAATGACTCTCCCGCCTTAAAACTAGCCGACATCGGCATTGCAATGGGTCTGAACGGTAGTGACGTGGCCAAGCAGGCCGCTGACATGGTCCTCGCCGATGACGACTTTGCCTCGATCGTCCTAGCCATACAAGAAGGAAGACGGCTGTTTGACAACATTCAGAAGGCCAGTTCCCATTCTATCCCGGGCTTCATTGACCATCGATGGATGATACTAATACAGTTTACAGTTTCTACTCCATTTACTCACCTCCAACATCGCCCAAGTCGTTTTACTTCTCATTGGCCTTGCCTTTAAAGACCATAATGACAACTCGGTCTTTCCCTTGTCTCCTCTCGAGATCCTCTGGGCCAACCTTGTCACTTCATCCCCCTTGGCCCTCGGCCTAGGCCTCGAACCCGGCGTACGGGACATCATGAACCGCCCTCCCCGATCCATGCGCGTCGGCGTCTTCACTAAGCAACTGATCCTGGACAAAATGGTCTACGGCGTCACCATGGGAACATTGTGCCTTTTGGGCTTTGTGTCCGTCGTATACGGTACCGGCAACGGCGACCTCGGCGAAGAATGTAACGAAGACTACAATTTTACATGTGATGTAGTGTTCAAGGCGCGCGCCACCGTGTTTGCAATCTTGAGTTTCACGCTTCTCGCCACGGCATGGGAAGTCAAGGACTTCAACGCATCACTCTTCAATATGGGTCACCACCATACCAACGCTGCTAATTCGCAGAGATCCAAGAGAATCCTCTCCGTCTTCTCTACCGTGTATCAGAACAAATTCCTCTTCTGGGCATGCGTTTCGGGCTTCGCTCTTGTCTTTCCTCTCATCTACCTGCCTGAAGTCAACAAACGCGTCTTCAAGCACTCTGGCATCAGCTATGAATGGGGTATTGTCTTTGGCGGCCTTCTTCTGTACGTGCTGGTCATCGAGTGCTGGAAAGCCATCAAGCGTTGGCGGCTGAGGAAGGCACAGCGCTCAGTCGGGATGAATTCTAGCGCCAATACGTCGTCCAAGGAAGTCGCTTCTGTCTAACCCCGGCTCGTCTTCAAGACGAAGTCTGAGGTGTCATCCCTAGGTGCGCTCGCTTTTGATTCCAACACTCCACATTCCGTTTAGTCGGTGATTGAGATTTTAGTTTGGTCGCCGTCATAGTGGCCTATGCAACTACAGTGTCAAACTGTCACTCTTTTGAATCATTGATTTGACGTACGCGATGCATGAAGAATGGGTAATAATTGTTCACGGTTAAACGAGATTCAACACTCAAAACTTAGCCATTGAAGGACTATCAGAGTAGGGCTGAAGGTATCAACTACCTTTGTTTTTTTATGTTGGGGTCAGAACAGCTGAGAGAGGGTTCCCCATCAGCCTCTCCCTCAATATCCTAGGATTGAGAATACATTTTCCAAACTCGATGTTTTCTATTTGTCCTTCCAGGCTTACTATCTCCCGACCGTATATCTCTCATTCAGTTCTTTTCGTCCAAACCCTTGCTAGTGGTGGTCTTACAAGATTTTCTGTCTCTTTCCTCCGAATTAACAGGTGCCAGCCGCAGCGTACGATTCGATTCTGGAACAACACCCCTCCCCCTTTTTTATTCTCGCCCATCATAGAACCAGCACATGGCTTTGTCAGTTAGCTTATTGGATCCCGGGATTTCCAGCATCTATTCAGAATTCTGGTGCCCTAGCGTTAGCAGCTCGCCTTTCTGTCCCCCTGTTGTCGAAGAATGTGTACCGGTAACGACAGCAGCGGGGGGGAAATAGGTCGTCACATCAATGTCGAAGTTGGAATGTATACGGGCTCTTACACATGATGCCAATTCTGGTTGATGAATCCAATTCCAATCTCCAATCCAATCATTGTCGAAGTTGGAATGCATATCGACATCCAGAAAGAGAAATCGGGGAGAAAGACAATCCCAAACACTGACTTTCGCCCTCCTGCAACTTCTATTTCAAGGGGATTTGTGAGAAACGTTTTTGCCATACTCCGTGCCATATACCATTTCTTATACAATGTGAGTTAGTTATCATGACAGCAGGTGAGGTAAGTTGCTGCAGCTTACTTGGTTGATTTCGGAGTGAGCTTCAACCTCACCGCAGCAAAAGTGTGAACATGCCTCATTGTGGGGCATTTCTCTCCCTCAGTCTTTCGGAAGCCCATCGTGAGCATTGTTTCAACCTAGTTCCAACTATTTGATCCTTTCCAAGGCTGCATGAACTCACTTGCCAAGCTCTGGACACGTCAAAAGGGGTTACAGCCTTGTGCGCTTGGAGATGGGAACTTTTCCTGACCTTTCCGCCTAGTGAATCTGAGCTCTGAGTATTAGCTCCAGGACTTCCTTCGAAATGAAGATCATGGCGAAGGCCTATTCGGTGCAGCGTCTTGATGGGAACAGAAAATATGAGGCGAAAGGTTTAGTGCTCCATCGCTTTGGAGCGAAATTGCGGACGTATAGAGTTCGGTAATTAGGGAGACTTACGGTAAGGCCCTTGTTGATCTTTTCGATTGACGAACATGGTCGGAAATGGGCAATTAGTCGCGTTGGGGAGGTGAAGCCGAGTCGAACTGGAGATGATTCTGAATCTGCAACGACTCAAACGAGGAATGAATGCGTCGGCAGTCAAATCCATATATCTCTTGCAGAGGAAAGTGCCGATCCTGACCTCAACGCATCTTCCTACGAGGTATTGGATGAACAATCCCCCAATGTGGATGATAAGCATGTGACGGAATACGGGATTGAAATGGAAGATTGCCGAAGATGGAGCCGATAGATGATGCTCTGAAATCAGAAACCACGACACCAAAGACTGAAGAGCAATTTGTGTCCATTTTGCTTGTCGACGGAGCCTTCAAGCAATGATTCAACGAGTGACAAGTCAGAGGAGGACGAGGAATCTTTACTTCAAGGCAAGACCAGTGCAAAGGAAGAACACCTGGCCCAGGAAACAACGATGGTGGAGACGACAGAGAGAAGCGCGCCGGTACAAGGAGTCGCTATCCGAAGCCACGAAAGAGGTTGGAGTCATCCTCAAATCACAAAAAGTTTGCTATGAAGCGGCTGGCTCCGGCCAAAAGAAGTCCCAGGAGTCATTCGGCCTCAGAACCCACTAACAAGAGTTTGGAAAAGACACAATGTCTGGAACTCGTGGTTATGGTGCCTCGGATTTTATTCTGGCCTACTTACAGCGACATCCGAGCTGTTGATTTCTAGTTGTTTCCATGTCCCAATGACGACATTCCAGAGCTCGAATGGAGATTTTGGATAGCCTAACGCATTGACTCGCTGAAACCCAGGCTACTAAAAACAAGGGATCTCTTATCTTAGTGCAGCAAAACAAAGAGACCAGTGGTGCCCAAGAGGGATCTAGTATTTGCCCTCTCATTGACCTGCTTTTTTACATTTACCAATTTCACTAAGGCAATCCCAAGTGTCTGGAGGCCAATACGAAACCGACGAGTGGTCCTTGAAATTAGATCTTGGTGGCAGGACAGGATTGACTCCAAAGACAATGTTCGTATCAATCAATCAAATACATTGGTGAAGTGTCGAATTCAGTCGGCAGTAGGATAACCCGATAAGTCGGCAAAGAGGGACGGCAGGGATTTACTCATTGGAATGGTGAGAGCGAACAAAGGCAAGGTAGATATGTGTCGTGAATTTTTGTATCTCATGAGAGATTTGACAAGTCGTAGCCTGAAGAAGCACGAACCTCTTCAAAAAGATATGCGTGGTATGTAGCACCACACGACCAACGCTGAAGTAATTTGGATCTTAACAGAACCCAAGAATCAAAAAGGCCAATCCCAGAGTCATTCATCAGCAGAGGTAAGGATTAGACAAATGAAGGAGACCAAATTCCAAACTCTGCCTGAACGCTCTCGTACCCTGAAACCACGAAAAATATGATCCTCCGCAACACGATGCTCTTGAAGCCCACGTAAAGGACAACCGCTCTTCGAAGCAAGCTGATGCTTGCCCTAACACCCGAATCACAGTAGTTTGCACTTTGAACATGATAGGATTTTGCCACGGGGCCTGCCGGAAGAGGTTTAGGGTTTATGTCTGCAGGCTCACCAGGCCAAGAGAAGTTGTCAGTCAAACATTCGACGAAGTATTGCAGTGCAGTTGTGATTGTGGACCTAGTTGCTTGCACTTCTCCTTGTGTCGTCTCAAATGATCCTTTCGCACCGTTTGATGGCCACATATGCATTGGAAGTACTTCATGTCCGGAAACAAAGCTCTGTGAACTGTTCGTCTGTGGCGTTCGATTGTACGCTTATCGTTGTGCATAGAGCTTTTGCAGCCCGGAATGTTACACTCGAAACGATTGTGTTTTTTCAGATGCCCGCTTTTGAGGTGTCAGAAGTCTTGGGTGCGCCGGCGTCGTTTAGATCGGTTGTACTTACTTGAGACATGGTCCCACGGAGCCGCAGCGATAATTGCAACGGGGACATTTGATTCTAGGCCCAGCTTCCACTCCAGCCGTCGAAAACGAGGGTGGGATAGAATTGCTCTTATACACCTGCTTCATCGTTGATTCGGGGGTAGATCTGATGGTGTTGGATTGCTCGTGAATAATAGACGATTCTTGGCAAGGCGAGTTGTGGCTGGAGCAGTTTGGGCCTAGGGAAGCGCATTGGAAGGGTTTGAGCAAAGACCTCATGCTTTTGCCTTGGTCTTCGTTTGTCAATATGCAATCCGGAGTAGGTGTCGTCGTAAATGAAAGACTTCCATACGTAGCTAATGAAGGGCGTTCACCTCTTTCTGACGCGACGCCGGGGCTCGAAAAATTCGCACTTGGTATTATTGCAGCATGGTCAAAAGATACATCCTGGTACGAAATTCGATTCTCTGGGAGATCGCATCGACAGTCCACCCCCAAGATGTCTCCGCAATTCACGCAGAGGCCGAGGTCCCACATGTCAGTATTGACCAAGGCTTGAAAGGCTTCCTGGAAGGTCGATTCGTCGATCGTTGATGATTCATCTAAGCCATAGCTTAAGCTCAAGGGAGTGTCTTTCGAGAGCGAGGGAGAGATATCATTTGAAAGGAATGTAAGCTCGTCGATAGGCGATTCGAAGGGTTCAACATCAACTTCCTCGAAAGAGCGGTTGCCCTTTCCGGGGGCTTCAAGAGCATCGTGATCTAACCGGTGATCATAGTGGTGGTGCTGGATGACGAGGGCCCGGAGACGATGAGCCCCCGGGCAGGCCTGTCGTGATTTGGTTCAAGAGTGCCTAGTTGGCCAAGTCAGCTATCCGCATTGGTCCGTGAGAGTCTTGACTGGGGTTGATGCACACGGTAGATGTTTCTCTTGAAGGGTTCCCGCTTTCAATCACAACACGGCTGTGGACGGTCCTCCAGGACCTCAGGGGCGCTGGGGGTGCCGTCCCAGATGTGAGAGAAGGATAGAAAATGGATAGAAATGAAGAGGAAAGAAAAGGACAAGGGACTGTTGTTTTAAACTTGGTGCTAGTGGAGGACAGCGTCAGTCTGATTGGCGGCCCCAAATCATCCCACCCTGCTTCCTATTTGGGCATCATCACATTTCCTGCATTGTTCCGTGTTTCTCATTGCTTCGTGAACTTCTTGGGGCCGACCATCAAATCCAATCATTTGGCAGTCTACCTTGTCATTGTATCATATGAAGTTTGGACTTGACATAGCCTTATCTTGTTGAGGCCGTGAATATGAACGAATCGATATCGACACTTTATCTTTGGCTTTTGCATTCCCATGTGGCCCACCGAGACCAGCCTTATTACCCATTTGTACTGAGCGAGGGCTGGCTGATTGCACGTTGTAACCTTGGGCCTCCTGGGGCCGTCCATACGACATCTTCCTTGGGAGAGGGGACCCTATACAACCGTTACGGACGTTTGGAGGCCGTCACTAAAGCCAGTCGAACAGAAAGCCCTAGCATTATTCCCGAAATCACGGCTGCTAAGCCGAACACCGTCATCAGACAAATAGAAATGGACCTCCGTCGTAGCGTACTCGATGGATCATATACAAAGAGATATATGGTGTGGCACAACCCTTCCGCTGACCTTATGTCCCTCACGAACAAGTCAGCAAACTCTTGTCTTGGCCTTGGACTCTTCATCTTAGGTAGATTAGACCGTTTTCTGTTCCTCTGTCAAGCAGGGGCAAGAGCCAGATCATGAAATCCAAATTCAATTCCACAAACTTACTCATTGATGGAACTCTCCTGAAGGTGGAAACCGGAGGAGAGAAGCCGGGGCTGGCGTTGTCGATCAATGTTCCGCAGCGACATGCTGAGAATCAATGTCGAATTGAAAAGTGGACAGAAGAGCGACCCACGAGTCAGCCATGGTGCGTCTTCAAACCCTGACAACTACACAGGATTCCTGACCGCAAAACCTGACCCTAGCAAACAATACCGTTCTTCACCGCAATGCTCGAACTCAACTGCTGAAGCGTCATGTGGTTCATCAGTCCGAAATCCTAGGGATATCCAGCCTTGCGACACCCAACTGCCCACCGAACACTATCAAGACCACGACACTGCCAAGCAGCGCCATTACAATCGGACATCGCAGGATTTAATGTACATCGGTGCTGTCTTCGAGACTAAAATCTGAACAGAAAAAGATGTCGGGACAAATGAGCCTTTTGGGGCTGGAGGAGAACCTGGGATAAAAGAACAAGGAACCAACACTGTCGGTACAACACAAAGCTTCCACACGGCTCGAATTCAATCCACATTGAGAACAACAAGGGTTCCTCTTTTTGGAAGCATGGCTCATCATTGTGATTTTTGATTCTTACAATCCTAACGAAATCTTCGGCCTACCTTCGTGAAATGCGTAAAGCACTGGTAGATGGACCGAAATTGAACCCGAGGCACGGACTACCATAGCACTCTGCAGAAAATAGCTAGTTCTTTCCCCCAAGATGAAGATACAGCCGTCATCAATCCCAGCATATCTCAACCCAGATTATGACACAAGTCCCTTTTCCTGATTGAAACTCTGGTCGAACATAGCCATTTCCACCCAATGCAATGTGCTTTTCACCCCCCTTCGCAAACTCCATCTCAAGTCCATCACACTGTTGAACGTGTCCATCTTCCGGTCAGAGGAACGGATCCATTACATACCTAGCTAAACACCGGTCGTGCTGCCTGTGAATGAACGAGTGCTTTCCGCCCCGAAGCTGCCGAGGTCTAATTCTCGACATTGATAGAAATATTCTTTTCCCCCGAAGGAATCACCTCTTCCTCTCTCTTACCCTTCAGATTGGGCAACTCGGCTACTGCTTCGTCAATAATCGCCAGTGCGTGCATGATTTCGTCTTCGGTAATCACGAGAGGCGGCGCCAGACGAATGATATTTTGATGTGTAGGTTTAGCCTGGTGACTGTTAGCGCCTTCTCACACTGATCCGCTTATGGATGATTTCCAGGCTCGACTTACAAGAAGACCTTTCTCTTTCATCAACATGCACAGGTCCCACGCACTATGGCCGTTTGTTTTCGCTTCGTCAATAACGATAGCGTTGAGGAGGCCTTTTCCACGAACAACCGTGATAATCGGGGACTTCAGATTTCGTAGACCGTCACGGAAGATCTGTCCGAGCTTTTCGGCTCGTTCGACCATATTCTCGTCGCGGACGATTTCCAGAGCGCGGATGGCGACGGCACAGCCAAGCGGATTTCCACCATAGGTAGATCCGTGGGTGCCAGGCTCGATGGTGAGCATCACATCCTTCCGTCCCAGGACACACGAGACGGGATACATTCCTCCGGAGATGGCTTTGCCAAGCAGGACCATGTCTGGCTTGATGCCCGCCCATTCGTGACACAGGAGCTTGCCTGTGCGTGCAATCCCCGTTTGGATTTCGTCGCAGATCAGCAAGACATTATGTTGGTCGCATAAGCCACGGATTTCGGTCAGGTAGGTATCGCTGGGAACGACGATGCCAGCTTCGCCTTGGATCGGCTCCACCAAAAAGCCCGCGATCTTGTCTCCATGAGATTCGAAGGCTGTCCGCACAGCGGAGACATCATTAAATTGAATCAACTTCCCTGTAGAGGGGCTGACGCTACCCACGCCTGGAAGATATGGGCCATAGTTGTCACGGGACTCGGGGTCGGTAGACATGGAAATGGCAGAGAACTTGAAAGTCAACCTTGGATTTCTCGGCCCCGGCCGGGGGAACACTTACAGTGCGTCCGTGGAAGTTGTTTGCTACGCTCAAAACGATGGCCTCTCCTTGTGGAATGCCTTTAGACTTGTAGCCCCATTTTCTGGCGATCTTGATCGCCGTCTCCACCGCTTCGGCACCAGTATTCATGGGCAGGACCATATCGAAGTTGAAATACTTGGTAACGAACTCGGCAAATCGAGGAAAAACATCATTGTAGAACGCTCTCGAACTCAGAGTCAGAGTGGATGCTTGTTCAACTAGAGTCTTGACTAGTTCGGGGTGGCAATGACCTTGGTTGACCGCAGAGTATGCTGAAAGGAAGTCAAGGTATTGTCGACCCTCGGGATCCCATACCGTTGTTCCTGACGCTTTCGCAAAAACAACTGGCAAGGGATGGTAGTTATGGGCGGCATATTCTTGCTCCAGGTGGATGGCTTCGTCGGACGAGGAGGCATGATACTTGGAACTACCAGCAGGATGGAAAGCTGGAGCCGTTGCTTTCGATTGAGTCCCGTGGCCATTGGTGTGTGTCCTTCCATTGAGTCTGGAATCATTGGCCGCCGATGGTGCCATGGTTTGTCGATGATAGGTGCCGTGTATTGGGCGTCGAAATGCGATATACGAAATACAATGATGCCGATTGGCCACTGGTTTGAAGTTCACAGAAAAGGTCCGCGAGGGACCTGCAGTTTTTTATATTCCAACAACGAAACCATGAATCCGGTTTCTTGGAATGCCGCCGACGAGTCAGAATATGTATTCGATCTCTGTGGATCACGCACGGGTCATGTGCAGAATTTTTCAAACTCACTTTCCATCATTGGAGTCTTGTTGCTATACCCTTAAGTGCAAGTGTATCCCTAACGGAGGGAGAATGGTCGGCTAGGACCAAAGCCTAAGCATAACGAATTCGGGCCCGCAGTGCTGGGGTGCTTCTTGGGGACGCAAAGGGCACGACAGTGGTGCGGTTAATTGCGGAATACACCCTTCAACCCTTCCCGTTTAATCCATGCTCACTAGCAAACTGTCACGAGGCGCGACTTGCTCGATTCTATCTCATGATTCAAGACGCCCTTCTACGTCCTCATCCATTCCGATTGACCTCCGATATGGCCACTCTCAAAGGGCCTGGTGCTCCTCAGAGACACGATGGCTCCGGCCTTCGAATTGCAATTGTCCACGCGCGCTGGAACTCCACCATCATTGACGCCTTGGTCAATGGAGCAAAGAAAACTATGCTGGCATCTGGGGTGAAGGAGGCGAACATCGTCGTGGAATCGGTGCCCGGTTCATACGAGCTTCCTTTGGCGGTCCAGCGGGTTTATGCTGCGTCCCAAATACAAAGCACTGCCAGTGCCGTGGCTGGTGGAATGGGCAGTCTGGCAAGTGGAATTGGAGATCTCCTCGGAGGAAGTAATTCCACGACGGATTTGCAAGGAAGTCTACAACCTGGTCCACCAGAACCTGAAAAGAAGGAGGAAAAAGGGTTGAGACATGCCTTCGACGCAATAATAGCCATTGGAGTGCTGATCAAGGGAGAAACAATGCATTTCGAATACATTGCCGACGCTGTGAGCCACGGACTGATGAGGGTACAGCTCGACAGTGGGGTGCCTGTGATCTTTGGCCTTCTGACGGTCCTGAATGAGAGTCAAGGGCTGGCAAGAGCAGGTCTCGAGGGAGGAACAGGCAAGGAAGCCAAAGGACATAATCACGGAGAGGATTGGGGGAACGCAGCGGTCGAGCTCGGAGTGAAGCGGAAGGGTTGGGGCGAAGGCAAGATTGCTGGACCTTGATCTATGTTATCCGACATCTCCCTTCTTGGGCTCTTGGGATACCAAAAGTTTTGATGATGCCTGCGTCCATGAGCGGTTTGGGCGGGGGAGGGCAAGAATAGAGTGAATCGATCCATGGGGAAGATTTTGCCCGTTTCGCCGCGAGAGACACCGACCTTTATCGACCGTCTCGGACACCAATAATGCTACAATGTGGTGATGACAATGTCAATTATTCATGCATGGCATTCTCTCCTTCCTCTTCATCGTCATCGCCCCCTTCCAGGCTCTCCTTGGCCGCCTTTTCAGCTTCCTCCAGTAATTCCTGTGGGACGTGCTGATGTCGGCCTTTGGTTGGGCCATCCAATGCAGAAATCCAGGTCATCTCCAATTCGAATTCCTTGTCCTTTGAATCTTCATGTGCGACGTAAATTATTCTGGCCGCCTCCATGACGGCATCTTTGAGCGTAAGCGAGCAGGTGGGTGAAGCCAAATCGAGCTTCTCGAGTTCCGCCTTTGCAGCTTGTCGTCCTTTGCCGGTGGCCGCGCCATAGTAGCCCTACTCCCACAAGTCAGCAGCACTTCCGGTCCGGAGCGGGAACTACTTGCCCAATACAGCCCACTAGGCTCAATCATATAGAGGCCTGGGCCACCTCTGGGGACAGCTTCGTCTTCGAATTTCCCTCCTGAGCCAATTTTGGGTCCCTCTCCGACTTGACCGTCCACACCGAGTTCAGCCTCCGAGTCCCAACCTCCCAAGATCGCCGTAACGCCGAATGGCCGCACACTGGAGTAGAGCGTGTATGCTTGGACGTATCCTCCCATTCTTGATGCTAGGGCTTGGATGGGGATGGGAGCTTTGTATATTTGCCTCCAACTGCTTGCTTCGTCTCTTGCTCGGCTTGTGAAGTGACGGCCATCTGGTAATAAGCCAGAAGTCACTACACCAGCATTACGGTCCACTGTCGCTATCCTCTTGTTGCATCCCGGCTTTAGCAGCTTTGAGACGATGATCTTCTCGCAAGCCAGGACAACGCCGTGTTTTGTTCGAATGCCAATGCACGTTCCGCCATTTTCCACTGCTTTGACAGCGTATTCGACTTGGAAATTTCGGCCATCAGGAGAGAAGACCGAGTTTGAGAGATCATAGCCCGTTCCTATCGACGTCTGTTTCCGGCGGAGCACGATTAGCGATTTGTGAGACTCGAATCAAAAGTGCGACCTCGTACCATGGCAAACAGAGCTGACTAGAACGGTAGATGAGGTCGATCGAGATCAACAAAAAGAAAGCAGGTGAATTCGAAGTTCGAAAGCTGCACACAATGCCGGAAAAGATGGGTAATCATTACAGGGTGTCAATTCACGACCTGTACAATGAAAAGCTGCGAGACCATCTGCAGGCCTCCGGACGCCGCGTCCGCAGCCTTCTCGCCAGGCCAGGATTTTCTCCATAAATGGCTTAGTGCGTTGTTTGCCTTGGCGTCGGGGCATCGGGCAGTAAACGACGTGTCATCGAGCGTCAAAAGTTGTGGTCACGTCGTCTTCCGTTTTCCAAGTTCATCTCTCGATCTTTCATTCTCCCATCGTCAACCCTGAAAAGGCTCATCTTTCTCCCTTGACACTGCTCTGCAAACCGACTCTCAAGCTTTGATGTTGAGCTGAGTCCGGTCTTTGCACTCTCAACCACCTGCAAGAAACTTTCACAAAAACCCTCCCTACCCCGCTCCTCCCCCTATCCTCTTCTTGACCGTATCTCTTCACAAATCCAACAGCTTCTTGATCCCAGGCCACTCCTGGACCGGACCAGTACCCCCCCGGACTGGACATCTGGATATTTTGGTTCCTTCCGCCCCTTTCCCGGGGTTTTGGATTATTCCTCTGGACTACCGGATCCGGGACACCCTTTGGACTTCCTGGAGCTTCTATAGCAATTGTGTGTTTTAGTTAGTATAATACGAATTTGAAGCCTAAATCTCGAATTTTTGCTTCTTCCTCTTCCTGGTTCTCGTTGCTGCAATAAGGATCTCTAACATCTGGTGTTGTTCACAATCTGAAGCGTCAGATCAATCATGGCATCGGCATTTCACAGATGCCAGCATTGTGGCTACGAGACGGACCTCTCTAGCAATCTGGCAGTGTTTGAGGACAATCCACACTGCAGACAGGTTTGTTCAAATCCACTTCCGGTTCATGACCTTCTGATTCGCCTCTTTAGTGCGGACTATCAGCCTCTGAGAGCGACACGAAGATGCAAGACGACTTGATCAATATGATGACACGCAACCTGCAACTCAGCCCGATTCAACATCAGCACGACATGTCGATGCCCCCGACCCCCCAAGTTGTCCCCCAACCGGCGCCGATCACATACATCACTCAGCATTATCACCATTCGGCCCATCAAGTCCCCTCGCATGAACTTCCGGTATCGACCCTCCTCGAGAGATCTGGGATCAATGCTTCGGCTTTGTTTCCGTCTCAGTTGCAGCTGTTCAAGAACGCCGAGCCAGAGCAAAGGTCTAGGTTGATAGAGCTCTGGCAAATAGCCCCCCCCACATATGGAAATCAAATACATCCAAAAGACCTTGGAAATTGGCCACAGACGAACATGGAGAGAGAAGAGGAGGCCGCAAAGTATAGGTTACAAATGTTAGAACAAGAAAAATTGAAGAACTTGTGCGCCTTGCCAGGCCACGAAAATCGACACAATGCGGAACCTTATATTCTGCAGGGCTATGATACGTTATCTAACATCAATGGAGTGACGGCACCGATGGAATACGGTTCAACTCCCATGGAAGAGACGGAATACAAACAGTCAAAAGATCCAGCATACAACAGCCGTGAATGGTGGCATTTGTCAGATGATGAACCCATGGAGCATCAATACGGTATGCTTCAGCAGATGTACGGGTACCATCTTGATTGCTCGGCGGAGAGACGGAACGATGGCGATGCAGAGATGTCTTGAGGAATGATGGAAAGGTTCGGAGAAAACATCACCTTGGTTGTGAATATTGCGCGAAATATCGGGTATGGTCGCATAGATTGAATTGTAGATGGAGCTCACTTTTTTTTTCCTTTGTTCAGTGGAAATGGTACATAACACGCCAATTGAGAACTTTGCTTCGGTTCCCTTTTTTATCCCTTGCAAGGATGTCCGATGATCTCTGCCCAAATTTAGTCAAGCCACCGCGTAACTCAGCACGTGTTAGTTGGTAGTCCGCTCTGAAATTTCCACGCTATTTATTGGACGGTCCGTTAACCGAAATGGGGTTGCAATGCGGCGAGGTCGGACAGACGAAGAGACCTGTCCCCATGATTTTATCCTATGAAGACAGCTTCATAGTCTTGCAATTGTGGTGTGAGTGTTCGGCGCGGGCAACCTCAGATATGATCTAGGGTTCAGTGGTCCCACTAAAACGCTATAGCTTGCATCGTCTGGTCGCATGCATTTGCTTTACCCTCGACGCATTCCTCCATCGATTCTCCCTGGTCTGACATTCGCGCAAAATGGCTTCAATGAGCAAAAGAACACAGGCGCGCAATGAGCGGGAGCTTCATGAGTTGGCGCGACTTCCTGGAAATTCACAATGCGCCGACTGTGGTGCGAAAGCCCCGGCGTGGGCGAGTTGGAATCTGGGTATCTTTCTCTGCATGCGATGTGCTTCGTTGCACCGGAAGCTAGGAACCCATATTTCAAAGGTCAAATCCCTGAGTATGGATACCTGGACAACAGATCAGGTGGAGGTAACTGTTCTTCACTTCCTTCTCGGTGAGCAGCCACTAACTCACCGACAGAACATGAAACGCAATGGGAATATCGCAGCCAACAAGATATACAATCCTAAAAACAAGAAACCGGACATACCACTCGACGCTGACGAGGCGGACTCGGCCATGGAGCGATTTATTCGAAAGAAGTATCAAGAAAAGAGTCTATTGGATGGCAAACCAGAGCCTCCTCGACACGACGACGCTTCCCCTCCAACCTACTCGAGACCTCAGGAAGATGACTCGCCTCCGCCACCTCTGCCACCGAAGAAAGGAAAACTTTTTGGATTTAGCCTTCGAACATCCTCATCTGCGTATCCTTTATCGAAACACGACAAAAAGAAACTCCCGAGAGAACCCCATGAAGATCCAACATTTCACATCGCGAATGACGACTACAATACAATGTCAAGGATGGCAGATGCACGCTTTGAAATGACGGACGCGGAGCTGCAAAAGAAATTGACCGCTTTGAGAGATATGGGCTTCACAGATACTGAGCGCAACACAAACTTACTTCGACGATTGAATGGAAATGTTGAACGGACAATCGAGACGTTGGTTCAATTTGGATCGACCGAAAGTGGCAACCCCTACACCTCCAGAAAACCAGATCAAAATCCTTCTGCTGGTCTAACTCGGAGTTCCGCGAATGCATCGACGCCGGCAGCTGGTGCTTCAAAATCTCCGGAGCCTTCCTATAATCCATTTACGCAAATGACTAACCAACAAACCATCGGACTCTCCATGACAAAGCCGCCAGAACCCTCGGGTTCCAGCACGCAACTCTATAGTAGCAACAACCCCTTTGGCCCAGGGACTCGCAACCAAACGGAATCGGGTCTCGAACAGTCCATGCAGTCCATGCAGTTGGCGCAACCATTATTCCCACACAGTACTGGCGGATATCCAAGCCAACCTCCCTCTCTTCGGGATCCACGTCTGCAATACTCGATGACCCCTCCAGCGCTTTCAACACAATTCCAGCGAGGCTATGTTGCATCTCCAGCAGCCATTTCCGTGAATACAAATCCCTTCTTCCAACCTGCACCCGCCTCGGCTCAGTCGACCGGGAACAACCCTTTTCTACCTCAAGAGGCTCCGGCTCCGGCTCCTGTCCCTTCATCTCCTTCCACAAACCCTTTCCTCAATTACCACTCCACGCCAGGCGGTCAACCGGCGCAAATTCCACGAAAACAGAGTTCGCTTCCGGCAAATTTCAATCCTTTTGGGATACCGCCATCACAGTCTCCCCCTCAAACGACACAGCCGCAACTTCAGCCTCATCCTCGAGATCTGTTTGATACAGCCCAACAGCCTCCATTTATGAATCAACAGCCAAGCAATCCTTTCCTAGCGCAAGGGAATCAGACTCAACAACCACCGCAACAACAATTCCCCAGCTCTCAACTTCCACAATCACCCCCAACTTTCCCCAAATTCCACTATGGTCAAACCCAAGCTCAACCACAGGCGCAGCCGTCCCAGTTTCAGCCACAGTCTACGTTCCAGCAACAGATTAACCCACAGGCTCAGGCCCTCATCCCCCAACAAACAGGACGGTATGATAAGAACTCCATTATGGCTCTATACAATTATCCACAACTTGCATCTCGACCATTGGCTTCGATTCCAGAGCCCGGGGCGGAATCCACTGGCCAGCAGCAAATTTCTCCTGCACGGTCAGGCGATATATTCGGTGAACTGAACCCTGTTGGCGGAGCGAAGCGAAGCGCGACAATGCCAGTATCGCTTTCACATATGCATTCGGCCGGGGGAACCGGTAATCGTAATCCATTTCTGACGAACACGGCAAGCGCGAATACAAATGCCATAGTCAATCCTACTCCCAATGCTGGTGGGTTTCCTGGTGACATGGCCACTCCCCCCCGGCCTCAGGGCCAACCGCAAGGAATTGTGGCGAGACATGCCAGTGCGGAAAGTGTCAGTATCAACAATTTGGAAGGTGGACGACATAGTCCGGACGCTTTTGCCAATTTAAGTGCCCGGTATATGAGATGAATGGAGGCTCACGCCACCAGTTTGGGCAGTTTCAGAAGACGTACTAATCGAGCACTGACGAGCCTTGCCCAAACGAATTACATGCGCAATTATGAGGCAGAATATCGGAGGGTGTTCCTGCAAGCTCTTGACTCGCTTGTGCCGATAAGAAATTCCGACCTCGCAGAGTATACCCAACGCTCGATCCCTTTCCTGAGAGATCAGCGATGATGAGTAATATACACCCCGTTTCACAGCATCTGGTGCATCCCTCGAGATTTCACCAGGGGTCGGCAATCTACACGAGGGCCCTCGAGCCACAGCGCAGAGAAACTGAAAAGAGAGACTTTCATTTTGTGATAGGCACATGGGGTTGTGATATCGGCAAATGAGCGATAACACGAGATTAGCTGGGGATGAGAATTGCAAATCCAAGAGAAACTAAGCTAAGAGTAGAAATAGAATAGAGTGGGAAGACGGCAAGGAGTAGCGGCTTTTTTCGTCTTTTATGACAGAACAGAAGGCACGAATTCACAGCAATGCTATGGGATCTCATAGGCGGTATTATTCTCCTGAGAGGAGGTGAAGAGGCGGATGGACGAGCTTCGCCTCAGAAACCTGTCGTAATGCCACGGATCGGGCATAAGCATATCATCCTGTTCGCATAACCGGTCAGTCAGGCAGATTAGACCGAGAATCCTTGGCTATACCCCAGTCGGGCACAAGCGACGGTGTTATTAAATTGTTGGGGGTTCTTTATATATATGCGGAATCGCTAATAGTCCCGGGGGGAGGTGTGGGAAAATCAAAAATGTAAATTAAATCCATCGAGACTGCTTGCTATTGAATGCCTGACGATCTGTCCGCTCAGTTATAATTTGGTCTACCAATGCTTTCATGACATGAATGAAACCAGAAGAGCCATTCTTTGGTATCATCACTCCTCCTTTTTGGTCTCCCAAATGTTTTCAGCACATGGTTCAAGAAAGTACAGCTTTCTCCCACACTTGCCAATTCAGGGCCCATTCTCTCAATCATCGTCTTCAAAGTCCCTGATTTCCAAAACAGCTTATCGACGACCCTATTCGTGGACTATTTCTTACTCTTGCTCGTCTTTATTGCCTTTCTCCGCATTCGCCGCTTAGTCCTTGATAGCCAAGATCTTCCGGTTGGCCCGCTCTTCAGTACTGAAAAATGGTTCATGAATGGCTTCTCTTCCTTGCTCGATTGGGATAGGTGGTTTCTCCCGCCTGCTGGCGTCGAGGCACCAGACCACGACATCACCGGCGCGTCGCCAGTCATCGTGCCAATGGCTATTGAAAAGGCGTTTACATTCGAGATACCCGCTGCCACGCAGGGCGGATTGGAGCGTCGGTTCCAGCTGCGCAAAGAAGACAAGGTAGTCTGGCCAGGGACGACGGCCTTGACCAGTGGCCCAGAAGCGCTCTTCACGTTCCAAGTCAAGAGTTGCTGTGTTGATGTTGACGGCGAGCTTGGAACGGTAGTCTGGTGTAAAGACGCCGGCAGCGGAGCCTGTGGTGCGAGTCCCGTCTTTTCGCTGTGGAGGTTTGTATGACATGTTCTTTCTCAGCCAGGTCGAAGGGTCGGCGTAGAACATGTCGGCTTCATCGAGGTAATTGGATTTCCCGGTCGCGTTGAGATTCAGTGGTGGTTCACATGTCAAGGCCCACGCTCGGATGCCGGGGTGTGTGGATGAGGGAGGGTATTGGATGTGTGAGCGCCAGGGAGTTGAGTGACAGGGCATGAATATGCCGACAGTCATGTTTGTAGGAAGGAGAGAAGGGAGATAGGCAGTTTCGAATTCGTGGCGAAGGTAGTGAGTGAGGTGCATAATACCGGAGTTGTGGATTTGAGTTGTATAATATGATATTGATAGATTCACGATCAGAAGTAGTAAAAGTAGTAGCTTTTTGGAGAGTCGAGACGATGAAGACCGTAGATTCGACGGCTCGAAGAAAGAAGCCAGGGGGAATGCGGTGATTATGTGAAGAGCTGGCAGGAGAGGATAGATGAAGCGGACTTCTTTGTGAGCGATATTGGAAAAGGCGGCTGGGACAAGGAGGCTTAGGATGGACAATGAACGTAACGAGTTACGACCGGCCGCACTTGCCTCAATAGATAAATGTTTTGAGCCTAATATGCGATAAAGACCCATTATAGTAAATGGTAATGCGGTGGTGAGGAGGAGAGGGTATCCTTGGGAGAAATAGTAATGCCAGTCATTAATGCCGTAAAAAGTCGCCAACGATTGCACCACATTGACATGGAGGAAGTTGACAGGTGGAAAAACCCATGTATCGTAGTATATTCGATCGAGTATCGTCGAAAAGAAAAGAATGATACTTCCGCACAGAATTGTCTCTCTGACGAATACTGTACATTCAGTCCAGCTCGGATTTATTGATATCCATCCTCGAATGAATGTGAGGTATGTGAGAGTCACCCACACAAGTATATTGGTGGGTCTTAGAATCGTCGCAACAGCGGCGCAGAGGAGAGCCCTTCTGAGCCTTGTCACCTCATCTGTGTTCTCTCCATTTTGTCCAACATCATCGTGAGTGCGAAGAGGTTGTATATCAAATTTGACCCCAAATTTGACTTTTGTACGGCCAGTCTCCTTGAGTGGCAATGACCAATTCCACGGCCAATTATAGAGTGCGACGACTGTCAACGTTGTTTCAAGGCAATTGGAGAACGTTCGCGTCGAAACGAACCATTGCCAGGGGCTGGCAATGGTAAGGAGAAGCACCGTTGCAGACGGAACAGAGTCCACTCCATAGATGTATGATGCAAATTTCCATGTATAGTAGTCGCCTACTGCCGCAAAGACAGCCGGTAAGATCTTTGGAGCAGCCAGCAGCAGCTCAGAACTACCATGAGTATCAAGCTTCAGAAGCCCAGCAACCGCACTTGCGACTTGGTAAGATAAGGAGAAAAGAGTAGGGTGCAGGGCAGATCGTAGACAGCTTTTCCACTCCTATTTTCTGTGATGAGCTTCCAGTGTTGTACTGCAGTTGATCTTTTATCGCACCCAAGTTATCCATGCCCCACCCTCTTTTCCAAAAGCCAATTGCCATGCTGGCTCTAAAGCCTGAAAGTACTCGTCGGGCTGGAAGAACGTCTGTAACGTCAAGCCATTGAGCAGCCGAAATCCGATCAGGAACAGGAAGACATTGTGAGGCTCTAGGGACAAGGAGACAGGGCGTGACCGAAGTGGGCTTGATGCCTGCGGTTTCCCAGCTGCGGCTGTCGCATCTTCGAGAGGCGTCTCAGGCGGCGGCAAGTCCGTTGTCGACATTATCACCCATTTGTAGTTTTGTACAGCGGCATAGAGGAAAGGAGTTCAACAAAAGCACAGTATGGTGAGCATGGGGCTTTCTCCAAATCTTGTCGTCTCCAAGAACTCCACAGCACTGAGCAGCATGACCGGTCTTGATGCAGAGATGAAAGACAGAGAACTGAGTCAAAAGGGTATTCTTGATCAGCTACGCCGAAGAACTCCTCGAAGCATGGTCTTCCCTCTACCAAGCGAGATGGCTAACTTCTACAAGCCCCCATGGGCTACGCCCCAGTTTCCCGAACGACCTCGGTAAATTATTCCCCGAATCGCATTACACTGAAGTAATCGACTGCCCAAATGCTTCTACTCCACGGTGACGGACTTGGCCAAATTACGAGGGAAGTCCACATTCAATCCCTCGGCAACCGCAAGCCAGTAAGCAATCAATTGCAGTGGAATGACATTCAACAGACCTTGCAAGCAGTCGACGGTCTTTGGCACCTGGATACGCTCAGTCTTGGAAGCCGGGAATTCTGGATCGTCCATATTGCAAATAACGATAGGGCGTCCATTTCGCGCAATCACTGGGACAATGTTAACTTCTATTCCATGTTCCGGACGGGAAGGCTCTCTTACCTTGCTGGTAGGCGTTCAATGACTTGGCGAAGATGTCGTCTCGAGTCAAAATCATGATGATGGGGAGATTCTCGTCAACAAGAGCCAGAACTCCATGCTTAAGTTCTCCAGACATGACCGCCTCACAGTGAAGGTATGAGATTTCCTTGATTTTCAAGGCACCCTCGAGCGCAGTGGAGTATTGGCTGCCTCGGCCGAGCAGTAGCAATGACTTTTGATTTTGCAAGAATTTAGCGCACATCTCCTTGATCGAATCATTCAATTTGAGAATCTCTCGGAACTGATCGCTGACTTTCGCCAAACCATCAATGATCTCGTGGCGGCGCTGCGCCTTGGAGGCACGATCCTCGCTGAGAGACAAGGCAAACATGATCATAGCTACAAATTGGGAAGTGTAGGCCTTGGTGGAGGCGACACCAATCTCAGGTCCAGCGTTGATGTGGACACCGCAGTGAGTGAGCATAGAAATGGAAGAACCGACCACGTTGACAATGCCAACGGTCAGCGCCCCACGCTCCAAGCAGTAACGAAGGGCCATGAGCGAATCGGCGGTTTCACCAGATTGTGACACGAACACACAAGTGTCGTCTCGGAAGACAGGTGCCTGCCTGTCAAGGAAATCAGAGGCCAATTCAACCGCAATGGGAATCTCCGTCAGCTCTTCAAAAGCGCCACGGACGGCCATGCATGAATGATAGCTCGTGCCGCAGGCGATGAAAATGATTCTTCGGCATCGGCGAATGGTGCTGATGTACTGTCTGAGACCTCCGAGGGTAACAGTCTTGTTGGCGACGTCCAGACGACCACGCATGGTATTGACGACCGATTCGGGCTGCTCGAAGATTTCCTTCTGCATAAAGTGGTCGAACTTGCCCTTCATGATCTCCTGGAGCTCAAGCTCAATCGTCTGAATGGCACGCACGTTGGAAGTGCCGTCATCCTTGGTCAATCGATGAATGTTCAGTTGTCCCTCATGAATGTGGGCAATGTCGTCATCCTCCAGGTACAGGACCTTCTTTGTGTGCTCAACGAGAGCGGACGCATCAGAAGAGAGGAAGAATTCGGCGGGCTGAGGCATGCCATCGTCCGACAGGAATGCGCGCGACTGCGAACGGTGAAGGAGAGACTTGTCAGGGGGTGCCAGGAGACCACCAGGAGACAAGAGACCAGCAGCAGACTTCTTGACAGCAACATTATGGTTTGCCCTTTCAGCCGACAAAGCGCCACCATCTTCGGAGTATTCAACATCCACAAAGTCGACCTTCATCTTCTTGGCTGTCTTGACCCCCACCACCAAGGGGGAACCTTTTCGTGCGGCAATGACTTCGTGTGGGAAGTGGACCGACTTCATAAGCAGGCCAAAAGCTCCCTGAAGCTCTTTGATGACAGCCTTTCCGAGGGTGGTAAAATCAATGTCAGGGTGGGAATCGTAGAGGAATTTGGCGAGTTTGGCAATGCATTCCGTGTCGGTGTCCGTCTCAAACTTGAAGCCTTTCCCTTCCAGCAAAGCCTTGAGTTCTTTGTAGTTCGTGATGATGCCGTTGTGGACAACAGCAAACTCCCATTTGGGATCCGATCTGTTATCAAGTCAGTATATACACATATACATATTCATCCCCGGAGTGTCAGCTTCCGGACCGACCTATGTGGATGGCAATTGACCCTCGAAGGTTGGCCGTGAGTAGCCCACCGAGTGTGTGCAATGCCAGCATGAGAATCAAAGACCTTGGTCATGTCGATGCCAGACTCGGCAACCATCTCTCTCAACTTGGCCACCTTGCCCACTTCTTTGAATGCAAAGACCTCATTCTTCTTGTCACCGTCAACTGCGAGACCGGCGGAGTCGTACCCTCTGTATTCGAGGCGGGAGAGACCTTGAGACAACCATGTCAGTTCAATGGCTTGGCTAATGATCGGGTCTGGTCACATACCGTTAAGCAGAGTGTCGAGAATGAGCTTGCGGTCCTTCTCGACCAAATAATTGATGTAGCCAAAGATGCCACTGTTGGCTGTCAGCAGCCGCGGAAGAAGATGTTGCTGGAAAGGCTTACGCACCACATCGTGAATATTGTCTGGTAACTGGCTCTCGACGGTGTTTAGACGCGAGGGGGGGAAAGATTCAGAGAAATAGTCCAAAGCACTGCTGGCCTTAATGTACGAGGTGGGCCTGTTCCAATGGAACTACGTCGAATAAAGAAGGCGAGGCAGGTCTGTGAGCAAAGACTGGCTTGATGATGAGAGAAGGGGAAGAATAAGAAGAATAGTCTCTCGCAAAGTAATCTGGAGAAAGATGTCGGTGTTGGGTTGCGCAGTGTGCTGTGCTGACAAGGTCAGTTTATTGTTAGACCAGCATCATGGCACCAGGGCTGAATATCCACATCCACACGCAGTTACTGGGAGGCTAAGACACACGGTGAGCGAAGTGCCCGTTCAAGCATAAATACTGCATTTCAGCTTGCATTTTTGGTGTATGAAAGGGCGCAGTTCAACTGGCTCCGGTATGGGCACCCACCCCCAACTCAGAACGCTTTTTTGTCGCTGCATGGCAACCGCTTGGCAGGCACAAGATGCAGAATGCGAGACTCGCTCGGCGCCCACTCAGTTCGCCGGGATCAAGCCTCGAATCCAAAAAGGCCCTCCTACGCTCTAAGCGGGCTACTGACGGACACCGGCCCTACTGCTCTCCAGGTCTTCGGCTCCAATGAGCTTGCCGCATCCCATCTTTTGCTATGTTCCGTGTGAGCCACAGTGGTGAAACATGTTCCGATCCTTGTGCCACCTTGCAATATGCCACTTAGACTCCCCGGGCCAAATGTTGACGGCCTGATATATTATAGCACAGCACGCGGGGGGACCATCTCCTCAAGCAAGGGGAAGCTATTAGGGAAATATCGGCCTCAGGCTTTCACGGTCTGTCTCTTTTCTCCTGTTCCTTCTGCTAAAATCTAGGATGACCTTCAGGACCATTTTTGGTGGACCGCGGTCCCCCCTGCCAGGATAGGAGAACGTCACCAATCTTCCGAGACATTTTTGGCCCCATTAAAGATCGCCCGCTTCCCAGTTTCAGCAGTCAGTCCACCTTCCACCCGAATGGCCAGGCCGCATGCTACGAGAAAAAGAGGAAATTGAAGTTCGACGTTTGCTCATCATGAAAAGGGGTTTCTGGTTATCGTTATCTGATCCACGCCTTCTTTCGAGGACTCCCTTCGATGCTATGAAATAATACTGGCGGTTCCGTCTCACAGAAGTGTGCTCGTGCGCTAAGATCCCCGTCCAATCCCCTCCATCAGATGTGCAAAGAGCTCCTGTCGTTTGGACTCAAAGGCGTCAAATGCTACTTTGGCCATGCCAATAGGCACTTGCTCCAACCCACTTGCGAGTCCAGCGTACGCATAGACGCCATGTCAGTCAAATACAGCGCCTGTCAGAAATCAAGAACATACCTGGTTAGTGAACTCATCAAGCGGCATACCCATTGCCCGACCATTTTTGAGATCCGGTTGATGCTTCTCATCATGGAGCTCCGTTTGAACCGCTGGGGGCAAAAGCTCCACCACCTTGATGTTCGATTTCTTCAATTGTTGACGCAGACACAAGATAAATTGGTGTAAAGCAGCCTTGGAAGCACAATAGTTGGCACAGCGTGGGACGGGAATAAGACCCAGTGCTGAAGTCACATATATCAGCGCAGATTCTGTGTCCTTCTTCATCAAAAACGGTAAGAATGCCTTCGTTAGTGCCAGCTGAGCAATATAGTTTGTGTTCAATTCAAGGCTGAGGACGTCCACGTCAATGGAGTCGAAGTCACTGAAATCGGTTTTCCGCTGGATGCCAGAATTTAAAATTACGCAATCGACACCTGGGTGGGCACTTGCGATGTCGCCTGCAAATGTTGGTATCGCCTCGAGTCGTGTGATATCGAATGGCACTGCATGAATCTTGTCCGGGCCATATTGCTGCACCAACGCCTCTAGATTCTCTTTGCGTCGGCCCACGGCGATCACGAAAGAGCCATCCTCGACCAACCGTCTCGCGAGCGCCTCGCCGATGCCTTTATTGATATCGTTACCGTTCCGCTCTTGAAGTCTTTGAAGAACGTACACATACCGCTCGTCGCTCCAATTACGACAACTTTCTGGTATGGAAAAGGCATCCTCGGTGTAGATATGTTGATTGATGGAGGCCAATGCGGGGGAGGAATATCAGGCGTTATATGTATATGGGTACCCAAAGGTATACGGCACCTTCACCGTATTTGAATACGTCGCCAAAGAATAGCAATATCGAATCAGCCAATGGGAAATCACCATTCGGCAATTACATCAAATACCAAACTGTTCGTGGAGAATGAGCTCGAGTCGAGTATTTCGGCTTGGCTCCGATATCGTCCTGGCATCCTTTCAGCTTCATCATTCTACGCAAGATACTCCTATTACCAATACGGCACGTCGTCGGTCTAACAATAAGGACTGCGAGCTGACACACCGCAGAAGCTAGATTCATTCAATCAATTTGTCAAATCATTTCCTTTTTCTGACGAATGACCATGATCTCAAACCAAAGACCCAGAGCTGCGGTCGTCCGTCCGGCCCCTTTTTGTGACACGACCGATCCATATCAATGATTCACGATCCCTCTTGATCATTATGTTCAATGCGATTTGCAAAGTTTGTATTGTCGTGATAGGCGTAACCGCTGATTCTATACCTATTTGACCTTTCCATCCTGAACGGTGTGACGCTGCGATGTTCGTGCTTCGATCGAATCGGATCATATTGGAGAAACGGACAACCTAAGCCTTCAGGGACACAAACCGACTCAGATCGAGGCAGAGTATGTCTCTTGAAAACGTCAGGACTCCTTTTTAGCCCATTCCCAGTTGCTCAAAAGCGCAATTTGCCTCATCCTGTCCCGCCTCCGCCTTGAAGCAGTTGTCTCTATTCTTCTCTGTTCCTTTTCTCTTCCCTGTTCTCCTTCTAGCATCTCTTCAGACTCTACTTCATCCAGTTTGGGAACAGTAGCGATAGCCAGGGAGCCCTTGTAGAGGAACCGGCCAATGCCGGCGAGGAACGCCAGAACAAAGATGATGAACACCCATATTCCAGCGCTTCCATACCCAACTGGCCCCCCTGGCGTCACTTGCTCGAAGGCCGCGATGATTTCTTTGGAATGTGGAATTGCCCATTGGGCCAATAGACGCGCCGTTTATGCTTCTTTCGTCGACTTAACAGTGTACATCCACGCTGCGCATAGGGATCATCAGGCGACTTTGGGCGGCTCATTAGAGACTGCAGTTACGACACCTAAGGTGAAAAATCAATTCCCACGTCCCCTAGGTCGATGCTAAAAGAAGTCACGCATTCCGCCGGATGGCAAACTTGGGAACCAGGAGACTTAGATGAAGGTTTATGAGCGCACGCAATGCAGAGGCAATATTCATACAAGTATTTTCCCGGGTGCGTAGGATGTTTCAGGGCACAATGACAATTGGTACAACCCGCAGGCAATCGAACACAGACTGAGGTCTCACCAGCCGAGGGAAAGGTAATCATATCGTCGAGATATGGCATGGCCATGGATTATATTTCATGAGCATAGTCAAGGACTTAATGTGAAGATCACAAGCAAGTGTATCATATGATCCATCTTTTCAAAAATTCATTAAGTCTCCTCTCAACCTCGGATCAGTCTCATGGGCGTCTCGCGGAATTATCGACATCGCGGTAATCAGGAGTAGGAAATTATGCAAAGGCGTGTAAACGATTTGAGATGCTGTTTACTTAAGAAACGCCTGAGTATCTTCGGCCGAGTTATCCGAATCTGTACCGTTTCGAAGGTAATGGCTCATTCGAGATCCTCACCCTGACTTGAGTTATTTGAAAATCGCAGCAAACATCACTGGATTCGGGCTGTGTCAATTATAGGGACCTGTAAAAGAACGTATGCAAACCCCCAGTGAATCTGCGTCAGCCCGCGGTTGCCTCTGGTGCCTCTAAGACTTGTCATTCAAGGCGAGGAATGTTGGAGGCGAAAATCCCCCCTGCATGTCGCCTGCGCCCACTTCAGCTGCGGTGAGCCTGAGCGCGTTCAAAAAAACTTGCCAAGACTGCTAATCAGATCCTGGTTTGGCTCAGCTTGTGCAAAACGATGCTGTCAAGGCATCTCAGTGAGGACGACTGCAGCTGTGGCCGTATTGTACGTTTATTTTCAATTTCTCTATTGCAAGCTGGTGGCATAGCCAAACAGGCCCTCAAGAACTGTTTGAGCTTTTTTGCCGACCGATTTTGTCCCTCGCTGTCGCCATTTCACTTCCTGTGCCATTCCTGCAAGCCCCCCCCCCCCTTCCGACCGTCACCTACGGACGCGTTGGCGACCAGCCGCAAGCCCAACCTTTGCGACAATCTCCTTGCGCTCCATGATTCCAACTCCCGGATCTGCTTCATATTTGGCATAGGAGGGAGTATGTGAAAGATGAGCGCGTGGTTAGAGTTGTGATCAAGGATATGTCGCGCCCGCCGGGCAGTAAATTCGCTGATTTCTTCCCAAGCGCACCCAGTGTCATCCAACACCGAAAATCTTTCAAGCTACAAGACACCGATAAAACTCGCCCTCGCCCTGCTGATGAGCGCGTCGAAGATGCGCACGTCAAGGACAGTCTTGTTCGCGTCGCACTGAACTCACCGACGACCATATCGCATTCCTCAACGAAACAGGACAATCTGGCGAAATTCACCAATACCAACTTCACCCCGGAAGAAAGCGACCAGTTCACAGGCGATCTTCTCAATGGTGTCGGCTCCGCCAGCTCGTCCAGCACCGCTTCATCGGTCTTTAGTGCACCTGTTGCCAACGCCGCCATGCCAGGCCCAAATAATCTTCATATCAACACGCTCACCCCCCTCACGAACTCGGATTCTCCTCCAAATGGGAAGCTGATGAGTCCAACTGCTGATTCCAACCCTCATACGGCGGTGGACAGCAACAACATCATCCCTACTCTACATCAGGGGTCGATGACGCCGCTCCATACCCCTCCCACGCATCGAAGATCCGCGCGTGATCCCAACTCTCCACTAAAAGGAACGAAATGCATTTATGATCCAGAATTAGATAAAAACTTAAATGCCAAGGACAAACGAAAGCTGAAGGCGCAGTTTGAGGACTTTGGTGGAAAGGTCGAAGACAACTTACAACCACCCGATCCGCGATTAGCCATACCCAATTATACCAAGGGTGTAATAGGGAAAGGAAAGGCCAAATTTCGACCTGCACCTTACAATTTAAAATCATGGGTCCCAGATGTTGCGACTGCAGTTGCGCCGCCCCCTGCCACAACAGTTGTTGTATCTGGCTTTGACCCCATGACACCTTTATCTCAAATCAGTGCACTGTTTTCGAGCTTTGGTGAAATTGAGGACATGGACAACAAAAGCGACCCCGTCACTGGACGATTCCTGGGAATATGTAGTATTACGTATCAAGACTGCGCCTCTTTCCAGGGCGGTGGTCCAATTTCCGCCGTCCTTGCGGCGAAGACGGCCTATCTAGAGGGCAAACGAGGCCAGAGAATCGGCCTCAAAACCGTTCAGATCACCATTGATCGCGATGGGACCGTCACGGAGAAGATGGTTGAAAAAGCCATTGCTCTACACCGCAAAGAAAGCGGGTTCACGAATCAATCACGAGTCCAGCCACCACCCTCTCCCTCCACGCCTGTTGCGCCTGTTGCACCGCAATCTGGTGGATTCGCAAAATCCACCGGTCCTCCACCCACTGCTCCAAAGGGCCCATCGGGGAAGTCATTCCTTCGACCTCAGCCCGCGTTCCACGCTCCATTTGGAGGTCTTGTAAAACCCGAAAGACCTGCAAAACCAGCGGTGGCCTCCCTCGTCGAGACCACACCTATCGCGGATACACTAAAGGTTCCTTATATCTTTATTGCGCACTGCTATGTACCGGTTATGAGCACGACAATACCGCATCTTAAGAAGAGAATGCGGATGTATGATTGGCGAGAAGTTCGATGTGATGAGACCGGATACTTTATCACCTTTGAACAATCCCGACAGGGGCAAATGGAGGCGAAGAAAGTGTTCCACGGGTGTCACATGCAGCCACTCTTCACTTACGTGATGAACTTGGAACTCCATCTCAATGGTAATCCAAAGGCAGTGAGCACAACCGAGCCATTGCCAACAGGCCCCGTCGATTTTGTATATTCGAAGCAAGCTTACCGACTGAGAAAAGAACATGACCTGGACCTCGAGGAAGAAAAGAGGCAGCGGGCCAAGGATCTGGATCCTTCACGTGCCGTGGTGCAGCTAGTCATACAAGAACTTCGGGACAAGCTTCTTGAAGATGTCAAGTCACGCATTGCTGCTCCTGTTCTTTACGACTATCTTGAGCCAAGCAAACATGCAGAACGACGAAGAAACCTGGGCTTAGACGAGCCCGAGGGATCACGGAGGCATGGCCACACTGATGAAGGGTCGCGAACACCAGATTCACGGTTCGGTCTAGATATGTTGAATCGGCGACCTCTGGGTCACAAGAACCTCAACATTCTCTCCTTACCAAAGATCGGGAAACGATCGGGGACAGATAGAGGCATGGTTGGCTTTCGTGATGAGCGAAGGAAAGCTCCTCCGACGAGACATAATGTCCGACCATTGTTTCACCAGTTGGCTCAATTTCACGACGACGAGGACTCTGACGATGAACGACGAACATCCCTTACCCGGGACACTGAAGATTTAGAAAGTCGTCCTGCCAGTCGCATGAGCATAACCTCTGTGTCTGACAATGATGATGAACTCCTGCGCAAAGCGACGAAGCGCCGGTTTCAGGTCCGGGAAGAATCGGAGATGGGAGATAGTGTTGTCAAGGACGAATTGGATGCCACCAAAGTCACTGCCGAAGATCTCATCATTGCCAAACTCGAGAGAAATATTTATGAAATGTCTCCTTCATCGAGAAAACGCAAGAGATTGGTCAAAGAACTGGAAGCCCGAAAACGCCAGAAAGCCGATGACGAGTTGTTTGGTATCGGTCAGCCTGATATAGACCGGGACGATTCTGAAGATGTGAAGATGCAGGATGTTGAGACTCCTCTCGAGGGTACACCAGAGGTCGATTCCGACGTGTCTAAGGCAGTCCTTAAAAAGCCCAAGGCCAAGAGGAGAACAAAGAAACAGATCCGGGAAGAACAAGAAGCACTTCGACAGGCACAAGCGGAAGCAGAGGCCGCCGAAGTCGTGGATAACGTTCTTGAATTTGCGGAAGAGGAAGAGGCGCTGGCCGAAGCTGCTGAATGGCGACCAGAGGTTGAGTGGGGTGTATCAGCCGAAGAGCCTCTCCCGACCGTCGATGACGCTGAGGATATCATCCCCGATCTTCGAGGATGGCAAGCTAGCCTTTTCGACGATGAAGACTTGGAATATTTGGCATCGGCAATGAAATCCAAAATGGCGATGGATATTGGCGATCCAATGGCATGGGCATGGAAGCAAGAACAGATTCGAAATCTGAAGCCCGGAGCCCAGCCTGGCGCATTACGAACGGACCCCCCCATCGAAGGATACTATGTTCCGAATCCATCAGGCTCGGCAAGAACGGACCCAATACGAAAGATTTTGGAATCTGAGAAATCCAAGTATCTGCCCCATCGTATCAAGGTGCAGAAAGCAAGAGAGAAGCGTGAAGCTGAAGCCAAGAAGGATTCATCTTCCGCCAAACCCACTGTGGAACTCCCCAAGGCTTCCTCTCGGGGCAAACGGGCGGATGATAGACGCACTGTCAAAGACTTGGATAGGCAACGTGAGATGTTGCAGGGAATGGGGGACGACGCTGACGTTCTACGTTTCAATCAGCTTCAGAAACGAAAGAAACCTGTCAAGTTTGCCAGATCGGCCATTCATAATTGGGGTCTATATTCGCTGGAACGCATTCAAGCAAGCGAAATGATCATTGAATATGTCGGTGAGAAGATCAGACAGGAAATTGCCGATTTACGAGAGATCAAATACACTGAAAGCGGAATCGGCAGCAGCTATCTCTTCCGTATCGACGAAGGCACCGTTGTCGATGCCACGAAGAAGGGAGGCATTGCCCGATTTATCAATCACAGCTGCTCACCCAATTGTACGGCCAAGATCATTCGAGTCGGTGGCACCAAACGAATCGTCATCTACGCTCTCAGAGATATTGAGAAAGGTAGGACCTATCGAATTTTAAATCTGCGTACATCTTGCTGACATTTTCACAGACGAGGAGTTGACTTACGACTATAAATTCGAGCGCGAGATTGGCAGTGATGATCGTATACCATGTCTCTGTGGCTCGGCCGTCTGCAAAGGCTTCCTCAACTAAAATCCTTTTTTTTTTTTTTTTTTTTTTTTTTCCCACCAATCTGGCGCAACAAATGGTACGATTGACAGAGGCTGCGGGGGGCAGGTATGAAACTCCCTGACTACGCGTCGTTTCTCCGTTTTGTAAGTGCATGAGAAAATAAAGAGGGCATCTTTGGTCGGCGTTTTTCCCTTCTCTACAACATGGACGCAGGGAGGTTATCTTGTGGGGCCAAAAAGGGGCACGGCATGGGTTTAGGACCAGGACCAGAAGTATCGCATCTTTGCATTGAAAGTGGGAAGGCAAATCGGATATCGAATCCAGAGGGGCGGGGACGAAGACAAAGGCGAATGGAAGGCGGGCAAGGCACCGAATCAAATCGAACGAAGAACCCAATCCTCAACATACTATTCAACACCTTAGGGAATGATCCTACGGAAGGGAAAAAGACAGATGGTGGAGAGGAATGACGGCATGCTCGAATGATCTTGAAGCTCTTTCTTGTACTTGTATAATGGACCTCTCCTCTATTCAGCAGTGTGGGCTGGTGACCTTGCCTGCGAAGAAGGAAGAGGTTGAATACACCCATAGTGTTAATGTCCTGCTTCGGCTGGATCTGACAGACAGGAGTTGTGCTGCTCTCTTCAGGGGTGGTGGGAGTTCCAGGATAACTGATCAACCTCGTCATCGGCCTCATTGACGTACTTGCCATAAAAATGAACATGATTCTCTGCTTTCAGATAGAACTCACATGCAAATGTTGTTCCCTGTCTCATTCTGCATATCTTTGGTGGGAGCACCGTGCAGCAAGTTCGCTCCGTGAGCATATCACCTGTTTTCATGAATTTGAGCCACCTAAGCAGCCTTCATGACTATGACCACATATCATCCATAGGGACACAGACAACTGCCAGGAGACTCTGTCCCGTAATTGCTGACGGCCGTCCCGGGAGAAAGCATACATGAGCCCTCCATGCTCATCTTCATGCTCATGCCCATCAATTTGGCTTTCAAGCGAAAAATATCTCTTCGTATGCACATGACGATGTTATTTCCTCTCCCACCTCTCCTTTCACACCAAATGCGCCGGTAACAAAAAGTTCCCCACGCCTTCTTTGATCGGATATTCAAAGCCGCAATTCCCACAGACCAACTTTCCCTCCACGACCCCCGTCTCCAGAAGGAGACTGTGTAGGTTTTTCAACACTTCCTTATCATCTTTCGGTCCCTCTCCATCCCTGTCTCTATCGCGCTCTACATCCATCCCTCCATGCTCGCCCCCTCTCGCCTCCGCAACCAATTCGACAGGATTCTTCTCCGGCACCAGGCTCTGCAACCCCAGCTCCATGGCCGTAGTAGTCAACGCATCCCAATTTACGCGTGGGAGGATGTTGCGCATGAACAGCGGATTGAAGTCGATCTCGGTGCGTTCAAGCGTGGCGTCTTTGAAGTGTAACGGGAACGATTGCGGGGAGGATTTGCACGTCTTGACTGCGCAGGTCAGGAAATTTGTGGTGAGGAGTTTCATTTTTTGGACCTTCAGTTAGAAAATTAGTGAGATCAAATGGGGAGGTATCGAATGCGAATCAGCGAGAAAGGACAGGTCGCGGACCTCTTCTCTTCGAGAACTACTGTCGTAGAAGGTATGTATTTTCAAGCTGAGAGTTTGACGAATTTCGAAAGGGAAAAAAAGGGTTCCTGGAATAGAAAATGGTCCGAGTTATTGGCAGACTTTGGCGTACGTTGATGAAGAAAGCCCTTAAGGTGCACCCCACAACTTCACCTCACCCTCGCTTCGTCAATAATTGACTGATCGATCTCGCCTGTAGACCGCTCCATGCATCTCCATCCTCGTTCTACCGAGGGAATCGCTCAATCGGGCCACTTTAATTTTCGCTCGTTCGTCTTGTCAATTTCAAAGGCCTCGGGGGCTCGTCCAAAATCGCCCTGAACAGGTTACGTTGGCAAGGCTGTACGATTGACCATCGCTCTATTCGCTAAAACCATCCGTCCGAGCCTGTCGTACTCCCAAGCACTCGCCCATTGTGTGTCCTCTCTCCACACCGCAAGTCAGGTATCCCCGCGAACCTTAAAAATGTCTCCGTCATTATTTTTGCAACGCCGAAAACGGCGAAAGAGGTGCCGAAACCACTGGCTCATGCATTTGTAGACCAGTCAGGCAAAGATCTTTCTCCAAGATGGAAGCTCCAAAGATCTCAATTCTGTCCACGGGCTCCCTCGCAAATGCCTGGCACGCTTCATCGGCACCGGGTGTGTTTGTTTCTCCAAGAAGAGCGTCTATATCATGTTGGTATCCCCCCGATTGAATATCTTTGCCGGATTTTCGTTGTATTTACCAACACAAGGCAGGCTAACGTACTCTCACGATGTTCTCCTTGGCACGTCTCGGTGTTGCTGCGCTTCCTCTCCTATCCTCCCTTTCAGCCCTCGCACAAAAACTGCCCCAGGTGGATCTCGGCTATGAGATTCACCAGGCAATCAGTTTCAATGTATGCTAACCGTTGCCCAGACGTAGCTGTTATTAGTGTCCCACGCACTGATATTCATTCGCAGGCTACTGGCCAACTGTACAACTTTTCCAACATCAGATACGCTCAACCTCCGACAGGTGACCTTCGTTTTGCCGCTCCTGTGCCGCCAACCGGAAGAAATAATGTTGTCCAGAATGGCAGTGTTGGCAGAGTATGCCCTCAGGGTATTCCGTACTGGTCTCCGATTGCAAGCGAGTTTACGGCGTACCTTCTGGCGGGAAATGCGTCCTCTTTTAACTTCACGGCGGCCAATGATCAGCTTCAGATCACGTTACAGAACGCAAAGCCCACCCCGCCAGATCCACGAACATCCGAAGACTGTTTATTCTTGGATGTCATCGTGCCTAAAGCCGTATTTGACAACAAGACTGGTGCACCCGTAATTGTCTGGTGGGTGCATGCTCGCCCTTCCGTGAAACTTTACTGATGTAAAGCAGGATATATGGAGGAGGATACACTCTGGGCTCCAAAGGCCAGTGGGGCAATCCCAGTGGTCTTATCAAAGCCAGCCAGAAAGATGGCAGCGATGGTATTATTTATGTGGCGATGAATTATCGCCTGGGAGCATTAGGATGGATGGCCGGCCCGACCTTCGCAGCCTCTGGCGGAACACCCAATGCCGGTCTACACGACCAACGACTTGCCATTGAATGGGTTGCTAGGTACATTCACCTCTTCGGCGGGGATCCGAACCAAATTACCCTCCTTGGAGAATCCGCCGGTGGCGGTTCCATTGTCCACCAGATCACAGCTTACGGAGGCCAAAAAGGCGTCTCATTCCAGCGGGCCATTTCTCAGTCTCCTGGATTTGACCCTGTTCCCTCTGCCTTCACCCAGGAGAATATCACTAACTCGTTCCTGTCGTTGCTGAACGTGACGACACTGGACGAAGCCCGAAAGAAATCCTCCGATGAAGTCATCACGGCCAACTCGATTCAAGTGGGTTTATCCGTTTACGGAACATTTACCTATGGCCCCATGGTGGATGGAGACTTTGTTCCAAACTTGCCAGGCGTTCTCCTAAGTACAGGACAATTTGCAAAGAACATTACTGTCATGGTCGGACACAACACACAAGAAGCACCAGGATTCACGCCACCCAATGTCCGGACAAATGCCGAGGTCGGGGCTTGGTTACGAATGATGTTCCCAGGTATTGTGCAGCCTGTTGTTGATTATATCACCGACACTCTCTATCCACCGGTTTATGACGGCAGCCAGCCATATCATTCCGCATTGGAGCGGACTTTGTTGATGGTTCAGGAGGCTATTTTCGCCTGCAGTACCAGTTACCTGCACAAGGCTTTCGGCAACAATACATGGTCGTATGAATTCCAAGTCCCTCCGGGCCTTCACGGCGCCGATATTCAGTATACATATTACAATGGTCAGGGAACAAATCTCACTGCCGGAATGATCGCACCAGTCGCCGAGCTTCTACAAGGTTACCTTGTTAACTTTGCCAAGAAGGGCAATCCCAATGGACCAGGTCTGCCATTCTTCCCGATGCAGGGCAAAAATTCTAGTATGAATGCAATCAATGCGACTTATGTGAGGCAAGAACGAGATGACATGGCTAATCAAAGATGCTACTGGTGGCAAAAGGGACTATATGGCTGATGACAGAACTAATGGATCTCCTGAGGCCTCAAGGGGCACACTGCGTAGCGATGAGGTAGAGTAAGCTCCGGAATCTGGGGGACATCAGCCTTGGGGAAATCTTCTTGTCACAGTTCAAATGACTGCACATTTCATCGCATTCACGGGATGACATTTGAAATTGTCCGAAAACTTTTATTTTGCCTTGTTACCATTTTCGGTGTGACATCCGCGCGCAGGTCAACAACCGATCAATTCAACCTATTCGCATGGTGAAATGGACCAAGGGTTACATCTCACCTGCCCGTTCCAACGACACCGCAGGTCCAAAATGACAATTCGTATGAAGGCGTTGCCCAGAAGAGATGCTCGCCGCCCGTACAATGAGATCGATGATACAGTGTGGCCTCCTATCAATATCTGAGGGCAGCCTCTCCTGTATCAGCCCCTAGCAAACTTGAGGGACAAAACTCATAACCGACTTGATCTCTTGGAATCATTGCCGGATGACTTCACATCGATGACGGACAAGAGGCAATAACTACGTCTCTGAAATGGGAAGAGAGCCCATCGGCCCAAGGTTATCTTACGGTGCGAATAATGCCTCACAGTTTCTTCTACAATCTACTTCGCTCATAGAACCAGGGACAGCGCGGGTTGTGATCAACTTTGCTTTCTTACTTTCTCGCCCAGTCACGGATAAATTTTTACCAATCGACTTTCGATACAACATACACCACACTCTTTAGTATTCATTTAAAGTGCTTCTTTTCCGGACTCTGGGATAAACGTCCAATATCCACTTAACGTCATGATATCTTCTTTGGTGGCGTGTACAAGCGAAGCCTCTCCGAATCCAGACACTCCTCCTTTTCGATTTCGAGTTCTCTTTATACGAACCATCGGCTTTGAGTTTCTGGATATCGACCTACGGCAAATTGCACGCCGAAGACATTTTGGCGTCTATCCACGTCCAGTCTCTGCATCGCCACCGCCCTCATCCTAGTATCCCTCACGACGACCATTCATCCCCAATCCAACTCATAAGCCTGGCTTCCCTCCTGTGCCAAATCATGCTATAGTCCAAGCCGCCAACGACTCCGGAAAAGCGTCTCACGATTCATCACAGCTCCGTGCCTGTGCATGTGTCGAGACACTGCAGACATGCCTCGTGAACTCTTCGCAATGCAGTGAAAACGATATGATTGCGTCGATTATGGCCGTCAACAAGCAGATTTTTTTGCGATGCTTCTATTGGGGTGTCGATCGTTTACACGTCCAGGGTTATGATCAGGGACCTTATAGAAGTCAAGCAGACCTTCAGGGCTCTCTGTTTGGGGCCCCAGCTCTCCCGGGTCATTCGATTGGGAGGACAGCAAGTCTTCCGTACTTGTGGTTTGAGGTAAGTCTTTTGCTTCGCATTCGGTGCTTGTGTCTCCGTTTCCAGTGACCATGCCAGATGACGAGAGCTGTTGGGTTTCAGACTGTTGGACGCGATCAGGGATTTCCGCATTGACACCCCGCGGCGAGTTAAACTCTTTGAAGCCTCCGTCAGAGCTGCCAGTGCTCGGACTCTTCTCAGCTCCACGAAGTGCTCTGGGCCTCTCTGGAATACCTGCGATAGTGTTGGGTTGGGAGATGCGGAGAATACCTTAACGGCCCCATGCAATGCATTTGGCTGTGCCTTGCAAAATTGATGGCATTCGACGTGAATCGTCTTCGCCAAAATATTGCAACCACGATCTTCAAAGTCGGCGATTTCCATGACTTCGTTCAGAGATTCTACGTATTGACGTAGGTGGAAATAGTCCTCCCCGTTGCCAAATGTTGGAAGTCCGGCGTGTGTTGCTCTGACGGGAAACACTTTTTCGCAACCAACGTAATAGTTCTTGTCAGCTAGGGTCGCTGAACGTTTGTCCTCAATCTGGAAATTAATCGTTAGACGCACAGGGCGGCAGTTCTCAGATTGACCACCTACTTGTGATAAAAGTGTCGTCTCTGTCATCTGTAGGGTCTCATCTGACTTGATTTTCACCCTCGGGGGCATCTCCCGTGTCTCGTAGAAACTCCAAATCCGGAAGACGTGGAGCGTGAGTGGAGCAAATTGACGAGAAAAGTGAGCCATTGGATCGAGGTTTTCGGTATTTCTTAGTTGCCTGCGAAGCTTGGGTCCATAAGGTATGGGCAGACGGAGCTCGTGAGCGATGCTCTCTGCACAGGCACCATCCGATAGCGGTGTAGAACTATAATCTGAGCGAATGTGAGTCCTGATCGCATTTCCCTGGGCATCTCGTGCTCACGAGGGACTCCAAAGAATGCAATGCTATGACAGTGCTGGATTATTGACGCGTCTGTGTTCGCGTGGTCCTTGGATGGTGCAATCCCATCCGAACTGCCACTGGGCGCACGTAGAGCTTGTTCCATGGGCAATTACAAGTGCACGTTTCAATACCAGACCACCCGTGCGTCATGATCCAGCAACTTCTTTGCCCACTCGGTAATTCCAAAATCTCCTGTCAACTCAGGCACGTCGTATTGGTCATATTCGAAGAAAAGACGCGAGAGGTTTTCATCCCTGACCAGATGAATTTGTATACCCCGTCCCCGTTAGGTAGCAGACGCCACGTCTCGGAGGCCCTTTTAGCCCCGATGGCAGGGATCGCGATGATGCTATTCGACGTCAGCTGCCGCTCTTGGACAGATCTCCGTTGTCATCACCATAGTCAAACTTGGTTCTCTCTCTGAGGTTCCGCTGTCCATTCGCTGCCGCGTGTATAGACATGTGGTCGACAATGCAAGGCTGTAATAGAGTGAATAAAGGCTCGAAACTAATGGATGAGTAATTAGAAGGACATCAATGAGTGCTATGAGGCTACTTTGCCTCTACTTGGGATGGGTTCACATAGTTATACTAGTCCCCATGTTTGATGGGAGCGCTAGGGCGTCTTCACGATCCCTTGGGGAAATTATGCCTACAATGATTCGACCATTCGCTTACTTGCATCCAGCAGTCGGGGTACAAGCGAGTTCTAATCTCGCGGAGCGCAACTGGCGAGCCGGCTCGTCCCTAGTCTTTCCACCGGAAATGTTGTTCGTGCAGCTACCATGGCTTACAACCGAAAAGTCGGGATGAGCTGCCGGATGGAGCACTAGTCTGTTGCCAAAATTATGCGTTGTAGTTTCTCACGAACATGTGAATAGGGCAGAAGAACTGAGTGATCTTTTCGATGGCTTCGTATCTGGACCATCGTTTCTGCGACTGGCACAAAGCTTCATGAGATATTGGTGTGAGATCAGCGGTCAGCTCGAAAAGGCGAGATTCAATCATGTTCCAATCATACGATCACTGTTTGTCGTTGTTCAAACAAACGCAGTCGAGATTCAAGACTGACCGTTAACCGGGACCTTAGTGTCAACACGACCGTTGGCCAAGGTGCGCCGACATTCTGTGTCAATGCAGATGTCAGACCATCTCATACCGAATCCGGAAAATCCATTCGCTGTTTTGTCCTGAACGATGGATGTCGAGGACACTTCAGGATGTGGCCAAGTGGCTTGCAAATCTCAGTGTACTAATCGTCAAATTGCCAGGGATCTGTATACTTGTTCTTGCCAAAAGTCTCATGTTCGAAAATACATTTCGGCAGGGACAATTATACCACTTGAGCGATGGCACGAGCACAGAGTGTGCGATAAATCATCTGCCATGACTATTATCATAGCCCGAGGAGAGTTGCGAGGGATCAAAGAGGTCCAACATGTCAATGAATAGGATGAAAATACATGCATTTACCATTTCCCATGCGAAAGAAGTTCTGTCTCCTACCAAGCACTGTGACCTCCGTCTATCCTCAAATCGGCCGCAGTCATAAAGCTGCTTGCCTCACTCACAAGAAAGACCGTAGCTCCTCTGTATTCATTCGGTGTACTCAGCCGCCCAAGCATGTTTTGAGCCGCCCAATTCGTCCTTCGTTCAGGATATGTTTGGAAAAGTTCCTCGACCATTGCTGTGACGATATACCCAGGGCTAATGGTATTGACTCTGATGCCGTGCTCTCCCCACTCAGCACCCAGGCCTCGTGCGAGCTGAACCACACCAGCCTTGGACGCATTATAGGGCACACACATGAGTCCTCGATTTGCAATTCCTGCCGACATTGACGCAATGAGAACGATGCTGCCCCCATTTTGGAACCGGATCATCTGTTTTGCAACCGCTTGAGATGTCATTAAGACACCGGTGATGTTGACCTCGAACATCCGGTTTGCATCCTCCCGGGTGTATTCCAGAGCCAGCGTCTCTTGTTGGATTCCCGCCGCTGCGATCAAGCCGTCCATTCTGCCTTCTTTGTCGCCGATGTCGCCAATGATCTGGTTCAAGCCGGATCCGTCTCGCACGTCAACTTGGCGATAGGAAAGTCTTGAGCCAAGCTCATCCGTGGCACGCTTTTGAATCCTCGAAAAGTCTGGGGACTGTCCAGACGGCGGTAAACGATCTAATGCATACACTGCCGCTCCGGCCTCCAGACACGCTTCGGCGATCGAGAGTCCCAAGCCTCTGGCAGCACCGGAAACTAGAACAACTCGATCTGATAAGTTGAATTCCGGCAGGATTTTGGTGGTGCCGAGGAATCTCTTTCTGATCGAGTCCTCGCGCAGGGCATCAGGGGCGGGAACGCTTTTGAGACATCGAGGAGTTGTTGCCAGGCATCGCCTTGCATATTGCGGTTTATGCGGGGGATTCCAGTCACAGCGGACACGGAATCCGACTCCACGGCGAGGCGAGCGGAAGATCCGAGATATGGCGCGACTGGAAGATACCATTGAAGGAATTTTTTTTATTTTTTGGTTTCTTTTTTTGGGTAGAGAGCGAATTTGAGGGTCTATGAATTCAAATCGAAGAGTGCCAAACGAACGAAACAGAGCAGGATGAGCAAGAAAGTACAGGGACGAACCCCATTTTACCTTTATGGAATTTCCGTCCCCCCTTCTCGTCCACAACCCAGACTACCAGAGTGCCATGTTCAGTGTTTCTGGAACGATGAAGCGAAAGGTATTTGGCGCCGTCTGACGACGAGGCATTGCCCTGGCTACCATCTGAAAACTGAGGTGGTATTCTCGTCAGAAGGTACGACTTATTTTCTCCAAGAGTGGACGCAGTTCTTTGCCGGAAGTCCAAATGGGCAAGCCGGGCGGAACGTCCCAATCAGGCTAGTATGGTCCTTGTCGTTGTGGGCGAGAAGCGAGGGGCATCGGCGGCTCTTTGCCATTTACTCATCCATATCGAACCCCATTTTGCCCGTGGCTACATCACCGTCAGAAGTACGTCTTGAATATAACGACAACTTTTGTCAGATGCGGCCCTAGTGGGTGGCCCTATTCGACCGCGGATGCAAGTAACGAGTCATGAGTAAGATCTTGGCTCCACGCCGTTGTTGACCGTAACTTTCGGATCTGGACTCTACAAGACCTTGCACAAAGGCCGTCAGACGGCCCGAGTCAGTGATATGCTCGAGACAGCATGCAATCCACTTCAAAGGGTCGAAGTGTGCTGCTGATCAGAATTAGTATTCCACGAATGAGGTCTGAAAATCCCCGGTGTTAGTATTGTTTCCTCATCTAGTCGTTGATCGAGAGCCAATGACCGTGTTTGGAAACATTCCCCTTTCATAGAATCGAACCGTAACGACTCAGAAATGGACCAACGCCTAGTAAACGAACATATACTCGCTGTGTGCCGGACTGCTCTTCTCTCAGGTTCCGTACGGTTAGCACGGACATCATCGTACGGACATTGAGTGAGCTACTAACGAAGATAACTAAGGAAACACTTGGATAGACATGAGGTAAGATATGGACATCGCTCTTCCAGGTTTGGGATCAGATGGTTGGTCTGTTTCTTCCACAGCCTCATTGTTGACTGAAATCCGGCGCCGTGGTGGTTGTCTTCGCGGTCCGAATCACAGTATAAAAAGCCAACCCAATCCCACCTCGCCGGAGTCTCGTATCGTGCTGACAACGACGATCGATGTGGAACGGTTGATCAAGCTCTCTAATCGACCACCATGGCGGCCAACTTTACGGTCGGGACAGACAATTATCTCTTTTCGCGCGATTCATTGGCGACTGGCAGGTTGACTGCCCAACACTTTCTCATCCTGAGAAGGTCCGGTTGGCATCTTCATCCCGACATTGCAGTCAAGGTCCATGGACGCAAGAAACTCACAATTGCCGATGTGGCATGTGGGAATGGGATATGGGCCTTGGACATGGCACGGGATTATCCTCAAGCCCACTTCACCGGGATAGATATATCTCCCCAACAGTTCCCCCCCAAATTTACATGGCCCCGGAATGTCACGATGGAGACGTACGATATCTTTCAGCCCATGCCAGACAGATACATTGGCCGATTCGACATTGTGCATGTTCGGTTCATTATGGGAGCCGTGTACAGCCAGAACAAGAATTGGGTCCTCCAGAACATCCTGAAACTGCTTAAACCGGGAGGATTCATTCAATGGACCGATGCCACTGTCCCGCTTCTCCATGTGTTAAGCGATCCTTTGCAGCCCTTGGGACAATTCCGCCAACCCCCGGCTATTGAAGCGCCTTTGGCCAGTATCTTCTCTCCCACCGAATGGCTCCGGCGCCTGGCTGATGAATTTCAGCAACATGGTTTGATCAACACCCGAGCCATTGATTTGCCCCCAGTGCCCTGGCTTTCGAAACAAGAAACTGACAACGCTATTTGGGCCTTGACAGATATTCACGAGGGGCTAAAAGTGCGACTCGGAAAGGAGGTGGCTGCGCGGTTTGGAGCGGCGGTGCAGGAAACCCTGGAGGAGATTAGACACGGTCGAGTGTACTTCGCCACATATTATATGGCAATTGGTCAAAAACCGGGGTAAGGAAGCAGCAGCAGCAGACTGGATTAGACACGGGGATGGATTCGAGGAGCACGAATAGAGCGGTTCCGTTTCCGTACATGGCGGCCATGAAATTCAGCCTTGGCAAATTCGAAACTTAGTTGTTCATGTAGCGCCTCGCAACTGTTCTTTTTCATCCCATGTCTTGCTAATGGAGCGCAACATCATCTACACGTTTCGGCGATAATAAAAGCCGAGCCAGCGTCCCTGTCTTACAAAGGAATCGCGACGGCACAACAACATGGCTGGCAACGGTGAGGCTGTCGTCCCTGAGACAGTGTCGGGCCCTGCCACCGCGGATGATGGGTCAACAAGCGCCCAATCGGTACGCGCCATCTCTGTTTATGATGCGGTGGCGGGAAGAGCTGGATTGAACGGATTTCTGACAAAAGATCAAATCCATGTGCTGCCTCTCGCTCCCGAGGATTTTCTCCTGCGGCGAACAACCCTTCCCGAAGATCTGGTCTACCGATCGTACGATGCCGCGGGAGAGCTTTCCGGCAACGACCGGCTTCCAGAGTCAGAAATGGTCAAAGCAATCCACAGCTACGCGTCAGATTTTTATAGCTCTGCCACCGTGGACAAGGGGATGTATGATTTCCGATCTCTGGATGAGACCGCATTGTTGGCGATGGGCATTCTATTGGAAGAAGCGGTGAAAGAAGCACTGGGTGAGGGAGGGGATATGGCGTTGGTGGAGCCAGAAGGACTTGAACGGGGACTGGGCGAAAGCAAAATGACCAGGCATCAGGTCAAGGGAAGAGTGAAGCCAATGACCAGGTCCAAAGACCTACCGGATGAGCACAATGTCGATCCAGACGAATCCCCGGTGAAAAAAACAAGACGTTGAGAGGCATACGCGTTCACAGGGTGAAGTGGGCACCATGTTCAGTCCGACAACCAATTCAAAGGATTCGACGATATTTCCCCATCCCGAATAGAAGCAGATGCTCGGATTGGCCATGAACTTTATCGGGCGGTTTCGCGAGCCACGACAAAAGCTTGATAAGGGAAAAGCTTTGCTGCGTTCGGCTTGTCACACGTGGACTAGTGTTGGGTGAACATTGTGTGCCAGATCAATAAAAAGTTGTGCCACCGGTCAGTGATCGATCAAAAAGGATGGGAGAAAAGAATGAATAGTGATTGGGAAGTGGAGTGATTGATTAGAGAAGAGGGCGATGGACGGCGCGAAACAGGGGGTGCAGGATGAGGCACAGTGGGACCAGTCGGAACCCAGCCTTCAGCAGATGAGGTTTTTCGAGGTTCTCTAGCATTTTTATTTTTACCCTTTTAACTCTGCCGCCGTGCACGGTCAGTCAGCGGGTGGCAGACAAAGCCCAAAAGTCAAAAGAGCCAGAAGGCGCAGAGGCGATAAAAAAGAATGTTCACTCAATACCCTCCTAGGGAGGGTATGGCGGGCGCCGGAGTAATTTAAATGCCACACTAGTCCCTCCGGACTCATCCCCTTACACCCCTCGAATCGAGTCGCAAGTTGCTGAAGTGGTGGTGCTCATGCTTTGCGGAACACCCCCATTTCCCCCCTAGTCCATCACCTATCACCGGTTACACACACAGCAGTAGAGGTCAGACAGACCTTTTTAACCAGTCGCCAGCCTGACCATCATTTAATCCCTATCCCTTCAGCGACTAGCGCCTCGCTTCAAAACCGCTACTCTCGACCAGTATTTTAGGAGAATGTCCTTGTCCCCCCCCAACTTTCTCCCTGTTCTCGACTCTCCCACTTCAACAAACATCCTAGAGGTTCTCGACCTGCCAAGCACCGAAGCTTGAACCCAGAGACAAGCCTTTCATCCATCCCCTCTCCATCTTCCAACTCTGTGGCTCATAAGGAACTTCTTCAAGGCTTGGCCATCTACGCTTTCTCTCTCGGTCATTGTTATACATCGATAACAAGGAGGCTCCGATATTGTTGTCGCCGGCAAGTCTTCGAGTTGCCGAGGGAGTTCACAACCGATTCGACACCCAAGCCCTATCCTGACCCCCCAAGGCCGCAATCTCGATTTCACCTGCCTGCGCTCCGGTCCCCCCGGGCAGGCAGCGTCGAACCGTTCAAGAGTGCGGCAAGTTGATTGAGGTATGCGTTTGGATACTCTACTCTCGGGTGACACGCTCAATTGGATTCATAACACGCCCTTTTCTGTCAATCTTCCAGTGTTGCGCAGGACTTGACCCTAATTGATGACCAAGCTGACTGTTTTCAATCGCACAGCTTGACGCCAGATCTGAGCCACGCTACCATTCGCAGCGACTGATTTTTCCGCGCGAACCTCTCTCCGAGTCGGACCAAACAATGTTTTGGTCTAACCCACCGTTATAGCATTGAATGGCTCAGGTTATCACGGCGATGCCTCTCGAGTCGCTGCTCACCAACCCCCATCCAGCAGTGCCTCGCTCGCGTTCCCTTCTTGCCTGCTTTTCCAATCCGCTGGGAAAACATGCCCGGAACATGTTCGACCTCGCTATCGAGCCTGACGATCCATTTCGAGTCTACTCCCCCGGTCAGACGGTCAAGGGACATGTCATTCTTACGGTCTCCAAAGGGTTCGACATCACCCACTTGGTTATTGCCCTCCATGGATATGCGAAGGTCTACAAACACCAGGTAGCCCCCGGTGAGGGGCTACCCGCTCCCGAAGGCTTGATGAACGGGAAGGGGACGAAAGGATTTCAATACCATGGCAACGGTCTGGCCTCCCTTTTTCAGAATGAGCAGATTCTCTGTGGCAATGGCTTTCTCAAGAAACACGTCTACAAGTTTGCCTTTGAAGTGCCTTTTCCCGCCAAAAGCTTACCAAGCACCATTGACGTTGGTAGTCCGCCCTTTTTCTTTCCGTCTTGATGCTGATCGTGGCCTAGTTTGAGAGAGGAACTATCACGTATATGCTGACGGCTACTCTCACCCGTCCGACCACAATCAGTCCGACCACGGTTCGCAGTGCCAAAGTTAAATTTCAAGATCGGATTGACATCGAGTCCATGTACAGCCCGAAATCGAGGGTCATCACATTGGAACCCATTTCCCGACGGGGAAAAGTCAAAATGGTCAAACCAGGCTCCTCCGTGACGACACAGAATACATCCAGCGCGGGTCGGTTAACCCGAAATGATACCCAAAACAGTACGACCAGTCGCAGCACGCATTCCTTGGGAAATCCGCCGCTCAGTCCGGCACCGAGCGAAGATACCGTCCAAACCAGTGCTACCACAACGAGTACGCAAAGTTTCCAAGTCGTCGACGCGGATTCACCGACCCGAAAACCCAGTCCTCAAAATAGCGACGCCCGGAGCAATACGACATCCTCCTCCGCCCACACGATCATTGCCACCACGGAGCTACCCAGACACGGCGCTCTGCCGGGAGATACAATTCCGATTCGAGTATCCATAACGCATACCAAATCAGATGTGCGGGGTATGGTGATTGCGACTTTATACCGTCAGGGCAGGGTGGACATGCATCCTCCGATTCCTTTGGCGAATCGCGGCAAAGACAAGCAAGCTGAGTATGAAGATGTCTATCCCAAGTCACGCACGGGCCTCGGAGGGCTGTATTTTGCGACTGCTTCTCCGAACAGTGTGTTTCGAAAAGACTTGGCTCAATCTTCTACGATGATGGTGGTCAATCCGACAACCATGACGGCCGACATCTCGACTTCCATCAAGATTCCCGAAACGGCCTTTCCGACCATCGCCAATGTGCCGGGGGGGATGATCTCTTTCACCTATCACATCGAAGTCGTCGTTGATCTGTTTGGAAAATTGGGCGAGACTCGATATTGGCCTCGACTGACATCGAGTGAGCCGACATTTTCGCACAGCAGTGACAACGGCAACCAAATAACGTCTGATTGGTCCCACAATATCCTCGATACCACTCCCTTACGTCGGACGAAGAGTGTCATCACGTTTGAAATGTCCCTGGTGGTGGGCACTCAAGACAGCGGTAGAAAGAGAAGGAATCATAAACAACCGGAAATCCAAAATCCTGAGTCGGTGCCGCAGTGGCCGGAAGAGAGTGGGAATGATCCATATCACCAAAATGCTGGATACGATGGGCAATATTATGATGAAATGGGCCATCCACATCAAGACGGGTTCGGGAACGGGTATGGCTACCGATACGGTTATGGGTATGGGTATGACCCGAATTCCTACCCCGATTATCCTACGCCTGCGCACGAGACCATTCCTCCTCCTAGTCAACATGAAGAAGTGGATGAGAAAGCGCGGTTACGGAGACAAGAACAATTACTACTGCCCAGCGAGCCTCCACAAGACGGTGAAAGTCCGAGCCGTACTGTTTCATACGTGCCCACAGCGCCAATTCTCCCATCAGGGGTTTTGCCTGACGCTCACGATGGCAGTGTGACACCATCCACTCTTCATCCCGCCGCATCGGTGGCATCAGCCACATCCGCAGATACCATACGACCTTATTCGACGTCTCCTCCACCAGCACCACCATCTGTTGGTGACGTCGAGGCCACCGATGATAAACGAGAATTGGAGCGGCAGCGACTACTGGCGCAGGCCAGCGCACCTCCGACAGACGACGAAGTACAGGCTTCCGGCAGCGAAAACACTCCACCGTTAGTGCCAAGTGCGCCAGCCATTAATGAGCAGGACGAATATAATGTACAAACACTGAATCATGATCATACAGGGCCGGATCTGCCGCAGTATGAGCGTTGATCTGGGCTATTTTGGGTTTTTGCCTGTTGCTTGGTTTTTTGGGTCACAGCGATGGCGCCGGAGGATTTGATTATGATCCGGGAGGAAGATCTCGAAAAAGCAGTTTTTGTCTTATTGGCAAGACCAACTCAAAAGGAGGCAATGATCATTGTGACGATTATTGATCATCTGTTGATTTATTGACGATGGGAATGGTTTTGATGTGATGTTGGATGAAATCCTTCCGGGAATATCCGGACGAATAAGCAATGTCTGAGGAATAACAGATACAGAAGTGGATGAATGGTATATGTCGCAGCGGTTACCGAAGCCTCTCGTAGTTGGAACACGTATAAGTTCGTACACACAACTAGTCCGCGTAAGGCAGGACAACGACGAAGCACGTGACTCACACTGTTGCTGAGATCTCATTGGTCCGGCTGCGCCGGTCTCTTCATCAGCCCTTTCTGATTCCTGCTTCATTCCGCTTGGCAAACCCCCCAAAAATTCGGAAACCTTCAAGCTCTGTATCTGCGTCAGTGAAATATCATTGCATACCTATCACTAGTGAAGCGCTAGCATATCCTACTTTCTCCATGAGGCACAAGGCTGCCCAGGGTGGTAGTAGGATTGAGTGGAGTGTGCTGACTATTTACCGCTGGCTGTGATTAGGCCCGAATTTTCATCCCAGTCCGCGATCCTCGATTCCTCGTCCTCCTGCTTATCTCGCCGATCCCATTTGTTCTGGAATCCTTCGCTCGCAGAAATAACTCTTTTGTCTGGCCAAGACCAAATTCTCGATAATGCTGACGATGCAAACTCCCCATTCCTAGACCGAGAGGTGGTCCAGTAACCACATGCCACGAATGCCACATTCAGCGCGGTTTTTCGAGGCAAGTATCGAATTCGCACCCTCTGGGAATCTTTTTGTGCCTGAACGCCATCAAGCAAATCGGTGTAACGTTATGACCTCGACAGGTCCCCCAATAATATGGGCCCCCGGAAGACCAGCTATCCGCGTCGCCCTTCCTGGTAGAGTGCTGGTCGCCACAGCACTCGGCCGAAGATCTGATTCTGGGGGGATTGTGATTGGCTAACCTCGTCCTAGTGCCGCTTCCTTATCATGAATTTCAAACCCGCGGTCCCTAACAATAGGCGACTCCGAATGGAACTTTGATGGTAGCACGTATACCTCACTGGTTAACAAGCTCAATTGAAGGGACGGATTGGATGCTTGTCCCGCTTCCGACCGATATGGTTCGCTTGATAAATCCTCTTCAGACCCATCCACCCTTTGAATAGGGTGGCATCGCGTTGCACGAGGCAAATTCGACGGACCGGTCGGGAGGTTGCAGATGAATAGTTCCGCCGAGATAAGCATCCTAGCTTGAAATGCTTGGGCTCAGCTTTGATGGGTCTTGACCTTCGCTTATCCTCACTTGGCTTTCTCGTTTTTTCCTTCATAAGTTGGAAATTTCCCCGGCGACCAACTTCGTTCTGGAATCTTATCCCACTCTTTCGCTCACTCATATCGCCCAACATGGTCAACACAGCCTATGGAGAGAAGGTGGAGGAGAACAAGGAGCTGCCCACTACCACGGTCAACCATGACATCGAACAAGGAACTCATTCCACCGTTCTCCGACGTGGTCTCCAAGGCCGGCATATGCAGATGATCGCCATTGGTATGGTTATTGTCTTCATCAAAGTCCGTGAGTTTCTCCCGCTAATATGTCGACACAGGGGGATCTATCGGCGCCGGTCTTTTCGTCGGTTCCGGTTCAGCTTTGCAATCGGGTGGTCCTGCTTCTCTCGTCATCGGTTTCATCATCATCGGCGCCATGTTACTCTGTACCGTGCAAGCGCTGGGTGAACTGGCCGTCCTCTATCCTGTCAACGGTGCCTTCTATGTCTACAGTGTGCGATTCCTCGACCCGGCTTGGTGAGTGGTAAACTGTCGTGCCACTTCCATCTCAAAACTGACCCGTCAAAGGGGTTTCGCCGTCGGTTGGCAATATGCGATTGGATGGTTGATCACGTTACCTTTTGAAATCACCGCAGCTGGCATAACCATCGATTACTGGCACCATTACAATATTGGAATCTGGATTGCGGTCTTCCTTTCCACTTTGATCATCGTCCAATTCTTCGGGGTCAAAGGTTATGGTGAAGGTAAGAATATTGTCTCGCTTCTCCTGAACGATTCGGTAACGATGATTAGTCGAATTCGTCCTCGGTATAATCAAGATCGTTGCCGTCCTTGGGTTCATCATCTTTGGTATCATCGTCGATTGTGGTGGTGTACCTACAGACGACCGCGGATACATTGGATTCCGGTATTGGGATGATGCTGAACACGGCAACAAGGCCTTCCGAAACGGTAAGATTTGGTCTCATGGGGCATTTCCTCCATCCCATACTGATCTCGTTGAACAGGCTTCAAGGGCTTCTGCTCAGTCTTCGTCACTGCTGCCTTCGCTTTCGGTGGGACTGAAATGGTCGGTTTGGCCGCAGCCGAAGCCGCCAACCCCAGGAAATCCCTTCCCAAGGCCACCAAGCAGGTCTTTTGGCGAATTGCCGGTTTCTATGTCGTCTCCCTGCTCATCATGGGTCTCATCGTCCCGAACAGCTCTCCCGATCTCTTGAACTCCTCGGGTGCGAACACCAAAGCTTCCCCCTTTGTGCTTGCGATCAAATATGCTGGTGTCAAGGGTCTTCCATCTGTCTTCAATGCCGTCATCACCATCTCGGTCATGTCAGTGGCAAACTCTTGCACGTATGGCTCGACTCGTACGATGCAGGCTCTCGCTCAAAGTGGAATGGGACCGAAATTCCTCTCTTGGGTCGATAAGAAGGGTCGTCCCGTTTGGCCAGTCGTCATTCAAATGGTATTTGGTCTTTTGGCCTTTATCAACGAAGCCGAAGACGGCGCGACGGTCTTCAACTGGCTCCTCGCCTTGACCGGTCTGTCTTCCTTCTTCGTCTGGGGTTCCATCTGCCTCGCTCACATCCGCTTCCGTCAAGGATGGAAGTCTGCCGGCCGTACCCTTGAAGACCTACCCTTCAAGTCACAACTCGGCGTGTACGGATCGTACGTCGGCGTCTTCCTCGTAGCCATCTGTCTCGCAGCCACCTTCTACATTTCTCTCTTTCCTATTGGAGGAAATCCCGACGCCGAGGCTTTCTTCGAAAGCTACATCGCCGCACCAATTGTGTTGGCCCTCTTTGCTTTCTGGAAGGTGTGGACCAAGGACACGAGCTTTGGTGTCAAGACTATAGATATGGACCTCGATACTGGGCGAAGGGACTTTGAGGAGTTGCCTCCACAGGAGGAGGAGAGAAAGATGAGTGTCGGCCGTAGATTAAGTAGAGCCATCTTTTAAATATCCGTGGGAGTGGTAGATCCCAAGAACGGAGAAGTGTGTTGTTGATAAGTAGTCCAGCCGTCGGGGCAAATATCGAAAAGTCTAACTTGGCCAGTGGATGACATGTTTCTGTGTGAAGATAGATGAGTGACATATGCTTCCATTGGAGGAAGAAGCGAGTTAGGCCAACCGATTGATCTGAAGTTCAGGCAGCTTGTGCATGCTGCCACAAGGGGCTCTAAGTTTTGAAATATACGAGCCATATCGGTCCGCTTACCAAAAGAACTCCAATGCTGCCCGTGGATTTCCGTGTGCGCCATGCAAAAGTATGGCTTTGTGTCACTCGGTGCCCGTCGGTGAGTCTCGAGCGCCTATTTGCTCTTCTCTTCTCCTCTCTTCTCTCTTGTTGGAAACCCTATCCCTCCTCAAACCCAATTCCCCGTCCCTGAGCGGCAGGGTGTGGTTGATCTTTGGCCTAAGGGTTTGATGTTTGTAAATCCCCACCCAATGGCTGTCTGCAATTGCCATGGACACTTAGGTTGGAAAGAAGACCCAAACAGTGTTGACCAACATAGACGCCTGTTCGATCGTCTCTAATAAGGCGCGGTCGATGGCAAGCATTCCTGCAGGTCGAGTGCTGAAGCAACAAGTCAGTAAGTGGCCTTCACCTACGTTGAGTCCTTGGTCCCACGATGAAGGCGTCCTTTCGTCCCATATCACGAGAAAGAGGTTGTCGTCAGGGCAAGATCAGGTCATGTAAAGGTCGTTCGAAGTTGGGCTCGAGGACTCTGGTTGTCATAGATGTGGATTGAATGCCATTACATCGTTGTATGAAGCGTGGTACTTCTTTCCTAATCCATCTCAGTTTGTATTCATTGGCGACTTTCCATACAGCACAAAGAGGAGAGCGCCATCATCGCTATCCTGTCTTCCTGCACCAAGATGAGCTGAAGTATTGTACTTGAGCTGAGACCACAACCTGCTGTCGAGGTCGAGGCCGAAGCTTGCCTGATTATGCCGCACTAGACGTCAGTTCGGTTTCGAACTGAAAACCGACAGGTCAGGATACCATGTCCAGTCGTAATGCATGTCGAACCTCATCCCAGACAAGGCTCAATCTATATGCGGAAGGGCGAGGGTGCCAGTGACTAGACATGGCAATGCTGAGTGAAAACAAGCGAAAAAAGAACACCTTAAGAAAAGAAGCAAAAGGAACAGAGGAAATTCGGGCATCAAAAGAAAGATTTTTCCCCTTGACAACTAGGCGGAAGAAATGATTTCCTTCTCGTTGACGAATTGAGTGCCTGCAGGTATTTTCTTTATGTTAAAAAAAAAAAAAGGTAGAGCCTACGTAAAGCGCCCTTTGATGCGTAGCCTAACGGATCGAGAGTCAAGACCCAGTGAGCCACAAGCCCCATTCCTTTCGGATATGGTAATTTGCGCGCCTACTTCGACAGTGGAAAGAGTTGGGTGGTTACGACGATGTAAGATCAACACCCTTTCGGGGGAAGTGATGACGACGGAACATGCAAGGCTGTCCCATCGGAGCAGTCGCTCTGAGGGTCGAAATGTGAAGTTGAAGACAGCCCTGTCATAAACGGGGTCGAGAAGATGCGCGAGGAAAACTTCTCGTATTTGATGGTGGGTTGACAATGAAAAAGATGAGCTCTACGCGGCTCGTTGCATCGGCCCGCGTATATTGCCTACGCGGCAGCCAATCAAGCAAGAAGAAGAAAATTCTCCGACAGATGTGGATAAGGGAACATGCGGTGGCTGGCCTGGCGTATTCGAAAAGATGGCTCTGAGCAAGCCGGATAATATATCATCGTCTGTTCCTTTTTCGCTTCGGCATGAAATTCGCCATCGTCTGGTCCCATCATCACTTTTGTCTGTGCTTTCGTTCTATCCTCGATAAACCCTCAAAGCAATCTTTTCCTTTCCCTGGTATTGAATATCTCTAATACGTTATTTCGTGGGTAATTCCCGGCCGTATGAACTTGCAGACGGTTTCCATAGACTGATGAACACTCGTTCAAAGACGAGGGATGGATCAAACGCCAAAGAGTTCTTTCAATTGTCGCATGGTGTCTTGCGGGTCTTTGACAGCATGGCCAATGGTTCGGGGATCGGTATAAATTTCCCAATCATTACCACCCTTGAATGCTTTGTCGCCGAAGAAGTGAATGTTCTTGTAGTGGATACCAGAAAGTCCCTTGGTGGGATCAGCTTCTGCTTCCACATGTCGCAGGCAATAAGTCTTGTCCCATCCCGCTGGGAAAACATCGAAAGAAATTTGCCCCCCGATAGAGTACCTTCTCACTCGGGTCAATCTGTGCCTAATGTTTTGAAGAGCAGCCGATTCTTACGTGAGTCCTAAGTCGGGAAACTCCTTCTCAATCGCCTCGATCATCTTGAGTCGGCAACCGGTGTTTTTGTCCCAAGCTTCAAACTCGTCTCTTTCCGCTTTGCTGGCATTTCGACCGACCGGACTGACATTGATCATGCCATTCCGGAACTCAATAAAAGTCCCACGCATTGCGGGAAGCCCTTCTAGTTCAGAGAGGTATTTCAAGCAGAATTTGGCCAGCTTCTGGTATTTTTCTTCTCCGATCCATTGAATGAAGGAGTAGGAGGGAAGTTGTTGACCCAAGCGGTAGGCAGTCAGACCGTTCTCGGCGAAGCAGAAATCGAAGAGGGTCGTCACCGGAAGGGAGGGTGTTCCGAGTTGTTCTTGTTGTTTGTTAAGATCTGAACCACCAACCTCGTGTTCCAGTCAATCCCAGCCCTGAGCATTGAAATTACTGTCACTTACGAAGCCAATGGCACATTTGTGTCTCAATCTGTCCAATGTCTGAAGCATCTTAGCTGAGACAGCCTGTCGAGCTGGTGTGAGGGTGCCATCGACATCGAATAGACAAATGGTCTCCTTGACAGGCCGATCCTTGAGATCGGGGTAGAGTTCCGCCATGATTGAAGGATCGAAGAGAGAGAATGAGGCGGAACGCGTAAAGGGCTATTGGAGAAGGAGAATCTCTAGACATAAGCAAATACAGAGTAGGAAAATGAGAAAAAAAGGGAGAGCTCACCGTAACTTTGGGGTAACCCGCCTCCGGTATGGTTGCCTCGTTTGGCAGCCCGCCACGTTTAACCTTGTCTCCTCTCAGGGACGTCACACATTTTCCAAGACTTTCCCAAAACCAATCCTTTTGCCTCAGTGCACGCCTTCTCCTTCAAGCAAATTTTGCCTGCCACTTTTCTCTTCATTCCCCGTTCTGGCCCCTCTCACCCTTCGGACCTCACAAGATGACTACTTACTTCGGATCTTGCGATGCCTCACCCGCATATGCTACTATGTCAAGATCTTCCTCAAGTACGGGTACATCAAGAGAGACCTCACCCATGGAGGGACTATTGGAGGCTCCTATCCATCGGTTTACCGGAATTCGAAATCTCCAAAAAGATGTCAGATCACAGTCTGCCGAGTTGCAAGCTGGTCGCTCAAATCAGCAGTATCTTATTTTTCGAGGTGTCACAAAACGCCATCTTGCTGAGATAGACCGTAAGCGCGCTAGCATAGGAAAGCATACTCGGATGACACATCACACGAATACCGATCTATTGATTGTCAAGCTGATGCCCTCCGCGAAACATGAAGCAGCGCATCTTACACTAGCTGATGATCTTAACCACAAGCTTGAAGGGATGGGCATACCGAAGCGAAGCTTGTTCCCTCTCGGTGGAACGAGGTTCTCCGGCTCTAGCTCCTCCAAGGAGGGAGATGCAGCAAATAAACCCCGCTCCCGGAGCCAGGAAACCGATTGGCCCACAATCGTTTTTGAGTCTGGACTGTCTGAAACGCTTGCTCGCCTGAGACATGACGCAGGATGGTGGCTTGCCAACTCTGAAGGGAGTGTGAAAATTGTTATTATCATCTCAATAACGCCAGAAGAGAAGAGGCTGCAGGTTGAAAAGTGGTGCCTTTCTCAAGCCACTACACAGAGGCCGACTACTAGAGCACACCCGAATCCCAGTCCATTAGTTCCGACAAGAATGCAAGAGATTACCATTACCCAAAATCCCACCTCCACAACAAATTCCACCGCTCAGCCAGGTACCACCATTCAGCAAAGCACCGCCACATCATGTACCGTCGCTGGAGCGCCTCTGATACTAGAATTTGAAAAACTTCTTCTCCGAGCACCCGTACCGCCAGAAGACAACGTTATCCTCACTGCAACAGATCTTTCGGACTGGGCGAATGATTTCTGGAGTATTCTCAGGTAGAGAGATCGCAGGAGGTTGTGACAAGAATATCAGGAGAACGTATTGTGGGACTGGCCGCCTGGCTATTCCTATGAATGCGCAATGATTCGTTGGATGGCTGTCGCATGTGATATAGAGTACAGTGGAAGTGCCACCGCTTTTCAAGGGGCTTGGTTTGGTATTTCCGAGGGATTCCCATTCAGGCACCTTAGATGGTAGCGTTGAAGAATGCGCCTGGTTTCGACATTGTACCAAGAGAGTCGGATACGAAATAGCATGTACATAAATTATTACTTCTCCGACTTCTCCGGAGCGCTAGCAACATGTCCTGCACAACATGACTGTTTTTTTATTCTCGTCGAGCTGGGTTGGACCGAGGTCCCAGATTAGGTCTCCCCTGGCATGGAGAGAAAGGTGCCACCTCAAGCAGCGGCAGAACCCTCTCGATTTGGCGGCACTTTTCCTGACCACCTGCGTTGTGGTGTAAAGTGCAGGGATTGGTTAAATAGGACATGGAAAGCGTGTTTTCCACTGAATCAAGCCGTATGTTGCTTGCGGCTCACTTTTGGTGACTTGGGCTAGGGCTTCTGCCAGGAATGACCGAAAGATACCCATTGGACTGTTTTCCACATCGGCGGTTGTGAGCGATGGGATCGACCCTCCCAATCTTAGCCCTTCAAGCACGGCTTGGATTCCTTTGGACGTAAGCGTTGCGATGGTAGCTGTGCCCGAAGGTCGCAGAGAGATCCCCACAACGGAGCCGTGGTCCGGATTCGTGGGAGAAGCTACAGTCAAATATGGTTGTTCCCTCCAATACGTTGAGATCGCTGAATCGAGACGTTCGATGATTCACCTCACCACTTTGCCAGTGATGAAAGAAGTGCCCGCCGCATGCTCTGAATCGACCCCGTGTCTTCGGGTAGCGTCCTTTGGTTACCGTCTCTGGATCCCCCCGGAAGCAGCCCTTTTCAATAGTCGTCCAGACTGAGGATTGAGACCGGAATCTTTGAGGTCCCTTGGCAAAGTGTGGCTTCGACCAATAATCATGACCTCCTCCGCGTGATAGAAGCACACCAATGGCCTCGAATAATACACGCTCGTCGTCAAAAACTTGATCACAGCCTGGACGTGACTGGACTCATGACATTTCAAAGTAAATGTAACAAAATGCCGGTCTCTATGCTTCGTCACCCATCTATAACCTTCAAATGCCATTGTCCGGATGGGGGAAAAGGAACTTCCACATCCAGAAAACGAACCATAGCAAAGATGAGACATGGTAGATAGTTGCTTCAGGTCGGAAGTGATGAATTCGATGATCGTCGTTGTTCGGTCTCGCTGCCCGACGGCTCTCCACCCTCCGTCTCCACATCTGCCCAGGTGTCGCTCGATCCATAATATTGACGGAAGCGTAATACGATGGAACCACATGTCCTCAAGCTAGCAGACCAAAACAGCTTTACCGAGGGGCCGAGGGCTTTTTGCCGATACAGAATTTCATGTGGCTGGAAACGATGAATGGCGGCTCCCAGGAGGCCGAACGCAATCGTCAAAAGCAGGAATGACACGGAGGACTGGGGTATGAAAGGGAGAACGCTTGCATTCATCGAGAAGATTCCCGCCGTCAACGCGACGGGGTAGATGCACTTCGAAGCCGGATTGTTAGAAGACCGAAATGGATCATTTTCCGGGAGAGTCATGGGCCTACCATCATGGTGACCGACAATCTTTGATTGTCTTGTGTCACCTGGTTATTGTCCTTGGTCAATTGGTGGGTAAATTGTGCCAACTCAAAGCTGGCTCGAGTCATATCGTTACTTGCTTGAGCCAGATCGTGCTGATGGCTCCCCAGTTGATTTCCATGAAGACCGATATAGAATTGGAGCTGGGCATACAAGATACTGGTCAGCCATCCTGCCAAATATATGCGAAACTCCCACTCCCCCCCCCCCCCCCCCACACACACAAAAAGGTGCACGCTTACTTCTTTTTCAAACACACGACATTGTGTAATCATGAATTCAAGTTTTTTTTCCAGCGACTCCAGTCGGTCGAACGTTGTTTGTATGGCAGAGAGCGAAGAGCGAGCAGGGACCGACTCCGCGACATCCCGAAAATTGACGATAAAATGAGAGGAAGATCGTTCCCAGGCGTCCACCGTCTTTGATAGGCCATTCAAGAGAATTGTGAGGATTTTCCTGGCTTTGGTAACCCAATTGAACGACTTCCGAATTCTCTCGTCATATTCTTTAAGTTCTCCTTGGGCAGAAAAGCGCTGAGCCAAGGGATATTCATGGCTCTAGGCGGCCGGTCAGCAAGTAAGCTTGGACGTTGAGAGGAAACCCCCCCCCGCTTTTCTCAACGATGAAGAAATCTCGCCGACTCTGGTCCGCAAAAAGGTGAAGATCCAGGAAGACTTACCTGCTCGTATTTGCGAATACTCTTGTTGACTTTGTCGACGACCAGCTCCCATTCGCTCTTGACTTGGTCGATCCGAATTCTGAAAACCTTCAAAAAGAATTCTCGGGCCTTCTCGATCGGCTTTTCAGCGTCGGCGTTGCCATGCTCTAACGGATCTGCGTGCATCCCATTCATGCGGTCGCGGTGGTATTGTAGCACGGTTTCGCCGTCCTCGCCATCGTAGTACGAGTCGACGAAGCAATAGGCAACCCATCGCCATTCATCGAATCCGGCCAACACACAGGAGATTTGTGCCTCGTAAATAAAGGCTTTGGATCCGTCGCACTCACAATTCAGCAAGGACACATCTTTCACGTGCCTCAAAGGTTCCCCGTGTTTATCGAAGCGATGGTCATGGCATGGCTCTGCCGAGGTTCTCCATACGTGGTAAGGCAGATGGAATGCTAGTTGGAACGTGGGCCAACCGACAGACTATCACTTACATGTGCTTAGCATCCATGGACCAAACCATGGGAGGAGCCTCGCAGGCTGGGTTCACCTACTGAAACCGTTACTTCAATGGAGCCTTCAGCCCCTAGGTAATTATATAGAGCACTGCGGAGGGCCGGTTGTTGGTGGACCGATGCCGTCCCGACTAACGCATAGACAGTCCAACAGTCTAAATCGTTGACGAATCTAATGGTTTGTTAATATTCCCGCGAACAACCACATGAGGCGGGGGCCCAACACACATCAGCCGTCGTTCAGCATCGGGCTCATCCTCATCCTTCTCTTGGTCTTCCCGTTGCCTTTCGGCGGCTGAGCAGGGCGCCACTTCCCCGCTTCCGCTACCATCAGTATTCGGAGCATTTTCGTGGCCCGATCCGACCTCCCGAAATCTCTGGTTCGAACTTCCATATTAGCGTATCTTATTCTACCCCCCCGGCTGGGGGACACAATGTACGGAGAAAGACAACTTACCGGCTTCTTCAGCTGGCGGTGGAGATCATGCGCGGTCAAGAGCCCACGGTAGGGTCTTGAACGTTCCACTCCACCTTCAGAGCTCCTCTCGTCCAACCAAGCGACGAAGGGGAGGGATCTCGGGCCTTTCCACGTCTCTGCGGCCAACAAATCCAGATCCCCTCCCCAGGCAAAGTCGTCCACCTTGTCCGCCTGCGGCTGACACAATTCGGACTTGTCGGAATCTTGCATGAAGTCTCGAATCACGTTCTTCTCTTCACCGCCCCCCGTCCCAGCTCGGGCATCGCTCTCCTCGTCACGGAGCGCGGTACCAGGAGCGAGGTTGTCGTCGACCGATACCTTGGCCTTCGCTTCCCACTCAAGCCAGGTTATGTTCTCGCTTCCACGCAGGCCAGCGATGTCTCGACGAGCCTGGAAAATCTGGTCCCATTCGGAGGGACGGGGGTCCAGGACACCACCAGACTTCGGTGCATGTCCCAGACCGGTTCCTTTCTCCGCACTTCTTTCCCGATCCCTCATGTTGCCAGCTGTGATTGAAAATATCAACAGGGAGGACGAGTAGAAGCAGTTGAGGAAGGGTTGAGACCAGAAACAATGTCACGCATGGAGAAGGACTAGATGCGGAACGAGGTGAGAAGGTTCAGGGAAATTCAGGATATGAGGACTGAGCTGCATGGCTTGGAGTCGAGGCAGGATGTTGAACGATGGGACTTCTTAACCTGCCCGTGCAGAACGTGGACTTCCCAGTCTGGTGTTTGGACGTGCCACGAATCATCGCGACAGCGCCCAATCCAAGAGCGACTAAATTGTTGCCTTGAAGCAACAAACTGGACATTGCAAACTTTTTGGATCCCGCGACAGAAGCGACGACGAGAACTATGTACAAAGAAGATGGCCAAAAACCTCGCCGTGAGTGTCTTCCTGTTGGATACCGAGTCATCTCACCACCTTCTGAGTCTTGCAATTTGAACACCTTGCGTGTTGACATTTCGGACAATTGGCCGTCGTGATCCCTATCGGGGTGTTTCCGCATTTACACTGTCTCCCGGAGTCAGCGTTCGAGGAGCTCTGGACGGATGTGACCAGGAGTCTCACACAAGACCACACGAACAATACCTTCTTCTTGCCCTTCGTTGGGGGCACTTTTAGGAACCGTCGCTGGCGAACGATTGATGACAAGGGCGGCCCAAGCAGACGAGGCGGCCACCATGGGCAAGTCCGACCAAGTCCATGTCCATGTGGCCGACTGTGTATGGAGCCGAATTCGGGTTGCTTCGTTGGGGGCCAATAACATTCCGTTGCCTTAGGCACATCTGCAGCAGGCGGCCAAATCGGACGCTCGGCTTCATTGGGCGCCCTAGAGAAGTTTGTCTATTTATGAATCAGACCCATGTCAAACTTTGCAGTCTCATCGACGTACGCTCATTTCGATCTAGCGCAGCTGGAGAGCAGAGAGTAATTGACACATTTGAGATATAGGGGCATTGCTTCGGCCTCCGGCAGAGATTCTTGGCACCACAGACCTCGAATGGAATCGTGTCTTAATCTTCGAGCTACTAGGCTCAATTGGTGTTTAGGCAAGTCTCTGTGGTATCTAAACTCGTACAACTTCCTTCTCAACTGATGCTCTCCGCTTTATTCCGGTTATCAATCATTTTTCCGGGTTGTGTAACCATTATCTCGAAGCTGGGTGCCCTAGCCAAGCGAGAACCGTTAAGGTGAAACAGGGCTATCAGGGTATCGGCCCGGCATCCGCACACACTCTGCCCCTCTGTTGGACTCGTTTTTATGTCCCTCGGCCTAGTGTGAAGATTATGCAATTTTTGACAAAGCATAGGAAATTTCCAAGCCATATATACATTGACGGCCTTGGACATTGGAGTCTGGCTGGTCGATGCTACTGGCAAGCCATTGATTTCACTGCTCAAACATCGACCCAACAAAAGATATGAGCCAGCTTCAACCAAGGCCCGGATGAAGGGTCGTCGTCATCGATATCACATTGAGGTTTTGAATCGACCCAATCCAGGCTATTTGAAAATAAACCAAAAGTTCAGTTTCTTCCTCCTTCCCTCTTCCTTTCTCATAACTCCGTCATGGCTACCGACGAAAACCTCTGGTCCAGCGTGCCCTGGCAATCATTCCCACCGAACTCAAAACCATTAGCTTGGCATAAACACCGTGTCCCCTACACGGAGCAGGCAAATGCACTCCAGAACCTGGACGTCTGGATTCCCACGTCGTCGTCGTCCCGTGAGCCAGCCAACCTCTCCTCGATCAGGGGCCTCTGGGTAATCTACATCCACGGCGGGGCATGGAGAGATCCGCTCGTGACATCGGCCTCATTCACGCCCACGATACGATGTTTGCTGGGTCGAACGCAATGGGACAACCCTTCAACCTCCAAAATTGCGGCGTTCGCATCGATAAATTACTCTCTCTCTCCGTACCCCAACCATCCAACCGATCCTTCACCGCCGAAAGACCCCTCTCGAGCCGCTGACCGAAGCCGCACCGCGAGACATCCGGCGCACATCCTCGACGTTCTCCATGCCCTGGCTTTTCTCCAGCGCAAAGCGGGATTCGGCGGCAATTATATCCTGCTCGGCCACAGTTGCGGCGCGACGCTGACAATTCAGGTCCTGATGGACGCGACGAGATGGGGAGATGGAGCAGCTTCGGCTCTGAAGGGCGACAAACCCAGAGCCGCGTTGGGATTGAACGGATTGTATGATTTGCCTGGCCTCATCCAGGATCCGGGTGAGAAGCATGCGCATTTAATTCCCATATATGCCGAGTTCACGAAAGGGGCATTTGGAGAGGACGAGACGGTGTGGAAGGACGTGAGCCCAGTGTCTGTGTCGGATTGGACCAACGAATGGGGACGGGCAGAGCGGGAAGTCGTCCTCGTCCAGAGTGGAGAGGATACCTTGGTGCCCTATCGGCAGTTGGAAGGGATGAGAGAGGGGTTTAAATCGGCCGGGCTCAAAGTCCTTGAAATGCATGCGGACGGTGATCACGATGAGTTGTGGGAGAAAGGTGATCGGTTGGCGGAGATTATCCACGAGATGGTTACGATGTTGTAAAATGGAGGTGCTTCTCCTGAATGGAAATCGACCGACAACACGCCGCCCATGGATAGTGCCAGCAATAGATTCTCCATGATCATGCTCCCTGCCCCCGGTTTCATGTCATGTTCCACGCACTCTCATTATCCAAGGAAAAGTTCTCGGAAATCTGCATGGCAAAATTATCCCAACCAAACAGACCAAAATCGAACCCACCGCCGCTTTCGATCGGCAACTGAGTCACGTCCGGCATCTGAAATTGGGGATGAGAAGCACCACCGTGGTAGTCGAACTCGCCGAACCTGGCACCAGCCGTCGGATCCGTCTCGGAAGTGGAAGCACCATCCGCAGGACCCCTGGGAAGCGTTCCGGGGGACAACCTAGCCTGTGATCCCGCGACGCTACGACTCACATCCAGCGTCAGTATCTGATTGACATACCTATTATTCGATCGACGTTTCTCACGGGACAAATGCTGCCGATGCCGCTGTATGGCGTCTGCAAATCCCGTAAGGATCTCATAGTAATGTTCGGCTTGAGGACTATGTTCAGAGAGTTTCTTGAGGACTTCCCGTGCGCCGTTGAATGATTCGTCCATGTCATATCGCGCTTCTCGTTGTGCAAACATGGAGAAGCCCAAGACCAAACCGGCGGCAAACATCCATGCCCTGGAAAACCAAACCATTGATTAGTTTGTAAAAAGCAGATGGCTCGAAAACGGTTTGACCGAACTCACTTCATTATGCACATGTTATTCAGCAAGATCCCGGATTGGAGAGCTTCGTAACACATTTGGGCCATGTATATAGCGGAATCGATGCAGGCTTGAGCCAGATTGACCACGTCGGGCGGATCCTTTGTGGACGTGGTGACGGGGTCGGGAGTCTCCGCCGCGTTCCCGGGGAGATGTGACATCAGATGGGTGATCAAGAACGGTCGCGTCACCAACATCACCGCAAAGTAATAGACACAGGACACGTGGATACTGCCGATGATCTGCTCCCGGTCCAGCAGTGTCAAAGGTGAATCGGGATTCTGGGAGAATTGACGAATATCACTGGGTAGACTGGAGCTCCAGTCTTGGAGACGTCGGAGAAATCTTTCGGCAGCGGCTGGTTCGATGCATGAATTCGCCGAGTCGAGCCTTTGAATGATCTCGGCAATGACGGACGACGCTCCAAAGCTCGCGTTCAATGCGAGATCACGAGGCTTGCCCACATGGATATGCATGCTGCTGAATGAGGCACTATCAATCCGGATGGCCGGGGTTGAATATGGTCGCCCGAGAATTGAATGAGAAACAACGTCCATGATTCGAAGGCTTTTGAGGGTACGCAATCTGATCATTTCATTAGCCGGCATGAACTCGGCAATGAGAAGAGTGCCAGCTCGCTCACCGTATGCTCTGATCACGTATACTGAAATGGCGATACTGTTCAGTCACATGGAGACCCAATGTCGTGGACGCCTGGCTTGCCACACCCAGGTACATCAGCGCGGCGTTTCGTCGACAAGCGCCAAACATATAAAACGCCAGAAGAAGAAAACATCGAACCATGTCAAGACACGGATCTTCAAGAGCAGCGGCAAAAGCGGTCTTTTGTGCGCGCGAGAAATATCGAACGGCATATCGGAGATCCAACGAACTGGACGCGCGACATTGACCTCCGATGGCAATAATAAGATCAAGAGCCGCTTGGGTATAGTCGGGACCACCATGGTTCATGGGAACTCTCGTAGTCAGGAGTTCTTCAATCTCATCTCGGGAAAATAAATCGAGAAGACCATTTGTCTGTTGTGATATTTGTCAGCTAGAATCCCCCTCTCTCACACACACACAGTTGTAAAAGGCCGGACGTACCGCAGCAAAGTAAACATCAACCAAGGGTCGTTTCTGCATCTCGTCTTCTATAAAGTGGCTGTTCGTATCTTCTGGAGTGTTGACTTCAAGCATCACATTTCGGCGAGTGTTCTCCGTGAATATCGACGGACCCATCTGCTGTCTGATGATATGACGGAGGAACTGTAGAAATGAAAGAGAAGCCGTCTCTCCGACATAGACTACAACAGTTAATTTGATTCGTATCGTGGGTCAAAAGTACTACCGACCTTTCTCTCCTTTGGAGTTCAGTAATAGACGCCCCCTAGTGAGCCGTTGAGGCGTCGCCGCAGGCTCATGGAGTCGCGCAGTAGCATATTGAGGACTTCCCGCCGATGGATCCGACTCCTCCACCGACAAGGCATGGGAACTCTGCGGTTCATGAGTTGATGAGTTGATGAATTTCCGACGACCATCATCAGGCCTGACGTGCATGGAGCCGGCATACACGCAAGAAGAGGTGGATCTTCGTCTGACACAGTTGGAACATGGCTGTTGGGCGTCACATCTTTTCTTGGAAGCTTTGCAAGGTAAACAGGCTTTGGCAGCTCGTTGCCGATCTTCGGGGCGGACCCTTGGTCGAGGCATCCCTCGTGAGTTTGATCATAAAGACTGAGACACAGATACTTTGTTACGGTCTCGGGGAAGCCAGTGGTGACTAAATTGTAAACCTCGTTAGTCAATCCCCGAAGGGACAAGACATGTGGTGGTGGCAATCTACAATACTAGGCACGATAACGATTGATATGAGGGGGGCCTAGCCCAGTTAGTCTTTAGTCGCCCAAAAGAAGCTAGGGTTATGGGGTAGGATTTTAGGCTGCCCATGCCCGTATTGAGAGCCTTAGGGGCTTCCACAGACAACATAAACACCCTATGCATTACAATCCTTGAACTCGCCCAATTTAAACAACCTCTTTGCATTATCTCTCCCTATTTTCTTCCTGTCAACCTCATTAATCTCCGCCTTGTCATACCACTCACACGCATCCTCATACTTCTCAAACGGATAATCAATAGAGAACAAAATCCGATCAGGCCCGACTTCCGTGAGACAGAAATGTAGGGTGGGCGTCGAAAAATGACCACTCGTGGTGATCCAGATGTTCTGCGCAAAATACTCGCGAATGGTCTTCTTGCACGTCTCTTTCAAACCAAGCGGTTTCTTCACGTCCTCGAACCAGTGATTGATACGCCACAGGTCGAAAGGTAAGTGTTCGCCCAGATGGCCGATGACAATCTGCAGTTTCGGATGACGGTCAAAGACACCATTGGTGACCATGCCCAGGAGATGCAGACTGACGCCCTGCGCGAAACTCAACGGGGGGCCGACCAGCCATTTTCTCGCCGCCCACAGTTTCTCGTACATTGTGCCTGTCGGGTTTCGTGGATGGAGGTAAAAGGGGACGTCGAGCTCGGTGACCGTGGACCAAAAGACGTCCCATTCTGCCGCGTCGTAGAAAATCATGTCCTCTCCGTCTGGACCGGCGCGTTGGGTGTCGTTGACCAAAGCACCTTTGAAGCCATACTGCGTCACGCAGCGTCGGAGCTCTGCTGCGGCGTTCTGAGGATCATGCATTGACAAAGTCCTGACCATGTCAGCTCACATTATGTTTCCAAACACGGCAAGGGCCAACAGACGCAAACGCACCAAGCCGATCTGGATGTTGCTTGATCATCTCCGCGACATAGTCATTGATTTCCGCCGCCAGAGCTTCGGCCTCTTTCTTGTCGAAGATGTCCTGCACACCAGGCGCGGTGTACGACAAGATCTGAAATCCCACGCCATATTGGTCCATGTACTTGATTCGAATGTCGGTGATATCGTTGATTTCAACGGTATGCTTTTCCGGGTTGACGGCGAACATTGATGCCCACCACCTTGTCTTCTCTGCGAAGCGTGGTAAAGCAAATGCTTCTTCGAGCGCTACTTTTCCCAACATGATGTGTCTGTCAAGAAAGACTTGACTGTGAGAGAGACCAAAAGGGGGCGCATGAAGTAGAGTATGTCCTTTCCTCCGATCTTGGGAGCGACAATGGTTCTTGCTTATCAAACTGGAGACTCCGCATGTATTATCTTTCTATTCTTTTGTTTCGAATCTGAATGGTTCGTACACAAGTCAGATAAATATGAAGCTGCATCATCGATTGACATTTCGGCAAAGGGTTCAGCCACCGAAGTGAGGAGAAGGCGGGATACTGCGGCTAACGCACCGTGCAACACCCGACTACTCCCCGATCTTAATCAGATTGCATCTGCAATGCCCATTCCCGACTGAGAAAGGCCACGACAAAAATTCTTAGGCACAGGATGATCATAGATCATTGTTTTCGCCGCGCTCAGGGCATGAAGGAGATCGTCGGCTGCCTTGACCCGCATTCCAAAGACGATTTCCCGAAGTCCACCGTGGGGGACTTCTAGATCTTACTCCTAATGCAGCCATCGAAATCGGGGGCGAGTCGGACTCGACGGTCGTCTACTCCCCCTGCCGCAGCGGCGAGGTCAACTCATTCTACTATTTCTTCCCCACAGCAAAGAGCGATCACGCATCGGAAGGTTGGAACCATGAAGCGAGCGTCGAGGAACTCCTGGCGCCATCTCGCCCTATTGAAGAATTCCCATGACATCAAACACCGGCGTTTCTTCGTGCCTCAGCCACACTCTCACTGGAGAGATGGAAGAACGTGTCTACTCGGCGACGCTGCACATTCGATGCCGCCGGATCAGAGCCAGGGCGCCTGCCAGGCCATCGAGGGGATGAACGTATGAGATGAAGCTTCATGTTGCTGAGAAGGCAGTAGGGATGGTTCCGTGATGGTGGCCAAGTCGAGAGCCAGATTGAATGCACCTGGGCAGTTTGCCAGGATGTGAGAGGAGGGCAATTAAAGTGTCGGCAGGTATTTCATGGTGTTTTCATCTGGTATTTGCGAGAGACGAGGATTGCGGCGTCAATTTCGAGATATAATCCCACCGCTTGACTTTCCATGAAGAATGGAGTGCTGCCCACAACCTATTCCGAGGACTTCTTCCGGCACCAATCTGTGCCGGTGAAATAGTTAGGACAGGGAATGAATCGGACCAATTCCATCAGTACACTCATCATTCCCTGCGCGCATGCTTACCCACTAATCTTCGTGAGATGATGGCCGTTCTTACCCTCAGGCCCCGGCACGCGACTCTGCTATTTTTCAATCTGATTGGTGTTAAGAGCACTCAAGAAATAAATAAATCGTAGGGTTTACCACATGCGAGCCGCATTCGACCATTTTTCTCGACTCCTCATGTCACATTCCTCGATAGCCATCCGATATCGAGCGAAATCTCCCAAGCGCTCGATCCCCGTCTCGTGGGATGGCAGGGTTAGACTCCATCAGAAGCCCCATCACTGGATATGCCAAGCAGATGTTCCTCAAGTATATGTTCGAGGGAATACAGAAGGCGATGACGGAGGAGTTCGAGGAACGGGTGTGTTCCATGTCTCCACATTCGCGCAGGCATCGCATACTTAGTGGGGTAATTGGCGTAATACAGGAGAAACCGTGGGGTACTGAGAAGCAAGTGGAACGGGGTCCGATGTAAGGCTATGAAGCCACCGCGTATTGCAGAAAAAGGTCATGATGCTCGTGGAGGAGTATATGATGGACGGTCATCATGGTCCAGCATGTTGAAGAATAAGCTGTTGGGGATTGACTTGCAAGGGAGAAACCAGGATGTTTTGACACCATCGACGTTGAGCTGAGTCCGATACGCGGATTGGCTTTTTCGGGGGCTTTGTCACTGTCTGAGGCCATTGCTGGCAAAATTTTCGGCATATGCTCATCGCTTTGTAGTGGTCTGAGATTGCTGCTGACAGATTCCTCCGCATTTCTTTCCGACCATGAACGGGAGAGTGATTTGATTGCCGACTTTGCCTGCTTCAATGGAAATAGAGGTTTCCTGCAACGGAAGAACACATGGAGTGATGACCTCGTCAACGAGTTGTTCCTGAGAGATTGGGCTGGTCTCCGGCTGTAGTAGCATTCCAGAGAACAGGAGGATAATGGATTAGCGAACGATATGAGTTTAGGTGAGAGAGCCAAGTGATGCTGAATCCATCTCGGACTCGGGTGAATAAGGAGCTGCACGGTTGTACCACATCCGGGCGACATTCGACCAATTCTCGACCTAGCATATCATCTTCCTTATGGGCATTTGGCAGCCAGGAAATTTTCGAGGCATCCAATCCAAGTCTCATGAGAAATGGGCCTAATACATTCGATCCTAGTGTAATGGGAAGTGAGCCCAGATGGGGAGAGTTATATTGATGTTTCGTCCTCCGTGTTTCCCGGCAATTTGTCCCATCAGACACGGCTTCCAAAATTCCAGCGAAGCCCGAAGTGTAGAGAAATTCTCAGACTTTACGCTCCGGCAGCACCCATAGACCCTAGGGATTTTCTTCAGCTTCATCACAGTAAATGCTTGGAAAAGGTACACCGGCTAACCAGAGATACTGAGTCGATCTATAATGTTGCTGCTTGCGGTCGAATGCTGAGTCAAGTCAACCCCAGGATAGCTCGTATTCTCTATCCAGGCTCCAATATTACAAAAACCGCTGCTAGAGAAGGCCCCTGTACTCAGGATGTGAGCTCCACTGCATTGGCAGTTGCAGTGACAGTGAAAAGCGATATCGCGACGTGAGCTGTCACCGGAGCGCGTACTCGCATGGCGCCAGCCTGAGCCTGTCGGAGACCATGACGAATGGCTGGAAATGTGGCTCCTATTTGAAGAGCTGTGATCGCGAGAATGTGCTGGTGAGGTCTGGGAGAGACGCAATACTGTGACAGTCGTCAACTACAATCCATGACGCAGCAGATTCCGGAGGAAAAAAATAGAAGAAGCTGACCATTTTTGAGAGATGTGGGGATCCAGAGTAAAAGGGACAAGAAGCCAGCACACAAGGCGCCCATGACGACGCCGCCGAGGAAGAAGGCACACACGAAGTAGAAAGGGAGTTTGGCCAATGAGGCTATGACCTCGTCGGCGAACATGATGGTTTGGGACATTGTAGGAATTTTTGTTGTGGGGAAGACTTGGTAATCGGACGATTGAATTGGAATGAAGGTAGTCGAAGTTCTTTAGGCGAGAGACTCGAGGTTGATGGTGGGAGCTACAGGTTTTTGTAGTACTTATCTGCCGTGTTGGGAAGGGATCAGATCTTGAAGCCTGAGGGATCAGGTCTTGAAGCCTCAGGGATCCATAGGCCTTGAAGCCTGCGACACATCACGCTAGACCTAACTGGGAATGCGCCACAAGAACATAGCCGGGGTTGCCTTTTTGCGGACCACGCGAACCAGACTTTCATTCTGGTCGAGCAAATGTTAGTCAATCTGCAGGTGTAACGCTTCAACCAAACAAAACGAATCAAGCGGGGGTAGGATTAGCATTCACCTTGCCAAATGATATTTCCTGCCGTGCCTTCGACATCAGTCAAAGTCAGGCCGAACTAGGTGCAGGAGAGCATGGTGACTGCATTTGAGTAGAGGAACAGTTGTGCAATGGGATACGTGCACTCATCCTTGATTTCTCGACATTCGCCGAAAAGTCAACCTTCGCCACAGACATTGGTGCATGAACAAGACGCTCTATCTTATTGAAGTCGGATCTGCCCTTCGAAAACCTTACATGTTTGAAACAATTGACACGTCATCCGCGACAGATGGAATCAGACTCAGAACGCAGCGTGCTGAGAGACTTTTTAGCTCGCATACCAAAGGCACGGCTTGCGCAGGCCATTTACAGGCCATGTGCCGGCTTTGTTAGAAGGGCAGACTCGCCCAGGCCGGGGGTCGAAAGGCCTTCAGCCTCGTTGGAATCAGGAGAAATCCTTTCTCCGTGTTTCCCAGCATTTACGGCTCTCACCACACCCTCCGAACTCCAAGAAGGTCCGAACACCACGGTCTGAGGATAGAATATTCAAATCTGTATGCGACCGGAATTCAATGTCTATCTGATATCTATACAAAGTAGTCAACCATCGCCTGAGACAAGCTATAGAGAGAGCAGAGTGATATCCAAACCCAATACACTCCCAGCACAACTCTGCTACCAAACATGTGGAAGTCATCATTGATGATCTGTGATGCGCCAGGGTCGTCAAGGACAATTTCCTTCGGTGTGGTAAAGCGCAGGCATCCATGGCCCACTGAAGCAGAGGGAAGGGCTGTGGGGCGGGGGGAGATGCCGCACAACGCATGTAAGTATGTCGAATCACATAGACTTGTGTCTTTGATCAGGCGTTTAACTTTACATGAGTCCCGTCCGCGGCAATGATCAGATCCGCATGCACGAGGGAGACGTGTTCTCCACATGGCAACTTGTCACTCTGACGCCCCCGCGTATACTTGCTCCGCTCTGCGCCATTTTCTCAAGTAGTTGCTCTTGTAGCGACGGCTAGCACGAAAACATCGTTTAGCCTCGAAGATGATAGACTGTGGAGTCCAGAGAAGGAATGCGTTGTTTTTCTATCTAACAAGAGAGCAAGACTCAGTTGCCAAGCCAAATTCCTCACGTGATATTGCCAAGCAAAGTGTCACGTGATTGTGCAACAGGATTACCGTGTCATGTGGTGACGCCAAGGCTTGTACGCTTCGTAGTCTGACGGTAAATCCACATTACACCAAGGCGTAATACCATTGAGATTGAAAGGCATACAGTGCGTACTTACTCTATAAAGTCCCCTTTCTTCGTTTTCTCCTGGTCAGTATTCTCTTTGTTCTCTTCGATGATACTTCCCCCATGATCCATGAGGCGCGACGGATTCACCGTTATGGCACCAACGGACGCGGTATCGATGCCCAAAGCGTCAGATAATGTTCGATCTCTGTGTGCGTGGTAACCCCGATGAACGTCATGACGATGTAAACCTGTTGCACAATGATGCTTGGAGTTTTTGAGGTGAGATAAACGGAATCAGAGACACAACTCCGAGAGGTCGAGTTCGAGTTTGGTATTATGTGTTGAGCTCTTTGCCCTGAAAAAAAAAAAAAAAGGCCGAAAAGTCAAGGTGAGAGTAGTGATTTGAACGTTTTGGATATCTTTCGTATGAAATTAGGCTCGTTGAATTATTTATAGTGAGGAGTGATTCGATTGGGAAACTTGGTCAAAGACTGCAATCAATCCAGTAGATTGCATTCATAAGACATTATATCATACAGTGGACGCTCGAAAGATCATCACCGCAACTTTCAGGCAAAACTCTTTTTTAGGATATCCAACAGAATTGGGGCCGGCTCCGGTGACCAACAACTCAACCGTTTACATGTTCTAGGCCAACATTGGTGTGTTTCGCTCCACTGAAAACGAATGCAATGTAAATGCAATACAACGAGAACAAGGGCAATGACAGAACCACAAGAGCCTTCTAGGCCGCCACCGCTCCCGGTTTCATGCCTTTGACAGACTTCCACTCGACAAAGATGGCACCAAAGACCGTTAGACAGGCCATGGCGACGGCGATGTACCAGGTATTCGTCAGAGCTTTGTTATATGCCACCTGAACAGCCGGGAGAATCTGCGGAGGAATCTGGTCTTGAAGGGACGTAGCACCGACGTGGAGGATGATGGCTGGGTCAATGCTCGGTGCTTCCTTGACAATCTCGGTGGCGAGACGATTGTTGAAGATATTCTGAGCAACCGACACAAAGAGGGCACCGCCAAAGGTTTGCATGAACATGACCAAAGCAGTTCCCGTCGGAACGTCCTTGAGAGGGAGTACCGCCTGCACGGTTATCAAGGCTTGTTGCATGCCAAAGCCGACGCCAAAGCCGTAGACGATCTGATAGCCGATCCACTTCTCATGACCCGTGGTGGTTTCGAAGGTGGTGAGGAGACCCGCGCCGACGGCGGAGAGGAGGACACTGAGGTAATAAAACGGGGTATAGTATCCAATGACGGTGGTGCCCACCCCTGTAAAAATATTGGCAATGACCAGTGAGAGAACCATAGGGAGACACATGATTCCGGATTTGAAGGCCGAAGCCCCCTTGATGGCCTGGAACCAAATGGGAACCCAATAGATGAGGACGAAGAAAGCGCCACCGAGAGCGAAGGCGAACCAGGTTGCCGAAGCAACACTGCGTTGCTTGATGATGTTGAAAGGGATTGTGGCGAATTCCTTCATGAAATATTGGACGATGACGAAGGTAATGGTCAAAACTCCGAAGAGAGTGAGACAGAGGATAATCCGCCAATTAGACCATGCGTACGTGGAACCACCCCATTGAAGAGCGAGCAAGCAGACGACAATATCAACAATGAACAGGGAAGTCCCGCCAAGATCAAGTTGATGGACTCTCTCCTTCCAGGGCACCTTTTGTTCGGCCTTCCTCTTGGGGGAATGGAAGAAGAAGAAAATCACGAACAAGGTGACGGCGCCGAGAGGCAGGTTGATGTAAACTGGTCATATGTTTAGTCAAGGTCACCGGAAAGGCGATTCAGCAACAAACGTACAGCACCAACGCCAGCCGGGGCCGTCAGTGAAAGCTCCACCGAGTAACGGCCCAGCGATCGATGCGATGCCATACATGGCACCCACAATACCAGTATAGATGGGTCGTTTGACCAGAGGGACGGTGTAGGCAATGATCACCAGGGAGCCGGCGAAGATACCCGCGGAGCCAACACCAGCAATGGCACGGCCAACAATCAAAGCGTCCGAGGAAGGTGCCGCACCACAGACCGCGGAACCCACTTCAAAGACGACGATGGAACCCAAATACACCGTCTTGATGGAGTAGAAGGTGAACAATCTGGGACGGGGTTGAGTAGAATGCTCCCGAGCAGAGAGAAGAGACTCACTTTCCAAAGAATAACTGCAAGGCGCAAGTGGTGAGGAGATAGGCTGAGCCATACCACCCGACATCACCCAAAGAATTAAATCGATCCGTGATTTTGGGGATGGCCGTGGCAATAATGGTATTGTCCAGGGCCACCAAGAAGACGGCCAGACAGAGAGCGAGAGAGATGAGCGCCAGCGTGATGCCACTCGGATAGACCGCTTCGTCGTCTTCGGCATTGGGCGCGATTTGGTCCAGGTGGTCTTTTTCGTTCTGGATCTCAACGTCCGAAGAAGATTCTGTATTGGACAACGGTTCTGTTACAATCTGTTTCTCTAATCCGTCCTCAGCCTTGTCTGCGACCGATGTCTCCAGTGGCATATTCTTTTCGAGATTGGTGTTGGAGCCATTTTGGCTAGGCACGACGGTCGTCGCCTCGGACTTGACATTGTTGGTCGGGGCTGGTTCTTTCTTGGTGAAGAAGCCCATGGAGGGGGGGAATGCTGTATGGCCGTGGTTCGTTGGGGAGATGGGTCCTCGAGATAGGAGGAATCGTCAAGGTATTGTTACAAAGTGGAATGAATGTGAATGAATTAAACAAGGCTGCGGAAGATGAATGAAAGAGCCTGAATAAGAAGACTTGGGGGAGTCTCTGAGCGAAAGTATATACAAAGAAAGATTCAGGTAAGAGAGAGCTGAGGAGAATACGAAAATGCAAAAAAAGGAATTGGGCTCTCATGTGTTTGGAGTGAGGTGACGGAGTCTGGATGCAAAGGTTACCGAAGCTGAAGACCAGTAAAGCACCACGCCAATCATTGCTTGGGCAAATTGTTATCAAGTTTTTGGTCTCCATCACTAAATCCATCCGCGTGCTCGTTCCGATCGCTTGTTTTGGTCTCTTGCACTCTCACTTTTGACATCCACAATACGAGGATTTCCAGGCAGCAATTGACTTGGCGCCGGCTGCTTCACATTCCTCTGGTTTTCAGTATCGAGAAAGCGTTAGTCTTTGTCGCGTTACTGTGCGTGATGACGTGCGCGATTCCCAACAAACAAGGCTTCGTATTCGTGATCGAGACGACCGATCACCGATTGAGGGATAGGGCGAGGTATGAGACAATCCAGGGGCGGACAGAATATCAGGCCGCGAAGGCCAAGCTTTGTCCAGGCGAGTGGGACCCGGCTTCTTCTCGCTCCGGGTCCGAGAGGCCCTGTCGCATACTAACACGGGAGCACGTTCTATCTGTTCCCGAACACACTCTCAGAATTCCTCCAGAACCCTCCAGTACTCTCTACATGATACATCAGGAGCAGAATCGGAAGACCAAGACTCTGATTTGGGAAAAGATCAAATTGTCAATGTTCAGGTTGTCACACTGTTCGCATCATTTCCCCGGAACGCCTGGAAGAGGGACGCGCCTATACAACAAGTTCTAATCATTACTACCTACAATGAATCACCCTCTATTTTCACTCTTCGCCGACCTCTTTTCAAACTCCACGACCGCTGGAGCAATGGGTCGGGAGAATAAACTCGAATAGTCCGTCGGCACCAGACTCGTACCCTTTTGGTTACGGAATCGGACCAACCGGACCATTGTCGCCAACACGGTTCCTAATTGGACGTATGCAAATTGTTCTCCAATGCATCGATGTCGTCCAGCTCCAAAAGGTAGATATGGCGATGATGCACCCTTACTGATCATGCCGTAGCCATAATCCTCGAATTCTTCCTTCTCCAATCCCATCCGAGTATAAGCCAGAGGATGTCCTTCATCCCACCGATGTGGCTCCCACGTCATGGGGTCAGGGAAGTATTCAGCCTCTCGAGATGTTACCCCGGGAGCGGACATCAGAGTATGGGTGGTGGGGATCATATACGTCTTGGTGGTGGTCGGGGTATTGGCCACGATAGCCAATGGAGACTTGACCTTTCGCATGATGCTGTGAATCGGGGAGTGCAACCTCAATGTCTCTTTGACCACCTTGGCGTTTAAGGTCAATTTCTGGAGTGATTCGTAGGTCAGAGGAGGCAAATCCTCTCCCAATTCCCTCTTCTGTTCCGCCAGTAATTCTTCCTGGATATCTGGTCGTGTGGCCAGTCGAAGCAAGATCCAGCTGGACGTCGACGACGACGAATGTTGGCCGGCCATGAGCAACGCAATCATCATATGTGCCACTTCCTTGTCCGGGACCGGTGTGCCATCCTTGTACACACATCCCATCAAGTTCCAAATCATGTCTTCTTCTCCCTTGACACGCTTTCCACCCGCCGCTCGTCGTTCCTGGATGATTTCCATGTAGGTCTCGGTCATCTTTCTCTGAGCGTAGTCTCGTTTGCGATTGTGGGGAAGAGGCGCCCAGGGAAGCATGAAGTTGATGGGTGCAAATCCCATGTCCAAATCGTGGTACAAGTCGGCAAAAGTGGAGTCAAATTTGGCTCGCACTTCTTTCCCTTGAAGTGATCGTGATGCCGTGTAGATCGTCAGTTCCGCCATGGCCGGAACAATGTCGACCGTGCCAGCCGAACCGTGGAACGGAGTGCCTTGCTCCACAAACTGTTTCGTCTCGGCGGAGATCAAATCGACATAAGACTTGAAAGCGTCCAGAGTCAGGCCAAACTTGACGAATTTCTTCTGTTCCATCAGTTTGGCATTGTCGCAATCATACTATGCCACAAGTCAGATCCATCTTCTCAGATCCATTCCATCCCGACATACCACGACACCCTCTCCGAACACCGGAGTGGTCAAGCCAGTGTAGATCTCTTCCGCGCTGACGTCCTTCAACTTGCCATTCAAAATAAACTCGTTCCCTTTGGTTCCCAAGCACACGGTGACTTTTCTGCCGAGGAGGGTAAAGGTAAAAACGTCGCCGTATTTTTCCTTGCAGGCGAAGAAGAAATCGAATGGATCCATGCCGTACCATATTCTGTATCAAATCCACCCAGTCAACGTATGTCCCACCGTTTCACCACGGAAATGTATGAGGGCATTGCAGAGACAACGTACGTGCTGCCGATCACGGGAAAAAGAGAGAACACCTCCGGCGGGGCATTCCTGTCTTTGAACAGAAGTTGTCGTGTGACGTGGAGGACAATGGACAGGGCGAGGAACGCGGTGAAACCGAGGAGGACGAGTTGCCAGACAGGGAGAGTGCTGAGCAGTTGCTCAACGGGCGCGGCGAGGGTTGCGAGGAGCCCCATGGCGGGGAGCTGGCAAAACCGGTAGACAGAGGGAGGACGACGAGTAGAAGCGAGTGTGATGTCGCTCAATGAAAAGAATGGATTAGCAATGAAATTAATAGCTCTTGCTGTGTGGTCCGGAAAATAAAATGGTCAGGTACCCCGGCGGCGTGATTGGCCGAATAGCGAGAGAGTGGCACGTCGCTGTATGAATGCTGGGGCTTGGCAGAAGCGGCATCCGAATCGAGCCACTTGTCTGAAAACCTCGTTCCGGGCAAAAAGGCTGAGAAGATCTATCACAGTCAGTCCACCTGGCTGTATGTATTGTACTGAGGATCCTCTCGACATCCCCACGGCCGGAGCATCTTGCCTGCCCCCGTGAGATCTACTGTATTCTACTCATATGATCCTGGCCATGCACATCTAGTTGGCACCCCTCCTTCCGAGTAACCCCTATCATCGTCCAGCCTCATAGCTTGCCACCGGTATTCTTCTCCTTCCCCAAATACCCATTCTCTTGGAGCCATCCGAGAACATCATCCCCATCCCTCTTCAAGCAATTCGCCTTGGCTCTAACACTGTCGAGACTTTGTTGGAGGCTCCGGTCGTATCCTTTGTTGTCTTTGCTCTTGAAGAAGGCCTCCACCTTGGCCAATTGGGTTTCATGCGTAAATCCGGCCACACAGATGCTGACCACACTGCTCAGCATTGTCATACTGGGCGGTAGTTTATTCACCAATTCGTCCCAGTGGTCGCACATCCACTCCCATCGCTTTTCGATACCTTCTGACGTGGTTCCCAATCCACCAATGGGCATATACACGTCTTGCATCTTGACTTCCCCGCCCAGGGCCAAATCCAGTGTTCTCTTGATCAATTCCGGACTTTTAGCCCGGCCCAGGCTTCGTAAACACGTGTTCTTCTCCTCCGAAGTAGGAGCCGAATGGTATCGGGCCACGAGGGCTTCCCATTCTTTGACTCCACCATCGCGCACCGCCATCGCAAAGACGGAGGCCCGTAGATTCGGGTGGATCGCTGTATAATCACCCGCCATGAATTTGGCAAACATTTCTTTCGCGGCTGCCTGGATCTTGTCGTCCCCAGCAAGACCCGCAGAACCGAACATCAAGCTCTTGAACTGACTCCGAACATGATCTTCATCATCGGAAAATTCCCAACCCAGTTCGTGCGCCTTTGCCGAGCAGAGATTCAGTTGGAATGCCTTGAGAGCATCTTTGACGGCTTCATCCTCAAATATCCATGTGTTTCGAAGCGCGTTGATTCGGGTGAGAATCTCATTCCACACGACAAACTGCGTCTCGGTGTTGAATGATCGCAGAAGGCTGAGAATACCCGAAGTCTTGCCGTAGCCGCTGGCGGCAAGAGCTCCAGCATCAGCAATCATACCCGCTCGGTCTTCCACCGAGAGAAGACCCTTTTGAGCCGCTTCACCAAGCTTCGCCAGTCGTTGTGGCGTGTAGCTGGTTCGGTACAGTGCCGAATGGTCGGCATTGAGTTTGAAAAAGTCCAAGCCGCCCTTGATCGTGAATGTTTGCTCGCGTTCAGTAAGCATTAAGTTCTCATCCACACCGTCTTTGGTCCTGAGGCCGAGAATGACAGGGTAAAGGACCGTGTCCTCTTCCGGCTGGACGTCACCTGTCCTGAGGAAACGGCTTTGCCTGACAGTAATGCTCGACTCCTTTTCGTTTTCCGTAACCGTCACCACGGGGTAACCAATATTCTTGGTCCAGATGTCCATAACGTGTGCGACGTCCTTGCCGCTGGCATCACCAAGTGCATCCCACAGGTCGCTAGTCTGGGTGTTACCCCACGCATGCTTCTTAATATACCTTCTCACACCTTCGATGAAGGTTTCTTCGCCAAGATACTTGGAGATCATCCTCAGGACCGCCGATCCCTTGGAGTAGGAGATGGCATCAAATATCTGGTTGATATCTTCCGCGCGATGCACCGGTACTTCAATGGGGTGAGAGCTCCGTAAACCATCGAGGCCCAGCGCCCCTTGTAAAGTGTCGATGACGAACGTTTCCCAGACTTTCCACTCGGGATAGAATTCGTTACAGCTGTACCAGCTCATCCAAGTCGCAAAGCCTTCATTGAGCCAGAGACCGTCCCAGAAATCCATGGTGACCAAATTGCCGAACCATTGATGAGCTAATTCGTGCTGCACGACCTCGGCTACTCGTTCTTTGGTGGCCGCGCCTGCCGATTTCTGGTCGAAGAGGAGATCCACGACGCGGTACGTCACCAGACCCCAGTTTTCCATCGCGCCAGCAGCGAAGTCCGGGATGGCAACCATGTCCATCTTTGGCAAAGGGTACGGTGCCTGGAATGCTTCTTCGTAGAACGCTAGAGTTTTAGCGGCGACGTCCAGAGCAAATCTTCCATCATCTTCGTCCTGTTCGGGCGTCATCCAAACTTTGATGGGCAGTCGGAACTTATCCGTAGCGATGCATTTGAGTTCTGCCACGATGAATGCCAAGAGATATGTCGACATGCGAGGGGAGCGATGGAATTTGACGGCCTTTCTTTTTCCACCAGCGATTTGGGAATCCACTATCTCTGTGGAAGCCACATCCATATTCGACAGACAAGTCATGTTTTCGTCCGCGATCAGGGTGACCGTGAATTCGGCCTTCAGGGCAGGCTCGTCGAAACAAGGGAGAGCTCGTCTCGCATCAGTTGCTTCAAACTGAGTGACAGCCAGATACTTCCCATCCCTCCTCTTGGACCTGTAGAAGCCAGCCATCTTGTCATTCAACTGACCCGTGTACGTATGCTTCAATTGGACCCTTTGACCTTTTGAAATGTGGTTCCCAAGCTCGATGGTTGTTGTCTGCGTGTCTGCGTCGTAGGAGAGGGAGGGAGATGAAGTAACCAGGGCACCATCCGCATGAACAGTTGTGGTATGAATGTCAAGGTCCAGGGTGTTTAACGAGATGGAACTGCTGTCTTTTGCGACGTCCAGGTCGATGACGACGGTGCCCTCGAAAATAAACTTGCTGAAATCAACCTCGAGGGTCACATCGTAGTGTTTGGGAATGACATTGGTCGGAAGGACAACTCGGGATTGGGCATTGACCGCTCCAGGCGAATCGGAAGCAAATCGACACATGTTGCTAGGACTTGTTCGCGGGAAGAATTGCGAGGGATCAATCTGGGACGTAGAAGGGAAAATACGACACCGTTTTGGTAGTTGTAGCACAGATCCTGGGGGGCTTTTGCTCTGAAATGATCGATGTCGGCAGGCCGAAGCAAGACCTTGCTTGAAGACGGGGAGAATCCTAGAACGAACCACTTGAAGTCTTGAAAGAGACCGTACGGATGGCTTCATCTATAGCCACCACAATCCAGCAGAGATGTAGTCAGCCCGTGAAACCGAAAGGAGGGAATGAAGTTGGTCGGTGGTAGGTCTCGTGCCAGTGCGCCAGCCACGGGAACCAGGCAAGGTGGATTCGGAGACCCAGACCCAAACGGCCGAGTACAAACTTAGATGGGGGCCAAATGGGGCAAGTGCGGCGAGCCCATTGGGGTCCAAAGTCTTACGGAGTACCTGAGCATGACTTCTTATCTTACACCTTACAGTCAGATCCGAGGTTATTCAGCGATCGATGTCCCTGTCGATTGTCATCCTCGAGAAGCATCGTCACACGGGACTAAAATGGGCCGCGAGAAGTCTGTTGCCGCTTCCAGCAAGCGGGCGACTGCAGCCGGTCTCGGATGATATACTCTGTGATGATAGCAATATCCTTCAGGAACCTCACAAAGCAGAGAATATTCCAATCATATGGGACAAGGCTGAATCCAAGCAAGAACCGGCATCAAAATGCTTCACCTCCCCACGCATTCTTGATTTGTTCTCGACGATGCCACATAAAGAGCATTCGTCTCTTTCTTGCCAGAGTAAAAACAAATCAACCTAGTTCCAGCGGGTTTGAGGAAGTCATTATCTCCTGTGGGTGACGTTCCATAGTAGTCTGGCACATTGCATGCTCAAAAGGAAAAAAAGAGGCAGTTATGGTAGAGATTTCATCTTGTCATTCTTATCAATCTTCCATTGCTGAATGCCATTCAGACCAAGTATCCATTCGGCAAAGAGACCGATCAATTGTAAACTCTCAACACTCGTGCCTTTCAGAATTCTTGAGAAAGAGCACGAAAAACACAACAGATTGCCACGCTGCATGCCTGAAGCCTTGAACCATGGCGCCAGCTCTGATCCATGATCCTGTCATGACGGGTATCTTTCATGTCCAACCTGTGGTAAGCTCGACCGTCTCTTCATCAAAAAAATTGGTGCCGTTCAATCTGATCGTGTGTGTAATGAAATGACGCCGCAATATGCCCATTCCCACGCTGTCCTTTAAAAAAAAAAAAAAAAAAAAAAAAACCTGTTGGACCACGCCATAGTCCACCTGGATTGAAAAGTCAAGGTAGAAATAATTACAGGCCGGAAGCTGGCCTGCCCAAAAACAGTTGCGAGACTCACTTCCGGTGGAGAAGCTAACATGCCAATCAACGCCCCCATGGTCCATGAAAACGCCGTCTTTAGAGGCTGTTTTCTCTTGGTGGAGATGGCACCTCCGAAGTTGTGCAGGCAAGGTTCATGAGTCGGTACATCATGAGCGTGGGGGAGTAGCAGTAGTGATGGGATTGCCGCCGGGTTGTGCGATAGGAGGTGATGCTTTGCTGGGAGAAGCCATCGCCGGGGCAGAAGCACGCTTTTGAATAACCTGGAGCTTTCGTCGAATGACTGTTAGTCTTCCGCGAATGCTTGTCACCACTGACGATAGATTAGCGTTTGAATCTGTGGTGCAGAGCAAAAACTCACGATTCTTCACGGTTCTTCTGTCTTCAGCTTCCAAGCCATTAATCGGTGCTAAGTCTTCCTTCTCATCCAGATCGCTAGTGTTGCTGCCACGCTTAGACAAGCTGTCGTCGTCGTTTTCCAACACTGCTTCCAGCATCCGAATAGCGGTGACGTACGAAATTTCGCATCCCGTCAAATCTTCGTTGGTAAGCTCGTTGATTGCAGCAGCTCGACTCATTTCCAATGCTCGATCATACATGAGCTTCTCTGCTGTGATCCCAGAGCTAACCACGACCTGATCTGCCGATGTGCCCAGGCCGGCGCTGGAAGCTGTTGTAGTGGAGATGTTGTTCGGATGACTAGGATGATCTTCCGGGAGGCGTCGCTGACTATCAATGAGCTTCAGACGGACAAGATCTGCCTTCTCTAAAACTTCATTGAAACGACTTCGGATCCACTGCACGACATTGTTCATTCTCTGGCCCGCAGCAGCCGAGTTCGTGCCTGGCCGATTTGCGATGCCATCTCCGGTCGCTTCGCCACGATTCTTGCGAGCCCACCAGCGTGCTGCAATGTCCATACCTTTGGCAAGCAAAGCCAGGGCCTTGACGTAAAGTACCAATGCCTCCTCTGCAACAATTACCATCGCCTCAACGGTCAGATCTTCATTGGAAGCACCAAACGGACTGTCCGAAGCAGCATTTTCGCCCGAAGCGTTGCGCAAACCGAGTCCAGGCTGGGACGGAACGGCAGGGATGAGCTGCTTGTACTTCACTTCTGCAAAACCATAGACAACATCACTTCGAGTGGCGATCTCCTCAACGGTCTGTACAAATTTGGTATCTTCGTCAGCCGCGGGTGATTTCGCCGTGTCTCCAATCACGACAAGGCTGCTCTGAGCTCCAGGATAGGTTGGGAACGGACTATACGTGATGGGAGGAGATTTGCCTCCACGCATTAGATTGACAGGAGGAGAAAACCCCACACCAAACAGTCGACCACTGGCCATGTTCAACGCTTTCGATATCGCCGAAGTGGCTGAGCTCGGACTTGGGCCATATCGTCGCTCATAAGAATTCTGGCGGTGATGGAGAGAATCTGGGCGTCTTCCAGATGCGATTTGAACCGCTCGAGAAGCGCTGGTTTGCGCGCCTGTCGAAGATACGGGTACTCCTTGCGTTGTTACGCGACGGACGACCGCCCCTGCCCCTGCCTTTGGCGACACGGCCGCCTGCAGTGAGCTTCTGTTTAGGCGTGGGCTAGCATCGAGTTCATCAGCCAATGCATTAACCTCGACCGCTTTCTTCTCCACCAAAACGTAGTCTCTTTCGAAAGCAATGTCCTGAGCCACTCGCTCTCGTTCTTTCTCTTCTTGTTGCTTGCGAAGAGCAGCCTCCTGTTCCTCATCGTACACCTGGCCTCGCAAAGATGAAGGTGGCAGCTTATGCGATCCGCCACTGGCTTGACGAGCCATGGGAGTCGACGCAGGTCGATGGACTAATTCTTGCCTTCCTGGGGTTGTAGCGTGTGGATGTACAGCAGGCCGTCCTCCGTCAGCATAGGGAGGAGACTCCGGAACTGATCCTCGCTCATCGGAAGTGATCCGCTGCGCAATAATCTGGTCTTTTGCGCCGGATGGTCTTCGATTGATCGAGTGTCTTCGCGTCAAATTGTCCTCCGAAACAGTCTTGGGAGGATCGATATAGGGTTTGACGGGTTCTTTTCTCGATCCTGGTCGCATCAAGCCCGTGGGGTCGGCTCGGCTGTTTCGGTGGTGGTCGGTCTCAGAAACCACTGACTCTTGTGGCATATCTTCTGGATGGAGGCCTGGAATCGGACCGGTGATAATTTCGCTGTTGAAAAATTCAGGAAACGAGAGTCTCTCCTTCGGATCTCTTTTTAACAGCAGGCGAATGAGTTTCTTCAGGTCTTCGGATATGATAAATTCCTCCCCGAACTTGATTTTGTCTTCACCCTTTTCTATCTTTCGAAGTAATTCCACATGATTGGAAGCTCGGAAAGGTGGTCTGGCCGTCATCATTTCGTAAAGAACAGTACCCACCGACCAGAGATCGGCCTTTGCATCATATTTTTCATATCTCAAAATCTCCGGTGCCATGTACAATGGAGATCCGCACAGAGTTTCTGCAAGTGCCGTCGACGGCAATGATCGGGCAAAGCCAAAATCGGCAATCTTGAGGACGGGAAGTGATCTGATGCCACACACCGGGTTCAAAGAATTGTCTCCGGCTTGGTAAGGCATAGGTCGGGGCTTGTGCGTCTCGAAATACGTCGGTGACGGGTTGAGGAGAAGATTTTGAGGTTTCACATCACGGTGAATGAGATTCCGAGCTCGTAAGAATTGTAGAGCACTCGACAATTGTTGTAGAAAGTGTCGGACAACCACTTCGTGGAGGCCTCCATGTCGAGGATTGGGATACTTGACCATCATGTTGCCCACCAGGTCACTGTCTTTGATTTCAGCCCGTCTCTTGATAAAGTGTGAGAGGTCACCCAGAGCAACATATTCCATCACCAAGTGAATGTGAGAGCTCGATTCTTTGCAGTCGATGAGAGCAACGACGTGTGGATGATGCAGTCCCTTGAGGATGGAGATCTCCGACGTGAGGTTGTCTTTCAGTTTCTTGTTGAGCTTCGACATGTTGACAGATTTGATAGCCACAATGCTTTGCACGCCTGATCCGCTCTGAGAGGCTGTCAGTACAAAGTGCCAGAAGACCTTGGACAGGTGATGTCTCTCGACTTACGGTATGAATCGCCTTGTAAACCGTCGCAAAGCTGCCGCGCCCTATCTCCTCATGGCGTTGGAAACTGCCTATCCTCTCCGACTCTTTCGACCTCCTCAGGGTGGAGGGTTGAGAATGGGCTGAAGCCATCTTCGCCTCGTCACCACTTTGGTCGACAAACGCCGGTCGACGAGGCAGAGGTGAGAGAAGCGGAAGGTTATTTCGTCAATTGTGGGTAGACGCCTGCGGTGGTATAGTCTGACATGGATCACCCGAGATGAGAGGAGGATTCCACAGAGCAAAACTCGATTGATGGGATGGCTGAGGAAACAGGCGACAGGGCAACAGAGTGTGGAGATGGCGCCAATTCGGCGGCAGGCTGCGTTATTCGTATGCCGTGCAACTCCTAAAAGGAAAGCTGGACAGTCTCGGTGGGGAATTAATGACCGGATTGATATAGGGGTGGATGGCTAGCTCGAATCGAGCTCAGTGGGATGTGGATGGATGCGAGGTGGTGGTCGGGCGTAACTTGGGGGGGAATGCGGATGGACGTTGGACAAGAGGTCTGTGACGCAAGGGTTGAACAAGGAAGGGTGTTGACCTCAACACAAAGCAGAGCGATTCGGAAGGATAGATTAAAGATAGATAGCGATAGGTGGTTTGAAGAAACTTGTAACAGGAACAAAAATTAAAAAGCGCGATGGGAGTGAGGTTTGCTGGGGTTAGTCATGCCAGTCAAGGACAAAAAGAAGGGTCGCGACGTGACTTGTGCTGCGGTCACTGAACTGTTCGATTTTGGGTCTGACGATAATGCCTCTGATAACGATTTGATCACGTGGTTATAGTCACGTGCTCGCTTCCGATTTAATTGTCTGTGGCTACGGATTACGACCTATCTTGGCACCAGTGACTTATGGTATGCTTCTGACTGGATCAGCCGATTAATGACAGTGCTTACCGTCAGAATTCCTCCGGGGCTAGCCATCACTTGATGAGAAGTGGCGATACCGAGATTCAGCATTTCTTCAAGGGAAAGGGTTTTGCCAGACATCAATCATCTGATGATACAGCATTCAGTCTGCGCAAATCTGTCCGCAGCCATTAAATGTTTAACCCTCGCACCAGCAACCACAGTCCGACAGGCACCACCACATTATCGTTTGCAGCAGTCAAGGTGCTTTCAAGGAGGCTAGCACCCGTTCCCGCAATCAGACATTTGCCCAGCGTCCAACCGGGGGCGCCATCTGGCCATGAAGCCCAGCCCGCGAGTCTCAGCCAGATCCAAGAAGCAGAAAGACCACAGGTAACCGCAAATGTAAACGCCAGACTTCCCTCTAAACTCTTTCCACCGGCCCAATACCATTTTGTTTTCCCATAACGCCGGCCAATCAAGCTCGCCGCAGCATCTCCCATGCCAACACAAATGACACCGCTCACCATGCTCAAATCTCGTATATCTGTATCCCAACCAACCCACGGGTCTTGCCCAAACCGAGGCGCAGCAGCTAGAGATAACCAAAGTGGAATGGCACACCCTATCAGGAGGAAAATATGCGACACAATGACGGGGCCTCGGTGGTCCCGGCCATCGACGTAGGGAGCCAGAAACGTAGTCAGGGGTTTCGAGATTGGCGGAAGTTGTGAGGCCCGGAACAGATCAAGAAGAAGGAAAATTGATAGAACCAACCCCAATGCTAATGCAATAAAACAAGGATCCACGAAAATCGTTGGCAGAAGCATGGCAACCATGATGCCGTGGAAGATTTTTCGTCTAGTGTCGACCTCAACAACAGATGTCAGGCGAAGGACTGCAGTTATGCCGACAGACAGCACCACAACGCAATACACGCAGATAAGAAGGCGTGTGTTGGCAGGCCCGAGGACATCCTGGCGGAGGGATTCAACAAACCCGTACGAGATGGGGACAGGCGCACTCGCTTTTCGAGTTGGAAGACAGATCCACCGTTCGAGGTGATTACTGATGACCCAAAGTCGGAAGGGTGGTATATTTCCAAGCAGGTAGCCCATAGCCCAGCCAAGCGGTTCATGACCTGACAATGCTCGTCTACTGACGTATAGTCGTACTGGGCCTAATATCGTGACAATCACGAAAAAGTATGCAACTGCGGCATACGCATATTTCCGAACACGAACTTGCTCCACGGTCAATGTTAAGAAGGCGGCTGAATGGCCACCAGCAGAAGATTTCGCTTTTTTGGTGGTCGGAGTCGTATCATTTCTCGTTCCCCGATCGAATGCTGTAAACGTGTTCCGTCGAAAGGGGCCAGAGAAAGTTGACAGATCAGCCGAGAGACTCCTGGAAGCCGTTGCCTCACGTGCAGGTATGGGCTCCTCGATTGGTATGGTCGACGATCTTCCACCGAGCCGAAGCTTCAAGCGAGGTCTAATTCTTGGTAAATGGTTGAGAGGCCCTTCATCTTCCTCGGTGTCGGACGAGTTCCGTCGCACCCGTTGGTACTTTCCCCTGGTCAGAAGCGTACAGATAGTCTGATCGATCTGCGAGATGAACCCTTGACGTCGACGTCTTCGTAAAAGCTTCCAGGTAGGTATCCGCGCCAGAGCAACTTCCCATATTAAAACGTTCTTGCAAGAGACAAATATGCACAAAGCGCCCAGCCAGAGCATGGCTTTCAGAATCTCAGCTTGGGGCGTCCGAGCGAAAATTAGAAGATTGATAAGGGCGGATGAAAGTAAACGTAGTTCGGAGATGTCGAGGCTCGAGGTGGTGAGATAGCCCAGCGTAGTCATGAGGGATTGATACAGAGGGAACAACATCACAAAGTCTTCTCGGGAGAGTGCACATCCTGGGCCGAGTTTCAAGGCAATGGGCTTCATGCTGGAGGTCCGTGAAAAGCGCAACTTCACAGCGTGGAGTGGTAGAATTGAGAGAAGCCAATGTATATGCTCGCCGATTGCTGGAACTTTTTGAGTGGCAGTCACCAAAGGCGGCATGGACGAGAGCCCGCAGACGATGGCCGCTGGGAGAAATGCCGTACTGCGATGAAATAGTGACAATGCGATCATTACCGGAATCGTCACCGGATATATAAGAGGCCCAGAGTCAAACCGAGACGGAATGTGAAATCCGTAGCGCAGTGCTTGTATAAAGGTCGTGCCCGCGGCATGAGCGCGGAAGGTGAGTCGGATCGGGTAGAGTAGATACACGAGCGGTGGGATGAGGAGGAAGGTCATAAGTTCGTTCAGCCAGTCCACCCGAGTTGTCGACCCTCCTCCGCTGGTCCAGACAATGACTCCAATGCCGCAAAGGAGCGAAGTCTCTGTGCATCGCCGAACGATCTCTCGCCGTTTCCGCTTCTTGTAGGTGTCATAGTCTTTGCCTGGCCCTCCTGTCTGCGGCAATTTCTTTCCATTCTTCTGAAAATATCCATACCCATCGGCCTCAACATAAGCAGGAGGCGTGGGGAGGGGACTGACGGCGGGAGTCAAATTGGCCGGTGAACTTCCACGCAGTCCCTTCCTGACGCGCAATGGCGGTGCAGGTAATCCTTTGAGGAGAGGACCTTTCTCGTCATCTGCCTCTGTTCCGCTCTCGCTCGATTCGGAGCGACTGATTGTTGGCACGGAGGGTCCATTTATTCCATCAGATCCATTGTCACTAGTTTGTCCATTGCCTTTGATCAGGCTCTCGCCTCGTCGGTGGTACGGCTGAGGAGTACGGAAGAGGGTCAGACGGGATTGGTTGTGAATTTCTTGCGAGCTGGATCGGCCACTGTCACTTTTCGCAGGCTTCAACGAAGTCATCGGAGGGCACACGGGGGCCAACACCGGAAGATATGGGAATGATAAACAAGTCGATCATAGAATTCCTCTCATGGTGGTTCCGGTGAGACCGTAAACGAGACACTCATTTTGACCCAGTTTCGTTGGGAAAACTGAAAGAGCACATGCAGCTGAGGGACTCGGATCCATGCCAACTTTCGACCCTTCCCCCGGCACCAACGTTTACCTAAGAATATTATTTCCTCCAATGGGAGCCGATTAACATCCGCAACACAACACGCCTTACAAAGGTCATGGCGGTAGTAGTACTGGAAGCATAGATGTATACACAGATATCATTTCTACCGTCAATGCAGGCTGCTTCAATTCGAATAAAAAATTGCCCCCCACAGCAATGGACCGTTCCCCTAGCCATCTGTCTGAACTCCTCTCTTGTGTGTATCATTTACAACCCGGCTTCCATCTTGTCCAGGATAGTCCTGACAAATTCATGTGTCGTGCTGTTGCCGCCCATATCTCTAGTGCGTACCTTTCTGTAGAAGAGTCAACATTCCCGCTCTTTGTAGTGTAACTCTGACTCACCCATCAGCAATCACATCATAAACGGCCTTAGATATGCGGTTGGCGTGGTCGTCAAGACCAAGGTGTCGAAGAAGCATGGTACCGGAAAGCAAAAGGGCTGTAGGGTTGGCTTGATCTTTGCCTTGAATATCGAGACCAACGTGTCGGCATCCAGGCTCGAAGACAGCCACATCGCGGCCCATGTTACAACCGGGCACCACGCCAGGACCACCAACCAGGGCAGCCGCAATGTTTGTAAGGATACTGCATTCGGAGTTAGCCTTGTCCTCTGAGAAATTCATGGGGGAAGTCTAACCCTCCGTAAAGATTGGGCATAACCATGACATCGAATTGCTGCGGTCGAGATACAGCCTGCATGGAGGCATTGTCGACAATCATGTCGCTGACTTCCAGAGTCGGGTAATCCTCCCCGATTTTCTTAACGGTGTTTCGGAAAAGGCCGTCTGCAAGCTTCATGATATTGGCCTTGTGAATGCATGTCACCTTCCTTCGGTTGTTGGCGAGGGCAAAAGAGAAGGCGAACTTGGCGATGCGTTCTGACTTGGCTCGGGTGATGATTTTTAATGATTCGACCACGCCGGACACCGATTGATGTTCCAGCCCAGAGTACTCGCCCTCGGTGTTCTCACGCACGATACAGAGATCAACGTTCTTGTGTCTCGTCTCGAGTCCGGGGATATTCTTGACCAGAACAACGGAGGCGTAGATATCGAGTTCCTGTCGCAGGGCGACGTTGAAGGACTGATGACCGGATCTCTCGATAGGTGTATGCAATATACCCTTCAGACCAAGCTTGTTTCGCCTTAGAGAAGCTATTGACTCCTTAAAAAGCTCTTCAGAGTGCTTATCTCCCGTATCGACACCAGATACATCGACCTGTTCCCACTCAATGGGGACATTGTCCGCCTTGAAAATTGTCTTGACTGCTTCTGCAACCTCGGCACCAACACCGTCACCTAGTGCAATGCAATGGCATGTGAGCACGAGGCATTGAGCGGGATGAGGAGTGCCAAAGGTCCGGGCGTACCTGGGATCAAAGTAATAGTGTATTTTCCACCATATTTGGTAGGCTTGAAGATATCGGATTCGACGGTTGCATAAGCTAGAGGACGCTTGTTAACCGGCGGGAGAAGCTCTGGATATATCGGTAGGCTCACATCTTGCCGGGAAAGGCGGCGGAGGTTGGCGTCTGCTCGCCCTCTGAGCTGCGCGAAGCAGCGTCTGCCCAAAAACTGGTTAGTTTCTCTCAATTTGGAGGAAGGGGGCAAGCCGCATACCTGAGTGCTGCGGGTTGACCTTGCCAGTGACATTGCTGCAGATTCACAAGACGCCTGGGAAGATACAAAGTCAACCAGCGTCGTGCACAAAGAAATGCCGTGCAACAAATAACGCAAGTTCGAACTTTATCGGCTGAAGGAGCTTTTCGTTCTGCAGGCGAAGAAGCTCTGCCGACATCGCCAATCACGGCCAGGTAAGGAGGGACGCCGCCATTCCGTTTCCATTCTAGCACTAGATGACGTCGGGCCCCAATTCCGCGCGATGAAAGCAACAGCCTCGCGAGGCTGAGTCTGAGTCAGTGGTCAATGGTTCAATTGATTGCTATGACGATTACTCCGGGCTACCTCTTCCTCTAGGATTGATCTCCGCCACCTTAATTTGTCTTGAAGTTCAATGGTCCTTGGGCGTGTCTTAGCTTAGCCCCAAAGAACTGCAAGAACACAACCAGAATGAAGGCTGCAGCCATGATACCACTCTGAATGCCATACTCGGTCTGAGTTCCCGCCTTATTTGCCCAATTGATCTGAATATACCCAACAATAAAGCCACCGAGGGTTCGGGCAAAGTTGAGCCAGGCGGCACACTCTCCACCGGCTTCTGGGTACGCGTCAAGGAGGTAGGCTCCCACTGCTGTTGTAGTGACGATGGTGGCAAAGTTGTGCATACACCAGCCAATTGCCAAGGGCCACCAAGACCAAGTGCGTGCTTGGTGTAGAGTGACGCCGATGAGATTGTAGCCGACAATTTTGATGGGTAGGATTAACCAGAGAATAATCAATCTACATTCGGGCTCAATACGTCCACCATGACGCTTGGCATATAGTTTGGCAATGAAGTCGAACAAGAAGTGTCCAAGAACCAGTCCCAACACTGCTCCGACCACTGGTGCTGTGTAAATAGCAGCCAGGTTGCGGTAATCAAAGTTGAAAGCAGGGACAATGAATACCGAGATGGTGGTGTTGTTGGCAATCGTCCAGGGAACTGTCCAAGTTAGCTGAGAGTCTACGGGGGAGTCGAAAGAGGAGAGGGGGGGTTTCATACAGTCGAAAAAGTAGAACAAGCATGTGAGAAAGACAGGCAACCTCAAAGCAGTGTATCCCAACCGACTACCTGCTTCCAGGAATGAATTGGTCGTGTACTTGGTCTTGACCTGCTCGACGCCGATGACTCGCAGGAGACGAGACTTGCGTCGTGGAATTCGGTCGGGCATCAAGTGACGTGGGTAGAAGGTCTCATCGCCCAGGGTGAATGTCAAGAGCAAGCCCAGGGTGATGATGCCAAAGTTGAGCCACATTCCAGTTCTCCACGAATCCACGCTGATAATGGCGGCCATGAACTGTGGGCCTAAGAAAGGCGAGAGGATGATAGCTGTCGACCAAATGTTGATCTTCTTGGCATGGGAGTGCCAAAAGAACACATCCTTGATCCACATCAGGCCACCACCAGCTGCAGCGACGCAGAACATGCCGTTTAAAATGCGAGATGCCATGTAGGACTCAAAGGATCGTGCGGCCGCTGACCACGCCGCCGTTCCTGCTGACAGGCATCCGAACCAGAAGAGCACAGGAAGTCGACCAAAGTATGCACTGAGCCAGACTGCTGCCAAACCGCCCACACCGAGCATGAATGTATTCCTGTAACCATGTTAGCTAAGACTTGTAGACGAAGAATGAGTGGAGTTCAAATGCACCCAGCAGTGGCATGGTTGACCTCATCAGGCGAGATGTGCCATTCTTCGGCCTGTGGGAGAAGTGCACTTCCGCCAGTGGCAGCGGAGTAGTCAGCGGTACAAGCGTTCACAGCAATGACAAGAAGAATGAGACCCTTCTTCCATCGGGGCCAGTTCAATGGATCCTCGGGGTCTTCAGTAGGCTGGGGAATCAACACCACGCCGCTCTTGGATTTCTTCAAGGGAACATCGGCACCAAGTCCCAAGCGCTCTCTGATTTTAGTCTCATCGAGGAGATAACCCTGAGTCTCCCCGACGCGATCGAGGTCGACGGCAGTGACTTTGGGCGCGGCTTTCTCACCCTCGGCGCTGGAGACAGAGGGCGGCGTCGAGGCTGTGGCGGTCTGGGTCTTTTCTTTAGAAGCTTCCGGAGCCATGGTAAATGCTGGGAGGGAGAAGTAATCAGGAGTTGGGAGACTTGTACGGAAACCAGAAAACTTTGGGACGTGAATTGAAATTCGACTGGCGAAGGGGGTCGCGTGATTGAAGTATTTTTCAAGGTTTACACATTCCGCTCACCTTTTAGTGTGGGTCTGGGAAGCAATTGAACGGACATCCGAAAACATTTGGAGTGCTGGGTGTTCGCTCGTTTGTGAATTGCCTTGGAAATTTCCCTGACAACGGCCCGTCAGCAGTCAGGCCATAGCAATGGATGTGGCGCATATTGATTGCGACGATTTGACTTGTTTAGAAGGACAGGCCTCTAGCCTGTCAACCTGCTCCTAGTCCTTGACTCCTGGCAGCGGGAGTCCTAAATTACCAGTTGTGGGTTTAGTGCCGGGTCGGACTGTGGAGCTGTGACTAAGAACACACTGTCAAGACGGGTGCGTCAGGCTGCCGGTGAATAGGATTGGCACCAGGCTTTGATTTTCAGGGGGTTCTCTAATTAGGACGGCCTTGCAGAAACTATCCGGGAGGAAATTCGAAATGGGGGTGAGGGCGTTGGACTTTGACCGGGCTGGACTAGCGCGTCCTTTTGGTGTTGTTTTTGATCCCTTTCTCTTGTCTTGGACACCGCCATACTGATCTGGGTAGCTCGCCCACCATCCGCCTACCTTCCTCTTCACTATCCGATGCGTCTGCGCCGTCAAAAATTTCTCCTCCCGAGTCTTACCCCGTAGTTTTTCTACTGCGTCCATTGCTACTTGATGCTGCGTAGTACTATGCCAGCTTCGGTATGTGACTTCGAATCACCTCCCAGCAAACATACACCTCTTCAGACCTGCTGACATGAGTTCAGGCGCAATCAAGTGGTCCAAGTTCCACCCCGGCTTTTCACCCCAGAATTTTCTCACATCAGGCGGGTCCCTGTTGCGTCGAATTCCGTGGTTAGCCCGAACCAAGGTCTTTAATAGAACTTGGGCGAGATCGGGTCTATATCTTGGCTGGTACCTTAATGCGGTCATGTCTGCCCCAGTTACTAGATACGTATAGGCGTGGGTATCCGTAGGCCAGGTTCGATATCCAAAAGACACTCTGCACTTTGGGTCTGTTGAATACGCCTAAAAGACGTCGAGATCCGAAAGACATGAGGGCGACAAACAACAACGACGACGACGACAACAACAAGACAAAAGATCTGGGGAGAGGGGAAATTCTAGGTTGGGGTTGATGGATTCAATTCACTCCAATGTCATTCCTCCACGTCGTCCTTCATTATCCTTCCATCCTAGTTCCACCGACCAGGTATCATAGCTTCCATCTCCCCATCCAAATCCTCATTCATGCCGTCATCGGCATGCCCAATTCGAGTGAACCAAGCTCTCATTAATGATTGACATAAAAAGGACCAGTCCTTTTCAACTGTAGGAACAAGTACAAAAGCGAGATCGCTCAAATGCTGGTCTGGAAAACAGAACAAAACTCAACCCGCCGGCAAAATGGGGTATTTCGAAGCGAAAACGAGTAAAAAGGAAAAAAGAAGCAACGGTTTGACATGACGAAGCTGGTGGCAACATGGTTTACATGAACAGCAAGGAACTCTCGCGTCGTTTGGCCTTGGCGCTGGGTGCGTTCTCGGGAGTGAGCATGTTGTTCACCCCTCCGTATTTGTTGCCTCCATGTGGAGGCTGTGGTGGTGGGTACCGTGGTTGCATTGGCATCTCCTGGGGTATTGAAACATAGCTTCTAGTCTCGTATGAAGGCTGGAGGGGTGCAAACCCGAAGTCGTTGGTAGGATCTAGATGATATTCCGATGACCTTGCGTTTCCTTGAGAGCCTCCTGTCATCGTTGCGTTCTGGGTAAAATCGTTTTGATTATATGCCGGTGTTGGCAAGTCAGAGAACATTTGTCGTCGAGGCGATCGGATGTCTTCTGGAGTCAAGGCACCGTCACGATCAATTTCTGTCGATCGAACAGATTCTCCATTGGCAGGGTTGTCAAAAATAGCCTCAAAGTCCGTCAGGAACATGGCAAACACAGGTGCTGGAATGTTGAGGGTTGGTGAGAACACGATCCCGACGTTCTTCACACTCATCTTGTTTCGGTCCGAGTTCTGCACCACCTCAAGTAAATATGATGAGAGTGTCCGTAGTAGAGAGAAGTTAACAGCCGGCAGCTGATGGACTAGGGCGTTGAAAGTCGCGATCTTCTGCGACTTGTCGCTTACTTCTAGCACCTTCAGGAATTCCAAGTGCAGTTCTCGGGTTAGAATCGTCGACGGTAGTTCTCGAAGATACGTCTTGAAGAGAGATGCTACCGCATGGACATCATAGTCCTCCTCATCCGCAAGCAGATCCACATCTCCTTCCGTGTTGAAGCGATCTTTGAGAAATCGGATGACGATATTCGACCCGCTAAGGCGGAATAATCCTTCTTCGTTGGCCGCATTCTTGGCTCGAAGAAACTCGATGCAGCGATATACCACGGCAGGAAGATAGACGTCCACATCCAGTGGGGAATAATATTCAACTGCTTCCTGGAGCTGCATGCCGAAGACGGGCCGCACATGACCGCCTCGGTGAGCGTTCACCTCGGGTCGCTTTGGTGGTGCTGGTTGAGCCGGAGCCAACTGCTCATAGGATGGCTTCTTGAAGTGGAAGAGATTGCGTTTCTTTTGCTCGCGCTCTTTGCTGCCGCTCTGACCAGCCGGTTTGTTACCCCACAGTCCAGCATCCGAGATGACAGTCCCATTCATAGGACCAGAGATGTTGAAGGATTTGGCGGTCGGAGCTGGTTCTTGTGCGAATTCAGGAGTATGAGTGGATGCGTTGGAAGGCGAGGGCGTGCCGCTGTGAGACTGGTGGAATTGAGGACTTCCGGTCGACTTCGACTCTCCATCCTCAGGGCCCATTCTTTGAGCTTTGACGTCCTTAGTGTGTGTGGGCACTCCAGCGCCGTATTGCGCCTTGGGTTCCGGAGGTCGCTCATCGATATAATGGAGCAGTGTCTCCACCCACTCGTCGCGTTCTGCGTCGCTTTCCGCGCAGAGAACATGACGGACGTGACTATTCATATCCTTTCGCTTGGGTTCTAGAATGAGAAACGCATGGCGATACTGATTTTCCGAGTCAACCTCCGCGTGTGATGTAGGATCGGACTGAGTTTGTCGACCAATCCTTGCATTCAGCAGCTTGATTGTTCCGAGGTGTGCACCACCCGGAGCTTCGAAATATCTGAGCTCTGGACTGTCCAAGACAAAGTATCTCGATTTCCAGCCACCAAAGTTCTTGCCTTTCTTCGTCAAGTAGCCCGATTTCGTGGGGCTGCCTCCGCTTGGTAAGTTCTGAACTGGTTTTGAATGAGCGTCTTCACCCGCTGGGGGAGGAAGACGCAGTTGAGGATCCATGACATCCGTGGACAAAAATCGACATATAATCGCCGCGGCTTGTTCGTCCATGGGAGTATCCAGAAGCTCTTCAAAATATGCATCTATGGAAGTTCGTCGCGCATCGACCGTGGCCGGGGAATGACCGGAGAAAAGCTTGCGATCTGGAAGCTTCGGAAGCTCTGCGCACCGAGGACGGAGTTGTTGCTCGAGGGTTGGAAGTGAAGAAGGAATCTTTTCGACGCGCCATAGTTCCGATGCCGTTGCACGCTCGAAAACAGACAGGCTGAAGACCGCATTCTCTTCCGGTGCCTTCAAGCCCAGTATGCTATTTCTTGACGGTCGCAGGCGTGACGACGCAACCTTCACTTGAATAGAAGGAAGAGCATTCGGGGGAAGTAAGAGGTCAGGCCAGGTGGGACTGACCAGGCCACGGTTCACTGGCGGAATTTCACCAGGGCTCAGAGGAGACTCATAGTTGAGACCACGATCTGAATCGGTAGCGACCGTGTTGGTGTTCATCTTGGCCAGGGGTGAGGGACCGATCTTCTTCTGAGCATCCGGAGCAGGCGCTTGCTGACCGGGCGTGGTAGGCATGGGCAGAGGTTGTTTTGGTGCTCGCGGAGAAAGAGGGAAATTTCCGCCTGGCGCACGTGGGGACATAGGAAGTGAAGTTCCCATGAAGTTATTGGCTATCGGACGAGGACTCAGAGGCAGACCAGGGCTCCGAAAAGGGAGTGACAGCTGAGCCGATGATCCCATCGAGTTCGTAGAAGCTGGGGACAGGTGATCTTGAGCTTTCACTTGCGTGTGGGACGGGGACAAAGCCTGGGCGGGCTCAACCGAAGGTTGAGGCATTTGCTCCAAAGCTTCCCCAGGTGTCTCAGTTTTGTTCTTTTTCTCCTTTTTGGATCGACTTCTGGCCTCTTGCTCCCTCAAGGCCAGTAGTTCACGATCACGGTCATCTTCTTCTCGAGTCTTTCGTCGTCCACGCTCCATAGGCTGTCTGTCTTCATCTTCGTCTGCATCGCTCACTACCATCTCCGCCGCAACCAGGGTCTGATTTGCGGGCAAATCGTCCTTGGTCTGACGAAGGTCAAGAGGCCTAGGTGGGGCTTTCCTTGAGGCCTGGAAAGACTTGGGCGGTTTCTCTGAGAGGGGAGTCGGTTCTGTCACTGCAAAGCTGGGTTGTGCCAGCTGGGTTGATATACTCTGCATACGTGATGCCTGCTGCAAATGAAGTGGCGGTGGCATCATCATAGGGTCAATAGGTGAGCTCTGTGTCTGAGGGTTGGGGCTTTTGCTTGGTGTCGGTTGTTCAACCCTCAACCTCAGATCCGACCCGGCTATAGACTCATTTTCCCTCGAAGCAACAGAGACGTCTCCATCAGACTGGGGCGAGTGACCATCTTCCACACGAAGGCGGTCCGCCGGGACGGCCGAAGGCTGAGTCTGCAATTCTTTGACTTTCTTCCTATATCGGTCCCTCTCTTTGGTCGCTCGTTCCAAATCCTTGTTTAGCCCTAACAGAAGCGCCCGCTGCTTATCTACAAGCTTCCAGAGCTGGGCGTTCTGAGCTGCCGCATGGCTCTTGTCCTTGAGAAGATGCTGTATAAGATTCTCGGCAGAACCGGCTGTCACAATGAGATTCTGAACTTCTTCTCGACTCGGATCCCTAACTTCCCCCGGTTGCTTCTGTCCATGCGACCCATTGGAGATGTTGGAAATGGCGGAATCGATCGATGACGTCCGCGGCATATTGTTGGGCGGATGAACGCTCGCCGAACACGACGTGTAGGACTTGGGAGACTCGGAAAGGGGGTTCGGTGGTTGTCCAGGATGTGTATTATCTGTTGGTACAGTGGCGGAACCCTTTTCAAACTCATTAGATATGGATCTGGTCCCATTCAAATTATTATTCTCGGTGGTCCTCCCACGCTGGCCCAGAGCAGATTTGGAGCTGGACAAAGAGCTCAAATAGTCTCGAGGGATTAGATTGTGGTTCAGGACCGACTGGACAGGTTTTCGAGAACCAAAAATGTGTGCATGAGCATCGGCCAGCGAGGAAGACGAAACATCGGCGTCTGTTTGGGTCAAACGAGTCTGGGGAGACAGAGGGGCGGTGGTGTCGCTGGTCGGCTGTGACATTTCGAGCACCGATTAGGCCGCATGAGGAACAGATTCGGAGGTCAAGCCATTCTTGGTACATGTAGCAAGGGGAGAACACTTGGACGCCGCTGACAGGCCAGCTGTACAAGCGGTGGTAGGTTAGTAGAAGAAAGCTCAACTAATAGTCTAACGACGATTGTGTCGAAGTTTTTGCTCGTGCTACTGGGAGAAGGACGAGTGAGAGAGGGAGAAGAAGGCCAGCCTCAGTTGGTGGCCGTAAGCGCCGGGAGACGTTCTGAAGGGTGATGATTGGGCACAGACTCTGAGAAGGGGATAGGGAGGCTGCAGGGAGGTTTCCTCGATTCGAGAAGACCCCCCACAAAAGTTTGGACAACGACGAAAACACAGAGATGGACGCCAGATGGAGCAATTCCTCACAGATCCTAACAGATCACACGGACCTTTGGTACACACTTCGTATCTCACGAGGGTCCCTTGGCCTGCTGGTTTCCACAATCTTGACGCGCAGTCTCTTCTCAACCAAGCCAGTCATTCATGCAGGATTCAGACAAGCATCCTAAGGTACAATGCCGGTGATCACTGATACCTCCACCAGCTTTTGTGGAGTCTGGAGGATATCTGTTCCTACGATAGCAGAGTTCCTTGACCAAGATTCCTGAGGATCAAATTCTGAAGAGCGTTCAGCTTTCGCATTCTGCGACTTTACTAACCTGCATCCTTCAGCCCAAAACATTTGCCCGATGCATGAAACAAAAGTGCCCGGCGCTGCTTCGGTTCGGAGTCCTCACAAGGGTGTTAGAGCAGCTAGAGCCACACCTAACGTGTGCCTAACGTATGCCTAACGCACACCGTCCGGAGTTGTATCCATCTTTACTGGCCCAAGCTTGTCGTCAACGTCGATCAGAATCTGGGCCCTCAAAATCCGAGAAAGCGAAGCGAGGGCTGCGAGAGGCGCACGGGTCGGAGGTCAGGGCGTTTGTAGTGATTTGATCACTGGTCGCTGGTGCCGGTGTCGATGTCTCCTTTCCCCTGCTGCGATAACTTGAAATCCATTTTCCTTCCCAGCCCTCCAGTTCGAACCGGTGCTTGGGTCGTTTCAGCTGCAGGAACCCGTCCCTCCCAGTCCTTCCGTATGATTGGCCTTAGGGTCAACCCAATCACGGCGCCTGTCAGGGATTCTTGGTGCTTGATGAACTTTCTTTTACACCGACCTTCTACGCTGCAGCCATTCACAGTCTGCAACCAAGGGTGTTCTTCAGGAAGTCCCTGTCATTCTACCCATCTTTTGATATGTGCCCATAATTTCAAAGCCATGAGCTGGCACCATACATCATGTACAAAGCAAATGTTTTTTTCTTTAACCTAAACCAACCCCCCTCCCTTCTACATACGAGTTGAGGCGTATGACTTTCTGGCCTTGTCAAATCTGGCCTATTTCTGAACATGTGCACCATACTGACACATCAAATATTTGTGGATCGGCTCAGCAATTTTCGTATTACGAAACCTTATGACAGGTTGCCTTGAGACTTTCCTTACTCGGCATTGATAGGATCCGACGCAACGGTCTTCCCCCCCATATTTCGTTAGATGTGATGAGATCGAGCTCATCATCACACCTCAAGGTCGCTTTCGTTTGTTTGCCATTCCTGGGGTCGAATCCCTGCTGGTACTCCCTGACGTTCCGCCAGAGGTGAATTCAATGGTTCTCTTTCCCGAAGCCGAGAGATTTCTCTTCGTTGACAATTCACTCTCTCGGAGAGTCTGCTGGCTCCTTAGAAGTTCTTCCTTATAGGCAGATGGAGGGAAGCTGGAAGGGTCCCAAACTTCCAAAGGAAGCGAAGTCCGGTACTGGTCGTTTCCGTCCAACCCTGCACGAACCATCATCATGGACAGCAAGCTGGGGTTTCGAAAGGTCGACTTAATTGCAAGGTCATTGTTGAAATGCACTCCCTGAGCCTTGAGGTCAAGGAACCTTTTGAATTTGGCATTCAACGTTGGGTCGGGCGAATCTGGAGGAGATGGCGGGATCGAGGTCATCGGATGGGAGGCTTGCGTAAGATAGCGAACCGCTTCTCGTTCAGACATTGATTCTAGGGCCGCGGATGAAGGGCCTTGCTCCTGATGGTCGTCCATTCGATCGGGCATCGTAGGACCTATTAGGGGCTTGACGCACCCATCTTCAGTGCGCATGTGCTCCTCTCCGCCAGACTCAGGCAAGGACGCCGCCTCGACAGTGCCATTCTTACCATTGGCATTAGATGCCGGCCCAGACAATTTCTCATTTGATTTTGATATGGTGGTCGAACGAGCCTCCGTCTTGGAAGGCTCATCTTCTTCGCTGCTACTCCCATAGCCAACGAGACCACCCATGTCGAGTGAGGAGTAATGACACAGCGCAAGTCTGAAAGCTCAACCAGCAAAGAAAGTTCGGACAGAAGCAGAGAACACACAAGACAGAATGGAATGATTCTCTTTACGATGAATCTGATCGAGCCCATGTGCTCTTGGCTCTCAAAGAATGATTTGCGGCTGCGCAATTAATGCACCGACGTATTAGATGCAGGCGGAGAGGGTGTTGCGTATTTCGCGAGGCTCATCCAACTTGAAAACCCGTCCATTTCGGTTTCTGAATTTTATTCACACAACTCAACTCCTCTTCTCTCGTGAGCAATGTCATCCCTCCTGAATACCGGGCCAATGCCCTCAGATCAACCTGGCTTTTCATTTTCCCACACCGCCGTTCCCAGAGAAGCCTCAGGCGCTAAACAACGTGCCTTCAACCCGTAGGTTTGAATGCGCCCTGGTTACCGTCCAGCGGACCATTAATTCGTATTAGGTACACAGATAACGGCGGCTCGACGCTGGGAATAACGGGTGCAGACTTTGCCATTCTAGCTGGCGACACGCGATCCACGTCAGGTTACAACATCAACACTCGATATGCCCCCAAGCTCTTCCGCATCGGTGATGATGGTGATTCCTCCTCACGCATCGTCTTGTCCGTCGTTGGATTCGCAGCAGATGGAAATGCTCTGAAGGAACGGCTAGATGCCGTTGTCAAAATGTACAAATACCAACATGGCAAGCCCATGAGCGTCAAGGCCTGCGCACAACGATTGTCAACGATCCTCTACCAGAAGCGTTTCTTCCCATACTATGTACACGCGATTCTGGGCGGACTAGACGAGGATGGAAAGGGGGCTCTGTACAGCTATGATCCTGTGGGCAGTTACGAGCGTGAACAATGCCGCGCAGCTGGCGCAGCCGCCAGCTTGATCATGCCATTCTTGGACAATCAGGTCAACTACAAGAATCAGTACATTCCGGCTTCAGGAATAGGACATGAACTGCAGCAGAGACCTACTGAAAGTCTACCGAAGGATGTTGTCATCGGCTTGGTCAAGGATGCTTTCACCAGTGCAACGGAGAGACATATTGAGGTTGGCGATGGACTACAAATGTTAATCATCACGAAGGATGGGATCGAAGAGACATATACACCACTGAAAAGAGATTAGAGGCATCGTGGGGACTTTCTGGTTGCTGCGGCGTTGTGTCTGTATGCATAGCTCGGCGAATGGAATCCAGCCAAAATTTGACGCCATAAGGCAACGACTCGACCTGTTCTTGTTCTGCGATGTTCTCTCCTAATACCCTTTCTTTCCCTCCCCAGTCCAATAATGAACCAAGTCCGCTCCATAACGCCGACATGCATTTTCGTACACTTCCATCATGCTTCGTAAAGTTGAATTGTATTGTTGAATATTCAGAATCTCTCCTTCATCCGGCTGGCGACTGTTCTCAAATTGCCATATACTTTACCGGGGGGAGCACCAAGGATCAAACTGACCACGGCCTCTCGTGCTATCCTAATGTTTTGGAATCCTCCCAGAATGTGGATCTTGCTGTCCGCCAACACCACTCTCGTCTTACTAGTATTTTCAATCGCAAATTTTGTCTTCCCATCCTTCCCCGCTATCCGACCAATCGCACGGCTCAGATGCTCGCCCTGGAGTGTTTTGACGTCCTTGATTTCGAACGTTTCGATGTAGAGATCATCCAGTCGTAATAATGCAATGGCATCATCCACGTCGAAGCCGAGCGTAAACGCCTTGACAAAATCTTCGCCCTTTTGCAATGCACCCGCGTCCGTCGTGAATTTCGAGGTCCGAAGTTCAACGGCTTTGGATTTGATATTCATTCGTACTTGTAGTTTCAGGTGTTCGACAAGGGGAGGGTAAATCTTTGTCCAGTTCATTTTTAACGGCGACATGCGGTGTGGAGGAATAGGGACTTTCCGAGACTGTATTCGAACAGAGTTTGGCGAGCCAAGAGGTGAAGATGCCGGTGCGAATCGAGGTCTGCCTTCTTCGTCTATTTGCATGTCTGTCTCTTCCGAAATTTCGGTCATATTTGGAAGTGTTGCGTCTTGCGGCGCGGTGACAATATCGACATCAAGATTCTTATCAGGCCAAATTGATAGAGGGATATTCTGGGCTTCAGTGTCTGCGAGCGCCTCTGGGGCCCGCTGCAGGGCTGTCGGAGCAGGCATACTCGGTGTCTGAGTTCAATCTCGAACGACAAGCAAAATCGATTGTCGTCGGAAGACTGATGCCGCAGTCAAGAACTGGCGTAGTTCGGGTTTCAGTTGAGTTTGTGTTCAAGAAATCTTTCTTTTTCTCCGCATCCAAAATTGTGGGCAGCTTTGTGGGCCGGTTTTTAGCTTGCATCATCTTGCACATGCGCTTCTACCTTGCTCCACCACCTTCAACGACTTCCATCCATTATTCCTGTTCGGTCCGACGCCCTACCAATCTATCGAACAGCATGATAGTCCAATCATGACGGACGTCCTCGTCCGAGGCATAGGAGATGTCTCGAAGATCGCAGCTCTGGTACCACGGACTACTCGAGTAACGCAAAGGCTTCCAGCACGTTCCAATCGAAGCTTCAAATATCACCTTCCAAGACGGATATCGACTATATGTCGTTCCAATGATGCTTCTATTGAGATAAGAGAGCCTGGAGGACGGTTTTCGCTTCAACAATCATACCGAGACAAATTTAGGTATGGAAACCTTGAAGGGCCGTGGTTGGTACCGATAGTATCCAGACTCAGTCGCTTCGCGTTACGCAATGGGTCCTTATTCAATCTAGGCTCCTTGGGCCCTCGGTCAAACCGAAACGATGGCACACTCACCCGGATCGGGGTGCTACCCCAGGTGCAGTCTAGAGGCTTCCATAATACACCCAGACGGACAGAGAATCAAGAGCCGAAAAGAGAAGAAATTGAGAAACAAGATGACAAAGAGAGTGCAACCAAATCGCAGACCTCGCAGCAAATACCACCTAGATCTGGCGCAGGACAAAATCGGTCTCATCATGAACATTTCTATGACAGGCTTCAAATGCCACAATTTCATCGTCCGACCAAGGAAGAACTTTTGGCAGCTGCAACAGGATTCTGGTCTCGACTCAAGGTCCACTTTAAGTGGCTAACTATTAAAAGCACCCGACCCTTCAATATGGATGAAATCGTCGGTTTTATCTCGTGGATTGCGCTTGGCCATGTCATTTGGATTGTTATTGGAACTACGACTTTTGTGTCTCTTGCAATATTGGCCATCAACACTGTGTTTGCACAAGAAACTCTGGCCGGTTGGATCGGGAATTATTTAACAAAATCATCTGGTCTGCAGGTTGTGTTTGAGTCTGCCATTGTACCCAAATGGGGTGATGGCGTCATCACGTTCAAGAATGTATTCGTCTCAAGACGCCCAGGCCAGAACAAATCTCGTGTCACCAAGGGATCACCAGAAGCAGCCGCGCAGGCTTCTTCGGCGGAAGATCCTGTTCCTCCAGAGGAGCAGAATTATACGCAATTTGACATCACCATTGGGGAGATCAACGTCACTTTATCGTTCAGCAAATGGTGGAATTCGAAAGGCCCCCTGCAGAACGTGGAGGTTAAGCACGTCAGAGGCGTCGTGGATCGGACTCATGTTTTCTGGACAGGAGAAGAAGTTGATCCCAAATCATATCGACACGAGCACAACCCTGGAGACTTCGAAATCGAATCCTTTAAAATTGAAGACCTCCTCGTCACGGTTCTTCAACCCGCAGGATTCAGACCGTTTCCCGTTAGCATATATAGTGCAGATTTGCCCCGACTACGGAAGCAATGGCTATTCTACGACCTCCTCTGTGCTAATAGCATGACCGGCGAGTACGACAGGTCTCTTTTTACGATCCACCCCCGCCAAACACACTCATACACAGGTGCCCAACTCAACGATCCTAACGATCCCTCCGATGATCCGTGGAAGAAGCAGTCCCGAATTCGCATCGATAGCTTGAATATCGATCATTTGAATCGGGGAGCGGTGGGACCATTGTCCTGGATTCATGAAGGCAATGTTGACATCGTTGCTGATATCATGATTCCAAGTGACAGCGACGAGTCCGTCATGAAAGTCATGACTGATTTCTATGAACGAATGGAGGCCACCCTCACATCAAAGAAGCACCTCGAACAGGTCCGGGGAGATTCGTCCGATCCTGAATCAAACGACGTCGTTGCTTCGCCAGAGTCCCCACTCGCAAAAGATGAAGACAAAAAATACCTAGTCATGGATCTCCGGATCCACCTCAACGATGTCCGCGCCGTTGTCCCCATCTTCACTCGCGACCTATCATACATCAACAACGCGCTCATTCGGCCGATCGTCGCCTACATTAATTCACGCCGCACATTCATCCCGATCAACTGCCGTGTGGTTAAACGCTTGTCGGATTTTGATGGAAGCTGGACCGTCTTCGATTCCGGCCTCATGGACGATTTGTCTGCGGAAGTATACGATGCATTTGCGAGAGATGTCACAGACGAACAAGCGAGATCGAGACGCTTCAAAAAAGTCGGATTGTGGAGTTTACAAATTGCCGTGCAGGCCATCTTCTTGGTAAGTGGATCACTTGCTCTTTGTAACGTCCATTTATCTGTTCGTCTGTAGTGTACCGGCCCCATGCTAACATTTGTGACTTACAGGGAATGGCAGGCAACATTGCTTAATAGCCGGAAACGACATTTACGAAAACATCTTCTCTCTTAAAACCCCACTAACTGAAAGAATTCATGGTTTGTAACAAAAGTGATGCAGATCTGCCATACTGCAGGATTGGAAAAGGAGTTTCAATGGTCTGGGAAACTTACGAGAATACGGCGTTTTAACTGTAATTCATTAAATATCATCACTCAGTTAGTCTTGGTGATGATTATCAAGTTGTATTGAAAGTCATAGTACCAGGACACGAAGTGCTCGAACATCGCCATACCTGGACCTAATTTATCCTGCTCTTCCACCAGTTACCTGTACTTCGTAAACGGTATTCTGGCCCGATGATGGAATTCGGACTTCCCTCAAGAACGCACCCTGTTCCCGAACATCCTTGAGCCGGTGCAAATTTATTAGCTAATCTAGGAAAGAAGACCTTGACTGCTTTGCTCGAAAGAAACCAAGCTCCTCCTTTCCCCGAAAGATTCCCTCTCTCCCGTCCCGTATCCGAACTTCAGTAGGGTCAGTCCTGGGTCTGGGGTTTCCTTGCCCGTTCTTTCCTGAGCTTAGAAATTTCAATATCATTCCACCATTCGAGCAAGGAGACGCGTTGGGAACGGTAGGGAAGCATCCTTATCCCAACTGAGTCCATTTTTGATTTCCTCTACTGCAAGGTTTGACAGTGTCTCAATTTTGTGTTTGTCTGCGATCGGATACATCTTGCACGTATGGCTTCCGGGATCCTCGAACATGAGCGCTGAAGAATCTGCCGGGCCTTGTTGCATGATCACCTGGAGTCGAGATCTGCGGGTTCCCCTTCGCCAGTTAGGTCCAGATACTCTCCCGTGTAGCACCAGAGGTTGAGATACGCAATGATCATGGGGTCGCCATCTTCTAGCGTTGTGCTTCCTGTCTCACAACTCGTCAATATCGTTGAACACATTAGACCATAATGGAACTCAGGCCGAACGAACCTGAACCTCCGAGTTACACATCTTCCGGAAGAACTTCGACGAAGCAGAAAGTGACACAGCTGTGGACTTTACAGCTAAAGTCGCCAACGGTAGTGGTGACATCGGGAGGGGCCTCTTTCTCCAAAAGCGGGTTTGACGCTGTCTGCTCGTTAGAGATATGAGATGACAAGGGAAAAGGTGCAGAGTTACGTTCTCAAATCGCTCTTTTCGATTCCCATTGTGCTCAGATTGACTCTGGACGCGGAGTTATCTGTGTATGTCCTATGAGAATGGCTCTTGAATCGATGCTGTTGAAGTGAGAGATGCCAGATAAGAGATAGCCAAGCATGAGAAGAGAAGATGAAAATAGATGAGTGGAGAAAACCGTCAGAAGAGATATCAAATTGGGCTGGGAGTGAATAAGTGATAGTTGACAGTATCATGCAAAGGTATTCACGGATCGCCATGAGGAGGGTGTTTCACCCGGATGCTGGGACAGATGTCCATGTAGTCACCGCATCGAAGTATGTTAAAATAGTCAGCCAAGTCGTCATGCCGCAGAGGTTAGATGGAAGGAGTTAGCAGGAATGAGAAAGTGACCATCCGGTCGGTTAGTGGTCGGGATTGGGATAAATGAAGGGTTTGAGAGTACTAGTGCGAACAATGTGCGCACACCTCTAGTCTGCTGTTCCTCAATCTCAAAGAACAGCAGGTCTGAAATAGGTCTGCCGTGAACTAGCAGTTGCCCTCTAGGCAAACATCATCCGGAAGGAGCTTGCCAGGAAGGATCCTCACTAGCTTTTTGATTTCGCGCTGGAAATGCTCTATGGCATTGACTTGTGATCTCCGACCATGGCAGAGTTTTGGTCGCAGACGCTTGTACTGTTCGAGTCGCGCTGTTGAGGGTCAAGTAGGAGGGCCGAGATGACTGAACTTGATCGGTTCGGGTGATATTAAATATATTTTGGGTATCTTTTGCTGAGGGGAGTGTAATGTACAGACCAATATGCGGCACTTGTAGAAGGGCTGGCATATCTTAGGCAGACATTTTTAAACTTTTCATTTGCCACTTTTCTGGATCTTGTCCGATCCAGGTTTTCTTTTCTCCAAGAACGCACACTGATTTCAGCTCGGCAGGTAGGTCAACCAGGTATTTTTGCGCGACATTTTGGACATCAGCCTTCGTGACGTCCAGTAATCCTTCGCGCATCCTTTGATCCATATCTTCGGTTATTCCGTACATGAATTCTTTGCTCGCTTCGCTGCTAACGCTTCTCGGTGCATCGATGCCCTGAAAGATGCTCAGCTTGCTCTCCTCAAGTTCACGACTGCTCCAATCTTTGTCTCGAGCATAGACGCCAGCCCGCTGAAAGACATTGAGAGAATTGCGAGGATTGGGGTCGCGATAAGAGGACATGGTGAAAAGGCTGCTGATAGGACTGGCACTGGCTGACGCTCCATAAGCTCCACCCTTTTCTCTGACTTCTGGGTGTAGGAAATTATGGACAAGAAGCTGACCAAGTACTGTGAGTGGTGCCTTGTCTGGAGAAGAATATGGTACGGTCTGTAGACAAGTTCCAGTATAGGAAACTTGGAAGGGTAAATCGAAGAAGGCACGTCGCGACAGAGAAGACCCAGCAATCGTATCGGACGCGGTGGAGCCAGAGATTGTCGGGTCACCCTTGGGCAACTTTTCGAGAAATTCTTCGATCAGCTGTTGATTCGTAGGGACTGAATCAGGTTCGCAGACAATGCGCATCGATAGATTGGAAGAGTTGGAGATGGCGATTGACTGGATCTTTCGTAGCTTCCGAATGACTTCCTGAAGACTTTGAGGATCACGTCGAGCGGCATCGAGTATCCTGGCTGTGGACTCTATTTGGGTGAGGCCAGATAATTGATCTTGGATCCTGCCTCTCCTCGTCAATGCAGCAGAAGCACTTGTAACGGCAAAATGATGCCCACTCTCAGCAACAGAGTCTAAGGCACCCGATGTTTTGGCTTCAAGCAGCTCCTGAATTGCAGAGACAGCCTTTGGATCCGAGAAATCAATCTCCGTCAGCAGGGAACGGATGAGATCGAACATGGCTGGAACATTTCGGTCCAGAGCATATCCATCAATGAGGAAACCCTCGTGGAATTCATCTAGACTCCATGGTTCAGGTGCAGCAAACGTAGAGATAGATATGCCACCGGTCTTCAGGAGGATTTCAGCTTCGATATCCCCGACAGATTTTGTCTTCGTACCCAAACGCATCAGAGAGTCGGTGAAAAGAGGCATCAAAAGTCTGAGTTCTTCAGGAAGATCTTTTAGCAGGTGTTTTGCCTGGAAGTAAGTGATTCCATTTGTCGAGGTCTCCCGCCACAGGCAATTCACATCACCAATTTGGGAATAGTATCGTGGTTTTCTCTCCATCTCTCGAGCAATGTCGTTAACGCGAAGAGTGGGAAGGGTGTCTAGGTTCTCGTACTGCGCCGTCTCTTGTTCTTCAAGCAGCTCAAGTTCTTGCCGACCAAGTTCGGAAATGGCGGCTTCAGGGGAACTGGCACTCTTCTTGAATTCTTCCAGGATGTTCTGCCGCCGCCGCTCTTCTCGAGCTTCCAAATCTGATCCATATGACTCCGACGGCTTCATGGTGAATTGCATGCATTTGTCGTTCATGATGTACTTTTGAACGAGGTTTTCCAGGTATTTCTCCTCTTTCAAATGTTGCTTGAAGGCGTCGATTATGTCGTTCCAGGCCAGACCATCCACCGGATTAACACCATTGAACCATCCAGCGAGGGATTTCTCCAACAACCCTATACCAAAGTTTGCGGTTTTATGCTTTAGAGCAAGCTCCAACTGATGCATATAACCTTCAATTTTGTGGGGCAAGAAGGCCTCATGGGCCTTTTCTCGCAATATCGTTTGAATTGTGCCTTTCAAAGCAGGAATATCTTCCGCCCTCATACCATCTAAGCCAATCGAGAACATTCCTACCCGGGCCGAACTATCGTAGCCAGAATTTGGGCTGAAGTTTGTCCCTAACGAGGATTCGATCAATCCCTGGTAGAGGGGAGAGCCATACCCATTCATCAACAGAGACATCATGATACTGACAGAAAATGTCTCCACAAGATCTGAGGAAGGACACCCCATCCAAGTGATAGAAGACTTAAACTGTCGATCTGGAGGCTGCATCGTGTCAATGGGCCCCCCCACTTCAAAAGAAAGTGGCCCGATAGATAAGTCAATCGGGTACCTGGGCTCGGAATCAGGAGATCCCTTCTCAAATTTTGATATCGTTTCGTCCACAATTTGGAGTTGCTCAGCCAGACTCAAACTGCCGTAGGAAAAGATCTTTGCATTACTAGGATGGTAATGTTGGCGAGAAAAGTCGACGAGTTGTTCATGTGTCAGTCCAGTCATCACCTCTGGGTCTCCCCCGGAATTATGTAGAGACGGGAAGAGGTGTTCTCTAAACCTAATATAGAACAGATAGCTCGCGTCGGACAGCTGGCCTTTCATCTCATTGTACACCACTCCTTTGAACTTGATGTTGTCCTCCGTTGCCACCTCTCGTGGATCTTCAGGTCCCAGCCGCCATCCCTCTTGCAAGAAATCCGAACGCTTGAGCAAGGGATGAAGGGTTGCATCAAGATAGACGGACGACAAATTTCGGAAATCTTGTGGATTGGTGGTTGCAAAAGGATAAGAGGTATAGTCTGCAGACGTAAAGGCATTCATGAAATTCGCAAGGGATCTAGGCATCATCTTGAAGAATGGATCTCGTACTGGGTACTTCTCGCTTCCGCATAGAGTGACATGTTCTAGAATGTGCGGTAGGCCCGTTCTATCCTCAGGATTGGTCTTGAAGTTGATGGCGAAGACATTGTTCTTGTCATCCCGGGCCACATGCAAGTATTCCGCCCCCGTCTTGTCATGCTCCAATCTCAAAGCTGTCAAATGCAATTCAGGAACGTGCTTGATCTGTTTTAACGTGAATCCATGAATTGCCTTCCCGGGCTTTGGATAGGCCTCCACATCTGTGATCGACGCATATCCTCTTTGGGGCCACGATGTCAAGGATGCTAGGAGTTTGGAGCTGCGGGTTCTGGCGTAACGATGAAGGCCAGGTCGGAGGCCATGCCGAAGCATGACAGTGTCGAAAGAATTCCGGCTTCGAGTTAGGGATCGGTCGTCCTGGGAGTTTCTTTCGTCCCCACGGCTAGTTCACTACCAAAAGCATCAGAGAAATGCGATGGCGTGTTAGGAAATGTAACTGACGAAATTAAACCCACAAACTTCTTAGATTCTCAGGTCACGTGTGCTCATCTCTGATCCCACCTTTGGATATCATTCAATTCAAAACATCCTGTTCATTCCCGCACAGTAAAGACAGACACTCAAATTCTTTCTTTTTCATTGTGGAGTAAAACTTCCAACATTCTCGCATCGCGGGCTGGTCTTCAGGTACTGATCCATCCAATTCTTGCGCATCGGTAGAAAGTGCTCGGCCGTGGACAAGATCTGCACATCTTCTTCGACCCAATCTCCCACCTTTGGTCACCTAGAACTCGCACAACACATACGGTAGTCCATTCACTACTTCTTCGGGCACCTTTGGACATTGTTCACGTCACCCTGCATTAGGCGCAACCTCGTTTCATGGTGGTCCCTCTCAGATGTTCTTGACGCCCAGCACAAACCCGGGCAAGAGTTTTGAGCATAGTTTCTGGTGGTGACAAAAGACTTGGAGGACAAAGACATACCCATCTGGCATCAAATTCCATATGGCGACTACTGCGCAAAGTCCGACTTCGCAAACCACAAATGGCGATGCGCAAGAGCTACCCCCACCTGCCCCAGCGACAAAGAAAGGCAAAGCAAAGAAAGACAAGCAATTGAGTGCAGAAGAGAATGCGAGGTTGGTTCAGGCGCGGTTGTCGCAGTTGGAGCAAGAAAAAGCGGGTGAAAAAAATCAACAAGCGGAGGTGGATCGTGAAGTTAAGAAGGCCACACGAGACCTCCATGAACTGATGAACAGCGTCGAAGGACCCCTCAGCCGACTTGATTTTGTGCAAAAGAAGTACGAGGAGCTATTGACGGAAATGAAAAAGCTGGAGCGTGATTATGCGAAGAACAAGAAGCGCGCCGACCAATTGCAGAAGGAGCAGGAGAAGTCCAAGTCGGAACACAACAAAACCACGACGATGAAGGATAAACTTGAAAAGTTGTGTCGAGAACTGACAAAGGAAAACAAGAAATTGAAGGACGAAAATAAGAAATTGGAAGTGACCGAGAAACAAGCACGGGAGACCATCAACGAGCGACTCGATCAAATGCTTTATGACGTTCAAGAAGTCATGAATTCCAAGACTACCACCCATTCCGAAAATCTCCATCTGGATCTCGACGAGCTGTACGTACAATCCGTGGTCGCGTTGAAAGTGTGACTGACTTTCCATCCAGATTCAAGACACGATGCAAAGTCCTAGCAGATCAAGCCGAGATTCGAGAGATGCACTTCAAAGCAATACTTCGCCATAAAGATGCGGAAATTGCTCATCTACAAGCCAAACACGAAGTAGAGCGGAGAAGGGCAGACGCAGAAGCCACCCGCTGCCGAACACTTACGAATCAAGTCTCTACCTTCTCTCACACAGAAGCAGAATTGCGAAGTCAGCTCAACATCTACGTCGAGAAATTCAAACAGGTAAGTCTCACTCTTCTCCCTCTTCTATTTTATCGATACGATCGCTGAAATGTTGCTCACAACGCAGCAGGTGGAAGATACCCTCAATAACAGCAACGAACTGTTCCTCACTTTTCGCAAGGAAATGGAAGAGATGTCTAAGAAGACTAAGAGACTTGAAAAGGAAAATCTCACCCTTACGCGAAAGCATGATCAGACAAATCGGAACATCATAGAAATGGCCGAGGAGCGAACTCGAGATAAGGAAGATCTCGAGCGCCTTAGGAAGCAGGAGCAACAGATGCGGAACATTATCAAGACAATGCAGGAGCAAGGCCGTGGTGGGCCGATTCAACAGGAGCTCGTGGACGGAGAGGGGACCGAGAGCGATTATGACGAGGAGTACGAAGACGATGAAGAGGATGATGATGCCAGCTACGAAGCGGAAGAGGAGTTGGCGGCGGAGATCGCGAAACCTGTCTTTGGACCTGTGCCTCCACCGGAAATGCTCAACAAAGCCAATGGCCAGAAAACCCCGGCCGTCGTTAATGGCATCAAGCATTAGCATGAACGGGGAACCCAAAAAGGATTGGCTATTGGCTTGGTGGCTTGTTGGCATTGTCACATTGTCTCGTGTGAATATGTTAGATATCGCCCAGGACATGACAAGGCCATTCATTCGTATGGCGAGTTGTGATTCAGAGTACATAATCCAATTCAGAGCTCCGCCTGTATGCGTGTTACCATTCCTCAGGAAAGATTTCCTTTCTTACAAATTCTCTGAAAAACCCAGCAATTGCGCCCCGGCAATAGCCCATCAGATTCGCATTTTTTTTTTCCAATCACAGTTTACTTCTAGGTCCCTCGATATATGTACTGGCCAACTTCAGCATCTCGACCGCCTGTCTTACCATATCCTCCACGATGTCTTTCGCAGGTTTAATATCCTTGATGATAGCAGCGACTTGACCCATGAGGAACGGCATATCAACGTCCGCCTCCTGTTCTAGATCATAGGCCATGGGCACAATACCCTTTTCCGTCAACTCCCTGATCCGCTCGGGCTGGCTCTCCCATTTCTGGAGGTACTCATTCATCCGTGCGCGGAGGGGGCGGCCGGAGACGACCAGCGTGCGGATGGTGTCTGTAAAGTCGGCACTGACGACGGCTTCCTTGTGCATTCTGCTGGCACCGCTCTCTTCGGCGGCGACGAAGCGTGTGCCGACCCAGACGCCCACAGCGCCTTGCATCAGACTGCTCGCGAGGCTGCGGCCGTCGTAGATACCGCCCGCGGCCACTACCAGCGCCGGTTCCCCTGTCAGCGGGCTCTTGTACTTCTTCGCCACATCCACGACAGCTGGGATCAAGATGCTGTTTGCGATGTCACCGGTATGACCGCCCCCTTCTGTTCCCTGGGCACAGACGATGTCGACGCCAGCCTTAAGGGCTTTCTCCGCGTGTTTCGGCGCTCCCACCATGTTCATAACCAGGATGCCCGCTTCGTGGAGGCGTCTGATAGTGCGTGCGGGAGGGACACCGACTGCGCTGACGAAGATCTTTGCACCGTTCTTGATGGTCACTTCGATAAGCTCGTCGAGTTGGCCGTGGGTATAGTCATGGTTGGTCTTTCGCGCACTTCCACCGACTTGTGGTAGGGCCAGGTCGACACCGAATGGTAGGGATTTATCGGTGAGATTGGCCTTTAGATCATCAATGATCTGAGAGCGTCAGTCGTCGCATGGCAGCGTGTATAGCATGAAGCAAATTACCTCTTGTAGTTGTCCCGGAGTATATCCCAGCCCTCCAATAGTTCCAATACCTCCGGCATTCGAAACTGCAGCAGCCAATGGACCGCCTGATGTACGTGCCATACCGGCCAGCATTATGGGGTATTTAATGCCCAAGAGCTTGGTCAAGGGTGTGTTGAGAGCGGGCGGAGACGACATCTTGGTGGGTTGTGAGCAAAAACACCTCAAAGAACAGTTCTCTAGCCGAAGTGAAGCTGTGTGACAAGAGGTAAGCATATCGGAGAGCGATCCATTAGAGAAGGACTTGTATATCAGCAGAAGTGTGGGGGTCGGTAGTATCTTGTCCACGAACCGAGGCTGGTTCGAAGCCAATACGCACGACTCCTCTTACCGCCAGAAAAAGTAATAAGCATCGAAAAGGGCATGGTCATGGGAATGTATTAATTTGAGGATCTGGGAGGGAGCTGGAGTCCCAGCAGGGCCCATCGCTTTGCTCTCCCTCAAGATGCTGGCAGATCGTGAAGGTATCCGTCTTGGTTGCCGAATTGATGAAAATGAGCTTGGCAAGTCACGTGCATGAACACTGGAGTCACGCCGCTTTAAGTCTTGTTGCTAGTGCCCAGATTTGACTCATCAACTAGGCTGAGCTAGTCCACACACGGCAAGGCGTCCCATTTAGTCACGTGATAAAAATATCAATACGTTGTTTTAGGGGTCAACGTCACGTGCTGACCTACCATATCGTTAGGGCAGCGTCTCACTGAATATCGGACTTCATACTTTGACGGCGTAGGCAGCAACTGAGCCTTTGGGGGCTGAAGTGTTTCACGACGCAAATATCGCTGCCTGGTACAATTGAGATAATGTCCTCGTCGACCCGAATTCTGATACTCATCGATAGCTGTATTGAAAACCTGCACTACTGCAACAACCGACTTATAAACCGGGCTGGGCAGAAACCTCTAATATGAACCCTGCGAAACCTTTCCCCAACCCTGTTCACGAGTCAGCACATGCACAGCGTAATGGTCTTGTTATTGTATCTCACTACTGTCCTGAACGACCGTACGTTGAACTTGGAGTGCCAACTAGCATCCGCGAGGTTCACAAAATTATCTTCAAGACAGTGTCTCATGATCAAGGTGCCGTGACCCCGAATAAGCCTGAGAACTATTCACTGACCGTCCCGAAGGATATAGCAATGACGATGCGACTCTGAGGGGGACGTACGAGCAGAGCTTCACCTGGTTTGAAGCTTCAGTCATCACGCCCTCCGCTCGTGATCGTGTACCTCGTCGCCACCTCCAGAGCAACTTGCATGCAATCAGTGATTTCCGAGAACATGAGATTTGTTGGAACTTGGAAGAGGCTGAAGTGTCGTTGAAACGATGGCTGAGGGCGATTAAGCCGGGCGACACCGTGCAAATTGTCCCTAAAGCTCGCCATCAAGCATGGCGCAATTATGTCGCAGCGGCATCAATTACGGTGTTCGGTTTAGGTGGAGAGCAAGTGTAGAATTCCTACCTCAATCGGCGGGTCGTTTCTATTGCTAATCACTCCGTCAGAGGGCATCCATCACCCTCAGCACCCGACCTTAATATCTACCGCCCATTGACAAGGGCCAAGGAAATCCGGTTAGTCAGCTTGCAGTCTGGAAACACGGATCATCAAGTCCACTGTATCCTTGAGCATGCCGAGCTGGGTGACGATGTTCAAGAGCCCTACGAATGCATGTCGTACTGCTGGGGCGATCGAGGAGACCCAAAAGTTGTTCGCCTGTCCTGCTGTCCAGAGGGAGAGAGCAAACCGGTCGAATCTCTGGTCCCAATCACGTCGAATCTCCATGATGCTCTTCTCCGTCTGCGACATCCCTCTAAGCCCCGAAAGATATGGATCGATGCGATAAGTATAAACCAGTCGGACCCTCACGAGTGTTCACTACAAGTTGCATTGATGCGGGAAATATATTCTCAAGCAGAGGACGTTATTGTCTGGCTGGGCGAACGTAATGACGGCAACGACGGGTGCCTTGCTGATGCCGAGATGATCGCGGAACGATATTTGCAACGTTCTGACCTCGATCAATCCACTACGAAGCTGCATAGTCCTCTCCTAGACAATGGCAGCTATCATGTCGACAATCCTTTATTCCGAAACGACTACTTTCGCCGGGCTTGGGTCCTCCAAGAGGTTTTCAACGCCAGACATGTCTCAGTGCTGTATGGTGGCACGCTTATGTCCTGGGCTAGGATTTTGCGGCTCAACGAGTGTATTACTCGCTCAACCGTCTACTCAAACCCAATTGCCAAAAATACAATGCCTCCGCTCTTTTCAGAGCTGTTCACGCCACACTCATTGAGAAAATCTGTCAAAAACACAGCGTATCTGCAGGAGTACTCGCGACAGACAACCAAAATGGGTATCTTGGATGTGGTTCTTGAAGGCCTCGATCTAGAAACGACCGATCCTCGGGACAAGATTTTTGCCTTACTAAGTTTTGGTCAGGAGACATGGGATTTCAGTTGCCACGGTGCTGAGATCCGACCGGATTATACTAAGACACCAGCGAGAGTGTTCGCCGACTTCACTCGTTGGTGGATCAGAACACACAAATCATTACGAATTCTATCAACTATACATTTATCCCGAGGGAGGACTTGGGTTAACCTGTCGCCTTCGTCGGCTTTGAACGGTTCTAATGACCGCCCGAGCTGGTCATTTTGGCATACTGGCAGAAGTGTATGGGCGCAAGGGACTTTAGGGTTGAGCGCTGAGTCTCCGTATCGTGTTGCAGGGAACACCGATCCTGTCATTGAGGAGACGGTTGACCCCATGGTCCTAGGAGTCAGGGGTCGCCAGATTGGTGTCATTTCCAAAATCCGTCCCTACCCATACTATCCTATCTATGTTTCCATGCATGTCGGCGACAATCCTGCTCAACGCCGTTACCAGGATCTGCACGAAGCCTATGTTCACCTGTTCGACCCTCTTAGCTGGAGAGGAACTTGGACCTCCAGAGTCCAGAGAGGCGATGTCCAGAAACTTCGACAGCCATATGACCAAACAGAGACCTTCCAGAAGAACATGGATCATTTGGCTACACACGCCAGTCTTGATCCCGAGAAAGAGAATCATCTTATTCGTGATATCCTACAAGATCCACAGAATACGTTGGTAGGATGCCATGCACCTTGTTTCATACAAACCTCGGCCGGGGACGAAGGGCTTTGCCCTGCTGCAGCGAGACCCGGCGATGTTATTGTGGCCTTGTATGGAAGTCGTGTGCCATACATTCTTCGGCCACTGCCTCAAGAGAGCTCTCACACGGACGACGCTGGCGCAACCATACACCTGTCGTACCAGCTAGTCGGCGAGTGCTATCTAGAGAACTATATGTATGGCAAGGCTGTGAAGGAAGACGACAATGGTGAGCAGCAAGGGTGTCCAGAGAAGACATTCTATTTGATTTGAAGCCTTCGGCATGTCCCCGCTACTATGATCTGGGGCGTCATTGAGCTCTCACTAGAATCTTAACTCGAAATCGACGGGGTGACGGAATGAATGTAACCGGCTCTCGTCAACGACTCGGCTCAGGAGGAGCTGCGACGCTTTCGTTTAAGGGATGTTGGCACGGCGCAACGCTTCGATGTTAATTCTACCAAGATGGGATGGGAAGCGGCTTCCAATTGGGATAGCTTTACACTCAGCATGTGGATTTTCTCCGAGAAGGCTTCAAGAAGGCTAGTTTGTGGATTTCCGGTGGGCATAGGCGCGATTTTGGTCAGAACTTCAGCCCCAAAAAGGGGCTCTAGAAGTCTAGAGCGTGATTTGAAAAAGTACAGTGATGGATGGGTCTGCTCTGTGCAAAAGTATGCCTTGGATATCTAAGTATCCAAGTTTAACGAGGCTAAGCTAAACTTCAGAGGACTAATATCTTCGCTGCTTTAGTAGGATTCACCACGTGCGGAGCAAGACGGCCTTCCGATAAATAGGCGGCACTGCATCTAACTTTAAATAGGGTCATTACACTTTCGAATGACGCGCTAACGCGACCTGGTCGCGTCACTCCCCCCATTTTCCGCATTTTCATCGAAAGAATGAAAAGCGGGTAGCAGACAAACGCAACCTCACCATCCTCTTTTAGAGCGAGGCTCTCAACATGGCACCGATTCAAGGACTGCTCCGTCCCTGGCAGAAGGAAGAGAAATTTGACCAGAAAAACAGAGCTCCTACCACCTACAATCCGTTATATTCCTATCGATTGCCTCGAGGAGAAAACAAACACTACCTGCAACAATATGGCGACACGTATTTCTTACGACTTGCGAAGTTGAAGCCTGTGGTTGAAAAGATCGCGGTAGAAGATTGGAAGGATTTCGAGATCGCGGGAGAAAAAGCAAAAAGGGTGGACAGAGTTCTAGATGTCCGACAGGGTCAACTATGTTGGGTTGTCGGGACCATCTATATGGACATGCCATTGAAACCAAACATTCTGGACGACATAGCCAAGGAGAACTGGATCGCGGGACCACCAGCACGACACTCATACTTTTCTGCAGAGAGAGAGACCCAAGTTATGTTGGAGGACGAATCTGGGAGACTTCGACTTACCGGAACAATGTTGAAGAACAGCTTGCTGGTCACTGGCATTATCGTTGCCGTTCTCGGAACTGAGAATGCCCACGGAGACTTCGAGGTACTTGACATACACATTCCAGGACTACCACGACAGCCGAAGAGATGGGAATGCGATGAAGAGGAGGAGAAAATGGACGTCGGTCAACCAAAGAAAATGATTGCTCTCGTTAGCGGCCTTGACATTTCCGGCTCCGATGCAGATACGCTGAGCCTCTCCCTTTTGACTGAATTCCTCCTCGGTGAAGCGTTGGATGACGACAACCGAGACAAAGCCAGCACGATTTCTCGCCTAATTATTGCGGGAAATTCCATCGCCTCAGATCTGCTCCCCAACCATCAAACCTCCATTGAGGATGGGAAGAAGCCCGGAAACCGAAAATATGGCTACGACGCCTCGTCTTACAATGCGATACCGACGACTCTTCTCGACCAATTTCTCGCAGAACTTCTTCCAAGCATTCCCATTACCATCTTAGCCGGTGAACAAGACCCAGCAAATGCTACCTTGCCTCAACAACCTATCCATCCTGCAATGTTCCCACATGCCCGAGCCTACGCGTCGGCAAATGTCGAAAACCCTGAAGAAGACGAACCAGGCTGGCTTGATAGCGTTACCAATCCCTGGGATGGAGACGTAGATGGTTGGCGATTCATGGGAAACAGTGGTCAACCAATTAACGATATCCTCAACTACGTCGACCTGGGTGATCCTGATGGGAAAGATGCAGATGGAAGGTTGGAAATCATGGCCAGCATGCTCAGGTGGCGATGCGGTGCACCGACAGCCCCAGATACGTTATGGTGTTACCCATTCCAGGAAAAGGATCAATTTCTTATCGAGCAGTGTCCCCACGTCTTCTTTGTGGGAAATCAACCAAAGTTTGGCACGACCGTCATCGATGGCCCCGGCGAGCAACAAGTTCGACTCATCACCATCCCATGCTTCCATGAGACTGGTGAACTTGTGTTGGTGGATGCAGAGACGCTGGAGGTCGAAGTGGTCAAATTCGACGTTCATAACTCCTCCCCACTCAACGGACCTTGATGTGAGCGGCAAGACAGAAAGAAGTCTCGGAAATATTTCCGCCCGTTTTTCTCCTTTTCTCCCTTTTTCTCTGGCTGAAATCGATTCCAACAACTGACATCTACATGACACCGTGATGAATACGCCGAAACATGCGAATAAACGAGCACACTTGTCGGTCCGAATCTCTCTTTAATCCCCCTGACGTCTAACTTTGCCAGGGGTTTCTACGAAGAAAGTGCTCTTGGCGCCTTATTCAGCACATCATGTTCCAAAATATCATGAATGGATGAAAGACCCGGTACGAAACAAACCTCAGGAAAATCTTTTCCATGAATCTTATTCTTTAAGGAAATCCAAGAAGCCACCGCGTCGGAACCTCTCACCCTCGATGAAGAATATGCCATGCAACGAAGCTGGCGAACCGACGCAGATAAATTGACGTTCATCATATGCCGGCCTCATGATAGTTTGAAAGAAACGCGCGATGGACGCTTTGACCTGGACTCGATGATCGGAGATGTCAACCTCTTCATCTCCACCACGGAAGACGGCTGCGATACTCAAATTGTGATCGGCGAGCTGGAACTCATGATTGCCGAACACGGCGAGCAAAACAAGGGATACGGCCGAGCCGCTTTACTTGCCTTTATGAACTTCATCATCCGACATGAACCTGATCTTTTGGCGGAATATCACGCTCCTCAATCATTGGGTACGAACATGCAACCAACGGCATTCGACCACTTTGCCGTAAAAATCGGCGCAACCAATAGTCGCAGCATCGCCCTGTTCGAGAGCCTGGGATTCAACAAGACAAGTACCTTGCCCTCTTACTTTGGCGAGTATGAACTGCGTCTAGACAAGGACGGAATGCGCGCCTTTATTGATGGAGATTTTCCTGCGAGAAATCCTTTGGATGGATACAGAGAACTTAGCTATTCTTGTTCATGACCCGGGAGAAGATAAAGACATAGATCTAGCATCAATAGACAAGGCCAAGACCGGGGGACTGTTATTTCAAACCATTTGCTCGAGATTACTTTGATGTATGTGTTTTTATGCTGCACTGTCTCGAATACCACGCCCTGGATCTAACCAACTTATTTTTTTTTTTTTTTTTTTTTTTTTTTTTTTTTTTTGGTCGTGCTTGTCGCCTCTCCACGTACAGTGAGGTTTCTCGTTTCTGCTGGTTCTAGCTCGAGCAATGTGACAATCCTGCTCCCCTACTTTGCACTCCTTTCTTGATCTTCCGTTGGTTCTGGATGAACTCGAAACAGGGAACCCTTTCGACAGTGCAGATGATCTCTTG